GCAGCAATTAGAATGAAGTCGCTAGAAGCTGGTATGCTATTATTGCTACTTCACAGCTCAAAACATCTACACACAAATTTATGAACACTCTCTCCAAAAAGCTTCAATAATAACCTTCAAGCAATTTATGCTCTCACCAATGCATAACACAGAGTGTGTTAGTAAACTCTAGCAGAAATAAAATAAAGTGTTTTTAAGTAACCTTCTTTTAAATAGACCATATTCTACTATATACTACTGTGTCCTATCCGCAATAACACTTATTTTTATCCAATGCACACCATATTTTGTTCTTTTTGTGCTACATAGAACTATCTATTGCCAATGGCTAAACTCAGGGGCTGTGGCACTCTTCCATTAAGGGGTCTTTGAGTTCTGCATTTTTTTGTATTTTCCGCGTTCCTTCTCGAAAAAAAAGAAATAATATTAAAGTGTTTACTTATGAGGAAATAGAGAGAATATTTTGCATTTTTATAAAAAAATAGCAGGACACTTTACATTTTATTTGTGGGATTGAGCTATAAATATACTATGGGAAGCTAGCACAGTAGAGAAAAAAGTAAGGAAGGACTAAATACACAAAGACTCAAATATCTTTTCAAAAATTGAAGGAACCCGCATGAAACATAAAATAGTAATTAAGTAGAAACAGAACTATACGAATCAGGATAAATTTATTGGATTGTTATACTATTTTGTCAATTCTTTTAAAATTTCCCAGCTAAGTTCTTGTACTATTCTGCACAAAGCTTCCTTCAAGAAAAAGAAAAAGTATAACCACAAAACATAGAAGTATGCTGAAGCATGCTAGAAATGCTTTTGATGTGATTATGTCTAAACGTAAAATAAGTGCTTGTTCTAATGTATGCATGCAGGGGATTCCCCTGATATTAGGAGATGGCCATGGTGCTTTACATGGGTTAGAACAGACTAAAAGAACTATTAGTTAAAGAGAATTAAAAGTTTTAATTAAGCCGGTGGGGTTAAATTAAAAAACAAGCTATTTAAAGAGTTTGAAATTTTAAAAAGCACATTAATGACATACTATACAAAAACAAATGAACACATTAAAGCTCATACGATTGTTGTTCTATGCATTGTAGGCATCTGGATGATTTTCGGAACATGCTTTGCAAGTAATGAATGCAATGATTCGAATACAGCAAAGATTAAAGAATCATTAAAGAATTCAAACAAGAGTGATTTAGCTTCCGCTATGTCTGATGAAAGCCGCAATAGAATGCTGGAACCACTCAATTTATCATTGGCTTCAAAAAATACAGCACCAAATTCAAAAAATCATGAAAGTGGCACACACCATCCAACTGCTCCAGAACAAAAAAGCATAATAGTTACTACATTCCATGTAGATGATTTTGGAAATCTATCTTATATAGATGATAAAGGATGCAGGGTTTTTATATGCTTAACTAAGATTCAAGTACATAAAAATGGCGTCTTATATAAACTATATAACGATGAATTGGGCAATCAGATTCTTATAGATAGTAGCATACGTCCTTATTCTTTTGGTACTAAAGACATATCTAGTAAAGCGCACAGTGGCCAGGAAGAAAGCATACTTGATAATCCAGCCAAAACAACCACACCAAAGCGCCCAAGAAATTCTAATTCAACCAGTTCAGACGATAGTTTAAGTCCCAAGAAAAGAAAAAGTGTAAAGAGTAGAGATTTTCGTTTTGGTGGTACTGGCTTATTCATTAAATCAAAGTGGTACCAAGCTGCCTTTAGTAACCTCAAGCCCTACAAATCTGAAGCACAAAGCGATACAACCCGAGATAAACCCCATGATTTTTCATACTTGTTTACTAAAGGTGGAATGGATAGTGAAAATACAAAATGTGAATGTAGTATTGAGAAGAACTATGAAAATCAACACCAATTATGGCACTTTTTGACTAGCTCACGCCATAAATCCTTGGTTGAAAAGATAGAGTGTATCAACAACTTAGCTAATGAGATGGAAACAGAAAAAAATCTCACGAATAATGGTTATTATTATTATTTCTTTTTAAAAGACTTAAAAAAATACATAGAAACTCATACAGACATAGCGCATATTAGTGCAACATACGACTACACAGACAGAAGTAAGAACAACATATGCTCTAAATATGAAATGAAGCCAGAGACACTTGGAGAAATATATGAGGAGACCCAAACAGATCTTAAGTGGTGGGCTAACAGTATGTCTATTATCTCTGCAAAAACTGAGGAAATGAAAAAAGAATGCTCAATAGATGATGCAGCACTAAAAGAAAAGCTGCATTTGATTCTAAAACTACCAGAGATACTTAGAGACTTGGTTCTGATAACTCCCGAGATACTGGTAAAGACGAAGAAAGAAATGAAAAAAGTGTTTGGTTCAGATACTAACAGAGCTTTATGCATCATAGAGTACCTATACTACTTAGTGAACGATGATGCAGACAAAATGAATATTGCGTATAATGAAGTTAAAGCGCTATCTGTGAACGAAGAGTCTATATGTACCTGCATTACTATGGAGGTGTATAGGGCTGTTTATAACGTGTTTTTTTCGTTCTACCAATGTGCGCCATCTACCTGTGTGGTGGATTTCGAGAGTGAAGAAGGCAAAGCAGAAAAAAAAGAAGCACGCATTAAAAGAATTTTTCAGTCCCACTGCCCGCACATACCAAAGAGTGGTGTCTTCAGACTGCATGGAAAAAGAGCAATTGTAAAGCCAACTCTCGGAAAATACAACCTGCATGAGACTATAGGCTTGACTAGCAATGACTCCAACTCAATGGTCATAGAAGAACAAAATGAACCATTTTTAAATGTAGCATATCAATGCTCCAAAGATCACTACCATGTGCAGCTAGTTGACAACATACGCCACACAGTAAAACTCATTCCTATTCCATATTCTTCCTATTGTAATTTTTACATTTCTAGAGATGGATCTATACAAAGGAAAACACATTCAATTCGATATATAGTAAAGTACATAAAGTCTATACTGAAGTCAACCTATCCAGAGAAGAATTCAGAGCTTAATGTCTATCCATTTAAGTGTAAGAAAAAGAGTGGAATATGGACATTAATAGATGAGAATTTCACTCTGCATAGGGTGAAAGAATTAGATAAATCTCTAGATGAAATGAATACCCATGACTATGGTGTAGTCTTCTACTACTTTGAAGAGAATATATATACAGATTACTTTGAGTGCATAGATTTTCAAGTCTCAGTTAACCCGAACTTCAAAACCCTCCGAATTCCTTTATTTCTTACAAACTTTGTGCTGATAAGTACTATAATTAGCCCGTATGTATTTTTTGATAAAAAATGTATTCGAACAGAAAAATTTTTTAAAAATCTCAATGCGAAAAAAACAACTAAACCTACTAAAATGAGTATCGATACATCTGCAACCAGCCAGAGCTCATCTTCCGCATCACCAAGCAACAATGAATCTCAAACAAAAAGAAGCTACATTAATTACTACTACAGTGACTTTTTGGTTCAAGGTATAGATGACTACAGATTTTGCACTGCAGAATGCTTTAGTATTTTTGCCATAGACAATAATATAATTACCGGTCTGCCATCTACAGTTTGGTGTACACAGATAAAGAGAAGCATACGTGAGTATACAAACTACTGTTTTAGTATAAGTTCAATTCAGAAACTTCAGAGTGATGGTTTGCTGCAGTGCGAAGAAGTGACCTTGACCTTTCTGGATATATTGCAGAATGGAAGTTCAACAGATGATAAAGTTACATACGGTCTGTGCATCTATCAGAGATCTTTAGATGGTAAGGAAGTTGCTGCTCCAATTATGTGCGAGAAAATGCGAAAGCTTTTGAGTGAGAACATTGATGATGAGATTAAGTCCAAGCATGCAAATTGGGAAAGTGACATTCTTCCTTCACGAATTGATATTAAAGATATAAAAGAGAATACTACTGTCTTTATCACGGTAAAAGCCTTTAACTACACACAGGCAAACCTTGGAATGCACTATGACATTATAGCTGCTCTCTTCTATAACAACAATAATTCCGCACTAGCACCATAGCCCAAGTCTTCCACAAAGGCTAAAAACAAAGCTGTTGGCAGAAATTAGAATGAATTCGCTAGAACCAGGCACCTCCTTATTAAAACACTGCCAAAAGCACCTACACGCAAGATCATAACCAATCCAATCAAAAGCGTCAATACTAACTTTTTAAGCACTTTGTTCTCTCACCAATGCATAACACAGAGTGTGTTAGTAAACTCTAGCAGAAATAAAATAAAGTATTTTTAAGTAATAATGCAATAGACTTTATTGGTTTGCATTCTTTAATAACTATTCAACATGGCCAATCTAGTACAACTAGGCATGCATAATTACATACCAACAAGCTTTCTCTAGATAGACCATATTCTACTATATACTACTGTGTCCTATCCGCAATAACACTTATTTTTATCCTATGCACACCCTATTTTGTTCTCTTTGCGCTGCATGACACTAGCTATTGCGTATGGCTAAACTCATGGACTGTGGCACTCTTCCACTAAGGGGTCTTTGAGTTTTGTCTTTTTTTGTATTTTCCATGCTCCTTCTCGAAAAATAGAAATAATATTAAAGTGTATAATGCATAAGTAAATAGAGAGAATATTTCATATTTTTATAAAAAATAGCAGGACACTTTACATTTTATTTGTGGAGGTGTGCTATAAATATACTATGGGAAGCTAGCAGAGTAGAGAGAAAAGTAAGGAAGGGACAAACACACAAAGACTAAAGTTTCTTTCTATAAATTAGCAGAACACATTTATTGGCTTATTAGGCTGAGTATAAGAACCTTCTAATTTCACTGAAGTTCTTGCACTATTATGCACAAAGCTTCCTTCAAGAAAAAGAAAACATAGAATCACAAAACATAGAGGCATATTTAGGTATGCAAACATGTATGCATAAACTCTTAAGATATGTAAGTGAATAATACTTTAACTAAAATCCTCTAGAAATAATTTAGAAAGAAAAAGCTTTTGTTGTAAATGAGTAAAAATTCCTTAAGTAGAAAAGTGTTTATGTATTTCATGAAGTAATAGAAGTAAGTTTTTCTATAACTAAGTTAAGCTTGGTAATATCATCTTCATTTTTACATAGCTGATCCTTAAACTCGCTAAGAGTTTGAATAGCTTGTTCGTATACAGAAATGCCCTCAACATACCAAATGCATTTCTTTAAAATGAACTGAATTTCTTTAATTGCATCTAAGTTGGCCTTAATCAGCTCTACATTTATGGTTTCCTCAACACAGAGATATGTAGTCCATACGAAGTGTATCGTGCTTAGCATTATGCCTTCCTTTTCATCATTCTTTTGGATTATGAGATTGTCAATTATATTCGAATACTTCATAGTTCCATCTTTGAATATGTGCTGACAAATCCTTTTATTCACTAAAGGGTCTAGTAATAAAGTAAGACCTATGTTATATTCAGTATAAACATTATCTATATAGAATTTAATCCATTTTATGAGAACATCTATACCACACTCTAGTACGTAATTAGCGAAGAAACCGGAAGATACGCTAGAACCTATACAAATATAGCGTTTCTCTGAGAGTTTTATATTGGGATAGTTGAAACTGCTGCTGTTTTTAATATGCATCCCTGCAAACGTAATTGCTGAAAGTATTTCAGATTGAATATTCAGATTATCTAGTTCTGTGCTTCCTATTATGTTAGACGTAAAACGAATAATAGGATGCTCTGGGGATAGAGTTTGATCCATAGTGTATACGATGCAGCAAGTGACTAAGCAGATCTTATAGTATAACTCATTGATTTTTCTCACAAGAAGTAGTCTATTTATGTCTGTGAAGTTATTCTGAATGGTTTCTCGCACCTGTTCCTTCATGAATTTTTTGCTATCTTCAGGATCGCCAATCTTTCGCATTTCATAATTAACGTATAAAACAAACAGGTTTTCAACAAATCCTGTCACATTTCTACAACTGTCTGATATTTCATTCAGTTTCTCCATTCGTTCATCCTTGAATCCTATAACTGTAGGCTGCATCTCAATACTACCGTGTCCTTCAGATATTCCTAATACTATAGTATTCTTAATAGAGCTATGCTCAAATGTCATAGTAATCTCTCCAGATATATCATATCTTCCATTCTGATACTTTTCACCTTTAAGCTCAGAAAACATTATTTGTACATTTTCTGTTCTTGCTAGGTGCGTAAGCAGTACTTCAGTGTATGCTTCAATCCTATCAAGTAAGTCTCCATCTAACTCACCATTTTTCTCCTTCAAATCCCTTGAGAAGCCAAGTATTTTCTCCTTTTCTTTCCTTGAAGCATTTATCACTTCAGCAATAACCAAGAGCATATTTATAAGACCACAATCTATCTCATTTCTACCATTGCAGTATGCAATATTAGGATCTTTTAGGTCAGCAACAACTTTGCACCACTCATTCTGAAAGTTACCCTTTGTTGTGTCAAATGGCTGGTTGTCCAAAGAGAAGAAGTCTTCAAGTTCTTCAGTGACATGCTCCATGTGGTCAGTTCTGTATGTAATATCAGATGGATCATACGTTAGGCAGCAAAAAAGAGAAAGAATCATACTTTCCACACAGTTGCTGTAATCTTCCAGTCGGTTAGTAGAAAACACCTTAGCTTCCCGGTTGTACTTAGGAACAGATTTATATGCAGGTACTTCTGTGCTGTTTAGGAATGGGAATACTCTATATGTATTTAAAATATCTTGAGATTCTTTCATTAGATTCATGCACTCTGTACCTATTGCGGTATTAGTAGTCTTAAACAGTCTGTCGTATACACAGTCATTCTTACTGGGTGCTTCTGTCTTTGGAGCATATTTCTGTGTCATAGCGTACACTGCTTGAATAAGCTCAGTTGCACGGTCTGCACTGTCTATGAACCCGAAGATGTACGACTGAATCAGAAACTTAAGACTGTCCATGAACTTCCCTTTTTTAATTTCACTCAGTGAACACTTGTCCTCCATCATACTAAGTACTTCAGGATTATTTGCACTCTTCTGGAAGAATTTGATCATTTGCTTAACCTTCTTCTGTTCAAATCTTTTTGTTTCATTTTCTTCTCTATTGAACCATGGGATTACCATAGACACTGTGAAGTATATTTTGTCTTTTTTGTTTGTTTCATACACCTTCAGTTCCTTATTGTTAACGTCAATGGGAATATTCACTCCCTCTGAGAAAAGCAGCAGCATAGCAAGAATCTGCAATGCACGCTCCTTTGTTGTCTCTGCTCTGAGAAATTGAACGAAGGACTGATTCCCTCGTGTCTCTATTGTTATGTCACCCGTAGGAGATGGAAATAGATCAATCAGATGGTTATGGTACTTTTCAGTGTAGTCATCCATCTTATTCTCTGGTAGTGCTTTGTATGCTTTGTCACTTTGCGTATCTCGAAGGTATTTATAGACAGTTCGTGTAATTGTTTGGATTTTATATTTCCCTTCCTCTAAGCTGTACTTTGTATTAATTTGCGGGGCGAAAAATCTTTTATTGTGCATGCACTCCATTTTCTGGTAGATGTATCCCCTCAAGAAGTTAAGAGGCCCATCTGGGTTTATCTTCGCACTATGTGAGTCTGTTGCAATTTCAAATTTGTGGGTCAACTCTACTTCTTTTAGGGTTATATCTGCTTTGTGTGTGTTCATCAGCAAAATACTAATTAAAGTAACTGCTTTGATCCAAATAACAGAATGCCGACCTTCCATGTAATAAAATAAATCAGTTTTCAATATATATTAACGGATAAATACAGGGGGTTATAAGCTTCCTTAGGGTTCGGGTTATTCGTTTATATGTGTTGATCAATAGCTTTCAGTTAATGTAGTGTATATATGCGTTTTTAGTTTATTCATGCATTAAAAGGCAAATATAGTACAAACTAGTAGATGGTGTTCCATAAAATCAGAATCTTCATAATCTAGAAATAGTAGCCCAGTAGAGATAAAATCTAATAAGTAAAGAACTTTTATTTATCTTGCAAAAATATATTGCAGCAAGAAAATTCTCATTAGATTCAAGCAGCTCCATCTACACTCAAAGCACTCAAATTTATTTCAATGAAAAAAGAAAAGTTCTTCAAGTATTCAAATTACCACTTCATACATTAATGCAAAGGTGTACTTTTTTAAAGAAAATACTACCAACTAAGAAAACTAAAGATAACAACTTATTTAAAATTACTACTATATAGAGCCACTAGCAACAGAAAACATTATTAAGCATTAGTAATTATTCGAAAACTAAACTCTTTAAATAGTTAGGTTTTAATGCTCTTATCAAATTAAACAAACTAATTAATTCTTTGTAGTACCAGCAAGCATTATTTTTGTTGCCATAAAAATATATGTCACCAGGGGCCACTACAACCATAAAGCACTTGCTATACCCGAATATTAATAATCCAGGCAGTATCTCATATAATTCGGGCTATACAACGGAAATAAATTTAAACCTGCAAAATCACAAGACCACCATATACTAAACCCAACATAAAACAGAGCCCACCCAGAATTACCTGCGAAAATACTCACGCCATAGGATTATCTTACACAAAGGCACATAACTCAAGTCAAAAAACACATAATATCCCACGCCCCAACATCCTCCATTGAAATATACGCCATCCCAGTTATAACCCGAATATATACTAATATACTATAATATTCTTACTACCCCCATGCAGGAGCACATATATTCTAAGAAATGCATTTATTCAGTGCAATTTTTTACAATTAATTCACATAGTTGAATGAGTAGCTGGATTAAGTTAATTATAGCAGAACTGCAAGACCACATAGGATCTAACTGGATAGAAATAGGGCGAGATATCATGCAGACAGACGCCATGACACAAGCAATAATCTCGCACCAAGAAAGACTCTCATGCGATCCATACGGAATGCACAGAAAAAGAGTAGGCATCACAAGAACAAAGTACCACAGGTATGCATTCAAGATAGAGAACATAATAAAAGAAAAGAAAGGAAAGTGCAGATCCATAAGGATATCAGACACAGTCCATTCAATTACAGCATATCTCTCAAATAGTGCATTAAATTCCTTAAAAACCCAAGACAACATTGCAGTAGACATATCTTCCTTGCACGAGATGTATTTCCACTTAAGAAAGGGATATTTCATGGTAAATACATCAAAAGACAGAAAAATAAGTCTGTACATTCAAAGAATGTCGTATGTTGGTGAGACACCAAACAAGAAGACATGGAACTATAATACGAAAGATGTAAATTTAGACAAAGAAATTGAAAGTATCCGGGAGAGAATTGAAGAGTGCACGGAAATCTACAAGAACTGCATGCAGCTACCAGATGTACCATACGAAGTGACTGACTTCAGCTGTCTGCCGCATAACTTCACTGAGTCCCAAGAAGACCTAAAAAAGACGCACTCCCAGGTTTACATCAGCAACGGATCGATAATCTCAAAGAAAACCATTCAGACAGGAGTACTAGACCAAGAAGTAGAGCACTCCAGTGACTCAGCCTCCAGCCACACCATAGAATGCGCAAAAGAGAACTCTGATGAAAGCAGCTCAGAGTCCTTTCGAAGGAGCCAGAGTAAAAAGGACAAAACTGCATCCCAAATAAAGTATGTAGCAACAATTCCACAAATATCCCATAGGCCAAAGAGTGCTCAAAAAAGCACCACCCATCCGCACGTAAATGATAAATTAGAAGCACCAGGAAAAAAGTCCTCTAATAATTTAGATAGAAAGATAAACAAGGAAGCAATCAGAAGCACCCCCGAGCACCCGCTCCCTCAAAAAAAGAACCACACCCCACCAGATGACACCCTAAATAGTATAGAAATAACCCCCAGTGTCATTAAGGATATAATAAGAGAGAATAAAGACGCACCCAGCTCATCCAATTTATGCGAGGGTGCAGATGTTTTAGCTAAAGGTGAAGTGAAGGTAGACAAGAGTAGTTTAGTTGATACTAGTTTGGTTGAAGGGAATTTGGTTGAAGGTTGTTTAGCAGATGAAGACTTAATTAAGAATTTGTTTAAGGAAGATTTACTTAAGGCAGATATACAGGACAAGAGTTCACAAGATAAAATAGATTTGGTTAAGAATTTATTTAAGGAAGATTTAGACAAGAACCCATCCTCTATGAATACACAACCCAAGAACTCCCCCTCTATGCACTCCACTAAGGCTTCGCACCCCAAGAATTCACACCCTAAGACTTCACAAGATAAAAATGACCAGAATAAGTCGATTGAAAATAACCCAGAGTGGTCACCTGTTGAAGAAGTCTCTGACTCACAAGTAACTGAAATGATAAATGAAACACTTTCCAGGTTTCCAGCGGTAATTTCCATCTCAGAATATAAAAAGATCCAAGGAAATAAATAAACAAGAGAATCATTCATTAATCAGTGCATCCAAACTGTTCGACATCTTAAAGCACTTGCAGCAGACGTAATTTACAGAGAGGGGTTCATCACCTCTTTCATCTTTTTTTTGGAAGATTGCATGGGTTGTGCAGTTGCATCTGCTGCACTTTCTGTGGATTCTTTTGAGGGTTGGGTCTTCTGCTATTTCCTTCCCTATGCCAGACTCAATTTCCCTTGAGGTCTTTTTGTATTCTACGGTGTATACAGTAGGGGTAACTGACTCTTCAAAGTGCTCACAGTTCTTGCATGCTAGGTAGAGCATCTTCTCAAGTTTATCTTCCTTTGGGTACAGCATATTATTGCACTCCCGGCAGAACTGCTTTGTCTCCACTGCCATTAAATTTATTTTTGCACGGGAGTCCGGGTTTTTTTGCACTGAATGGTTTGGGGAATTTATTAGTGGATTAAATTGTGACAAAGTGGATTAAGTCTTGACCATCTGTCATTAATTATTACACCACATATATTAAGTCTTGTCAAATTATCCATTACTTTTTACATATAGTGTATTATATTATGCAATATACGATTAAATACAACACAATATCCATTAATTATTACACCACATATAAAAAGTCTTGTTAAATTATTCATAATTTATTCCGTATTATCCATAAGTCCTGCATATACCCACTAATTACACTGTATATCCATTACTTTTTACACCATATATAAAAAGTCTTGTCCTTATTTCCGTCTCTTTTTTATCTTCACATTTTTCTCTCTCAGTTTCTTCTGCTTATTCAAATATTCCTTCCACGTAGTCTCATTGAAGCCATAATTAAAGTAGTCAGTTATATCTTCGCCTGGCTTATTCCATGGCTTATCTGTACCATCATATTCTACTGTATACGTATGTAATAAATCAGAATTAAGGGCAGGCGCGTCTTCTGTGTCATGCAAGACTATCTCAAAGCCATCACTTGAGGCATCTTCATCTGTTGGGAATTTCTCCATAAATAAATAAATATATTTATGTTTATAGACTAATTATAGTGGGAAAAAGAAGGGCTGTAAGGGTACCCCCTTGGAGAGATAGATTTATTAGTGAAGTGTAAGGAGGAGTATTGTATTATTAAATTTATAATAGGGTGTAAGGGGGGACCATTGGAGGTACTTTGAAATTTAGTGGATACAAAGGGGGACCATTGGATGGGGGTAGGACAGAATATATTGAGGGAGTAACAGAATATATGGCATAATTGACAAGACTTATGGCACTTTGTGCAGGATTTAATCCACTTATGACAAGACTTATGGCACTTATGACAGAATATATAGCACTACTTAGACAAATGCAATTTTATAACGGGGTCTTAATACAGATATTTCCAATTATATTGTATAATATATTCTTAATAAGGAAGTTAAGTAGTTGTTCTTAATATATATCCTCTTAATAAGGATATTTCCATTCTTGTCACATAATATATTCTTAATAAGGAAGTTAAACATTAATTCTAAATATATAATACTCATCCAATAAGGATATTTCTACTCTTATCGTATACTAGTGTCTAAATAAGGATATTTCTACTCTTGTCATACACCATTCTCCCAATACGGAAATAGTCAATAATTTCCCAATACAGAAATATCCCCATTGGTCATACAATAATTTCCCAATATAGAACTTCCCAAAACGGAAATGTCCTCATTAGTTACATAAGATTCTCTCAATAAGGAAATATTCAATAACTTCCCAATATATAATCTCCCAAAACAGAAATAAACAAAATAAATATACAATAATCTCCCAATAAGGAAATAAACAACCTACACCATTTCCAAATACAGTAATATTACCATATTCAGTAATTTCCGGTTTAATACCAATAGTTAAGCTAATTTATTGCTATATTGAGTATATTGCGTATAGTAATACCCTTATTAAAAGTATTAATGGGGTATTCCCCTTCCAGTAATTTTCTAATAAATTTCCCAATGTGGTAATTTCCCAATAAATCATCAAGAAATTTCCCAATAAGGAAATTCCCTTAAACTCCCTATAAACTTCCCAATAAGGAAACATACGTCATCAATTTCCCAATACAGTAATTTCCGTTATTTTTCCAAAATAACTCCTTATCTATACCTTAACAAGCTAACAGTATTATTCCGTCTCCAGCATCCTCTCTTAGATCCTCCAATAGTCTTATTTCCACCAAGTCCTCTACTCTTCTTAGTTGCCGTTGTAAGTCCCCTACATTCTCTCCTTCTATGCTTATTACTGCATATCCAGTTAATCCTACTATCATTCCTTATATTATTAACCATAGGATCAACAAGAATCACTTCATAATGCTTATACGTTGCATCCTGACCAACCCAGTATGAATTTAGTATACGTAATGACTTTAGTCTACGTCCTACCCTTATCTCTGCTAAGGCCTGAAGGGATTTCTTTTGTTTCTGTTGATAAATACCTTGGTTAATTGGTTTACCACAGACATTACCCTTTTTAACTTGTCTTCTACGACCTCCTCTTCTGATTCTTACTCTGTAGATGACAATTCCTCGTTTTTTGGTGTATCCTAGCTTTCTTGCTTTGTCTGGTCTTGTTGATCTGTCTGTTTTGTGTACGGAATGTCTTTGTCTGTACTCCCAGCATCTTATTCTTAATAGATATCTCATTACATCTGATTGTTTGTGTTTTTGGATCTCTGCCATGTAATCATATGCTGACATTTTGCAGGGGTTAAAAAAAAATAAATATTTATAGTTGAAAAGTGGAATAAATTGTGGCAAAGTGGAATAAATTGTGGAAAAGTGGAATAAATTGTGGTAAAGTGGAATAAATTGTGGCAAAGTGGAAAAAGTCTTGTTATTTTATATTTAAAAGTAAAAAGTTGTGGTGGAGTGGAATAAATTGTGACACTATTGAGAGAAGTGGATTAAGTCTTGGTTATTTTCGGGTGGGGTGTAAAAATTTGTGGTAATGTGGAATAAGTCTTGTCACTTAGTAATAAATCCTGTTATTTATTACACTATGTGGAATAAGTCTTATACAAGTGACATAAGTCTTGTCCATCTCACAATAAAGTGTAATAAGTCTTAGTTATATTTATAACAGAACTTATGGCAGTTTATTATAAAGTGTGCAAGACTTAATCTACTTTAATTCAATAAATGACAGAACTTATTACACTCTTAATATAAATATGACAGTACTTATTACACTCTTAAATAGATATAAACCACTGGCATAAGTCTTGTCCAAATATTATACAGGACTTATTCCACTTAGTGCAAGACTTATTACAGTGCCATAAGTTCTGTCCGAATAAATTACAAGAGTTTTTACACACTCTCTAATAAATTGCAAGACTTTTTACACTTTGACAGAATTTAATCCACATGAACAGGACTTAATCCACTTTGCCAAGACTTATTACTCATGAACAGGACTTATGCCACTTGTACAAGACTTATTGCTTTATGACATAATTTAATCCACTATAACAGAATTTAATCCACTATATTCAATAAATTACAAGACTTAATCTACTTTGCCAAGACTTATGCCACACGTGCAAGACTTAATCCACTCTCTCTAATAAATTGCAAGACTTAATCCACTTCTCCACAATTTATTCCACTCTTGCCAGTTTCTGGGAAGACTTATTATTTTTAAATATAAAATGACAGGATTTATTACACCCCCTTCAAACACACCAAGACTTTTTACACTCTCTCCAAAAACCTCCAAGACTTAATCCTTTTTTTACAAAACACCCAAGACTTTTTCCACTTCTCACAAGCACAGCAGGACTTTTTCCACTCTCAAAAATTCCATTACTTCTTACACATAGTGTATTAAGTTATGCATTTTTCATAATAATTACCTTATATTAATTATAAAATAATAAATAACCATGGAGTACTTGCCAGACAGAGGACTAAACATGCAGTGTAACTCCATAATTGACACAGCAAAAATACAACAAGAAATGGAAGACCACTCCAAAACCCGGTATAGCCCGATTAAACCTGAGATAGCCAGATATAGTCCGATTAAACCCGATATAACCCGACTTAACCCGATTATAACCCGATTAAACCCGGAGGCAGAGACAGAAGACTCAGATGAGATAAAGGCAGAGACAATCTGCCCCAAGCAAATTTATGACTCGAAAAATTGGCCAGGAATTTATTTGTCAGAAATAGAATTAACAACAAACTACCTAAAAAGCAATTATAAACCGCCATTTTCTTATGCCATACTCATAAAAATGTCTCTAACGGAAAATGAACAGCTTAGTTTGAATGGAATTTATAACTGGATCAAGCTACGGTATCCATATTACATGACAGCTGATCCTGCATGGCAAAATTCAATTAGACATAATTTGTCGTTGAATAAGATATTCCAGAAGGTGAAGCGGCCTGCAAATGAGCCTGGGAAGGGAGGATTCTGGCGGTTGAACAAGGGATTCGAACCCCCAAAGAAAAAACGGGAAAAAGAGAACAAAGCATGACTTTTTACATGTAGTGTAGAAAGTCTTGGGTGGATTTGTGTTGTAATTAGTCATAAAATAGGACAGAACTTAATACTGTATGTGTAGAAAGTAATGATTGTAAATTGTACAGAACTTAACACAGTATGTGTAGAAAGTCTTGGTGAAATGGACAGAATATATGGTACTGGTGTAAAAAGTCTTGGATATGCATTGTAATTAGTTAGAATATGCAAGACTTATAGTACTAGTGTAAAAAGTCTTGTTTTTTGTGCATGACTTATTACACTATATGTAGAAAGTTTTGATTGTAAATTGGGCATGACTTATTACGCTGTGTGTAGAAAGTTGTGTCTTTAGGGAATGATTTAGCAATAAATTAGGATGAAAATGTTTTGGGTTATTTATTAGAGGATTAAGTATTGTCAGTCTTGGGAAAAGTGCCATAAATTCTGACAATGTGGATTAAGTCTTGTAATAGTGGATTAAGTCCTGTCTGTTTCAAGACACAGTGGATTAAGCCTTGTAAGATAATTATAACCAGAATTTATTCTATTATGACAATTACAATTCTCTTCTTCATGTCTTGCTGCACCTCCAGGCGCACTTCTTTTTCGCGTGCCCAGAAGACCCTTTGAACTACTTCTGGGAGCAAGGGAATATTCATCTCTGGCGTACTTGCAGTCCACTTCTCCTGCAATCGTATGATCTCACGCTTTGTCGCTTTTGAGGTGGCCCTGGTGCCTTCCCTCCAGCCCAATAGGGGAAGTATCTTTTTGTTTATTATTTCGCCTGTCCTGGTGTCTTGCCGTATATTATGGTGTATAAGTAGCTTAGAGGCCAGCACGCTCCCAAGTCTACTGAGTATCCCAGGGTACATCTTGTTCTCATGGAAGTACTGCACGGTGCATGCAGCTAGTATGCGTATCCTTCTGTCCATAATTATAAAAGTGTTCTTTTTTCTTTTTCTCTGGAAATAAGTCTGTCTAAGAGGGTGGCAGGCTGGTTTATGGCTGGGATGATTGTGTCATCTGCCTCCTTTGGGTTAATTTGTGCTGAATACTTCTTGTTTCTTGTTGTGCTAGAAAGTGACTCATTTATAATTAAATGGGAAGTAGCAAAATCCTTTCGTTTTCTAATCGTAATTCCAGTTCTTGTAATTTTTTTTGTGTTGGACGGATTTTTTTTTGTTTCCAAAGAAGCACCTCCCCAGGAATTCCACCCTAAAAGTGTTTCTTCCCTTACTTCTGGGGCATCACTCTGTTCGATTTTTATCTTTTCTGTGACGAATTGGTCTACCTCCAAGATACTCTCAATGGCAGATGGTGAGTCCTTGGGGGTCGTGGTTCTTTGGAGGGTGGTATTTTCGGTGGATTTTTCCTCTTGCTGGTTTTCAGTTGGGAGCGAATTTATTTCACAGAGATTTTCTTGGTTTTTCTTGATGTGCTGGTTTATTAATGAAATTACATCTGGGTTTTCACTTTTTGCAGGCCTTTCAAAGGGCATTTCATCTTCATCCTCTAATTCTATCTGTATTTTCATATTTTCAGTTAATTTTCTTTGCTTTTCTTCTCTCTTTACCTTTCTGTAGGCTTTACTTTTAATCCTCTTGCTCCATATATTACTTTGCGCTACTCTTGCATCAACTTGTTTTTTTCTTCTTTTTTCCTTCACTCTGTCTGGGTCTGTTATGTCGGCTAGCTGCCTCTCTAGCTCAGTCTCTATCAAGGGCTGCAAGATAGAACCTTCTTCTAGCTTGCTTACAGTAGATTCGTATGACTTTGTCTTCTCCACTGGTTTTGTCTTCACTTTTTCCGTGTGCTGCGTGAGTAAGTCTTCGTATGAAATCTGCATAAAATATTTTCATGGAGTACTACTGTAAAAAGGACGCTCTTTCGGAAGGAGTCCTTGTAAGGACCGAATTACTTTGTGACTTGAACAATTCCCACATCCAAGAAGCACTAAAGAACAAGAAAATCAAGGAGAAATCTGTCTTCCTGCCGTATTACTTGGTAGATGCACTAGTAACCACGGAGTATTTGCAAGTAAAGGAGTTAATTACAGAGAAGAGTGTGAAGGAAATGGAAGGGGCACCAGAATATGTAAATCTGCAGGGAAAGATACTTTACAGGATAGTCAGTAAAATATGCAAGAAATACGCAATGGAAGAAGAAAGGGAGACTGTGAGGCAGATGCACCTGGCGCGCGCAATAAAATGGGGAAGTCTTCTAGCAGAAGACGGAGAGGAAGAGGGCTGTGAGCGGGAAGAGGAAGAAATCTTGCATGCCGGAAGGACAGCATGGCGGAGTGGAAGGTAAACTAAAATAAAGAAGTGTTTTCTGTTGTAGAGTGTTTTTGTAGGGTGTTTTGAGGGAAAAATAAATGGTCGTGCCGAGAATCGAACTCGGGTTATCAGATTCAGAGTCTGAGGTGCTAACCGCTACACTACACAACCCCATAAATTATGGAATATTGGCAGTTCGTTCGGGTTATATATTCATATACGTTAGAATGTGTAATATTCAGGATGTCCTGTGTACTATGTGTGTATGGTAAGATAGTGGGGTGGTTTGTCTGTTTATTTATTCGGGTTATTTCTATTATAAAAATGTAATTGTTGTGTGCACAGCATAGTATATGATGGTATGCATGGTAACCACAATAGCAGTTTAATTTGCCTTTGTTTACATTAAACATGATGTTAATTAGTGGATTTGTTTACTTTGATGAATCTCGAAATTAAATATAGACTAAACTATTTAAAGAGTTAAGTTCTCAAATAGAGACTAAATTTTAAGAATTTCTTCTTTAAGAAGTCTAGCATGTAGCTAAGACGTATGCAGTAGATGTATTTGTAGCATGAATAGTACTGTAAGTGATAATTGTTTTGGGTTATTTCTGCTGCAAGTTATAATTGTTCTTGGTCAGTGGTGACTATTCTCTGGTTATACAGGATATGTGCACACTGCAAGGGTGTTTTAGTGTATTCGGGTTATATTTGGGCATGCTTTATTTTCTGTCTAGATTGACTATTCTATGACTCTGTGAGTTTGTTGCAAGTGTTTATCACTGTATTAATTATGCATATCCCGTGTAAAGTACATTTCTTGCCTTTTTATTACACTTTCTTGTGTGGCCAGTCCTTTGAATTCTTTTGCCTCTTTTACTCCTAGCTTATGGAGGGCTGCTTTGTGGTCTTTTTTCATAAAGTGCAGAGAGTACTCTTTTTCTTGTGTGAAGACTTTCTTGCATATTTCGCAGTTGTATTTCAGTCTTTCTGGCTTTGTCCTGGGCAAGTACTTGTCTAGCCTGATGGTTTTTATTTTTGTGTGCTTAATTTCTTTGTTGAGTAGATTTCTTATGTAGTCTTTGTGCCTGAATACATATTTTCTGTAGAGGTAGTCTATTCTGGATATTTCATGGAGGGCGAGTTTCAAGTAAATTGCCTTTGTTTCTTTGTGGGCATTTGAGAGACTATGCCTGGTCCTCATTTTATCTGCTATTGTGCGCCTGCAGAGTATGCAATATGACTTATTTAGTATTCCTGGTTGAATTTCTTTGCTCTCTTTGAGGTGTAGAAGAGTCTTGCTTGATTTTTCTTTTGGGATGGAGTTTTTTGTGCATATTTTGTGGGTAGTGAAATATTCACTTGAGACATTCTTTCTTAGAACTCTTTCTGGGAGGGTCTTTAAGTATTTTACTATTCTTCTTTTTACTTCTGCTTCTTCGTAGGGTGATTTATAGCACGCACTTTTCTTCTCTTTAATATTCTTTAAGAATTCTTTATACCCATACAATGGGTTTAGCCATGTGAATATGTCTTTTATATCTGGGGAATCTTCTGTTTCCTGTGATATTTGTGTGTTTCTGGTTATATTATAGAGTATTTTATGTTTTATTTGGATTAGTCTACAGGATATCTGGTCAAGAATGGTTCTCCTTTGTGTATTTACATATTCCAGTTGATTTACGTTTAAAAGTATCTCTTCTTTGTCTTTTATCTTATAGTACTGCACTATGCTGTGCAGTAGGTCTGTGTACATTGCAGTGAGCGCAGTCATTCTTGTAAAATATTATTTTATATTTATAGGTATTGAATGAATATGTAGATGTATTTCGGGATATTAAGGATATAAGGCGTGTCTTGCAGGAATATATGTGGATGGAGTGATAGTGTTAATGGGAAGATATTTTGTTGTTTTATTATGATGATTTCGGGTTATATCTGATTATATTTGGGGGGTTGGGGTTAAATGCTTATTTTTTGCCTGTGTGTGTTCTTTTGTGGGTTATTCTACTGCATAAATATTTCTGCTTATTTTGGTTATTCGGGTTATATGCAGAGTAAATGAAAAGTGGTTTTGCTCTGTGCAAATTAGACATATTCAAAATATGTTTGATTTTATAGGTTGTTTATACAAGTGTAAGGTGGAAAGCACTTATTTAGCTTGGAATATTTTTTTATTGCCAGTAGCTCTATATAGTAGTAATTTTAAATAAATTTTGTCTTTAGTTTTCTAGTTGGCAACAAAATTAATTTCTTGTGTGTCTTTTTGTCTTACAGTATATAAAGGTATTTAACTAACACTCTCTTGATACTTTTCTGTGGCTTGTACATCTTATAGTTATGGTTTCTTATGGGTTTATGTGTAAACATATGCAATTTATTGGTAATACAGTGTGTGTTCTATCTTTTCTGTTTTCTCGCTTTGTTTTGTCTTTCTTTGTTGCTTTATTCTGGGTTCGCATTGAATGTTCATGGGGTTATTCATTTTTGCTAGATTCTTCTATTTTTCTGTCGTACTTTGACTTTCCTAAAAAATCAACTCTTTCAGAAAGAAAAGTATAATCTGTACAGATTTCTTTTATTACAAGATTAAATTAAAGAATTTAAAATAGAAAAATATATTAAAATATATATTATAGTAAGAAGAATAGGCATAAATACAACAGGAAAAAATGAAAAACGAAGAAACCACGTGAAGTCAAGTATTTAGCACAGTAGAGCACTAGAAATGAAAAGATATAAGTATATGCAGATATAAAAGCACCAATTATCTCTAACAGATAAATTCAAATATTATATATCTCTACACAGTAAAAGCTCAAATAAAATAAGTACAAGAAGGATCTTTAAGAGAAAAATCATAAGCTGTCTATTTAATAATAGATGTTTCACAGTGAACTGTCATGTTTAAATCCCCATTTAAGAAAATCAACCATAAGCTAAATCATCAAAATATATTAGACCAGACTAACAGCACCTTCTTTTTATCCAATACAGCAGGAATATTAATCTATTTCTTTCTGTCTCCATGGCATCCTAGAAGTCACAGAAGAAACAAAAAGAGAATTCGTGCGAATGGAAATATAAAAGAAAAAAAAGCACTTGAAACTGTAGTTATATTGGAGTATGAAGGGTTTTCGTGTAAAAGAGGTCCTTTATATACCAAAAGAATCATAATATGCAGTTTGTTCATACTTCTCATGCTCAATGGGGCCTATGCAGATTTAACTTTGCATGGAGTAGAAGAGGTCCTGAATAATATGCTGCAGGATAAGAATAATTGCAGGATGCAAATAAATATTAATGGACCCTTAAATCCAATTAGAGGGTATATATCAACTCTTGCAGGATATACTCATAATAAAAGGTTCTTTTCGGAAAATATTAAAACCTCGTACGCTCTGCTTAAACACACTGCTACAGAAGAAAGAAGCAGAAAAATATTTCAAAGAGACTACGAAAGAGATAAACCAGTTGCCTGGCTACTAAACACCTCAGATCACACAAAATACATATATAACTACCACCAGGCATTTCTCATCATGTTTTCCTCATCAGATGGCACTATAGACGTAAACTCTTCTGGAATAGATTCATTCAGTGGATTTCTTCAAATCAGCAAAGTAAGAACACACAAATACAAAATACTAGCATCCTTGCTGCTGCTCTCTGAAGGAATAGACGTCTTCATGGAAATAACAAAAAGTCACCCGAAATCCACTAGAAAACTGGTTTTAAAAGAGAATAAAACCAAAGGAAACCACTTCTCTTTAAGCTTAACAACTAATTTCGTAATAACAGGACGAAATAATTCAACTAGTTTCCCTGCCCTCCAAAATAACACTATTTTTCTAATAGAGTTCTTTTTAAAGTACAGAAACCATCCTGTGCAGGAAGAATACGCAGAACCAAGAAATTTAGAAGAATTCAGAACTGGCCGATTTCTTAATAATTTGAGATGGCTCATACAGACATACATATATAACTACTTCTCTACTAGCGAAGAAGTGAATATATTCAATCAAACAGTGCATGATATTTTACTAGAATACTTACCAGAATACAACGAGAGCAAAGGAAAAGAAGATATTTCTATGCAAGTTTTCAGAAAGTGTTTTACAACAATGGGAAATAATACTGTTTCTTGTATAAACAGAGAATATTCTGGTCGTATTATGCGCATATTCAAAGCACATGAGGCCCTTCATGTGGAAATGTGCCCAGGAACCATCTACCCATTAATTTTCACGAAAAATTCAATTATAAGCACAGAAGACCAAGAAGTCCCTCTAAGTATAACAGATACCTTTGCATGCACAATGGAAGAAGTTCTTCTTGGATTATTAAGTTGTTTCTTCTATGATGCAAAGAAGAACACTTACACAACAGAACATATCCCCGATGCTTCGTACAAACTGTTCAGTTTCTTCATTTCGCACAAAACCCCTTCAGAGATGATTTCCAGTGAAATAACCAGTAAATGGTCTCTGGTTCTGGCAGAATTGCAAAATAGAAATATATTATACGAAAAAGATAACAGAAGCAGGCTTGTAACCGGAATAATGAATCTTCTATACGTTATCACAGAAATTACTGGAATTTATCCAAGAGAATCCAAAGTGCTTCATTATTATGCCACTTTTGTGAAAAATGCATGTGAAAAAGCTGTTCTCACAGGCATACAAGAGAAACTTGGGTTATATCTGGAATACTTATTTCTTCTGCTCTTCAATAACTCTGAGGATTTAAGCTGTAAGCTCAGAATGAAAAGAGACAAAATAAAAGTGACTCTTTCTCATTTAGAAATAATAGAAATAGATGAAAGAAAGGATCTAATTGGAATTCTTCACATAAAATATAAGGATAGAATGAATCCTATCGAAATTCGCATTAATCTTATGAAAAACAATCAAGTGGAAGTTTCCTATAACTATAATAGACCAGTAATTTCACCTGCTGCAGAGAAGATGATTTTTCAGTTGAAAGGTATGGTGAAAATAAAAAGTATCCCAGATACGTTCACAGAGTGCATGATTGCGCACTTTATAACAGAAGAAATAGATATACTCTCAGGAAAAAAAGTGAATTTAGAGTACTTCCAGAATATTCCAAAAATAGAAGACAGAACCCCCTTGGGAATGGATAGATTCCTTCTACTAGGCAAGATATCCACTTTAAAGCAGAAGGAACACCCGGTACTATTAATAATATCCATCTTAGACACAGAATTTCAAAAAACTTCAAATCCTGCAATTATGCAATTTCTAGCTAACATAATTACAAGTGAACTAAAAGAAAGGAGAAATATTTCAACCAAAATTATTTCTATTCTCTTACTTATTAATGAAACAACAGGAATCAACATAATCCCAGAAATAACAGAATAATTCTTAGTCTTCTCTACAGAATATCTGAAGTCATAAATAAAATAGTTTGAGTGTGATAAAATTCCCTCTAAATTCTTCTGGCAAAAGAATCCTACTAGAAGGAATAACCAGAATATTCTATTCTTCATGGAATTTCAATAGATGCACTAGAAATTATAAAAATATGAAAGAATTCGTCCTCAAATGAAAAGGACATATACTTAAATATTTTACACCCCTGCACTGCAATGTCTTCTCTTACTTTAATTTCTGTGGCCTGCGGTGTATCTGTCTATTCCTTTATATCTACCTTGAAGGATTTAAGTTCTGTGCTTCTAGTTGACTTTGAGTGCGAATATAACTTTGACTCTTTGGGGATTGAAGTTATCCATGAGTTCAATGCTTCTACCTCTATTAAAGATAAGCGCATTATAATAATCAATAGGATTGACTCTTTTGTGAATTCGCCAGCAGAGCTGCAAGTTAGAATGAACATGATGTACAAGGCTGTTTACAGCGGGGCAAAGGTGTACACAACACTGCTTAAGACAAAGTACAACAGATACACAGTATATATTGATAGAATGATAGAAGACATGATAGAATATATTCCAGAAAATAGCACAAGCACAGCATAAATAGTACGCATTACAAAGAAGACACTCTTCCTGTAGAATTTCTTTACGCATAAAGTAATATATGAGTGAATTCCAGGTATAACTAAAAATATTCCAAAAAGAAGCACAAAACCCCACAGAAAAAGAAGAAGTAAAATAAATACTCTTTAAGAAAGAGAAATCCCTATATATTATTCGGGTTATCCTATAGATTCTACTGCAGAATATTTGTAATATTTTAATACTATAATTTATGCTTATTTATTGCAGTATTTTTCATACGATTTTCTTTTGAAAAAGAATCCTAGAATGACAGAAAGAGCACAAAGAATATTCTTGTCAGAGAGTAAAAATTAGATGGTTTTTCGGGTGAATCTGAAGGAATAGATTGATTTTTCTGATTGACTGAATATTTTATCTGGAAAACAGTAAATTTAACACCTTCTGCTAACAAAGAAAACCAAAGATAAAAATATTTAAAATTACTACTAGTAGAAACAAAAGCAGCACATTAGCTAAATAAAATTCCAGCATGCATGTAGCTAGGTGTAGCACGAAATAACCCGACTAAAAATAAGCATAAACTATCATAATCCTTTTATTCTGAATACTTCTACTGTAGAGATGTTTTCATGAAGTGTAAAAATCAATATGATTTCATCTAAAGGTGTCTCTATAAGAGGTATTTCATTTTGCGAAATATTTTAGCATCGTATTGTAGTTATCCATGCTCTCTGGATCACTTTCCGAACAAAGCATATCTTTTTGCTCTTCTAAAACCTTTCTAACTGCTTTTATGTTTTTACTGGATAATTCATAAGAAGGAATTGCAGGATTCCTAAGGTCATCAAAATTTATCAAATCATAAATTATCTCAATAAGCTCTAAAGAGTCTGCAGGCTTTCTGCATGCGAATATAAACCAGTTGATGTAAATATAATTCACTGCCTTCTGGTCTTTCTTAGTCTTGGTTTTCTCAATTATTGATTGCATCCTTGTAAATGCATCGATTTCATCAGTCTTCACTATAAGCTTAAACAAGTTCTCAAAAAACGGTCCATGGAATAATAAGTTGTACGCATCAATGTGCCCATTCATATCACTAGTTATGTAGTTTTCCATGCACTTAACTACAAGAGACACAGACTGCTTCCTTAGTATAGATCTATACACAGAAGATAAATCACTTATTGTAAATTCTGTTTCAGGAAGGGGCTCGCCCTGCTTGTAGCTGAGTTTTGGGTAGTACATCTGCCAGTGCGCATGGAATGGGAAACTTTTTATCATTTTGTGCCGTGCATGATGGTCATTCAAAGGCACACTTCCCAGAATATTTGCAGTCCAACGGGTTGCATCATCAGTTAGGGGCAAGTCCTTTTCTGTTGAATAGATCATAAAGTGCTCCATAATGTACGCCTTGCAATCAATATCGACAAACTTTCCTAATAAGAATATTTTAGGAATATTCTCGTATCCATCTTGCAATATCCTATCTACATCTTGCTTCAGATTACTTAATACCTTGTCACTGTCATTTCTTAAAGTGTTAAGTTCAGAATCTGCATGCTGCATGAAAATATATCCTAGGTAGCTGTCTAGGTCACTGAAAACCCTTTTCGCTTCTTCATATTTCTCTTGAATGAACAAAGAGTCTTTTTGCAACATTGGAAGAAGAGTAAGACTTGAATGGCCTTTTTTTACGTCTAAAGCAATCCCATTGTATCTATCGTTGGATGTATACGTAATTGTGAGTTTACAGAAAAGATCTGCCTTTCCATTTGATCTCTCCCCGAGTTCTATATTTTCACACTTTACCTTCACACTTTTATTCAAAGAGAGTGATGTAATAATTGCTTCTATCTTATTTGAAATTTCCACTTTCTGGTCATCGTCTAATTCGCCTTTTTCGTGTGCACTTTCTATGTACTCAACTAGTTCTAGAATGGCTTCATCTTGGCCTGTTATTTTTGCAATTGCAAGAAGTATATTTATAATCCCGGAAATAAGTTCATTTTTTGCCTTTTTGTAGTCAATTTTGTCGTTCTCTAAGCAAGCAGTAACTTTACTCCATCTCTTATGCATTTCAATATTCGTGGTTTCAGTGGGCATAGTATACTTTTTAAAGAACTCTTTAAGCTTATCACTTACTCCCTCTCCCATGTGACTAATTTCATACTCTTTTTTCTCTGGGTTGTATGCCAGACAGCAAAATAGTCCAAGAAGGGCAGTTTCCACACAGTTACTGTAGTATAAAGATTCGTCTTCTTCAAAGCCTGTCTTGTCTAGTTTGCATTGCGGTACTCTAGTGTACACGGGCAGCTGACTGGCACTGTAGAATGGAAATCTAACATATTCTGATATGCTCTTCACAAGATCATAGAAAGAATCGACGTACTTTCCATTTTCACCTAACTTATCCTTCTCTAAGAAGAATTTATTAAGATCTTTCCCTTTTTTCGGTTTCTTCTTGGTGTCATCTGGATTAGTTTTTTCAACCACTTGATCAACAAGTAATTCATGCACTGCTTCTACAAATTCCTTGTAGTCTTCTTCCTTGTCAATGAACTCATAGATATACGTCTGTATAAGGAAGGATGGATTATTCAGAAATCTGCCACTCTCGAACTCTTCTTTTTTAGAAGGCATCCCTAGGTCAGTCCCTTTCTTCAAAAACTGCCTGTCCCTGCAGCGTATATAGAAGTTGACAATTTCTGCTGTCTCATTTTGGTAGATATCTTCTTTTTGCTTATTTGTAATTGGATCTATACCAGCCATGTATAATTCTATCTCTGCAATTGTCTTATCCTTGACTGTCTTACTTTTTATGACAACCTTCTTCTTTTCTGCTTTTGTGTCTATATTTATTTTAATGTCAACTCCTTCTGAGAGCAGTAGAAGGGAAGCCAGGATATATTTCGCATCCTTTTTTGCATTCTTTGATCTTAAGAAGCTTGTGATCATAGTGGATCTGCCTGACTCGATTGAAAGAGTTCCATCTACGGAAGGAAACATCTTTATGAGTTGTGTGTGGTAAGTGCTAAGATATGCTTCTACTGGGTTCTTTGAGTCTGTCTCTTTGTATACTTTGTCACGGGCTGGTGATCTTTTGAATTTATATTCTTGTTCTCCTGTAGGGGATATTTCACCCTTCTCCATGAGATATTGTGCTTCAATTCTTGGGGAAAAAAACCGTTGGTTATAAATGTACCCATTCCTTTGAATGATGTACCCATGTAGTAGATTCAATGGTCCTGCTGGGTTAATCACTAGATCTTGCTTCTCTCCAACTGGAATTTTATGAACATTATGGATTTCTTCCATTGAAACCCTTGAGAAAATACTCTGCACCATCATTAGGTTAAGAAGTATCTTATTGATCATTATTTTCAAACTGAAAAAACATTTTCTTTTTGACGGGTGTGATTTCTGTCTTTTCATTATAATTAATTAACCGTTATTCATTCATATATAACCCTATATTTGGGGTATTTTCTTATAGGTCACTTTCCTTCATAACTATCCAGTAATTTAAACAGTTATGCATTATAACTGGTTTGATAAATCATCCAATCTCCATGATAATTCATTCATGTTTAGTAGACCAATTACTATCTTCCATCCTGGTTCTCCTGTAGAGTGATTTTTGCATCGTCTGGGTTGCATCTGATGATATGGAAATTCTTGCCAGAAGAAATAACAGAATTATCTTTACACATTCAATACGATCAATCTATACGTTATTTTTGATATAACCATATATGGCCATATAGTCTGAAACCATCTGCTTCCCTGGGTATACGCACTAAACCACTCATAGGCAGTGAAATTTCAGCTGGAAAATATTCTCCAAATATAACCTGAATATAACCTGAGTACTTTTGTCTTCTATCAAGAATTTAGTGCATGAAATTCCAAATAATTCACATCCTATAAAAATACGTTATTTAATATTTCCATAACAGATCAATTAATAACTGAAATAACCAAACAAAAAGACTATTACATAATTAATAGAAAGACAGTTAAATGCCTTTATATCTAGGCGTATGATTTTCCTGACTAAAATATTCTTTCCTTCCTGGATATACATCCATATATTATTGGTTTATTCTGTATATATTCTCTTTTCTTTTTTCTTTTTATTTCATGAAGCACTCTGTCTCTATTATTTGCACAAATGAATCTTCTGTCACGCACGATGGAAATATTCTATTCAGCAAGGACTCTTTCTCCTTTTCTTCTGAGCACTTTTCCATGGTATTTTATGTCTCTAATATAGAATATATCTTGTACGATGATAATATATCTATAAATATGTATAAAGATCCAGTAGAATACACAATATTACTGAAAACCACGGAAAATAGCATTAAAAATGGGATAAATTCAGTAATAAGGCAGTGGTTATGTGATAAGAGCGTATGTGACTTGGAATATGTGTATAACAAAGGGATTCCAGAAGACCTTATTACTGGCTGGCTGCTAGACAAAAGATTCATGACAAAACTCAAAGAGCAACAGGAGACCCTTCTAGCCCCAAATAAATCCTTGAAGGAAGCACTAAGAATAGTTGCAAAATTGGATGACCCAGAAATTATCTTGGAATTAGCCAGAAATATATACACAATAGGGAAGATATTCTGCATGGAAGATGAAATGTATGCTAGTATGTGTGATACGTCTTCTCTCTTAGTGAATCGACTGAAATGGCTGCAAAAATACTTTTATAACATATTAATGGGAAGAGTAAATATTCCTGCACTAGAAAGCCTTTTAGAAGAAGAAAAAGGAAAGATCCTTCTGGAACTGCCAGAAATCCCATCAAAATCACAAATTATCACATTATTTGAAGAAATCAATGATTTCCAAGTGATAAAATCATTTATCCAAAGATTAAGCAAAAATAATCCCTTCAGAAATATAAAAGAGATAGATTCCACAGATATACCTATTTTATATTACATCTCCATTTACGACCAAAAAATATTCTCAGAAATAATCATGACAGAAGGACTTCTTCTTAAAGTACTCTCATTTATACAACAAGATACAGCAGAAGACATAAATATACAACTGTACATGGGGAAACTACTTACACAATGCATAATATCCCCAGAAATTAAAATATATTTCACCCTGCCTGATTTAATCAGCAGAGTCTTTGAAGTACCAGGAGAGAAGAAAGTGCACCTGGAAAATAACCAAGCCAGAGTCTGGTCAGACCACATCCTGGGAATATTCCAGATGGAAATATTATTGGAAATGGTCAAATCATGCAGTGCACCCATTAAAGTGTACATTATCACATCAGGCATACTTCTCTCCCTGGTGGATGGAATTAAATTTGGCACTCCCAGGTTTAAATTCCTGGCATGCGAAATATTCCATGAAATCCTGCAAGGAAAAGAGAAGACACTGATTAACTATATGCAGAGAGTAAATTTAAATAGTAAAATACAACAAGAACTCAATGAAATATCAGGAAGACACACAGCATACACACCAATTATCAGGAAAATAACAGAATTATTAAGGAGTGTATGAATATAAGGATATAGTAGTGTATAAGGACATAAGAGTAGGTTTATTGTGGGTTGAAGGATATTTAGTAGAGTATATAGTAGTATAGACTAATTATAACAGGAATATACTATTATAGACTAATTACAACAGGAATATACTAGTATAGACCAATTATAACAGTATAGACTAATTACAACAGAGTATACTAGAGTACAACAGGAATATACTAGTATAGACTAATTACAACAGAGTATACTAGAGTACAACAGTATAGACCAATTACACCATAAATATACTAGAATACACTAATTACAACAGTATTCCCCACTTCCTCTATATACTCCACCTATATACCCTACACTCCTGCTTTTTTCATGATCTTTAATGATTCCTGTGCTGTTAGTCTTCTTTTTGGGTGAATTTTCATCATGCCTGTGATTAACTTGAATAGTGTAGGGTTATATTCCTTGAACATCTCCGGTATTTTTGACTCTTCACCCTTCCGGAATACAACAGGATTTAAGCCAGAATCTGAAATATGGTCTAAGAATATAGATGTGTCTATCTCACCACACACTAGTCCTATGGCATTCATCTGGTCTACATCAGAGCCCTCCATGAATAAAGGTCTCTTCCAAAGCATCTCTGCAATTACGCACCCAAGTGCCCATATATCCACAGATGCATCATATCTTGTTGCGCACATAAGTAATTCTGGTGGTCTGTACCATCTGGTCACTACGCCTTGCGTCATACTTATCTTGCTTAGTGTCCTGGACAGACCAAAGTCAGCAATTTTCACGCACTTATTGCTTAGCACCAGAATATTAGAGGGTTTTATATCCCTGTGAATTACGTGCCTGCTGTGCATGTACTGAAGACCTTTTAGAATCTGCTTCGCATAAGAAAGAATTTCCTCCTGTGAGAGAGTCTTTTCCTTCATGACCTTTGCTAGATCCATCCTGGCATACGGGAAGACCAAGAATATACTGTATGAAGACCTGTTTAAATTATGGACTTCTTCATGGTCTTTCACAAAGGTATCCAAGACCTTTATTAAATTCCTATGGGAAAGTGCCTTTAATATGGATATCTCACGGATTAATTCCACAGGTACCCCATTCTGCTGCTTCTCCAATTTTATCTTCTTCATGGCCACCCTTTTATTCTTAATTAAATCCACAGCAGAATAAACCTTCCCAAAAGTACCCTCCCCAATTTTCTTCTGAATTTTATATCTGCTCTCGTGCTGGGTATTTTTCATGCGTATCTAAAAATGTTTTGCTAAAATGCAGCTTAATTTAAGAGGCACTAATTCCTGTTAAAATATAACTAAGAGAAAAAATTTACAAGAATGAAGTGCCAACTAGCTGCAGAACCCATGAAAAGAACTGAGTATTTTGCGACACTGTGCAAGCTAGTGCACTTAAGCCCAAAGAACCCTATGCCCCTCACGGAAATAGTTGAACTCTACAAGAAAGGCAGTCTCTCAGGGAGCATAAATTACTACAGAGCAATTCTTAAGAGAAGAAGGATTGTTTATGCTTCAATTAAGGCAAGTATACAGGAGACACTTAAAAATACTTCTGTACCATGTGATAAAATAAGTATATATGAAGAGTTATACAGTGCCAGCCTAGTGACAGACCAAGAAATACTTGAAATATTTAGGGAATTCTCGCAGGTGCACCCGAATGAGATGTTCTCTGCCTTGGAAGACCCAGATAGTTTCCTGTTGAAAATATGCCGTCTTATAAGGACAGATTTCTCAGAGAGTGTTTGTGTAATATCCAGGACCATGCTAGAGTGTAATATGCACATGCTCCTGGAATATATCAGTAAAAGAGAGCACTCTAAGACACTAAAGTACTTGATCAAGGATATTGAAGGAATGGGGTACCTTAAGGAGAATATTCTAATTAGTCTAGTGGAAGGCGTTGATACTTTGGAGGGAATTAAGGATATGCTTAACAAGGTGATAACCCTGCATATAAGCCTGACTAAAATCGATTTTACATTAGTCCTTCTAACACCCATCATGGAGCACATTAAGGAAAGACTCTCTGAGAGACTAAATTCCTGTGGGAGTGACTTGGCAGCAGAGGTTCTGTTTGGGATTATTTCCAGCAGAGGAAGGGAACTAGTTGAAAATGTACAGGAAATTGGAAGGGATAAGGGCAAGAGTAAAGTGCAATTACAAGGAGACGTACTGGATTTCTTGCTGTCACTGCTGCCATACGACAGTGTAATACACACACTAGCACTAAGTATATCTAGAGACTGCATTTTATACAGGTCTGACAGGAATGAACTAATTCGCATACTGGAAGGCAAATTAGGGTTCTACAGGGCATCCAGCATAGGAATCATAAAAAGAGACTTTGAATATTTCTGTGGAATTAAAGTTAGTGAGGCAGATGTATTTGAAGATGTCCTTAAGGGAACATGCATTCCCAGAGAAGTATTTCTAGGGGGAACTGTGCAGATTGAGAATTTTATTGTCTCAGAGCATTACTGGCCGGAGAATAATTATCAGTCATGGGATGACTTATTAGGCGGGGCAGGTGCATGGGGGGATAAGCAAGGGGTGAAGAATAATTTGAATGAACAAATTTCATTGGAATATTCTGACAAGCATACGTACCTGGATGTGAGTGTAGAGGTGGGTGGGAAGGTGGTTGATTTATCAGTTCCCATACGGTATGTGGAATATTTGTATAGCCAGGATATGCCGCAGGATGAGATAAATATTATCAAGGAGTTTTGGGCGCATGTCATGCAGGCGTAGTGCGTGTAGATTAATAAATTCAGGTGGTTTAGTAGTTTTATGGGATATATTTATGGCATAATAGTGGATTATTATTTGTTACTAAGTTCGTGACAAAGGTATTATTCTGTATATATTTGTAGGTTATTATTGAAGTATTTACGAGTAAATTTAGTGAAATAAACCATATTACGTTGTATTTTGGTGTACTTTGGTGTATTTTGGCTCACTTACTATCTATTGGGATATAACCCTTTATAGCCCGAGGTGGGTAAATATGTATTCTTACTGAATGAAATTTATCTAATTCTTGTGCGCATTGTATATGTAATATATGTGTGGTGATAGAATGTTATCTCGTGGATGGGTTCTGGGTGCATTATAAATGTGCAACTTCTTCTATTTTACCTCTTCAAATTTATAAAAATAAACTCTACAGGAGCAAATATATCTCACTTTAAGGGGCATATGGGTTTAATATTTGCAAAAAAAGAATAAAACATTTCTGCATGGAAGTATCCGAGTTAAATCGGATGGGTTTATTAATTAGCTCAATTAAATCTAGTAGTGACTCTATCTGAGTAGATATGAGTTGGCATGGAAGACACAATTATAGCATATTTCTGTCTGTTTCTATCTAAGATAGTTTGAATAAAGTGAATTCTTATCGTGAAACTGTAGAAATATGCACATCTCACAGGAATGCATCTATTATTCTAGATACGCCAGGTATGCCTGAATATCCTACAAATCTACAGCGCAAAGTGCCTCTTATAAAATCAGCCAAAATTACTCCTTTCTCTTGACAAACGGACACTCACTCAGGCAAAACTTCTCCACCTGCGAGATCTGCTCATTTGTCAGAGGAGTGAACAGAAGTGACGGCTCTGATATTTCGTGGTCGTGCAGTAGCTCCTCCGTGAATGTGCTTTGCAGCATCTGTTTCCCAGGCACCTGTAAAATATCAATCAATTTCTGCGCCTCTGCAGGAACCACTGGAAGCATCATCCTTCCCATAAGAAGAAGAATATTCGCAGCAGATGACATCCTGACCCCAAGCTCATCTTTGTCCACCTTCTCCTCAAATGCCTTCTGTATGTACGCATTCCCAATTGATGCGACAGAAATAATGCACTCAATTGACTGCCTAATTTCAGTTGCCTCCATGTGGTGTATGTACTTGATCAAGGCGTCATTCAGAGACTCAACCACGGCATCAGGTAGTTTTGGGGAATTAAGCCGCTTACTCAGTCGTTTACTAATGAACGACAGTATTCTGTGGCACAGGTTTCCAATTGTATTTATCAGCACGGCATTCAAGGACTCATGGAACTCCCTCCACGAAAAGTCTGAGTCGCCTGTCTCTGGTCTGCGCCGCATCAAGTGGAATCTCCATATGCCAGCTGGCCCTATGGCATCATTCAGTAAATTGTGCCCAAATATTCCTCTGTTGTGGGACTTGCTGAACTTGTCTCCTTCGTATGTCAGATAGTGCGTGGATGAAATCATCTTTGGATATTTCTTGACAGAGTCGCACTTTAAGAGCATAGCAGGAAAGAATACGCTATGGAAGAAGACATTGTCCTTTCCCATGAACTGGTACAGTTCTACCTCCGGGTCAGACCACCAAGAAATCTTCCCAATTAAATCTGTGAATGTAATATACCCAATGGGCGCATCAAACCACACGTAAAGGACTTTTCCTTCGTACTCTGCAAGCGGCACAGGCACACCCCACTTGTGCTTTAGGTCTCTGGTTATGCACCTGGGAATAAGCTCTTTTGCCTTCCACTCGCATGCAATTTGTTTTGCTGCAGGTGACCATCTTAGTGCGTGGCTGTCAATTAGCTCGTGTACTTCACTCTGCACTTTATCCAGGCAGTAGAACAGGTGCTTTGTGTTTCTTTTTTCCGGTGTACTTTTGCAGGTTGAGCAGATAGGCTCCAGAATCTCGTCATTTGCCAAGACGCATCCGCATGCATCGCACTGGTCTCCTCTGGCGTGCGGTGACTTGCATAATGCACAGACACCATTTATGTACCTGTCAGCCAGAAACATGCTGCATTTCTCACAGAAGAATCTTAGTTCTTCCTTTTCAATGAAGCCATCATTCTTCCACATCTCTGTGAAGAGCTTCTGCGTGACTTCTTTGTGTCTCTCGCAGGAAGTTCTTCCAAAGACATCGCATTCTATCTGGAACCAGTCGTATACTTCTTTGTGCTTTTTGCTGTTATCTGCACAGAGCTCTGCTGGCGTCTTCCCTTCTTTATCTGCTGATACTTCTGATGCTGTGCCGTACTCATCTGTCCCGCAGATATATACGGTCTCATTTCCTCGCATTTTCGAGTATCTGTTGTACACATCTGCACTTAGCAAGGCCCCCACCACATTTCCTAAATGGGGCAGATTATTCACGTACGGGAGTGCTGCAGTTATTATTTGTTTTTTCCCTGAGGTCTCTGCCATAATAAAAATTTAAATTCATGCTTATTAGATTTATAGTTTATTACAGCGCACCCAGTTGGTCTGGCTGTTCTTCTAAAGAATGTGCTTTCATAGCTCAGTTGGTTAGAGCATCGGACTAATAACCCGAAGGCCCCAGGTTCGAGCCCTGGTGAAAGCATCTTTTTTATTTTTTTGCAAACTCCAACGGAAAATTCACTCTCTGTGGGGCTGAAACATCTTACAGGAAAATGTCTTCTGGAAAGTGAAAATGCACGTGCATGCATATACTACTGTGGCTTATAGACTAAATGGGCTATTTATATGCACACTTTCACTGCATGAAGTAAATATACGAAAATTCATCTGTGAATGCTTCTTTATTCTTTGCTCTTAAAAAACCTCTCTACGCACTCTCTTTCCATTGCATTTCCGTGCACAGAGGGAATAATTATTGAGTGAAGTGGCGATCCGAACTCTTTTTCCTTTAGCTCGCTGAGTGTTCCGTATGTGAATCTTTCTGTACTTTGCCCAAGTCTCTCTATTCCTACTATTTTTATGCTATTTATTTCTGGCACACCGCTCTTCATGGCTGCCTCTTCTATCTGTGCAATTGCCTCTGGGATTGTCATAAAGCGGTTGTACCTGACATTCTCCTGTCCTAGCAGAGTGGCAATTGTTGGCTCGTTTATTTTTATGTCCAGCAGACAGAGCGTGTGCAGCCCATTTTCGAAATTCACCATAATATTCTTTAAGAAGTCGTACGGCCTCCAGTTGTCAATGAAAAAGGGAATCGAAACTGTCCTTCCAAATCCGTAGGAATTAAAGCCGCAGCAGCCCATTGCGCTTTGTATCGATGAATTATGCAGGACCTGGATCCCTATCTTTAGCTCCTGCGCGCGAATCAGAAGCTCTGTGTGGGTTGTTGCAAACAAAGGAGTCCCAACAACCAAAAGAACCACTTCCTTCTCCATGGCTTCAGTGATTATCAGAGGATCACCTCCATCTGATCCTTCAATATCTTCTCTATACGCATACTTTATTTCTCTTCCCAGAATACTTTCAATTTCTGTTTCATCCAGTACTATGCTGGTGTATTTCTCTAGGTACACAGAGTCTGCCTTTTTTGCTATTGCCAGGCCCTTTAAGGAAATGTCAGTTGGCTCCAGTCCTAAGCCCAGAAGTGTAAGCATTATTAAAAAATATTCAAAGAATTTCAAGCTGCACTTTCCGTGCAAGTGTCTGAATATTTCTTTTTTCTCCTATAGACTGAATCTTTGGTGAAAAGTAGAGAATTATATGCTTGCCATTCTATGTGCAGAACATGCATTATAAATAACTTAATACTTAGTCTAGTTCTGAATCGATGCATAGTGCTTTAAATACTGCATAATATTTATCTTTATGGGGTTTCTATTAGATATGTATATTCTCATTGTATATTGACATTTCTTCTATTTATTAATGTATTTGCAAAGAATATGTATGTATATGGGATTAGATTGAATTCTTGTCTAATTTGGAAGAATTCTTTGTGCTCTCCTCTGGGGATTATTAATCATTCCTTCAAGGACGAATAAAAGGCCAAGAATCTAAATTATCTAAAATGACTTGCGCGTAGATAAGCAGAAGGCCTTAGGTATATTATTCTACATCCAAAATATGAGAAGTAATTTGGGCTTAAATTTCATTTGAAATGCTTGGTTGGAGGAGGAATTTTTAGAAATATAAAAGGAGAATATCACTAATAATGTCTTCTTTTCTGACTAAACCAAGTGATGCCTTGCATAACCGGGTGAGCTAACTGGTACATTAAAACTGTTTCTGGCAGAGGAAATTCTCTAAGATAAGTTTTCCTCTTTGAAATATTAGACTTAGTCATGCTAAACTGGAATATAATTTATTTCTCGTTTTCTATATATAGTTTCTAGTGGCTGCTGCTAATCAGTGTTTTACTCACAAACACACAATCTTTGACTGCTTAATCCAAATATGTAAATATAGTAGTCTCATCACTATAAATTTTATGGATAAATAAGCAGAGCCGCTTGTAGCATGTTGGCCTACAGCCAAATCCTGGAAAGCAATGCCCAATGCCAATCTACGTTGCTGACCCAGGAAGCGGGTTTCATTCTCTTGAGGCCAGAAAAACTAACACTTTATCAACTGTAAAAAGATTTTTGTTAACATGGGTTTATTTTATGTAAATACATTTATACTTTAAGAAGGCCATATCAAATACCATATAATTTGGTTCTGGCAGCACTGTTTGCTTATTTCCCAATTTTAGCATAACTCACTCATAATTTTGAAATTAATCTGGTCTAGTTCGTCCATCCCAATTATATAGGTCAACTTCTTGATTATCTAGCATTTTGCGCCTCATAGTGTCAGCTACATCCATTGATTGTTTGTTGGTTTCGGATACATTTTCTAGTTTAGATATATTCGCATTACGGATTTTTTTATTTTCCTTCGCTGGTGGATATACACAAACGAATGTAATTAATGCTGCAATTGCAAATATTATGATAGATAGGTACGCTATGCAACTATAACAGCATTTACCTTTGACTCCTGCTGCATTCACGCAGGAAAAACCGTCTTCTGCTACGTTTACTAAATTACTTTGCATTTAAAATTTTATTAATTTTTGGTTATATATATATATAATCGGAAGATCAATTTTATTAAACTCTTCATATATATAGCTTACTTACAGAACACTTAGAAAATATTAATTTTTCAGTCAAAAAAAATAACTACAGAAAAATAAGCTAGAAAATTAGAGTCTTCTTTAAGTTAGTGGGATTTGCCATATACCTTTGAGTGTTTATTCTGCACGCATGCACATGCTCTTATATTTAGAATCTTAGATTGCCTTCTGTATTATAATAGTGGAAGAGTAGAAAAGATGAATATGCAATGCTTTCTACCAAAACTACTGGAGATATACACGCTAGACTATTAGAGATCTCGCTCTCTTAGCGCAAAGAAGCTGAACGCATACCTTTGGAGACAAGCTAACATTCATATTGTGTGTTGTATGCACAGCCCATCATCTGATGCATTGCATATTATTGTTTTCATTGTACCCCGCATAAACAGATGCAAGTGATTGGACTATTTTCCTTCATTACGAATTAGAGAATGCATAATCTGATTTGTTTAGACTAGTTCAAGAAGCAGAAAATATTTCTATTAAAACTATTTAAACAAATGTAAAATTAAATAAAGACGAAGGGTATAAATACTACAAACTATACATTAAATATTCCATCTATATAATATATTGCACCAATATATACAACATATAGTATGTTTTGCCTGTTTCTACTGTAAATTCTAAAATGCAATGGATGAATTTCTGCACAGGGTGTTCTAAATATTTAGTGTTACAGTGTATGCTGTTCATATTGATGCTCTCTTAGCCACAGTTATATGTTAGTTAATTTGTCTGCAGTGGCATCTGCTCGTTGCATGGTCTTCTAAAAGTGCATGAATTCTGATTTTCGTGTGCTTTTGATAAAAATTAGAAGAATCAAACCTTTCAGAAAAAAGATGCATCTACATATGGGTTATGTTTTCATATTCTATAGGTGGAGAAAAAAATAAAAAAAAGCATATGTAGACACAGCACAGTGTTTCTGTGAATTTAATACAGAAAAATAAATGGCAGTGGGATATAGGAGTAAAACGACATAATAACTAAGCATTCGGGCTGACGTGCCCAAAAGGGGTTTATACCATGTAAAGGAGTGGGTTATAAATAATGTTTTATTATTCTAAAGATCCTTCTTAAGAAAGCTAGGACAGGATTCTTGACAGCATGAAGCTGTTCTAAAGAGAAGTGCTAGGATTAGTCTCTGACTTTAAAATAGAATTATTATTGTTATGGAAGAGAGCAGCCATAATTTCATAATGCATTCCAAGGTTTTCCTGCTTGTAGTTAAAGGTTTTTACTGTGATAAAGACAGGAGTATTCTTTTTTATATCTTTAATATCAATGCGTGGAGGGAGAATATTATTTTCCCAATTTGCATACATAGACTTAAGCTTATCATTGATGTTTTTACTCAAAAGCCTTCGCATTTTCTCACACATAATTGGAACTGCAACTTCCACGCCATCGAAAGATCTATGATATATGCACAGACCGTAAGTGACTTTGTCACCCAATGAGCTATCACGCTGCAACATATTCAGGAACTTTGATGCAGTCTCTCTATCGCATTGGTTTACATACTTTTTCTGGATACGTGGGCCTTCAAAAATACTAAAACAGTAATTCGTATACTCGCGTATGCTTCTCTTTATCTGCGCAAACCAGCTTATAGATTTTACGCAGCCACTTTGAGATAATTTGTTTGAAGCACACATATTAAAGCATTCTTCAGTGCAGGATTCCAAGCTGTATATATTTCTAACAAAAAAATCGCTATAATAATAACTAATATAGTTTTCTTTTGACAAGGACTTATTTTCACTTGGTGCATTTTGTGGCTTCAGACTGTCTGCATCTTTATTGAAGTTGTTTTGAAAGATATTATTGCAACGAATAAGATAGTCACTAGAATAACATTTTCTAGTTGAAAAAACATATGTTGACTTATCCCACATATACGGTGCCACTATAGTACTTTTCACCATAAAGTTTGTAAGAAATATAGGGATCTTTATAGCGCCATTGGTGCCTAGAGTGTTTTGGCTTATAAAATTTGCTGCTGCAAATCTAGTTGTGTATATATTCTCTTCAAAGTAGTAGAATGGCACATCAATATCCTCTGCACTCATCTCGCCTAGAGTGCAGTCTATTTTTAGTTTCATTTTATGTGAGATTTCGGCAAGATGGTTTATTATTGCCCATGCTCTGGAACTTCTACTATAAGAAAATGCATAGACGTTAAAGTCTGAATTTCTTTCTGGATAAGTGGATTTTAGTATAGATTTTAGGTAGTCTACTATATCCCCAATTGAATGAATTTTCTTTTGTATGTAAGAAGATTCACCATCGGTACTATCTTCAGAAATATAAAAACACGGGATAGGGATGGTCTTTACTGTATGGCAGGAGTTATTAACAAACTGTATGTGGTAATGGTCGCTGTGGCCTATTTTTAAATATTCTACCATGGATTCTTTCGTGTTTATTACCTTTGAAGGCTGTGCATCTATCTTACTTCTACTGGGTTTGGGTATATGTTTGTATATCTTTGCCTGCTTCTCATATTCGTTGATTTTTAGCTGTGTAATTGCTCTTTTCCCATGCAGTCTGAAAACACCGTTTTTTGGTATGCATGGGCAGTAAGACTCAAAAATGCTTCTAATATGGGCTTCTTTGTTTTCAATATATTTTGTTATATCCGTAGCATCATTCACACAGGTAAATGGTGCACATTGGTAGAATATGCAGAATATATAATAGGTCCATCTGTACACATCCATAGTAGTGTAGTCATCTATAGGCTTGGCTTTCACAAATAGTGCTTTGACTTTTTTGTATGCCGCATCCATTTTATCTGAATCATTATTCACTAAGTAGTATAGGTACTCTATGGCGCAGAAAACCTCTCTAGCCTCTGAATCAAAAGCCTTTTCCATTTCTTGCTTTGTCTTTGATAGTATCTCGGGAGTTATCAAAATCAAGTCTCTGAGTATTTCTGGCAGCTTTAGAATAAAGTGCAGCTTTTCTTTTAGTGCTGCATCATCTATTGAGCATTCTTTCTTCATCTTCTCAGTTTTTTCGGTGATAACAGACATGCTATTGACCCACCATTTTAGATCTGTTTGGGTTTCCTCATATATTTCTCCGAGTGTCTCTGGCTTTGTTTCATATATAGAGCACATGTTGTTCTTACAGCTGTCTGTGTAGTCATATGGTGCACTAATGTGAGATATATCTATATGAGTCTCTATATATTTGTTCAAATCCTCTAAGAAGAAATGATAATAAAAGACTTTCTTTTTGTTTCTCTCTTTCTCTTTCCTTTTCACTTTCATCTTATTCATTAAGTTTTTGATGCACTCTATCTTTTCTACCAAGGAGTTATGGCGGGAGGTAGCTAAAAAGTGCCAGAATTGCAGTTCACTTTTGTAGTTCTTCTGAATAGTACACTCACATTTCGTATTTTCACTATTTGTCTCACTCTTAGTAAATCTATATGAAAAGTAATGGGGTTTATCTCTTTCTAACTTACTTTGTGCTATCTCCTTGTATGTTTCAAGACCCTTGTAGGCCTCTTTATGCTTTGAACTTCTATTGTATGTTCTTAGAGCGATGCTATTATTGATTTTTTTCGCATTCTTTGCATGCTTAGATGCAGTTGGATATTTGCAAGAAGTCCTCGGGGCACAGCACGCTCTTCTCTTGCATCTTAATTGGTTCTTTCTTGCAGCTCTCTCGAATGCACATTTTTTAAGAATTTCTGTAGACGTGTTCTTTTTACCTTGAGTAATAAATGAAATTGGAGCAATTTTACTATCTATATATACCAGACTTCCATAATAATTACTATACACATTATATAATGTATTGTTTATACAAATCTCACTACCAGTGAAGTATATATATATTTTATCTCCTTGACTATTTGCATAGAATGTTTTTTTATGCTCATTTATATAGAACTTAGAAATTACATCCTCTGCTTGCACTTCATTAACTAAAACTTCTAAATCCTCTGAATAGTACGGCACATTAGTTATGTAGTCTGATTGGTCCATGTCTTCCAAAAGAAACGGACTGCCAGATTGCTCAGTGCCATCCGAAATATCCGAATCTTCTGTGGAAGATATTCTACATGGGTTAATCATCGGGTCGTCACTGCTGTAATTCTCAACAGGCAGCATAGTATCGCCCGATCCATTCACAACTTCCATAAATTCATTATTCTTTGCAGTATTAGAATTATTACATTCAGTGTATATGGCGCACATACTAGACAGTATACTGCAGAATACTATAATAACTGTATAGATTGCGATATATTTCGTCATTTTTTTAATTTTTAATTTTTAATAAGAATATATACAGAATTTAACAATTTGATTGCATGGGCATTTAACTGTATAATTAAAACTATATTATTTTTGTGCCATAAAAGTGAAAGTACCATACGGTAAAAGTGGCAGCTAAATATACCCAAAATATTCAGAAAAGTGCTTTTGTTATTTTAGTAGAAATATCTTTTGCTTTTGCAGCTGCAGTAAGTCTATTTCAATTTTATCTCTTACAGAATAAAATCTCGCTTTATTTTAGAAAGTCATCTTGAAGTAAGAAGACTTCTTTACTAATTTTGTTGTCTTTAGTTTTCTAGTCGACAACAAAATTATTTAAAATTACTACTAAGAGACACTGACAACAATTATTTTATTCTGGAACTTATGCAGTAGATTCCAATACATCAAAAATTCTTTCTATTCTTGTCATACTACAAATATTTAAAGACTTTAAACATAAAAGCAGTCTCCATAAGACTACAGTCTTGGGAAGAATAAAATTTAAGCAGTTTCTGTCTCTTTTTACTGTTAAAGTACACCCATATCACTGCGCATATAGTTATACCAAAGAGATTAATAGGCATGTATTGCAGTGTCTTGTGGGTTTGTAGACTTAATCAAGGTGATAGTATGCAATGGCTGGATTTACAATTAAATAATACTCAGGCGCTCTTTCTAAAAGACCTTCATCTCTGCGTCTTTGATAGTATAAGAAGGCTATTATGAATAGTATAAGAATCGCAGTTGCTAAAATAAGCATAGAACATATTAATATATACGTTTTTTGCTTCCCATAGTAAATTTCTTTTACAATCCCTATGCTCTCTACTGTATTTTGCATTTTATATTTTATTCTCTCGGGTTATATATGATGGTTAGTCTTATGGAATTATTGGCATTTATGAATTATTTATAAAAGGCAGATAACATGCTCAGAAGAGAACAAAATTCCAGTCAAGAGATAGTATTTTAAACTCTGATAGGGGTAGTTGTCAAGAGTGTTCTATTTTTATATTTTACAATGTCCTTGGTTACTATGAGCTTTTGTCTTTTTATTCATGTTGGATACATCTTACTGTTACTATATGCTGCTTCTTTTAGTATAAAAACATAAGCAGAGGTGAAACAGAAAGATAAAAGCATAAATCACCCGGATCATGCACCCAGCAGAAAGTAAGGTTGTAGAAGAAGAAGAAAATCAATATATAAAGATTATTTAGATAAGTTTATTACTAAAATCAAGCAGAAAGTTGCGGCTGTATACTGCATGCAGGAACACTTGGCTGAACGTTGCGCTTACACCTTACAGTAGAGTTCCTGATAAGATTAAATGCAGATGCCAATGCTTGCTCAAGCCGACCAAGGGAATCCCCATATATCCCGTAGAGCTTGTTTTGCGTATTTCCAAATCTAGCATTAATCAGAGCTTGTTCATCATTTGGCATTTGACTGTAAAGAGGTGCTGAGATGGCTGATTTAGAGAGTAAACACATTAGATCATTATTCTGGGTCTTCTGGTAAAGCATCTGTGAAAGTGCGTTTGGGTCAATTCCAATGTACGAAGAGACACTAGGAGAGACAAGCAGCTGCTTTATAGCATTGAACGAACTGTTTCCAAGTGAAATGTTTCCAGCCAGCTGCAGACCTTGTGAAGATGAGATTCCATCGAAGGCACCAGTTGACATTCCTGTCTGAAGGCCTAGCATAGGGTTGCACACACTAATACTTGACTTCATTCTGTCACCAAACATTCTGTCCCTGACACGTGCTTCAATTTCACTCTTGCTTGCTTCAATTTGCATTGTCAGCCTCTTTATCATTTCAGTCTGCTGGACAGCTTCCATGCGAAGTGCTTCCATCTGCTCGTTGCTCACAAGACTCTCCTGACTTTGGAACATTGACTGTCCTTGTGTCAAATATCTGATAATATCGGTCACATTCATTGTAGTAGGCAGATTTCCTTGGACACGAGACATAATGGAGTTGACTGCAGGAGATCCCAGAGGGAACATAGAACCCATTCCCATATTGGGCATACCAGAGAGACCTGGCATGTTTGGGACTCTTTGCAGCTCTGCACCTTTAATCTGCAGACGTATAAGAAGACCTTGCATAGACTCTGGAGACATAGCACCCATGTGGACAAGAGTCTGCTGCACCTGCTGTGGAGACAGTAGGCTAGTCAGGACTCTTATCTGAGTAGCAGAAAGTGCCTTGGAGAGAACTTGGATCTGCGAACTAGTCAGGATCTGGGCAACTGCTTTGTTTAAGTTGATGGTTTCCTGCGGAGTAATTGCCTGCTGTGGATTGGCAATTTGCATAGCAAATATTGCAGACTGCTGAGCGCATGCTGCCAGTTTTGCTGCTTTAAATTGTCCAACAGCCTTTGCGAATTTCTGTGCGCGGGCTGAGTGCTTGCTGAAGGTTTTCTTGCTCCTGGAGGCAGATTTCTTGTAGGATTGCGCCATCTTCTTGTTGTTCTGAGCACTTGCCCTCTTTGCCATAGCAGCGTAGGTTGATGCTGCCTGTGCTGCCTTTGCGGCCTTCTGGCTGGACTTGATTGCTGCGCTTCTGGCTGCTTGCTCTCTGGCTGCGGCTGTTGCCACTCCCTGTGAGGTTGCCCCGTTCTTCATGAATTTCCTGGATGCTCTTCTTTCTATCCGCCTGGTGCGAATGATCTTTGATATCCTTCTGCTCAACCATTTGGTAGATGACCTTGACGACTTTACACCGTATGCGGAATACTTCTGACTCTGGTACATTCTTCCGTGCGTACTGAATAAGGCATGCTGCATGGTCATTCCCATCAAAGAGTGCTTTATCTCACGGGTTGCATATTCCGAAGAAGACACGCCCTTGTAGTGAGACTCGTTGCTTTGGTGGGCAGATATGATAGCAGCAGCTCCATTTTGCGTGAAAGACTCTGAGGCAGCCTTGCGAGAGCTTTGTTCAAAGACCGATACAGAAGCAGAAGCAGAGGCAGAAGAAGATTCGCTCTTACTTGTAATAATTGCTTCAATTGCCACATTCTTCTTCATTGAGTCAGAGTACCATGCGGAACCAGAAGATTCAGAGATACTTCCTTCGATTAGCACGCCACTCTTTGAGCCCTTTGCAGCAGCCTTAAACTCTACAGATGCTTCACCACTTGCAGACCTTCCACTGTGCTCCTGAATTAGATTCTTGTTGTATTCATCCTCTTGGAGTGCTCTTGCCTTCTTTTCAACCTTTTCTGCTCGTTTCATGTACTTTTTCCTCTCATGCGGGTGTGTTATGCCTGCTAAAGCTGCTTTTTCTCTGAGTCTACGCGCATTTTTAAAGAGACTGGCTATTGTTTGTCTAGCCTTCTTTGGTTTGCTAGTAGAGTGCTTGCTGGGGGAGTCACTGGAAGAGTCTCCGTCCTCGTGGCCACGCTCTCTGCTGGAAGAACTGCTTGGTCTGGAGGAGCTGCTGTCTGAAGATTCGGGCTCATTGCTGTCTGAGTCTGAGTCACTGCTGAAAGATGCAAGTTCTTCACTCTCTTCACTGTCTTGAGATTCTTCTTCAAAACCGTACTTATTGAAGGTGTGTGTGAATGGGTTTGCGATCTCACCAGTTGTAAACTTCTGCACTGTATTTGCAACTTCAGCACTGTCTGCTTCACTGTATGCGGATGTACTCAAGATAAGAATTGCCTTTTCCATGTCAATTCTCTTTGCAGAGTGCAAAGACACTCCGAACCCTTCAGATGTCACTAGTATCTGACTGACAATAGGAATGGATGGATTAGGCAGTGCAACTATACCTCCATAGAATGGAATGTAGTAGACTGTTTTGTTGTCTCTGTCGCGCAACTTAGTGAACACAGATGTATTTAGCTTAAGCTTCTTCAAGAAGAGAACGTACTCTTCAGAGTAAATAATCTTTCCTATGCTTATGCTCAGGGCAATGGCTGTCTTTGGGATGTAGAAGAACATGTTTACAGTGTAAAGAATATTTAGACCATTATCCAATCCGTATACACTTCCCTTTCCTTCTAATGTACTCATAAGGTAGTCCTTTCTGTCCTGTGCGTATACTTCTGATGAAGTGACAGTGACATTTGAGACAAGATTCTTTAGGGGCAAGTCGATTGAAAGGAATGACAGAAGAAGATATGAATCATCATCTCCAATTGAGAACAAAACACCAAGGGCCTCGTCCTTTGTAGGGCCATTTCCGTATCCTGTGGCAGGGCCATTGAAAACTCCCATTAAGGATGCAGCATCTTTTGATACAGGCATTTTCCCAAGGCGTGGTGGAAGGAGTGGATTTTGGCCGACAGGAATAGAACCTTCACTGGGTCTTTCAGGATCGAAAGGAGCAGGTGCCCCATGCGGTGGGCCAGAAGGTTGGGCGGAGTCTTCGTCATCTCTGAGAATTGGAGGGTGAGCTGATTCTGGTGAAGCATCATTAGCTGATGAGCATACGCCGTTAAAACACATTTTGTGCTCAGAGTCTTGTATTTCTTCAACTGAAGTGGCCCATGCAGGAATGACTTCCTTGTCGTGTGCGTCGTATTGTGAGAGTGTGCTAGCAGGGTCATATGGGGATGTGCTGCCAGGACCATCTTCGTATTGGATTAAACTACTGTCTTGTAGCCCACCAGAAACTGCAGGATTCATGTGTTCTGCGTGGACTGCGCCTGAGTAAAGTGCAAATATTGCTAGTATTCCTTTTCTCTTTGCTTTAATCATGCAAAGGTAAGTGCTTTTCCTATAAAACCTTACATGTAAAACATGTCTGAGAAAGTGTTTTGCAGTCTGCCAAGGATCCAGAAATATTCCCTTGTGTTTGGTCTTAGGGAAAGTGTTTGGTCCGCGGGGGGGTCTGAGAGACTAAAAATAAAACAATGTTTCACACAGATCAATCAGACCAATCCATCGGTTATTCAGACCATACAGGATGTGTACCCGTAATTGTGCCTATCTTTATCTATTTCTGGTTAATTGTGGTTAATTGTGGTTATTTCTGTCTTAATTATGGTTATTACAGCATAATTTAGTCATAAATTTATACAGAAAGGAAAAGGCCCTGATATATCAAGATATATATTCCTAAATATGTGAATATAGTTTGTCTACTGTGGCTAATTTGTGCTTTGTGACTAGTTTGTGTCCTCTATGACTAATTTCCTTCTCTGAATATAATTTCCTTCTCTAAATAACTTGTGTACTAGTGCATGCCTTTATGTGGGTTCTATGACTAATTTCCTTCGCTGAATATAATTTCCTTCTATGAATAATTTCCCTTCTCTAAATATAATTTGTCTGCTAGTGCGACTGCAATAGAATATTCTCAGGAATAAAAATACAAGATGAATACGTTACAACAATTTTTATTATGGAAGCACAGAAGAAGACTCCTTCCACTTGCATATGGAGTCTGGGGAAAATACTTTCACTTCTCCTTGGCCGTATCCTACAGCAACAGAGTGGTCCAGTCTGCTCCAGGCAATCTTCCTGCAGGGCGTGCCTATAACGTGCTTATCAACTGTAAACTCCAAAGAGCCAACTTTCTCTTCAGTGAATAGGCAAAGGGTCCCGTCATCTGAGCAACTTGCAATTACAAAGACGTCAAAGGGATTCTCGCATATCCGGCAGTCACGAATTGCCTTGGAGTGTTCTTTTAGCTCTGCAACCAGGGATTGATCTTCTTCCTTCCAGATTTTTATGACTGAGTCCATGCCTGCACTGACTATGTAGTTCTTATAGACGGATATTCCAGTGACACCGTGCTTATGCGCAAACCATTCTGCTGCTACCTCGCCAGACAAAGAGACCTTTCGGATTCTTCCATCTGAGCATCCGCACACAACAGATCCTTTGCACTCATAAATTGTATTTATGCATCCTTGGAAGACAGTTATGGCAGACTCAAAAACGTATTCTGTCTGATTTAGTCTCCAAACCAGCAGGTGGCCATCGTGCGTGCCTGCCACTATTCTGTCGTCCATGAAAAGAGTGGAGAATATAGGAGAAGAACCGTGTGCCAGGTTCTGAATTGGCAGAACCCCATCTTCTTCTATTTTATATACTGTGATATTTCCATTTTCTGTGCCTGCGCATACTACGCTTCCTTTATCGTTGCATTGCAGGCTGCAGATGAGTGCTTCAGCTGTGCGTGTTTCAATACTCATAATAAATAAAAAAATAGAAGATTTATCCTTTAAATTCGAGAGAAATGGATATCCACAGAATAATATATACCAACTACTGTGAGAAGAATAAATAAGAGGGAATTACTCATGGATACAGTATATTTAATAAGAGACAATATAACCTAATAAAACCCGAATATTTTCATATGAAATATTCTGTATCACATAAAAACACAACACATTAATAAGTGCACACAATTGGATCACTAGTATAATAAATCACTCTAATATAATTATGCCCTAATATAATTATGTCCTAATAGAAGGGTTTTTCATATTTAATTTCTTCATGAAAATATAAAATATTTATTGCTTATATAATATAAGGCAGAAGAGGATCTGTTATAGAACTATTTTCAGAAGAATTTGTACTATTATTACTCATATTACTACTAATATTGGTCATATTACTACTATTACGATTATTTTCATATATAGTACTTCTGGAAGTGCAATTTGGAATATTTTCTAGGGTTCTACTATTCCTGCATATATCACTTGTCTTGCTACTACTGCTAGGCTTATTATCATGGCTTATTGATTCTTGCTTATTTTCTGCTTTATTTGCAGTATTCTTGCCTGCTGAAATAGGCGTTTTATTAATTTCTTCTGGATTATTGGTATGACAATCTGAATCATTTACGTCACTATCATTATACTCTGCTGCATCTTTATTTGTGCACTCATGTGTATCTGGCAGTGTATATTCAGGTACCTTTGGGTTTTTTGTTTTACTTGAAATTATAAATGCCCCAAATATGCTCTCTGGGCTTGTTAATAGGCTTAGGGGAAACATAAAAACTGAACACTTTTTAAATTCCTTGACTAAAGAATCGATGCAGCTAGTGCATGTATCAGTTAAATTAAATCTACTAGCTGAATCTGATGTGACTAGTGTCCATGATATGACAGTGTATTCTTGTTTGTTGTAGAATTGCAGTATCATGTAGATCATGTCACTTGGATTACTGAATTTGCAAGTGATAATTTGTATATGACGGGGTCTATTCTGGTTAATGTACTGTATTAGTACGGTATCCTTAATACAAGTATTAATTTGTATGGGATTTGGTTGGTCTCTTCTAGTTCTGTAGGAATTCTTTCTAGTCACGTACGTACCCTGTAAGTTGTTACTGAGTCTATTTCTTTCCGAAACTATTGCAGGTGCAATATTAGATAGACTTGGACTATTTGGGTAGATATTAGTATAAAAGACAGGTGAAACTGGGGTTCTTAGAAGGGTTTTATGAATATTCGGGTTATTTTGGAAAACATTCGGGTTTAAATCAGGCGGATTCAAGTGATTTGTGCTAGAATTAGGGTAGTATCCATTCTGTACGCCATTCATACATGGCATATTTTGCTGCAAACTGCATATTTTCATGTGCTCCATTATCATATTCTTCTCGTACATGACAATGGGATTTTCTGTCGGAATGTTTTCTGGAATTTGTTGCTTAGAAGGGACTAAGCCACTCTGTACACTCTTATTGCGCAATCCATTATTTCTTGCAGGCCGATTCAAGTTGACTTCTTGGACATAATAATGAAGAAGATTTGGGTCTAAGCTGTTCACCACAGGGGGCTGCATGACTGCAGATTCAGCAGGTGCAATCTGAGTGTATTGTACGCTTGTTTGGCCTGGTATAATCATCGGCTGGTACTGCACACCTGGCACTTTCTCGAATGAATTCGGGTTATAATCTACTGCAGGAATTACCTGTCCATTATGCAGTGGATTATACTCAGCTGCATTCCGTGTGTAAAACATGTTCTGTAGAGTTGCATTTGGATCTGGCTGCTGCATGCAGGAATCTAATAGAGATTGGTTTCTTATTATAACGTACGCTGATACGTGACTTAATAATGCATTACACTCAGATACATTCAGGACTTTAACTAGATTCATAATGTAGTTAGTGGCAGTCTGTCTTACACTGAATAATTCAAGATTATTTTGTTCATCCAGTGAGATATTCGGGTTATAAGGGACATAAGGATATTCTGGAATTGCAGTTGATGCAACTGTCATAATACTTATTAGCAGAATAGACAGATATGCGCTTATTCTTTTCATTATTAATTAAAGATAAAATAAATTTATCTTATAACCCGTATAATCAACGTATAAGAATATTCTAGCCGGAAAGTATTACAAAAACAAGAAGACCAGAAATATTTCCAGAAGGAAATTTCATAATAAAGGCAGAGATTCATGAAGAAAGTGAAAGAAAATACGAAGAAAAGACTGAAAGATAGAAAAAGGTGAGAGCTAGTAGAAGACAAAAAAGAAGACGAAAAATAGAACATAGAAGAATAGACTAAAAAATAACCCAGTCACAAAGAAGTAGAATTAATGCAGTATAAGAATAATATAAAGGAAGGAATACTCCTTCTAGTCTGCATTCCTGTGAAAAGTATTTTTGTAGTAAAATCTCACATAATTATTCTGAGACCGCAAGAGTCCATATCCCAGATGGAAAATAATTTAACTCTCAGGATATTCTTCATACACTAGAAGGGCACTAGATATAACCCAAATGAAAATATTAATAGAAGGCAGCAAGTGTTCACTAACAGATATAACCCGAAAAGACACTTCCAAAAATATAAAAATAACACTCTTGACAACCATCCAATATACACTATCTACTATCCAATATAAACTATCTTGTTATAGACTAATATTCTTCTCAGTGAAATATTACTTATTTTTGTGCCTGTTGAATAAAATAGTAGTGTGGTAGAAATCCCTTGCAAATTATAAGAGTATATTAAGGGGTGACTTTTATTATAGATTCATCTATATGATATCTTATTTAAGATGAGATACCAGAATTCTTGTTAAATTTATAACTAATCTTATTGCTTATCTATTAATTATACCCTGTTAATTATTGTTAGATTATTTTCTTGGTTTAGGCTCACCTGAGTACAAAGATACCCTAATAGGATCTATATTATTATCTTCACTTTTGGAGACTCTTGTGTTTATGGCTGAAGCCTGGAAGGGTTCTGCGTCTGCTCTTAAAGGTGAGACCTTTTTCTTCTGTTCTGGAATATTTCTCCTAGGGGGAAATGGCCTATAATAACGCATTCCTGGGTGCGGGGCATTTAAAGCATACGGGGCAGCTGTAAAACCTGGAAATATAAAGACAGGCGGACCATACATCTGATTGGAAGGTGTTTGAGGAAAAGACCAATTTGAGTAGTACGCTTGATTTTGCGCAGTTATAACGGAAGGATTAGAATAGTTATTTGTTTGTTTTTTAGCAGAAGGCACAAAAGACCAATTTGGATCATGCGTCTGTCTTTGTGATGACGGCAATGGCGGCATAGGAGGGCCACTTGGTTGTTTTTGCGTATGAGAAATAGAAAAAACACTTGCTTGGTTTTGTGTAGAAGGCAATGGTGGCATAGGTGGACCACTTGCTTGGTTTTGCGATGAAGGCAATGGTGGCATAGAAGATGCTCGCGTTTGTTTCTGTGAATTTTGCAAGGGAGGCGTAGAAGGGTTGTACGCTTGGTTTCGGATAACAGGAGAACCTGCAAGACCAGGGGGTGGATTATTGCGCATATACGATTTCATGCATTGCGCATTACTGGAATCTGAATTATTTGATGGCGCACACCCGTGAGCTAAACTCTCGTTATTTTCAGGTAAATTTTTATCTGGTGAAGACCTAGACATATTTTCCTTTAAGTAGTAGCAATATGGATCACTGCAATAAAAATTTGTAGGTGGGTTAGGGTGGCCATACCACGATGTCCCTGGTATATAATCATTCTCAGGTGGTTCCCTGGGACTTTCACTATCACAAGATAATTCGTACTTTTTCAGAGTATTCCAGTCGTGTATTCCGGAATCATTTCTATCCTGTGCATTTTTATTTGAACTATTCTCAGGGACTGTCTTTTCCGAATTATTTGTAATACTAGTGTGCATTGAATTATTTTCATTCCGTTCCCATGTGTATGTGGGCTTAGAGGATTCTTTATGAGACTTCATATAAGAATATTTTGGAAGATAAATCCTTGTAGCCGCCTGGTTTCCATTGATATTCATATTAAGGAAATTATCACGTGTTTTAATATTAATATGTTCAACTAAATCAGGTGTCTTTCTGCTGGAATTAATTGTCATGGAGTCTAGTATGCTTTCATCTGAAAAAAATATCCAAATTGTATGAACTACGCTTGGGTCTTCTGGGGACTCATATTCTATTGAAATGGGGTTGCTGGATGGATCGTACGTTGTTATTGTTTTGGATGGATTTGGGGGTGTGAGTGTCCCAGGATTTTTCCATGGGGATTCTTCTGGATTATTCCCGTAGTTCATTGAATTTCTATGGAAATTATGCATCTCAATATAATCTATGGCACTTTGGCTGGGATTATATATATGTCTGGTTTCTTGTGTTTGTTGTTCTATTTGGCTTGCATGCACTAGGGTTAGTAGAAGGAGCATAATATTAAGACCATCTAATCTTATCTTTTGCATCGTAACTTTCATAAATAATAAAAATTAGAAAGTATAAATAGATAAAAATTACTGGAAATATTCTTATCTCTTATCTTGTAGGGGCATGAAGCTTAATGAAATGAAGATGTTTTTTGGTTACTGTGTGATGTGTATTTGTAGTGGGATAAAGGCTGGAGTGTGCTGTGTTAAAATTCCAATGGAAATAATATCTTTTTGCTTGAAGAGCTTTTACTGTGGGAATGAAATATTTTTGACAAGCTTTCTTGGTCTAAGTCTCTTAAGGAATTGTGTATTTCTTTACACTTTTGGAGTAGATCTTGCAGTGATGAAGGCCTTCTGTATTGAAGGGGAATCCTTAGTGGTAGTTTTACTGCAGGATTAATTTTATTTTTCATGTGGTGCGTGTAGTATCCGAAAATATGAAAAAAGACATGGCTAGTATATGGGAGAAGAGTGATATAAGTGAAAAGAGTGTCTTAGTCTGCATGTACTCTCTTTTATGCTAGTGTCTTCAGACTAAAATGTATGCACTACTAGGACATTTCAAAAAAACAATTCATTGCTAAATAGTTTGCAGGAAAATATATAGCACGAGATATATTACTCTCTCTTAAGGGGCTCTTTATAGTTTGACTGTCTCTCTGAGAGACCCACCTAGATCTACCAGGAACTTTATTTCAAGTGCAAAAGTATTTAAAACAGAATGTTACAATAGAAGTACAAATAAGCCAGAAATTCTGGCTATAGGCCAAAATATGGCAGTGTATCAAACAAAAGATGCGATAAAAGTAAAGAAAGGCTAATCTATGTATAGTCAATAATCTTTACTTTTCTTGAATATTTATAATTTTAAGCACTAGTTCTTCTATAGTGTGAATAAAACTAATTTGTAAAAAGAAATATATTTGACATAAAAAAGTAAAGTATTAAGTGGCCTTCTTTATATGATATATTGTGTAATATATCACACTATTATATCTATTTAAGACTACTTCATGTGCTCTCTTTTTCTTTGGAATTTTGTGCAAATTTTCTTTGAAGCTTCTTGCTAAGCGAGTGCATGGATGGTGAAAGAATATTCTTACAAAAAGTTCTGAAAATCGCATGAGAAATAGATTCCTTTAACATACGCATGGTTCATGAGATAAGAAAGAACCTTCTTTTTATGTGATTTTTACTTGAATTTGTGGACCCTTGTGTGAGCCAGAAAATCAACACATGATGGTAATATTTCACACAAGAAGATCTACTTGAGATATAACAAGTGATTTAGCTGTTAATAAGTGAGATTCAATCTATTTAGACTAATATCTTATACTCTCACAAAAATCCCATTTAAGTCACATAACCAATATATAATTGCATTCTCTGCAACTATAAATCACTTAGAAGTGTAATAGTTCTACTCCAAGAATAATTTTAAATTTAAAACCCTTCAGAAATAATTATAAAAATAAGTAGAAAGAACAAGTTTATTCTAAGCAACAAAATGATTTTTCTAGGTTTAGTATATATCTGAATAATACATCATCTCGTTAATAAAGGATACGAGAGTATTGAAAACAAGCATATCCTCATCATTGTTGCATATGCAGTTCTGCATATACTTAATACTTCCCATAATCTGGTTATATGTATCACCTATCCTAAGGCATAAAGTCTTTGGGGTTGTAATATATTTATATCTACGGATTATTCGGAAGTTTTCCTTAAATAGCTCAATATTCAGGTTTTCTTCAGCAGAAATATAAGCAATCCATATAAAGTGAAGGTGCTGAATGATTGTCTCTGCATCTTCAGGGTACGTTCGCATGATAAGTGCATCAATTGCATCAGAATACGCCATAGTCCCATCTTTGAATATAAGCTGACAAATACTTCTATTCACAGTAGGCTCTGTGAATGGGTGATAGTCAGAGGCTTCTGGATAGAATCTAACCAAAAAGTACCTGAACCATAAGAGAAAAATATCTAGACTACAATCTCCCAGATACTCAATACAGTACTCTGAATCCGGGTAAGAACCTATATATTTATACGTGTCTTCAACAAGATTTAGTCTAGGATAGAAGCTAGCCCCTTTTTCATCTGTTCTAATATGCAGGCCAGCAAGCATAATTGCTGAAAGTACAGTACACTGAATATCCGGATTATCTAGTTCTGTGCTTCCTATTATGTTAGACGTAAAACGAATAATAGGATGCTCTGGGGATAGAGTTTGGTCCATAGTGTATACGATGCAGCAAGTGACTAAATCCCTTTTATATTCCAGATTGGTGATTTTTCTCACAAGAAGTAGTCTATTTATGTCTGTGAAGTTATTCTGAATGGTTTCTCGCACTTGTTCCTTCATGAATTTTTTGCTATCTTCAGGACTGCCAATCTTTCGCATTTCATAATTAACGTATAAAACAAACAGATTTTCAACAAATCCTGTCACATTTCTACAACTGTCTGATATTTCATTCAGTTTCTCCATTCGTTCATCCTTGAATCCTATAACTGTAGGCAGCATCTCAATACTACCGTGTCCTTCAGATATTCCTAATACTATAGTATTTTTGATCCCATTATGCTCAAATGTCATAGTAATCTCTCCAGATATATCACATCTTCCATCCTGATACTTTTCTCCTTTAAGCTCAGAGAATTCTATTCGTACATTTTCTGATCTTGTTAAATATGTAAGTAGTACTTCAGTGTATGCTTCAATCCTATCAAGTAAGTCTCCATCTAACTCACCATTTTTCTCCTTCAAATCTCTTGAGAAGCCAAGTATCTCTGCTTTTTCTTGTTCTGGAGCATTTATTACTTCAGCAATAACCAAGAGCATATTTATAAGGCCAGTGTCTATCTCATTTCTACCATTGCAGTATGCAATATTAGGATCCTTTAGGTCAGCAACAACTCTGCACCACTCCTTCTGAAAGTTACCCTTTGTTGTGTCAAATGGCTGGTTGTCCAAAGAGAAGAATTCTTCAAGTTCTTCAGAGACATGCCCCATGTGGTCAGTTCTGTATGTAATATCAGATGGATCATACGTTAGGCAGCAAAAAAGAGAAAGAATCATACTTTCCACACAGTTGCTGTAATCTTCCAGTCGGTTAGTAGAAAACACCTTAGCTTCCCGGTTGTACTTAGGAACAGATTTATATGCAGGTACTTCTGTGCTGTTTAGGAATGGGAATACTCTATATGTATTTAAAATATCTTGAGATTCTTTCATTAAAGCCATACACTCTATACCTACTGCAGTACCAGAAGGCTTAAACAGTCTGTCGTATACACAGCCATTTTTACTGGGTGCTTCTGTCTTTGGAGCATATTTCTGTGTCATAGCGTACACTGCTTGAATAAGCTCAGTTGCACGGTCTGCACTGTCTATGAACCCAAATATGTATGACTGAATCAGAAACTTAAGACTGTCCATGAACTTCCCTTTTTTAATTTCACTCAGTGAACACTTGTCCTCCATCATACTAAGTACTTTTTGATTATTTGCACTCTTCTGGAAGAATTTGATCATTTGCTTAACCTTCTTCTGTTCAAATCTTTTTGTTTCATTTTCTTCTCTATTGAACCATGGGATTACCATGGACACTGTGAAGTATATTTTGTCTTTTTTGTTTGTTTCATACACCTTCAGTTCCTTATTACTGACGTCAATGGGAATATTCACTCCCTCTGAGAAAAGTAGCAGCATAGCAAGAATCTGCAGTGCACGCTCCTTTGTTGTCTCTGCTCTGAGAAATTGAACGAAGGACTGATTCCCTCGTGTCTCTATTGTTATGTCACCTGTAGGTGATGGGAATAGCTCAATCAGATGGTTATGGTACTTTTCAGTGTAGTCATCCATCTTATTCTCTGGTAGTTCTTTGTATGCTTTATCACCTTGTTCATTCCTGGTGAATTCGCAAGTATCATATTGGTCAAAGGCCTCTAATTCTTCTTCATTTATCATATATGATGTATCAATATCTGGTGCAAAGAACCTTTTATTGTACATGCACTCTATCTTCTGGTAGATATATCCTCTTAAGAAGTTAAGAGGCCCATCTGGATTTATTCTTATGGGGATTTTGTCTGTTGTAATTTCATATTTTAGTGCAGATTCTATTTCAGTTAGTATCATATCTGCACGTACACCATAGTGTACTATACTAATTAGAGTGATCACAAATACAAAGATCCGTTTAAATTGCATTCTAATTAAATAAAACAAATCACTTTTTAACATAACTGCCCCTTAGTATTCCTATATGAATATATTCAGAGTAATTGGGTACTTCATATACTAATAATTTCATCAAATATTACTCCAATAACTGATTATATTCAACTGTATACAGTGTCATTGGGTAATTGTTTGTTTGTTGACTTTTTACTGGTTATTGAATAACTTACTACTGACTAAAAAATAAATATTCATTGGCTACTGACTAATTTACTACTAGCTGACTAAGTACTAGCTAGATAATTTGCTAGTAAAAAATAAATATTCATTAACTACTGACTAAGTACTGACTAATTATTTATTTATTGAGTACAGACTAACTACTGACTAAGTGGCTACTATAGACTAATTTACTACTAGCTGACTAAAAAATATTTATTCATTACTGACTAACTACTGACTAAGTGACTAGAAAATATTTATTGGCTACAGACTAATTATTTACTACTAGCTAGACAATTTACTAGAGAATAACCAATAAATAACTGACAAAATATCACCTACTAACAACTGTCAAAACTAACTATCAATAAATAACTAACAATACAATAAGACACTTTAAGCAAGACTTTTCTTTTATTCCTGTGGGTATCACTCACCCAGTATTAGTCTATTCCTTGCAGAAGTACTCTGCTGGGTCCTTGAGTTCTCCCAGGCCTCTCTTTGCTCTGATCTGCTTGACGATCTCGAACATGGGCGTACCCTCCTTATCCAGGGATCCAGGGACAATGGAGTAGTGGGAGAGTACTAAGTTTATGCTGGCACCACCCCCAGTGGACTCCATAAGCTCCTTATTCAAGTTGAATGACCTTTGCACGGGAATGTATGCCTTCAAGACGGACTTGTGGTTGTTGTAGATTGCATCCATAATCTCACCTCTTCTTCCCTTGACAACCTGCATGGCTGCATCAATCATGCTATCCTGTAGGGATATTTCTGCCAGGAAGATAGGTTCGTATAGGATGGGTGTAGCAGAGAGTACTAAGCCAACAGCCAATCTGCTCATGGTGGGAATCAACTGACCAGCACCCCTGTGGATTGCATCTGCGTGCAGGGTCAGGTCCATTAGGTCCAGTCTCAGTCCCTGGAGTGGTTCTCCAATGACAGGTCCTTCCTTAACGGCTGCATCCAGTCCCATCTTCAAGAATTCCTTGACTTCATGTAGGTTCTGTACTCCTTTGGATGAGTCCACAATGACATTAGGACCAACATCATCAGGGCAGTAGCAAAGTACTCTTTTAACCCAGTCATCAGCACTACCAAACTTATTCTTGAACATTTCCACACGGACCTTAGGGTCATTAGCAATAAGTTCACCATCTTTAATCGCAGTGACTACGTCTTCAGCTAGTGGCTCAATGACCATGTATACCTTATTATGCTTATTAGCACTCTTAGACATGGCTATGCTGGTGACCTGGCTGGAGATACTTTCAAAGTAGGAGACTTGTGGTTCACCACGTACTATGGGTACTTTAGCATGGTCTTTCTCCAGGTCATTTATGCATATTTCCACGTGCATTTCCCCAGCCCCAGCAATGACAATCTCACCAGACTTCATGTACTGCACCTGGCACAAGGTATCGACCTGTGCGAGTTTAGTGAGTCCTTCCTTGAGTTTAGGCAGATCACTAGTATTCTTAGGGAAGATGGAGTACCTGACAACAGGAGATACAGTGAACTTCATTGTTTTTATGTTGAAGGATCCCTTTCCACTAGATAGAGTAGCAGTCTTTTGTATCTCTGAGTCTACTCCTAATATACCTACTATATTACCAGCAGGACATGAATTAACTTCCTCTACTGTCCTACCCATCATAAGGAGTACCTTAGTGACTACTTTTGCCTTAAGTTCTTTACCTTTACCTGGCTCATAGTCAGGTCCCTGTACGTACAGAGGCATACCTGCCCTGATTACACCAGAGAATACACGGCCAAAGGCAATGAATCTACCAGACCCCTGGGGTATCATCTTTGAGACGTACATTATAACAGGAGAGTCATCTTCCCTGGCAGTAGCCTTAATGGCATTACAGTACTCATCATCCTTTGGTCCTTCATATAATGACTCAGCCCTGTATACTTGTGATTCATTTGGTGATGGTAGGTTAATGACTATTTGTTCTAGTAGGCAGTCAGCTGCAGGCAGCCACTTTCTCATGACGTGTTTAAAGAGTGCCTTCTCAGAGGTTATCTCATCAAGTTCTTTTGTTCCGAATGTGACATTAAACCTCTTCATGTACTCTCTTATCTCTTGTTTCTTCCCAGCAAAGCACAGATCACGTACTGCGTATATGGGTGTTAGTACAAAGACAACGAAAGGGTGCAGTGCTGGGTCACAGTCTGGTGCATTCTTCTTCTTCTTGAGTACTTTACAGTCTGGGTCAAATGGGTCAGCTGATGTACAGTATCTGTCTATCTTCCAGAGACACTTTTGGAATGCATCTATCATCTCAGGTTTATCTTGCATGGAGAACTTCTCAGCAAAGAACTCAGCGAATTGTCTTAGTGTAAATCCCCATCCTTGTAGTCCTGAGCAGAAGGATACTTCTAAGTCAGCTGGGTTTAACTGTCTTATATTTGATGACTTATCTTCATCCATAAGGAATTTAGACATTGTAGCATTGAAGCTTTCTACTGTATTTCTGAGTGATTTAGCGAATTCAGCTGGTGCTTCTCTTAGTTCTAGTAGTGCTCTGTCTATTTTATTTAAGCAAAGTACTGGTTTAATCTTCTCAATGATTGCTTGTCTAAGGACAGTTTCAGTTTGGACACAGATACCTTCTATGCAGTCTACTACTACTAGTGCTCCATCTGTTACTCTTAGTGCTGCTGTGACTTCTGATGAGAAATCTACGTGTCCTGGTGAGTCAATTAGGTTAATTAGGAAGTGGTTCTCGTCTGTCTTCTCTTTCATGAAAGTGTTGAAGGAGAGGTTCTTTAGTTTGAACTGCATTGAGATTGCTGTTGACTTGATCGTAATACCTCTTTCTTGTTCGTCTTGTCTTGTATCTGTGAATCTTGATCCTGACTTCTCTGCTGATAATGAGCCTGCCTTTACTACGAGTGTATCTGTTAGTGTACTCTTACCGTGGTCTACGTGTGCTATTACTGACATATTTCTGATGTTACTTGGTTTCTTCATCAATCTTACGACTGCCTCCATTGAAGCTGCGTTCTTTGACATTTCAGGGGTTAAAAAATTTAAAAAAATTTATAGAAAAATAGTGGGAAAATATTTTTGGGTAGATTAAGTCTTGTCAGTTATGGGGTGGAGTGGATTAAGTTTTGTCATTTATTGGATATAGAGGATTAAGTCTTGACAAAGTGGATTAAGTTTTGGCAGTTTGGGATGGAGTGGAGAAAGTCTTGGTTATTTTAGAGAGAGTGGAAAAAGTTCTGTCGTTTTATATTTAAAAATAATAAGTCTTGGCGAAGTGGATTAAATTGTAGCAAAATGGAATAAATTGTGGCAAAGTGGAATAAATCGTGGAAAAATGGAAAAAGTCTTGTTAGTTTCGAGATAGAGTGGATTAAGTTCTGTCATTTATTAGAGAGGGTGTATTAAGTCTTGTCGTTTTATATTTAAAAATAATAAGTCTTGGTGAAGTGGAATAAATTGTGACAAAGTGTAAAAAGTCTTGACAGTTTGTGGCAAAATGGAGAAAGTCTTGTTATTGTGGCATAAGTTTTGTCATTTATTAGATAGAGTGGATTAAGTCTTGGTTATTTTCGAGAGAAGTAGAAAAATTCCTGCGCATTGAGCCATAAGTCTTGTCGTTTTATATTTAAAAATAATAAGTCTTGGTAGAGTGGAATAAATTGTGGCAGAGTGGATTAAGTCTTGTTATTTATTGACTTCAAGTGGAATAAGTTCTGTCAAGGAGGAAAAACTCTTGTCATTTTTGGGATAGAGTGTAATAAGTCCTGTCACTGAGTAATAAGTTCTGTCAATGTGCCATAAGTCTTGTCATTTACTTGGGTAGAACTTATGGAAGTGTGGAATAAGTCTTGTTATAAGTGGAATATATTTTGGCTATAAAACATAACTTAATACACATAGTGTAATAAGTCTTGCATGAAATGGATTAAGTCTTGTTATAAGTGGAATAAATCCTGTCTGTTTTACTATTACTTATTACACTATGTGTATTAAGTTTTGCCATAATAGAATGCAAGACTTATTCCATGTATGAAAAGACTTATGGCACATTGACAGAACTTATAGCAGTGTAATAAGTCTTGTTCAAATAATATGCAGGACTTATTCCACATAATGCAAGACTTATGACATCCCCTCTAATAAATTACAAGACTTTTTGCATCTCATCAAAACTTATTCCACTTTGTCAAGACTTAGTCCACATAGTGCAAGACCTATGACACTCCCTCTAAGAATGACAGAAATTATTACACTTTCTCTGGACCCACCAAGACTTATTCCACTTTGTGCAGGACTTAATCCACTATGACAGAACTTATTCCACACTGTGCAAGACCTATGACACCCCCTCTAATAAATTACAAGACTTTCTCCATCTCATCAAAACTTATTCCACTTTGTGTAAGACTTAATCCGTTTCTCTCTGAACTGACAGAACTTAATCCACTTTGTCACAATTTATTCCACACTAACAGAACATATGCCACTGTGAAAGAACTTATTATTTTAAAATATAAAACGACAGGACTTAATACACCCTCTCCAAAACTGTCAAGACTTTTTCCACTCTAACACAACTTAATCCACTATGACAAGACTTAATCCACCTTATTATGGAATGAACAGAACATATTCTGCTGCGACAAGACTTATTATTTTTAAATATAAAACGACAAGACTTATTATTTGTTAATATAAAACGACAGAACTTTTTCCACTCTATTCCACTTCACCAAGACTTATTACTTTTAAATATAAAACGACAAGACTTATTATTTGTCAATATAAAATAACAAGACTTAATCCACTTCTTCTGAAGCTGACAAGACTTATTATTTTTAAATATAAAACGACAAGACTTAATCCACTTTGCTACAATTTAATCCACACTCTCTAAAATAACCAAGACTTAATCCACTTTGCCACAATTTATTCCACCTTCCCCATAAATGACAAGACTTAATCCACACCATCCCATAAATGACAAGACTTAATCCACACTCTCCCAAAACTGACAAGACTTAATCCACTTCTCCTGAAATAATACCAAATAAATTCCAATTTATTATTTCCTCTGCAATAATCCCTTTATAAATTCTAGCTTAGGGTCTTTTTCCACACAAGCCTCCAAGTGAGCCAGAATAATCTTTTTTGCACATTTCCCATTAGCCTCTTCCTCCATGGCCTTTAATAAGCTTATTAAGAATAATTCAATTGCATGACTTATCACAATAGGCGCAAATGTACTTACTTTTCCGATTTCATCATCAATCTGCATGATCTTCTTGATTCTTGCGATGGGAAACCTGCACTTTGCCTTTTTCCTGGCTTCTGCGTACTTTTCTGCATGCATTTGAATTTTCATAAAAAATTGCTAATGAACGAAGACACGAGCACAGACACACTTAACAGTTCTAACGAAATGGATAGGATAGATCTAGAAGGGTCTAATGACATACTTGAAGAAGACTTGTTCCAGGATGATTTTATGCGTGATTACGAATATAACCCATTATTGGACAAATATGAGACAGAAGACGAGGAATACGCTCCTCCTCTAAGCAGGCAGGAAATAGAGTCAGCAGAACGGGAAATTTCACAGGCACTTGGAATAGAAGTAGACTCACAGGAATATCAAATCTCAGAAGAAGAGACCGAACCAGAAGAGACCTCTGGTGATTTTTATAAAAATGTGTTCCTTCTTGAAAAACACCTTTCCTCAAAGGACTTTTTGGAAGGAATAAAAAGAGACGCAATAAAATTCATAAAGTCAGGGAAGGGGAGATACATGGAGGCAATTAATCAAATGGCATCTTACAACAAGGAATCAATTTATGTGGATTATTTTGACTTGGAAAGAAATAACCCGAAAATTGCACGGGCTGCGACTTCATTCCCTGGGAAAATTCTTCCAATTTTAAATGAAGCCTTACAGTCCGTTGTAAGAGAGATATTCCCAAAGTATTCCTTCATTAAAGATACGCTTATTTTTAGGCTAATAAATATCCCAGCAAAAGATACCATAAGAGGCCTAAGAAATGAGAATCTCAATGGACTAGTGAACGTATCTGGGATAGTCACAAAGAGAAGCAGGATTCACCCAGTTGCATCCCTAGTGAAATACACCTGCCAGAAGTGTAAGGCAATTAATGGACCATTTTTAATCGAGTCAGAGGCACAAAAACCAAGCAGATGCAATGAGTGCCAGACTTCCAGTAAATTAGTCATAAACCAAGCAGAAACCTTATATAAAGACTACCAGAAGATAACCATACAGGAAGTACCCGGGAGTATACCACCAGGTAGACTGCCCAGGTCTAAGGAGGTCATATTACAATATGACTTAATAGATTCTGTCAGGCCAGGTGATGAAATAGAACTAACAGGCACTTATAAGAATACATTTACAACAGGCACCAAGGGAACACCTTCCTTCTATACGTGCATTGAAGGATTAAGTATAATTAAAAAAGAAGATGAAAGTTCCCTTATAAATATATCACCAGAAGATGAGAAAGAGATAAAGAGACTATCTAAGGTGCATAATATAATGGATATACTGATTAGGAGTATGGCACCCAGTATACATGGTAATTATCTTGCAAAAAGAGCAATAATTCTTGCCGTATTTGGGGGTGTCCCAAAGCACTCACAGAATAACCATAAGGTAAGGGGAGATATAAATGTACTTCTACTGGGTGACCCTGGGATGGCAAAGTCACAGTTACTGAAATATGTCCAAAATATATCTCATAGAAGTGTATTTTCAACGGGACAAGGGGCATCTGCTGTGGGTTTGACAGCGATGGTCAAGAAGGATGCAGTTACACGGGAGTGGACCCTGGAGGGAGGTGCCTTGGTGCTGGCTGATAAAGGGATATGCTTAATCGATGAGTTTGATAAGATGAAGGATACAGACCGAGTTAGCATACATGAAGCCATGGAGCAACAAAGCATAAGTATATCTAAGGCAGGTATTGTTACTAGTCTGCAGGCACGGTGTGCGATTATTGCTGCAGCCAATCCTATTAGGGGGAAATATAATTCTTCATTTACTTTTCAGCAAAATGTAAACCTTTCAGATCCAATTATCTCCAGATTTGATGTGATATGTGTTTTGCAAGATATTTTAGATAGGGAAAAAGATAAAAAGTTAGCAGAATTCATCGTCACCAGTCACAGGGTTTCTGGAGGGTCTGGAGTTATGGGTGTGTCCGGGGGACATAGTGGAAGCCATAAAGAACAAAGCGAGAGTGCGAGAGATGGTATTTTGAGTGGAAATCAGGATAAGCAGGTTGAAGGTAGTGAGATCTTGGGTGGCACAGGAAGTAGTTCGGGTATATTGGTTCCGCAGGATATTTTACGTAAATATATTGCATATGCCCGGGAGAGAGTCCATCCCAGGATAGAAGCATTTGACACAGAAAGAATTTCTTCTTTATACGCAGCCCTTAGGAAGGAAAGTTCCATTGCCAGGGGAATACCCATTACAGTGCGACATGTGGAGTCTATGATCAGAATTGCAGAAGCATCTGCAAAGATGCACTTAAGAGAGGTCGTGAATTCCTTTGATGTTGACGTGGCAGTTGAAGTAGTTTTGGATAGTTTCTGCAGCACACAAAAAGTGTCAGTTAAAAGGCAGTTATTGGTTAAGTTCCGGAAATATCTGCCAAACAAGGAGGATATAGTGATTTCTGGAATGAACTTGATTAATTCCTTGTTGGTCCGTGATGAAAACACTTCAAACAATAACGGAATGGTGAAAATGAAAGAATTTAAGGTGAAAGCAAGTGACTTAGGGATATCTTACAAGAATATAATGAATTCAGCAGAGTTCAGAGAAGCATTCAAAGTATCTTCATGCGGTGCGTATATTATAAGGAAATAAATCATATTATTCGAATGTTTGGTTATGGGGTTTTATAGTGGGAATTTTAACGGGATTTTAAGTGAAATTAACGGTATTTAACTGTATTTTAATCATATTTATAATGTTTAACAGTATATTAAGTGGGCTTTTAGTGAGATTTAATAGAATTTAAGTATAAATAAGTTTAATAGAAGTTAATTAAATTTTATCCATATTTATAATGTTTACACAAGCATAACCGTATATTCAAACATATTTTAACCATATTTACGCAATAAAATAATAAATATATTTCTATTAATTCTTGCATAGTATTCTGCTATACGCCTGAATATTCTATATATTACTGTATAACTGCCTTATACGATTGTATATTGCACCATACCCTGCTACATTGAATATCCAATTACCTTCACACTTCTTCAAATATTCTCTGGCTGTATCTATCCTATAAATAGGTCTCTCATTCTGCAACTTGATATATTTCACTAAAATACAATATGGACACAATATATTTAATACCATGAGTACATATTAATCCTGGGCAGGGTTATTATGAATGCAAAAAAAACTAAAAAAACCAAACACCCCCATGGAAGAAGCAAAAACCCACAGTCCCAAGAAACCCCCAAATAAAATGAACAGAAGACAAAGGAAGCATGCACAAAAACTAAACACGTACGAAATGATAAAAAGACACATTCCCCCATTTCTATCACCCTGTATCACACTCTCTTCAATTTCCACACAAAAAATACTCCCACAAATCGTAAATTTCATCACATCAGAACAAACCCACTTACAACACACACTAAATTCACAAAATCCCTACTCCCCCAAAGATTCCCAAAAAATCCATTTCCCCCACCTACACCCAGAAATTTCTCTCAATTTTTCCTACCCCCACGAATTTTATGCAAATTTAAATTTGACCCCCTGCGTCAATGGCAAGAAGAATAATAAACCCAGTTTCAGAGAAAAGAAAAGAACTCACCATAAACTGCAAGGAAATGACAAAAGACGAATTATTTGACATGGAAGAATGTGCAAATTTCCTGGAGGTAAATAATAAACTCACAAAACACTCACCAGAAACACTCCCAGGAGGCCCAATGAACGTGCTCCTAAAAAAGGCAGAAAACAAGATTGTTTTAGACATGGGTGTAGATGTACGTAAATTCTACATCAAACAGCTCCTTAAGAAATACCTCCACAAGAAAGGACTAAATGACTGGATCCACATTAAAATAGACTCAGTGACAGGTGAGTACAGCCTAAATTACTATAACTTAAACGACGAATAAACCATTAGTTTATATTTGTTTTTCTACCCTAGTAAATTTCTTACGTCTATTTACTGCATGAAGAAGAGACAAGGCGTATACATAATCCTTTTTAATACAATCTTGCTGCTTGTCCTGGAAATACTTGCGCACATGAAGAGTGGTTCTGTCTCCATACTTGGGGAAGTATTCCATATGGCAAGTGACTTAGTCACAGTTACAGTGGGATTATTCGGTACCTTCATTGCAACTAAATACTCTGGTGGTGTAAATTACACCTTTGGTCTAGTACGAGTGGAAGTACTGGCAGCAGTTGCCTCTTTGATCTTAATCTGGCTGCCTTCCATTTACGTTGTAAACCTGTCTATTAGCAGGTACTTTAATCCTGCTGCAATAGATAGGGACGTAGTGGTTATAACTGGTTTTGCCTCTCTAGTGATTAATTTGGTGAATTTCTTTGTCTCTCTGAGGATGACAAAATCCAGAGACACGGATATGAGTGTTACATCGATATATATCCATGCACTAAGTGATCTTACACAGTGTATTGGTGTATTAGTGAGTGGTCTTGTATTATATTTAGACCCTTCCTTTGTGATTGTTGATTTAATTGCAGCTGTATTCTCTGCATGCGTGTGCTTCTACGGGTCACTGGGGCTTCTAAAAGAAGTTCTTGGGATGCTGCTGGATAAATCACCAGTTGATGTGAATATGGTGAGGATGCGGATTATGAAGGTGGAGAAGGTTATTTCAGTTAATGACATTAGGGTATGGTGCATAAGTAGGGGTAATCGAATAACAATGGCAAATATAACGGTGGAAAATGGGGCAGAATCAGAGAAGATCCTGTGGGAGTGTAAGAAGATCTTGCGCAAGGAATATTCCATTAGTCTCTCCTGTATAGAAGTACACAAAGAATAAAGGAGAGTAATTTAACCTTTTGGATATTATTATTTGTTAGTTTAATGAAGGGCGTTATAGGGTGGGTATTAGTGTATTATTTTGTAATATAAAATTACTGTCTAATTAGTGTCTAATTGGTGTATGTATTAGTGTCTAGTTAGTGTATGTATTAGTGTCTAACTAGTGTATGTATTAGTATATGTATTAGAAGAGATAATTTTGTGACTAATGTACATTTATAACCTATGGTTAGTGTATATATAATATTTCCTCTTTTCTCTCTCTCGCTCTTTCGGTGTGGTTTTTTCTCTCTTTATTTTCTCTCTTTCTATGTGATTTTTTTAGTTCTTTATGCTTTATAGCCAGAAATAAAAAGATAAGTAATTTATGAATATATAGTGTTATCTAGTGTATAATAAAGGGTTATTTCTTGTATAGAGTAATTATGTGAGTATTTACATGAATTTATGTGTGATAATTTCTTTGTTGGATTCTTCTGTTTTTTTGGTTATACTGGGTACTGGAGGCATGTGTATTATGGGTACGTGGGGTACGTCTTGGTTGTGTGGTTCTTTTTTTGTGCTGCCTGAGAATTTGTTCTTTTCATTTTTGTAATTGCGTGTGCTTGGTTTTAGCAGGAATCTAATTGGATATTCGTGGGTTTTAGGGCATATGCAAGATATATGTGTGGTTAGTGCACTTTCTCCGGGGATATTTTCAGTTGCATTTTCGGTTATATTTTTCATTAAATTTTCAAATATTTTCCAAGACATGCATGCAATAAAACCACAAAAAAGAAACCACAGGCAAAGAGCGCATTCAAACCCGTTCTCAGACCATAATATTTCATATCCCATGAACCCACAGTTCTTCAATAAAAAAGTCGACATGGTGGACATAGGATGTGGCTACGGTGGACTTCTCTTCAAACTCTCAGAAATGTTCAAAGAAGCATCAATCCTGGGCATGGAAATTCGCCAAAAATTAGTGGATTACGTGGACTTAAAGATAAAATACGAGCAGGCCTCAGGGTCAGCCCAAAATATCTCAGTAGTACGAGCAAATTCCATGAAATTCCTGACAAATTACCTAGAGAAAGAGTCGATCCAGAAGATGTTCATTTTGTTCCCAGACCCGCACTTCAAGAAAAAGAAGCACAAAGCAAGAATTATTTCTAAATCTATGCTGGATATATACCAATACGTAATAGAACCAAATGGCTTACTATACATATCCACAGACGTAGAAGAACTCTTCCAGTACATGACAGCCTGCCTGGAAGAACACCCTTTATTCTTGCGCCTTCCAGAAGAAGAGGCAGAAAAAGACCCTTTGTATCATGTAATAATTGAGACAACAGAAGAGTCAAAAAAGGCAGACATGAAGCACTCAAACAAATACAGGGCAATATTCAGGAGAAATCCATAATCACATGAAAATACCCCAGAATTACAAAAATACTCAGAAAGTACGCTTTACTTCTCCTGTGCCACATAAAGCCATTTAATTCGTGCAGTTAAATCAGTGACTTTCTGTCGTAAAATGCACCAATTATTTATCTGATCATTTCCTGGCATATAAGCAAGAGACTCTTCTGGGACAATGTCTCTTGACTTTTTCAGTTCTTCTTTGCTTAACTTTTTCACTTCCATAGTGGTTATATGCGCAATTCTTGTGGTTCTGTACCTGATCCTGTGCTTCACAGGAATAGTTGGGTCTAGCAGCAGTACATCACAGCAAACAACAAGTGTCATAAACAACAACAACAACAATAATAATAATTCTACTATGGCCCAGGCAGCAGCACCTGCTCCTGCAGCAGCACAGCCTAGTATTATTGTGCTTAACTCGGATGCAGCAAAGGAAAGAAGATCGCACCGGGAGAGGAGTCCAGAACACGGGCGGTCTTCAAGAAGCACGCCTTCCCCAAAGCATAGATATTAAAAATAAATTACTGCGCATATTAAAATGCATGTTTATGCGAGTATTACAGTGCAGTTTATAAGTGGCATTGTAATTTTAATGGGTACCATTAATCTTATTAAGTCATTCTTCCTTAGATCCAAGCGTACTCTGCAGATTCTTTCTGGGATTTTTGCATGGACCTTCAGAAATGCCTTTATGTTCGGGGTTTTGTACGTGATTTTTCATGAAAATATGGTGCACTCAATTATAACGAGTAAATTACTTGGGACCCTGCTATATTTAGGGTACTTGATAGTTACTTCTGTGAGTAACAACCTGAAGGGTGGTACTGGAATAACAGATGCTACGGCTGCTGAAATAACTATGACTGTGCTTTGGCGATTTTTTGTCGGAATTTGTGGGACTGCCTTGGTGAATGCAATTGACAAAGAGGAAGTCATGGATAGCCCAAAGAAACAAGCATTTGTTATAGTGTTTCTGAGTAGTTTTTGTTTATTTTTCTATAAAGTATTCTGCAGGTCTGAACTTTCGTATGAAATGAGGAATTCTTTGCCGGATGGAAAATTAAAAAGCACTTTAAAAGAGACACTTCATAGGATGGGACCAGAGTCGTATGAAATTGTGACAATTGATATGGAAACTGCCATGCATATGAGTCCTGTGCATGTTGAAACTACAGGTCTTATAACCCTATTGATCCTAAATCCATCTATTCTTGACAAATATTCAATTTCTGAGATAGAATTAATTGTTGTGCACCATGTCATAGAGCATTCCTTAAAGAATCTTACACTTTTTAGGACATTCTCTGGGGTCTTTAGGTCTTTGGTTTATATTGTTCTATTTATCCTTTTATTTGGATCTCTCTCTTATCTGCCTATTTTCATGCGGATTATTCTGTTCTGTGAGCTGACGGATTTAAGAGACCAAATAAAGTCGATTTTATTCTGTGTCCCGTGCTACATCATTGAGAGGAATGTTCTTAAAAAAGTGCATAAATTTATGGATATTTCTGGTGCATTCCCGGAGCCAACAAATAGACTCTTGCGAAAGATTCAGAAGGTTTCATTTAGCAGACACTTTCACACGGGAAAGTGCCATTTCGTCTTGATGAATCTCACAGAATCAGAGATAGCTGGATGCTTGGGGATGAAGGGATTGTGAGTCAGCAGATTGCCTTGCATGCACTGGGGTAGGTTGTAAATCAAGTGGGACCATTTGACATATCGTAAATATGCGAGAACGGAGAATGTTTCATGAAAAAATCTGAATAACCAGAAGTACCCATATAAATAGAAGAGAAAATGCACAATAGATTTTGTAATTAAGGATAATTGCATAGAAGTAATAAATATACTCGCATGGAGTAACGCACTTACTATTATGGGTTTTAAATTTAAATATATGCAAATTATGAATGTCATGACATGTAAGTGAGGATATTCTGGGTTGGTGGAGTGCCCTATCACATACTTAAGTTCTGGTGAGTATTACTATAGATTTGTAACAAACTAAAAGACTGAATTTATTGTAAATTTACAGAAAAAACAAAGAAAAAGCCACTTTATACCATGCACAAAATTCAAGAAAAATCACCAAGAAATCTTTAAACCCACTTTCTGCATGAATTACACGCCATGCTGCAGAATAGCCAGAATTCTTGCAGTTTTAAGCTGCCCCATATAATCTGAATTAATTTTATTTTTATGTTTCTTCCGTGCGTCTGTCTTCTTCTTTCTGTTCTTCTGTCGTATATAGGGATTGTACTACACGGAATTTACAGCCTAGCTAGAATACAAATTGATGCAAGGGACCGATTAGTAACTGAAAAAGAGTCGCACGATGAGTCTGAAAGAATTGTTAGACAGGTTTTAATGTACACTACAGTAATTATAATATTTATTGTCTCGATAAAACACTCAAAGAGTTTCCTTCACATGGATCCTTTAAATTATGTCTGCATTTATTTGCTATTGAATAACAGAACACATGAATACACCCCGAGTATACTCCAGACAATTCAGTCAAATCTATTTGAAACAACAGTTATTTACGTAATCTGCAGGAAAAAAGGTCTCTCTACTGGTATGGACTTACTATTAGATCTATTTATATCTAGGTACAATGTATTAGAACAAGCACGTTCTAATGGTTGCAGCCAAGAGATTTTAACGCACAAATTTAATAGAAGTATTTTCATACATACAGTAAGCTATCTTGTGAAAAGAACATGCATGCATTTGCTGCTTAACTGGGACAGTGCAATATTCCTTAGATCTATTTTTATGGTTGAGCACAGAAATATGAATGAATCTGAATATTTCTATGTTTTAGTTCTATTCCTGCAAGAATTGCATTTTAAAAGGGTGCTTGCATTTGTAATGTGCAAATAAAAGGACTCGATTAGAATCAGATTATTTCTGATTTATTTTACAATAAAATGCAGAATATACAGATTTAATAGGGTTAGTCTATTTGAATACGTAAATTATACTGGTTTCTACCGCAGTATTCGGATATCTTTGGTATAGTTTAGAAAATTAGTATATTTCGTATTTGCAAATTTCTAAGTGATTTAAAGATGAATTTATCTGTAGAAGTATATACTGTTGGATATAAGATGAAATAACTGAATTACTGATAATTTCAATAGAGCGAAAAGAGTAAAACAATTCATGTCTTGCAGCGCAAAATCTAAAATAAAACCCTATCTAGCCTTATTACAGCAGCATACACAAGTTGCACAGCTATAATACAATCCAGAAAATCTCGAATTATAAGCATCCTTATGAAATGGTTAGACCGTTTTAAATTTTTAAATATTTTTGCAAAAAATCAAATGGTTGGAGAACAAGCTGGATCACAAAGTAGTGCAGCAGCAGATATAGCGAGTCAAATCGTTGCAATTCCACGCCAAAATATTTATGTGCATAAGTTTGATTTTATGAAGATTCTTTCGGTTCTGTTTGAATCCGTATACGCACCAGTTGGAACTGGAGCATCCAGCGATTTTTATGGAGTTCGTGCATTTGAGGCTGGTCTTCTTGCCATGCTTTTCTTTGTAATCATCCTGCGGTTATTTGAATTCCATAATAATAAGCCAATTGTCGACTTGGAATTAGAGAAGTTCCGGGGAGAGTACACAACGTGCTTCATAATGGATGAAAGGCAAGCAGAGCTTCGGAATAAAATGAATAAGACACTTTTTACAATAATAGACGAAAAAAAAATAAGAGGTGAAACATCAACATTTGATGTAACCGACGTGGTAGACGGAATAGGCCACGAGCTATCAAATGAGGCCTCTGCACTGAGCATGCCTGAGTACCTCTCCAAGAAGTTCTCAAAGAATTCTAGCTCGTTTACTAAGACAGCTCTGTCTTTTGCAATCACCATTGTCTTCTTTATTAGAGCAACTGGTGTATGCAGTAATGCGTGGACAGCAATGCTTAGTTCTAATTCATTTTTGGCTGCTGCTATTTTGTGCTTGCAAATGATTATTCAGATGTTTTTGTTCATTATTCTTTTGATACTTATATTTGATAAAAGTGGGATATTTGTTGCTACGCTTACAACCATGCTGACTAGTATGCTGTCATACGGTATACTAGCGCCTTCGAATGGTTTCCAACAAGGTTTCATACAACTTTTATTTGCGATGTTTTCATCGGAAATGATCAAAAACTGTTTGTTCTCCGTTTTGGGCATAATACTTCACTCTTTGGTGACTATTCTGTTCAAATTAACAACAAGCAAAACAGCTGATTTAGTCTTCTCAATACAGGGTGCGGATTTTTGCAGGCTCGCTATTGCTACAAAGAAAATAGCTGAGTATACTAAGGAAGTTGAAAAAATCCCAGGCACAATCCCATCCGAGATTGATGATACCTTAATTAATGATCTTGTTGGTCTGGAGGTTTGCATGGCCATGCCAGGTAATTTTCTCGCGTTCCTTATGTTTGTCATAGCATCGTATGTTATTATATTTGAGGTGGATATGTCCGTTATATACTTCATTTTGACAAAAGCCCCACATGTTGGCCCATTTGCATACATCCGGAATAATATCGTTACAAGATGGATCACTATAACTAAGATAATAGCATATATTGCATGCTTTGTAGGAAGTGTATTAATATTTAAATGCAACCCAATGTAGTGATTTTATGCTATGCTGATTTATACAATAGAAGTGGACTTTCCCAGTATTCATAGAGTGTTAGCTATAGCTCAAGCTAATTTGAGGTATTTTGAGCAAAATAGAGACCCACAAAAGCGGTAAAAAATACCCTAAAATCTGACTAATAAACACTAATACTTTCTAACATGGATAAGCACACACCTTTAAGCATAGCAATTACAGTACATGCGCCCTTTTGTCTTATTTTAAGAGTGCAGCTTTGGAAATAAACAAGTTTTAGTGCGAGTGTTTAGCACGAGTGTCAGCTGGAGGGACACATGCGCCAATTGCAAATATATGAAAGAACTAAAAAAGCAGACTGCTCAGAATAAAACACCATTCCCAAATAACCCGAAATCAGAAAGGCACAGAGAACTCTCCAATGGTAAAACACTCTATTCTATCGATACTAAGAAGCTCCTTTTTTAACCATGCAAATTCTCTTACTCAAGTGTTCTAGTGGAATTTAGCCATGAACTACTCTATTATACTACTTAAAATAAAAATATGCTAAAATTACTTCGTATGGACATGCCATTCAGAATATGCACTGCGCGAATTACATGGATTAAACAGAAAACTACTCCGTGGATTCTAAGCCATTTCTAGAATAGTACTACGACATGCATGCCTCTTGTGCTTGCTGAACCTCTTTTTGTTTCAGAATGAAACCCTCCTTCAGTTAATAGTGTGAGTTTTCCATACGTCAATACATGAAAATTATCTTGTTTGACTGAGAAGATTCGTCTGAATTTAGATTAAAATCTCTCTTTCCTTGTCATATTTCCGTGCATAGCCTATTTAATTTGTGCAGATTTCTGATTTTCCCGTGTCTTCCATAAAAATATAAATTATCAACCCCTTCACAGCTTTTTCATGTAAAAGAAGACGCTTTTGCAAGCCTTAAAAATAAAACACCAATAAAAGCATAAAATAATTTGAAGTTTACTTACAGATACAAGTGCATGCCTCTTCTTATAACAAAGCATCTATCTCTAACTGGGCTCTGTTCTGTGCGCTATAAACATGGATGGCCTGTACATGTGGATTATATCTGTATATGTGACACGCTTTGCGACTTTTTGTGGCAAAGAGAGACGCTGCCCAATGTAAATAATAAGCACAGCAGCCTCCATCCCGTTGAACAGGTAAGAAAATGTCATTCGCATGAAAGAAAGCGTAATCGATATCTCAGATGTCGTGTCTCCGTGGTAGCTTTCAAATATGTAGTACGTAATGCACAGAGGCAGAAGGGTCACAAATAGCATGAATATGCACCTGCCCACTTCAAAATACACAAAGTGCATTTTGTTGTTTTTCATCCAGCTTCTTTTACTAATGACAGAGACATCTTCAAAGGATTTATTCAGAAGAAGCACTTTAAATGGCACCCAGTACGAAAAAGAAAGCTTCAGAGCGTAGAACAAAAAAGGAAGAATAATTGTGCTGTACTTTTCTATGGGCAGACACTCTCCAGTGACCAAAGCCCCTAAAATACTAAACAAAAATCCACTCGCAAACAGCAGAACCAGCTTTCGCCTTAGTTTCTCAATGTAATTCACCTTGAATATTCGCTTGAACACAATTAGCGTAAAATATATCCGAATGAAGGCACCAGATCCTATGCATATAAACCTGTGGCAGAAACTCGCAAATTCAGAGACCTCAATTGAGCTCATCCACATCCAGTGCATCCGCACGATCACCAAATACAGCAGACTGAACCCGCCTGGCACAAAAGATAAATGTGCTGCCTCCCAAATAACAGAGTGCACGGCAATCTTACATGCATTCATCCCAGACAAAAGTATGCCTGCCATCCTGTGCGCCCGCCTGCGGCAAAATGGAGGTATCAAGGAAACAAGCACTCCCCCAAACATAATTGTCGTAGAGCCCTGTATAATATTCAAAACATTCTCCCAAATACTCCCACTCACGTAATAAACCGACAAATAAACCACCAGCATGATAAAAGGCAGTGTAAGCAGGCTTATAAGATACGCAGCACACTTCGCCAAATAATAAGGCGAGAATAAGTTGATCACAGAATACACAGACGCAGCCAGAACATTCCCCAGCAAGATTAAGCTAAAACACCGAACCGTACAGTAAGATATGCAATATAAAGAGTCCGGCAGATACACAGGCCCTTCATAGACTAGGTACCCAATAAATACACCGTAGTAAGCAAGGCAGTACAGGGGAACAGAAACCAAGAAAAGTGGAAAGAATATTGTATTCGCAATTCTTGTCATCTTGTAGTATGCGTCTATAGAATAGTTTGAAAGTACCATGGCTGTATTAAAAATTTATTATTTTTTTCTATTCTCTGCTGCCTCTTCGTCAAACTTTCTTTTTCTGCTTTCCTTCTCTATGAATAGATTGAGAATTGGGGCGAGTGCTTTTTGTTTTAATGGAATTGCCTCGTATCTTAGTTCACATTCTTCTTCTTGCTCGTATCCTTCCAGGGAGCTCTTCAGCTCCTGCACTGGCTTCTTTAAATTCATTTTCTTTGATGCATTCAAGGGCAGCTTAACCGAAGAGAAGTTAATTCCAATGAACAGCACGGAAAATGAGTATTCTTCGTCCCCGCATTGCAGGTCCTTTAATAATGGGACTTCTTTCTGTGTGACACCCTCCAGGTGATAATTCTTTGGGAGTGTGTATGCGTACTCAATGTTTTCAATGCTCTCCAGCTTCTGTGCAAACATTCTGACTCTTGTCTCTGCGAATCCCATGAAGCGCCCAAACTCCTTCGAGTTGTCGCACGCCATGGCAATCATGAAATACGTCTTGTGTCTTGTGAAGAAATCTGTATCTTCACATAGCTCATCAAGTACCTTAAATGGCTCTGTTTTGTTCTGCAGACTCTCTGCGAATATTGCGGTCCCTCTTTGAAATTCTCTTTTCATCACGAAAAGGGTGCTTGTCGTTATGTTGTGTGTTGAGCACAAGGGAGGATATACGGGCGTAATGACAGGCATCTTGTCATTTTTATGGTGCACATTTACCTTCGGGTTCCAGACCTTCAGGTTGTAGTTACAGTCTGGGACTTCCTTGATGATGACAGGCTGCGGCCAGGCCCACTTAGAGAAAACCTCAAAGAACTTCTCTATTGTCTTGAAGGCATCTGCACTCGGGTACATCTGACAGACCTTTGCAACACACAAGGCATATGCTACTCCTCCCATGTATCCGTATGCGTGCCCGTACACCTGTCTCTTCTGGGCCCAGTATTTCATGAACCTGAGTGTCTTGTGGAATGTCTCTATGTTCGGGACCTGGGCAAGGATTTCGTCTGTCACTCTGTTTCCATTTAGGCTTAGAATGCATTTCTCGCTCATGTGCTTCAGCAGCTTATTATTCAGCAGGTCAATATTCGGGGGAATTGATGGAAGATCCATCCGGGCAAAGACCAGATCGATTGGAATTGACTTTATCTTAAACTTTATCAATGGAACGAACGTATTGGTTACTTTGGAAATCTCTGTTATGTAGCTTTTTGAGCACAGTTCATCGTAGAAAACAGTAAAGAACTCATTCCTGCTCACAAAATTTGGTACAACGCAGAGGGTGTCAATGTCAGCTCCGGATGAATGAACACCAAGTCTGTAACTCCCGAAAGTAAATATTTTAGAAAGACTTTTTGAGTCTATTGGGATTTCATTCCTCTTAGCTATATCCATGATAAATTTATTAACTAAATTGCTAAGCATTCCCAGGACTCTTTCTCTTTGGATTGACTCATTCTCATCTTCAAAGAATCCTTTTGTCTGCAAATATTCTACCACCTTTTTTTCATTCGATCTCTCCGTTTCGGCCTTGCATATTTGCATAAAAAAACAAATATTATATTATTTATGCGTACATTTCTGGAAAGTCGCCCAGAAAAGACTCTTGCAGAGCTGCAGAAAGAGGTTCTTTCGAATATAATTTATTACATAGACACGAAGTACCATGAAATATCACGGAGGAACCAATTGGATGATCGATTCTCTCAGGGGACACAGCAGGACTTAGAAGAGATCCAGAAAGAAATCGATGAAATTCACAGGAAAATTGGAGAAACCCAAGAAGAAGTGAACTTACTCCAAGGAAAAGTGAAAGCCAGAAGGATTGATGCAACTGTGGATTTAAACCTATTGCTACAGAAGGTGGCAGAGAATGCATCTGAATTGAAGCCACAGAAGACAATCCGACAGACATCCCCACAGAAGGATACAATCTATTCTGTGAACTTCATAAACACAGAGATCACAGAGATACCACAAGATAAAATAGATCTTTTAGATAAGATAAAGCATGCATACAGATAGTCATGCAATTTAGCACAGAAGATATATCCAAATATAACCAAAATAAATACGAAAGTCATTTTATAGAATATTCTCATAGAGTGCATACAATTACATTAGATTTACCATAGTCTTACACCCATCTTATGATGGACTAATTTATGGATATTTTTAAGAGAATTAACAAGACAGCGTATACATTGAGATTAGACAATATGCTTGCACATGCAGAGTGCAGCCACCTTAACTTCACTAAATATATAAAGAAACACCTGCACACCTATAAACATAAAGTCATTAGTACATCAAAAACAAGGTCCATAGATAGATTCAATATGCACATATATTCAGTGTCCTATATTGAAATGCATAATAAACATGGTTTTAGATTTATATTCTTACATACTGAAGTAAATAGCAACAGTCTTCTGAAATAAATTTATTTTTCTTCTAAAATATTCTAAAGGACAGTACTACTAGGAATATTCTCAGTGTGCAGTAAATCAACTTCTCAATAAATTTATTGAGAAATCAAAAGAACCTGACTAAATACAGAGGTATTTAGAACTAGAAATATATCTTATAACTAATTAAAATGGGCTATATCATTTTTATGCTACTGTATTTCTATGGTGCTTAAGTATATCTCATTGGCTGCTGCATAAAGGCATATTCACAAGTAACTTAAATGTTATTGTTATCTATTTGATCGTTGTACTAATATATGTAAATATCTCTTTGATCCCTGTAAGGTTTATTAAATAAGATATTTTCAAAAGAAATTAGTATAAATATACATGCGTATATACATTCTATAACGATTGAAAATAATTCAGAAAGAAATACAAGAGTAGATATACTAAGAGAACAAGCAGAAAAGGGTATATTTGATATAAACATATTTGCAGACGCAGAGTACAAGAATTTCAACTTTTATAGATATCTCAACAAAAACCTACAGGCCTTTAGATCTCAAATTATTAAAGCAGTGAAAATGAGTTCAGATTCGAATATAAGCACCCAAAGTGTATAAGATACACCATCTTAAACCCCAATCAAACGAGGATTCAGATGCATAAGATTAAAAGATGAACCAAAATTATACTTACCATGAAAATTGAACAAATGAAAGGCTAATCTAAACTCACTCCTTAAATTGCCCCAAGCAAGTATTATGTCACACCGACTGGAATATGCACATAGATTTATTTCTGGGATGGGATACCCCTGATATGGCAAGAATGATCTACTAGAAATTTCATTGGATGATTTAGTGAAAAATCTATTGGGCAAGATTTCCTTATCTTTGGGAATCCTTTAGCAGAAATGGCATCTTTAGCATTCAAGTTCATTCGAAGGATTGTGAATGTACTTTCATTTCTGCTGCTCCTGGAGACTGTAGTTATTGCTGTGTATACGTATTGGTCAAGGACCCTAAGTAGACTGGAGATGTATATATTTTCAAATGGAGACGGAGGGTTCAGTTCGGTCACAGGCTATCTTATATGCTTTTCCTTGTTCATGGCACTCTTATCATCTACTGCTGTGAATAGTAAAAGTAAGTTTACAATTAAGCTGGCCCTTATATTCGGGATATTTTATTTTACGTTCTCCGTTGCATGCTTTGCATACATAAAGTTCTCATATTTGACAAAAATGACAGACGGTGCATACGACATGTACAACAGGTCTACGTTTGACTTCTCTTCACTGCTTGCAATGATAGGGAAGACGAACATAATAAACAACAGACAAGAGCAACTCACATGTCTCATGAATATTATAAATAATGAGCTCTGGGTGATCATGATTATGCTGACATGTTCTTACTCACTGGGTGGTTTTATAACAATATTCATGATTATGGGGGGCAACTGCAAGATAAGAAAGCCAAAGACAAAGCCAGCAGAAGAAGAAGCAGAAGTAATTGTGCAGCAGGTAGGTTTCTCAGGGGGATCACTCCGGAAGGCATCGCATAAATCCTCTATGATGTAATAAACTAGCATGTGAACTGTAGTTTTTTGAGTATTTTATCTCTTCATTTATTATGCTCTATAGAATTACTTTTGTATTTGGATATTTTCCTGTACTTAGTCTATAATATGGCAAGAATTAGAGTGAAATACAAGATAGACTGAATTAGTATAGGAATAGACTAGAAGTGTCTGAATTTGGACTAAATTAATTTCCAGTGAATATATGATATAAATATATAGCAGGAATTGAAAAATTCTATTATGATTATAATTCGTGTACTGCTGCTGGTGTATGGGGTTATGTGCAGTAATAAGGCTATCTTGATTGACTGCTCCTGGCAGTACGAGAATTACAGGCACTTCTCTAATGTCATTGCACTGCAAAGTCTCCTGGAAGGAAATGGATTCTCACCAAGTGACATCTCTGTGTACTTCAAGGATGACTTACTCGATGACAAAAGAATGCGTGTGCAGAGCATACAAACAGATCACTTCACATTGGTAAAGGGTGTTGATTATACGCCCATCCACAGGAATACTTCATATTTTGAAATTCTCAATATGATATCCGGGCAGGACTCAGTTCTCCTGGGGGCAAACGAAGAAACAAATCTTCTGATTTACATGACAGGACATGGGGGTGATGGCTTCATAAAATACTGCAACAGAAAGTACTTTTACACGGACGACATAACAAATGCAATAATTAAACTGCAGAAAATAAGACAGTTAAAGAGTATACTGTTCATTGCTGACACCTGCCAAGCAGACACGCTCATTGATGAAACAAAACTTCCAAAAAATGTGACCTTTATTTCTACGAGTTTGAAGGGAGAATCTTCCCACTCCACTACATTCAGTTCTGCCTTGAACGTATTCCCAATTGACTTATTTGTGATGCACCTGCATAGACTTGCAAAGGAGAAGAAAATTCAGCCAAAAGAGACTATTTCAAGGCTAATTCAGAAGGAAATGCCAGTAGACCTAATTAAGTCAACTGTATCTGTAAGAGGCCCTGATATTTTCCTGTATGATTTTATCTTCCAGAAAGACAGATTCCTTGGGTCTTTGTATTTGTAGTTATACCATTCTAATTACAACGTACATCAGAATGAATATAAGCAGAACTATGCCTAATAAAAATACTAATTGGCTTGTGCTTAAATTGTACCATTCTTTGCTGTCCAAGGAGTGAACGCCTTTTTCCACCTGTTTTACATTTTCACGGACACCTGCGGATACATTTTCAACGAAAGACTTGCTATTTTCAAGCATCTGCCCGAATGACTCAGCCTTCTTCTTTAGGGTCTTGCTGTGATCGAGAATTGAAGCTGTCAATTTCTGGGTTTCTGCATTTTCTTCAGGCTCTTCTCTTTTCTTTATTTTAACCACCTCTGATGCCTTTTTAATAATTTTTTTGAGCTTTGAAATGCCTGCACTCAGGCCTCTATCGACAAGCTCATTGTAGGCTGCGACAAGGCTCTCTCTGTCTTCTTCGTTGTATTCCTGTAGATATAAGTACAAGCCAACTAATTGGCTATGAATGTCATCTTTGTCCTCTGGGTCTTTTCTTTCTAGTAATTTTTTTGTTTCCTTCAGCAGGAGATGGATGTCTTTAGCCATATAACCCGAAAAATAATTTAATTCAGAAATACTAATTAAGATGGTTTTGATTATAAATTGAATTTGTGCTTTATTCATGGGTTAACTCCCAAAGGAAGATATTGAAGTATGTTCATACTGCCTGGGTACTCTATAAATTTACCGTGCGATATCTGTTCATTTTAATGTTTTATAAGGTTACGCATGCGAATACTATTTATACTAAGACAAGAGAGATAGTAGAGAGTAAATATTAATGTAAGTGCATGTTTATACTATGTATATGCAACTATCCCAGGATATACATATATTATATCAAGAATATTCAGGTTTTTATAATTTCCCTAAAATATCAAGATATTCCATTAAATCTGCCTGTTAAACTCATACAATATAATGCACTAATGCCTTCTCTATCAGTATTTTCCATTCCCCAGATATAACCCGAAGTCTATATGCAGAAGAAGCCTTTTAATTAGTAGAAATTCACTGCACAAAAATCAAAGAGATAAAAGTGACCTAGAAGTCACTAAAATGACTAGTATGACTAGTCACTAAGATGCACTATAAATATACTCTTAGTAAAATATCTCATTATCCTAATACCACAAGAGTTTTTTAACTCTCACACTCACTCTCAGAAGATTCTTCATATACTAGAGACTAATAATTGTATAAAAATATTAATAGAAGCAGTGCATGAGAACAGTCAGAAATATTCACAAGTGATAGAAAGACAAAGGGTCATAGTGGCTAAATTAGACTCTAATAGGGGTGGTTGTCAAGTGAGTTTTATTGTTGTAATCATGTGGCTGTCTTAGGTGGCTGTGACCTGTTGCATATTTGATGAGTGTATTTATTCTTTCGGACATGTTCCTTCTCATCAGTATTATTCTTACTATTAGTTTCATTTATCATTGATGGACTCTTGTGGGTTCAGAATTAATGAAAGTGGGAATTTTACCACAGTAATATAACACTCCCTTATCTACTATCTATCTTATACTGAAATATTACTTATTTCTCTGCCTGTCATGCACTATAATATACTCATAATCTTAAAGACTTTCAGTTTGAAATTTATTGAATTTGCAATGAAATAACTTGAATTCTTTCTAATGAATTTTCCTGCAGGAATAAGTCTAGCTTAGATATATTCTCGTGCTTACACCATCTGCTCAATCTCTTTATCTGCATCTACACCTGAATCCCCAATTGCAAATTCCTTTGGCGTATGAAATACATCTTCTTCAGTGTGCAGTGGTCCTTCTACTGTTTTTGTTAGATCCTTCAATGTCTCTGCATATTTCTCATCTTCTTTTTTCATGTCCTCCTTCATTTCTGCTTCTCCAATGTCCACTGTCTCCTTTAGGTCATCACCTGCAGTGTGCATATCCTGGTTCATTTCTTCTCCTAGGATGTGCATTGCTTCTACTTGACCCTTCAGATCATCACCTGCGGTGTCCACAGTCTCTTCTGCAGTGTTCATAGTCTCATTGAATTTGTCTCCTGCAGCTTGCATATTCTCTTCACCAGTGTGTAAATTCTCCTTTATATCATCACCTACAGTGTTCACAGTCTCATTGAATTCTTCTCCACCAACAGTGTTCATAGTCTCTCCTGCAGTGTCCATTGTCTCATTGAATTTGTCTTCTCCTGCAGTCTCCACTGTCTCATTGAATTTCTCTTCTTCACCAACGTGCATGTTATCTGCGTCTACTTGATTTTCTTCTGGCTTCTCTTCATGGACTTGTTCTTCTGTCTGTGTTCCTGCATGTCTCATGCCTTCTACTTCTGTCTGTGCTCCTGCATGCCCTAGTGTTTCAATCTGGTTTTCTTTCTCTGCATGTAGTCCTTCAAATACTGGTGAAATATTCTCTACTGATGCATTTGTCTTATCTTTGCTCTGTGATCGAGTTCTCTTCTTATGTGATCTTTTTTCTTTGGGTTTTTGTCTTCTTTCTGTTCTTCTACTTGAGTGCTTATTTCTCTTCTTTTTATTTTCTTCTTTCACTTCAGTTGGAGTGCCTTCTGCTTCATCTATGGTTTTCTTTACTTCATTTATCATTTCATCTCCTTGTGATTTGAGTTCATCAGCTGTTACGTCTGTTGAATTTGAGAGTCCAATATTCTGGAAGTCTATTTTTGTCTTCTCACTTGCTTGTTCTTCATCGATTATGTTTTCCAATGCATCCCCTACTACTGATGCATTTACTTTCCCAAATATCACTATAAAAGCTATTAATACTAGCTGTGCCTTGATTGCCTTCTTCCACATAATATTCCACTTTATTCTGCTATTTATATTTTATGTACCCCTTATGTCCAAGGGAACCCACCAATTTCTTCTTCTTATTAATTTTTAATTGCATATTATTTGCTGACCGTTATTTAACTGTAAATTACAAAATATAATCCAATCATCATACGTACACATGCCCAATCACTATAGTTTATCATTTAAACAGCCAATCCTGCAAAATATACCCCTTTAATATAAAATCACCAATATGCATATAACCCAATTATCTAACGTATTCTACAGTTCCCTTTGTGCTACTCTGCGGATATAACCAGAATAATATGAAAATAACTGAAAAAGTGTTTTATATAAATTCATTGTATACTGGCATATTTAATAGGAAATAAATGAATCCTAGCTATATCCTGTATTTATAATGCATTATGTGCCTTATCTGAAGCTATTTCCTGCTTATTTTCCAGAATATAATGAAATACAGCCAATAAATAGCTAATTTATTCCTGAATATAACGAAAACCCTCATTATAAACACCTAGAAGAGACAATATCTATCGCATATGCACTGTAGTACTATAAATATGCATATTCATGCACTAAACCCACTAATATAAAATATACCATAAATCTGCACTTACTGAAACCCATGCTACCATACTCCTAACTTGTACAGACATATATAGCACTAGAATATACTAATCCCATTGTAAATCCATATCACAAATATCACCAAATACAAGATATAAATACTGTTTAAATTCCAGTAGATTCCTGGAATATTCTGATTTTCCAAAAATAAACCTGTTCAGAATGATTTTTCGATATATAATCTGAATACTTTTGTTTTGAGTTAAATTTATTTCAAACACCTGTCATACTACTATATAAAAAGCTGGATTAACATTGAAGCCCCCACTGTAAGGCAGAACAAAAGAGAATCCTTAAGGATATTCGCCAGTGGTACATCAGGCGGATTGAGGCTTATTATTGACTCAGCAATTGAAGACCTGTTGTTCGTTATTTCTCCAACTCCCGTGAACAGCAAACCGCACCCAACAAATGAAAATAGCACAATAAGAATTGATTTTCTGGCAATTTTCTCAAAATAAACCATAAGCACAGCCCCCAGTATAACACCAAGCACCAAAGGAGGCAAAGGACCTTCCACACCATACTGCATGAAAATGCCCCTAGCAGGACCCTCTACAAATAAAAATACACATGTCAGGAATATAAACAACCGCATGAAGAACTTGAAAATTGCAAGTATTAAGCAAGAAGCTATCACCCCAAAGAAGAATATGCACCCGAATGTGTAAACTGGATTATTCACCAGATTATCACCAATCTGCTTGGCTGTATCACTTGACATACTGCATAAAAATGAAGAAAGTCCTCCTACAACTCGAAGCAAGAAGTGATATAGATACAATATGGCTACAATTCCCCCATTAAAGGCAGGAAATTTAGACCCAAATATTGCCATTTCAGCACCCACTATGCATGAGATTATACTCTTTGTCTTGGCTGGCAGACTTGCCTCTGAGAAACTAAGTGCTTCTGTTCTTACTGCTCCTAGCTTATCGATTAACATTCTTGTTGTTTCATTGTTAATATTCATTCTAGATATAAAGTATTTTTTGTATTTGTTGTACATTTATTTCTTCCATATAGGGACTTATTAAAATATAAACAATGTTTTATGTCAACAAATAGACTTTCAAAGCAACGAGTCAATCATTTTCAATTTCCCCGGGTAAATTGAATCTAAATGGGATAGACCAAGCAGATGATACAGGGGTATTACAGGAGAAAATAAAACACTTTGAAATTTGCTGGAAAATAGAGAATTATTCTGTGCATTGTATAGGAATATACTGTGGGTGTGAATTTATTTTGGAAAATACTGTGAAAATCTGGTTATTAATTGGGTTATTTGGGTTAGAGGATGGATTTCTTGTAGTGGCATATTAATTAGTATATTATGGGAATATCAATTGATTATTTGTTGAATATTGACGTGGAAAGACAGATTAGATTATAATTAATTATTGGGTGACTTTTTTAAAGGGAAAATATGTGGGAGAATGGTACTTTTTAAGCACTTTCATTATACTGTAATACTGGGTACTTTAAACTTGCATTCTAAGGAAGACTCTTATAATTATGGAAGATACTTCTTTTTTACGGCAAGAGAGTATATGGAATGGAAAGTACAAAAGAAGTGAAAATTGAAAAGAGTCTGTAATATGCATATTCTACGATAATATGATGCACTTTCTATCTTTATATCTATATCGTGCAGATATATCCATAATTCTTTTGTTTCTGAAGTCTGGCATCCTTGTGTTTCAGTGTCTTGAAATACTTCTTTTTATAAGGGTATTTTATTCTTCATGATATACATAGTGTGCCACTTCCTGGAGGTAATATGCATATAACCATATAGTACTATGGGTAGTGTGCATGGTCTAGCAGTCTGCAGGCCTGCCTAGCCAGATGAATATTTTCATGCAAATAATAAGTATTTTGCATTCAGCAAGAATAAACAATTGTGAGATCAAGAAAAACAAATAAACCGCAATGACTGCAGGGTTTAAAGTGTATACTCAGTGCGCATATGGTAATTCAATGGGAATCCATGGTTTCTGAAAATTCTAATAAATATTTAATAATTGTACGTCTTTTTTCTTCCCTTCAGTAAGTTGCATCTCTGTTCTACTACGCCATGTATACGAGTATGAATAAAACCCCTTCTATTTTCTGCTTATAGCACGAGTGAGCCTATTCCTTTGATAATCTGGTCATTCTCATCGTATATATTCACTGTCTTAAGAAGGGATGGGTCATTTCTCACAGCATCAATTATCATGGCAGATGCGTCTTCTGTTTGGTACCCGCCCCCAAGTCTCTTTATCTTCCACTTGCTGCTGACCTCAGACTCTTTCTTCAAAAGGAAGATCGATGCATCAATCTCTAAATTTGTGTTTAAATTCATGAGATCGTATCCTATGACTCTGTCTCCTGCCCCAAGCCCTTTAACCAGTGTCTTTGCATTTACCATTTCCCCATCATTCTTTAAAAGTACCACATCGTATATTCTGTTCCTTCCAAAATTCAGCTGCATCCCAGGGGCTGCATCCTTCGCATTTTCATCCATCTTGCTGGGAATGCCCTTTCCATCCACCTCAATCACTTCAAATGATCTCTGTGCCTTTGATGACCCAAGTACTCGCATGGCCCTAGCATACTTAAAGTACTCAATTCTCCCTAGATCTTTCACTTGTCCCTTACTGTCTGCCAGTAGGATTGACTTTGAAATCCTAAGTACCACGCACATGTCCGTTAGAGAGAGTTTTTTCCCAAGAGTATCCGGGAGGTAGACTAAGTCATTCACATTTAATGCAGGTATTTCCACCGAGTATGCGAACTTGTATCTGCTGTTATTTGACTTTTTATCCAACTTCACCAACTGCTCAGATATTTTCACTTTCGCAGGGGCATATTCCTCAATGAATCTGACTAGTTTTAAAGAAGCCGTCCTGGAGATGTAGAAGAAGTCAATTCCATCTTGTTCTCCTTTTATGTCAGTTGTCTCCTCGTGCAGGCCTGCCTTCAGGATAGCCTGCTCCAGAAGAAGCAGAGTCTGCTTTGACTGGCACTTCTGCCTCAACTGCACAACACAGTTCCACGTCTGATTTGATGCTGCTCTGGCGCAGTCTAGACAGTGCTTCCCTTTAATCACCCAAGTGATATCTAGTTCTTCTGCATGCTCCAATCCAAATATGTCCATCTCAGATGTCCTATCAATACTCACCTTCATTCTGACTCTCTTAGAGTGCTCCTCAGAGTGTATAAAGTACGCATCTACTAGCTTCAATTTCGCTAACTCCGGGATTTTTTTCAGTAAATACGCAAGCATCTCTGGGCCTTCAAAGCGCAATGTAGTCCAGCCAGAAGGGGGTACACTGTACCGCATGCACGTACTGCACCTGTCCACCTCCCGGGACGTATCCACATTTAATTTTGGCAACTCTCTGACTGTGCATTCAAAGCACATAGAAGTCTCAAACATACTTTCAGTTCCGCACAAGCAGCAACGCATTAAAAATTTTATTAATTTGGCTGGTTAAACATTCTTGCTACTTCCTGGACAGCATCGACTGAAATCTCTTCAGACAGCACAGCAGCCAAAGGGAGCAGACCAAATGCAAATCTGAGTGTACTTTGATTGGCTACTTTATAAAGCAGCTGCACTGCAGATTCTGTTATCTTTATCTTTTCTGCTTTTACCTTTTGGTCTATAATCCTGCAGACTGCCTCTTCCTGTGGTCTTTCCATCTTAACTACAAATAGTCTGCTTAAGAAGGTGGCAGGCATTCCGAATAGACTAATTTCATCAGAACCTGGTACTTTTATTTTCCCTGCATTTGTAGCTAGTATAATCACTGGGCAGGTGTCTGTCTCCAGGATTGTACTTAGGAAGGAGTAGCATGGTAGGTCTAGCATATGTGACTCATCAATGAATAGTACACCAGGTGTTATCTCTGCAGCCCCAATGCTTAACTGATAATTTATCTTTGCATCTACATCTGCCCTGAGTCTGCTTGTTATTTCTACCCTCCCTGTGTGCTGCATCTGCGTGATAATTGAGAATACGTCTTCTCCTTTGGGCTTTGCATTGGCTAGGTCTATCTCATGCAAGGTCATTTCCTGCAGGACTTCCTTCTTCATGAATATATCTCCCTTTGGCATTGGTACATATTTATCACTCTCAATGTCAAACTCAGATGCATATGAGTCACTTCTTCCTATTTTCTTTATAATATTCTCTTCTGGTTCAATGTAGATTACGTCACCTACCGTTATTTTTTGTTTTACTATTTCCTGTGAGAGAAGAGGGTTTAGTGTAAGTCTTTCTGTTCTTTTTGCACTCCTTAGTGATACATATATATTTGAAATTGTCTTTTTGTAATTATTCAATGGGTCTTCCTTCTCTTCTATTTTTATATCGATCACTTCCCCTTCAAATACACTCTTTATCTCTCTTATTCTTATGCTAGTAGCCCTTCTTATTGCCTGGTGTAATATTTCTGTCTTTTTTATTGTGGCTGAATATACTTCACTGCCTGTCATTCTTACAAAAGGTACTCTTACGCCTAGTTCTTTGGATATGCCTACTGCTAGGGCTGTCTTACCACTGCCACTTTCCCCGGATATAAGAAGTACTTTTCCTGCTATTTTTTTGTTAATTATCATATCCGTGAATATACTGGCTGCTTTCCTTTGTTTCTCCATTCCCACTAGACCTGATGTCTCTGTGGGTTCCATTGCCCTGTCTATCCCTAGACCAGTAATGTGGCTGTGCGCTAGTCCTTTGTCCATAAAAAAAATAAAATGTATTCTTGTTATATCTTATGGGAATTGAATTATTTTCTGGAATATTTTGGTTTGTGGCTTTGGTAATTTATGGGTTATTGTGGTACTTTGGTGCAGCTGGGTTATTATATGGGGATATTTGGTGAAATCTTGTGAAATTTCATTGAAGTTATTTTCATTTTGTTCTGTGGTCTTATGTTGTGTGGTTTTATTATAATGCTTAGTACTGCATTATATTGTAATATATTGAGTCTTGTTTGCTCTTGTTATATTATTTATATAGCTTGCATAACTAGAAATATTTCTTCTCTTTGCAGATTCTTCATTGAAGGAGAGTGCTTGGTGGGAGGTCTCTGGGGAGCTGGTGGGTTCTGTTGTATGGGGTCCTCGTAGCTCAATGGCAGAGCGTTGCCTTCCTAAGGCAAAGGTTGCGGGTTCGAAACCCGTCGGGGACGATCCACCTTTTTATCCCAATCCACTCCCATCCCTCACAAACCATGCATCCCGAGACTGCATCCTTCCCTCTTAGATCACACCCTCCCTAAGACTTTCCTATTTTAAATTCTTGCACGACAAGATAACCCGATATAACCCGAGATACACTGTGCACCCGTCCTGTGCAAATTCGCTTAATATTTACAGCCACCTTATAGTGCACGATATAATACTCAAAGCACCCACTGTATGACACATAATCAGGACACCTTCAAATATTCCAATACTCCTACCTTCTGCACAAAAATCAACCGAATTAATAGACCAATTACAACGCATAAATATTCACCAGTAATAATATCTTGTCTCTTCCAGTATTACATCACCATATACTGCAGCCAGTTTTTCTTCTTTTTCTCCTAAGTATCCGCATAATAATCCTCTTTGATTTTTTTATTATGATTAAACCTGCTGTGATCTGGACTGCTTCCAGGGCTGCAGTGCTCTCTGTATCTGCTGCATCTTCATTTTTCATTCCACACCATGACTTCTCTAGTGATCTCCTGCAGTGCAGTAGCCCCATTTCCTTTCTTGTCCGATGGGATGCCATTTATTTCCATAATATTGCCAAGTACGGGTACACTTCTGATAATATGACTGCCTTCTTTCCTTTGTATCCTATGCTAATCCGTGCTTTATCTTATCTCTGGATACCCACTGTATTCGCAGGTGTCCTTCTCTCTAATTTCGCATTTCTTCTTTCTTCTTTGATTCTTTACAGGATCACTGAAAAACACTTCAGTCAGTCACATGCCACCAGAGCATGCATTCTCTTCTGCTTCAGTCCTTGCTCAATTATCTACTCCTCATTGTACACTGAGTCATTATTCTGCCTCTTCACTATGCTCTCCCTTGAGAGTCTGCTGCATACCCGGGGTGCATCTTTTTTGTGGCTCTCATTGGCATCTTACGTTCGCTCAAATGGCTTCATCCTGGCACCCATCGCATTCATGGAGGGGCTGGCTATGGGCTCTTATGGTTTGGGTATTTTTATGGCACTTCTTCCTGTTCTTTCATTTTTTAGTGTGCAGCTGTTTTGGCTTCTCACTAGATTCCCATACATTAAGACACTTCCGTACTCTTACGTACAGGCTGTCTATTGGGAGCAAGGATTCATGGAATTCTACAAGCATGGGAAGAATATCCCAAATATCATAGTGGGTTTGCCCTTTGTGCTTCTCTCTTGTCTTGTCTCATGGAATTATTTCATGCAGGAAAGAAGGCTTCTTCAACTTGCACTCACAGAAGGAAAAGAAAAAGTCATCTCCAGTAGACTAAATATATTGATGAACAGAGAGAGACAGAAGAAGGAAACTGTTAAGGTTAAAAGGGCTTCTGTAATGAACGTATTCTTCTTTGCTAGGTTATTCCTTCATTTTGTTCTTCTATTCCAAATAATTCTTTCAATCTTCTTTATTCACATGAATATGCACTTTCGCTTTGTTTCTTATAATCCTGTGATATACTGGGAACTATCTGAGATATTTGTGAAAAAAGGGTTCTGGAGGGTTTTACTATTCGGGTATGTGTGTTTTGGTCTTTCATATGGTGTATTATATGGTGCTTATTTTCCTCCTGCTTAATTTTTGGTTTACAGCTGGATTTTCTGCTTCCTTTGCATAGAAATATTTTTGTGCGAGAACCACAAAAAATCGTGCTCTGTGGTACTGCAGACTAATCGAGTGGTAAAATCGTGGTTTGTGGGAAATAAATCTATCTTGCTTTATTGTGTTAGAATTGCATGTTCTGGAGGGGTTGTTTTTGTTTCATTGTGGCATATGCCTTTTGAGGCAGTTCTCTTGATTTTTTACTATATTTGTCTATGCTTGGTTCTAGTGGGATTGTGTGTTCTTATAGGGTGCAAGTTAATTTATGCACTTTTATTGGTGTATCACTGTGATATATTATTTCCTGCATGGTGCCATTATGGTTTTGAGTGTGTACAGTATGAGTTCCCTTATGAAACTGCTGTATATTACGGATACTTTCATGTACCTTTGGTCTTACCATTGCCAGATGTGTGTTTTAGTTATATTCTGTAGTTCTCTTGTATTTCTGTGCTTGCATACATGTTACTTTGTGGTTTGCACTTTTTTAGAGTTTTTTCGTATTATAAACCCTTTCATATACTGCGTATTGAACACTTTTTTCTTAAACGCATAGGTGCTAAAACACTCACAGACAGAAAAACAAGAATAACCCAAAATAAATAAGCACACAACCAAGAAGAACCCGTTATTTTAGTGTATTCCCAAGCATACACCATGCTAATCCCCAGATACATATAGAAACTCATGTTCCAGCTATATTTAAGATGACTTTCAGAAAGTTCTGGATATTCCATAAAAAGAGTGCACAGTAGAAGTACACCAGGCTGCACTCCAGGAATAAAGAAGCAATCACATGCCAGAAGGGTCTAAACCAAAAATCAACCACCCTGGAATATTGAATATTCAATATCCCAAAATACTCAAATATTAAGCCCACAGAAGTAACAAAAACACATCTATCACACTAAGCATACTTAACACACAACAGAAATACCCTAAACAAAACAATTATCAGATAGACTAATCCCCATAATATATCTGTAAAATGTAAATTCTTTAAGAATTTCTTCTCTCTAGTGCTCTGATGGATATTCAAATAGAAATGCAGCCAGAATATTTTTTAAAATGAAACAGCAGAGAACAAGACGCCTGTACATAGAAAGAATAATAGTGGAGAACTTTAAAAGCTACAAAGGAAGCCATACAATAGGACCATTTGGAAAAGGATTTAATACAGTGGTAGGCCCAAATGGCTCAGGAAAAAGCAACGTGATAGATGCAATACTCTTTGTACTAGGATTTAAAGCAAAGAAGCTAAGACACTCAAGGGCAGAAGATCTGATCAACTCAGGGGAGCCAAGACCAGATAAGGCAACTGTGATAATTGAGCTAAAGGATGAAACAGGAGAAGGCGTGACTGTGTCTAGGGCAGTAAATAAAACAGGAAAAAGCACATACGCAGTGAATAACTCACCAAGTACCCAGGAGACAGTAACAGATCTAATGAAAACCTACAATGTAGACCTAATAAACAACAGATTCATGATACTCCAAGGGGAAATTGAAAGTATCTCGAATATGAAGCCAAAGGGAACAGGAGAACAGGCAGGCCTAGTAGAATATCTAGAGGAAATTGTAGGCACAAATGTCTTCATAGAGAGAATACAACAGGCAGAAGAAAAAGTCAAATTTACAACAGAATTAGCAGACAGGTACAGGGCAGAGTACCAGTTCATTGAGAAAGAAGTGAATTACCTAGAGCCAAAGGCAAAGGATGCTAAGTCCAGAATAGGAAGTTATCTGGCAGCAATCCATAAGAGACAGGAGATCATAAAGGAAGAAAGAAAGGATGCAGATGATGCAATGGAGAAGGCAGCAAATGAAAAGAAAGAAGCAGAGCAGGAACTGGTTGATCTGAAGAAAAAGAAAGAAGAAGTTTTAAAAGGTCAAAAAATAGTAGAGACAGAAGAGGAAGAAGCAAAGGGTCTTCTCAGAAGGAAAGAAGGCATCTACTTAGAGGCAAAGAGTAAATATGAAAGCATAGACTTAAGAAACCGAAGAGTAAAAGAACTGATTAAAATCCATGAGAAAAAGAAAATATCCCTTCAAGAAGAAGTCCACCAAATAAAAGAAGAGAAGGCAAGGTATGAAACCAAGAAGAAAGCATCAGAGGAAGAAAAAGAAGAAAATCAAACGAAAATACAAGAGAGCCAGAAAGAAAGAGAGAGTCTATCAAAGGAAATAAAGAAGATTGAGGCAAATATGAATGGACAGGAAAGGATAGACCTGGAACAAGCAAAGAAGAACCTACTAGACCACATGAGAGGCTCAAAGGGAATAAAAGACCAGCTAAGAGAAAAAAGAAAAGAAAGAGAGACAGTTGAAAATAGAAGAAATAAATTGGAGAGAGCAGCACAAGATATCCCACAGGCAATTGAGAAAATAAAGGAGAGTGCATCAGCATACAGCCAGGAGAAGCATGATAAACTAGAGAATAAGATGCGAAATTTAGAAAAAGTCAAGGAAGAAACAATATTCGAGTTACGCAAAAGGGAGAATGCACTGTATGAAGCACAGAATGAGATGAAAACATCAGATGTAACAGACAAATTAAGTCAGCACCTGCAGATTGAAGGATACCATGGTAGAGTAAAGGACTTAGGTTCAATCCCAGATAAGTACACAATGGCCCTCTCTGCAGTAGCAAAAGGATCACTTAATAACCTAGTAGTAGATACAACAAGAATAGCTGAGAAGTGCCTGGATATAATTAAGAGCAAACAGCTTGGGAGACATACAATTATTGTTCTGGATAAAATTGCATCAGATATAAGGCAAAGTAAAGAATGTAACAGACTCCTGGATAAAATAAGAACAAAAGACCTGTACAGAAGGTGCTTCTACCATATACTAGGAGACACACTTGTAGTTAATAATATGGAGGCTGCCATGAAAAGGGCATTTGCCCCAGATAGACCCAAGGTAGTGACCTTGGATGGGAAGGTCATTGATAGAAGTGGTCTAATGAGTGGGGGTGCAGTGCGTCCTGTGGTGCTGTCCCAGAGAAGAACCCAGAAGGAGATAAATAAGGAACTGAAAGAAGCAGAAGAAGCAGTTAAGGAGGCACGTGATGGACTAGGTACTGTGAATGCAGCTATAGACAAAACAAAAGAGAGACTTGACACAGAAATAGTACACAAGAAGAACAAGGAACAAGCAAACCAAGAGATTATACTACTGGAGAAACAGTTAAGAAAGACACAAGAAGAGATGAAGATGCTGCCAGAATTGAAGAAGCAATATGAACAAGTAAAGGAAGAAGAAGTTCTTTTGTGCAAAAAAAACAAAGACCTGAATTTAATTGAGATAGAACTGGAAGAGAAAATTAAAAAACATCAGGACACTCTGGATGAAATAGGAGGGGCATCATATAAAGTGATGAAGGCAAGGCTTGAGGGCCTGGAGGAGCAGATATTTACGCTGCAAAGTAGAAATAATCAGTTACAAAAAATACTTAAAGAAGTACCTCTGTCAGCTGATGAGAAGGAAGGTCTACTGCAGGAAACACAGAATAAGCTTAGTGATTTAGTACTGGAGCCAATAGATGCAGAGAAGGCTACAATGGAAATGGCAGAAAGAGAGTTAAGAGAGGCAAAGATGCAGGTGGATGCAGCAACAGAAAAAAGGATTAGCATGCAGCGAGAGATAGATATCTGTAGAATAAAAGAGACAGAGATAGAAGAAAAACGAAGTCTAGAGGATGAAGCACTAAATAGCATTAGGAATAAGCTGGGTCAGATGGTAAAGGAAGAGAGTGACATGAAGGAAATTGAGAAGAGAATATCTGAGAGATTGGGTGAGCATAAGGATGCACTCCCTGAGACAAGTCAGGTCAGAGATATAACACAAGAAGAGATCGAGATAGAAATAGAGATGTACCTTGGGTACCAGGAGAAGAAAGCACAGGCAGAGAAAGAAGTAGAACAGCTGGCTGCAAAGGAGGCAGAAGAGAAAACTGCAAAAACTGATCTAGCAGATCTAAAGGAAGAAAGATCTTCAAAATTCCTGCAAAGCATCCGGAAAATCAATCAGGAACTGAAAAAGATCTATAGTATGCTTACCTTCGGGGGAGATGCAGAGATAGAGCCAGTTGATTATCTTGATCCATTCTCAGAAGGCGTTGTAATGAGTGTTATGCCCCCTAGGAAGAGTTGGAAGAGTATTTCTCATCTGAGTGGAGGAGAAAGGACACTTGCATCACTCTCTCTGATATTTGCCTTGCACGAGTACCACCCTAATAGCTTCTATGTTATGGATGAAATTGATGCAGCCTTGGACTACAAGAATGTAGGAATAGTAGGGCAGTTTATTCAGGAAAGATCAAAGGACTGCCAGTTCCTGGTGATCAGCCTGAGAGAGAATATGTATGAACTAGCAGATGTCTTTATAGGCGTATACAGGCCAGCAGAAACTACCCTTACTCTGGCAGTAAATACGAGTGCAGTGAAATAAATCACTCAGAATTTAATTTGCACATTTTTTGATATATAAAATCTGCAATAAAAAATCCTTCACTATCTGAGAAAAAAAGATACACTTTCAAACTCTGATATTTATTTAATAAATAAAGTTTCATATACTATACACTTCAGATACTTAAAGTTAAATGAAATAAACACGAATATCCATAGATAAACTTGCAAGAAAGAAGCAACAGTACTGCAAGAACAAATGAAAGGATAAATTCCAGGGAGAATACTCAAGAAAATAAATAGTGGTTGTAACTGTTTATTAAATAATCATATAGTGCACATATAGTAGAGGTAGGTTGTACTATATTAGCAAAAGATAATATTAATATCTTATGGGAAATCAGTTATTTTTTCTTTTCGTATTAGAGGATGATAGTTTGCTTTTGGATTCATTCAAATACTCGTTATACTCACCTAATGGAATATGCATATTATTCTTGTTAATATTGGCCACCTCCTTGCATGAAAGTGGGACATTGTCGATGCCTGCAGAAGTCACAGGAGTTGGTGATGGCATGCGATAGAACAAGGCACTTTTAACTTTTCTCTCAATTCGGGTTATATCCAGCATAGAATGACTGTCTTTTACTTTGTCCACATTGAAGAGTGAATAGAAATCCATCGAAGTGTCTTTCTGGGATAAAATACTGTTATCCTTGTAGGTCTTCCTTTGCATCTGCAGGACTGACAGAAATGCCATTGTGATTTTATTTCTCACATGCAGCTTGCTCAGCAGATTGTTCACAACACCCGGGTTAATGACTGCATCAGCACGGCCATGCCCTTGACTGAAACAATCCCGGAATTCATCAATACTATCAAGCTCATCATTAATTAAGTCAATTTCAGATACAATTAAGTATAACTGTGTTAGTATCTGCTTCATAAACGTATATTCACCCTTTATCATAAATGATAACGTATCTTGAATCGTATTTCTTAGCTCATATATAGAATTACTATGGACTCTGTGATTATTTAACGGATTATTGTGTTTTATGTACTTCTTAAACTGCAAGTCCTTTAAGATATCCCTATTCTGGGCACGCCGTGATGCACTGTCTGCTTCTATTTCCATGAATCTGGCCCAAGTGAGCTTCAGTAGGTGCTTTGCATACTTTTCACTGGAAAAAGTTCTTGGGTGGTAGGAAATCTGTAGGTCTTTCCCAAGGAAGGATAAATTTAAGTCAATTATATTCGAGAGTGATTCTGTGTTGATTGTTTCTTCCCTAGTAAAACTATTCACAATGCCTCTCATGGACTTTATCATGCTGCGTATCTGACTATCAGATATGTCGTTAAAAAAACCTATTTTGTAGATTTCTGTTATATATTCCTTTGTAATGTGGTTACGCAATGCAGAATATGAAGAAGAATATAACAGATTATTTAAGATATCTATCTGAAGGGTTATGGATTTCTCAACTAAATCTATGTACTCCTTGAAGGAAACAGGATTATTTCTATCCGAATATGAAAGAAGGTTATCTATTTCCCGGGTTATATCAGTATATCTATTATTAACAGATTTATATTCAGTCTCCATTGTCTGATTGAATGTTTCAATCTTTGAGAATGGCTTATTATAAAGGTCTTTATATTCCGGGAAGAGACCTAATTGCGTCTTTAGGAACTCAATTCCCAAATTCTGGTCAACCTTCAGTTCCAACATATATTTAAACCGTGCAATATTTAGGGCATCCCCACCTACTATCTTAAATGGATGCATCTCCAGGTCAGATGAAATATTCAAACTCCTTGGGGGATTTGAAAGTGGTTCATTCATGGAACCATCGCATATTTTATCTGGGAATATATTCATGACAACCCGGTGAATGGAAGAAGGTTCATTTCTCATGTGTTCTATTGAAATAGAAGCCAGACCCACCATCTTTGAGAGTCTCTCATCAGGTGGATGCCACATGAATTTTAAATCTGGGAATTTTGCTCCTTTATTCTCAATTTCACTCCTGTATATTTCATTAATGAATTTCTTTGCTGTTAATAAGAACCTGGGTGATTGATCATGTATAGTAGAACATATCTGGACAATATCTTTCTTTGTTGGTACTTGCATATTTCTTTGGTTTCCTATATCTTGTGAGAATATATTGAATGTTTTCAGATTCCTGTTGCACTCGTACATTGTGTTCTTTTTTCGCATCTGCCTGAGTCTCAGTAGATTAAATTGGTCTCTTGGGTCGATGTACTGGCTGTTGTCTTGGTAGAGTACACTGGCTTGTTCTACAGTGATAGGAAGGAATAGTGTATTGGCATTCTCTATTTCACTCTGTATATCCTCAAGCATTGATGCTATTCTGTCTTCATTTTCTGTGCACTTTAGTTGTGTACTTTCTATGGCTATGGGATTGGCTAGATTCGCTAGGGCACTAAAGACTAAGAGTCCAAACTCCATGAAGGCATTTATATTCATTCTTGAAAATCTCACATCAATAGGTCTTTAAGTATATTTAGTGATAGAGAATGGAAGATCTGGGAGTGAGATGCAATTACGCCGTAGACTGGGGGAGTGCATGGATGTATGGGTATTCCATGGAGGTCTGTTACAATTGACATCTCGTTCATATCTATGCCTGCACAGTGGTCCCATATCTTCTCTTGTATCTTTGTGCTTGGGAGACGCAAAAATATATCTATCTTCTGGGTGGCTACACATGCATATTTTCCTTGTCCATCCATTCTTACAATGTGCACTGGGTACAGTCTACCTAGTCTATCCAGGAATTCCATGAGAACTGGGCTAGAGTGAGTTTTTTCTGCAGAAATTGCAACATATAAAGAAAGTGTTGTAAGAAAGTCAGAATATGAGGTGTGTGGTGAGTCAGAAAGTGAGTATGTTCTGACTCTTCTTCTGTGCGGATACCCAGAAAGACCATTTCCTGACATATTCCATTTATAATAGACTATATTTTCCTTTGGGCAGGATATAATAGAGAAAAGGACTTTTTTGTCTTTCATGCATGCTGCTACAATGGAGTATGACCTGGAGTTAATAAAGCCACGTGTTCCATCGATTGGGTCTAGTATTATTTCCATTCCTGTGCCAGCCAGAGAGTGGCAGACGGGTTTAAGGGGCTCTTCAAGTGATATTTCATTTTCAATGAGAAACTCCTTTATGTATGCATACTCCTGGGAAATATTATTTGTCTGAAGGGCCTTTAATGTGTCCTTATAGAAGTCGTTGTCTTCTTCTTCTGATACAATTGTAATAGGGTACTTCTCTAATAACTTACAGAAAATCATCTGGATAACCACATCGTAAAGACTCACCACTGACATATCACTCTTCACTCTGCTGCTAATTAAAGGGGCTCCTTTTGCTAGATGTGATGCATAACATATGCCCTTCATGACGCACTTGAATATTTCCTCAGTTATTTCTGTCATTGAAAATTGCAAAATAATTTATGGCTAATTATAGCACTAATACTATAAGCAGCACTTAATGAAATACCTCCATTCACTCAATTCTGCATATTCTCAGGAATATTGGTTTCCATTGCAACAACACAAATTTAAATATGTGTTTCAAATATGATGCCTCAGCATGTATAAATTATGATATTAATAGGAAATGTGTCTAGAGTCAGGTCATCAAAGATTATAAAACTATCGATGGTTTTAAACTAGTGATATTATTGTACGATGCAGTCTCAAATTACTGCGCCGAGATCCGGGGTATAAAATAAAAAATAAATTTATAGTACAGAAGAATTTAAAAAAGTAAAAAGACTCTAGTATGAAGAAGTGCTAATAATCCATTTCAGAATAATCTGACTATATATTATTGTTTCTGTTGTAAAATGGTTATTCTTATTTTAGAAGGGTTAAATGTAAATATAATTGGATTGGTTACATTTAAGGGTTCCCAGGTAGAGTGACTGCACCAGGGCAGCACCATCCATAAGACATGCATATAAAGTAATTTGCACCTCCTGGGGTTATATACCCAGAATTCTTCAGAATAATTATAAAGTGAATTTTCTCTACAAAAAGTACTTTTATCCTATAGTAATAAGAGTACAAGTACAGTAGAATACACTACTTAAATAACCCGATATAACCCGATATAACCCGAAATAAGTTTACCTAATAATTTCCAAAGTATTTCTACCGAAAACATTCCATCTTTCGTTTCAGAAAGAAGAATAACCACAAAGAGAGTATAAATCTAGTGAGACAAGTGCAACAAACCCATCAATACACAGAATCCATGTAAGAAATACTCCTACTAGATCTCTTATTTTGACTCGATTCATATAAACACAGTGATACTTTACCTCAGTCTGTTTGTTTTTCTGGGAGAAGAAACATCGATGAAACTTCATACCAAACTATTTAAGAGGAATATTCTGGTAGGTGCATGATAAGACAAGCACTTCTCTACCTTTTCATAGTTCATTATGTAATAGGTCAGACATATAATACTTGCAAGGTAACACCACCATCCTTTGGGTATTCAATCACAAAGTACTACAGGGATCAATGTGTCCACTGTAAGAGTATATCCCCAAAGATACAGAAAATAGTAGATTCAATGGAAAGGAAGCAGATAGACATAAATCTGTACAATGTTGATACAGCCGCATGCTATAATGAAACAGAAGAAATAGACGTAATCCCAACTATAATTGTGCATAAAGATGGAAAACAACTTCTGAAGTTCTCTGGGGACCTGGCATACGACAAGATAGTTGATCTATTCGTGAGCAAGACAGGCCTTAATAAGAATATCTTTGAGAAGGAAGTGCCTGCCCCAACTGAAATACTCTCCCTGACTAAAAATGACTTTTTGTCTTCATTCAATGGCCCATGGATTGTATACTTTGATAATGGATACGACCATTTAGTTGAAAATATTCTATTAGAGACATATAAGTCATTCAATACGGAAATAAAGATAGCAAAGTACGTGGGAGCAGATAAGGAGATAGTTGCAGGGAGGTATTACATATATGACTTCCCAGGGATTCTTGTCATGTACGATGGGATTCTTATGCGGTACAACGGGAATATGACCTTGCCTGCATTCCATGAATTCTGCTCAAAGCTTGTAGAACCTAGTTTCAAGGATATCACAGCAGACAAACTCAGTAATATAGTAGAACCAACCTTTGTCGTATTCTACTCTGATGTTGTCTTGGCAAACAGGGCATTCAGGCGGATTGCACACGACTTAAAGATGAATGCAACCACGTACAAAATGAAGATAGAAACAACAGAGAGTGATCCAATCCTTAGACTGGCAGTCTTCAAGAATGGAAACAAATTCTACTACGATGGAGATATAAACAATGAAGGAGACATTAGGGAGTGGTTATTCCATGCTCATTTCCCAAATACATCTAAGCTAGGAATGGATAATTTCTATTCAATATTCCATGGTCTGAAGCCTGTAGTAAGCATTATCACAGACAGTGGAAATCCAGAACTTGAAGACTTTGAGGAAATTGCATTAGAAAATAACAGAGGAACCTCTTCTTCCCCGTATGTCTTTACTTTTGTCGATAAAACAGAATACCCGAAATTCACAGAGACCAACTTTGGCAACTTGGATTCATCCTCAATAATTGTTTTCTTTGACCCACAGAAGCAAATCTTCTACGGCCGCAAGAGAAATCCAAAAGAATCCATCCGGGCATACTTTGACACACAGTTAGCACAGTACAAAGATGGTGTCCTACCGAAATATACCAAGCACAAGCCAGGTTCATACAAGCTTGCTGCCTTCGGAGTGTGTGGTCTAGCAGCCCTTGGTGGAGGACTAAGGTATCTTATGTCTAGAAAGAACAAAGCTGCTTTAGAATAAATTTCTACTATTTTATCTCTATCTTATCTCTATATCTATGAGTATATTTTGTCTTTATGAGTATCTTATCTCTATGAAGAGGTTTATTTTTTGTTCTCGACAAGAAATTTAAAGATGAAAATTTATTTAAAATTACCACTATATATAGGACTACTAGCAACAACAATTACTACTAGTAGAGACACTGGTTAAAATTACTACTATATATAGGGCCACTAGCAACAAATTACCACTATATACCATTGGCAACAAATTACCACTAGTAGACACACTGACAACAAATTACTACTATATATAGGGCTATTAACAACAATTACCACTATATTCCACTTAGAAGCATCTGGTGTCTGGTGCACTGCAGGCAAGACTTTTTCAAAGAAGTAAATTCTCACATAGACAGACACTAAATTCATTATATATCTGAATAATCCTGATAAATCTACAGATCTCACAATAAAACTACAAGAGAATAGACTAAATACAACAAGAACTAGTCACAGTACATAAATATGAATAAAATATCTGTAAAATTATACTGTCTAATTTACACTAATATTCTCTTTCTGAGATATTCTTATCTTATCTGTACTAATATTTCATTTTATCTACTACAGAAAGATCATTTTAGACTGCATAAAATAAAATTCAAAAAATAAAATTATGCCAGAAATATTCCTAAGGAGAGACCTTCTAATTGTACTTTTAACTATCTTATTACTGCCTGCTTATATGTGCTCTTATAATATATATGCAGATATAAACTCACCAGGCAGGTTAAACAATAGTAATTCTGAAGGAAATAGCACTAGAGACCAACTTAATCCAGAAGAAAATAATTCTTCAGATGTGAAGTGTAACTCACATGAAAATGAATCTACAACGGATAAGAGACCTTTTTTTAATGAACTACTGCAAAAACACATATATACCCCTGATTTTGATGAAATTCAAAACCCATTCATGGGATATTTTAGACATAGTTATAATTTATCCCAAATTGCCTCTGCCTTTATGGGGTTTAATTGCATAAGCAAAGAAACAGCTGACTTTATAGTGAATTCTCTATCACATAATTACCCAGATCTATGGCTGCCCCCATCAGACGTACTTTCCATGAGTGAGTTAAAAACAAAGATATTATTAACACTTGATAGTGTTAAGGGACTTAGACTAGAGTTTGAAGCAACAAAATCTGTCTTTGAGAGTGTATATACGTCTTTCTCAGAAGATCTCATAACAAAAAACCTAAAGAGATACAGTCAGGCCATGGAGACACTCAGGATGTACAGAATCCTGGAGGCAAAGACTATGTATAAGCTAAAACATATTTGGAAGCCAGAAAGTAAGGCAAAAGAAAAGATGGATTTATTTGAGCACTTTAATCCGTCTGCTAATATGACAGCAAGAAAGAAGTATATTCTTAAGAATAGAAATATATTCCAGCATAGTATTAGATCATTGTATGTGGCTAAGTTATTAGGCGTAGTTGCCTGCAGTGCCATGAAATTCAATTTTAAATCGATCTTACGCCTTAATCTAACCATGAAAACCTTGAAGCAAGAGTCTAGTTTAGACGATTTAACTGATATGTCTGAGTCCTTCAATAGTCTCAATCCATTCGAGTTTAACTACGAGACTGTAAAGTCACATGAAGATAAGTTTAAGCAGCTCTTAAAGAACTATGTTGAAATAATAAACATGGAAGACCGTAATTTCAGAGATGAATACTTCACCTTAGAAGAAGGAATCCAAGGAGATTTAAGAATGCATGGTACCATCCTGAGTACCACAGTGACTAATAAGCACATAAAATACATAAATACTATTTTAAGCTTACTAACAGAAGTCATAGACTCTAATGAATACATATTACAAAGAATTAATGAAATTCTCAACCAGAATATAAAACCACTTCCAGCAACAAATCACCCAAGTGAAAATAGAATTGCAGTATGGGCCTTTGGTGGCTCTGCAGCAGGTTACTTAATTTCCGCGATATTCCAAGATATCATTAGATCTATCATTCCCATACAGCTTAATATAAAAGGTGTTATCAATTATATACCACCACCAGGAATAGCAGATCAAATAGCTGCTGCAACTACACCCAGTATTAACTAATTAGTCCGTTATTTTAATAAATATGAAAATTAAATTAAAGACAAAACTATCTAAAGAATTGTCTTCTCAAATAAATACTAAGGCTAGTAATACCTCTTTAACTAAGATCTATACATTGGATACGAATGAATATAAGATTCTTTAATGAAAATATCTCATTGAAAAACTATCTGAAAGGTAATTCATGAATCCATAAAGAAACAGTCCTGTAAGAGAGAAATAAAAGAGAAATCACTCAATTATATGCAGATAGTCTTATTACAAAGATAAAAGTTAATTAATTTAGTATCCCAAGTGCACCCATATAACCAGAATTATTTTAATAATTTGCAGCACTGGAGTGAAAATACTTGAATGAAATGTACTCTATTAGAGTATGGTATAAATCAATGGGAACTTGTATATACTTATATACAGCCAGGATTCTTGCTAAAAATATGATAATTTCAGAAATATAAGCTGGTACATGAGAAATTCACTCGAGTAATTTCTGAAGCGTAAAATGCGAGAGTGCATATATACAGGTGGAAGGGGGCTGCAGCAGAGGAGAAAAAACTCTCTCACAGGGAATCGAACCCTGGTCCCCCGCGTGACAAGCGAGAATGATAACCACTACACCATGAAAGATTACACTGTTATTTTGGGCCACCAGGCTACAACTACATCTACTGCAAGTAAGAATATGCACAGAATATACCTTTATATCTATGGATATCTTGATTTATAACGGAAAAAGTGATTTAATCTGCATAATCAATCGAACAAGGCACTCTGACTGTAGACTCAGAATATCCATATTATACAAAATATATGCACTAAACCATATAATTATATATATTCTGTTATATCTCATTATGCAGCTGTATTAAGGATCTTTCATATAAATATTCTAAGAATTAAATATATCCATATGAGTATAGACTAATTCTATAATATACAACAGGATTTATCTTTTGATATTTTTAATAATTTATCTTAGATATTTCTAGTACATGGACTATAAAATCTTAAAATTTTTACTGAAGGGCTAGAGATAGGAATGTTTGAAGAAATATTAAAATACAGATATTCCAGGGGATTAGCAAAATACAACAGAATAAAGCCTTTTAACCAAGGTATTTTAAAAGTAGTTATATACATGGTGCTTATATGCATATATTTAAATACTGTGTATTCTAGTGCAGTAAAGATAGATTGCTTAAAGAAAAATGAAAGGTCAAGGTTGGAGATAGTGGATGTTTCAGAAGAATTCTCATCAGAAGATAAAGAAACAGTGACAGAGCCAATAGTAGAAGACCCAGATGATGATGATGATTCATCCGTAGATGACAGTCCATATCCTTATGGTCTTCTGGAACTAGAATCCACGGATGATTCATCAGAAGGCAGGGAAGCAGAGATGAACAATCCAATAGTTGAAGAACCTGCAATAAATGGTAACCAAGGAGTAGATGCTGCAGTAGGCATAGAACGAGCAACTTCTTCGCCGACTGCAACAGAATATTGGGAAGCAATAAATAGTAATGCAAGCCTTATAGAGTACATAGAAATCATCAAGAAAGACTATAAGGCGTATAAGCGCAGAGTACCAGAAGTGGATGACAATGTGAAAAATCTGGACACTTTGGAGGATCTAACAGAAGAACAAAAAGCCCCATATATGGAGATTATGCACCAGTTCAAACTAAACCTCCATGCAGTCCACTGTGCATTATATCGTCTATTAAAAGATGTAGAAAAGTGTTCTAATGAAGATATAAAAAAGCCTTTTAAAAGTACAGAAGAACCTTTAGAAGAAGACTTTGAGGCTGCATTTACAAGAAGGTTTGGAGAGCCCTTAAATCTAGTCACACCTTTAGAGTGTTATGCTTTAGCAGCCAGACAGATTTTTATGTTGATTCAAAAAGCATTTGATGATTTAAATTACGTTAATAATATTATTACATCGCTAGAACCAAACAGAATAATATCATATATGGATAGAGTAAAGAATTGGTGTAGCCGCTTGACTGATAACACAGGAGAATTGCACAGATTATCAATCAGACCCATATACAGCAACCCTTCTATAGAATAAATTACCCTGAAATAACCTACAGTGCAGTGCAGTGCAATTTGAAATTCTAAAAAAATCTACTAGTAAGAAGCCAAAAAAACACTACTGCATAGAAGAAGAGAACAAGCAAAAATAAAATATATAAATTATATTAAAAACACAAATATATAAGGATATATCACAAGAAACACCTTTATTATATAAATATCCAGTAATATTCTATATAAACCCATTTGAATATTCAAAATTCAAAGAAAGTTCCTGAAATTTCCAGAAAAATAAAACTATAAATTTGTTTTTTTATTGCCCCTGCAGGAGTTTTTAATAACTTTAATAATTTCTCAGAAAGGTCAAATTGATATAGACCTAGGCACGTCTATAAACTGACCTTAATAGACGCACATCCGTCCATATTCGGTCCTTCATACAGGCAATAGACCTAGGCACGTCTATAAACTGACCTTTTTCCGAGTGTTTAGTGTACTGCGAATACATCTATCAGTACAATATTATTAGAAATTAGTAGAAGTAGTAGTTAGTAAGAGTAAGTATGTATGTAGTAAGTATGTAGTTATATAGAGTATAACAGTCCTAGACACGGGGGCATTTCTCTTGGTCTTCGAAAAAATTTTGCATCAATTCAATCAGACCGTTTTTTTTGATATACGGATTATTTCGGTAAGTAATAGTTCCATACTAGACAGTGTATGTGTGGTCAGTTCGCATGGTAGTAAGTTGATAATAGAGAAGAGAGTACTACTTAAGCATGGAATAGCAGATAGGTTAGTTGGGTTATTAGTCCTAGCCTTTATAGTGTTGGCAGTAGTTGGCTTCTCTGTTGTATCAATGCCAATTTGGTTCATGATATATTAACTGCTGGTCCCTGAGAACAAATAAATCAAATTCATACCGTAACAATCCTGCTTCTATTCTGTTTCCTTCTAATTCCGTATTAATACTCAGTACCTTAGTGTTGTTTGTTGAATCTCCCTTATATGCAGTGCTTCTATACAGTAATTCTATTATGTGAAATTCCTTAATATTCCATCTTCATCCGTATTCATGCATATCTTGTAGTACTTCTAGACTACTTCTATAGAACACATTCTGGAACTGTATTTTAATTTCGCTTGTATTCTAGTACTATGAAATATATTTCAAGGAATTTCTGGAAGAATCAAACTATAAATTGACTTTGAAATTGTTCATTACAAGGTTTGTTTAGATAAGTTAGTACAAAATCAAAGTGAACTTGTCTATATGCAGATATATCTATGGATCTACTGACAAATACACTGTGTAAGTGTATAATTGTAGACCTCAGTATGTCTTTAAACTGCTGAGGAATGGTTGTTTATTATCACATAAGAACTGTGTATTGGATAGGTGACTGTGTTATGCCCTGGAAGTAGTAGCTTAGTAGGATATAATCTTGTTACATGAAGAACACATATTCATCTCCTACAAATTTACGACCTTACATGGTAGGAGACTGTTTAGAATGTTCTTCCATCCTCCCATTGCAGAATTGTGTTTAAATTGCACTTTTTGATGGCTGTTATTGCAGTCCTTCTAGTGCTTATTTCCTTCTGCAAGTACAAGAGAATATTCGAATGAGTGGAAGAGGAGACTACGTTATAGGAAATGACACGGGGCTCTACAAGGCATAGAGTGCAATTATAAGTAGTACAATATAAGGAAATAATTAGTCTTTATTGTAATCTAAGGAAAGAAGGTTATGAATACGAAAATATTCATATTTCTTGTTTTCTTGCTATTATAATATGCCTTGGGGTTTGAGTTGCTATCTGATCGAGTGGTTGCTTGTCTCTGTAGTTCTCTAGTGCACCTGGAAGTTCTTGCATGTGATCTTAAAATTAGATCTTTCCTTTGGTTATGTGATTTCCATACTCAAATAACCGTTTTTAATAAAGATATCATATCTAAATGTGATTATTCTTGGTGGTATTGTTGGGTTTCCTTGCCTTTATCCTGGTCTATACGGGATATTTCCATGTGCTAATTTCCATGAATATCATTGTACTACCACAGGAGCAGAGTGAATTATCCTGTGAATCACAGACACAGAGACAGACCATTATAAAGACGCAAGAATTTATATAGAATGAGATTAGTCCTTCTACAATATAAATATCCATTGATAAATATTCCTGTAGAAATATCTTTATATTCACTCACTACAAAGACAAGTCCATTTCTTCAATTTTCTGCACTCTTGAAGGAAATTCATAAAAGCCCTTTTCTGTCATAATCTAATCTTACATGAATATATAGACTAAATAAAAGGAAGAACATGAGATAAGACATCCATATGCAGGCATATTCCATTGGGATTCTGATCTGACTAAAGTATAAATTCACACGGGTTTTCTTTTTTATGAAAAGAAAAGAGGAGGATCTGCCGTACACTGGAAGGACATTCGTGGTGACTGGAACCACAAAAATGTCCAGAGAGGATTTAGTAAATAGAATTAGGGAGCTAGGAGGGAAAGTCACACTAAGTGTATCTGGGGCTACAACATTTTTACTAGCAGGATCTGAGCCAGGACCTGCGAAATTAAAGAAGGCAGTGGCTCTGGGGACAAAGGTGCTTTCAGAAGAAGATTTCATGGAAATGACCAGCCACTACATCATACAGCCTATAGAAATAAAAAAGACAAAAAGTGAAAATACTTCTAAGGAAAGATGGTGTGATAAGTATAAGCCAGCTACAACATCAGAAATTGTTGGGAATAAAATGGCAGTTACACAGCTTAAGACCCATCTGCTGTCAATGTCCCGGGTTCCCATTGTGTTAGTAGGGTCCTCTGGCATAGGAAAGACACTCTCAGTGTATTTGGCAGCAAAGGAACTGGGGATCTCATTGATTGAATATAACGGATCTGACTACAGGAATAAGCAAGAAGTATCTATAATTAAAGGACTTTCCACACAGAAGTCTTTGACACGAGATATTCACCTCCATAAAAACAAGGCACTCCTTATGGAAGAGATTGAAAATATGACATCAAGTGACAGAGGAGGCCTACAGGAAGTACTTAATCTCTTTAAAGAGACAAAAATACCAATAATCCTGACAGCAAATAATAAAAACAGCCAGAACATAAAGACAGTACTTACTAAGTGCAAAGTCATCTCGTACAGTAAAGTAGATAGTAGAAGTATAGTTGCGCACCTGAAGAATATTGCATCTAAGGAAGGAATATCTGTGCCTGAGAATACGCTTATGCAGATATCTGTGACTGCAAATGGGGATGTCAGGTATGCTGTGAATATGCTGCAGTACCTGAGCAAAAAGAATAAAATATCCACTGAAGATATCAGAATAATGGGGAAGCACATGACAAGCAACAACCTATTTGATGTAACCAAGGAAATATTACAGCCCCATGTGTCTCCTGCACAGAAAATTGACTTGTTCTTTGAAGAGCCAATGTTTGCACTTCTAATGGTCTTTGAGAACTACCTAGGAGAAGGCACCATAAAGAATGCAGCTGAGATATCTGATACTTTGAGTATGGCTGAGATAGCAAATGCACGTATGCTGAATAGTGATGAAAAAAGACTATTCCCTGTGGCTGCATATTATACGGCAGTCAAGCCAAAGATACATGCTACAAACAGACTTGCGTTCAGTAAGTACCTGGGGCAAATGTCTTCACTCGCTGCCTCCAAGAAAAAACTCGTTAAAATCATGAATGAAGCCCCAAAAAGAAGCCTGCATGGGGGATGGTCTACTTTGTACGATATTCTCTCAGTGATGAGCCTGCTAGAGAGTAAAAATACCCCAAAGAAGGATGTTTTAGAATACATCCAGGGCCTGCACATGGACAAAAATGTTCTTCAGTTATTCAGTGAGCTAACAGAGATTAAAATTAAGCCAGCCTCACTGCCTTTAATTAAGCCCCAAAAGGAGTAGTTCTTGGTTTGTTTGCTTCCCTGGAGACTGCAGATTATTTTAGTCGTAAATAGAAGCAAAATGTTTTAATTCAGATGAAGAAGCTACAGCAGAAAACAAAGACGAAAGAAGACTGCTTAGAGGAAATAGAGGCACAGAACTACAAAACCTCATTGGAAGCCAGAAAAACACTTAATTCCATTCTTAGAACAACAGACAAGACAACAAATATGATATACGAGCAGAGAGAAGTTCTTGAAGAAATAAGAGATGAGTCTTACTTTGCAAGGGATAACTTGGAGAAAAGTGCTAATCTTACAGTTAAGATGAAAAGAGCAGGAAAACTTCTTGTTGTAGGAGATAAAGTCTCTGATAAAATAAAAAGCCTTTTCAAATCTGCCCCAAAACCAAAGCAAGACTATCCTAATTCAATCACTCCATCTGACACTACAGAAAGAAGCATGGAAGAGTTCTTTTCTGAAGATAAATCTGCTGTGAAGGAGACAACAACGGATGTCTTAATGTCAATCCGGAATGGACTAAAGACACTCCACACAAAGCTTGCAAACCAGAATAAAGAACTAAAGAATCAAGTTCCCTTAATTGAAGATATAACTGAAACAAATGCAAAGTCATCCACAAAGGCAGAGAAGGTCATGAAAAGCTTAAGAAAAATATAGAATAAATATGGAAATATTCCATAAAATAATGAAAAAACCACTCTCTTTGCTGCGTGTTGAGGCAGAGTATAAAGAGCTAATATTTGGAGAGAATGAAAGTGTGGTTCTTGTGACAAATGAAGATGGAAGTTCAGTGCTTAAGTACACTCTAAGACTACTCGATGGATATTTTAAAGGGCACACATATGCATTTCAGATTAACATTCCATCAAACTACCCGTTTAGTCCTCCTAAAGCTGTCTGCCTAATGAAAGTCCTTCATCCATCAATCGACTCACTTGGGCGCATCTGCTTAAATATAACGAGAGAAGACTGGAGTGTACAGCAAGGCCTGCAAGTGGTTCTCTTTGGTATTTCTGCAATGTTTTACGATGTCCCAACAGAAGACCCGTTTAATAAAGAAGCACATGAAATACTCATGCGCAGCCCAGCAGACTTTATAGCAGAAGCCCAGGCAGTATATAATAGTAATATTTAGTATGAAAATATTCAATGAATTATGCAATTGCATGAGTATATGCAGATTTGTCTATAGACTAGTATATATAGGAGATTACTGCTGCATAAACAGTTTGCTTATTGTGGGTGTCTTCTGCAGATACATTTATGCTTTGGGTTGATTTAGGTGTGAAAATTCCCATTAAAAATAATAAACAGAAATTCATACAACAGAACACATATTTACCCTTAACCATACATAGACAGTAAACCCTTTTACTTCTATGTACTATATATGTACTATATATGTGCATATTCCATGGGATTATATCAATCCTATGGGGTGCAGTTTAATTATGTCATTTCTGGTACTCTGGTACTCTTATTATGTGATTCTGCTGGGTTAATTCAGGTTATTACTACTTACACAATCTAAAAGATATCTTATGCTGCTGTTTTATGGAAAATTACCATAGCTGTAAATACTAAGCACTCTAATAATTTTATACAGTTATTTTCCATCTAACCTTCTTAAATATACTGCATACACTGTGATTATGGCAAAATAACTGAAAAATCACCAAAACATTAATTATAAGAACAGTGTTATAATTAGCTCTGGATATAGCTAATTTTTAGGTGAAATTTTAAAATTAAAATGTATGTGCTCACGCGTGCTACTGACTATATTCTGCGTAATAGTAGGGAAGGAAATAATTACTCAGTTGAAGTACTTTTCTATTCTATTATACTCTACATAAATGATATTTTCAAGGAGAAAGTGGATTTTAGTGGATGCATTTTGGCCATCTCCATGTCAGAGTACATTGTAGTTGTTCTTTCTACAGGCTTACATATGTATGAGTACTCTGAGACTAAAGGACTTAAATGCATTCAAATTATTCCTATAGAAGAAATAGTGGCAGCTGATGCAGCTGATGAATATATCTTGCTGAGTATCCTCTCAAAGGACATAATTACAACTACGTTGTACAATGCAAATACCTCAATAGAATTCACTGTAGAGAGCATAGAAGGCAAAAAGTATGAAGAACCCAGGATTTTCATAGAGAGAAAATCAAAGGATAAAACAGTCATATGCATAGAATATACTAAACACAGAATGTACATATGTGATATAAACAATACTTTCTTTGAAGACACAGAATATACAGATAGAACAAAATTCTTTAAAGAAAATGAAATATGCAGGTACATATTCATAGACAAAAGGAACTTGCTCAAAATATCTGGGCAGAAGGTGGTTCACATGAAGATGAGCATGCGCAGGGAAATTGCCTTTATACCTGGATTTATAAAAGTAATAAAAAATATTCATGGAATAGAAATACTTACAAAAAAAGAAAAGTACGTTGTGTCCAGAAGGGAAAATAAATATATCCTGCAAAGGACCCTAATAAAGCAGACTGCGAGTGTAAAGAAGGAGGGAGATGGAGATGGGGAGATTCTTTTGATAGAACCAGAAAGTTCCAAAAGATCCCCTAGGTCTGTCTTACTGAGTCCTTCTCTATTTACATATAAATTTGAGAATTATGTGCACCAGCTACATATTACAGGCATAATTGAAATATTCATGGACTTAGATGGGAAGTTAACCTATTTGAGAAGTATTGGGCCAGTGGATATCATTGGACCAACTGGCTTTTATTGTTTCTCAACGCATAATTCTTCCTTGGTGGTTTTAGTGTATGGTTCTCAGATTAAAGTATTTGAGTACTCGCCTGCCTTGAAGGTAGAATCTGAAATGCACACTGCAAGTGGGATTGAGAGAGTGGAGAGATTTAGGAAGGAGATTCTTGTGAAATACCGCACTGGCTACATAAAGTATTTCTTGAACAAACAAAAGGCTTTGGAAGGAACTAATTTCTCCTTTACTGGTGATGAATTTGTCTCTTTAGATGCTCCAAATATGAACGTACAGCATACTCCAGTAACAATTACTAAGGCAAGTGATGGAGTGGTTTCTGTGCTGTGGAATGACTTGGTGATTGCGAAAGACACTCATATCTCATGTTTTCACCTTTTGCACAGTGGATACGTATACGCAAGTGGATTTCAGCTTGTACTGAACTCAAAAAGCATCTATTTTTCTTATGCCATTTGTTCTCTCTCTGTGTATAATACACCCACCCGAAGTACTGTACTTGTGCATCTAATAACTGGAACTGTGCACCTTCTTTCTGTTGATAATGGTGCAGTAGTGGGCAGAGTAGATATGCCTCATAAACTGTCTTCTGAAAGGCTAGTAATGCTGTCACTTGACTCTTTCATGAGTATTGCAAGAAATACTCTGACAATATTCGGAGGAGATGAGTATATACAGCCAATTCTGCGTGCATCTTTCCCTGGTCAGATAAAAGACGTATGTGTTGCAGAGGATAATATTGTGGTTGTAACAAACAAAGGGGCTGTATATTCCTTGCAAAAGTCAAATTTATACTCTAAATACAATCAAAATGATGGTGGTTTTGTTGGTGCTTTTTGCAGTGATTTATAGCACTGTGAAAGTATCCATATACTACTATTTGTATGCTTTCTAATTCTTGTATTAAATAATTCTCTCAAACATATACTTTAATTACTTTTTCTAGCAGAAGTATCCTTATAATTTATGAGATATGGTGTCTTGCTAATTTATATGCAGATTAGTTTATATCATTATGTCTCATCTGTGCCAATTAAAGAATTCACCAAATTGCATTGAATGCTAATATATACGTTTCTGATTCTTTCTAGCCTGAATTTAAGCTCTCATGATATTATGTGTGCTAGAACTTATTTTGTCTTGTATTTTTGTACTTTTTGTTCTTTTTCTTGAATGTAAAATAAAACCCTCTTGCTGTACTAGGGAGAAATAGACAGATTTTAATTTTATCTTTTCAGAATAAAAATAAATAAATATTTCATAAAGAGATAAAACTACATCTACTCTAACATGCAGTGTATATCTCGTGAAATAATCTTATTTAATACAAAATACCATGCTGGATAGAATATATGCAATATATAACAAAATAATTAGTTTATTGTATGGCCATAATCCGTAAAAGGTGTTTAATATGTGCTAGATAAGATCTTACATGGGATATACTGACAATATATTCTCATGTGTATGCAGTACTATCTCTATAGATATTTATCTGCTGGATAGTTTCAGGTGCACTTAAATACCAGAAACAAATAATTGCACTGCATGCATTTTTGTCCTTATAGTTGCTAGTGTTGAACGACCTTCTATTTAGTCTATAATTTGTGGATTTTCAATCAAGCAAAACGGAAAAGATATATGCAGCACAGTATGGCCTTAATTCTTTGAAAGCCCATTACGTATAAATGAGAGATCCACTCTATGCCCTACTAGGTCCCTTATGTTATTCATCTGTCTTCCTATCATGACAGGCCTTTCCAGGGAAATCCCCCATCCAATTACACGCACATTCTCTGGGTACCCCATTGGAAGAAGCATCTCAGGCCTAAACATGCCAGAATTACCTATCTCCATCCACCGCTTCATCTCTTCATGGTATCCAAATACTTCCATGCTTGGCTCAGTATATGGATTGTAAGCTGGCTTGTACTTTATCTTGGTTATCCCCAGGTTCTTGAAAAACTCTTCCATGAATCCCATTAGGTGGGATATGGTTAGACCTACTCCCATGATTATTCCTTCTACCTGATGGAACTCAGCCAAGTGCGTGGCATCTAGTGTTTCATTTCTAAAGACTCTGTCAATTGAGAAGTACTTCCTGGAATACTCGTGCTCCTGGGCCTTAGTAAAGTCTATTTCCTGCGATAATTTATATAGCAGCCTGGTGGTCACTGCAGTTGTGTGAGTCCTGAGCACATTCTTCCTGGACTCTTCCAAGCTCCAAGGGGCCTTGTACCCAGAAGACCCGTATCCACCCACAGTGTGCACCATTCGCACTCTTTCCAAATACTCACTCTCTGGGTCCTTTGCATTTGCAGGGTCTTCCATGAAGAAAGTGTCTTGCTCGTTTCTTGCAGGGTGCCTCTGTGGCTGGAACAGTGCATCAAAGTTCCAGAAGGATGACTCAATGTACTTTCCTGCATCCATCTCTTCAAACCCCATCTGCAGGAAAATATTCTTGACCTTTTCTCTCTCTATGGATAGTGGGTGCAAAGCACCTGCGTACTTTGAGGGCGTAGACACAATGTTGAAATTATATTTCTTCAGATTTTTTGCTAGCTCCATGTTATTAAGCATGTCAACTGTTATGTCACTGACGGTTGATGCAGCAGCAGAAAACATAGTTCCTTTCTTTAGTGTATAATGGGTGGTTTTCTTCTGTGTCACAAGCTTTCTTTTTTTGAGCTCTGCCACCTCCTTTGCTGAGAGGCCTTCTATCCCTTTCAGCTGGGCCTGTGTGGTATCACTCTGCACCTCCTGGTTTCTGTCCAGCTTGCCATCTCTGACTGTCAATATTTTCATGCGCATTCCGTTATTTTTTCCTCTTTTGATAAATTCCTGGATATCTTTATCTGTTTTTTCACTGAATTGCTCAGTACCCTGCAATTTTGTCTGCAGCTCTAAATCATCCAGAGGCATTTCCAGCAGAGAATATATAATGTGCTCTGCTGATCCATACTTCACAATGTCCATGCCCTCCCTAGAGACAATTATTTCCTCCCTCTGAACAGGTGCAATTTGAATTCTTTCAAATGACTCAAGCCTTTTAACTGCGCCTATTACTTCATTGTACTCTCCTTCAAGTGTTGTAGTCTCTATTTCATCTGCTGTCTCCAAGGCAGCCAATATCTTTGCTTCAATATCTTCTATACCCATATGAAAAAACCATAAAAATAATTTTTCATATTAGAAGGAACAGCTGTTCTTTACTATATAGAGGGTAAATAAATGGATTTTCTGGGGGAAATATGGATATGCAGGAATGCATGACTAAGGCACTAAATCTGTAAGAAATTGGAAACTGAGTAATTATATCGGCTGTTTTATGGTCTGGTCCTTCTGTGTAAGGTTTTAAATAGAATTGAAGGGTACTGTATATTTGGCATTTTATTGATACGTTATGAAGTCTGTACAATATTCGATGACTTTGTGATTTCCTCCAGAAGTACAGTGCAGACTTCATTGACTAGTGCATCGTTCTTTGACGCTGCCCAGTCCTGTATCTTTTTTGATACATCAGTTATGGCGGTTATTTTAATTAGCACTTTAGCCACATTAACCAGCATATGGTGGGGGTGCTGTATTGCTGGGTCCTGAGGGACTATTATGTCCTTATTTTCCTGCTCGTTGGGTGACTGCATTTCTATTAAGTATGACTTGATCACCTCGCAGAGTATTTTCATAGGGCTTTCTCTTTCAGATGCTTCTTCAAAGAGTTTCTGTGCAGTGGCTTTTATATCTGACTCCTCCAGAAGTAAAGTGGATAGTACCCAGTAGTTGTCCTTGACTTTTACCATTCCACTTCGTAGTAGGTGCCGCAGAAGCACGAGTGCAGTCATTTTAACTTCTTCTGAGTCAGACCGCAAGGGCAAGAAAAGACTGTTTCCTACGTCTTTCACAAGACTGCTGAATGCCATGATGGAGTCTGTGATAATTACCAAGGCAATCACCTGCAAGTCTTTTGATCCAGTTTTTAGAATATTTACTACGCCATTCATAAATCTGGAGCTGCACTCGCTGCTTATACTCATTATTTTTCCAAGAGAAAGCAAAGAGACTTTTTTTGTCTCTTCATCTTCACTTGTCACTCCGTCTACAACTGTGTCCAAAAGACCCTTTAAAGCAGATGTTTCCCCAAATATAATTTCATGCTCCTTAGCAAAGAATATTCTATCAGCCATTTCCTCTTGTTCTTCCGTTGTATTTTTCATGCTATTTCTTTTCGATCCTACGCTTAGTCTTCTTTCTCTGATCTCTGAGTTTGAAATGCTCTCTTTCCTTTTCTTATTTGAGCTTGAGGTCTGCCGTGTTTTTGCCTGGCTGTTCCATGCTGCCTCAATGCGCTCTAGGTGCACAGCCTGTTTGATCGCAATGTGGCCCACAGCAAAAATAAGAGGCTTTCTCTTTCCATCTGCCAGAAGAATATCAAGCATCTCTGTCGCCAGTTCATCTGGGTTTGTGCTGATCAGGTATGCAGTGTCTATAACTGCCTGGACGATTTCCAAATTCCCTTCATCTGCAGTGGCCAGGCATGCAATGACAGCCCGTATTGTCTCTGAGGTATTTCCTAGTCGGTAGTCTAAGTTCCCAAGGATTCTAATGCATTCGCACATTATACGCATATCTGTGCTTTTTTTGAGAATTCCCTGTATCCTGGGAAGGGCATTTTCTGTGATAGATCTGTCTGTAGTGGTTATTCTTCTGAGTAGGCGCAGATGCAGCAGCATATCTTTCTCGTTGTCTATCTTGTAGAAAAGCGTGTTTATTGCTTCAAGGCCGACTATTCCTCTGAGAGTAAGGTCTCGAATAATTCCATCATACGCTAGGCTGTTAGAGTCAAAATGAATGAGAAGCTCAATCAGCTTCTTTGGGCTCTCATTTGCCATTCGCTTAATCTCCTCTGAGAGAACATCTGCAATGTTCTTTCCATCAAGAGTGAGCCGTTGCCATGAAAAAAGGAACAGACCTGGGAATACTTCAAGCGCATTGTCTATGCCGTATGAGTAGCACAGAGAGACGTATTGCACGATTTCTGTTATTTCTCCTTTACTGCCTGCCTTTAGCAGCTGCTTTATCACTTCTACACTTGTGTGCATTGCCTGGTAGAAGGCAACAGCACTTGCAAAGTACTCTGGATTTGAGTCTCTGTGCTTCTCCAGCTGCTGTCTATTCAAGATGCCCCCATCAAGCACATATGGGTGATTCTCCAGTGCACGCTTGAAAAAGACTATTGCCTTTCTTCTTACTATTTGTGTTTTATCCATAATTCGCTCATGAATGGCTGTGTATACGCCTTCCTTCAGATGTTCCAGTAGCCCATTATTGCAGAGTATTTCTGTAAGAGACTGCACTGCTCTTCCTCTGCAGAATGGACTAACATCCATTGTTCTTTCTATTACAGTAGTAATTATAGTGGAAAGTTCTTTTTCTCCTTTTCGTTCTTTTTCAATCTGTGCCTTCAGTCCTTTGCATATGAGAACTGCAGCCTCAGTGGCTGAGTTTCTGATGCACTGAATTTCGGATGAAATTCCCTGTAGAAGGGGTGCAATAACATCTGCAATTCCTTGCTGCCTCACAGACTCGCATACCTTGAGTATCAAGCTGCTGTAATTCTTCTGCATAACTGTATTTTTGCTTTCCTCACTTTCTGCCAGCATGCACTCCAGAATATCCGAAAGAATATTCTCATCCTCTGCATCTTTTTTACTTTCTTGGTCTGCATGCATTGCTTCCTCTGAAGACTCTAGTGTTCTTCTGAGTGCGCTGATGTACAGAATGATCTCTGTCAGCATGCTTGTTGTGTGCTCGTGAAGCAACATATCCAGTGCATTGCTTGTAATCGAGCACTTGCTAAACTCAACCTCTTCGAATAGCTTGAATGCAGCACTTTTCACCTCAATGTGCACCTTTCTCACCTCAAGGCACTTGAAGAGAATCTTGCACAGAAGATCAAAGTTTGTGCTTGTCTCTTTACAAAGCTCCCTGCTTTTTTGTATTATGCTGAGAACAAGGCTTGGGCTGTCCTCCACGGCATCAGTCTTGAAATATGCCGGAATTATGCTCAAAAACACCGTTGCGCTGTCTATGTTGTTGAATAGACTAGAAATAATTTCTTTTTTTAGTGGGTGTCCATGGATGCTAGAAAGTAGCTGTGTGTACTTATCAGGGTCCTGGCTAATTGGCACTCCCTTGAGATGGCAAATGAGCAGTTCCAGCTCTCTTCCTTCTGTCATTTAAAATAAAAATGGCAAAACAAAATTGATTTAATCCAAAACACCCTTCAAGTACTGATATCTCGTGAGTAACTGAATATGGCAGCACAAAAATACTCTTCTGCACTTACCAAAGTGGAAACATATTATTCTTCCAGAAATATCTTGTACTTTAGAATTTCTTCTTTTGCAAATATTCTTTAAATTTAAATACACTGTATAGTGCATATCTCTATATATCTATATCTCTATATGCGACCTTTACACAAATATGTCAATCTGGCTGTATACTGCACATACTATGCAAAGAGACAGTGAAATTTGAATATTTCAATTTTTCATATTATATAGTCATAAAGGGCATATTACATGGTAAATAAGTGTTATCCACCTAGTTATTACTCTACTCAGAGTTTCCTGTAAATTCAGCACCTCTTAATATTCACCCGAAAATAAGCATGTTTCTCTTATACTTTTCTATTTATATTTCACTACAAAAACTACTACAGTCTTTAATGGTTCCAGTACAGAAAGAACTCTGAAAAAATGCAGGATAAAGTGAATTTAAAGGAGCATATTAAGAGACTAGATATTTATTAAATAGGAAGACAGTAATATCGCAGAAGAATTCTTCTCCTTAAATACTAGACTTCGTCACACTAAACTAGATATAATTTATTTCTTGTTGTATATAGTCTCTAGTGGCAGCTTCTAATTAGTTTTATGCTAATTAATGCGTATGCAGTGGCAGCTAATAATTTTATTAGTGACATGCAATATTAACAAACTTAGACCACTCAACACAAAACGCATAAACAAGTAGAGACCTTATAGTGTGGTAGATTACAGCCAAAATACTCAAAAGACAATGACTAAAATTAATCTATATTTCTTGCGAGAAAAGAGGATTTTATCTTCTCAAAGCAAGAGAACCAAACGATACTACTATTTTGTGTTCTGCAGGATAGTAATTCATCTGTTATAAATGATATTTCACTAAGTTTCTTGTGGATACACAAATAATAGAAATCAATCTATCTACAATATCAAAGCACATTATTCAATACAATCTTGATTTACTGCGTATAAATAATAATTTTTATGGTTTTTTATGGCAAAAAATAAGTACTCGGGAGATAAGAGTAATGCACCAGCAAGAAATAATTCGCAGGCAGTAAGCAACCAGAGAACTTGGCGCGAAGGAAATAAAATAGTCAGTGAACAGGCAGTAGGAAGATATGAACACAATGGAAGAAACAATTGGTCAAAATATGAAAGTATGTCAAGGAATGAGGTACAGATAGACAGAACAGGAGGAAGACCAGGAGGTCAAAATAATTACGTTGTGACAAAAACAAGATATAATGTGGAAGTCCAGACAGAAAGAAGAGAGTACAGTCCTAGGGAGATGAATAACAAAGGAGGGTATTTGGAAAACAAACCGTCTGGAAGAAATAGTAATAACTATTAATATCGAAGCAAGATACAAGCATAACAAAGTAAAAGGAATAAGAATAAAGTATTTATTGTAGTACTAAAGAAGATGGAAACTAAAAGTACATAAGTATGGTAGAAATATCTTCACTCAGAATAGCATAAAAGTCCCTATTAATAACTAAGAAGACAATGGAGGGAGAATGATATAACAAGAAAATTATACTATACAGCAAAGTTACGAATAAATGCAATAATTCTTAATATTTATCAAATGATACAGACATTTTATATGAAGTGACATGGTGCCAGAAGAACTTTTATAAATATTAGTAAAAATCAAATAAGAAGAAGAGACATATTTAAGAAATAATTTACAAACGTATAGAAAGATGCTTTATTATGCTATTTAATAGTATCTTCTATAAGGCAACTTATAATTATGGATATAAGAAGCACACCATCTTATGCTTTAAACTATAAATCTTCATTGACTCCGTGCATTTTCAGCAAGAATCTATCTTCTTGTAAGACCATATGCACTCACTCTCTTTATTTGCATGCGAATGACGGCTACTACAGAAGAAATGTCTTGCATATCTGGAATTTAGGATATATCCTAGTACCCTTCCAGGTAAACACATGCAAGGCACACAAGCCAGATGCAGACTATATTCTGCCCATCCAAAATACCCCTAGAATATCCCACAGTCCTGCCATTAAAGAATGCTAGCTAGAGCAAGTCTAAAAACACCTGTGCATAGCAGACCTATAAACCATTCTATATTCGCAGGAAGACAGAGATATATTCCTTTTGCTGCTGTTTTATTTCAAATTGCATAGTAGTTCATAATGAATTTTCAATTTGAAATAAACAGAAGCAAACCATAATTAGACATGCTCTTCATTTGGGCTGACTGCTGGCTTGTACCCAACCATATGCCCAACACACAGAATTATGGACAGCATAATCGTGAAGAACAAAGACACAAGTGATCTGGGCATGAAAATAAAGAATATTATTGGAAGACCCAGGGCCACACAGTACACATGCATCTTTGAATATGAATTACCAAGGATATCCATGGTGTCACTGCTGTCCTTAGTCGTCATATACAGCAGGCCAAAGCATATTCCTATGGGAATAATCAGAATGGGATGGAAGACCAAAAAAAAGCACAGCAAAAGGCAGACAACAAGTAAGTAGTTGCCAGCCATGGCACTGTAATTTATGATGATCCTGGACTTTCCATCCTCCAAATTAGCAGGAACACCAGCTGCCCCTACATTCAAAAATTCCTTCAGTGCTACTCTCTTCTCCACCTTCTCTCTCACATAGTATCCTACTTCATTGCACAGCCTACTCTCCATGGAAAACAAAACAATTTGAGATTTTCGAATTTTAATTTCTTGCTGAGACACCGTTCGAATTTATTTATTTAGAAAGTGCCGGGTCCTCTGCTGCATGATCTCTGGCAAGTGCCTTTGCACCAGATTTTCCCAGAACACTCTATCCAAAGCATCCTCCCCCTCTTCTGGCACCGGCTTAAAAAAGATGTTTTTAAGAAGCTCGTACTCTTCCAAAAAATCCTGTGCGATCTTATCTAAAATCGTATCAGACGGCGTATACGAAGATGCTTGCTGCCTCTGGTCGCACACCAGGTAGTGCACAATCCTGTATTTGCTTTGTCTGTTGTAGTATACAAACCGAAATATCTTCGGGGTTGTCTGTGTTTTATCTATAACCACATCAAACTGAGACTCATGAAATATGTCAGAGGAGGACGCATATGTCTTCCCATCTACAATTGAGCCATCCAAGCCTTCAAGAATAAACAGCTCCCCAGAGGTAGGCGAGAGCTTCTGGACTGTATCAAAGTTAATGATGGGCAGACTTCCATCTACTTTTTGAAATAAGTCAAGAATAGACGCAGTGCTTAAAGGAGACTTGCTCCTGGCAAGACGAGAAACACGCATGAAAAAATAATTTAGATTTCTTTAAATGAACCTACTAGTGATGGTGCAGTGGTAGGGGTAGAAAATGGAGGGCTTGTAGCTCAGTGGTAGAGCATTCGACTGCAGATCGGAATGTCCCGGGTTCAAATCTCGGCGAGCCCTTTTTTTTATGCACGCAACATGGGCACAGACAGCACAGTGCTTTGAAGCACTCTCCAGAATATCCGCCAGAAAGGAAATCATAAAGCAGCTGGCAGAGTACTACGCAACACTGGACCAGGAGGAACTAATATACGCAGTGTACCTCTCAATTGCCAGAGTCTCATCCGAGTCAAATGGCGTGGAAATGAATATTGGCGAAAATATTCTTTTGAAGGCGCTCAGCACATTTAGCTCATCCTCAGTTGACGCACTCCGGAAGAAAATGAAGGAGTCCGGGGATATATCCACAATTGTAACAGTCTCCTCACGGCCAAGGCTTTTCTTTGCCAAGAAGAAGACACTTTCCCTTGCAGGGGTATTTGTCGCCTTGAAGGAAATATCTGAGCTCACAGGAAAAGAGTCCACTCTAAGAAAGACGCAGCGAATAGCAGAGATCCTTACACAGTGCACAGCAAATGAAGAAGTCAAGTATATTATACGAATAATCGATGGAAAGATGAAAATAGGCCTGTCCACGCAGACAGTGCTCTGCAGCCTGGCACTTGCCTTCAGAAAGAAGTTTCCAGACGGAGCTATCCCCAAAGAGAACTGTGCAGAGAAAGAAAAAGAAGGAAGTTCTGCAGAGACTGCTGCACGGACAGTAATTATTGGCGCAGTCGACAAAGAAGGACAGATTGAATGGTCAGAGGAAGAGAACAAAGTGATGGATGATATAAAGGAGGCATACTCGCAGCTTCCGTCCTTTGACAAAATCATTCGGTATGTGTTTTCGCACGGCCTATCCGCAGTAAGCACGACTTCTTTGATCAGGCCTGGGTACCCTCTACGCCCTATGCTGGCCATTCCTGAGAAGGACCCAGAGACTGTTGCAGCGCGCTTTAAGGGAGAGTACTTAGTTGAGCATAAATATGACGGTGAGAGAGTGCAGGCGCACTTCTTTGATGGAAAGGTGGAGCTGTTTAGCAGAGGCCTGGAAAACACAACAGAGCGGTTTAACCAGCTGACAGAGCCACTTATGAAGGCAAATAAAACAGGAGTGCCCTTTATACTTGATGCAGAGGTTGTGGCATACTGCCGGAAGACAAAAAAAATACTCTCCTTCCAGACACTCTCGAACAGAAAGAGAAAAATAACAGAATCAAATGCAGACAGAGAAGAAAGTGACATTGCACTGTTTATATTTGATCTGCTGTTTCTGGAGAACTCACTGAACAAGCTGCCCATTCAAGAGAGAAAGAGAATCCTGAAGGAGTCCTTTTCTGAAGCTCCTGGAGAAATATTCATTGCAGAGAGCTATAAATTCACAGAGCACAACACAGAGAGACTTAATGCAATCTTTGCAGATGCATTGGCAGGCGGCTGCGAGGGAATTATGGTCAAAAGTGCAGATGCAGAGTCAACATATGAGCCCTCAAAGAGAAGTCAGAAGTGGATAAAGCTGAAGTCAGACTATATCACAGGCTTGTTTGAAACACTTGATCTGCTGGTCATCGGTGGGTACACAGGAAAAGGGAAGAGAACAGGAGTTTATGGCGGATTCCTGCTGGGCTGCATGAACGAGGATGGAACAGTGCAAACAATCACAAAGATTGGAACTGGATTTAGTGAGGCTGTGCTTGAAGAGCTAAGCAAAGAGATGCAGGAGCATACTATAAGTATTCCGCAGACCGAGATAACCCCAGGAAGTGCGCCTGACGTGTGGTTTAAGCCTGTGGCCGTATGGGAGGTGGCAGCTGCAGGATTCTCTGTCTCTCCGCAATACACAGCAGGCATGGGGGCCATTGACCTTCCCGACGGAAAGGGCATTTCCCTGCGGTTCCCCAGATTCATTAGAGCAAGAAAAGACAAAACGCCAGAGACATCCACATCCAGCGAGCAGATTATGGACATGTTTAGAGCATCTCAGCAGTAAAACTGCCATTTGCACTGCCAGAATAAGCTATCATATTGCAGTACACCTGCTTGGTTAAAAATCACAGCTACTGAATACAGGCTACGCTAAAAGCCACTCCTGTGCCTTTTAATAAATAAAAAGCCTTAAATCCAGCCACTCATATAAATGCAATCAGTTTAGATATATTCCATCGCATCTAAATATAATATAGCCTCATATTACGCTATTTTAAATATTCTGCGACTAAATAGCTGTGCAGCAGGTGCCTCTTTACTTCTCAAATATATTCAGTAGGTATTTACAGAAAGAGTAGTTTTATTTTTCTACTGTTCTACACTGCATTTTTAGTAAGTAGAGTTTGGAAATATAGTTATATGCAAGAAATTACTAACTAGAGTCTGCAAACAGCTGCAAAGTTATGCAAACATAATGAATTTAATTGGAAGAACTTAATATACACGTGTGCATTCGCGGGTTTATAATGCTTGTTTTACTTCAGCAAGTCCTTTACTTTCTGCGCTTTTTGAATTTCCTCAGCACTCTTTTAAGTATCCTGGCATCCTATACCTTCGGATAAGACATATATCTAATGGCTTGTGGATAATAACTCGAATGCTGTAAATCTGAACTGAATGCAAGAGTAGACATAGGTTGCAGGAATAGATAAAGAACCAGCACCTGCGCACCATATTCAATGGAGTGCCTAGATAGGCATGCACTGCTATGTGTGTGCATCTATTCCAATGGATTTTCTGTCTAGGCATCTTTGCTAAAGTTTCCTTGTTTTTGTATTTTCATATTTCCATATAATTGCATTTTGTTTTGCAAAATATGCATCGAAGTATGGCTTCGCTTGGAGCAAGCACTCCTTCAAATACGGATGAAATAATACCGCAGATAAAGGCACAGGAATATACATACACTCGGTCTACCTTTACTTCTGCGCCCACAAAGAAGGCAGATTTAAAAAAGACAAAGATTCCTTTTATTATATCTACCACGATTCTTCCAATAAATGAACAGCCTGTAAAGAGAGTTGAGTCAATCCCTCGTTGCAAGGACTGCAAGGCATACTTAAACACATACAGCGAGGTTATACCCCCTGGGTACAAGTGGAGGTGCTCCATATGCAGAGTTATAAACGACTCGCCAACACCCTTGCACTCGTATGGAGGATCTCTTCGCGTGTTCAGTCCTTCCGAGAATACAGAGAACAATAAAAGAGTTAGCACAAACCCAATTCTCACAGAAAGCATTTTGGAGTTTGTTTCTCCATCGGATAGAAACACACCGCCGCCGGCATCTTTGGTGTTTGTGGTGGAGTGCACGCCTGAGAGCATTGAGAAAGGCACATTTAGCACAGTTCTGCGGCAAGTAAACGAAGCTCTTGAGTACCTAAATGATCCGCATGAAAGAGCGACCATGTCCATTGTGCTTGTCTCCTCTGTGGTGGAGCTAGTCAGGCTGAACGAAGACACTCTAGTTGTAGATACAATCAGCGAGATAGATGGATCATTGCCCATGCTGATGGATACGGAGTATGTATCGAAGATAAAGGATCTGAAGAGTGCACTGCCAGAAAAGATAGCACAGATAGAGGCGTACGCTCTGCAGACTGTCAGACAGCCAGGAAACAACTTTGGTCTCTCGCTAAAGCTAGTAAAGGCACTATTCCACAGAGGGGCTGAAGTGTTTGCCTTTATGGTAACGCAGCCTTCTTTGAATCCTGGCGCAATTACAAAGCCAGCGCCTGGTCTGCGGCCATGCATTTCCTTCTATGAGAACACCGCGCAGTCTTTGCTTGAATCGAACATTGCAGTTAATCTATACATACTTACGGCAAAAACAGTTGAAGTTCCTTCTCTTCTTCCGCTGGTAGAAAAGACAGGAGGGTACATCAGATACTACCCTGCATACATGGGGCACTACTCGCAGGACATTGAAGCATTGCGATGGGACTTGGTGCAACACATGTCCTTGGACAATGGGAACAATGTCTACTGCAGAGTGCGCGCATCTAACGAGGTAAGTATCAGGCGGTATTGGGGCATGGATGTGCAAAATGATGGGCTTATACGGCTTGCGCGTCTAAGTCGTGGCAAGACCGTGTCCTTTGAAATAGACTATGATGACGATTTGGTGCTAGAGGGACTGACTGTACAGATAGCTACTATTTATACAAATTCAATTGGAGAAAGAGTTGTGCGGGTTCTGAACTTCATAATTGGGCTGGGGCCAACCGCCATAGATATTCTGGGAGTAGTGCATGGAATAGCACTAAAGTCCCTGGATGCTGAGATTTCTCAGAAAGGCACGGGTGTGAAGACTGCCCTAAGAATGGCATGTGAGGCAACAGAGTGCACAGGACTGCAGGGAAACATGTCTGTCTTCCCCACACTGATACATGGACTCATCAAGAGCAAGGTATTCAGAAGTGCATCTTCGGACTTGCGAGGCATAATATACTGGGCTCTGCTTGAACAGCCAATGAAAACAGTGGATGCCATGATATATCCAACACTGGTGCGCCTGGACACAGACGTAGATGCATCAGAGACAGATGAAATAGTGCTTCCATCCCCCATGCGTTTATCTGGTAACGTGGTTGGGGCTGATGGAGTGTACTATCTTGACTGCGGTATTCTTGCATATGTGTTTATAGGAGGCTCATCTAAGTCGGATCTGTTTGAAGGGGTGCAGGGGCGATCAACCATTAGTTCGCAGGACAAGAAGTGTGAAAAGATTCGAACTATAATGGACTACATGATTGATGGAAGGGTGTCAGATCCAGTCACATACATTGTCCACCAGGAAGGCCACTCTTTCCTGCTGGAAGGCCTTCAGGCTATGCTTCTTGATGACGGGCCGTCACCTGTCTCAGCGGCATTCCCCGAGTACTATAATAGGTTTGTATCAAAGGGATACATAAAGTAGCCAAAAATAATAAATTGCAGAAAGTTTAGCTATCTTCTTGCTGTCTATTGCAGAATCTAACTATCAAGACTCTTTTATCTTAAATTATACACATGCATTATCTTCAAGAATGAAACTTAGACATGCTGTAGGTAGAGCTTTCTATATAACTATCTATACTTTGTCTTATGCACAGACTCTACATATATATGCATCTCTGGGTGATAATGGGCTAGATTGATAAAAAATCTTAGGCTTAAAGTGTTCTTTATATAAATGTTATTGATTGTTACTGTATTTTGGAGGCTCCTCAAGAGCTATATCCTGAATCCTCTGCTTTTGCTTCGATTGAATCATCAAAATGACTCCTGTACTTTCATTAAGAAAAGATTTCCTCCCAATATATGAAGTGCGCACAGCAGTAACTATTTGCCATGCTGCTGCAATATTTATTCAGTTTCCTGCACCAATAAAGCAGTCAAACTCCTTTTCTAAAACAAACTTAATTTCCTCTCCTGTTACTACTTGGTTTCCCTTGTGCTTGGCTAAGAGAGCTGACCGCGTTAGAATATCATTTATATACTTCTCTGTAAATTGAGAGAGAATTGTAATGGTTTCCTTGTCTATTCTCTCCTCTTTATCTATCAATGCTAGATGCGCCATTAGCTTAGTTGCTGGTATAAGCTGTGCTCTTTCATCCATAAAAAAATTCTTTTGGGCGTGCTAAAGATAGAAGCTGGTTTGGCTTCCAAATTAAAGGGGCAAGACTTTATTCTGCTCTGCATAATACAGAATTATCTATTAGTATGTAGAGCAGGCGTACCAAGAAAGAAAGCCTTTTCTGGTTGGCATTGCGGATTCTTAGAGATTTTGTAAAAATGAACCTCTACACTGAGTGTGAAAAAGCTAAGTATACAATAGCGCCCACAGATACTACTTGATAAATATTTTATTAATGAACAAAAAACAGCTAACTATTATAGTACAATTCAACAAAAGAACCCTCTATGGCATCTTCAACACTATAGTGTATCTAGTAGTAGAGCTACAGCGATTCCTCATAGAACATTCTCCTGTTGGCTACGCCAGATGCAGCTATACATCTGGGCAGTCTTCTTAGACTGCATAAGAGGCCTTTCTACTCTGCTGGCGTAAGAGAGTCAAATGGAAGTAGATGCGGCGGCGTGGGTGCAGGAGAATTCGTGAAATATGGATGATTTAAAATCTCCAAAATAGTAATTCTCTTGGTGGGATCATACACCAGCATCTTGTTCAGCAAATCAATTGCATCGGGCCCTGCAGCTCCAAAGCAAGATGCGAAATTGCACCTAGGCACATGGGATGGCATTTTCAGCCCATCTTTGTTGTGCCCTATGCTCTCCCACTCTTCTATGGTGGGCGTGCCAACTGTTGAATATATTAGCTCTAGCTGGTGCAAATCCGACCGCCCTGGAAGGTACGGGCTGCGCTGGAGTAGCTCTGCAAATAGACATCCAAGAGCCCAGATATCTATGGCAAATGTGTAGTTGGTGCATCCCAGAAGTATTTCAGGGGACTTGTACCACCGTGTTACCACATGCGGAGTTAGCATGCGTACCGGAAGCCCAAGGTCAACAGACAGCCCAAAATCGGCAAGCTTCAGCTCTCCATTCCTATTAACAAGTATGTTATTGGGCTTTATATCTCGGTGAACAATAAACCGCGAATGGCACTCGTGCAGACCCTTGCAGATCATCAGCATCCAGGACTTGACGTCCTGCGGCATGAATATGAGCTTTTTGCTGCGTATTATAACCTCCAAATTGCTGTCCATGTATGGAAGAATCAAATGAATGCGTTTATCCTGAATAATCGTATCGTATAGATTGATTATGTAATCTGATTTCAGATAGTTTAGGTACTTTATCTCCCTTAGCGTTGACATGTCAATATCTAGCCGCGCCGCATCTTTTTTGACTCGCTTTATGGCTATCTGCCGTCCTGGAAGCGCATTATATGGAGGGGTCTCTGTGATGATATCCGAAGAGGCGTCTGCTGGGTTTACAAGATACTCCTTTCCCATGTAAATTACAGCATAGGTTCCCTCTCCTATCTTCGTGTCCTTTGTATATCTTTTCACTTTATCCATGAATCAGCTTCCGAAAAAATGAAAAATAAAAGTGTTCGTCTGATGTGCTTTTTCTATAGGGAAAGCTCAAAGGCCCAAGCTGCAAAAGCTCAAATAGGCAGCATGCAAAGACATTCTGCTCCTAAAATTCCTTTGGAGACTTACAATAGTGCGCCTTTTAGTGCACTTAGCATTTTATTTAATTTTATTTAATACAGCGCATTTCTTACTGTCATACTAGATTCGTTTAAACTGTGTCTCTAGCAAGCCATATTTAATTCGTGCCCTTTTCTCTTTTTTTATGGTAAAAATATTGTACAACCATAGTAGACGGCATCACATCTTAGCATACGCACTGGCAAAGGAGTGCAAGGGAGTAGAGGTAGAATACTCCGCTGAAAAAGAAAGCGGTTGCTTCAACTACCAGTCTTTAATTGACTTGCTGCAGAATATTCCAGAGATATCACTTGAGACAATGGAGTACCTAAATGGATGGAAGCTAGGAATGACATATCCTGAGATAACCAAGATAACAAACACTTTGGAGGAGTCAGATATAGAGGGTCTGCAGCCCATCCAGAAGACACTTCTCTTTTTCCTTCTCTACTCTGAAACTATTTTTGTAAATCTTCATAAGGCAGGAAAGCTGAAGAGTCTTGCAAAGGTAGATAAATTCTACACAGAGCAGCTGGCAGCAGAGGGAGATTTGATAAAGGAGTATGAGAAGCAGAAGAAGGCAGACACAAAGCCAGACGACCAGGCTTCATTTGACATAGGTCTGCCAGAAGGATACCGTGTGGTCACTAGATTCCCTCCAGAGCCAAGTGGCTACATGCACATTGGCCATGCAAAGGCAGCACTTCTCAACCAGTACTTTGCTGAGAAGTACCACGGACAGCTAATTATAAGGATGGATGACACGAATCCATCTAAGGAAAAGGGTGAGTTTGAAGAGAGCATCATGGAGGATATTTCCTCGCTGGGAATAAAGGGAAATGTAAAAACCCGCACAAGCAACCACTTTGATCTGCTGCTTGATTTTGCAAAACAGATGATAGAGATGGGCCTTGCGTACTGTGATAATACGCCTGTGGAGCAGATGCGAATGGAAAGAGACAAAGGAATCCACTCCAAAAACAGAACTGCGTCTGTCCGTGAGAATATGAGTGTTTTTAACAAGATGATAAGTACTAACGAGTGCGATGACTACTGCCTGCGCGCCAAAATAAATATGGAGGATCTAAACAAGGCGATGCGAGACCCTGTTATATATAGAGTAAATCTGACTCCTCATCACTACACTGGAACAAAGTACAGAGTATATCCCACGTATGACTTCGCGTGCCCAATCATAGACAGTATAGAGGGCGTTACTCTGGCCTTAAGAACAAGTGAGTACCGCGACAGGAACCCGCAGTACATGTGGTTTATATCTGCTCTTAGTCTGAAAAACCGGCCCATCATATGGGACTTCTCCAGACTGAACTTTAAGAAAACTGTGCTCAGCAAGCGAAATCTAAAGGAGCTGGTGGAGCAAGGACGAGTAAATGGGTGGGATGACCCTAGAATGCCCACTATCCGGGGAATACTCCGAAAGGGTCTTACAAAACAGGCTTTAAAGGAGTATGTGATTATGCAAGGTCCTTCCAAGAATACTGTACTTTTGGAGTGGGATAAGCTATGGGCTATAAACTCTAAAATAGTGGAAAAGAGCGCAAAGAAAATACACGGTATAAGCAAGGATGATATGATAGACATCAAAATACTGCCTGGAGCTAGTGCTTTAGCCAGTGGAGACCGAGTGGTTACAGAAACTCTATACATCTCAAAGAGCGATCTTGGGTCTATTGCTGTCGGAGATGACATTACCCTTATGGGCCTTGGAACCTTCAAACTCACTGAGACATCTCCTCTTACTGCCAAGCCGCACGAAACCCATCCAAAGTACACCAAGGCTAGGCTAACATGGGTTCCAGAAGAAAGCGTTGCAGTAGCAACGGTTGAATATGGTGACTTACTTACTATTGATAAAATGGATGAGAGGGGAATTAATGAAGCTTTTAATGAGGACTCTAGGCACGAGGTGCTTTTCCAATGTGATGAAAGAGTCAAATCTGTTTCCAAAGGGGACTTTGTTCAGATTGAGAAGAGAGGAATTTACTATGTGGACTCGGCACAGCCTCTTGTTCTTAATCTAGTTCCAACTACAAAACAGAATAATCGAAAGATATAGTTATTTATATAAATAAACCTTTCTATCGGCCATGCTAAATAGGATATCTTCTTTAAAATATAACTATTAGTTATTGTACTGTGCTGCCAAAACAGAGTATATGAATACTTAAGTTATAAACTATTACTCTTGTATTATATAGTAGAATGCAATATTGGTTTTGTATATTTATCCTATACTCTCTATATCTAATCTACCTCTTCTGTACTATGCCTTCATTCTCCTGTCTATGTCTTCTTATTATTCTTTCTTCTACATCTTTGCAAAAATAAACTCTACAATATTCGCGCTACCACTACTGTTCAGAAGGGTTTGTTTCTTCTAAAAAAAAGATAAAGACACACGAAAATCAGAAAACTGCACTTTTTGAAGAACCACTCTCAGCAAACACTCAGCGCAATGTAGAAAGCTGAATAAACTCCGCATTACACGCCAGCCACATAAAGAACAAAAAGGCTCTGCCCAGACATGAAAACCTATGCGCACACCAGCACAGAACTATACACGCATACCACACATGATATACATACACGTATATACATACTATACACATACTATATACAGACTGCAAATATGCAATATGTATGCTGATAGAGACACATCAAAAGTAGACAAGAGTGCATTCCCCAAGCATGCCATGCAAGTGCCAAGACACAAGCTGTCTACCTCACCTACCCATCTGCACACACCTCCCTACATCAGCAGGTCTTCCTCCAATGCCTGCTGCACATGCCTTGTACACACTCTCCCGCTATATTAATTTTTCGTCATATGGCCCTCTGAGGTGCGCAATTTGCACATAGACCGGGCTATACACCGCAATTAAGTAAACAAACAGCAGAACCTGGCCTAGAGCGCACTTAGAAGGGCCCAATGCACATATTTCTCAATTTGATCATTTTTTGGGGGTATTTAAGGAGCACGCACTCTGCATTTCAGAACACCAGGAGAGCTGCATCTGTCTCACGGCGCAGTGCAGAGAAGAGGGCTGGCTAGGAGGTGGCAGGAGCAAGCCGGCACTAACCCTGCCGGTGGGTCGTCCACTATTATCATTCCCTTCGGGGTAGCCTATAAGGCCATATGGAGTAGCTTGGATGCCAACTTTGTCATTAGGAAATTCCGCGCATGTTCTTTTTACCTTGATGCTTGTACATTTAATATTTAGAGCCGCTGCGTTGTCTAAGCCGAAGTGGCACTGAACTATGCGTGCACTGGACTTCCCTGCTCCTGTCCTCAGCACCGACTGGCCCTCTCCTCTGCGCAGCGCGCGCGATGGCCTGCCGTGCTGTCTGCAGCGCTCCGGCAAACAGCAGCATGCGCGGGCCGCTGGGTTCTCAGGCCAGTCGCAAGACGCCGCTCTCCCTGCATATGCAGCAGCTAACCACTACATGTGTATGCAGCGAGCGAAGATGTGCTGTGTGCAGGCAGTACATGGCGCCCGTACATGGCCGGTACACACTATTATTAATAAACAGCCGCTCCCGATCTGCCTGCTGTCTTGCTGTACTGTGTCTGCCCTTTGTGTGCTCAACTAATATTCCTTGTCCGCAAGCCTCGAATGGCTTTTTATCTTAAACTCTTTTACTGTGCTGCTGGTATAAATACTGTTTCTTGGCCAGACGGCATTCTCTATTGTGAATACTGTAGCTGTGCAAATACTACTGTGCATACAATCATAGATTTCTAAAAGTAGTTTAGCAGATAAATCTACGTCTTTATTTATTATTTAGAATATATAGTGCTGTGCTAAAGACATGTATAGTATTATTCATGGTACTATTTTTTTAAATTTTATTAACACATATATAAAAAAGATCCTATTACATATATTGGCAGAAGTAATTTTCTTAAATAGAACCTTTTAATACTAATATTTAAGCATGATTATGGCTAGTGCGCAATATAATCACTGCCTAAAGCACTTTGGATATACACTGTATTCTAGATGGTACTAATATACAGACAGAGTTAGAGAAAACAAGCTTATATGTATGTCTAAGGTGTAAATATTTATTGAATTATTGGGCGTACCTTTTGGGAGAGGCATTGCCAATCTCTAGTATTGGCTGAGTAGCAGCATGCGTAATCCGTTCCACATACTGGCCTACTACTTCCTTACTTACTTCGGTCGCCCACTCCAACTTTGTTAACACATACGCATATAGCAGGCGCAAGGCTTGCTATCAATCAATGAGGGAATCTTTCCATCCTCTCAGTCCTCTTGTCATTGACATATTTCAGTCTTGCTCAACCCGTGGGACACTTAATGATCTACCTCACGATAGAACCTAGGGGTCAGGTCGATTCAGTGAACCTTTACCTGACGAGCATGCTCATACTTACTCAGTAAGTTCTCATCTGCGGCGGTATAACCAGGCCGTGGGGTATTCCCTGTATGAGCACCTGAGCTTTTAGAAGCTATTCGTCTATCAGGGGCCCTTCCGTGTACACTTAACCTAACCCTCCTACTGGTCAAGCCTAGCGGTGGGGGGGAAATATCCGGGGGAAGTCCTGTAGCGGTAACCGCAATTAGGGATGATTTTCGAATCCCTGGCCGGCACTTTTCTTTAGGCATATCAACTCGGCTATACTGTGGACCTGCTGTCCGTTGCCAGACAGGTGGGACACGCGTGATTAGACGTGGCCTTTCAGGTAGTGGAGAGAACATTAGTCCACTTTAACGCGTCAGGTTAGGTTCCGACCTAACTCCTACAACGGCCCCCTGCAGCCGTGCATTATCAATTAGCTTCTATCCTCGTGGGATAAAGGTCGGGGGAAACCTCTTTGTAGGGGTAGATTCATCTTCCAGCAACGGTCCGAGTATCCCCGTCTAAGATGCCCTACGGGCCCTAATGGTATCGAACTTCTTCATGCTCTTTGATGAAGTTTTCTTATGTTCGATTGAGCCACCGGACCCCTTTATTAGCCTAAAAGCCAGCACTATTTTCTTTGAACTGCATGTATGCCATAATAACATTATTGAAGTATAGTCTATTTATTGGATTAAGAAGCAAGAAAAAAGAATATCAGGCAAAGCCATTGCAGAACCTTGATTCAAAACACTGCAGGAATAAGACTAGAATGTAATATCCACATAAATGTATGCTCATTTGTTTCTGAAGCTGAGGGCGTACAATATCCTAAGATAAATAATTGCTCTGGCTCTATATATTCAATTATAATATTATTTCTTGTAATTTCTTTAGAGAGTTCTATTGGCACAATTTTTCACATATTACAAGCCAATAAGTTGTAATAGCAGAACAGCTGCATGATATATCAGATTGAATCAAACACTCGATGTACCAATCAACTGAAGCAATATGCTATACAGTCCTTTCTCTGCATTTCGCTTTTTGTATGCCAAATTGATTTGTCTGAATATCGCAGGCTGTTTTATGTTTAGTGAAGCTCTTCTATGCTACAGCTAGCTGTTATAGCTATTTTTCTAATACGTCACAAGCTCTAGACAGGAAAATACCCCACATCGCAAGGAGTGCTTAAAGAGAATCTTTTTCATCTGTGTGCTGGATATGCAAGTGCAGTCATAGGCTCCTTGCAATGCCATACCGCAAGCAAGCATCTCAGAGTGCAGATGTAATTTATCTGTCTAATGTGGCATAATGCTCTAATATTTGCTGAGTATCTCTAGCCGTAGTTCAGCTTCATGAGTCTTCTGACTTTGCCAGCAGGCGTTTCGAACTTCATTGGAGTAATTTCTTCTTCAAAGATGTTCTTCATCTCTGTACCAATCTCGTTTTCTAATGAGATCATATCGGCTGGAATCTTTTCAAGTATTCTTCGCACTTCTGAGTTTTTCTTCTCCTTTCTTGAGACATGGGGGTTCTCGTTTCTTCTGTAAGTGGGCAATCCAGCCCCTGGCACAATAATGTTCTCTATGCCAGACTTGCTTCCTACTGCAAGGATATCCTCGTATGGCATGAATGTAAGAGACGTTGCAAGATCTCTTCCTGTGTGGTGCTGTATCTCAGGCTGTAGGGACTGGCTGTACACCAAGACCGATGATTTCTGCGCAACTGCCAGCTTTCCTGTCTGGCAAACACCCATCTCTCGGACTAGCCCAGGCATTGCCATCTCAGATAGAGGCTTGAACGTGTTTCTTATATCCCATGTCTTGATTTCATTTCTGGAGGCCGTGTAGAGCACGCGCCCATCATCAGACACTTTGCAGTGTTCTACCTTGGACCGGTGGCATAGTACCTTTGCTAGATACTCTGGTGCTCTTGGAGACCAGAGAGAGACTGTGCCGGAGGATCCTGTTAGATACACCATGCCATTTGTTCTGTCCACCTCAACCTTTGAGTTTCTTTCCTTTGTTTTTATCTCTGACACACACTTGCCAATCGTTGTGTCCTGGTACCGAAGATACCCATTCTCCGAGATAGACGCAAGAAGGAAGTGGTCTTGCAGAAACTTTATACTCCTTACATCCCGCGCTTCTCGGACGACATGCAGCTCCACACCCACCTTATCGTATATGTACACAGCCTTTGACTGCGCAAGTGCATAAAACTCGCCAGAGTGCAAAAACGTTCCGTCGTATATTCTGTCTTTAAGATATATCTCTGCATTTACGTTCATCCCAAGAGTGTTTACTGACTTCACCTCTTCCATCCCCAGATATAGAACAGTGTCTCCCGACGGAGAGTATCTTATTGTGTATGGACCATTATCCATTTTTAAGCTGTACGTTTTTTGCTTTGTGCCAATGTCCACCGAATTCATGATCTCCTCGCTGGTCACTATGCCCTCAGCCTCTATTACTCCCTTTTTGGTCGTATTAAGAATATTATACTTGTCCTTGCTCTTGCTGTACCAGAGTTTTATGTCTTTCTGGTGTTGTATTTCTTGCTGCTGCTTCTTGAGTGTCATATAAAATTTTCGTTCTTATGCAAGGATTAAAAATATATGGATGATGATGAAGGCAGAGGGCAAAGAATTGTTTACGATGGTAAGCGTATGAGAAAAGCCATAGCCAGAAGAAATGTAGACTATAATGGACCTCTTCTAAAATACAAACTAGAAGGTAAGTTTGGATATGTGCAGAAGCACCCGCTGTACTCTATTTACGTACCGCCTGTTACAGGTGCCTGCTCACTATCAAATAGTCTTACTGTTAACCTAGCGCACACAAGCATAAATAAAATACGCACGCCAATTAACACGATACGGTATGCGCCAAATGGCAGAAGACTTATTTCTGGCGCTGCAACAGGGGAGTTCACGCTGTGGAATGGATTTAGCTTTAATTTTGAGACAATTCTGCAGGCGCACGACAGCGCGCTCCGGTCTCTGTGCTGGACCCCGTATGGAGATTATCTGCTGTCTGGCGACCAGATTGGGGTTGTTAAGTACTGGCAGCCTTCGATGAATAATCTGCAATTAATTGAAGCGCATAAAGAAGCCATTAGAGACATCAGCTTTTCTCCTCGAGGAAGCAAGTTTTGCACAGCCTCAGACGATGGAACCATCAAAGTATTTGACTTCCAAACAGCAAAAGAGGAGAGAAGTCTTTCTGGCCACGGGTGGGACGTAAGAGTGGCGCAGTGGCACAAAAGGCATGCGCTAATTGCAAGTGGAGGAAAGGACAACCTAGTTAAGCTATGGGATCCAAGGGGAAAGGAGCTTACTACTCTGCATATTCATAAAAATACTGTTCTGTGTCTTAAATGGACAAATGATGGAGAGTGCATCCTTACAGGCGGAAAGGATCAAGTAATAAAGATGTTTAATCTGCGCGCAATGAAGGAAGAGTTTACACATAAGGGGCACCAAAAGGAGGCTACGGCTCTGTGCGTCCATCCATGCTTGGACAGCTTATTTGTGTCTGGCGGAGGAGAAGGAGCTGTTTATATTTGGCAGAAACACAATGAGTACCCTGTTCGGGTTATACCCGACGCCCATCAGAAAACTATCTGGTCAATGGACTTTCACCCGATTGGGCATACGCTAGCCACCAGCTCGGTTGATAATACGGTTAAGTTTTGGATTAGATCAAGGCCCTCTGCAGAGGGCTCCTCCGAGAATGTGGAAAGCGTGGATGTGGAGCAGGAAAGAATTCCCGGTGTAGGAAGCAATCTCCAGGAGTGAATGTAAAAATGTCTTGTATGTGCCATAATAAATATCAGTTTTTAAAAAATATACACTGTGCAGAAGTATGTCTTTAATTTAAGATTGGAAGAATCTTTTAAAGTTGCCCGAGGAATACGAAGGATATTGTCTCTTGACAGGATAAGAAGTGTTTTCTTTAACAAATTCCTCTTCGTTTGGTGTTTTCTTTTGATTTAATACAAATGGAGCAAATGTATCTTTTAGCTTGGTCTTATCCATTATCATATTAACGCTAGCAATGGCCCACTTTGAGATTTTTAGCGACCGCACTGCAGAGCGATATCTTGAGTCAAGCATAAAAATTGAACCCCAATCATTCTTGTGCCGAATACATCTTCCAAGAGCCTGGTTTACTGCACGAAATGCCTGCTGCTCATACCACTTGCTTCCGGTGCTGCTAAGATACCGATCGTTGTACTGCTTCTTAAGAATAACAGAGTGGTTTCTAATGTTTGGGTATGGAATGCCTACCAAAATAACAGCGCGCGACTCGTGGTCTCTGAAGTTAATGCCTTCACTTGCCTTTCCTCTAAACACACAGAGGAATATGCACTTTCCCATTTTACAATACCTTCTGTATTGCTCTAGCTCATACTCAAATTTGCTATTGTTTTTATTCTCAACAAATAGCTTTACATGTTTTTCTAGCTTCCGTTCGAGAAGTGTAAGCATGTTGTAGCTTGGCACAAAGCAGAGCACGCCTCCAACCTTTTCCAGCGAGTGCGCTATATCCACAATGCTGCTCACCAGTGTTGAAATATAATCTGGATGCTTTGATCCTTGGTAGGTTCCTAATATAGGCACTGAGTTGTATTGTGAAACTTCTGCGGTGTACAGCTGGCTTTGCGATATGATGTGGTCTGCGCTTAGGAAGTGCTTAAAACTGTTCTTTTTTGTGGTAAGCTCAGTTACCAGCTCCTGGAACGGCTCCAGTGTACCTGATAGCAAGATGACAGACCGTGCCTTTTCATAAATAGGGTCAAATATAGCTGCTGCATGCAGAAGAAGGAAGGATATCTTGTCACTTGACACAACCATCCCGTACTTATTCTCTCCATTGTTCATTATGTATTTTAAAACATCTTTTATCTGAGTTATCCATTGGAAGAAGTAATCATCCGGTATCATGTCCTTAAATAGAAGCTCAATTGATGAAAAAGTATCGTCGATCGTTAATTTGCTTATTCCCATCTTTTCCAGCGTACTTATCATTTCCTTTGACGGAATTGACATTTCTCTCTGGTTGTCGCTGTTTATTACGCACTGGCCAGGATCTAGTTTATTCAGAACATCAGTGGTCTCTTCTAGATAATTCATAATCTTTTTAACAAACTTCCCTGTTTCCATCATTGAGTTCGCTACCTCAGGGGATTCCATACCACTTCCTGTGCCTAATCTTGATATTAGCGAAACCAAATCCGCTCTTTTTATATCAACTGAGCCAGTTGACCGACACACATCATCTATATTGTGTGCCTCATCAACTATCAGTACACTTCCAGTCAAATCTATCTTTAGAGCTGTGGATATTCTTTCGCTTACAATGTAGTTGTATGGGGAAAAGATAATCGTGGCCTTTTCCTGCCTCTCCCGTGTGTAGTAGAATGGGCATGAGTTGCACTCGCCACCAGCACTAACCAAGTCCTCAATTGAGAAGACTCCTGGAAGCGATATGTTGCGATCTCGTTCCTGCTCTTTCTCGTTAGGTGTTCTGTAGTACTTGCACCTGCCCTCCTTATTTGGATCTTTATTCTTTTTCTTGCATGCGCTATCTATATCATTGCTCTTGCTAACCTCGCTGTTAAGACATAAGTGCCTTCTGGAGGCAAGCAGGTTCATTATAGGCGCATTCTTCATCTTTTTTAGATGGGCTATAAGCTGGCTTGCCTGCTTTATTGTGCGCGTGGTAACATATATCTGTCCGCCTTCTAACTTCTCTGGATTTTTATTCACCCAGGCTACAACGGCCTCTAAAATGCTCAGAGTTTTACCTGTGCCTGTCGGGCTTTCTATCATGCCAGACTCTCCGTTGTCCAAGCAGGTTAGAATTGTTTCAATTGACTTTCTCTGAGGCTCATACAATTCGTACTCAGTATTAATTGTATAGTTCTTTATGGTCTCACTATGCATAAAAAATAATTGCAATGTTCGATGATATTCTTGAGTACATAAAAAGACCAGTTGAGGAGAAGAACTCCCCCTCCAAGAAACAAAAAAAGGAAGAGAAGTCAGAGCCTGCAGAAGAAGCGCTTTCTGCAGAAGACTCGGCATTTAACATCTTTGAGTATTTCGATGACAGATATCGGAAAGGCAAAGATCCACAGAAGAGGGAGCCAGAAATTAGAAAACCCACAGGAGTAGATCAATGTGATGCAGAGAATATTTCCTCTAGTGAACTCTGTATGGATGATCTTGCCATCTCATCTGAGTATAGGCAGCCTACTAAAGAGCCAGCTCCTCTAGAGGCAATAGAAATACCTGCAATCGTTAAAAGGCCTCACTTTCCAGACATAAACATTTCACAACCAGACAACACATCGTATCTGTGCACACAGACCCCTATAACCAGCATAGAGGCAAAGATAGCCATGGCAAAGCAGCAGAGCCCAGACACTAACTATGTTATGCTCAAGGAAATACGAAATACAGAGGCTTTAAAAATAAACGGCACAGTGCTTGGGTATGTTATAAGACATTCTGCGCCATACGAAGCAGGAAACATTCTTATAACAGATGGAGTGGATGAAATGCCGTGTGCTGTTTGCCCGCAGGTGCTAGAGAAGTACAAACTAGAGAAAGACTCAATTGTTCTATTGGACTCTCCATCTGTGTGGAGAGTGCCTTACACAGACAATGCATGCGTGCTGAACATTGTCACAAGGAATGTAATTTCAGTGCAAGCAATGCAAAGAATATAGTGTAAAAAGAATTGCAGCTGCATAAAAGAGATTTCTATATGTTTTCACTAGATTCCTGCGTGCTTTTGCTGTGCCAGAGAAGGAAATAGAGCAAAAGGGCTCTTGCACATTGACTGATATAATTATAGCAGTCTTTAATAAAAAAATAGCGCCATAGCAGTAGCATTGTTTGAATTGAAAGCATATTTATTTTAGTATTACTTTTGGCTATTCTGCATAGCACATAGAAAGTAGTGTTCTTTTGCATTTTTCAAGAGCACGTATGTCTAAGCTTTAGTTTCTACAGCTAGTTGTGAATGTCATAATAAAACTAGCAAATTTGCAGCAAGCTCAAGCTCTTTAGGATAACAAGTTACCACAAGAATATCCACCCTATTCAATTGCATAGCATACTGTAATTGCATACTGCTATCTAGCATAGGCAGTGCATAGTGTTTGAAGGGCTAAAGAATCTCACATTGTGCATCTATGGAAAAGGCCCACATTTCAGTAATTATGACTCCCTTATCTGCAGTGGCCTAGAAGTACTATTACATTCACTCGATGTAGAGGGCTGTTCTCTATTCAGAATGCCCATTATTATAGCAGCTAAGTTCGAGCTATTCAATATATTACTGCATTCTTCTGGAGTATAGGAGTGGACGCTTACTGCGTACTCTAGTATGCATTTTAAACCTTCTCTGTTTTTAGTGTCAGCAATATGGCGGAAGATTTCTTGAATTTCATCTTTTTGCGCAGAGCCCGCATAATATTCTTCCTCTTCTATCTTGATATTTGGGTAGAAGCCCTTCTCTATTCCTTTGCTGCAGATGATTCTCTGCAGTATATGCTGCATATATCTTCTGTCTGCGCTAAATAGGCTTGCTACCAAGTTCGAAATAAATCTTACTCTCGGGCTGTTTCTATCCGTGCATTTAATTAAGCAGTACACTATTGCATTGGTAATAAGCACATCTTTGCACTCTATTGTCTTAATTGGCCCAAGCAAGAACAGTCTGTTTGTATTATGAGAGTAGTTTACCCCAATTTCTCCGTTGAGTTTTCTATTAATGTCCATCACACAGGATGAATTCAGACGTGAGCCATTTTTGATGTATTCTGCGTACTTTACCAGAAGGCAGTGAAAGAAGCATTTCTTTTTCGTAAACAGTGTATTAATATCAGATCTGTTAATTATTTCTTTCACACTATCGCCTGCAAAATAAATAACTGTAGCATTTTGACTTATATCCAAAGTTACTATTATCTTCTTCTTATTTTCCATGTACGAAAAGAACACCTTCCCAAACAAGTCAGAAGCACCCTGTGTATTGCTAAACTCATCTATTTGCAGACTTTTTACCCTGAAATCTGTTTTGTCATTTTCGAGCAGGTTAAACATTTTGACAAGTTTTCTATTTATCTCTTTCATAGTGTATTTCTTGCTACTCTCAGTGCGTATCAACGAATCTGCAATTTTCTCTAGCTCTTTTTTATAATTAGTGTGGGCATTCGTCATATATAAAATGGCTCGTAGCATATTCAGTATACCATTATTCATGAGAGACGATGTTGGCTTATAGGATATTCCACCTGTGTTCATACTGCGAAGATAACTCCACCAGCTTTTCATCAGCTTAGGCGACGGGTATACCTGCCGCGTTATCATTTCTGCCACACTATTTAGTTCTATGCTTTTCTCGCTGCTTGTCCACGAAGCATGTTCGTGCGTGCCTGTATTAAAGTTGTATAGGCCTATGTATAGCAGGCCAAGCAAGGCAGTTTCAACTGAACCATTTGTGCCAGGCAGTTTCTCATCAAGCTCTTCTTCTCCTTCCTTTCTCTTGACTATTGCTTTATTCCTATATAGGCTTAGTTCATACGAGTTATGGAATGGCATAGCTTTTCTTTTGTTGATTTCTAGCTCCATCTCTTCTATAGCATCATAGTTGTTTCTGTATTCAGTATTTTCACTATCAAACACAAAACACTCAGAGAATACCTTCTCTAATTTCTGTTTGCTATTAACATCATCGTCCTCGTCCATTATACGATCAAGAAGTAGCTCATGCACAGCGTTAATGAACTTAATAGCATCTTTTTTCTTTTTTAGGAAAAGAGCAAGATACGCCTGTATTATAAAGTGTGGGTGGTTAAGAAAGTATCCATCGTCAAATCTTTCTTTATCTTTTATATCCATTGAGTATTTGGCATCGGCCATTTCGATATTTTTGCTATCCATGAGAAAGTCAAGAGTGTCTATACATTTGTTGAATACTTCAAAGCTCTCAAAGTTTTTTTGAAGCTCCAAGAGACTACCTGCCATTTGTACATGGAAAATACGAGCTCTCAAATTGTTTTTATACAGAGTTAGTGTGGATTCATTTCCATCATAAAAAAGAGGAACCTTCACACCCTCTGTTGACAAAAAAATAGAAGCCAGAATATAATGCGCATGCTTCTTTAGCTTTTTGCAAGAAAGGAATCGTGTAAACCTGCTTGGGCGCTTATCATCCTCTATAAAGGATGGACTCCTCAAAGCAAACATATTAACAAGACAGTTGCTAAATTCGGACAAATAGACCTCATCCGTGCTATTATCTGAAATAGGAGAATATGCAGAATCTTTATCTGGGTTTCTAAATAGCTCATAGTATTGGGGAGATGACACTGGCCGCCCTGGGTGAGTGGAGAGTGTGTAATCACACTGTATTTCCGGGGAGAAACATCTCTTGTTATACACATATCCCATCGTATGGTATAAGTACCCCCGCAGTAGATTTAATGGTCCACATGGGTTTATATATGTTTTCTGTTTATAGGCCCTAAAGTCATTGCTACATTTAATGGGAGTAATAAAAGTATGGTTAATCTTCTCTATTTCCCCAATAGAAAGCTTGCTTTGGACATTTAGTATCAATCCAAATAAAATAATCGCCATGCACAACTTTAGTTGTTTTGTGTCTACTCTTATCTTAGATTTTTGCATTTTGAAAATAGTTTTTGCACTATATAAATACATTATTATTATATTAGCATGGGCTAGTGTATTAATTAATTTGATATAAAGACAAAATTATTAAAAAATACTAGCAGAGAGAATTGGCTGTAAACCACAACTCGCAGGCCCACTTGAAGTAGCTCGATTAGTGCCTGAACCATCTTGATTAAGGAGAGTACGCCACTTTTATGTGTTTTACTACTGGTTAATGGCTTTAAATTTAAAACATTTTGGAATTTATTATTCTCTTGTAGTTTTACAAGCTAAGTTTTTCTTCTTGAAATATTACACTTGGCCATAATAATGCAAATAAAATTTATTTTTTGTCCTCTACCTATAGACATTCTCCAAGGTGATACTAGATCTAGATATAAAGCTTCTGGAAGTTTCAGAAGATGTGTCTTATGCTATTTTCTGGTGATGATTAAAACTATCCGCTCAAGAATGAATAAAAGGTAAAAACTATAAGCCTCCCAAGATGACTTGCGCATAAAAGTACAGCTACAGAGATATAGTAGAGGCCTTGCCAAAATTATTTAGTACAAAAAGAATACATCATTAAGAGGGCTATCTATTCTTTAATTATATATAGCATTTCAATCCAAATATTGAATTGTGCACAACTAACATCCTGCTATGTGCTGCCGAAAGCTAGAGCAATGCCCTGCTTCACCTATAGTTGGATAAGTTTTTCATCTAGAAATACTGGAGCTAAACTATATCCTATAGAGGGCACTCTACTTTTATTCGAATTATATCCATTTGCTTAGCAAGATTTAGATATAAATTAGCTTTCTATACTAGATAGAATAGATGCCAATGCATTATTCCGTGTGCGTATGGCATATAAAATTGCATGGCCCCTACCCAATATAACTTTAAAAGTCTGCAATAATGGGCTCCAGATAATATTGATTTTGCAATAAAATATTAACTTCTCTTGTGATACATGCATATCCCAATACTAATATAAGAAGTATACACGTGAAATGAAGGTCTATCCAAACAAGTTTCTCCATTTTTCCCATTCTAAAATTCATGGTAAACATATTTTTCCACATAAAAACCCCTATCAGTATAAGAATTAAGATGGGGTAACCGAATATGTATATAAACTCGTTACTTTCAATGTCTGTACTGTTTTTCATAAATACTTTAATAATATTTATGGTATCACGCCCTGCTAGGGAATTAATAGTAACACCTAGCAAAGAAACCATTATAACAGAAATGGTACCATATCTTGAATGTACTAAAACAGGATTTAATATTCTACACATCGATCTTAAGCAGATAAAAAGAGGCAGTATAGTATATAGCCAGGCAAACACAATAGTTACTGCCTTAAAAGTCCCTGTGTTCACACTCGGCATCAAGTAACTAGGATGTCCCATGGCTATTATATAAAGGTTTCTGCATATGACTAAAACGATATATGTCTTAATATTTAAGAGCAGCTTAATATTAAACAGTGTAATGCTGTAAAACCCGAAGTATATGATAGCCTTTAGATTGCTAAAAAATGAATTTTCTCTTTCTCTTTCTTCGCTCACAAGCAGCCGCCAAATATAGTCAAAATACTCATCCGTAATAATACGGCCAGAGTTATTTGTTTTCTCAATCCAAATATTACCCAAACCACAAGCAGACTCATCAAGCATATCCAAAAGCACTATCTTACTTGTTTTACGTTTTATATAATCGTTCTCCATAATAACTTTTTAAAAGATATGAAAATTATAAATATGCCCAGTTTAATCTATGTCTTGCTTAAAACCAAAAACACGCATATTTTAAATAGATATTCCAGTGGGCGCTGGTTTCTCTGCCCTGTTGGCGCACAAACATTTTCTTGTTCTTCCATGTAGACTGATGTTGGTTTTTAGATTATCGAGCTTTGACTCTAGACTAATGGGCCACGAACAGCTTTGCTTGTATACACAGATCTATTTTATGGCTTAGTCTGTTAGCCTAAACTCTAAAGGTTATAATAAGTTAGTCTATGATTTCAGAAAAGAAAGCTATATATATTTAAAGTGCTTGCCGGCTTGCACTATGGTTTTCGGCACTATATGAAAATTATAAGCACTCTAACAAGAGAATTTTTTCTAGAACTCCAAAAATAGAAAAACAGCTTTATACTTACAAGAGAGTGTTAAGTGCTGCATACAATAAAAATAAATAAAACTCTGTTCTTCATACTTAGTATGAAACTATTACAAGAATCTGCAGGCATGTATAAATAGCACTCTACTGAACATGGCTCACTGTACTTTAGACAAAAACCCCCCTTAAATTAAACATCATACCTCTTTGAATGCACTAATAGTTTAAACATGCAAATACACGTTATATTGAGCAATTTTAAGTGAAATATATTGATCAAAAATCAAGCAACCAATATAAATACCTTACAACTTTCCTTTAGTTTACCCGTTACTATATATTGAAAATTGATTTATTTTATTTAATGAAAACGCGTTATTCTGTTATTTGGATCAAGGCAGTTGCCTTAATTAGTGTTCTACTGATGAATGTATGCAGAGCAGATCTATCCCTAAGCGAAGTAGAGTCAACTCTGAATTTTGAAATTGCAACAAGTGGGTCACCAGTAAAGATAAACCCAGAGGGACCTCTCAACTTCCTCAGGGGATACATCTACCAGAAAATGGAGTGCATGTACAACAAAAGATTCTTTTCACCAGAAATTAATACATATTACTTTGTAAAGGAAGACATAACAGCAACACAGGCTGAGCCTATCTATAAATACAATCGAACCCAACAAAAGGACAAAGCATATACAGCACTACCAGAGAATAAAATGGATGTGTATGCCGAAAGGTACCATAATCATCTTATTGACTTGTTTCCATCACCCACTGGTGACGTAACCCTAGAGACACGAGGAAACCAGTCCTTTGTTCAGTTCCTTCGGGCAGAGACCACAGAGAAGCACTCTTTGCAGATTCTAGCCATGCTGCTGCTTTTCTCAGAGGGAGTGAGCATTCCCATTGACTTCAACAACAAGAAACTGAATGTGTATGAAAAAGACAAAAAAGACAAAATACACTTTGAAGTGGAGATGGTAATCCCGTGGTTTAATAGAGAAGAAAATGAAACAAAAAGATTTGAACAAAAGAAAGTTAAACAAATGATCAAATTCTTCCAGGAGTATGCAATCGATCCGGAAGTACTTAGCTTGATGGAGGAAAAGTGCTCACAAGAGGAGATTGCTACAGGAACGTTTCTGGACAGTCCTAAGTTTCTGATTCAGTCATATATATTTGGGTTCATTGACACCGCAGAACGTGCAACTGAGTTTATTCAGACTGTGCATGAAATGACAGAAAAATATGCTCCAAAGACAGAAGCACAAAGCAAGAATGACTCGGTATATGGCAGGCTGTTTAAACCAGCTAGGACTATAACAGGCACAGATTGCATTGCCTTAATGAAGAAAACTCAAGAGATCTTGAGTATGCACCAAACCTTTCCATTTACAAATAGCAAGCAGCTTCCCGCATATAAATCTATTCATTATTACAATCGAGAAACTAATGCTTTTTCCACTAAATACTTAGAAACATACAGTAACTGTGTTGAGTGTGTGATCCTCTCTCTTTTCTGCTGCCTGGCATATGATCCAGTAGAGGGAATTTATGAGACAGACCATATGGGGAATGTCTCTCCTAGTCTGAAAGAATTCTTCTCTCCAAAGAACCAGCCATTTGACATGACGAAAGTTGAGTTCCAGAGAAACTGGTGCAGAGTCGTTGCAGACCTAGGTGAGTCTAGAATTGCATACTGCAAGGAAAGGAACGAGATAGACTGTGGTATTCTGAATATGCTCATAGTTATTGCAGAGGTAGTAGAAGTACCAGAAGAGGAAAAGAAGAAAATACTTGGCTTTGCACAGAGCTTAAAGGAACAGAAAGGAGTACTAAAAAATGAATTATCCAATGCTATTCAAGAGTACACAAATGCACTACTTACGCGCCTATCCAAGACAAAAAGTTTAATAGTAGAACTTTCTGATCTTAAAGGTGATAAATATGCTAATGAACGATATGATATATCGGGTGACATTAGTATAACATTTGAGAACAACACAATTAAGAATACAATAGTGTTAACTACTGCCCCTAGGCATAGTTTTATTAAGATGCCGCCTGTTATTACGAAGGTAAGCAATTTCCAAATGGAGAAAATGAATGAAATAGCAGACAGCTGTAAAAATGAGACAGTATTTATTGAAAATCTGTTTGTTTTATATGTTGACTATGAAATACGAAAAATTAACACTTCTGAGGAGAATGAAGAGTTTTTGAAGGATGAAGTGCAGATCACCATTAAAAACAACTTCACGGACATCAATAGGCTGCTGTTAGTTAATAACATCAGTGAGTTGTCCTACAAGAGTCTCTTAGTTACCTTTTCTATTATATATACTATGAATCAAAACCTATGTCCATCGCATCCTCTTATTCGCCTTACCTCTAACATACTCGGAAGCACAGAACTAAGCAATATAGAAATTCAGAAGGAAATGCTTCCACCAATTGTATTTGCAGGCCTGCATAATAAAAGCGATAGTAATTCCAACTACCCAAATATAAAACTTTCAGAGAACCAATATAACCAGGTGGCCTCCAGTTCATTTGCCGCTCTCTTCATTGATTATATACTAGATTGTGATATGGCTGTTTTCATAAAATGGATTAAATTCTATATAGATAATTTGTACGCCCAGCGCGACATGAATTATAATCCATTGCTAGACCCTTCAATGAATATAATGATTTGTCAATATATATTCAAAGATGGAACTATGAAGCACTCTGACACAATTGATGGGTTTATGATCCAAAAACATGCTAAAAAGGAAGATGAGGCGCTAAGCATCATACACTTCATATGGGCTACATATCTTTGTGTTGAGAAACGCCCAAACATAGAGCTCATTAAGAAAAACTTAGATGCTATTCGAGAAAATAGCTTTATTTCAAGTGAGTGTACTAATTATATTGAAAGCCGTGCTATAATCAAGCGGGCTATTAAAAAACTCAATAATATGAAGGATAAGCTATACATAAATGAAGATTTTGTTAGCAAGTTTAGCTGGTTTATAAAAACACTTACTTCTATCACCTCATGAGATATACTGAATTAGACATTTTTCTAACCAAAAGGTTTTTTTTGCTTAACTATAATAAAGGCTTCTCTTCAAATTATTTCTAAATAATTTTATTTAAATAATTCTTCACGTATACATTTTTTTAGAAAGTGGTGTTTATTTACTTTTATTATGGAAAGATCTTGGAAAATCGCAAAAACACACATATTTAAAGAACCATCTTTCTGTAGAAGAGACAACACACGAATGAATATATGGAGGTATTTACACCCTTCTAGCGCATAAAGATCTTCAAATGGGTCTGTAGAGTCAGAAATCAGAGTGCTGCTGTGTTATACTTGTGAAAGAGTATGTAAAATACAGCGCGCGCCAGGAGTGAGTAAACCACCATACTCATACAAGGCGCAGTATGCACATACAAATAACTCTCTTCTGAGTATCATATTAATAGACAATTAGTTCTGGCTTCTTTGCCTCAAGGATAAAAAATTCTTTTTTCTGCACTAGAAATGTGAATAATACTGGTTATTGGCTTTCAGATTTTCTTTTTTGTCTACACACCAAAAGAGGCTTGGATTGTATATACATACATACTTCATAACTTAAACTCTTATCCTTATTAGTATAAGAATGGGTGTTTAATTACTTACCAATATGATAGATTATAAATCTATAAATACAGAGTGCGGAGTAGATTATAACTAGCTTAGCATCTTGAAGTATAATACTTCAAGCAAAAATGAGCTAGGCACTTTGTGTTCTCTGCCAAAAGAGTGTTACTTCTGTAATACACAAATAATATTTTTTAAAAGGCTCTTGAAGTTAAAAACCAGAAGACTTCTAAAAATTATAAGAGAGTGTAGTGCAAAACATAGCCATGCAGCACTAAAAGACACTCACATACGTTTAATAACAAAGGTTACTCAGAAATAAAACACATTCTATCGAATTATGTGGGTGTCTGGCTGGGATGCCTTTTTCTTTTGGGAGCGACAAGTCATGTAGGACTACTTCTGCAATATAACTAATTTTATCATTTAGAAATAGAAATATATTTGGCTTTATAGGTGTATATTACAGATTATTTTATTAGAAAATATTTATAGTCGAACCTATAAGTGCTTATTAGGATGAGTTTAGAGTACTTGTTGTTCTTATGCGCGCCTAAGCAAATAAAAGTTTTTGCAGAGTGATTCTGGAATATTTTTGGCAGAAAAAAGAAATTTCCAGAATTTGAAAAGTATAAATACAAAATACTTTTTTACCATATGCAAGAAGCAATGAACAGAAACGAAGAAGCAAAAATAGATCAAGAAACACAAAATGTCTTTGAAGAGCTAAGACAGAATGGACCATTACCAAGAACAGACGAGAAGGTCAGCTTGGACGAGAATGTAGTTGGAGTATCCGAGGGAGAGACTCATGCATTCGACGCCCAGATGGACAGTCTTTTGAGTATTCTTATTAACTCAGTGTACTCCAGCAAAGACTACTTCTTGAGGGAGCTTATTTCCAATGCATCTGATGCAAACGACAAGAGAAAGAAGCTGTCATACACCACCCACCAGATTATTGAGGAGGAGCAGTGCATAAAGATCATCCCAAACAAGGAAAACAGAACAATAACCATCTGCGATACCGGTATTGGAATGAGCAAGGCTGACATGATAAACTATCTTGGAAGCATTGCCTCTAGTGGAACAAAAGAGTTCAAGAAGATGCTTCAGAGCACCAGCAGCGAGGGCCAGTCAATTGACAACCTAATCGGACAGTTTGGTCTTGGATTCTACGCAGCCTTTTTAGTTGCAGACCAGGTTGACGTCATCTCAAGAAAGGGAGACGAGTCACCTTGCATCTGGAGCAGCAGAGGACCAGGAGGATACGTTGTTGCACCATACACTGGAGAGCACGCCCAAGGAACATCCGTTGTGCTGCACATTTCCGAGCAGTGCAAGTCATACTTAGAGGAGAAGACTCTTGAGGACATCATCAAGGCCCACTCTTCTTTCATAGGATACCCAATCTACCTCTTTGTAATTGCAGAGAAGACAAGAAAGGTGTCAAAGGCAGTGGAGGAGAAGAAGGAAGAAAACTCCGAGAAGGCAGACGAAGATGTTGTTGAGGATGCAGCAGAGGAAAAGGAAGACGAGGAAACCTACTTCGAGGAGGAGTTCAAGAAGCTTAACACACAGATGCCTCTCTGGGCCAGAGATCCAAAGGAGGAGACAATCACAGAGAAGGAGTACGAAGACTTCTACAAGTCAATTTCAAACGACTGGGAGAAGCACTGCGCTGTCAGCCACTCCACAATTGAGGGAGACTTCAAGCTGCAGGTACTTCTGTTTGCCCAGAACAGGCCTCCTTTCAGGATGTTTGAGGGATCAAAGAAGAGCGCATGCAACATTAAGCTGTACGTCCAGAATGTGCTTATAAGCAGCGACCTTTCCGAGGCTGTTCCAGAGTGGATGAGCTTCATTCACGGAGTAATCAGCTCCAAGGACATCCCAATCAACCTTTCCAGAGAAATTGTACAGGGCAAGTCTGTCATGAAGCTGATCAAGAGAGTTATCTCCAAGAAGGTAATTGACATGCTGAACGACATGGCATTTGACAAGGAGAACTACCTCAAGTCATACAGCAACTTCAGCACATGCTTGAAGACAGGAATCTACATGGACAACTCTGATGTAGGCGCCAAGCTTCTTAAGCTGCTGAGGTTCAAGACCACAAAGAGCGAAGAGCCAATATCCTTTGAAGAGTACGTTAGCAGAATGGCGGAGGGCCAGAAGAAGATCTATGTGATCACTGGAATGAACGAGAAGGAAGTTATGTCTCACCCAGCTCTTGACAGAATGACCAAGTACGAGGTTATCTACATGCCAGACCCAATGGACGAGTTTGTCATCCAGGTGAACAGCCAGTTCAACGAGTTCCCCTTCCAGAGAATAACATCCGAGGGAATCGACCTTCCAGAAGAGAAGGAAGACACCAAGGAGAAAGAAGAGGAGTTCAAGGGAGTAATAGAAGGCATGAAGGCAGTTCTTGGCGACAAAGTTGAGAAGATTGTTATCTCCACTGCACTTGAAAAGCTTCCATGCTTTGTCTCCAGTGCAGGCCACAGCTACTCTCCTGCAATGGAGCAGATCTTAAAGGCACAGCCAGGTGGTTCAAGCGCAAACCCAGTTTTCGCCTCTGGATACCTCACCAAGAAGATGCTTGAGATCAACCCAAACCACGCAACAATTGTTGGCCTGAAGACTCTTCTGGAGAAAGGCGACAAAGAAAAGTTTAACACCACCGTTGGCCTTCTCTTTGACTCCTGCCTTCTTGGAAATGGATTCCCAATTTCAAACATGGCAGAGTTCAGCAAGAGAATCTTCGAATTTGTTAACATGGGAATGGAGTCAATGACTATTCAATAAGCATGTTTTTAAATAAACAAAATATTTATTACTTCCTCTATTTTTTCAAGTTACAGCTGCATCTACTAAAAGTTGGCTATGCATACTGTCTAATTATTTTTCTGTATTTAAGGGGATAGTGTGCCATAATTACCAGAGCTTAAACAAATTACATTGTAGAATCCGCACATACACAACATTATTTTTAAAGGCCTGTCTACCCAGAAACAGCCTTTTCTTTATACACTTGCCTTTTTATTGGTTGTTAAGAATTAAACTAAAGATTCTTTATAATAAAGATGTGCAGAAGAAAAAAGTATTCTGTAGAGCCTTTTTGGTCAGAGTATATCCGAATGAATATCTTAAATTTATTCTAATATGGAACTGCACAGAGAGATATCTTACAGTGGCCGGAGTTCTTGGCTTTGGTAGAACGTAAAGACTGTGTCTAAGTAGTCTTGGTTTTGGTCAATCATGGAGGAAAGTGTTTTCATGCGTGAAAGATGTTCGTGCGCAAGAGAGAACTCTCTTTTGTGAATAGCGTGCTCAATAAGCCTCTTTCGTGCATAGTATTCAGTTGATGCAGACACTTCTCCGGGATAGCTTAGAGCCTTTCGAATGGTGGGGACCAGTCCCAGACTCTTTACGTTTGCACATACGTGCAGAATTGCTTCTTTTGCCTCTTTATGGGTCTCTGCTGACTTAAGAAGAGACTCAACCCACAGTGCAGGAAGCTGCCCAGTTTTCAGATATAGACACAGCACAGCTTCCCCAGCATACCTAAACATAAGAGTAGCTGTGGCAAGCGTAAAAAGCGCATTTGCGTCTCTTCCAATGTTTGGTGTGTATGTTTTAACCTTTACAAGCAGATACTCTATGGCTTCTTCGATCTTCCCCTGGAGCAAAAGTATTCTTTGAAGAGCTGCATCTATTTTCTCGCTCTTCTGATTAAACACAGAGGCATATTTAATAATTCGCTCTGCATCCTCGTAGTTCTCACTCTGTGCAAATGATATTGCAGTTAGTAGAAGAGTGTCTATATCAAGCACCTCGAAGTTGCAGCTCTGCAGGATAGAGAGCGCCTCTGCGTGCTGCCCATTGAGAAGAAGCCGAGTGCACAGTGCTTTTGCGTACTTTGCGGTTTTCACCAGATTAAAAGCCTCTTTCAAATATTCTATGCTGTTCTCCATTATGCCAAAGGCAAATAACAATGAGGCAAGTTCGATTTTTAGTAGAATCACAGGCTCTCTGGAATGGGCTGCAGCTTTGTAGAGAGAGCATGTGTTGTTAATAAGCTCCTGCATCTCCAAGTCCCTTTTAATCTGCTCTATCTTTTCCTGCAGAAGTGGCTTAGCTATCTCGCGCTTTCCTGCAAGAATAAGCGAGGCAATAAGCCTGTCTGTCTCTTTGTGCTTTTCAAATAGTGGGATTGCCGGAGAGTGCGAGGCTGTTGAGACTAGGGCATGCGCCCAAAGAATCTCATGCTCCTTCTCCTTTAGGGGAACTTCTGGAGTTATGCTGTACTCAATTGCAGAAAGCGTAGCCACTGGCCTGTCTACTAAACACCCTGCATACAGCAGCAAAGCATCCAAGGAATATCCATTTTGTAGAAGCATCTGTGAAATAGCGCTGGCCTCTGCCTTAGATGCCTCGTTCCCAACTAGAGTTAGATTTTTTGCATGCAGGTATAGCAGGTCTTTCTGCTGGCTTGTCATGTCATAGATCGCTGGCTCTGTCTTTGGAAAAAGAAAGTATCTGTCGCCTGTTTCTATTGCTCTTTCAAGGTCATCCAAATTTGTATACTCTGCCTCTTCTTTTCCGTGGGTTACCAGTTCGCACACAAAAATAGGCACACTGTGTGGCTGGCCTGCACATGTATATCCTTGCTTGCCTATGAACTGCCACTCTATATTCAGAATGCCCTTGAGAGCTTGAACTGCCTCTTGCTCTATGGATCTAAAATAGTCATCGTCAGTTATTTCATTGCATATTCGAATCTGCGCAAACAGAAGGGCTGTCTGCTCATCTGCAGAGGCAGTTTTGCATGCCTTTGAGATCGCAAGAAGCATCTCTTTTGTGTGGAATATTATGGTTTGTGATTTTAGTCCTACTTTTTTAAGAAGAATATACACGCCTTCAAGTAAATCTGGCCTTTCGCTAAGTATCCATCCTATTTTTACTTTTGGCTGCACATATATTTCAACTAAGTCAACAATTGACTCATGCGCTCTGTTTATGGGTGCTCCAATCACATCAAAGACGCGCTCTTTCAGCTCAATCTCCAGCGGAGCATCTTTTTCTGTTTTTGCCAGGCCTATGGCCCTGTGAACTCGCTCAAAAAACTCATTTCTCTCCTTGCTAGAATCCGTTTCTATGCCCATAAAATTTTACTGTGGCTACTTGGTATTCATGCAATATTTTATACATGCGAGTTCAAAGAGTCAATTCTGAAACACATGGCAACAATGTAAAACGCAAGTATTTAATGCAGAGGAGCACGTAAACACATGGAAATTGCATTTCACAGCAACAAGTGCGCACTCAAAGACTCTCTTCGGCTAATTAAAATAGGAAAAAATCCGTGCTGGAAAAAAAGATACCAGCTGTTCAAATACGCATCAGGCCTGATTAGCGCAAACGAGAGCATAATCTCCCTAAAGTCAGATATATCAGAGTACAATATGCAGGAGTTCAATGAACTGATTGCGCAATACACCGCACATGCCAATATTTTTATAAGCAGAAAAGGAGAGTGCGTTGTCTGCCTAAAAAACTGTCTGGAGGATCTTCAGAATCCAGAGGCTGCACTTTTCTTGGACGAAGAGATTATAACAGCTAGAAGCTCGCCTGAGATGGAAATAACAGATGAAAAAATAGCCCAGGTAGCAGACAAAATGAAAAGACTAAACACAAAGACGGAGTTCATGGAGTCCATTATAAATATGCAAACAGAGGATCTTGACAGAGTTTCATATTCAAGCACATCAATGGTGAACTACTCTGAGTCGCATCTTTCCCAGCTGGAGGAGGCCTTAAGAAAAAAGAAGAGGGCAGTTATTATAAAAAGATGGCTTGGGGGCGTAGTTGTCTTTTTCTGCTTCTTGTCTCTTTTGCTGCTTAGGCCATTCATTATATAAGTTTAGACGCTGCATAAATAAAGAAATAAAAGACTGATATTTTAACTCCAGTGACAGCTCTTATTATTTCCGCAATGGGTACACACTTTGTGCGGTCTACACCAAGAATAACACAAAGAATGCATACAGTATCTAAATCAAAAAACTATGCTAAATCATAGATAGATGCATTTTTACTATATTTCTGATGTTTTTATGGAATTCAAAGCTATTTAAGCGTGCTGTGTAAACTCAGCAAAATCTGTGGCTGCTGTGCCCTATCCGCAGAATATGCCACCATTCTCTGCACTCTGCAGCTGTAAAACTTATTTTAAATTCTGTATAAAAATTGCAGCACCCTTCTGTAGCATCTTTTATAGTTTTATTCCTGCAAATTTGAAATTTAAATGGAGAGAGACGACCAAGACCATTCGCAGAACTCGGCTGCCTTTTCCTTTGACAATGGAAGTCAGCTGAGCTTTGGAACAAGCCAGCCCTTCCATCTTACACAGTACAACTCTGAGAATATACCAGAGATTATTGAGGACATGAAGTCAACATACACCCAGGAGAACGTCCGTGTCGTATGGGGAACAACCATAAACATACAAGAGACAATTGATCTGTTCAAAGAGTTTATCCGCACATTTACTACACAGGATGGAGTGCCCGTGTATTTGCACCGCATTGAAGAGATGCACGAACTAGAAGACTATGTTATAACACTGAACTGCGCGCATCTGAAAGGCACAGCATATGACCGAATTCTGACAGAAATACTGGCATATCCCGTTGAGATATTCCCGTTGCTGGAAATAGCAATATCTGACCTGTACTTGGAGAAGTACCCATCTACTCCGCCTATGATTAAGGTGCTTGTAAAGAATGTTGGCAACCACAAAAACATCAGGGACCTTCTTCCAACGGATGTAGATACAACAGTTGAAATAACCGGAATGGTAACAAAGACAAGCGGAATAATTCCAGACATTACAACAGCAGCATATGTGTGCAATAAGTGCCGGGAGGTACTGACAACAGAGGTTGTGCGAGGAGTAATTGCAGAGCCAGTGGACTGCCCATGCGGCCAGAAGTTCTCAATGGAGATGGACAGCAGTCTTTCTTTGTTCCAGGACAAGCAGGTCATTAAAGTACAGGAGCTGCCTGAGTCAGTCAGCGATGGGCTGGTGCCCTGCACAATAACAGTGCTTGCCTCACACGTTCTTACAGACGGACTTGTTCCAGGAGACAAAGTAAGAATTGCTGGAATATTCAGAGCAGTCCCCTTAAAGCTGAACTATATCCATAGAACAATAAAAAGTTCGTTCAAGACGTATATTGAGATGGCTAGCTACACAAAAATATCCGAGGAGAAGATAAGGCAGGACACATTTGGAGTTCTTGAGGAGATAGAAGCACTGCGCAACTCAGAGAACGTGTACGAGAAGCTGGCCCTTTCAATTGCCCCAGGGATATACGGCATGCTTGATGTGAAAAAGGCACTTCTTCTGCAGATGTTTGGAGGCGTGACAAAGTCCTTGAATGGGGCTAGATTCAGAGGAGACATAAATGTGCTTCTAGCAGGTGATCCGGGTGTGGCAAAAAGTCAGCTTCTGCTGGCTGTCCACAGACTTATTGACAGAGGCGTATACACTTCAGGAAAGGGGTCAAGTGCAGTGGGTCTAACAGCAAACGTGTCTCGGGATATGGACAGCGGGCAGCACATACTTGAGTCAGGGGCTTTGGTCATAAGTGACGGGGGCGTCTGCTGCATCGATGAGTTTGACAAGATGGGCGAGTCTACACGAAGTGTCCTGCATGAGGCAATGGAGCAGCAGACTGTGAGCATAGCAAAGGCAGGCATAATAACCACGCTTAATGCAAGATGCTCAATCTTGGCAGCCTGCAACCCCATTAACAGCAGCTATGACCCAAAGAAGAACATCATTGAAAATCTGGACATTCCCCCAACCCTGCTGAGCAGATTTGACGTAGTCTGTCTTCTTCTGGATAAGGTAAATGAAAAGAGAGACAGAGAGATAAGCACGCACATCATCAAGTTATACGCAGGCACTGAAAAGCCCGTGAGTCCGCCAGTCAAAGAGAGCACTCTTAAGCAGTACATAAAAGAGGGAAGAAATATAGTGCCAAGAATAACTGAGCCAGCTGCAGAGAAGATATCCAAGGAGTATCAGGAGCTGCGTCTGCTAGGAAATGGCAAGAGTGTAACGGCAACCACCAGACAGCTAGAAAGCATCATTCGCCTTAGCGAAGCACATGCTAGAATGCGATTGTCGCATACCGTTGAAGAGCAGGATGTTTCAGAGGCAATTCGCATCATAAAGGACTCATTGCACATATATGCAGTGGACCCAGTAACAGGAAGAATTGACATGGAGCTGCTGCACACTGGAAAGACAACAGCTTCCCTAAAGCTAGAAGAAAACATGAAGGAGCTTATACTTCGAAGAATAGGAAAGGGAAGCACAGTGCCCAAGCTAATGGAAATGATTAATAGCACAGCAAGAGTGCAGGAAAAAGTTCTTATGGAGATATTGGAAGAGCTTCAAGAAGATGGAAAGATCATGATAGATGGCCTCTGCATAACCCTAAACTAACAAAATATAGCTCAAGTTCATATTAACCTGAATACACTGCAAAGTATCTATGCTTTTCCTAAAGGCAGCTTTAAGAAGCATAAATCACTTGGAGTATATTCAAGAACACCACAGAGCCAGATGCATTCATTCTGCTAGGATCTTTTTCCTAAATAAAACCCTTCAGAAAGTATATATTTTAGTTTTATAGATGAATATTTGCCTATACAATTTTCTCTTGTAATTATACTATGATTATTAGGGCGCAAAGAATACTCAGCAGATAGAAAAAGAAATATCATGGCATGCTTAGAGATACTATTCATATAGGGACAAGACTTTAAAAAATCAACCTTGTAGTTCTATGATGGCTTTCTTATTACGAAAGAAATAGACAATTTCCTGTTAGTGAAGCAAAGAAAGTCATTTTTTCAGGGCCTAAGTTATTTGGAGTTCTGCAGACTCTGAAGCCTTTATTAAGAAGTGCTTTGCCTGTTAAATATAAAGCGCATATTTTGTAGGCAGATGAAGGCTATTGCAGCCTTAATTAACTCTACCTCTAATTAGTCTGGATAATTAAATATTTAATGATGCATAGTCCTTTAAATTAAGTTATCCTGGGTGTAGCAGGAGAAACCATGAGAATTACTCCATAAACACATGGGATGGGGAGAATGCGCTTTCTAGTGTATTTATACGCAAAAAAGAAGGAAAGAAACAGAATATATATTTATTGTATGATTTCCTTGATTGTTTTTTGGGAGGCTGGTGCAAGTGACGTGTTTGTGGCAAACCAATCTGTATCGCGCTGTGAGAGAACTGACAGCTCCGTGTGATAGTCAAATGATCCGAATATTCCTGCCTCCTCCATAAGTGACTTGTCAGCAGCTGTGCCAATTACCATTGTCTTAAACCTGTCCTGGTTCTTAGCAAATAGCTTGATGGCCTGGAGAATTGGATTTGAGAACCTGGGCCCAATTGACACGTAGTCCATAAGCCCTTCTATGTCATCAAGAATCACCAAAGACTCTGCACTTTTATAGGCGTCTTTGAATGTGTTTCGGATATAGTTCACCTTCTCATTCTCCTCCTTTCCTACAATGTCCTTTGGGGATATAACCCGAATAAACGGTATTTCTGACTTAGTTGCTATTATCTCAGCAAGTGCTGTTTTTCCAGTCCCTGGCTTTCCTGTTAGCAGAAGCGAAAGTGTTTTTGACTTTTTTTTAGTGTCCTTTCTGAGCCGGTCTACAACTGTCTTTCCATGGTCAATCACATTCTGTGCAGATGGGTATGCATAGAAGGGTTCTGGCATTCTCAAAGCAGTGCTTACACCAAAGGACGGGACAGTCTCTTCAAGCGCACGCTTAAAGTCGTTCATATCAATCATTACCTCTTTCTTTGTATTTCTTGCTCTTTCCAGGGCAAATGATGCTGCACTCTTCACAAGTGCAGTTATTTCTGCTCCAGTGTAGTTTCGTGCCTTGTTTGCAATTTGCTCCAAATCTACGTCCTTTTTCATAAAGCAATTTGTCTCCATCTTGCTAGTGTGAATCTTCAGAATTTCAAGTCTGCCTGCCTCATCTGGCAGGGATATTTCAATGTGAATCTCAAACCTGCCAGGGCGAAGAAGTGCATCATCAATTAAGTCAACTCGATTTGTCATTCCAATCACAAGAATATTGTTCAGAGACTCAACTCCATCAATCTTTGAAAGCAGCTGGTTGACTACCTGATCCCCAACACCATTTGATGACCCTCTACTCTTACATATTGCATCTATCTCATCAAATATTATAATGTGCAGTGCACTTTCATCTCCATACTGCTTGTAGTCCTTCTCTGCATCTTCAAACAGCTTTCTAATGTTTTCCTCACTCTGCCCAACATATTTGTTGAGTATTTCTGGGCCATTCACTATTTTGGGCGGAGCAGAGTTCAGAAGCGCAGACATTCTCCTGGCAATTAAGGTCTTTCCTGTTCCAGGGGGGCCGTACAGCATAATACCCTTTACATGGTTGATTCCCATGTTATTAATAAACCCAGGCTTGTACATTCTCTGAATAAACGCACGCCTAAACATCTCACCAAACTCCTTTTTAAGCCCTCCTATCTCCATCTCCATGAAGTCAAACTCTGTGTTTATGTTCAGCTCTGATCCTAGGCCCAGAATCGTAATTCCCTGGTGGTCCTTTATTGTTATTTTTGTGTTTCTTCGGACTGCCCCAATGACCTCTTTGTTTCCAAGCTTAATTCCCTCAACGCGGCATATGAACATGGTTTCCCTGCTGGAAGTATCTGCAGATGCCTCCACCTCCATCAGCAGCCCCAGGTCCTGCCCTTCTGTCAGAGGCACTCCTGCAAGAACATCCAAAAATGTGCTATTAATTGTTTTGTGGCTTATCCGAATGTGCACGCCCTTCGTCTTCCCCTCTATCGATATGACAACTTCTTCAATGGATCCCATCCTTCCGCCAGGCCCATCAATTACATCCACATACTCGCTCTCTTTTATCTGCATAAAGCCTCTTTGCACCTGCGACATAGAAACAGTGTACGGCGGCAAGTCTCTATCTACCTTTGCCTTAAACACGTATCCTTTGATGATGCAATACTCTCCAGTGTACTCGCTTGAGATATATATCTTATTCTCATGCGCTCTCAGAATATTCTTCATTCTCTCCACTTTATACCGACCCATGCTTCTATTTATTTTTCAGCATACATTTAATTTGCTTAAATTTTATTAGCATGTTCACACAGCCTCACGATAAAGAAGTTTTCAGAGATAGCAAATTCAACAAAACAAGCACTGCGCCTTCTTTGAGTTCTAAAATACACCGGCCCTCTGATAAAATGGATAAGGATGCGCGAGAGCAAGAGGTGTTTAGGAGGCTACCTGCGATTCCCACAATTCTGGAGCAAGATAAAACAAGAGAGGAGGAAAGAGTGTCGCCTCCTTTGTCTTTGAACCCGGATGTAGAGTACTCTTCAGCAGGGTCTTCCTCCCACAAGTTAATTCGGTCAAGCATGTACACTATCCCAGCAGACGAGGACTTGTTTGAGCTAATTGGCCTTCCAATGCTTATTGTGGCGCAGCCATTCAATGACTCTGTGGCTGTCCCTGAGTACCGGGCAGACTATCTGTACAAGTGCAAGGAGTGCGGGTCATTCCCAACAGCAGCACAGGAAGACGGTCTTCTAAGAGGGCAGTCTGAGAATACGTGCCAGTTTAAGTGCGCCATGTGCGGGTGCTCAAATGAAATAGTGTCAGAGTGTCCGTCCCTTAAGGAGCATACAGTCGAGTACATATGTGAAGATAGTTGTGCAAAAGACAGAAGCTGGTACGCCTCAGACAACCTTCCTAAGTCTGGGATGGCAATGCCTTCTTGCAGGAAGTGGAAGGAGCCGTGCCTTATTTTCATGATAGACTGCTCTGCCTCCTCTCGAGGGAACACAGGGTATATTGAGTTTATGAATGGCATGCGGAGTATTCTGGGGTCTAGTGATCTTTCTCTGTTTTACAGGAGATTTGCAATTGTTTTGGTAAATGAAGAAGTCTCTGTGGTTTCTGACGGGGAAATGGGATATGCTTTGCACGTCATGCATGATGTAAAGGGAGACTACGGTCTGTGTGCTCCTTTGTTTATTGAGACAGAGAGTCTGACTGAAGAAAGAGTTACTTCACTGGTGCAGCTGATTGAGGGAACACCTTCTTCGCAGTTTAACATTGCTGGGGGCGTGACTGTTGCTGTTCAGTTGGCTGCATACACAGGTGGCTGCAAGCTGATGGCCTGGCTGGGAGGCAGTGAATACTCTGAGGTGCCTGAGCAAATAGCGCAGACAGCAGTTGACTGCGGTGTGTCCATCTGTGTGTTCACAAGCCCGCACAGCAAGCTTAGCAAGCTGTACAAGACAGTTATGTCAACGGGCGGGTCAATTGAAAGAGACGGCATTTCTGTGGCAGTGGTGGAGAAGATCATGCAGGAGTCATTCTTCAGATGTGCTGTCCGTGTGGTCTGCAGCAATGGAATTAAGAAAAGAGCTGTCTACAGCAGCGGATCATCTGAGAATATATCAATGATCTCATTCCCTGTGATGTCTGCATCCACTGCTTTTTCTGTGAGCTTCTCTGTTGAAGACTTCCTTAAGGAAGGATCTTCTGTGCACATCCAGTGCATTGTGGAGTACATAAGCTCAATGGGTGAGAGCAGAGTCAGAATCATAAACATATCTCTGAAGGCAAGCAGAGTGATGCAGCAGATATTTATAGGAATGGCAATGGACACAATGTTCTGTGGAATGTGTAAGTATATATGCTCTGACCCAATAAATATGGTAGAAAATGTAAGAAAGGCAGAGACTTCCATGGTGACAGCACTTTCTTTGTATAAAAGATCCTGTGCAAAGGACACGTCTCCATCACAGCTGGTGCTTCCAGACACAATCAAGGGTCTTCCTGTTCTGATGCAGGCAGTCCTTAAGTATCCAAAGGTGCAACTTGGGCCCTCTGTGAAGATTGAGCTTGCGTGTGAGCTTATGCCTCTTCCTGTGGACAGGACATTCCGAATGTTCTATCCCCGGCTTGTAAAAATATCCTCCCTGTTCACAGTTGGGGGCATTGATGATCTCATGGGGGAGAGACTCAGCATGCGGACCCTGGACTCTGATGAGAGCTATATCATGGACACAGGGTGCAAGACTATTCTGTGGTTTGGGAAGGATGCAGTTGACTATATTGATGAAATGATTCAGAATGAAGTTGTTATAGCTGCCCTGGAGAGACTTAAAGAGACCTATGGAGTAGAGTTGAAGGTCACTCACTGCATCCAAGGAGAACTTGATGCAGACTTTATTGGGTACATGGTAGAAGACCAGATGGGTGGATATCCAAAATACCAGGAATATTTAGGATCTCTGCATGGGAAAATAGTTAAAAAATAAACTAGCACATTTAAGTATTTTACAATTACTAAGCGGCCCACTGGCCTTATTTAAGATAGCACTGCCATACTGAAGATGCCTTATTTCTCCAGATAAAAGACCATTTGACAACTAAAATATTCATGCACCATGAACTTATAGTACTTCTTATGAGACAAAAGTCATATGAGTTTACTAGTGATAAAATTACCCTTAGTTAATTCTAAGCGTATAGAGTGACTATTTCTTGCAGTGCTCCTTAAGCTAAGACAGTCACATATATACGGAATAACCCAAAGTGCCTGCAGGCCGTAAGCCTGGGCCAATAAGGATATCAGAATGAATATAAATTATCTGTTTATTCCTGATTATTCCGTTACTTATTTACTTCTCTCCTTTGGATAATACGTTTTTGTGCATTTTTCCTTGTGAGTCTTTTTTCAAGTTGTTTTGCATTTATCTGCAAAGTTACTTTAATATATTCTGTGCTATTTTTATTAAAGAGTTCTCTAGGATAGAAATAACTTTGCTTTTTATTTCTGTGAGACTTTCTGTTTCTCTTATTGCTTCTTTTATTTCCGTGCACTCTTCTTTTGTTATAAGCCTTTGTCTTCTCATTTCTTCAATCTCCTTGTATGTTTGTGGCTTCAAGATGGTTGCTCTTCTTTCTTTGTGCTTGGTCCCTCTGACGTGATCTATCCAGCCTCTGGGGGTTTTGTATTTTATTCCTGCCCGGCACAAAGAGCAGTAGAACTTCATAAAAAAGAAAGTGTTCACAAGTAAATACGAAGAGTTTTATTCCAGAAATAATTCTATCACCAGAAGACAGCCAGAATATACAAAAAGCACAAAACTACTTTATATTAATTATCTCACATTGGATACACATATTCTAGTACATTAAAATATGCAAAGATAATATACAGACAAGACCACTTATACTAGACAACACTGGGCAGAATTATTTAGTAAACCATCTTGTACTGAGGCATGACCAAAACTAGCCAATAATTGGACTATTATTTCCAATCAGTAGAGAATTTCTGGATTATTTTAGTGAATTATATGTGCCCTTATTACATTTATACCGGAGTAAAACTGTTATATGCAGTATCTTTGACAGATTCACTCCTAGAAGCTCTTCCTAAGATATTTTCACTGTGTATAAGCTCTTTATATTCTGGCTATATCAGTTATAATTGCAGTAATTTGTGCTTCAGATATGGTGTCTGGTAATTTTGTTCTTTTTTAGAATAAAGTGCCTGCAGGGAAAGATAATTTAAGGCTTACTTTTTTGCATAAATTTAGAAGGAAAAGCCTGCGTAAATATCTAAATTTATTTTTCAGATGCGCTTTAAATGGAAAAAACCATAGAAAGTGGCTTAAAATACGTGGACAATGGGGTTAATTCAGACAGACTAATTGTTCTAGTAGGAGGCCTGGGTGATGAACACAATGGATTTTATTCAATGGATATAATGGAGTTTGGGCAAGAAGAAGGGGTTAGAGTAGTTAGTCTGGGCCTGAGATCTATGCCAGACTACAATTACTATACGATAAACAACGATGTGGAAGATCTTCAAGTATTTTATAAGGAGCTAAGAATGAAGGAGTACGCGTATGTTTGGTTTATTGGGCATTCAACTGGCTGCCAGATCCTTATGCTTTTTGCATCTGCTGTGGCACTCAGAGACTCTGAGATTATTATCCTGCAGGCTCCTGTGAGTGACAGGGAATATGAAGAAAGTAGAAATAATAATCTGAAGAAGTCGCTTGGTATTGCAAGCAAGCTCAGTGAAATAATGCGCTTTGAGAATGCAAAGAATGACCCAGACCTGGACAAGCATCAAATGATACTTTATTTACGGCATAATGACACACCCTTCAGGGCAGACAGGTTTCTGAGTCTTTTCCAGAAGGGAGGGACTGAGGATTTCTTTTCCATAGGGCAGGCAACAGATCACATTAATGCATGCAATGCGAAGGTCTATGCGATACTCAGTTTATACGATGAATACGTAGTCTCGCCAATTGATGAAATAGAAGAACATCTCAAAGGGATCCGGAATATGCAGAAAGTGTACAGAATAAAAGCTGACCACGGTCTGCATGAGGGCTTTGATGAATTTATATCTGTGCTGCACGAGATTATTAGTCAAACGGGCAGAGAGACAGGCTTGGAAGTATCTCCATAAGGCTCTTGTTATCCAGGACTGCAAAGCAAGAGAGTGCAAAGAACGTATGAAGAAGATCTGGTGCGCTGCCCGGGCGGTCTGCGTACCCGCCTTCTTCTGACTCGCATGATTCAATATATTGCCGCACAGAGGATAAATCAACATAACCAGATTTTCCCATAATGGAAAGTGCAGAGTATGCCCAGTATGTGCTGCACAGGTCTTCGTGTTTATCCACCCGACTGGAAAAACCTCCCTTTTTGCTCTGCAGCAGGCTAATGGAGACGGCAGTCTCCTGTATACCTACTAGACTAATCTCTCCCATAAGAAAGAGAGAGGCAAGCCCACAGAACGTGTTTGCAGCGTGTGATTCACAGCCAGGCATAGGTCCAATACCGCCATCTATATTTATGCACTGCGAAATGTAGGTGCACAGAATTCTTTTCATTGGGGGAAGGATAAAGAACATTTCAGGGCCACCCAGGGACAGCTGTGCAAGCAGATGCTTTGATGTGATGTAGCTGCAAATATACCGCATATCCAAATAGGAGTTAAACCCAATGAGTTTTTCATCTGTAACTATTTTCTCTAAGTATGCATTGCACATGACAGAATTAAGAGTCTTCTCTGGTCTTCCTCCTTTAAGTGACAGTTCATTCGATGAAGATGACTGGGAGGTGTTATCAGAGGATTCTTCTATAAGGTCCATCTCTAGCTCATCGATTCTTTCTTGCACTGTAAAGGAGCCTGGTCTTCTTGTGTCTGGTATTTCTTCCTTTTCTTTGTGATTGTCTGGTGCAGGCGGTGCAGGGGAAGATTTACCTATTCTTCTAAGGATATAAAGTATTTGCAGCGCAGAAAGTGTGAAGAGAGGATTTGAGGGATACCCTGGCTTGGCACCAAACCCTCCATCTACATTCTGGCATGCCATTGTAAACCCTCGCACGGTCTCTGATAGCTTTTGAATCTCCCTGAATTCCTCCAGAAGAAAGAGGGAGCCAATTGCCCAATACAAAGTGCTTATGCGCATTGGCTCTGAAAGACAGAAGAGTCTTGTCTTTTCTGTTATGCACTGAAGAATAAACTTAGTGTGCTTATTATTTTGCGCCATGCTGTGCTTCTAATTTAAGCAAAAATCAAGTGAATAAACACTTTCATTTAATTTCTGAGATCATTAAAGAAAGAATTCAGATCACAAAAACATTCTATTTCAGCAGATAATTCATCTAATCAATTGGTATACGGGTAGTCTGCATGGTATATCTGTCCATAAATATGCACTAATTCTTTTTAATTTCGTGAACACTTTTGTACTTCTCTGTGGATAGAATGGACTATAGGTAAATCCAAGGAGAAAAATCTATTTAAGCTTAAACTAAAGTAAAATCCCCCAGAATGCACGAATACCAAGAATCTTATAATTTGGCAGGCTAATGAACTCTGCATGAAATTCAGGAATGTGCTTTCCCTTAGACTGCTTCCAAAGTATATATTATTTCAGTCACAAGCTGCTTTGTGAAGTATAAATTGAGCTTAGTATTATAGTAAAATTTAAACCACAGAATAAACAAGTAAATTACGCATATAATCTGAATGTAGCCATGAACTATTTATTTAGACAGTTATTATGCGGTCTTATATTTTAATTCAGCTCAACGTACTCTAAGGCTGAAATCAAGAAGAATAGGTCAGCTCCATATGAGATAAAGAAGAACCCAAATATCATAGTAGCTAATAGCACTAATTTGGACTTTTTTATAGACGACGTATCATACTTCTTTTTCAACTCATTCTTTAAAGAGCCAAATATCAGGAAAAGTGCCGTGAAAAGTGCAATAAAAAGCTTTGTAAGAGACAAAAGGGCTGTTGATAGAAGATAAAGCTTAAATGTGCTATAAATACCCCACACTAGACCTATTGCAATAGCTGCAAGTGTCAAGACTCCATAGTAAACGATAATTACGAGTTTGGATCTAGTGAATCCCTGGGTATAAAAGAAATCCTTTTCTAATAATAAATGGTACATTATTGATAACAAATAATTAATAATAATTAGAATTATAACATAAGTTATCTTGTCATACTCTTCCAACCACTTTTTAAGACTTTCGTACATAATATATTCATGGCTATTTTTAAATTCTGCTCTTAGAATAATCATAAAGAACATAATGTAGTGTACTAATGAAAGAAAAAGCGTAAAAGGAATAAGGAAGTCCGCATATATCATGGTAATTACCTTTCCTAGGAAAGAATGTTTTTCTTTGGTAGGCTTCACACTATTATCATGTAAACTAATAATTATCCCAGTTGAATTAGCCTCTTCTACACTATTATCATGTAAACTGACAATTTCCTCAGTTGAACTAGCAGGCATATTATTTGGTTTAGCTTCTACTCCACTTTCAGTAGTCGCATTGGGCAAACTCACATTTATAGAAGAATCTATAACTTCTTGCTCGTTTATAAGCGAATAATACATTAAAAATTTTTGAAAATGAGAATATAAGATAAGGCAAAGCATTTTTATTAAAAATGTATGAATCTATGGAATTTTGTGAAAATATCTGGCCATAAATTTACATATTTTTAATAAAATGCTTTGTGAAGGGGTTCATTCAAAAATTAAAGAATACTTGTAGATAGAAATATTCGGTGAATTTTGGTGATTATTCCAGTATAGTATTATGCAGGGTGCAGATTATCCAGATGTAAATTCTTTTCTCTTAGAATACATTCTACTCTGCAGTGTGTATTTTTCAAAAAAAAGACAAGTTATAAAGCACCTTTAGAGTACTATGGAGGACATGGTATTTTAACACTTTGTTACACCATGAATTGCTAGAGAGCTTCTTCTGGTTATTTCACTTGCATTACTATTCTGGAACAGTATGTGATTACAACGTGATTAATTTGGTTATTCTGCTGGATATCTTGGACAGTACATTATATTAGCCACACAGTATTATTCTGTACACCACAATGGAATCATTTCTTTCCAAAAAACTTCTGCTTATAACCCGAATTATTTGAAATTTTATGCGAGGAAAAACATTCTACACGCTGTGCATCCCGTTGGTTGACATATACATATATAACTCGGATGTTATAATAGACCTAGGAATAGAGCCAAATGCAATGACCCTCTACCAGAACATTCAAGAAGAAGGGCAGAAGATTCTCGTGCAGTACGAAAATAAATCGAGCAGTTCCAGAAAGTATTATGGAGGCATGTCGTACAATACATGTGCAGAAATTGCAAAGACGCAGGGCTCTGCATGCGCTGTTTTTTTAGGTCCATTCTCAACAGACGAGTTGTCTATGTCTGTCTTTGAAAGGGCAATTGCTGGTGAGATTAAGAACCTAACGATATATCCAGAGTATATAGACAGTGAATCAGGCAGATCTTATGTGATCCCAAAGGGCTCTAATAGGGCAATGATCACGAAAATAAACGAAAAACAAGTCATCTCAATGGGGCTTGTTGAGAGGTTTATTAGTCTAGTAAAAGAAGGAAGCACAAAAGAAGATGATGCCTTGTATCTAGCAGGCTACACAGTAGAGCAGTCCACAAAAAACCTGGAATATCTACTCGATGAGAAGAATCTTCTTGGTGCCAAGTACACATTAATATTCAACCTTGCAGACCCAGGCGTATTAAAGCGGTCGTACAGAAGAATAAAGAAATTCATTGAGAAGTCAGATTGGATAATTGGGAATGCAGAAGAGTTCACTGAGCTGTTCCATCAAGAAACCCAAGAATACCCAACGGATAGAAACTCACTTCATGATTATATTGGGCGTAGGTTTGACTATGCGGTAGTTACAGATGGAAGTGGCCCTGTAACAGTATATGCAAAGATCGATGGGAAGAAGTGCGTGCTAGTAAAGCAGCCAGAAGACATTAAAGTAAAGAACCCAACAGGCGCAGGAGATGTTTTTGCAGCCACTTTCTTCTCGCACATTTTAGTTGATGCATCAGATGTGCAGGGTGCCTTGGATTCTTCTGTGGCCAGAACTAGTGAGTATCTGACCAGACTAACTGGGCGTATGGAAAATAATCACGTATAATTTGGTCTGTGACAAAGTGCCTGGTCCAGGTATATTTTTCTCTTCCATTAATCTGGCGTCTATTAAATTTCTGTTCTGTATTTATTTTTAGAATGAGTGGAGGATTTAACAGAGCACTTTCAATATTCTCACCAGACGGCAGAATATTCCAAGTGGAGTATGCGCAGCTAGCAGCAGAGAGAGGGTCACCCGTGATATTCTATTCTGACGGGAAGAGTATCTGCGTGGCAATTGAAAAAAGAGCCGAAAGTAAGCATAAAATACTCTCAGACCTGGACAAGTTCAAGGAGGTTGAGACAGGAATATATCTTACATTTGCAGGAATATGGCCAGATAGTCTTATAATAATAGACAAGGCTATCTTTATAGCCAGAGAGTATGCATACAGAATAGGCGAGAGAATAGATATAATGAAGCTTTCTTTGGAGCTAGGGGACTTTATGCAGAAGTACACAATAACAGGAGGATATAGGCCATTCGGAGTGAAGGTTGTTTTGTTTGGATTCCATAAAGACCAGCCAGTTATTTCCATGATAGAGCCAGATGGTAATTATGCAATGTACAAAGGAGGTGCAATTGGCACAAAGAGCGACAGAGCAGTTAAGGAGCTGGAGAAGGCAGAGGACACTCCTGCCATAATTGCCGTAGCAAAGACCTTATACACTGTAGCACAGAAGGATGCAAATAAAATGTCCCTATTCCAGATTACGCCAGAAGTAGCTACTATACTTACTACAGCTGAAGTATCTGAGATAATCGAATCATTCAACCAGTAAAAGTATCTCGTTACACTTTATCGTGCTTATTTCTATTCTTATTTAATGCCAGCTCTTTAATCTTTTCTATTTTCTGGTTCTTGGATTATTATTGGTCTATTAGTCTATTCTGCAAATATTCTCATACTTTGCCCCTTTTAGTCGTATTCCTGGTGAAACTGTCTTTTTCTCTTCCCTCTTATTTTTCTTCTTTTTATGCTGCAGTCAAAGTGCCGTGTACCCGAAATATTTATGGAGTGCAAGAGACAGCAAGATGCAAGTGCCCTAAGACAGTGCAATGTACAAATAATAAAACCAAGTGCAACGGATATAATCTCATAAGATGCAGTATTTATTGCTTATTGCTTCCCTGTTGAAAGAACAGAAGTGAAGCACTTTGAGCAGAAGGATCCATCTGCATGGTTTGCCATAAATATTTCTGGACCGCAAGTTGGGCATACCTTCTTAAGTATCTTGACCTGGCCGTCCTTGCTAACATCAAAGTGAGACAGGCATGCAAGCTTTCTCTTCTCCTTTACCACTTTCACTTTCTTTGGGGTGGTGTATGCCTTTCTCTTCTTCTTCTTTCCTCCTCCTCTCAGTCTCAGCACTAAGTGGATGGTGCTTTCCTTCTGTATGTTGTAGTCAGAAAGTGTTCTTCCATCTTCTAGCTGCTTACCTGCGAAGATAAGTCTCTGCTGGTCAGGGGGAATTCCTTCCTTATCTTGTATCTTTGCTTTTACGTTCTCTATTGTGTCATTGTTATCGACTTCTAGTGTAATAGTCTTACCAGTAAGCGTCTTTACAAAAATCTGCATAACTGGGGTTATAAAAATTAAAACTAAAAGAGCAAAAAATAAATATAAATGGACACGCTTAGGAAGTTTCTGCGGGTAAAAAGAAAGTCTGAATACATAACGGACATAGGAAAGATAAAGATAACAAAGCGTGATAAAAGGAAGATAAACCGATTTAAGAACAATCAGTCAGTTGGGCCCTTTGTAATTGAGAGACCAAATCTGAGTGTCTTTGTGTGTGATACACGCTCTGAGCCACTTATCTCACGAGTCACTACGGAAGAGGTTGAGGAAACCCTGCGCAGGCAGAAGACATCAGAGAAGATTTTCCTGGAGAAGCACAAGAGAAGACACTCCAGAAGAAGAAAAGAGACGGTTGAAGATTTGGAGGATCTTTGGGGAGACCAGTCTGGAAACTCAGAAAACATGAATAGAAAGCTGAGCAGAAAGACAGAGAGACCAAAGGACACAGATGCATACGACCAAGATGACTTAAACTTGCGCACGGACAGAGAGGGCATCTGGAAGCACGTCCACTTCTACAAGGACTCTATAAGAAGACCGAGAGTCTACCAGGCAGAGCTTGAAGGACTCTACAAGAAGCTCTCTCCCATTAAGGTGAAGGTGCCTGCAGACACAGAAATACCGACGAAGACGTACACAGATATTGTATACAAGGAAAATCTAAGAGATGTGACAAGCATGGCATGCGGCATCTACTATATCGCAGTGCACAGTTCATCTGTCTCTATAAGAGATGCAGACGGGTACATGCCCATACGAAATGTCAAATTAGTGACAGAGACAGAAGACGTGCTGATCAGATGTGCATATTTGTCGCCTGATGAAAGCAAGCTAGCAATAATTACATTTGGGCATGGGGTAATTATATGCGCAACTGACAGGCTGCTTAACTCATCAAATGAGAATGAAACCATAAATATTAACAAAATCTCACAGGAGAACCCAGCAGACGCAAAGGAATCTGCAAGCTACGAGGACTGCTGCAGAGTGTTCCCAGATAAAACATTCAGAAAGGGGGCATGGCACAGGAGAAGTATTTACTTTGCAGGAATACTGCACGGGAAAGTGGTCATCATAAATACAAAACAGAAGAAGGCAGTTGTCTTCTATAAGGGAACACAGAACATCCAGCACGTAGAATTCCATCCAACAAAGAGCATTCTTATTATGATGGCGCCTTCTTGCATTCTGTTCTACGGGCTGTCTACTAAACGAAAGGACAGCAAGAAAACAATCTACCACATAACAGCAGCAAATACTCTTTCTATTTCACTAGGCACAGAGACAATGTACATTGGTACGGCTACCTCTCAGGTTCAAATATTCCAGCTCACAAAAGAATTCGATGCAAAGTTCATTCGTGCAATATACACGCAAGATACGCCCAAAAGAATCTCTTTGCACAAGAAATACGGATACGCTGCTGTGTTTGATGGATCCCCCACCTTTTTAGTCTACGGGAATGGATCAAACACAACACTGCCTCCAATGGAAAGAGCAGGGGCCATTCACAAGTACACCCACCCATACAGATCTGGAATATTCCACGAGACCCATCCGAAGGCGCACTTCACTCTGTCTAATAAGCTGAATACACTCTACCCAGAATATAATCCAGTTAGTTCTGCTGCCATTCCGGCATCTTAGTCAGGTTATGCTATAAGCACCATCTAGCAAAGCTATTATACTCCCTGGCATAGAATAAATATAGATAATTAGAGTATTTTTGTTGTATCCAGTAGTCTAATTAGGCTTACTCATAGAGTCTTATAGAAAGCACCATATATGCATATATGTATTTTCTTATGTAACCTACGTAATATTCTATTTATAATGCACTAATTTTAGTGTATCCTGCAATTCACTCATTCTCTGAGTATTCTTGCAGTAATTTCTTCTAAATAATTCGCAATAATAATTATTATGTTTTCAGGCCCAGTGAAGTACATTGACGAAGAGAGGTTCTGTGAGGAATATGAAAAAGCCGAAAAGAAATTAAACGAGTCAGAAGATTATGACTCAGCAGTTAAATTAATCAGGCTTAACTCAGAGGAGTACAAGGCATTTGGCATAATAAGACAACAAATCTCTTCAATAAATTATTCCGACCAGATTAGCCTTACACAAGAGATCATACGCTCCAATCCTAACTCATTTTGTGCATGGCAGCATAGAATGCACCTGCTCCTAAGGACAGACTCCCTGGGAAAGTCAATTTTCACAGCAGGCACGTCAGATTTAGAGTTCATACACAGTGTTCTGCAGACTAACCCTAGGAACTTTCATCTGTGGGTGTATATCTCGCTGATTTACAGGTACTCTGAGGATATTGTTCATGAACAGCTATCAAAATGCATCTCCAATTATAGCGCGTATTTTGGTCTTATTGAAACACAAGCATTCGAGAAAATTTCAGAGACAGAGATGAAAAATATTATTTTCACAGACCCAGAGATTTCTTCACCTTTTGTGTTCATTCGGATGGTGGAAATATCAAAGAGACTGAACAGAGGCAATGCATTTTTGATGGTCTACCCTGGAAAGATGGATATTTACTTGGGGGTTTCAAATAAAACACGGGTCTATTTGGAGTGTAATGAAAGAACAACCGAATACTTAGCTGATTTCAAGAAAATAATCACAATAAACCTCTCAAAGGAAATGAAATTTGAAGATATTTCTTCATTCATTATAAAGACAAAAGGACAGAGACCAGTGAAAATAGACCTAAAAAACGAGTACATCCCAGAAGTACCTGCGTATATTGACGAGTTTCTATCAAAGTATGAGTCTGTGAATGCACTAATGACAAAGCTGCTCTTCACCATATCAGACACAGAGAGGCGCAGCGTAATAGAAAGCCTATTAAAACTAGATCCACGCAGAAACCAAATGTATCTGGAGCTAAAGCAAGGATATAAGATATTCAGAGGAAATTAGTAAGCCCATAAATTGTAAAGCCATAATACACCATAGAAGTAGTAATTGCATATTTCTTATTGATCTAATCTTTTGTTCAGTTTCTTTTTAATTTGACTGTTTCCATGATAGCCATATTCTGTCTATTTTATCATGCATACTTGCTCTTGAGTTATGATAGACTCTGATGTACCCTAGTGCTGCAATGTATGCACTTTTTTTTTATGAAGATAAAATGCTCTCTTCTGAGTTCCAGAATATTCTTTAAAATAAATGCACTTGACAACTGCACCATCTTATACTACGCCTTGCAAACACAGAAACCTAGGATACATACTGTAGTAAGCCTTATACTCCATAAATAATTTATTTATTTTCCAAGTGACATCAGGATGGAAAGTGGGTCTCCTCCGTTCTCCTTTAATAATCTAATGGACTCTTCGCGTGATACTCCCCCTTGCTCCATTACTACTTTAATGTCTTCTTCTGTTATGTTCTCAGCCATGTCCTTCTCTTCTTCTGCTTTCTCTTCTTCCTGCTCTTCGACATTCTCTTCCTCTTCACTTACTTGGGCCTCTTCTTGTATTTGCTGTGCTTGGAGTCTTGCCTTTCTCTTTTCAGCGGCTTGTTTTGCTGTTCTCTCGGCTAAGTCTAATGACCCCAGAACGAACACCATGTTAGTGTTCTTGATGTGGTATGCCTGGACATCTCTAATGGCAAATTGTGTTCTTTGCTTCATTAGGTAGAAATCCTGCAGTCCAACCAACTTCTCCATTGGAACTGTCTTCTGGATGGTTTCTACTAACTTGTTTCCCTTTTTAAGAATTTTATTCATGGGGTAAAAAAGAACATAATTAATTATAAGAATATTATAATTGTGTTAGGCAGCAGTTATCAAGTATAATTGCACTAGGATCCATTTGATTATTAGGCAACTTATATATGTGCATGCTGGTTACATGCCAGATAATATCTGCAAACAGTTAATTTACTTGTGAAAAACAGACAATTCAAAGCGAAAAAAGCTGAAAATTCCATGGCTTAGTGTTAAACTGCCATTCCCCACAGAACACCTATACACTAGTCATCTGCCCAGGATATTTTAAGACATTTATTCTGAATATAATTTATAACTGCCTACTACCCAGGCGAGTCCTAGCCAATCAGTTATATTCTAATCAGTTAGCTATAGTATACGTTATCCCTTGCATGTCCAATAAAACACGCCAGTATATATTGATTGGTTCACTTTGAAATGCATATTATTAATTGGATATAGATTAAGGAGTATTAAGGATGCTGGAAGAAAGAACAAAAGAGAGTGAAGGAATTGGCAATTTAATCAAAGAACTGTCAGAGAGAAGACGAAAAAGAAAAGAAATTTCAGCAAATTTGAAGCTAGTTAAAAGAAGAGATGTCTTTGATGAAGAAGTCAAACTGGATTCCATCTTCACAGAAAAAAGATCAAAAAGCATTTTGAAGAAAGCATGGACTAGAGTGCAAGGATTATGGACACATAAATGAAAATATTTTGAATAAATTTAGACTATTATTACTAATAGATTAATTGCAAACTATTTTTCTGGAATGCACTAATATAGAACTCTGTGCATTGGTGCATTAGCAAGGCTGCAATGTTTTGTAAGAAGACTCTCCAATTTATTACTATACTATGTATCAAATATCCTGCATATGTTGATTTAATTTAGTATGACTTTAGAGTGAGTCTTCTGCCTATTAATATTCTTGCTTTTTTGTTCTGTTGCAAGTAGAAACATCCTTTTGCATATTATGTTTTAGAATGTGTTTTTATATCCTCTGTATCCATGCACTAATTTGCATGAATATGGCACAATGTTTCAAGAAAGCTATTTATGAATGAAATAAAGTACAGAATATGAATATTTCATTAAAACTAGCTATAACCATATTTATTGTGCAGTGCGTAATTAGCACTGTTTCTGCAAAGAAAGTCCAGGCAGACCTAAGCCACAACTACGACAGCCAGATTCTGAAGGTCAATGAGACAGAAGCATCTGGAAAGAGTGGAAATAAAAATTCAAAAGGAAAGTGGCACAAGTCATCCCTTCTGGGCGGCAGAAAAGGCAAAGGCAAAGGAGTAAAATTAACTGCTGAGCCAATGTCCTTAGATGACAGCTTCATCTCAAACTCTAAGCAGATTAACCAAATGAACAACTTGCTAGATGAGAAGCCCCTGGAAACATCAACCCACAAGAAAAAGAACAAGTCTACTAAGGCACACACTGACTCAATGGCTTTAGAGAGCAGTGAACTCTCCAAAAACAAGCTTGGTATGATGGGCAACTTCCTGAACGAGAAGGCATTAGAAGCAAATGCCTCTTTCTTAGCAGAACTTCTTGAAAAAGCATCCCCTTCAAGTCCTATAAGTAAATTAGCAGGATTTTCTCCAGACTTTGAAGATGAAGAGGCAGACGCAGAGCCAGCCATCATCGTTAACTCAGAAAATCTCCCAAAGAAGAAGGCGCCTCAAGCAAAGCCAGTTCTGGACCTGCCAGTTGTTCGGCCAATATCCGGCGCTGTGGCTTCAGAATCTCATCTAAATTCAAAAATACCTTCAGAAAAGAAAACACCAGTAAAGAGCCAGAAGCCAGAAGTACCTGAAAACTCAGTAAACGCTTCCTCTGCTATGAAAAGCAAGTTGGAAACTATGCAGAAAGGAATGGCAAGTCTTTTAGAAGAGTTTAATGTCTTTAAGAACATGATCAATGAAGCTGAAAATGAAAAAACAGCAAGTGCCAGCCACCCAAGCCACTTTGGACATAAAGCACCTGCCTTAAACAAGAAGAAATCTACTGGTACATCAGCTAGAGAATTATAAGAGTTCTCTTAACTGAAATTAAGATACTCCATAAGATAGAATAAATTGAAATCTTAAGACCTTTTATTTATATGTGGTAAATATCTATTAGTATATCTTGCCAGTGTCTCTACTAGTAGTAATTTTAAATAGATTTTATCTTTAGTTTTCTAGTAGACAACAGAAAATATCCTTGACTTAGAGTCTACCATGAGCGTATAAAGTGGATTTCATAAATAAAAATACAGTGCATTATCCAGGAGCATTCATAGAGGTCCAGAGCCTTACTAGACAGCATTAAAATCCTAGGAAATTAGTCACACACACTTGAAGTAAAGAAGCTTAATATTCAGGGAAAACTACATTAGTAGCAAGATAATGACTAATTGAGTGTTTTGCAATTATAGTTTAAGCGTCTATACACATGCAAATACACGTTATATTGAGTGATTTTAAGTGAAATATATTGATCAAAATCAAGCAACCAATAGAAATGCCTTACAACTCCCTCTGAGTTTATCCGTTACTATATATTAAAATTGATTTATTTTATTTAATGAAAACGCGTTATTCTGTTATTTGGATCAAGGCAGTTGCCTTAATTAGTGTTCTAATGATGAGCAGGCACAGAGCAGACATGACATTGGACGAGGTGGAGGCCACTCTGAATTTTGAAATTACAACAGATGCAACACCTATAAGAATAAACCCAAAGGGGCCTCTCAACTTCCTCAGAGGACTCATCTACCAGAAAATGGAGTGCATGTACAACAAAAGATTCTTTTCACCAGAAATTAATACAGAGTACAAATTAGAGGAAAATCCAGACGATTTTGACCTAGAAAATTTCTATATATACACTAGAAACAAGCAGATGGACAAAGCATATACAGCACTGCCAGAGAATAAAATGGATGTGTACACTGAGCAGTACCATAATCATCTTATTGAGCTATTTCCATCGCCTACTGGTGACATAAGCATTGAGACACGCGGGATCCAGTCCTTTGTTCAGTTCCTTCGGGCTAAAGATACAGAGGAGCACTCTTTGCAGATTCTTGCTATGCTGCTTCTTTTCTCAGAGGGAGTGAGGATTCCCATTGACGTTAACAGCAAGGAACTGAAGGTGTATGAAACAGACAAAAAAGACAAAATATACTTCACAGTGTCCATGGAAATTCCATGGCTAAACCTTGTGGAAGACAAAGTACAAACATCCCAACAAAAGAAGGTTAAACAAATGATCAGCTTTTTCAAGGAGTATGCAACCGATCCGGAAGTACTTAGCATGATGGAGGAAAAGTGCTCACAAGAGGAGATTGCTACAGGAAAGTTTCTGAACAGTCCTAAGTTTCTGATTCAGTCATATATATTCGGGTTTATAGATACTGCAGACCGCGCAACTGAGTTTATTCAGACTGTACACAGTATGATGGAAAAATATGCTCCAAAGACAGAAGCACCAAGCAAGAACGACTCAGTATACGACAGACTGTTTAAACCAGCTGGGACTATAACAGGCACAGACTGCATCGTCTTAATGAAGAAAACCCAAGAGGTTTTAAACACATATCGAGTCTTTCCATTTGCAAACAGCACAGAGCTCCCTGCATACACATCTGTTCCTAGATACAACAGGGAAGCCAAAGAGTTTTCTACTAATCGACTGGAAAACTACAGCAACTGCGTAGAGTGTGTGATTCTTTCTCTTTTCTGCTGCCTAACATATGACTCATCTGATTATAAATGCAAAACTGATCATATGGGGGATGTCTCTTCTAGTCTGAAAGAATTCTTCGCCCCAAAAGAGAACAAGTCATTTGACACAACAAAAGTTGAATTCCAGAGAAACTGGTGCAGAGTCGTTGCAGACCTAGATGAGCCTAGTATTGCATACTGCAAAGGAAGAAACGAGCTAGACACTGGGATTTTGAATATGCTTATGGTTATTATTGAAATAGTAAAGGCCCCCGAAGATGAAAAGAAGAAAATACTTGGCTTCTCAGAGAGTTTAGAGGAAAAAAGCGGGAAATTAGAGGATGAATTATCTAATGCTATTCAAGAGTACACAAATACACTACTTACACGCCTATCCAAGACAAAAGATGTAGAAGTGCAGTTCTCTGAGCTTAAAAGCGAAAAGTGCAAGAATGGAAGATATGATGTGCTTGGAGAAATTTCCATGTCATTTAAGCAAAGTAACATTAAGAATACAATAGTTTTGTGCATATCTAAAGGACACGGTAGTGTTTATATGGAGCCAACTATTATGAAATTCAAGGATGACCGAATAGAAAAAATGAATGAAATAGCAAGCAGCTGCAAAAATGGGACAGCATTTGTTGAAAATCTGTTTGCTTTATACGTTGACTATGAACTTCGAAAGATCGATACGTTAAAGAAGAGTGAAGTGTTTATGAAAGCAGAGATACAAAAAACCATTGATAACAACTTTGCAGACATCAATAGGCTACTTCTCATAAAAAAGATCAATACCTTTGAATATGCGAAGGAGTTAGTCACCTGCTCTACTGTGTATACAATAGACCAAGAGTTATCTCCAAAGCATCCTCTTATTCGCTTTATGTCTAACATAATAGGAAACATGGAGCTAGATAATGTAGCTATTCAGATAGACATGATTCTATCAGCTGGATCTACAGACCCGCAAACGGACATTAAACTCAAATATCCAAGGATAGATTTATCAGAAGCCTACTATACCAATTTGTGTATTTACTTCAATCATGAGAATGTTGTTAAATATCTGCTAGATTGTGATGTAAATATTTTGAGAATATACGTCAAATGCTTTGTAGACCATATGAAGCGGGAATATAGGTTCGACCTTGATAGATCATTGGACTCTATAACAAACAGAGGTCTTTATAAATATATATTTAGATATGAAAACATGGAGTACGCTAAGATGTTTGTTAATTATATGATAAAATCATATCCAGACGACAAGGAGGCAATAATAACCTCACTACATTTTCTATGGATTGTATATCTCTGCTCAGAAAAAACACCAAATGAAGAGCTAATTAAGGCAAACTTCCGTGCAATTCACGAATACATTTACATCGGTAAAGAATGTAATTCGTTCTATAGAGTTGATATGCTGTGCGAAAGGGCTATTCATAACTCAAATTCTGAAAGTGGCCTGATATGCAGAAGTGCTGGAGATTTTAGCAGGTTTTTCCAATCTATGCATGCTCTTTAAAGTAAACAAAAATAAACTCGATGCATCTTAAGAACTTTTCTTGGTCTATACTGATATTCTCAATAAAGTAGCTACACTAGGGCGCATTTTGCAAAGAATAAAAAATGCAAAATATTTAAGACAAACTCACAGCCAGAGTAGCAGCCAAAGACACTCTCAACAGAGAAAAAAGCATTTTGCACCAAGAATTATATTTCTAAAGAATTCTAAGACTAGAATAAATGCAATAAATGGAATGAAAAATACATAAAGCTATTTATTCTTTATTCTACTGAGATTGATCTATTTCGTGGACACTCATCTTCCATATATATAACAAGAGTATCGTTCTCTATTTTAGCTTTGTCCACTCTTTTATTGTTTGCTATTGTGATTGTTTTTTCTACATTTTCAAAACTGTTTACGGCAGAACTCTTTCCAGAAGAATCCCTTGCAGTAACACGTATAGTTAAAGTCGCATTTTCTGTTTCACCCACGCGCTCCTCTATTTCAATATCATCTTTTTTCACGTTTTGTGGTAAAGGTAGAATATGCTTTGCCTTGGTAGCCTCCTCTTTTATCTCTTTATCTATTCTATCTGTTTTGTCTTTTATTTCTTTTCCCATTTTGTCTAGATCCTTTTTAATACTATCTCCAATACTGTCTGCCATGAGCCCTTTAGTATCTAAGTCAAACCGCAAAGGATTATTAAGATCCATATGGTCTCTAGATAATCCTGACATTCTGCATAAATCTTTGTTCTTTTTTTATATACGGAACACGCTAGTATGGTGATTAAAAGGTGAAACATTCTTTAGAATAGGCAAATTACCATTTATTCTAGAATGTATATCTAGTCTATTTTAGACAGTTTTTATACTATGCAGATCGATCTTACTAGCCAATCTTTCTTGGTGTACAGCCTACCGAAACATATTTGAGAGCTCCAGAATACTCTTCTCTATCCAGACACTTTATTCAAGGCCTTCGTACTTCTTAACTAGTATATTTGCTAAGATAGCGAATTTATAAAAGACTATATCCAAGATTACGTTATATCTCATGTTATTCCCAGATATACATATACTCTTCTACCCCGCCCTCTCTCCTTTTTATACAAATATTCTGGAGTCGTAAAATAAACTGGCAGAAGAGCACAGGCCCCACTAAATACTGTGCGACAATAATAACAACCAGAATTTATTATAAAACAGTGACTACTAAGCCTTTGCTCCTAAGTGAGTCTACTGTGGCTAATGGTACAGGGGTCTTATTGAACTCAATATGCTTTAAAGTATCCTCGCAAGTAGAAACTAGGTCATATATCTTTATGGGGTGAATTCTGCACCCAATTAACTTCACAGTTATAATAGGATGCCTTCTTAGCTCCTTTATAATCGGCATGGTCATTTCTATTCCATCAAAGTGAATAATTCTAATAATAGGAATTCTTTGCACTATTTTATATGTATCAAAGTATCTTAAGACGCACGTATAGCACTTTCTTGCGTCCCAGAAGATAAGAATGTTCTTATCTGCAATTCTTATACGCTGTACTTTAATATTTATTAAGTCAACGATTTTATTTCCTATCTGTCTTACAGTGTCCCCCAGTATATCAATTGATCTGGCATTAGAAAAGTATTCCTCTTTGTACTTTATTGCATCAACATTATTAAGCACAACCGACTTTGCTTGCTCAATTAATTTCCACAAATTATCACATAGTTTTGTGTTTTTAATGCGGATGGAATTAATTGTACAGTTACTTAGGGTTCCCTTTGTTATGTAAATATTATTCATGTCTAATATGCTTATTTGGCCAGATAGCCGTGATAGATTTAATTTATTCCTGGCTTTAAGTCTTTTCCCTTTCTCCTCTGCAGCAGGAATAGGATAGATCCCAAGTGCCAGATACTTTGATAGCTTATATGGAAACCAACCGGAGAACCCCTCAAAGTCCTCCCAGTTTACCTCTGGGGTGTCAGGTGCTTTTACAATGGGAGGATGGTCTGGCTGTCTTCCAGAAAGTCTTTTCATAAAAAATTTAAATGCTTTCTAAGTCTATCCGGGCAGTAAAGAATGCCAAGTCCCTTGAGACAAGCTGTAATAAAACCTACTCTGGTGCAATACGCATAGATAGAAGACTAAACAGCTTTGTTAATGAGACCATTGTAAGAGGCGAGAGCATAAGATACATTATATTATCTGAGGAGGAGTTTACACGAGTTTTAGATGCTGAAAAGACTGAAGAGGGATAACTTTCTCCAGATATAAATCAGAGAAAGAGACTAATTTTGGTTACACAAGAAGGTGAACTTTATTCAAGCTATATTGAGCTGCATCTCATTTCTTTAGTTTGTATTTCTCATGTTTCTTTGTATAGTATAAGAGACAAATCTAGCTAATCTATACATAGATATAACCCGAAGGTAATTTTTGTTATATTTATTCACTCTAGCTTGGTATTTAGCTGGATTTTGCTATATAACAGACTCTTTATTTAGTTTAGCTATTCGGCTATGGCTTGTTAGAATTGGGCTATATTTATGCCTATTTAGCTATATCGCAATATAGCCATCTTTGTCCGTTATAGAATTCTATATCAGGGACAGAAGTACCTTGCTGTATGCACTCATTAAGCATACAATTATGCCACCGCACACGCCAAATACTAAATACGGCGTGGTAAAGTCTGGGATTATTGGCCTATTAAAGACAGATGTGGTTTTAGAAGACCCATCTGCATAGACTGTTACTACATCTGCAATATGAAGCCCTGATTCAATCTTTAGTGGATGTACATTCCTTATCTTTATGCGGTAGTTGATTTTGGCTGCACTTGGGCTATCTAGAACTATAAGACTGCTACCTGTGGGCCCAATAGGAAGAACATTCTCAGAGAATTGAATGCCTGTGAGCCCGTTGCTCTCTACTTCAAGCACTCTGTCCAGAGCGTATCCTAGTGATTTAATAATTAAGTAAGGGACCTTCATGCAACACGAAAAAACATTTCATTAATTATCAGAAATTAAATTAGAATGAAATGCCACTCTATAAAGAACTCTAGAAAAAATAAAGTATGTACTATGTATTGTGAAATAAAGCAGCAAAATACCATATTATTTCATGCATCCTAGAATATAATGTATAATCCAACTATATACAATAATAACAAAATATACTCATAAATAGTGCTTTATTACCACATCCCATTCAGAACTTATTGCAAATAGCCTTATAATTCATTGCTTCTTATATGTATGCTAGTAGGGCGTGTGTGAATAAACACTCCCTTGTGTCTCCTACTATTTCCTCATAACCCCCATTTCTTCTGTTATTTTCCCTAAATCTGCTACTGGATATGCTTCATATGTTGTATTTACTGCCTTAGGAAGTATTCCAGTGACTGTCCCACAGATGCATAGGTAATTTACCTCCCCAACACCCTCACTTCCTGTTAGTCTGATTGTTAGCGTGTCAACCGACTTGTTCTTACTCGATATGTTAATATTAAGAAAATGATCACTTAGGATAGAATGTTCACTGGACTGGGATGCTTTCCGGCTGTCTGGCCGTGATGTTTTAGGATTTTCTAATTTCACATATAAATTATTTGTAAATACTTCTAGCTTACTGAATGTACTTTTTATCTGTAGATTGGTTAGGGACACTTTGCAGTTAAATGGAATCTTGACTAATAATCCTTTACTGTCTTTGGAATGGCAGGAAAATGGAATGTCTTTAACAGAATTGCTGGCTTTAATTATTTCAAGTAGAGATCCTTTTTTGGCTTCATTAATAACCGATATTTTATCGATCTCCATGTAAGGAAAAAGCGACTTAATTGGAAGAAGATCTGAGCAGGCGCACTCTCCATTGCATGCCATGAAAATAAAAAAAACAAAATATAGAGATTATGTGCAAGAAATTCTAGTATATTAGTCACATGTTATGCAGGTATATGCCAAGCCTTGTTATGTGTGCAATAAGCTGCCCTCAGGATACATTGCAGAAGAATAGTCTTCCCAAAAAGTGTCAAATCACTTGCTTTTTGTTCGTTTTACATTGCTGGCTTCTTGCTGAGTCTATATATTAAACCTTTCCTTGTCACATCAATAGATGAATGGGTCTCTAAACTTTGTCATTTTTTTGATTTTCCCGTGCTCTTCTCATTTTAAAATAAAAATAAGCCTTTCTTTGACATATTTATATAAAAAGTATTTAAGAGATATTTTTTTAGTTAGCTATATAAAAGTAGAAAATACTATAGAGAAAATTAACCACGTTGAAAATTAACCACTCTCATCATATGGAAGCACAAGCAAATACCAAAGTGCCATGTAAAGGAATTAAAGAATGCATATTAAATTTTCTTACTTCTTCTTCAGTAAAGTACATACTGTGCAAAGAGTCACTAGACTAGCATGAACCTAATTATGCAGCAGAAGAAAAAGACAAGTGTTTGTTAGATATATACTATAGCATGAATAGCCCTGAATTCTTTGGCCGTTTATATATCTGCTATGCATATGAAAGACTAACTTGTTCTATACGTCTTTATGTGATGTATTCAAAGGCCGTGTTTTCAATAAATTTCAAGTGCTACAAATAGTATAGTTTAAGAAGGCAAGTTAAGCAAAAAAATAATAGGCTATATTTCTCTATCTAAAGAGTATAGGCTTGTTTATCCAGGCAAGTAGCACGATGAAATTTAGCTATTCACTGTGGTTTTTATCGTACACATAGCATAGTGATTTTTCCAGTTTAAAAAAAGTGTTTGCTGCATGGTTGCCTAATTTTAAGAGTGGTTGTTAAGTAGAAAGTAATTCCCTAGCTTATTAATACGGTGTGAGGGGTATTTCTTACTTCTATGCGAGAATATATGCAATAAGTCAGTTGCTGACTGCAGCACACAGCCCGTAATAAAATAACAATAGACTGACCAAGGCGTCTTATAGACATGCTATAGCTCTTTCTATAATGTTTTCAGAATATTTTGCATAACTTTTATTTATGTGAATTTCTTATTGATATAGTCAAAGTTAAAGTCATCCATCTCTTTCTGCATATTGCTCGCATCCCATGCGCTTTGTCTTTCGTTGATATTTATGCTATGATGATCTTCAATTGTTTTTGTCTTAATGAAGCGCATGTGCCTCTCCATGGATCCCTGCGTGTTTGGCTGGCTGGGTGATATAAATTGCCTTCCTTCTTCGACTTGTCTCTGGTACGGAGATGCATATTGCTTTGTCTTCCTGGGATTTGCAGACACATCACAGATGCACTTTAAGTCGGAGTGGTATATCTCCAAGAGCTTCTTTAGACTGTCAATGTACATGTCAATCTGCCCAGGAGATGTAAACTTTCTTCTTTGAATGAACCCGCCTGTTGCTGTGTTTACTATATCGCCCTTCCTGAATATCACCTCAATGTAGTCTGTATTTGCAAGCGCATTTATCGAGTAGTGAGTATTTCCGCCCAGAAATTTAGTTGTTCTATAAATGCGAGGATTGCTGCTTCTCTCTAGGCCCATGTATATCTCTGTTTTGCGCGTACTTTCTAACCGCCTGAACTCCTTAATTACACTCGATATTTGCAGCTTCATCTTCTGCTTTTTGTCGATCGCCATGCCATCCCACTTTCTAACATTATAATCCTGCAGCTTCATAACTTCAAATACTTCAGGCGACGGGTCAATGCAAATTACAGCTGTCTTAGCATATATCTCTGCTTCAGTTTGGTCCTCTGACTTAGTGCTCTGTAAGACACCTTGTGCATACGGCATGCCCCCAATGCTCCCGCGCAGCAAGACCCTGTTGGACACACTTTCTACATCCCGGTTGTCATTCACCTCTATTACAATGTGGTTGTCGTAGAAGGGATAGTCTCCTCTGTCTAATAGATCTAGCAAGTACGGGTGTATTATGTTCTTATTAATGTACATCAGGAGGTTATTTATTACGTCTGTATAACTGTGCTTAATTCCTTCCTTCTCTACTGGACCAACTAGAACGTACTCTGGATATAAAGAGAGTGTGCATACTGCAGGAATGTCCTTGAATTTTTCAATTGGGTTAAAGCCGTAGGAGAAGCTCTTGAAGTTCTCCCACTTATTCTTCTGTGCAGTATAATATTCAGAACACCTTCTCTTTAGGGTTTGGCTTAGGGCATCCTTAAATTCGTTCTTGCCCACTTCTTTCTTCACTTCTTCTTCTAGGAAGAGTTCAAAAAGATCGTCTTCCATGCGATTTAAATTAAACAGAAATTATTAAAGGATTTATTCATGAGACGCATCTCTTATGAGATATTTCCCTGGGCATTGTACGAATGATTAGTGCATCATTAAAGGACCAACACTCACTTTCATCGCTCCAAATGACTTCAAACGCCTCTCCGCAAATTGTGCATTTTTGGTCTCTGTCTCCTCTGACTGGGACAGTTGGCACTTTCTCCTGGAACGAAGGCTTTAGATTTACAGACACTTTTGTTTCTGTCTTTGTCCATTGGACAGGTTCCATGAGCCATCCTTGCCATGTGTGTATGTCACTGCCTCTAACCAAGTGAGACTTCTTTTGGTGCATTTCTGCGTGGGCTGTGTATGCTGAAACTGAGTCAAACCGCATCCCGCACACTTTGCACTGTGTGGCTGACGTATAGAGCAGCTTGATTGCACTTTCTAAGTGGGGAGTAGTCAGATACTCATGGGTTAACTTTGGCAGATCGTCTGGGTCTGTCTTGCTGGATGTGTTTCCCTCTGTGTAATAGATGTATGATGCAGTGTATGTGGCTTTATCCACTAATTTGAATAGGAAATATTCAGGAGGAAATGGGAGGAATGCAGTGTCTTCTTCTGGTTCTGGAAGTTTCTCCGGAAGTTTCTCTGGAACTTCTTCTATCTTTCGCTTCTTCTTTCTTTCTGGCTCTTCTGCAGAGAGTGATCTTTTCTCTGGGTACGATGCCTTAAGAAAAGAGTAGGATGGGTGCTGTCCGAGAAAGCTTAGTAAGGAGAGAAGGGCTTCTTTATTTTCTTCTTTTTCTTTCGATATTTCAGCCTTTATGGCAGTTACAATTTCCTGGGCATGTTGATCATTTGTTTCTGCAATGATCTGAAGTGCCTTCACTGCATATTTATTTGTAAGAGTGCATTTCTGTATAAGCACTCCATACTCTTGCTGTGCTGCTGCCATGAAAATATTCTGTGTAAAATATTTGCAATTCTATTATACTTTGTCTGTTACAAGCAGGCTGGAAAATGTGCTATTTATATTATACTATTACTCCATGTAGTGTTAATTAAGTTATTTATTTATGTGAATTCAGGTAATACGCCATTATTAGAAGGCGTGCATGATACAAAATGGGATTAAAAATATTTATCACAGTGTAATTAGGTGTACTACAAGGCACATAATAAGGCCTGTATATTGTTGTATTGGAGTGATTTGTGACATATTTCAAGGTTCACATAAAAATGATTTATAAGTATATTTCAGTACAACATATCCAGAATAATGTGAGTTTTCTACTGTGTGTAAAATAAGCTTTGTATTACAGTATATTTCATGTGGAAATGCAAAAATGTAATATTCATTAGTCTTTCTGTACAATAATCTAATCACCTGAATGTACCTGAGTTACACTCTATATATGCCATAAGTTAAACCTGCACTTACAAAGGCTTTTAAAGATATTCTTATCTAATTTTCATATATTTATTCGTGCTCTTTTTTCTCGTCTTTACTTTTGTTCAGAAGAAGTGCTGTGTCACTGGGTACCATGTAATTTATCATTTTTGTGTACCCAAGAACTTTAATCACATCCTCAGAAGGGCTTATTGCTGTGGATTTGGCACTTTCAGTATCCAAAGGATCCCTAAACCCATTCAAAAGGGATCTTTCCAATATGGTATATGAATCAACAGCTTTTTCCTTCATTGCCTTCAATGGTTTCCTAAAGAATCCATCTGTATATATTTTGTTATTTGATAGCTGCTTATCCACATCTCTCCTTTTATACCGCTGGGACTTTTTTTGCCCAATTTGAACTTCATGAACCTCCCCAGTCCCAGAAAAGATGCACAGCCTGCTCTTGAATAAGAAGGCAGCCATTGAGTAAGGAAGATTTGCAGACCTTCCAACCCACTCAAAACCAAGCAGTTTATCCGTCGTATTGAAGTTGTATATTTTCATTATACAATTATCCGGGTCTGTTGCACTCTGGAAGAAGAATTTTCCTGAATTGTTATATACAGCAGGATGCCTTCCCATAGACAACACTCCATTCCTGAGATTTGTATTGCATATGCCATAAGGTGTTGTTAGATTTCGCATATCAAACGATCCTAAGGTACCTCCATTTGTGATGTATATCTTGCTGCCTGCACCCTTTTCTATCTTGTGGTATTCATTGAAGTTCTCCCCTGGGTGCGCCAGAATTTCCCTGCAATTCCAGAAAGTGCGTGATTTTTTCTCGCGCAAGTCAATTATTCCTGCAGTCCCACTGGACATTATAATATATTCCTGTGGGTGCCATGTATTTGAAATTCTCTTGTACTTCTCCAATGTCCCTGGGCAATTTAGCACATAATTATCTATTTTTCCTGTTGCCATATCTACCCTATCCAGGTACATTTTCTTCGTGTTAATTCCCTTTCTTTCTTCCATTTCCTTCAGAATTGGGATTATTGTTCCTCCTTTTTCTGGCACTGACATGTCCACTGCATTTGACAGATTTATTCTGTGCTTTGTGAGACGGGTACATTCAATTATATCCAGGTGGTCTTCGTTCAGGAAGTGCGCAGTGTTCCTGTAAAGCTCTATTTTAATTGGCTCCAATTCCCTGTTGATGACAGCAACTGTATCTGTGCTGTCAGTGGCTCTTTCCTTTCGTATGGTGTACTTATGCCCATCCAGGGAGTACATCAAGTAGGGGGCTCCTTTGTCTAGCGCCCTGTTCATGATAATTGTGCTTCTGGGCCGGAAGTTTCTTGGTCTTGAATCTTTGTCTCTTGCCGTTATACTGGGCATATCTGGGAAAAAGTTGACAAAATTCCAGCTGGCCTCTTTCTCTTCAAACCGCAGTCCTTTCGTAATTGCTAAGGGCGTAGCAAAAGGGGCGCTTTCTGGCTCGGAGAATCTGAAGTCTTTGTATATCCCAGAGATCTTTTTAATTTTGTCTGCATTCTTAAGTGGCTCTGCAAATGCAATCTCATCCACTAGTGTGCGCTGCATGTGGACAGTTCTAATGTCATCTGACATAAATATTTTTGTGCTGAAAATATCCATTAAATACTTCACACTGCATGCAAATAGAATAGTCAGTTAACAATTGCGCATAACACATATCTAGAGGGAATATCAAGCATATTAAGGCATTACTACCTATTTCATCTATATTAATATCTATTTAGGATATATTATGCTTGAAGGTTTCTGCAGCCCAAAAATCCATCTTATTTCTTGGAGTAACGAAAGAATAGCCAATAATCTTGTGATACGGTGAACTTCAGATAAATCCTGTGCTGACAGCTTTATCCGTGGAAATAGACCTAATAATATTTATTGAGTACAAAATGTGGTGTGCTCATGCAAACAGGATTTCTGTCTGGTGCGCTGCCTTCCGTACTGCACTAGCCCAGTGTTTAGTGAGTTTTTTTATGTGTTCCAGTATCTTTTCTTTGTTTGTGTCTGACAGAATGCTCTTCATGCTTTCTGTTGTATTTAGTAGACAGGTCCAATACCTCCAATTTCTCTTTGGGTCTCTTTCATAGAGCGACAGAAGCAGCCTTGAAGGGAATGAACTTGTCACTAGTTTGGATATTTTGGGGAGTATTTTTATTGTTTCATCAACTGTTCCCTCCTGTCCTGCCAGGATCATAAGGAGTCTTTCTAAGTCTGATACAGCATCATCTGCTGAGTAGGAGTGCACCTCTGCATTCTCTGTGAGATCTGGAGATGGAAATTCTATTCCTGTTTTTTTGTCTTCTATTTTCATTTCTTTTATTTCTTCCATGATTAAGTCCTCTGATTTTATGTAGAGACTAAATATCTCTACTGCTTTATTTAAAAGAATCACCTGCATCTGGGCAGAGGTATTCTGTATAATTCTGCAATACGCCTTGTACAAGTCTGTGTGCTTTGGGTGATTTGTGTTTTTTGCGGCTATGAGGATATGCGGTAGTTGCTCAATATATTTGCACTCTTCCTCTTCTATCCACTTTGCATATAGGTCTATTAATTCTGCCTGCCTTTCTACTACCTGCGGGATTGCCACTGCCAGGGATATCTTTGCCTGGTGCTTTATGTCGTCATCTGCATCTTCAAGGGCCTTTATCAAGGTTTCTGTCACTCCTTCGTACTTTGAGAAGGCCTGCAGAATAATCGTGCACTGGCCTCTCACTGCTTTATTTTTGTTCTTCATTTGGTCGATGATTTTCTCAAGAATAATCTCGTCTGGCTTGCACTTAATGAACATCAAGGCATGTATCATGAAGAATACAGCAGGATCCACATCCATCTCCTTTGACAAATCCAGAAGTATCTTTTTTGCTAAGTCTTCTTCTTCCTTCACTGTGTACGTTGTTTTCTCAAGTTTTCCAAAGAGCTTCTCAATGTCTGCATCCTGCAGGTGCCTTTGCTCTGGCATATTCATCTGCCTATTCTTCATTTTGTTCACGAGTATCTCCAGGAGCAGGTCCTTCTCCGTGCTGAAGTACGAGATCAAGTAGTCATATATTCTGCAGTCAAGCACTTTCCCCAGGAAGAAAATAAGCTCAACTGTCCGAACATCTAACTCTTCAATTTCTGTCAGGAATAGCTGCAGAAAACAGTAAAGAACCCGAATGCAGTCCTTGTCCTTCTGGGATGCATCATTTCTAAACTCATTTATTGCTTCTTCCGTTGCATCCTCAGTGAAGAATATTTTAGAGTGCTTTGGGTACATTCTTTTTACAAGCACCACAATGTTTCTCTCTATTTCCTGGTGTATTTCAGTCAGGGTGTACTTTGACTGTGCCTGGGCACTTAGTAACTTTGGGAAAATTGTGCTCTCAAAGTCTTCGCCCCCGTATTTATCCACATACGGGATTATCTGCTTGTACACCCACATTGATAAACACTCAAATCCAACTGCCAATGCATAAAGCATTCTTTTCTTTAATTCAAGCTCGTCTGGAACGAATCTCCATCCATGCATTAGACTAAGTGCATCTGATGGGCTGACTCTTTCTACAGGAGCATCCTTCTGAAGAAAAGGCCCCTTCTTCTCGCCATTCTCAGAGGTTTTATTTGTATTTACCATGAAATAAAAATTGGAAAACTATTAATACGCAAAGGCGTCTGCCATTTATTGCTAGCCGTCAAAGCATCTTGCGCAGTGTTCGTCTAATCGGCACATAAAAGTAAAATAACAAAGGAAGTAAGGAGAAGCAGACAATCCCAAAGAATGGGTAGAGGGTTTCATTATTCTGGCCTGGCACTCTCACGTTCATTCCCCAAATACCCGAGAGTAATTGGCAGGGAGAAAGGATCAAGGCTGTCAGACTCATTCTACGCATGGATTTGTTCATTTCATTTCCTTCCTGAGTCTGTGCCACATTCAAAAGGGCAAGGTATGTGTCCTGTGCTCTCTCCAGGACACGATGATTTTCACCAAGTTTTTTTGCAAGATCCTTCAAGTCATCGACTGACTCTGAGAGGTACTTTTGGACAAGTGGAACAATTCTCTTTCTGCACCGGTTCTTGATAATTGTGAGAATCTCTATTTTGTATCTGGTTGTCATCTGGAGAGAATTAATTTGGCAGCTTACATTGAAATTTCTCTTCAAAAGGCCTGCCATCTCTGGCTCTTTAAACTTCTTTGAAATTGCCTGTATCTTCGAGGTCTCCAGGGTGCACCCGTCTGCCAGATATTTTATATCCTGGAGGAATTCAATTATAATCGAGTACAGAACCCAGGACGGCGTGAGTGGTGTGTGTGCTGAAAGGAGCTCTATGAAGTTGAATGTGTCCTGGACACTGATCCATGGCTTGTCGTGAAAAGTAAGCACAAAATCCTTGAAGACAAGAATATTGAAGTCAATATCGTCATTCGTTGGGTCTGCTTCCACCATTAGCTTCATCGAAATGAAAGTGTAGTGCTTGAAGACTTCTATTTTCTCGTCTGTGTTTCCCTCCTTTATATCCTGCAAAGTGAGCTCGTGAATGTCAAACATGCTGCAGAGTGTTTGCAAGTCGGAATCTGAGGGGTTGAACGTGTTCAGCCAGAAGAAGTTGCTTTTTAGCATCTCCAAATAATTTGCAGTTATATTTTCCAGGACCTGCGTCTGAACCAGCCCAGAATTCTTCGAGTAGAAGAGGTACTTGATCCCTGATGGGTTCAAAGTATTCAAAGGCGAAAAGTTGAATGTCATTTGTAGAGTGTCATCTCTTTCTGTTCTTCGTATATTTGGGATACTTCTTATTGTCTCTGAAACTGAATCTGTTGTCTCATCTATCTCTCTTCCTTTTCTACTTTTATATACATGTGGCATCTCTCTTCCCTTTTTCATCTTTCTGTAGATGGTTATTATTTCAGCGAGTGCACTTCTGTGGCTTTCTGCATTATTCATAAGGAAAAATTTGCATGGCGTTTTATGAAATCGGGCGCATATTGGTCAGTTTTTTAGGGAGTATTTGGCTTCCTTGACAGCAAAATACTGAATATTTTGGTTATATGTGCTTGTTGGTGAGATTTCCCATGATATTGTAATATGCCATATAAGGAAATAGACTGTTTATTATTTAATACCGGTGTACTATCTTGCATTCGATTTAATCCGCATGAAATTGAATATTTCTTTGTTCCGTCTGAATAAGGGGTTTTTCTAATTGGACGGCTCCATATGACATGCAAGTGGGTTCTTTTGTTGAATTTGTTGCTTTCTGAAGAAATTAAAGATAAAATTAATTAACCCACAGATGACAGGGTAAATTACTCTGTATTACAGTACTAATTGTATATCTTTAATTTTGCATAGGAATGGCTGAGATTTCTAATGGACTACCAGTGTATGCTCTAGATTTAATGTAAATTCTTCTGTAGTTGTGCATAAAATATCGTATATCCATTCTAATGGAAATTTGTACTATGGTTATTAGGAGATATAATAGTATCTCTTAGTAAGAAATTCCCTTAGTATGCTGTATGCTTATTGTCTTCAGGGGAAATTATTCAACTCATTCGCTGACAGCCAAGAATGCACTATTTCTGCAGACTGAAGGATTAGTCTATGAGCAGATTAAATTGTAGTGTGTCTTGGATATACTATGCATTAGAGTGCTTGTCTAGACTAAATACTTTCTTAGCTGCATCCTGGTTGTATTTCATGTACTGTCGACATGCCAATTGTAACCCGAATTACCTAGCATACACAAAAGATATTAACTATTAGTGGGACTGTGCATTCAATAATATGCTTTAACTTAAAAACTCAATAATATCCTGATAATAACCCGAATAACGCCATCTTCTACCAGATTCCTGGCACTCCTTAAAGAAACCTTCATAAACCGCTGCATAAAGAGTTTTCTATGCAGTAAATATGATAGACCCGTCCTAACTGCATTTAGTAGTCATATTATTCAGGGTATAATTTGTTGTCTCTTACCGTATACTCCTTTCTTGCGATTTTATATTCTTTAGGTTTAAAAGTGTACTTTTACTATTTTCGCACTGCATTACTGTAAGACTTTCAAAAATTAAAAGAAAAACAGAAAATACAAACTCATCCAGAAATAAACAAGAATCCTCCACAAAAAAGCATGCACTCTGACACATGCACATCCACAAAATATTTCATCCACACAGTCTGGCGTAATGTAAACCATGTATACTACCAAATTTATTTTTACTTTGAACTTATTTGCTCGCTTAACTTAATGAACACACCAGAGACAGCTAAAATACCATAAGCCATTAAGAAAAAGGCGCATATCATTATCATTGGAGACTTGCTCTTGGGTATTTTCATAATGCATATTGCAGGAATGAAGTTGCACATAATTGCAGAAGCACTTCCTCCTACAGCCGTTTGAATTGTAGACAAACTCACAGGAAGCAAAGATATCAGGCTAGCAACTAAAACAATTGCACCAGTGCAGCACACGCGTGTTATAGACGCGTTTTTACTCTGTCTCCCACTGATCCACTCAGCCAGGCAGTCTCTGGCAGGATAAACCTGCAAGGGAAAGGAGCAAGAAATGAACACAGTGTAAAACATGTATACCATCTCCTTCACATGCCCATCTACAAATAGACCAAAGACATTGTCTTGTATCTGACTCCCGTACGTAATATAAATCACCATGCCAAAGATCAAATACAATGATAATGCAGTTGACAAACCAGCACCCACAATATATTTCATGCCTTTAAGGCTCGGTTCTTTTAAAGATGCTCGTATGCTGAATATATTCTGATGGCATGTGAATGAAAATATAAACTGCCCAGCCATGCCAATCCAAGAATACGTTGGGGCTGTGAATAAAGGCGTCTCCGGGAAGGTGGGTACTGCAGATCTAGTGACAATGTAATTATAAATGCTTCCACCAATGCACACATATACGCCAATTATTCCAATCATAGAGGTATACCGAAGACTCTTTAAGTCTTTCATCGAGCAAATTGGAAACATAATTAAAGCATACAGGAAGATAACCTGCATCTTCTGCATATTCTGGAAGATGGAAAGGCCTGTCATGTTTAGCAAATATGCAAGCATTGGTTGCAAAAGTATTAAATAAGAAATACTCACACCAAAGCACTTTACAAACACAACTACATTAAAGAAACTTGCCACCTCAGGCCACACCTTACTCAAAGCAGCTGAAAATGTTTTGTCTGTGCTTTTCGCATAGTCAGCGCACTCGCACAGCATAATAAGACTAGAGAATGTAAGAAGTGCAGCCACACAAGAGAGGATGGTTGCTGTCACACTTCCGAACTTAGCAAAAAATAGAGGATAACTGATTATTCCAGCACCCATTATTGTTTTTAGCAAATTAAAGTATCCTGCTCCAAATTCGGATATTTTCATACAGAATTATTTTCCAAACTATTTAATGGGCAGCAAATTTTTATGTCCAATTAAATGGTTAGTGACTTTGTTTCAGAAGATGAACTAATTTATCCAGAAGACATGAAGGATCTTATAAAGCCAGTGAGGAAGGAAAGGACAAGGGCATGTGCCAATTGTACATGCGGCAAGAAAGAGGCTATTCTTAAGGATACATTAAAAGAAGAAGACTTCAAGCCTTTTGAGTCAAGTTGTGGTAACTGCAACCTTGGGGATGCATTCAGATGCACTTCCTGCCCATATAAAGGTCTTCCTCCTTTTGTGGTCAATTCAGCTGTAGAGTTCTCACCAGATGAAATATAAAGTCAGTCCGGGTATATGAATAAATAATAACGTAGAGATAATTTGGGAATAACTTAGAGAGAGTGATATACACAAAGGAAAGTAATATTTTAGTCAGAAGATATTAGTATATACTAGATAGTGTATAGAGTAGTTATCAAGTGTATTATTTTTATCACATACCCGAATATACTTTTGTCTTTTTGTTGAATATTTCTTACTATTGGCATTTTCAACCTTCTATTAATACTTTCATACAACTTAGTAGTCTTTTATTTGTTGAATTCTTTCTGAAATTTATTTGCCTTCTGTTCTCTTATTGTCATAGACTAATCATATGTGATTTTATTACAGCTAATTTATTTATTGTATTTATATGCTATGTAGTAGTATATAAGAATAAATAAAATAAGTGTAATGGCCCGAATAAGCAGAGTCCGAAGTACCCAAGAGAAAAAAGTCTCTCATAAGTACTCTAGCAGTGTGCCAAGCCAATGCTGTTTGCATATCTATGCGATTTCTCCTTGTTTCATTGTTATTATCTAGTATATCTTCCATATTTATTAATTTCTTGTTATATTTATACTCTATCTACTGATCATACTGATGGACAAATAATTATTCATATTGACATGAATATAATTTAGCATAGAAATTACAGCCACTTGTAGCCAGTTATACAAGACTAAAAGTACCAGGATATACCAATATAATCAGCATACTACAAGAATAATGTAATATTACTACTGTAGTAGACTAAACATATACCCCTGAATATTCAAATTACAGAAAGAATAAGATAGTAGAATAAGATAGTAGAATAATAGAGAAGATATCCATCGTATATCACTCTCATATGAAATTATAAGATATTTATGGTATAAATATATGTAGTCGTAATGTGTGAATAAATTCACTTAAGTGAAGTTTAACAGAAGTTTAAGTGAAGTTTAACATGAGTTTACCAGTAGCAGACTGCACTGTAATATATATAGACTGTCACTAGCCAGAAAATTAAATATAAATTTATTTAAAATTACTACTACTAGACTACTAGCAGCAAAAAGAAAAAAAGTAGATTACTATTAGTCACAGTTACAACAGGAAATATAAGCTATAGAACAAAACTACAAATATATGTGATATACAAAGGAGTAATATCTTAGTAAGAAGACTAGTCATATACTAGATAGTATCTTGTATGGTTTTCATTCATTCTGCAAGTATCTTTATTGACTGTCCTTTTGTATTTTTATTGTATCTCTTACTACTAGCATGTGGTGCAGTTAATTTCTTAGTAGGCACCATATACTCTCTTTATTTAATTTTCCAATTCTCTAAATAGTTTCATGTGAAGTGTTGCCTTCTTGAGTATATTTAGACCAATCAGATAATTGTACATGTAATCCTTAATGACATAAGACCACAATAATCACTTGTATCTCATTTCATGGCAGTACAAATAATTCAAGATAGGCTAATAATACAACAGCTGCTACTAATATTTCCATGCAATTAGTTCATCCCTGTTGCAGTCTGAATATTTGTTGAGTTTAATAGTTTAGACTAAAGATATCACTAGTTTATAACTGCTAATATTTTGGATATACCAGAAGTAGTAGTTATTTTCTATTAATATTTGTTCCGTAATATTCCCAAAGCACAAAGAATTATTAGTTAAGACAAAGATACACAATAAGACACTATCACATACTACTTACTATTTATTACTATCCTTCTTTCTAACTGCCTATGACTAATTTACTTTTTTCTTTTTCTTGTCTCGTCCTTCCTTATTGTTGCATAGTACAGCTCTAGTAGGCTTGTCTTCTCCCCGGGTATTCTAATGAGGTTTGAAGTCTCTAGAATAACAAGTGGTTTTGCATTAATTCTGGAGCTTATTTCTAGCATAAACTGTCTTGGGGGTGGTGGTACAAAGTACTTCCCTACTTTTGTTTGTATTGCCAGCTTAATATCTGCCCCATTTGGCGTACTCCTTCCTGCATGCTCTGCATATAAAATAGCATCCTCCACGGCCTCAATGAAATACTTATATGCTACCTCCAGGAATTGTAGAATTACCTTTGGCTCGCACTCTTCAATTCCAACAGACCTCAAGATCAATGAAATTATCTTTGCATCACGCGGTGCCAGATTGTCTGAAGATGCCATATAAATTCTGCCTGTGAAAATATTTTATGTCTTTTAAAGAATTCAATCTGTCGGCAGTACTGCTAAAAGGATTAGAAGCAGGGGGCTTTAAGAGCCCAAAATTAGTACAAAGCAAGATTATACCACTTGCCATGCAGAGACAGAACATAGTCTGCTCAGCAAAGACGGGATCTGGGAAAACACTCGCCTTTCTGATTCCCACTCTAGAGCGACTTCTGAGGGTAAAATGGTCCCGGGAGGATGGTCTAGGGGCACTAATTATAACACCCACCAGAGAACTTGCTCTGCAAATATTCACTGTCCTACAGACAATTGGACAATTCACGCACTTAAGTGGTGGTTTGCTGATTGGTGGCCGTGATGTAGAGAAGGAGAAGGAGGTTGTCTCAGAGTTAAATGTAATTGTTTGTACACCAGGCAGATTATTGCAGCACTTGGAGACTGGATGGAATTTCTCAGGTGATAATATTGAGTGCTTAGTGATTGATGAAGCAGATAAGTTGATGGAAATGGGGTTTAAAGAGACAATACAAAGCATACTTGAATATATGTCATCAAAGAGACAGACACTCTTGTTCTCTGCTACAGCAGATGCAATCGCACAAGCAAAAAAACTCTGGGACATAAATAACCCGAATTTCATCTCTTTAGCTGATGAGAAGACACAAGAACCCTTCCTCATGCAGTACGAGGCGCATATTACAAGCCCAGCCCGTAAGTTTGACTTATTGTACACGACAATCAAGCAGAACATTAAGAAAAGAATAATCGTATTTTTAACTACCTGCAAGGAAGTGTCTTTCTACTATGAAATTATTCGTAAGATGAGACTGGGGATAGGGTGTTTAAGTCTGTCTGGGAATATGTCACAGAATAAAAGGGTTGAAACATACCATAAATTCGGCCGTAATCAGCCCTTTGTCTTATTCTGCACTGATATTGCAGCACGAGGACTGGATTTCCACCGAGTGGATATTGTCTTGCAGCTGGATGTACCAGACACCAAGGAGACTTTCATTCACAGGGCAGGAAGGACTGCACGTAACGGCATGAAGGGCAAGAATATTTTGGCTGTCTCGCCGCATGAGATTGGGTTCTTGAAGGATGTGGAAAGTGTCCCTGGATTCCCTGCGGATGTAAAGCCATTTAAGGTCTCTGCCAGGTGGTCCACCCAGGAACGCGTCCAGGGAATAATCCGGGATGATGCTGCAATATATTTATTAGCACAGAAGTACGTTAGGACATACAAGGGCTCATTGCGCGTCACCAAGAAGGAGTACATCCTGGATAAAGAACTTGCACTGAAGGAGTTAGTAGAATATTTAGGAGTGAAAGAGGATGAAAATGTTAAATGGTCACAGGACACACAAAAAGTATCAAAGAAGTATGATAATCATGTTAAATTTGATGGATAACCAGTAATAAACATAAATATAGAGTTACATGGTGTATTATTAGGATTATTTATGAGTAACGGTGAACAAGAGTTTTTGCATTTTTATAGATTGGACAAGACTTAATCCAGATTATTCTGAAATGGACAAGACTTTTTACTCAAAGTGCAGGACTTAATCCACTCTTGCAAGACTTAATCCACCTTTCCCAAAACTTGCAAGACTTAATCCACTTTGTCATAATTTATTCCACTCCACCCCAAGACTGACAAGACTTAATCCTTTTTTTATAAAACTGACAAGACTTAATCCACTTCCTCCCAAAATGACCAAGACTTTTTACACATAGTATATTAAGTCTTGCCATAAAATACGACTAATTACAACACAAATATGACCAAGACTTTTTACACCCCTTAATAATCAGCCAATAATCGTATTTCTTCCACATATAATAATATTCCCGCATGCCCCGTGGTATGCACCACATTAATACAGATATTTCCAACAGAAAGCACATACAACACATACATAATCTATTACAAATAGTATATTTAGTACTAAATATACTGCATATACTGTATATATTCTTATACCCACCAGATATAAATAGACTAAGCGGCGCATTAATCCTTAATGTTCCTGTGGTATTTACACTAATTATTATATACGTTGTAATTAGTCATGTTAATAAAATAAGGATAAACCTTATTATATACGTTGTAATTAGTCTTATAAGCATGTTAGTACTATTTACATACGGAATAGGCCATATTATAACGTATTTAGGCATATGCCTTAGTCTCATGGTGTGTCATTACTTATTACGCAATGTGCCATATGTTCTGCTCAATTATATGACTAATTTATACAGGAATGCGGTCAGTACTTATTACACTGGATATAATAAGCTTTATTCTTATTTTATTATTTTTGTGATATTTTATTATAACTTAGTGCATTTACAGTGTGGAATGAATATGTCCCAATTGGGATACATTATTTCCATGATACTTTTATTTTGGAACTTGAAAATACTAGTTATACTGTCCTTGTATTCGGGCTATATATCTAGTTTATATGGATTATCACATGGCACAAGAAATCCATACAATACTCCCCCCTTAAAATATATTTTATACAAATTACCCAGTGTGTCAGTTATATTCGTGTGCAATATAATAAGGATTGCATGGGATCAGATTATACTGAGGTTTAATAAGGATATGACTAATTATAACGGGGATAATGAGGATATGACTAATTATAACGGGAATAATAACAGGACTAATTATAATAACGGAAATAATAACAGGACTAATTACAATGAGAGTATACTTAGTCCTAATAATAACAGGGGTATACTTAGTCCTAATAATAACAGGAATATATTACAATATAACCCACGTTATACTATATATAACCCAGATAACCCGGACATAACCCGTTATAATCCGATTAAACCTGTTATAACCAGGCCTACCACAATTAAACCTGATATAGCCCTAAGTAATTTGGACATATCCATAATAAGCTTATTATTATATGATATTCCTGTTGTAAATACGACTAACTATAACTCTTATTTTATTATTTCTAAGTGCATGGGATTTCGTGTTGTAATTGGTCTATATTTTTATTTTTTTGCTTTAAATATTTTTATAGTTACAAGGTTTATTGCATACCGTGAGATAAGTTATTTATACAGTTATGTTATTTTAATTATTTTAATTAGTGTTAATTTTTATATGAATATGTCCATAAAGGGTAAATTACTGCATATGGAAATATTTAATGAATATAAAAATCATCACCTTTATGAGTTAATTAAGTTAAATTATAATATTTTATTGTCTGAAGATAACTTTGTTGTGGAGTATGCTAGGTTTGACAGTAGACTATGGGTTACATTAGATGCATTAGGCACAAGCTATGAATAAATTATTACAGTGTAAAAAGTCTTGGTCATTTTGGGAGAGAGTGGATTAAGTCTTGTCAGTTTTGAGATGGGGTGGAATAAATTATGACAAAGTGGATTAAGTCATGCACTTCGAGTAATAAGTCTTGGTCATTTTGGGAGAGAGTGGACTAAGTCCTGCACTCCGTGTAAAAACTCTTATCCATTTCACAATAATCTGGATTAAGTCTTGTCCAATTTATAACCGTAAATAACAAAATAATCTAACCGTAAACAACATGAGTTTATTGAACATAGAATCCCTCTAATACTTCTTCTGTGATCTTCTTTCTTCTCTCTTGGAATTCTTTCACAAATTCCTGGATCACCCGAATTGAAGCAGCCTTCATTTCTCCACTAAGAACTTCTCCCTTTATGTAGCCAGCCCTTAATTCTTCCAGCTTCTGCGTGTCCTCCATGAAGAACTTCATGTACTGATATGCCACATCCACATCTGGGTTACCTCCAAGGCGCCTGTGCTCCTCTAATGTGTCTCTGCCCCCAGAGAATGCATACTTATTTATCTTTTTCTTGATTGCCTCTGGTGTGTCACTCAAGTAGATCGATGTCTCCTGCGCACTTGCACTCATCTTCGTGTGGGCCCCTTGCAAGGCAGGCAGGAAGTATGTGTATATTGTGCTTGGCTTAATTCCATTCATCTTGTGGGCTATGTCTCTGGCTAGCCTAAAGTACGGGTCTTGGTCGATGGAGCACGGGATTATGCAAATTCCATCAGACGGCAGGTATGAAGGAAATGAAGTCGCATAGCACGGGGCAATCTGCCGCACTGGAAATGATACTTGTCCAATTTTCGATTTATCTGTGAACCCAAAGACCTTCTGGACATCCTTCAAGGTAAGTGACTTTTCTATTGTCAAAGTGTTTTTTATGAAGTTATGCGCGTATAACGTATTTGAGAAGATAAATGTCAAGGAAGGGTCAAACCCAAATGCAGCTATGTCTTTTGCATTTTCTCTTCCATATTTTATTGTTTCCTCCAGGGAAAGGTCTTTCCATATGAACTTCTCGTCGTCTGTCATTTGTATGACTAGCTTGCACTTAAATTTATCCTGTAAGTACTTGCACAGTAAGAAGGGGACAGCGTGTCCTAGGTGCATGCTGCCACTGCTGGGTCCACGCCCTGTGTATAGGTAGATTGTCTTGCAGCCTGACTGGATCTTCTCTAGTGCACTTGTAAAATCACGGTGTGCAAATACTATACCACGCTTGAATAGAATGTGATCTAGGTTGTACTTCTGTGCTATCTCTGGTGTAAATTCATTGCAACCAAATTGTTCTATTACCTTGTTGTAATCTATAGCACCATCTTCTCCACCGGATACTTCCCATGGTGTTATGTTCATAAAAAAATAAAAGACAGTTTCATTAAATATAGAGTATGGTACATTAGCACTATCTACATGTGGTAATAACGAAGGAATATGTGGGATATAAAGTATACGAATAATTTATCGTGCGATTTTGTCTGTTATTGAATATTTGCAGTAGTATTTTTATGTTTTTTGTAACTGTCAAATTCCTGTTTATAGGGATATACAAGGTATCCAGTATGCTGTATGCACAATATGCAGATAGTCCTTGCTATCTATATGAACACTAAATAATCTGAGTTTTTCCATGAAATATGCAGGAGTATTCTGTAAATATATGTAGGAGTATAGTAGAATAATTAGTTTATTCATTTTATTCTGGTATATTATAGTGTAATAATTAGGCATAATAAAAATACTTTTCATATAGACATAAATTCACGTATATATTAGTAGCACTGTATATACAGTATAATAACAGCTAGATAATATACATACAAGTATTCCCAAGTATACTTAGCAGTCTATTCATTGTATTGATATTCACTGTATCCTGCACCGGATATTGGTCTGAACAAATCACCATCCATTAATTCTACTCCATCCACCACATCACTCTCTTCCTTAGGATTATTATATATTCTTACTTTTCTTCTCAATCCACCAACTACATCTTCTTTTTCAACTACTTCAAAGGTCCCTTCTACTTCATCTTCTGATTCGTTTTCTGATTCATTTTCTTCAACTGCTTCCTCGGCCTCTTCTGCTGCTTCAACTGCTTCTTCTGCCTCTTCTGCTTCAAGTGCTTCATATGCCTCACTAAAAATGGAGGTATCTTCGATTATTGATGCTTCTTCAACTGCTTCATGTGCATCACTAAGAGGGGATGCATCTATAGCTTGTTCAACTGTTTGTTTAACAATTGACACTCGTCTTTGTTCAACAATTGCCTTTGGTGCCTCTTCAGTAATTGTCTCTGGTGTTTCTTCAACGATTGTCTCTGGTATCTCTTCAACAATTGAGTCATCCCAATTAATAGGCACACGCGGATACTCACAAATTGGTACTGGTGTCTCTTCAACAACTGGCCCTCTAGTGACTGGTACTTCTGGGACTACCTCTAAAACATAAAACATGTTTTGAAGGGAATCTGGACCTGCATAGTAATTCTCTCTTCTAAGAAATTCTTCACGCTTCCTATCGATGTAATTTTCTCCACCGTCTGATGCTAGTACACTGTGTACTTTTTTGACCGTTATAATTGGTCCTTTCCAATGCTTCCTTTTATAAAGGTATAGTGCTATAAGAAGCACCATTATGCTCATAATAACCCAGAATGCACCCCATGAGAACGGTGCACTAATTATTCTCACCATAACATTCTTTAAGTTCTTGATTTTTCTTGCACGAATTTCTGAAATCATAAAAAGTAAAATCTCTGCTACTTTTATAGTGAAAATATTTTACCCCATGGTGAATAGTCAGGAGGATATTTCATTTTATTCTGTGTTACAGTCACCGAATATAAACTCTGTCTTTCTGGTAAAACATACAGATACAGATACATTTATACTTTAAACACCTTGAAAACCACATAGCCACACATCTTAAATTGAATTCCTACGAGGAAATTCGCATAATTATTCGGAAATTCTTTTTAAAAATAATGCTAGTCCAAGAATACTTAAGCCTATTGGAGGAAGCACCTATGGAGATACAGAAGACACTCGCGCGCATAAGTGAAATGGACCACTCCATACACCACGAAAGAAAGGAGCTTGAAAGAGAAGTTGAGACCATTAATGAAATACTGCAGGACGCAGAGAAGGGCTCTGAGAAGGAAAGAATTGACAAACAATTGCAGCACATTAATAGGTGCTACTTGAAGCTACTTGACTCAGATAAGAAGAAGCTTTCACTGATTGCATCACTGCAAATACAACTGGAAAGTGCGAAATCCTCAATAAAGTCATCTTCAAATGAGTTTAAAGAAGGCCTCATTAAGAGCGCAGTCTCCATGAAGCTAAAGAAGATTCTCTCCATGCTTGACTACAAAATAGAAGAAGACAACAAAGAAGAAGAAATTCTTTGCTGCACATGCAAGAGACCCAGTAAAGGGGACATGATTGTCTGCGACAATGCAGAGTGCCCAATTGAGTGGTATCACTGCGCATGTGTTGGAGTAAAGGGCGTTCCAAAGAAAAAATGGCTGTGCACTCTTTGTACAAAGGAATAACCAGAAGTTGCAAATTTTTTAATGGATTCATTAAGCCAACTGTCTATTTCGGAAATATCCCAGAGGATTGTGGACATACAAGAGAACACTAAGGAGAATACCACTGCAATGTGCACAGAACTGAAGGATCACATGCTGGCACGACATAATGACCATGCTACTTTAAGAAAGGACTGCAAGGAAATTGCAGAGCAAGTTACAGCACTTGTGGAAGAATACAAGTCGGAGGGAAAGAAGGAAAGAGACAGAGTTGTTAAGAGAGTGATATCGCAGAAGTTGGAGATCTTGGTGGACTCAATCATGCACCAAGAGAATCGGCTGAAGGGTGGTTTAATTAAGAACAAGCGGGAGTACTTTGAAGTCAGCAAGGAAATAATTTCAACCATAATTGAAACAATTGGGAAAGTACTGGACGTAGCAATTACATCGCACATGTTTTATCCGTTTGTGATAAAAATGTCCAGAAAGCTGTCACTTTTGTCTATGGCCAGTGGAAGCTTCATTCCCGTCACATACTACCCAATGCACATGATGAGCCAGATGGCGAAGATATCTTCCTCTTCTGTTCCAGTGCAGCCTGTCCCTGAAAATGCAATTAAAGTAACTGACAGGTACATCATAAGCAACGTATACAATGACTATGTCATGAACAATTGCCTGGATATAATTGGAGAGTGCATCAAACAGTATGCAAATAGTCTGTCATTCCCAGAGTACTCAGCATACATTGTTGTGGAGCTGAAGAGAATTCGTAACTCACAGAATAAGTGCAGCTCCTGGGTGAACTCAAAGATTGAAGGAATCATAAAGGCAGTAAAGGCGCACACAGAAAGAATTCAAAGCATAAGGGAAGGCATTACATCAACGGATGTCTCTACCATCAGAAAGGTTGAAGAGAAGATACCTGCATTCCAGATGAACATTGAATAAACAGATCAATATGAATAAACACACGAATTAAATATGTCTTAGAAGAATATGTGCGGTTATAATGTATTTGGCAAGAAGGATTGTCTGATAGTGAAGAGCTTTTTGCAAAGTGCTTTGGGTGATGGGCTGCATAGTGAAAATCACCTAGCAGCAATTACTTAGCAAAACCATTTGGAAAAAGTAGTTGGTTGCAAATCACACTAGATTGTAACAAAAATAACCTTTTTGTACGCTACCTTCTTGATGCGCCTTCTGCGTCCGAATAGCTTTAATCACTCTGGTACTGTAATGTACTTTAATTTCTGGGTTTATTAAAGTGCATGAAAATGGACTCATTTCCAGGAATATTTTATAGCTTGAAGAGGGACGCAGGAAGTGACTGCATGGGTGCAGGAATACTTGGGGTGTGGAATATTTAAGAGCCCAGCGAGTGCGTAAACATTCTTGGATTTGCAATATTTTTTATGCTTATTCGAGCAGGCAGGGATGCACGGGAAGTAGTTGCATCTATAATAGAGACGTACGCCAAAGAGAGAAATATGTCACTCACACGGGAAAATAAGGAAAGGCTTTTGCAGCACTTGCTGCCATACATGAAGCAATCATTAAATATTCCATCCACACTTGAAATAAAAGAACTCTCCAGGAACCTCCTGAGCGAAGAGAAGCACAGCAGGATCGAAGCATTATTAATGAATAGCACGGCGGAAATAAGAAAAGCAATCTACTTCTTATTTAAAATTAAGCAAATGGGAATAATTCTGTCAGATATTCCAATAGACCCAGAGATAGTCGCATTCTCTGGAGTTAAAAATGCAAGCATTGGAATATACATGTCGTGGTTTAAGGAAATATCTGATGGAAATGCAGCCCGAGTGAAGAGACAAATAGGGGTGGGACTGTTTGATATATGCTTTACAGTGTACAATGCAGGGAAGGAATACTTGCACCTTCGGGAGATGTGCTTCAAAGATGGATCTCCTTTGGTGAAGTCATTTCTCTTGGTGGTTTCCATGCACTTGGATGCGTACAGGGAGAGTGTATACGCAGAAGAAGTCGATAGTTTGTTTGCATTTTACATCAGGCACAACAAGAAGATGAAGTGGGTCCATAGACTTGGCCACTTAGTACAGGAGATTATGCTGCATGACGAGCATGGAAGCCTTGGGACAGTGCAGTTTGTTGAGAAGCTAAGGGAGTCCCCATGGACAGAGTTCCTGGCAGATGAAGTGCTTGAGAAGTACAAGAAACCACTGTCTGATGAAGTAGTAAAATGGCTTGAAGGATATTCCATTGCTAACTCATTCATAGTAGAGAATGACACAAAAGAAATCTGGCAGTCATTTGTGCTCCTGGAAAAAGAAATACCAGTGTCACTTTCCATTAAAACAGCCAAGCAAATATTGTACATTGGGAAAACAAAAAGAATTCTTCCAATGCTCAGGGCACAAAGTGAGCTTTGCTTGGCAAATATTCCGCGGGATGGTATTTTCAATAAGGAGTGGATAGGAAGTGTATACGCACTCTCACAAGAGAGAATTAAAAAAGAATTATTCCTAGAGTACAAAGCGTATGAGCATCTGAGGATAATCCGGGATGTATTCTTTCTGTTTAGAAGTGACTTTGCGTACAGCCTGGTTGGGTTGCTTGATCATCTGGAAGAGTGCCCGGTTGATGCAGTTTCTGTGGATGAAATATTGGACGGGTGCTTTGGTCAGGAGGCAGCAGAGTTTGTGGATGTGATGGTTCAAGGAAATGAGCTTTCCTTAGTCTATAAAGAAACCTTTCCTTATAGCATCATAGTTGGAAATATTTCAGAAATACTTCTTTCTGGGTTTGAACTATTCTGGAATCTGCGCAGGGTTATATACAGTGTCTGCAAGATGTACAAAAATAGCAGGACACCTGCCACATTCGCGCTTGCCTGCAGGGCTGGTGAAATTGAGTACTACTACTTTGAGAAGGTAGTTCATGCTCTGTGGTCCTTTAAAGATCTCCCTGAAGAGATTCTTTACAATCCTGAGAAAATATCAAAAAAGATCGAAGATATGTTGTGCCACTTGATTTCCACCTGCAAAGAGACATGCACACTTTCAATTCTGCATAAAATACAGGAAGTGCTGCTACAGCCAGTCACTAGCCATAATATCCATATAATAGACAATTTGTTGCAAAGAATAACATCTGAATAAATAGCTATTTTGTAAGCACTGCAACTCTATGTGTAAATAAGCCTCTTCTTATGCAGATTAATTATTTATATATTTCTTATCTATTCACAGCTAAAATTATCTTTACACTCTGCCAGCACAGTTTCATGTACTTCAAATTCGCATTTATCTCTAGACAGTAGATGTGTTAAATATTTTCTTGAATATTCAGAAATATTAGCAGCAAGAGATTATTTATGTGCATCTATAAATTATTTACCACATGGTTATAGAGTGTATGCATGAATTTCCGAGTGGAATTTTAAAAAGGGGATTTCAACCTACCAATTAGTGTGCGATATACCCCTGGATCATTTCATACTTTGAATATTGTTATTGTATACTACTACACACCTCTGTATCTCTGTGGTCTTTAGATTGTGTCATTTATAAAGCTGTTTTATAAAGCACTCTTTTTCTTATCTTTTTAAAGTATTCTATGCTCGGAGTAAATGTATATGAATTTCACAGGAGGTAATCTATAATATAGAATTACTGATAGGGGGAACGCATAAATATGTCAAATCCAGAGTATATTAATGAATATAAGAAAGCTATCTTGCATATTCACAATAATAGGATATTCTGGTTATATAATGGGAACACTTCCACCCCGCCCCCTGTTGCACACATATAATACACACATTAAGACAGCAGAAAATGAAAAGATGGTTATAGATATTTATCTGCGCATTAGAAAAGAATCTTTATCAAAGACACTTCAGATGGTGCTTTCTATGGTGGAGATAACTGAGAATGCAAGTGAAATATTAAATAAATCTACTATGATAAATAAGCAAAGGAAAAACATTCAAAGGCTATTGAAATATCAGAAATATAAAGAAGAACTCATCCAGAGAATGGACTCTATATATAATGAAATGTCTAAAATAAATAAAACCAGTGTTTTGTACAAGATGAAGGTGGCTGAGCTCTTCTACTACATTTATGCGATAACCACGCAAGTACCGTATCCCTTCAAAACTATGCACTATTTAGTAAAGTATGCTGGAAATATAGAAAAATATAAAGTTGCATTAAACAAAGCCATTAAAAGAAACATGAATTCAATATTGCATATAAATTTCCCAGATATAGACAGAAATGACGAAGAATTTGATAGAAAAATACAAGACATGCAGGACAGTGTTGACATGTTTTTATCCCAAGTTGATTCAGAGTTCTATGATATAGGTTCTTCTAAGATGATATTTGATGTTGCTAAGCTTTATATATTTTTGGCTCAAATACGGGATGTTGACCTGCCACTTGAATGCTTAGAAGAAAACATCATTGCTCTCTAGCCTTTATATAAAAATAAAATTCTTTAAATGGCTTGTTTTTACTTCAGTACTGCACTAAGGACCAAACCACTAAAATAATTAACTATTATTTTGGTGTGTCATCCAGCACTAGTATTTATTGTTTCTGTCATTAATATACAGTGTTAGATGCTATACTGAGCACACAGCACTAACTTTCATGTAAATTTTGGTTATATCTTGTGCGCTGATTTTATGGGTTCATAGAATTCAGCTCTTTCCTTGTGAGAGATGTATGAGACTAAGCCTCTGTCTTTTTCTAACCAGCACATTGCAAGATATTGTTTGATTACATGCCTTGAATATAGGCTATATTTGTATTTTTATTCGAAAATTCTCTCTATTTTAATCCAAAACCCTTCTATACTAAAACTTTTATGGAAAGAAAATAAAGTGAATGGCTTTAAATCAAAAAAAAGTAGAAAGTATGGATAAATACGAAAAATGCATAAAATGAAAGACCACACAGAAAGTCTTTATAAAGAAGAAGAATTCTTCTATTCTGGACCCATACGAACCAACATCTTAATAGAGATACGAATTACATTAAGAAAATAGCATATTAGAAACGAGTGAAAAAAGGCACTAATAAAGCCACAATAGGCCCAAATATTTGCAAAGACATACAAATAAACCATTTTTAAACATACTCTTTATTCTAGAATATTATCCTCTTACATGAGAATCGCTCCATTTTCTAGGCAAGTGTAGATATAACTCTGCAAACTTGTCAAACTTGGCAACACACTCATCATCACTACATAGGTGGAGCCAAATTTTTTTAAAATTATTAGAGATTACATTACTCGTAAGATACACAAAAACAGGTAAGCTTTCGGGGAGCTGACGAATAGCATGAAAGCTTGTCTTAATCGACTCAATATCACGATCTATATTTTCCTGTAAAATCAGACACATAAACCATACATTGTGAAGGCTGTTTAATACCTCATCTTTCTTTCCAGGATATTCTTTTGCTATAGCCTCGTCAAGTGCATTTACATACTTTATATTTCTCTCTCTAAATATATATTTAAAAATAGACTCAATTACTGTAGAGTCTAAAAATGAAAAAATATCATTATTGGGACGTACACCAAAGTTTTCTATGCAATATCTAATCCAAGTCATGAAAATAGTCATATTAGGATCTAGTACATATTTAACAAGATAATGGTGTCTTATGTACTCCATATCATTTTTATAACTGCTGGCGGATAGTTTTATATTTGGGTAGTTGTAATTATTGCCATTTATATCATGCAAGCCAGCAAAAATAATTGAGGAAAGCACCTGCGCTTGAATGTCTTGGTTATCTAGCTCTGTGCTTCCTATTATGTTGGAGGTAAAGCGAACAACTGGATGATCGGGCAATAGGTTTTTATCCATGCTGTGTACGATCAAACAAGTAATCAAGTCTCTTTTATAATCAAGCTCATTTATCTTCTTGATAAAAAGCAGCCTATTGATGTCTGCAAAGTTATTGTCTATGGTTTTTTGTATCTCTGCTTTCATAAACTCATCGTTATTCTTAGAGGTATCCATCTTCCGGATCTCATAGTCTAAATAAACAGATAGCAGATTTTCAACGAATGCAGCCCCATTTTTGCAGCTTTTTGCTGTTTTATATAATTTCTCTACTCTGTTATCCTCAAAATCCATAGTAGTTTCCTCCATGTCAAAACTAGTATGTTCTTTATATGTTTCAAAGACTATAGTATTCTTAATAGAGCTATGCTCAAATATAATAGTAATCTCTCCAAATACATCGTATCTTCCATCTGCACACTTATTACAGATAAGATCAGAAAACTCAATTTTTATGTTCTTTTGTCTGGATATAAACATAAGTACTTCTGTTGTATAATTTTTTATATCATCGCATAATTTAGCATCCATTTGTCCATCCAGTTGCTTTAAGCGGTTTGAAGTCCAGCGTATTGTATCCTCGTCTTCTTTGGGGGCCTTTACTATTTCAATAATAACCATAAGCATATTCAAAATCCCAGTGTCTAGCTCGTTTCTTCCCTTGCAGTATGCAATGCTAGGCTTACTTAGGTCTGCAACAACTTTGCACCACTCCTTCTGGAACTCAACTTTTGTTGTGTCAAATGGCTGATTTTTTAGAGAGAAAAATTCTTCAAGCTCGTCAGTGATGTCTCCTATGTGGTCAGTTTTGTATTTAAAATCAGATGGGTCGTATGTTAGGCAGCAGAAAAGAGAGAGAATTGCGCAATCTACACAGTTGCTGTAATCTTCCAGTCGACTAGTAGAAAACTTTTTGGTTTCCCTGTTGTAGCTAGGAACAGATGTGTATGCAGGAACCTGTGTGCTGTTTGCAAATGGAAAGACTTGATATGTGTTTAAAATATCTTGAGATTCTTTCATTAGAGCCAGGCAGTCTTTGCCTATTGCAGTGCTAGAGGGCTTAAAAAGTCTGTCGTATGCTGAATCATCCTTGCTTGGTGCTTCTGTATCTAGAGCATAATTCATTGCCATCGTATGCACTGCCTGAATAAACTCTTTTGCATGTTCTGCGGTGTCTATGAACCCAAATATGTACGACTGAATAAGAAACTTAGGACTGTCCAGAAACTTTCCTGTAGCAATCTCCTCTTGTGAGCACTTTTCCTTCATCATGCTAAGTACTTCCTGATTGGTTGCATACTCCTGGAAGAATTTTATTATTTGCTTAACCTTCTTTTGTTCAAACCTTTGTGTTTCATTTGTTTCTTTATTGAACCACGGGATTATCATGGGCACTTCAAAGTATACTTTGTCTTTTTTGCTTGTTTCATACACCTTCAGTCTCTTGTTGTTGACCTCAATGGTAGTGATCATTCCCTCTGAGAAAAGCAGCAGCAAGGCCAGAATTTTTAAAGAGTGCTCCTCTGTATCTTTAGCCCGAAGGAACTGAACAAGGGACTGGTTTCCTCGTGTCTCTAGGGTTACGTCACCAGTGGGTGATGGAAACAAGTCAATAAGATGATTATGGTACTGCTCAGCGTATTTATCCATTTTATTCTCTGGTAGTGCTGTATATGCTTTGTCCACTTGTCTATCTCTGTCATATATAAAGGTGTTTTCCTCATCAAACATGCCTGGTCCTGTCTTTAATGAATAGTATGTATTAATTTCTGGTGAAAAGAATCTTTTGTTGTACATGAGCTCCATTTTCTTGTAGATGTATCCTCTGAGGAAGTTGAGAGGTCCCTCTGGGTTTACCACTACTTGAGAAGAATCCGTTGCAATTTTACATTGCAGAGTTGACTCTATTTCGCTTAGGGATAGATCTGCTCTGCATATATTCATCATTAGAATACTAATTAAGGCAACTGCCTTGATCCAAATAACGGAAGAAAATATTTTCATGGAGTAAAATAAATCATTTTCAATATATAATAACGGACAAATTCAGGGGTTTCTGTAAGATGCTTTCTATTGGCAATTCAACTATATAATCTCATCAATAGTTTTTACTGGATATTATCCAATGAAACTTGTAGTAAACTCTCCACTTCTCAAGCCAGAAATCATATGGTCACTAGTATAACCGAAATAACTCCAAAAGTCTTTAAAAGGCAACACATTCCAATAGCAAAGAATACTAAAGGTATAAAGGCTAATAGTCACAGTACATTCAGAAATCAGCAAACATATACAAATAAATATGCTTGGTAGCTATTATATATATTCTAGGCCACTATCTCCTTGCTAGAACGTAGTCTTCTCTTGAGCACGTTAGTATGTCTTCTACTAGTTTCTTTTACTTAGATTTAGTCACTTGCAAAACCTAGAGTGCCCATCAGAAAGTATGCTCAAAACCTGCTATAGCTTAGTATATGGGAGAGTACAGGAAAAAGCAATAAAATAGATCGGTAAGAAACTAATCAAAGCGAAGGTATATTTGTGCAGTAAAAAAGAAACAGGATGCCATACAAAAAGTTACAAGAAAAACTTGCAAAATGGAAGAAAGTACTGATGGAAGAAGGCTTCTTTAAAAAGGAAGCATGTTTAATTCCAAAAGACACAGCGCAGCCTATTCCTTTAGATCAAGGCGTATACACCATACTCGCTCTCCATAGCCTTCTATCCATAGTATTCATAGTATTCATAGTGCATAATATAAAGAAGCTCTTTTATGCGCGTGCAAGGCGGATTAAGCTAGAAGAATTCGCAGAGATCAATAGAAAGCGCGAGGAGCTGAGAAGAAACTCTGCGCAAACCCAAGGCCCTTGCCACCAATAGAGGGAGATGATAAGACATAATAAAGGATTCGGGTTATATACATGTCAAAATGCGCACTCTGCGATTACAAAAAGACAGTAATCAGAAACTTCATGCAAATAGTTAAACACTTAAGAGCGCTACAAGAGAGCATAAAGTGGCCCAAGTAGTAATGTGTGAAGAATATGAATGTATCAATCTCAGTGAAGATGAAATTTAGATTAGATCTGGCTTGGTGTTTAGTGCACTGCATGAAATAGTCACTCGGAAATGAGTCTCTTATTTCAGAAGTTAATTAATTGAAAATTGAATGTCAAGGTTTCTGGATATATCAGAGGAGGAAAGAGAGAGAAGGCGGTTAGCATTAATGCAAAAATACAATATTACCATTCGGCCTCTTCCTCCAATTACACCCCCGCCACTTTCTGAAAGAATTCTGGACCAATACCACAGAATAATGTTTCTTATGCCAAGGATAAGTCTGTTTGATGTGCTGTTTGTTTTTTTAGTGGTTTTAATTATAGCAAGACTAGTTGATCTTGTAATTAGTCTTATACCAACTATGAAAAAAGAGTGCACTGTATTTCTTCAGAAAGAGCAGGCCCGCCTGTTCATGTCTTAAATTACAATTAGCTATTCCAAATTGCAATAACTGCAGCTATTTAAGTCTGCTTTAGTATGCACCAGAAGTATAACGAGAGACTGCTGCAATAAAAGTACAGAGAAATAGTAGAAAGGGGTTTCTCATATATGTATGACTAAGCACTGTACTGCAAAGTGTATTAAATAAATTATTCTGATAGAGTGCTATGTCCATGTTAACAAAGAACTGCTCTTATTGGGGAGCTTTAAAATAAAACTACTCTATGGGATTTTCACTCTTTTAGAGACCACTTCTGACAAAAACGCAAATATTAACAGAAATACATGGAAAACAGCAGAGACTTAGCACATCAATATTTCTTTATAACTTAAACAAGAGACAATTGCTGCTTTGCCCCTTGCAAAAAAGACGGAAAGTTTTATAGGCAGTCTTCTATAGTACACTCTACTCTAAAGGTGTACAAAGATCTATGTGCTAAGATGAAGTGGTAAACTTGAATATAACCAGCAGATGCAAATTATTCATGAAAATCACAAAATATTTCTCTGTAACGGCTATTTCTGGTAAGAAAATCTTTTCCAAAAAAGATGGAGAATATTCAAGAGGAAATAATCGCACAGCAAGTATGCAAATCAGCCACATTAGAAGGCACAGATGGAAAATATCAAGTGATAAATTACATTTACAGCTTATTCAGCAAACTAAGCTCAAAAGACACTCTTTACAAGCTTGCAGTTCTACTTGTTATTATCTCTTTTATTGTGATAACGGGTGTTTTGTGTGCAAAAATATATTCACTCTACAAAAAGTTCATAAACCCTGTGGAAATCACTTATAGTTTCAAGAGATATACTTACTATGCCAAGGGGTCCGATATAACACCAAATGAAATTCCCGATAAAGAACAGATACCAGAAAAAAAAGCATCACATGAACAAGTACGATAGACCAATGCCATAATTTCCCATGCGGCCACGCCCGTTGAACATAGTACATTTTAAGAAGCAGTTATTCGCACATTAGGAAATTATAAAAATATAAGAATCATGTTAAAGAAATCATATTAAAGGAGCAACAGCTAGAACTACATTCATTGCCCAAACAATAAGACATGCATTTCTTTTGAGTGTTTTTCCAATAAAGTGGCTTAATCATACGATACTCTATAGACATGCAGTGCACCATTGAATGCCCTAACTATCTGGATAATCATTCCAGAAATATACACAAAACCACTTTACTCCATACCAGAATGTTCTTGCATGTGGTTAAAAATAAATCGTAAAATTACTATTCTTTAGCTATGAGTATTTAAGCAAGTGCAAACAACCAGAGACAAAGAATTAGCTTGTAAAGAATTACCTAAAAGCAGTTTATTATTACAGATCCATCTTATTCTCACCTTTAGCTGCTTCAGTCACCTTTATCTCCACTATTTTGGGTCTTTCCTCTTTCTTTGCTGACTCGTCATGGTCAACTGACATTTTCATAACATCATCCATGCCTTCAACCACTTCTCCAAATACTGTGTGCTTTCCATCCAAGTGGCTGCAGGAAGTATCTGATAACACAATGTACCACTGACATCCATTTGAATCTGGCCCACTATTTGCCATTGCAATTACTCCTTTCTTATGCTTTCTTTCTGGATATTCCTCAGATATTTCTATTTGATTCTTCTCATCGGGGAAACTTCGCCAATTGTACTCTGGCAGTGCACTTACACTTCCTCTTCCATCCATGGACAAGACATCTCCTCCTTGGACAACAAAGCCATCTATTATTCTGTGGAAGACTGTGTTCAGATACGAGAAAGTAGACACGCCTCCTCCGTATGGTATTTCTATTCCTTGGCAGAATCCTTTAAAGTTCTTCACTGTCATTGGGAACTGTTCCTGGAATAGTTCTATTTTTATGGAATATGTTTTGCTCTCTTTCTTATCATTTCTGTATAATATACTCATGGTAACTGTATCATTAACTGCAGCTGCACACTTCAGCACCAGAATATACAGAGATAGAACAAAGAATAACTTCATAATTAAAGCAAAAAAGAAGAAAATAAATAATAATTAGAAGTACACATGGAGAATTAATAGAGCCAGAATGTGCATAGAATAATCAAATACAAAAAGTGCATTTTATAGTGCATTCCTGTAGTTCAAGGCATACTGTAATAATGCAGAATAGACAAAGAGTATTTTCACTTGAAGAAGCATACCTTAAGCTTACTTTAGAGCTTCAATGAACAACTATAGGATTCTTTATAGAATGAGTGTATTTAGTAGATTAAAATGCACCCTAGTGAATACATATACTTTTATTCTATTTTATCCAACACCATTAATGGAAGTGCATTCTCAAAAATTATCTCAATGAAAGCATGCAAATGGAAATTCACGATATGCGTAATATGCGAATTATTCAATATTTAGGCCATAAGACATGCATGGTTCTTTATTGAATAATTTACAGAGAATATTTCTGCATGCTTTTTCATATAAACCAGAATAAAAGTGCTATAGAATAATTGCCTAATCCTTTGAGGCTCTGAAGTATGCAGTGCTTAATAACATGCTCCATTGTATATTAAATTTCATTGGATTTTACATCACATCATAATCGTATATTTTGAATGGCAGGCATATTCACGGGCTCACTATATTTCTAGTACACATGTATGCACTCAGAGATCTAAGTTTATCTTATTCTGGGTCTAACTTAGCACAAATTCAGCATGAACAATTCTCCATAAACTTTCATGTTTTGTGCATAAATAAGCGTATGCTGAAATCATCACAAGAAGTAGCAAGAATAAGACTAGCACCTGGGTGCATCCAATAATACGCCTAGAATAAGTGATATTGATGTGTAATTTATCACTGTAATTAATATGCAGTAAATCAAATTAATATTAATTTACATGAACTACACCATAGGAAACAAAAGAATATTTCATGCATAGGAAGAAATCGCAAGATAAATATATTCCAGAAAGTTAAATGAAATCAAAAACCAATAAATATCCCAGATCAAATAGATACAATAAGCTGTACTAATCAGTTAGATTGCGCCTAATTTGCATAAATACTAGATGTAATTTTAATAAAAACAAGCTTTTCATGAAGACAATTTAGCTCTATACTGAATATATTGGCACACATGGATTCTTTAAATCCTCAATGACTGCATGATAAGCCAGAATAAATACTCTTTTCCCAGAAGCCCCAGCCAAAGCACATACTATTACTACGCTACACTCTACTAAAAAATGTAGTATTTGTTATTTTGGGGGTGCAGGAAATAATAACCCAGGGATTACCAGTTTCATTGGGAGTTATAAACCATTACAGCCAGAGTTTTTGCAGATTTATCAACAGATCTTATGCACACCCCTGAATATTAATTAATATTAATTATTCTATCACATTCTATCATATAAATAATATTTTATTTTTAAAATACATGCAGGAAGGTATTTATTACAGCACAATCGAAGAAGACAGAATGCTGTCAGCGGAGGAACTGGATAGAGAGAGAAGTAGGAACAAGATATATGAATATCTTTGCAGAATGCAAGAAGCAAGGGAGTGGATCGAGAACATCATCCAAGAGAAGATTCCTGATGAATTTGAGAATGCGCTCAGGAATGGGGTCTATTTGGCTAGATTAGTGAGCCTATTCAAGCCAGAATTAGCAATGAAAATATTCACGGATGAAGTGCTGCAGTACAGACACACAGACAATATCAATGTCTTCTTTACATTCGCAAAGACAATTGGCCTGCCAAGCGTATTCCTATTTGACTTGGTGGACCTGTACGAGCACAAGAATATACCAAAGGTGGTGTATTGCATACTGGCACTAGCACACTACTTATCAAAGAAGAAAATTGCCATACGCCCAAGCAACTTAGTGGGCAGGGCGATATTCACGGAGGATCAGATAAGAAAGAAGGAGAAAGAGATAGAAGAAGCAGGAATCTCACTCCCATCCTTTGGTGACATACAAAATGCAGTGAATATCAGGGGACACTCTAAAAAGCAGCAAAGCAATGGAGAAGCAGATAAGGAGCAAAAGGATACAGCAGAGAGACAAGAAGTGTCTGCAGTGGTGGAGAGTGAAAAAACAATAGACTTCAATGAGTCACCAGAGATGAAGAGTATGGTGGAGGGAAGTCCCATGGAGATAAGTGTCGATAGGTCCGTACACACCGTGCAGTCCTGTGCTAGAACACTCCTCAGCCAGCAGGCATTCTTGGAGCTATCTGGTGCTGCGCCTGTCAGCATATTCACACTCCGTAGATCACTCCATCTCCTGCACGGAGGTGAAGAGAAGGAAGAGGCCGTGGTGGAAGAACTCAATAGGATACTGAGCCTGCTGTTCAGTGAAAATGCAGAGCTTGAGAAGCAAGTGACTCTGACAGAGAACAAGATATCTTTGCTTCTCCGGAATATGATCCAGCAGTCTCCATCTGAGCTGTGCGAAAAAAGGCCCTACATGAAGTACAAGACCCTGCAGAGATTGTTTGCCCGGCTGCAGGATGACCCTGCTGTCATCACAGCCCTTGTCACATCTATGCGGCAGAGGGAGGCAGAGGCCTTCTGCAGTGCTCGGCTGCTTCCATTATTCGGCCATGCAAAGACACCCAGGGAGGAATATGCTTATCTCAGAATAGTTGAGGCACTTGTGCATGCACCCCGCGGGTATCCACTTGCTGCCCTGGCCGTGCGCGCACTTGTCATCTCACAGGACAGAACACCCGTGCAGAAGGAAATACTGGAAATGCTTATTGAAGCAAGAGCAAGGGAGGTGCAGGCAGAAAGTGCCCCAAAGAGCACAAACCAATCTATGCACTCAGGAAGGTCCAGTGGGCCCTCAAGAATAGGCGAGAATAAAACACTAGTCAGGGTCATATGCAGCTTGGTCTTGGATAGACCAGGAGATCTCCCATACGCCGTCAGGTTCTACGCAAGAACACTCTCCAGAGCACTCAGAGCAGATGGAAAGAGTGAAGAAGAAGTCGCACAGCAGGTGGTTGAGGCACTTTGGATTGCGCACTTCATGCCGGCCCTGGATAAAGTGTGCGCAGTGCAGGACATTCTTCCTGCCCTTCTTGCATACTCCGACAGAATTGTGGAGTACGTCCAGCTTGCCTCTGGGGTTGAGTCAATTGCAGCGCACTACACAGGACAGTACATTGCTGCACGCCCCATGAACAATATGCTGTGCATCACAGGGGAAGACGTAAACTACCTTCTGGCTGCTTTGCTGAAGGCGCCTGTGGCAGGTGACATCAAGGGCATTGCAGCAGACTGCCACCCAATTCCCTTCAAGCTGGTGTTTATTCTGCCAGGTGGGGCAGTCAGGGCCCAGGAAACAATCGGGGCCACAGAGAAGCGAATGTGCAAATGGGCACTCATTAAGATACTTTCACACACCCGCGGCAAACGCCTTTCAGAAATTATCCAAGGGCCTTCTGGTAAAGCAAACAGCGCCATAAAGACCGCACAGCCAAAGCAGGAAGTAGAGAGCAGTGACCTGGCGAACGAACTTAAAAAAGCACTAAAAATTAAAGGCAGCGCAGTACAAAAGGAGGTCATCAATAGTATGGATGACATGGTCATTGACAGCCCGTACAAACAGGACAGTGAAAAGGCAGTGGAGGCTGCAAGGGAGGCAGTCAAAAGATACTCGCAAAGACTTTTCGACCTGGGGTGCATTCGGTCTCTTGAGGACTGCGCAGAGATCCTGCAGGCAGTTTCGGCAGAAATAGTCAACAGAGTGCAGCTTAGCATATCCAGAAAAAGAGAGATAAAAGCAACGGAAAAGGCCATTTACAGCCTGGAGAGAGCCCGGGAAGTGATTGAAAGGCGGATGAAGGAAGGCATTCAGTACCTGCACGATATAACTGTCCGGATCATGCAGGACAGCAGAGAGTACAAGAGATCTGCTAAAGCACTTTTGTTGGAGGGCGTGATTGTGCGGATGTACAGCTGGCAGGCTGGGCAGATGGATAATATTGAAATGAGCCTTAAGGCAGGGGATGCAGGAAGCATTGTTGTCTCGATTTTAGTAATTGGCATACAGTCCGTGACTGAGAAAATAGAGCTAGCTGATCTTCTTGTGCTGGACAGCCAGGGCGAGGAGGAAATCTCTGTTGAAACATTAGGAACAGTATTTAGTGTGCAGAAATTGGTGGCCCTCATCAATAAAAAGATACTTCAGTGATTATCGGTTAATAAATATTAATTAGGTAAAGGATTTACGGTTTTTCATTAAAAGATGTAAAAATAAAGAGACAATATTCTATCACACTTTATAGGATGCATGCATCCGCGTCTATCAGATTTAATATTTTCAGACACCAGATATCTGTGCATAATTCATGCAGTCTCGTATAAAGAAGGCACCAGGTACAGCAGGAATATAATAAAGAAAACAAATATATAATAAGACCATGGAAGAAACAAAAAAATAACCAAATGGAAAGGGAGTATTTAAATGCACAAATACACATATAAACAACTATGGGTATTTAGATAGGCATATACTGGCTGTTATATTTAGTCAGATATCCTAGTATTCAGCCTCTCTTGGCAGCATCATAGTCACTAGGCATATTCCAGTTGTAGCCTAAATAGACCATACTGAAGCAGAAAAAACTATCTGAAATATCCAAGAATAACTGAAGATAATAAAATACCCTGTAGGGTGAATAACTTGTAGACAGCCATTTATTCATTGAATAGTCATCTTATAATGAACGCGCACTCATTATAGACTCTGCGCCAGTTTAAATAACTAAATACCAAACTACACATGAACACATCCATCCAGAGCGAATAATTAGCAGATGCACCAGAAACGAACAACCACTTGCTTCTTCATCTGTACTTGTCAGGGATTGGTGAGTTCATGGCACTCCCTGAAATTATCTCACTAATTGCATTATCCACATCCCCATGGTGCTTTATCAGCAGCTTTATGTTTGACCCAACATCCGTAAATCCGCACTCCTTCATGTACTCCACCTGCTTTCTATACTCCAATATAGGATTGAAGTTGTACTTTCCCCAGGGGTTGGGGACAGGCTGACCCGACGGCTTTGCAGTTGCAGAACCTTCCTTGAATGTGGTTCTGTCTCTTTCCTCGGCAAGCATGGCGCTTGGGTCCTTTTGCGTTTTAAGCATCCCCCTGAGCATATTAAAACCACCTGGGATGGTCTCTAGCTTGGCCATTGCTATGTCAAGGTTCTTCATTTGCGTGTTCATGTACTCCGGGTCATCTGCTATCTTTGACATCTGCTCCATCATCTCTGAGCTTTCCATTAGCTTTTTCAGCTCTGGATTCTCGTTTTTCAGCTCTGGCAGCATCTCCAGCAAACCCTTCATTATGTCCGGATTACTGAAGACTTTCTTCATGGCAGGGTCCCTCATTCCAGTATTTTCCACCTCTGGTTTATACACTATATCTATCTCTGTTCCTTCTTTGTCTATCTTGCTAGCATATATGACAGAACCATCAGAGACACCAAGGGAACTGAGAGTCTTTCCCGGGTCATTCAAGGCAGATCCTTTATGGATTAATCGTATCTTGCCCTTATCTATACGTATTCTGTCTGATATTTTCTGCCTAAGAACATCGAGCGTATCATCCAGGGATACCTCAAATTCAATTACTTCTTGCATATATTCCACGACCACCTTGTGCATTCAGAAGAGTAAGCAAGAAAATAACAATAAGAAACAAAAACTATTTATTGGTAATTCCATGGCAACAGAACCCAATTACAATACAGGACCGAAGAGACCAATGAGAGCAGAAAGCTAGCAAAGAAGGAGATGCCCATGCGCCAATAAAAATGCCGGATAGTTCGTTGGCTGAAAATAGAGCCTTCCAAGAAGACTATAGCAAGAAGGAATTTTGAACAAATGAAAATCCATGGTGCGATTTCTCCTTTGGAAGATCGATTTGCCAGATCTTCTTACTTTCTGAAAATGAAATCCGCAAATAGAAATGCGTTAGGCCTTATTGTGCAATATCTCAGGCTAAGATTGAAGGCTCCAAAGTGAAGAGATACAAGTGCATGTACTGTCCTTGCTACTCCATGGCAGGGTGCAGTTTACAAAGAGAGAATAATCACAAATAGCACGCCCTGCTTATTAACAGAATAATTCACTGGATTATTAATCTTATAAGTATTTATTTGTGCTACAACTGGTTTGATATCTCCCTTGCCTCCTGCAGTGCCTCTAGTTTTATTTTTAGTACTTTCCTTCTTTCTTGTATTTTTTCATCTTCCTTCAAAAGATCTTTCATATTTGCCTTTGTGCACAGGCTCTGGATTAGCTTGCTTTGCAGCAGATCCATTGTACTCTGCACTACTTCCGTTATGATTATCTTTGGAACTTGCTCTATCACGCCCATTTTAAAGCTGTCGAGATACTTTGTTATTCTATGCCTTAAAGTGTCTATACATGTGTAGCTACTCGCTCCTGTGTGGTCTTTTTTTTTGCAGCTTACATCAGCAGCCTCTAACTTGTCGCTGCCCTGGACACTAACTAAGCCACTGCTGTGGCAGCTGCTTCCTGCGCACCTGTCATTGCCATGGCACGCACTGCCCTCTCGGATATAGACTGTGTTCCACTTTATATACGCCTTGATTAAGTCACTTGCAGAGCGCACTCTTTCCTTCAAGACCCCCATTGCCACTCGGCTTATTTCTTCCTTTAGGGCGGCAAATCTTCGCAGGGCGGGTACCTCTTCAAGCGCCTCTTCTGCTATGCCTTGCATCTCCATGCATATCTTGGAGCACATGCTGATGCAGTGCGGATATATTTTGTCGCCTGCCAGGTGCATAAAGTGCCGCAGAATTGGCACTCCATTCACGCCAAAGACGCCCGACATGTTATGCAGGATATTCCTTATTTCTTGGTCGCTGGCTGTAAACATTGGGACTTCCTCTATGATCTCTGGGAACAGCACATCCACAGCGTACGATATCTTGGCTCCATTGAGTATTTCCTTTGAGATATTATTGGATCTGTTGTACCCTGATATTCTTAGGTCTATTGCCTGATTAAAGGCTGTAATTGCCTGGATTATTATCTGCTCGTTGCTTTCATTTGAATTTGCCCCTAGGCCATCTAACTCTTGCGACACCTGTGTGATTATGTAGGATATTCTGTCTTGCAAATACGGCGCGCTTTTTCTAATTCTCTCCTGGAGCACTTCGTGCAGCCGGGTCATCAAGTACGGTACTCCGCAATATGCACTGTTTGCACTGTATGCAGGGTGTGCTGAAAAGTACTCTTTTTCCTTGCGAATTGCATGCGGTATGTCTACCATCGCCTGGATATCCTTCTCCCCTCGGCATATCACAGGGACGTACCCTAGCTTAAGGGGAATAATTTTCCCCTGGAGAATTTGCCTTAAGTCTGTCCCTGGGTCCATCAGATCCACCTTTGTAAGAACGCACAGTGTTCTGGTGTAGTCTGGGTCTGCCTCTCGCGCAATCATCAGGGCGTCAGAGCTGGATATGTCTGTTGTGCTGGGCGTGACTGCTAGAATAATTGTGTTTGCATTAGTCACATACGACTTCACTATTTCATGTATCTTTTCTATTATGCCGTCTGGCTGATTTTTTGTCTGCACTTTTATTATTCCAGGCAGGTCTATTAGAGTCAAAGGAAGGGCATTTCTGCTGTAGATGCGCAGTAAAATGGGAATGGCAGACACATCTGTCTTATTTGGCAGGAGCCTATCTGTCTCGTGGGTTATTTCTGCCTCAATTTCGGATGGAGTGAATGTTTTCCCTGGATGGTGCCCGAAAGAGCAGTACGCGTCCTCTTGCGATGGGATTATCTGTATGATAAGGGGCCTTCGGGTTACCATTCCAGTGCCTCTTGGTAGAATTTGGTGTCCTACGATATTTTCAAGTATGCTGCTTTTTCCTGCACTTTGCGACCCCACCACAACAATCTGCGGTATATTGATTGGGTTTTGGATGTGCGTGCAGAGTTCATGTAGTCTATTTACTCTTTCAATTAGCCCCATATACAAAAATATACAAAAATATTAAATAATATTAAAGAGGGTTATTTTGTTAATTATGGCTAGCTTTTTAATATCTTCGCATGAAACCCACATGAGTCGAGTGAGATTTGTGTGCTTGTGTGACTTCTTGTTATATTATTTTGGGTTCTTGCAAAACTACCAAATATCTGGATTTTCCGTGTTTTTGATATTTTGCATTTTTATCAAAACCCTTCACTTTATCATGCTATATATAATTTCTGCAGCCTTTTTATATTTTGCAGGCGTAAAATAGATATGCTCTGGGTGATATTCTGGCTAAAGCAGCATTCTATAGGGCCATTCCCCATGCCCCTCCTATTACCATTCCTATAAGCACTTGGTACACATAGTGGTGCTTATAAAGCACTCTTCCTACGGGAATAAGAATGACAGCTGCACTTAGTGCATAATACTTAGTTCTCCATAATTTGCATATTAAATATCCAGATACAAAGCTGTGGCTGCTGGGCGTGCCTGCATTGCTAAGGTACCTACGCTTTATCTGGGACAGGCTCTGTGGGATGCTGAAGACATCCAGGGCAGGCTGGGTTTTTAGCCGTGTATTTACGTGTGTAGGAAATGCTTTTATGCCGGACATACTGAATAGACTAGGAATTGGCGCACTTTCTGTCCATCCCTTTGGTATAGTGTACTCCTTCACTACTGCAGGTCTGTCTCCATTGAATGGATACTTTGCTAGGACACTCATTATGCAGCACCCGAAATATTTCCAGAAAAAGGCCGTAGAAGATGGAATGGGGTATTTCTTGCTTCTACAGAAGAGCATGCCGTGTATAAACAGAAGAACAAGGATGCCGTATGGCGCTTCTGATGAAATCACGTCCAAAATATCCATATTAATTACAAATTCCATTAGAATATTAATTGCAAATAGTATGCAGAAATGTACACAGTGAATATAGTGGATATTTTCTAATATATTGCTGCATTTATTAAAATGATCGTATTGTGGGTATATTGGGTTATATAAGTGTCATTTTCTTGTAAGTAAATAAGAGCCAAATAGATTGTAAGTTTAGAAAAATACCAGAGAGTGACTTTATTGAAGAACAGTTAAATTCGCGTATATTGGTATAGTACATTCTTTTTCTATACTTGATGGTTAGAGAGTGGTTTCTTCGCATATAAATGCATATCTGCGTTAGTACTGACTATGATGCGCACACTATCTGATATTGTGTGCTTTAAGTGGATCTGTGCATCTTTTTAATCTTTTCCATCTATTGCAAATTTAAAACGTGTTTCTGTATGATTTTATCTTGAATATTTCTGAAGGGTTTCATTTTTTTATTTATATAGGGAAGACTTGAAGCTTCTGGAGAGCTCTTCAATATCTTCTTTGTTGAATTCTGCTGAGTGCATTTCTTGCTTGGTTTTCTTAATGGGCGGTGTGGCAATCACTCTCAACTGTGGTAGAATGTCCTTTTCATCATCGCTTCCAAACAGATCCCTTGTTAGAAGGTTTGCTGTCTCCGAGTCAGGTTTTAGAATGCCTCTCACCGACATATCTTGGAATTGAAGTATTTCCTCTTCTTTCTTCCTAAACCACTCGTCATCTACACTTTGATCAAATGGATTCTCTGGCTGTTCATGAGGCATACCTCCTTCTACTTTTTTATTTTCTTTCGCATGCACTGCTTCTCCCTTGAATATTTCTGAGAAAAATGTCTTCCTTGGGGCTGCTGCAGGGACTTTTTTAGTTGTCTTTTTCTTCGCCTCCTTTGACGGGTCCTGCGGTACCCCGGGATTTCCGTGTATTTCCAGCAGCATTTCTATTCTTTTCTTCTGTGTTTGATACTCTTTCTTTGTGAAGTCTTTTATCTGCGGGGCATCAAACTCGAACATGTCATTATTCTCTTCTGGATACGCGTCTCTTTCCGACATGAAAATTGAAAATATTTATGTTTGCATGGATATTGGCGTAATTGGTCTGGGCGTAATGGGAGAGAACCTAATTGAAAATATTCTGAGCAGGGGGTACACTGTAGGAATATACAACAGAACAGCACATAAGACGCACACTTTCATAAAAAGACTAGGGACAGAAGCAGCCCGTGGGTTTGAGAGTCTGCATGAGATGGTGAGTAGCCTAAAGAGTCCCCGAGTAATTTTAATTATGGTGAAGGCCGGAGAGGCCATCGACCAATTTATGAAGACCCTGCTAGAACAAATTGAACCAAAGGATGTGGTGATTGATGGAGGAAATTCCAACTACCATGACACAGTCAGAAGGTGCGCCCTCTATGAAGGAAAGTGCCTGTTCATAGGGTGCGGGATATCAGGAGGTGAAGAAGGCGCCAGAAATGGGCCTTCTATTATGCCAGGAGGACATGCAGATGGATGGCCAGTTGTCTCAGAGCTGCTGCAAAGTATTTCTGCAATTGGAGTAAACAACAAGCCGTGCTGCAACTGGATTGGTGCATCAGGAAGCGGGCATCTTGTGAAAACAGTGCACAATGGGATAGAATATGCAGAAATGCAAATACTTTCTGACTTCTACCAGATCTTCCGGGGAGAGTTGCAGCCTGACAAGATTCGCAGTATTTTCGAAAGCTGGAGAAGTGAAGGCTCTAATGGATTCCTGATTGATGCGGCTGTGGATATCTTGCAGAAGAAAGAGAATGGCCAGCACATAATTGACTTAATCGTCGATAAGTCAGAGCAGAAGGGCACTGGGAAGTGGACAGCCATTGAGTCAATTAATGAAAATGTCTGTGCGCCTGTAATTGTTGAGGCTGTGAATGCAAGAATTCTGTCGGGAAAGAAAAGTGAAAGGGTTCTTTCTTCTGGGATTCTACCAAGTGGTGCTGATGTAGCAGAGAGCATACTGGATGTGATCACTATAGATGACATGAGAAAGGGATTTATGCTTTGCCGAGCCATCTCATACATCCAAGGCTTGAATTTAATTAAAACCATTTCAGACCAAAACACCTGGAACATCTCACTGAAGCTTCTGTGCGAAGTTTGGAGCAATGGGTGCATAATTAGGAGTGACTTCCTAAAGACACTTTCAAGAATCTCAGAGAGTGAAGTGCTTTTCTCTTCTGCAGAGTTCATTGAGATTGCAAGTGAAGGCATTGCGCCTCTTAGGCAAATAGTAGCACGTGCTGTGCAGATGGGAATAAGCATTCCATGCATTACATCAGCACTCAGCCACTATGACGCCCTCAGAACAAAGGAATCTTCTGGGAATATGATCCAAGCACTGCGAGACTACTTTGGAGCACACACTTTGCAGCTCTCTGGGTCTTCTGAGTACATGCACATCACATGGAAATAAACCAAAGGGATCCTGTAATTTACAGAGCACAGAAACCAGCAGCAAAAGCTAAATTAACTTGTTTTTCACTTTCTGCAAGACACAAAGACACTTTATCCTTAAACAGTCAGAGTACTGCATGACTCAGCAAGACAGCAGAGCACTGTACAGCACTTTTATTCGAAAATAAGATAAAGTATAAATGGCCTCTTCAAGAAAAGTGAAGAGAAGTGAAAGGCACTCCCCTGGCAGGAAAAGAATGAAAATAGGCACAGGCCCATAAAGAACATCAAAGTTTATTCGATCTATTTGTTATCCTGGATATTTCACAAGTAATTTCTTCCAATAAATAGGGCATAACTGCGGTGTGTTTAATTACAATGATATTCAAATGTGCATAGATCCTGGGGCACTTCATAGTCTATAGTGTCCCCTGCAGGCAGTCTCTCATATACAGCAAAATGCCTTTAGAACCCTCTTCCAGAAAGGCTTCTTTTTTACTATTTCTTCATCTAAACTATCATCTGAGACGCTTTCTGTGTACCCCTTAAAGACATGCTCCCATTCAAAAACGCCATCATCCAGTAGGCCGTGGTTCTGCAGGGCGTCATCAAAAAGGCTTGTTAAATACTGGTAGTCTGGCACTGTGTCGAAGTTCAAAGTGTTCACATAGTTGAAATATTCAATCATACTGGCTCCCCCAGGAAGATCTTTTGTGACTTCTTCAAGCTTTAAATTTTTCTTCATTTCCCCGATTATCCGGCACTTCTCCCGCTTTGACTCCTTCAGGCCCTGCCACGGAAGTTTTCCCTTGCACAGGTACAGAATAATGTAGCCAATTGACTCTAAGTCATCCCTTCGGCTGAGCTCATTTCCCTTGTGTGCATTCACTGATGCATACCGCGGGGTGCCTGTGAGTTTCTTTCCTCCGGATGTGGCTATGTGCTGGCCGTATTTTATGAAATCCTTTGCCATCCCCAAGTCAATCAAGTAGATCTTCTTTGGGTCCCTTCCAATGAGGAAGTTATCTGGCTTTAAGTCTCTGTGGACATATCCTATGTCGTGCATTTGCTTTATAAGCTGGATCATTTTCTTCGCCAGAATGAATATTGTCTTTGCACAGAATGTTCTATTCCGGATGGCCAGCATATCCTCAATGCTCATGCCAAGATATTCCATGACTAGATGTCTGTACGCCTCAGACTGTCCAAAGCACTCAATCCTTGGGAACCCTTCTGCCCCATTGAGCTTCTTATATACGGTGTACTCGTTCTCCAGCTGGGAGTATCTTACATCCGATGCTATTTCTATTTTAATCGCCACTTTCTTTGTGCTTTCTATGGCGTGCCCCTCGAATACAATGCCAAAGCTGCCTTGTCCAATCTTCTCACTCAAAATATATCCACCAATTATTTCTCCAGGCTGTGGTAGCTTGTACTCTGGTCTTGCTCTTTTAATTTGCGAGATATGGGAGTCTTCTTTTATTCTTTCTTTTTCTGCCAGATTCTTTGTCTCTTCGATGTTTACCATAATTTAAAAGCTTTTTCTTCCGAGCATTAAAAGACGCACAGAATAATACAAAAAAAATAGCACACAGATTATTCAGCAAATGATAGCTGAGATAACACGAAAACACAAAAACAACAATATAATCAGAAAATAAATTCAGACTCCATGAATATCCCACACAAATCTGAATATCCCGAATAATATATCTTTATCCTCTGCAGAACCCAGGCCTGTCATATTCTAGATGCATAAATATATACAGACGCCCTAGGAGGAAACAAAAAGGAATAGTTGGTTTAATTTTAGATAAACCAGAATGAAGAAAATCTTATAAATTCATGCAGAAAGTGCTATTTATTCTATGCAGTGTAGATATTCCACCAGTCCCCAAATAACTTGTACCCAGGCATGTTCTCTATTGCACCAGAATATCCGTATGTGATTGGGGCAAAGTAAATAAAGCAGGCGGTCACCAGAAGGGCATATGTATATGCAAAGAGCTTTCTTTTCTCTGCAAGGATTGCAATCCCAAGAAGACCGAAGAAGAGACAGGGGAGGTAGTGGTGCAAGTAAAGTATCCTGGTGACCATGAGAAATGGAAGGTAATGGAAGGCCCATCCGCCAAGTAATATGTACATCCTGCCAGACCGCCTTGTATTATACTTATTCAGGGTTTTAATTTTTCTTGTAAGACCCAGCAGGAAATATCCGAAAAGAATGCACAGTGAGAGAGTGCCTGCGTACCACGTGAAAATATTCCCTACCATGGCGAATCTGGGGACTACTCCATCCCATCTGTTCAGTTTCAGCCACTTTTTTGGCAGCAGCCATTCCAATGGAAGTGATCCAAAGGTGTCTTTTCCATCGTCCTTCAGGCTATTATTTGCAGTGTTCATGGAGACATTCAGCTCAACAGCACTTCGAATGAACTCAAAGAAGTTGAGTGCCTTAGGGGGCATGGACTGACTGATGCCTTCATCAGATCTATTCATTTCTATGTTCCAGACAGATCCACTTCCCTTTTCTGGTGTGCACAGAATTTCTCCCTGCTGGTGTCCCCAGGCTGGGAGTTTATTCCCGGTGTATTTAAGGTAGCAGTTATACTGCGTGCTTTTTATGTAAAAGTGTGTGGTTAGTGGGTGGAATGCGTCTTCATTCTGGACTGGCTCAAAGTGGAAGACTGCATTTGAGAGGACTGAATTATTCATCTCTTCATTAGACATGCACATGACTTTCTTTGCATCTTCTGGGATTGCATATTTCTCATGGAGTTCTGTCTCTGGGTCTGAAGATGTTCTGGCATCTATTTCATTTACAGTGAGATAAGTATTTGTCTCTATGTGGTGCATGACTAAGTCTTCATTGCTGTTTACTTTCCCAGCATCTGTGCCTACTTTAAGAATTCTCCAGTGATTGTTGCTGTCTTTATGCGGATACGAAGTCACTTGTTGCCCTCCAATTGGATATCTGTCAATGTGGGAGTGCAAGAGTCCTGTGCCCAATCTATTATTCCGGATGGTCACTTTATTTCCGTACAGCAGGTCAATGTCATTCTCCAGGACCTCATTATTATGGAGGAAGGATTGAAAGCGACTGCTCATTTCACCATCCCCAGGGCCTGATCTGTTAAGAACCCAGAAGTGCACATAGAAGGTAAACATGTACACGCACACAGGAATGACTATTAAGGTGACCGCAAGCCTGTAGAACAAAGAGAAAAAAGCTGTTCTTCTTTTCCGAATTTCCTGCAGGAGAATGTACACAGCAAAAATACCCACGTGTGCAACAGTCAAGAAACCCACCCACTTCACACTCATTGCACAGCCAATCGATACACCTAGGCACACTAGGTCTCCCCCAATGCGCTCAACCCGATGGTTCTGCATGACAATCCTAGCCAGAAAGACTTCTGACAGGCATATGAAAAAGACCAAGAAGGAGTCAAGCAGGATTAGCCTGGAGACACTCACTAAAGCATTTTCAAAGACAAGCCCAAGAGAGACACAAATTGATGCACTCCTCGGTATAAGAAGGGTCCGGAGTATAATGTACCCGCAAACAGGCACAGCAGACCCAAAGAGACAATGGAATATGCGCATTCCCACATAGTCCACATCTTCCGTGTATGCATCCCCACTTGAAAATGCAAATGACTTGTTCATGCCCACAATCCACCCACTCAGTGCAGTAAGAAGCTTGCCCAAGGGAGGGTGTACATCAAAGAAGAACTCCCTGTTCAAGTAGTGCCCTGCAAATTTCCCAAAATGAGCCTCATCCCAAAGAACAAACCCGCCCCTTTCAATCCGGAACATGCGCACAACAAGAGAGACCAAAAAAATGAACACACAGTCCAAATATAAAGAAGATATCTTCTTTTTCTTTCTTGTGTACTTTTCTTGCTCCTGGATCTTTGTAGTTTTGAAGAGCCCTTTCTTCAATCTTTCCACTTCCATTAGGAAACAAACAAATGTCAATCTAAAAATATCCTAATATTTTAATATACTCAGAATGTTCCACAGGATGTATCCTTAAACTATGCGCACTGCACCATGCAAGTCTCCATGGGGCTGTGAATTATTTCTAAAATAAGGTTTTTAGGTGCGGAATACATAAAAATCCTTTTTTAAAATTCTTTAGGTGCCTGCTAAGCAAAAGAGAAAGAGAGTTTCCGGGTAGAAGACCTTGCAGCACCCCAGAGCGCATAAATGGAAATATCAGGGAATATCAGATTGGCAGACGCAGTGTAGACTAGAATAGCGTACAAACTCAATATTGAAGTACATCTGTCATTTTGACAATTATTCTTAATATTCTTTATATTGATTCCCATGGACACACATAACCTGTATTATAGCCGAAATAAAGTTAAATTATTTCAGAATCATGGACACCCATAAGACACATAAGAAAATACATGATATACAGTATATATGCACAAGAGAATCAATTAAGCAAAATCCTTGATTTTCGTGCTGATAGAACATAAGATGAATGCCTTTTAATTTAATACACAAAGGATAAATCATTTCTGATATGTGTGAGTTATTAGTGTATTACTGCTACTGAGGGAAGTATACTAGTTCTGGGTGAAATCCTGCAGAAATATGGTAGATATGTCTAAGTGGGTTTATTCGCATAATGTAATCTATTTAATTACATTATATATTGATTTATTTTGGCTCTTGTATGAAGATTGCAATGATCAGTGATTTCTTTGCGCCTCGTCTGGGGGGTGTTGAGAATCATATACTGAACTTAAGCAAGGAGTTGCATAAGCTAGGGCACACAATCATTATTATAACGAATTCCACATCCGATGTCTGCGGGATACATTATGTAAGCGGATTTAAGACGTACTACTTGAATTTGTTCTCTTTGTTCAGTGGGAGTATTTTTCCTACAATTATATGCAGTGCTGGCCCTATTGTAAGCATACTCCTGGAAGAGAAGGTGGATATAGTGCACGGCCACCAATGCAGCACACTTCCCATTGAAGGCATCCTGCACAGCAAAATACTCGGAATTCCCACGTGCTTCACAAACCACTCTCTTGTAAAAGTACAGTCACTTGGTGGAATAGTCACTGAGACCATGTTCCAATTAGGAGTCAGAACTGCCGACAGAATTATATGTGTCTCTGAGGCCTCAAAGGAAAACACAGCAGAGAGACTTGATATAAGCAGGAACAGAATCACAGTTATCCCGAATGCAGTTACAGAAGAGTTCAAGCCAAATGAGATACAGGAAGATGCAGACACCTACAGAAGAAGTAACCATAAAAAATGCATGGAAAAGAAAGAGTGCACAGAAGAGGAAATAGCGCAGGAGAATAATGTAAATGTGCAGTGCCCAATGAAGGATGCTATAAGCAGCCAGTATGATCTGGATAAGTTTCACAGAATAATTCAAATACGAAAGGAATGTGGTTGGGTCTCTGGGGAGATAGTTATTGCAGTGGTGAGTCGGCTCACTCGCAGAAAAGGCGCTGACCTGCTGGCTTCCCTTCTTCCGTCCATCTGCAAGATAGATGACCGCGTGAGAGTTTTAATTGCAGGTGATGGGGACAAGAAAGAACTTCTTGAGCACACCGTCGAGAAGCACAAGCTAAAGGAAAAAGTGAAATTTCTTGGGGGGGTGCACCCGTCGATTGTAAACAGTGTGCTAAACCAGTCAGACCTATTCTTGAACACTTCACTCACAGACGCCTTCTGCATCTCCATAATAGAAGCTGCTGCATGCGGTCTGTACGTTGTGAGCACGGATGTGGATGGAATATCTGAAGTGCTTCCGAAGGACATGGTGACTCTTGTCCCTCCTGTCTTTCACGGCATCCTTCGGGGAATAGAGTCTGCTCTCCCAAGGATCCGCACGTACGACAAAGTAGTCTCCCATAGAAGAGTGCACTCAATGTATAAATGGTCTTTGGTTGCATCAAAAACAGACCAAGTATACAGAAGCATTTTTCGCAGGAAAGAGACAGCAGCACTGCAGAGAGTGTGGGACAGCCTGCAAGAAATGTATTCTAGACAGTGCGCCAGAGTCTCTATCATTTTCAGTGGGCTTCTGTTGGTAAATTATGTGATTATTTTTACTTTGGTCTTCTTCTATGAAAGTAGAAAAAGACACACGAAAGTTTAACACATCAATGTATAAGTTAACTGGATTTGATCACATCCGGATAAAGCACACCTTGAATGCCCAGACCTTTAAGAGAATCTTTCAGAGATACAAAATAGTAGAGCACTCTGCGTTTACAGAGCTAGTGCTTCATGGAACAGCTGAGGAGCTGGAAAGTGAGCGTAAAAAGATAGAAAAAGTCGTTGTGCAGATGCAAAGAATCATGGCTGCCATGGGAAGAGTGTCTCTAATCTGGGAAGAGGGCGAATCCGTTATCTAGTAATATATCTTGCCCATAGCCCAAGTTTATTTTTCTATTGCAACCGCACGGCATAAATAGAAATAAATAGCATTCTCTAACCAGACACTCCAGTACTTCTGGGAATCACTTTTTAACTGCAGCAAGAATAACTGCCGCTAGTGCATGCTGTACATACAGCTGAAATTACGACAGTTCAGCAAACTTTCATAAAAATGCAATAACGTAAGTGGAAAGTCAAGTGGCATGTTATAAATGAATAGATAAGAATTAGTGTGCTTCTATGCGTGTTTTGTGCAGTTCCAAGGGATTTCTGCATAACCAGATTCTCTCAGTATGCAAATACAAAAGTGCCCGTAATGTTTCTAGTTATGCAGATTATGGTATACAAGAGGGCAGTGGTAGATAAGATAGCAGATAACTTTATGAATTTATGCTGATTATTCTGGTTATATCTGGCTATTTTGATAAGATTCTGTCAGTTACTTTAATCCACCCAGAAACTGTCTTCTACTTGCTAAATAGTGAAATATTAGGAATTCAGGCTATATTTATACTGCAGTAATTTATTTCTGTATTGGGCGAATGTATCTCTCAAAGACACTTTCCACACTGTCTGCAATGATCCCGCATACGCCAAGACGTAGTTGCTCTTCAATTTTTACAAACTCAGAGTTTCCTTTGCCGTATGTTATAAGGGAAAGGCCCTTCTCTCTTATCATCTTTACAATATGAAGATTATTCAAGACCTCCTCTACTTCTGTCACTATCCCAGGCAGTCTCTGGGTCTCAGCATATTTTACACTTTCTTCAGTGAGTTTTTCCACCAAGAACAGCACACTCTGGGTGTGTTTCCTGAGCTCAGTGCAGACTTCCTGGCTGAATGAGCTATACACAATCTCCCTGCCTTTTCCATGCTCTGCTACCACATCCAAAACAGCTTTGCACCATATTTCTGCTGAAATATTCTGCTGCTCGAATTTCACCTCTACATTCAAGCCAATTTCAGTAGAGCACAATAGCTCAGAGAGCAGAAGAACTCCTTGCTGAAGAAGCTCAGATGAATGAATTCTATCGATCTGCATGCCATTCAAGGACAGGTCATGATGCACAAACACCACTTCATCTAGGCTTAACTGCACATCTATCTCAGCCATTTTCAAAAACTTCCCACATGCCAGGATAGCTGCAACTGTATTCTCCCCAAGCGCATGCCCATTTCCCATCCCCCGGTGCCCAATAAACTGCACCTCCCCATAGCTTCGGATTATATCAGGCGTGTGCATCTGCATATCCTCCTTAATACTGCCATTATCGCCTGAATTATCTATATCCCCACAGTCTTTTGTTTTTTCGCATATGACTGCATCTATCTTTTCATTGCTTTTATTACACCCTTCAGTATTGCACATCCAACTTTGATGTTTACACGTAAATTTACTATTTGTAGTGGTTTCATAGCAGAAGCAAGTTCTTTCATCCACACTATTCCCGCAAAATACCATACTCTCATTTTTCTGGATATTATTTTTATCTATGCCGCCATTCTTGCATTCTGTAATTTCTGAGTCATTTGCATTTTTCCCGGGAAGTAATTTCTCCTTGTGTTTATTATGTGGCATTGACAAATATTTTATGTTTGAGCTAATTAAAAGAACGGGAAGAAGTATTGAAATGCTTTCTAAATCGGAAGTGCGGTATATTGGCACACTTTCCGCATACGACGAAGCAAGGGGCACGATTACCCTCTCGAAAGTGCGGTCGTTTGGATCGGAGAACAGGAGTGCGCCCGTGAAGATACACCACGGCACACAAATATACGAATATATTGTATTTAAGCTGGAAAATATACAAAGCATACGGCACAATAACGAGTGGGTCTCCATAATAGACGGCTCCCCAGTGGAAGTTCCTCCGTGCCCAAGTGCTCCCTTGGAAGACCGCACTCCACAGAACTCTCAGGTAATATACGGAACAGGGCCCAGAGAGACAGACGCACTAGAATCCACTTCGCACAAACACAGTAGGAGTTCATTCTACAGGTACAACAAATATTCTGGATTTGGAGCAAATAGAAGCAGAGACAGAGGGTCTTTAACGAAAGGCATTGTAGTGCCAGATGAAGAGTACGACTTCGTACAGAATAACAAAGAGATGGAAAAGAACAGAGAGAAGCACGCTGTAGAGTACAATAATACATATGATCCAGACTTCTTCTTTGACTCTCTGAAGTAAAACAAAGAATGCGCACAGGCAAACAAAACAGCACACGAGAGACGCACAGGAAATATATCTGTAGAAGATACGCCTGTATCAAAGCCATGCGCAAAAGTGCTTTAAAGTGTATCTATTTAAAGAGAAAAAATTTGCCCATGCAAGTTTATGACAGAACAAAAGAAAAGACAACTAAATACGTTTGCCGATGAGCATACAGATGTATCCACTGGGATATTAAACCAGAAACAGGAAGAAAAAGAAGGCGAGAGCGTGCAGAAGATAAAAGAGCAAGCCCTCACTGATGAAATACAGCAGAATGCAGGAGAGCAGGAGAGCGAAGAGGATGAGGAGTTGAACATGGACGAAGTCATTGAACTTCCAAATGAAATACCAACAAACTCCAGTCTTATTGCAGGAGTGCTTGTGGTAGATGAGAAGGGAGGAGAGGCTGATTTGGCAGAATCCTTCGATGCCATGGGCCTGGGAGAAGACATTCTTAAGGGAATCTTCTCTCTTGGCTTTGATAAGCCGTCTCCCATCCAGATGACAGCCATTATCCCCTTGCTTAAAGGAAGGGACTTGAGGGCACAGGCACAGAGTGGAACAGGAAAGACAGCTGCCTTCGGAATTGCATCCCTCCAGTCAGTTGACCAGAGATTAAAGGAGCTGCAGGTTATCATTATGGAGACAACAAGAGAACTTGCCATACAGACATGCTCAGTGCTCCAGGGAATTGGGTCCTCCACAAACATCTGCGTAGAGGCAATCTACGGAGGAGTCAGAATTTCAGAGTCCTTGGATAAAGTAAAGAAGAGACCCCAGATTCTGGTGGGCACCCCAGGAAGACTGCTGCACTTGATAGAAATGAAGCAGCTAAATTTGAATCATGTGAAACTGTTCATTCTTGATGAGGCTGATGAGATGCTTAAGAAGGGCTTTTTGGAGTCCATCAACTTACTGTACAATAAAATACCGAACAAGCAGATTCAGGTGGGTCTGTTCTCGGCTACATGGAGTAAGGAGGAGCAGGAAATCACAGCACAGATTCTTAATGACCCAGTGATCATCTCTCTTAAGGACGAAGATCAGACCTTGAAGGGAATTAAGCAGTACTATGTGAACGTAGGGGACAAGAGAGGAGCCTCTGTGGACATGACTAAGTTTGAAGTACTTTGCGATTTGTACGATAGAGGATCCATCTCCCAGTCTGTCATATTCTGCAACAAGGTGGAGAGAGCCATCAACATTCAGAAGAACATGATAGAAAGAGGATTTGAGTGCGAGATCTTCCACAGTGAACTTCCTCAGGAGGTGCGTAATGATGTCATGAAGAGATTCGCAGAGGGTAAGTGCAGAACCCTCGTCTCCTCAGGACTTCTTGCCCGTGGAGTTGACGTGCAGACACTCAGTGTGGTAATTAACTTTGACGTCCCACAGGAGAAGGAAATAGAGAACTATATTCACAGAATTGGAAGAGCAGGAAGATACGGTAGAAAAGGAACTGCCATTAACCTTGTCTCTGCTGATGACATGGAGATGATCAAGAAGTACGAGAAGCACTACAATACAACAATTATTCCCCTGCCAAGCAACATAGTTGAGTCTCTTTAATAAAGATTAAATTTCAATAAAGCTTTTGGCAAAATCACCGCCTACTTTCCCTAAACAAGATGGAATATTTATTCTATTACATGTGCGATGCATTTGCTACTTCCCGGTGGCTGTCATTCTGCAGGTCCTTCAGGATGCTTTCCTTTTCTTCAAGTATCCCTTGGGACACCATCTTTGCCACAGTCAGGCGCACTTGCGGGATTGCATCCACAGCAAGGTCTGCCAGATTTCTTGCCAGAAGTTTTTGCACGCGGCGCGGCCAGAGGGTCTGCAGAACCCGGCCCAAGGCAGTGGCATATGCAATCCTGTGGGCATAGTGTGTGCTGCCCTTCAGGAACTCCAGAGACGCAAGCATCTCGTTGCAGACCCAGCTGGCCCCAAAGCTAATTGATATTTCAGCAAGAATTGTGGCTGCCTCCTTTCTGACAAGCCATATTGGATCAACAAACATCCTGAAGAAAGGCTCCTTCAGATACTCATAGAAGTACTGCTTGTCCATCTGCCGGGAGAGTGAAGAGATGCTTTTCAAAACAGCAGTGCGTGTCCTCCAGTCAGCACTCTTTAAGTCGTTTATCACAGGGCTCAGGGCGTCTGTAATGGCACCTGCCCCAAGCTTCTTGTAAAGTGTCTTTAGCTTGCTGATGGTTTCTATCTTTGTATTCTGGTCTTCATCTGCTAGAAGTCTTTTGATGATTGGGGAGACAAAGAGCTCCATGTCTTCCTTTGTTATGATTTCAGAGACAGCTGAAAGTATTCCTGGGACTATTTCCCTTACATCTGGGGACCTGTCGCACGAGGCTCTGTCTATGATGTAGAGAATTTTATTCTTTGTCTGCGGTGCCTCCTTTAATATTTCTGGCGTTCTTTTAATAATGCTTTTCCTGACTTCGTCCTCTCTGTCATCAACTAGCCTGTCAATGCACTTTAAGACTGCTGCATTTTTGTCCTGCAGAAGTTGCTCGCTGTCTGGGGCACTTTCTTCTGATGGGCGGTGCTGGTCTGTTAGCTCTGAAAACCCACTTATTCTGTGCCTCTGCGGGTATGCTGGGGGAATATGCCGTACAGTCTGTGAATAATCTGCATGGACCTCGTTCATATGCAGTATCACATCCTTGATAATCTGCGTGGAGCTGCTTCTGACTTTCCAGCTGTTGTCAGTAGATGCTATTTTGAAGGCGTTCATGGTAAACTGCGAGTTTTCTTGTGTTTTGTCCAGAAGCAGCAGCGGGTAGATGAAAAAGCTTCTCACTGTGTCATCTGTGTCTAGCAAGGCTACATCCACAATCTGCTTAATCTCTGGCTCAGTGCAGAAATACAAAATGATCTCCCCGGATGAAAAACACTTTCTTCTTACAATTGGAAGCGGGTCTACTTGAAGTGCCTTGAAAAGGTCTTTTAGCTTCCTGAGGTGAATATTACTCGGTACTTCTACTAGAAACTTTCTGAGTAGAGAAATGGCAGATATTCTGTGCATCACAAATTTACTTCCCCCTAGACGGCATATAAACTCTTCTATGCCGTATATCTCATGGTCCACTCTTCCTTCTCTCCCTAATAATACACCTTCTATGAGGGAATTTGTAGCTAGCTCTCGGATCCTGTCATCTCGTGTCAGAAATATTTCCTTGTACAGCGTGTACAGTGGCTTTATTTCCTGCAGTATTTCCTTTGCTATTCGCTCTAGCTGCCTAACAATAGGCACCTTGGACTCTTCATTTGTGTCTAGAATGGTTTTCACAAATGGAATTAAATACTGCACTGTGTATATAGATCCAATCTCCTTGGATATTTTGTATAAGCTATTGATACTTTCCTCCCTTAGCTTTGCATTTGATGACTGCATTTTCTCGATTTCCTTCTCAATTTCATCGTAGCTTACAGTATCTCTTGGCATAACACCCCACAAAATAAAAATAGAAAATATACGCATGGGTATTATTTCTGGAGAAGTTGTGCAGAGAGAGGTGGCTGGTGGGATTGGGTGGTCAATGTGCCAGAATGAAAAAGTGTTGTGCCTTGGGATGGAGGGTGATTTAATTATATACGACTTGGCGAGTTTGCAAGTAATGAAAAAAATAGAAACAAGAAGTGACCCACAGCGCACTCTATGCATGGTGGAGCACAAAGGGGAAAATATTGCAAAACCAGAAGAGAATAATAATATCACGGAGGAGAACATAAAAAGCAGTTTACAGGAAAGTACAGATGATATGCCGTATAGTGTTGATAGAAGGCATGATGGTGAAGTGATCAGAAGATGTGAGTTTATGGGGAAGAGTGATATCCTGGGAGTGGGATATTTCAGTGGAGTCTGTGATATTATAAATACATCAACTGGAGAGGCACTTGACCGGCTGGAAGGGGATGACACAGAGGTGAAGAGTGTTGCATTCAGTGAGTGTGGTAGATTTGGGTTCAGCACAAGGCAGGGAAGTCTCTGGGTCTGGGCACTGAATGATGAAGCCACCTGGGAAATAGAGGAGATCATTGAGTACAGTGAGAATGATGTGAAGAGCATACTGTGGCACAGGAATAGCCTGATTTCAGTTGGGTATAGCAATGAGATTGTTGTGTACAGCAGGTGGGAGGACGATATATGCGATGTAAAGTGGGAGATACAGAGTATATTTAAGGCAGATGCATGCGTCTGGGATATTGCAGTTGTAGATGGAGATACTTCTTACATGGCAGCTGTAACACAGAGCGGTCTCCTGAAGATACTCACAAAAAGTGGCGAAGCTGCATGGGAAGAGGCCTCAGAGCATAAAGTGTCTGAGTACCCAATTATATCCGTGTGCTGTGGAGTGGGTGATGGAAAGGCATGTTTTGCAATGATCGTAGACAGACGCCGTCTGGCTCTTTACGCCATGGATGGTTCTCTGATTGAAGAGACTCCTCTTCTAACAGAGTATGATGAGCCTGTGGACATACTTTTCTCAAAGGAAACTTCTTCATTTATAGTTCTCTCCTACCAAATCAAGTGCCAAATGAAGAGCACCATTATTAGGTGCATCAAAGTGTAATTTTCTCTTTTACTAAGATTCCCTGTACAGTGCATAGTGCACTATCTAGTAGTCATCTACATGAATATTAGATTTACAGAAAATTAAAATATATCCAAATATTTCTATTTTAAAGTTGTCTCTGAACACTTTTTGCAAAAAATATCAAGAAAATAAATCAGAATAAATTTACTTTTATGAAGACCCCTAAGAAAATTGATTTCTCATTGGATAAATCATAGTCATATGCATGTACACTGATTTTCTCTAGAATGAGATAATTATCTCCGAATATAGTACCCCTTCTTAATTAATATTATTTCTGCCATAAAATAATAAGACTCTGCATTTATTAAACTTTTCTATTCTGTGTGCACTCAAGAATAAATTTGCAAATATTCAAGAAGAAATGCATAAATTCCACTTTGGAGATATGTGCAAGTGCAGAGCATAAAAGACAATGACTATCTTCTAGACACATTTTAATTCCGTGATGCAGAGGTATTTGGTTCAGTGACTGTTATGGCTTCGTACTCATGCATGAATTCATTAATGGCAATAAGCGAAATAGCCCATATCCTGGTTATAGAAGGCAAGTTAGTGCGCACGTGCAAGTTAATATATGGTCTGTCACCACCATCTATTCTTTCTACTTCTACGTTGTACTTCTTAATTCTGTACCAGATATAGTGATAGTTCTCAAAATATGTCCACATGTTGCCTGTTCCATCATCTTCTACTGCGGATACTAGCGTGAATGCAGAAAGCATATCCAAAACTATCTCTCTGTAGTCTCCTTGAATGTGTGGCAGCAAGTCTGTATTCCTGCAGTATGTGCACGAAACCAGCTTATTCTTGTGGTTTGCAGGCAGGCCAGATACATGCCTTCCAATGTGGTTTGCATTTCTCTCACTGTAGGATACATCTGTGTTGTAGCTAAGCGAGCTAATTAAGTGGCTTATTCTCTCTTTGCCTGGGCAGTCCTCCTGGACTACAATCCTTTGCAAGGCCACCAGTGGTCTAGTTGCGCCCTGGAATCTTCCGTTGTTCATAATGTACTCTGCCATTAGAACATCAAGCATCCACTCAAAGGTGCCTTCTTTTCCAAAGCGTTCCATGTCATTTTGGCTGCAGTTGTTTCCATTAATATCACACTCCAGTCTCAAGGGACTCTTTTGTATCTCTGCTAGTTCGCACTTTAAATTCTTGCTGTTTTCTGGGTTTTTGTATGCTTCCGACAAGAATCCAAGTATTTCCTCTCTGTTTTCCATGCGGGCTGGTAGTAGGTAGTGTAAATTATTCTCTAGGATTTCTGAGACTGAGAGATCTGGTTCAATGCGGCACTGATTTACCAAGTTCTGTATAAAGGTCTCTGGTCCATCAATGGATCTAAGAATGGGCGCTGCACTGTACAAAACCTCACGCACTTTATTTTCATTGCAAATAATTTCATTGCGGTTCATTCTAACAAACTTGTCAAGCACCCTAGAAGGAACTGAGTAATTATTTCTTGAAAGTATGGATAATTTCATAGTGTTGTACTCGCTGTTTATGGTGAACCCACTCTTCTTCTCATCATTCATTTTCATCATAATTTGAAAGAGCTCGTCCTTTATGTCTGCTGTCTCTTCCTGGATTTTCTTCTTTATCCTGCTGAACTCCTTTATTTCCTCCTTCTCCAGCTCGCGGATTCGCATCAGGTTGTAGTCAATCTGTGCCTCAATGTCTCTGTAAAAAGCACTTGATTTAAGTGTGGTTTGGTATCTGAGGGAAATGAATTCTTTTCTTCTTGCGGATATGTCGCTTATAGATTTCTCAAGTGGGGCACAAAGTGCAACGGCAATCATGCACGAAATACCTGCTACTTTTAATATATGATATTTTAGAGCCATTCTGTCAGGGGATAAAAAATAAAGAAACAGGTATTTTTGCCTAAAGTAGAAATATACTGTATATGGACATACACCAACTGCCATAACTGAACATTAAGCATAAAATAGATATTATATTTTTGTCTATTGAGATATGTGTATGTACCATATTTCTATTCAGGAATGCACTAGTGTTGGCGTGTGCATTGCATTACAGCTCAATCAACTATTCGGGACATACATGCCTGTAACTGCTTTTCCATGCAAAAATGAATTTTAGTTTTCAGGAAGTTAATATTTAAGCTAAGATGGTGCGCAGGCAGCATAAGCTGGTCCTTTGCACAAGTACATCTTAGACAGATAGAGCACACTGCAGTTGCATAGTGTGTGCACAGCAAGAATATTTTCGCGCAAAAGACAAAAACACTTCAGAGCATGAAAGAAAAAAATATCCACAGGGCTACATAGCTATATAAAGATGCAGTGAATGTGGACCCAAATAACAATAATAGAAAATATAGATTCGGGCTGATTAAGGCAGTGCCCTTTCCTTGTGCAGTATAGTATTGTGTGGTTGCAGGGTGGCTGGTTTAGCAGGAGGTGTTTGAGGGATACTGTGCGAAGATGTTTAACACAAAAACTTTGTAGCCAGCTACAAATTTATTTAATGGCAACTAAACTGAATTTTGGGATGGTTTCTGAGTCTTTTGTCTTCCTTTTCTGTGTGGTCCATATCTTGACCTTTTTGGGGTGTAGGGATGCGCTACTGAGACTTCTACTTCCGTGCTCAGAGCGCCTTCCTGTTTTATAACCTCAATCTGGCCAAGTGCGATGTTCCTCTGCGACTCCGTCTCAAACTCCAAAAAGGCGTACTTCTTTTCGCTTTTCGCGGAAGTCTTGACAATAACGCCTTTAGAGTGCACCTTTTTAACCAACTCAGAGAGACTTTCCTCAGTCACCCCCAAAGACAGATTGCCAAGAAAAACCTTATACTTGTGGTTTGAATGCTCTGACTGCTCCTCCTTTGGGGCTGGCTTCCCAATAGATTCCAGATACATTAAAACACGCAGGCCCTGTATTTGAAGGTCCCCAGATGCCACAGTGCTTGCGTCCTCTTCTTTACTATATTCAACAAGAACTTTTTTCTCTTCTGTGGCATCCTCCGGGCTAGATTTACTATGTAATTTTACTGCAAGACTTAGGTTAGATATCATACTTACATTTTCCTCATGTTCAGAAACACGAACCAATTTTATAATCACATAACTTACATTTCACCTGTATTCCTTAGCGAGTCTACAATATCAAATATTGTAAATGACTTTGGAATATCCTCAATAATTATTGTTTTGCACGATTTACTACTTGGCATTGCAAGGGGTATAAAAAAATAAATATTTATAGTTTTCCAGGCAGATTCCTAAAAAAAAGAAACTGTTTTGGCATGTGAAAACCATAAATGTATATAACTCCCTACTAGTAGCTGAAATTAAAGTGCAAACTGCCTGGCACTGTGAATTTACTTAGATTATTTCTGATATATCACACCGTTTTATGTGTACTTGTATATGCAAATGCACATAGTGGCAATTTACAGCATGCGAGTGCACTATTCTTATTTCTGTGTGTCTGTTGTATGGCTTGACTTGAGTTCTATTCAAGTGATTCTGAATGTGTACAGAGTAAATTGCATATTCTCTAGGATATTTGCAGCACATCTATAATATGCTCCTTACTAATGTATTTAGTTCTTTATTCATACGGTGCGCTTATAGCTTATTTCTCCACTAATTATTCATCGTCCGATAAATTTGATATTTTAAGTTATATATTGGCTGTCTTCATGCATTGTGTTATTTTTGAATATCTTTGTAAGTTTCATGCAGCTTGAAATTATAAACTAATTCGGGTTATTCAAGAAAGTAAGGTTATAAAGACAATATTTACTGCAAACAGCACTTACTGTGTGCCTCTACAGATTAAGTCACTTACAAGAATATTTGTATTTATTATGCAGTTTATGGCACTTTTTTGGTCTCTTCTATTTAATACAAAGAGCATCCTTAAGCGTACTCTGTAAATCCCTATATCGCATGGACCCGCTGAAGGACCAGTATAAGATATCTCCCGTTCTGTCTTTGTTTGTTTCCCCACCAATGTTCTTTGTGTGGGTTATTACCATTCTTGCAGATGCTGCCTGGCTCTCTTCCTCTGTTGGGTCGTATAGGCAGTTTCCATTTACAACCGCACAGGAGACAGTCGTAGGATAGAACTGCACAAGGTCCTTTATGCTTTTGGAAATTCTGTGTGGCTTGTTCTGGTGGTATATCTCCTCCTCCACAGTAATCCCCATGAGTGTCTTGTATATTCCTTCTGTGAGTATCTCTAATATACCGCCTTTGTCATGGAATACAGAAATGTCAAGTTTTATGCTAATTACAGCCACCTTCGGAATAATTGACAGCGTCTCCAAGGGAAGTATTTTCGACCGGTTGAATATTTTATCTAGTTCCTGTTGTATATACTTTTCATTGCAGTGTATTGTGAGAATGCCTTGCTTAGGCTTCTCTTGCTGTGGTCTTTTGATCTCGACAGCACAGTATATCATGGCAGCTGACGAATAGAATATATTCTTCCCCAGGGCCAGATACTTTCGCAAAAGCATTCCTTCGTTTCCAGCAGCCACACTAATAGATCTCTCCTGGTTTGTGTCCCTTCCATCTGTTCTGCTGCTTATACCTGGGGTGCCCGTTATTTTCTCTCTATTAATTGTGTAGTGCAAAGTGTTATTATCCCAACCGCAAGTGCTTCCATTTTGCACACCACCAGAGGCATCAGACTCTCTTCTGCCACTTTGCTCGCGTGCAGTGCCGTGCCCCTTTTCACATGTATTTTCACTTGTTTCTTTGTAATACATTGTATAAATATTTACTAAAATTATTTTATTTTTCTACATGGAGTGCCGGCGTATCAATACAACAGTCATTTCGTTTGATTATTCAAATTCTGACACGTTGAAGAGAAATCAGTTCCTGACTGTGATAAACTGCAAATTACCTGGAAACCAAGAAGATCTAAGCAATATATTCAGAGCCACCAATAATAACCACTTCTACTACGGGGCTGTCACAGATAGAAATACTGTTATTTGGTTTAATGTGTTCAGTTCTGCCTCCTTCCTAAAGGAGTACACGCTCTCTGTCACAGACAAAGCCACAAATATTGCGCAAATCGTAAATAACCCAAATGACAAGATCATACGCCCAATAGAAACAGAAGAGACAGAAGGATCGTACCCTCTGACAAGCAAATCCAAAATAATCTTCACAAAAAAGTACATCATCATTGACACATCAAGTAAGATAATAATCTACGATGCAAATGGCACATACCATTCAGATATTGACATGGGACTGGATAGTACATCCTCAATGTATGCCTCCCTCTGCAGCAAATACCTCTTCCTGCACCTGGAGAAGGGAATGATTTGCTTATATGACATTAATGAAAAGGTCTTTGTTTATAGAAAGAGGCACCCAATAGGCACATCTTCTGTATTTGGGAATGTATTTTCGTACCTCAGATATTTCACTATTTCCAAGAACACACTTACCCTTGGAAGAGTCAGAGATGGCAGCATTCTTCTGGAGCTAACATACCCAGAGGAGCTCACTACAGCAGCCACTGACATTCTGCACAAGAAGATTGCAGTCGGGTCTGTCTCTGGGTGTGTTTATTTTACGCGCCTGGATGGCATCCCGTGCGAGTTTTCTTCAGTGAAAGTGTCAGATGCTAAGATACAACAGTGCTTCTTCTCAAACTCAGGAAGACATATTTTTGCCTTGGTGGAGGGCCAGATTAAGGTGATTGACACGAAGGACGGGAAGGTTGTGAAGGCTATTCTGAACGAATCCAGCCAGCATATGTTTACATATACAAGCAGTAGTAATTTGCATTTCCAATAAAAAAATAATGCAGGGAGAGTGTTTACAGCTGAAGCTGCTCATAATTGGAGAAAGTAACGTGGGAAAGACCTCGATCCTCCAAAGATTCATTGATAACAAGTTTGAAAAGACGTTCTCAACCACAATAGGAATAGATTTCAGGTCTAAGGCCATAAAAGTCGATGGAAAGGAAATTGAGCTGCAAATATGGGACACAGCAGGACAAGAGAGATTCTTCTCAATTACAAGAAGCTATTACAGAGGCTCAGATGGAATATTTCTGACCTTTGACCTGACCTCAGAGAGCTCCTTTGCCTCCCTCACTAAGTGGATTGGGGAAATAAAGGAAAAGGTCGATGAGAAAGTCCCTGTTTTCTTGCTGGGAAACAAGAAGGACCTGCTGAAGGGCTCAGAAAGTGAAATAAACCTGCTGGCCACTGTGAGCAGAATAAAGGAGATATCTGAAGAGCTGAAGGTGCCTTGGTACAGCACAAGCGCAAAGAGTGGAGAGAACATTGAAGAAATATTTATGGATATGGCACGCACAATTCTTCATAACAAAGGTAGCTCTATTAAGAAGCCATCCAAGAAAAAGGGATTTAAGATGTCAAAGGTCAAAGTGAGTGACATGTTTTGGTGTTTCAAATTTAAATAAAACAGTTACTTTTTGTTATTTTTTTCTATAAAAGAATTTATTTTTTTAACCCATGGGTAAAATCTAACACTAGTTAGTCTTCATTAGCATAAGAAATTAGTCATCTGATTTTGCTACGTTCCAATGAAGTACATAAATATTACTCTGGGTGAGAGATCTATTAATATACGCATCCCTCAATAAGAGTCAATAACATTTTAATCTTAACATCCTACGATAAAGACAAAGCACATAAAGCACTTTGCATTAATAAAATTACAATTACATGGCACTTAATAAAAAAGGACTAGAAATAAGTGCATAAAGAAGGAGGCTGGCTTAGTAGCAAAGTACAAAGGAAATGGACTATACTTGGGCAGTCTAAAAATGCGGGCTGTAATGGCTGAGGGCATATGGCTGCATGCAGGAGAGTGTTCTGGCAATACTCCTATAGCATATATAAAGGCATGCGGCTTGAGTGGAATGCACAGAGAAGAGCACGAGTATTCAGGACATAATTATAAGCAGGTTATTGGTCATGCATATTACTTGATAAAAATACTTTTATTCTATTGTATGGTGCGTACTGCGAATGGAACAGCAAGAAGAGTTTGAAGTCAGCTGGGGTGCTCAGGCAGATATTAAGAAAAAGGAGGAAATTATTTCTTGTTCTTTTCTGCCTTTTTGAGGCATTTCTTAAGATATCTCTGGGAGCCTTTGGAAAGTGTGACTTCTTTCTTCTGCTTGTTCTTCTGCTGGCACATCTCGCGGTGTCTCTTGCTAATTTCCTCCATGGTCAAGGGAAGAGAAGACGGGCTTCCTGTGGCTTCTGCTTGCTGGGTGGTGCTTTCTGGAAGAGTATTCACTGCGGCCTCTGTGATCTGGGTAGATGGCTCACTTGGTGTGCTCTCCAAAGTGCCTGCCACAACATCTGCTGATTCTACTGCGCACACGACAGGCACGGGAAGCTTGCATGAAATGTCCTCAGAGACAGGCGCCTCAAATACTACAGCGGGCTTTTCCTTAAAGATTATAAGAGCCTCTGTGGTGTTCTCCTGAATAGGTAGCTGAACAATGGAAACATCTGAGTGGAGTGCGTCAATTAGAGGCTTGCAGGCCTTTATAAGGGTCACTTGTCTGTTCTCAAGTAAGAGAGTGAATAATCCTTCTGGCCTTGTCTTCCATAGGTTAAAGTTCTCCTGAAGACAGGCACATGCATTTGGAATGGACTCAAGTTCTGCTAGGAATGAACCAATGCATACCTGCACTTCAATGATGCTGCACAGAAACGAGAATGAGTATGCGAGGACGTTCTTCTCCTGTGACAAGAAATATTCATTCTTTACGGTGCTTGCAGCCTGATTGAGAAGCCATTGTCTTCTTAGAAAGAGGTCTACTAGGAGATCTTCAATTGTTCTGTATTGTTTCTCGAGTCTGCAGTTTATCCCAGATAGAAGTAAAGCAATGGAAATTTCACTTGCATATGCAGGTGTTAGCTCTGCAACTCTAAGCAGTGAGTTTTGTATGTCACATAAGGTGGACAAAATGAATTGCATCTCCATCCAGTTCAAGCAGTATGCCTTGAAGATGGCCCATGTGTAGAGACCTGCAAGATATTCACTTATTCCCAGTGCTACCGCGGATCTTTGTACGTCCAATGCTGGGGCCGCGCTAGACCTTCTTCTGCCAACGCACGGGAAAACTCTTCTAGCTGCTCTTGCTGCAATCCTCTTTACTTTCTTTGTGGACCTACCGACTGTAGACCTGACTTTGTGTGGAATTACATTGCGAACCATTCTGTATCCCTTTTTTACTATGGAGGATGTTCCCTTCACTGCAAATGTGGCGCCTTTGGCAACCTTCTTAGCAGCTATTATTGGACCCTTCCAAATAAAGCTAGTAACTGCTTGAATACGAGATCTTGATTCCCTTCTTGCTGTGCTGCTCGTCTCCTGTATGTTTTCTATTTTCATTATGATGTCAACAAACAAACCCTTATTTTATGCATGATTTCAAAACAATCCCGTGTTTACGTGTTTTAGGTTCTTATGCAGGGTCTAAAAGTTTGTTTATCCAAGAAAAAATGAAAATATGCAGCAGTGATATATCACAGATCACACCTCTGAGTCACTCCATACAGGTGCGAACACATTTGGCATGCACATCCATTCCTATATCTTTATTATTAATTGTTTATTTTCATGTAACCCTAAATACTAAAACACTTCATTAATTAAAACCTTAATTTGTTTCAGACCTGCTCTATGTATTCATTCTAGAATGAATTCTTTTCTGCACGTGAATTCCTGCAAAGTGTGCCTCTAGTAGCATAATTATACAATAAAGTGTTTGCTAAAGCAAGGCCCTATGCAGCAATACATAAAAATGTCTCTTAACCCATGGAAGACAAGCCAGTAATTATTTAAAAGACTTGAGTGGGTAGTGAATATTTGTCTAGTATTTTAGTACCTTTAAGAAAAAAGCTGTGCTTAAGTTACTTCTAGCATTTTATTTAAATTGCCGCATCTACTGTAAATTCGATTGGTTTACTAGAATTTGCATATCACTCACTTTATCTGGTGTAGAAGAAATAGTGTCAAATATACTTAAATGTTTTAGAATATCACATGGTATGTAGTCTACCATTTGCGATTTAATTTCATTCTTTAAAGCATCCGAATATTTTTTGTCCTGTTTGATATAATGGGCCCATACAGAATATAATATATTCCCTAGCATATGTCCATGCAAGTCATCATATTTGTGTAAGGTTTGTATAATACTCTGCGCATGCACTGTATTATTGTCCTTAAATATGGCTTGGATGAACCTCTTGCAGTACTTGGAATGCAGCAGCAAGGAAGCACCAGAAATAACAGAGCCCTTTCTTTCTTCTATGTATGAATTAATGCCTTGGACTATTTCCTCCGGGGTCTCGCTCAGTAGGATCACTTCTGCACGAGATTCCAGCAAGAGCGCACTCTGTCTTATTTGCACCCAGAAAATGCTAGGCAAAGATATTTTATTGTATAGACTAGACTGGCCTGCGTAGGATATGCTTGGGAATATTCTTCTATGGACTATTGCAGGCTCGAAGTACATATATCCTATTATGTTGGAAATAAACCGAATCACTGGGTGGTCACTTGTCATTTCGCATCTGTATGTATAGGATACAATACAGGCCATCAGCCTAGATAGATTCTCTCGCAGAAGATTTGGGGTTAAAACCAAAAGCAAAGCATTAATATTATTGAATTCTTCCTTGTCCGCTCTTTTGACTGCACGCATTATTAAAGACTTCGTCTTCTCAGATCTATCAACTACGAAGTTGTCCAGTGTGGTTCTAATATAATGACCTACTAGGTGATCTATGAAATTATTATGTTCTTTCAAAAATTTCTTAGAATCTTGAAATACCTGAGCTATATCATCCTGTGCCTTAATGCTGTAAGACTTCTCTATCCTGAAAGAGGTGTGTGCGGGGCCAACACCCAAAAACATAGTGGAATAGATTAATTTGGTATTGCTGTAACTAATACTTATGTTCCCAAATAAATCTATTTCTTCTTTAGAATTCTCTCTAATGCCCTTAGTGACTGAACAAAATAAAACATCTACATAATCATTAGAAGACAGAGAGGAAATTATTTTCTTCATTAAAATTGCTAATTCTGCAAGTATGTGATCTATAGGGACTTCTTTTTTGTATAATGCTATCTCTACTGCCATAATACGATACACATCTTCTTCTAGACGTCCACCTAGTGCACTAATTGCATAGAGCAAGTTTATGATTCCTCCAGATATATCCTTTTCATTCTTTGTATATTTAACGCATGGATTTTTCGTTTTTAAAATAACTTTCCCCCAGTCATCCATCATGGCTTCACTAGTGAACTCTCTAACAGACCTGTACTTTGTGAAGAAATCTAAAAGTGCAGAAGGTGCATTTGGAATATGCGAAGTATCGTAGGATTTTTGAGAAATGCTGTACATCATGCACTTGAACATCGAAAGCAGGAGATATTCTGTTTTTAAGGCCAAAGGAATATTCTTTCCTTTTTTCTTAGAATAGTCCTCTCTCTTTATTATATTTTTATTGTAAATGAATGTAGAGTTGTCTAAAACATGGAAAGGAGTCCTATTATGCAGTTCCTTAATCCTCCGAACATCACACAGAATTCTTGCGTAATCATAGACTTTGCTTAAATTGTACTTGTTGTCTGGCAAAAAGCATCTGCAGTACATTTTTATGGTGCTTTCCATCGCCTCTTTATGAATCCTTTTATGCATGTACAGATTAGCATGGTCGCGCAGAATACTGTGCACAGCAGTTATAAACTCAGCGGCCTCCTTTATACTATTCATAATCTCGAAAAGATACATCTGTATCATAAACTGCTTGCTGCTCATGAAGTGCCCGCATTCAAATTCATACAAGGTCTTTGGTTCTCTATAGTAGCTGGGATTTTTCTCTGAATAAAAGTTCTTGTACTTAATGAAAAAAGAAATCACTTCTTCTGGCACGCATACTAAGATGTTATCGTTTGTCTCTTTTTCTACTTTCCTTATGTAATTCGTTATGGAAATTGAAAAGCATAAATTCTTTCCATCCGCATACCATAGTATAAGATCTACCTCAGAGGTCTGCTCGTTTCTATGGAGTTCAAGCGGCACATCAAATCCTTCAGAGAGAAGAACCATAGCAGCTAGAATGTAGCTAGCATGCGGTTTTACCTCTGAACAATTCAAGAACCTATAGAATGAATCTCCTTTTAGCGTCTTGGCAATAACATGCACATCGTACTGGTAAAATAGCTTGATAAATATGTTGTGGTAGTCTTTCATGTATGTACTTTCTACGTCCACTGGATCTATATAGTCTTCTGGAAAAAGAAGATGCATATATGTTGGTGCATGTGAATATGCTGCATCCATATGGACACTTCTATCAAATTTATGTTTAATTTCTTCCACGCAGGTAGGAATGTATGAATATAGCTTGTAGTCTATATCTATCTCCGGTGAGAAAAGCCTTTTACTGTACATATACCCATTTCTATTGTATATGTACCCGCGCATGAGGTTTAAAGGCCCTGCTGGATTTATTATATCTGAGCTTTCACCATTTATAAATCTAATCTTGTGCATTCTGGTTATCTCTTCGATTTCAAACTGCGTAAATACTTTGTGGAATGCCAATATCCACAGCATTAGATATACCATGGGTTTCTTCCTTTGTATATCGTGCTTTTTAAAGAATACTGCGTATTCCAGCGTTATTGTCTTTTTCTTCTTATCTGGTGCAGTCATAGATAATTTCTAAAATATTTTTAGCACTTTTTACTGTACATGCCATATTTCTGATATAAATAACTCTAGATGAATTTTTGAAGCGTACTGGTATGTACAAAGACATAATTGTATGAAAGAACAAAGTGCTATACACAAAGAAAAATGCCTTTATGTAATAGAGTTGGCGTACCTCTGGAGCTTTCTTGTTGTTGTATGCATTGCATGCTCTGTGCTGCATCTGAGGATATATATGCTACTGGCAGCAACCGCAAATAATGGTGTTGGTTAGTGCAGCAAGCCATTAGCTAATTAGTTTTTTTTATTCTGATAAATATGATAAAGTTAAATTAAGCATAGACTATTTAAAGAGCTGAGTTTTTGAATAAATGCTAAAGTTTAAGAATGGCTCTGTAGTCAAGTATAGAAGCCCTAAAATAACTGGATAGCAATAGAAAAAGCTTTGTCACTTCAAAATTACACCTTGGATATAAAACCAATAAAATTCTCTGAAAAGACAAAACACGAGAACATTAGAGACATGCCTAAACAAGAGTACTTGCCAGAAATATTTTACTATGAAAATAAAGCTGTCAACTTAACATTTGGGTTATAATGAGCTACTATCTGCATAATATGGCACCCTACCCACTATGGCATGCTAGTGTATATGATTTTGGATATTTAAAAATAGCTTCATGCACATATACCTGCATGTACTTTTTCTTTCTAAACTACCCCCAAGAAAATATAAAGTGTCTCTAACATATTACTATTACTTAAATTGATTTATTGTTGTTCTAATGCTAGAGCACTTCAAGCTGATATATCTGGGCTATACATGCCTCGTGTGCTATGTATTGATCTTTCCTTTGGTTCGGATTATACGATGCAGCACATTCCTGTTAATACGCATATATTCGTTTTATTAGCTTTCTACTACTCTAGTAAAATTGCATGTATATTGTTCTTCTCTTTCAAGAACAGCATATTGTCTGCATATACAACCTGCTCATTTTGTGTAAAACTAATTTCCTCATAGACGCTTTTCTTTGCATATATCATTTTTATCTTCTTCTTTGAGACTTTCATGGTGATTGACTTCAAGTTTATCACTGTTTCTCCAGTTACCATGCTATTTACATGCTCTTTCTTTTTTGTTGGCTCTTTCAATATAGACCGGATAATTGGCTTGAGATTCTTTCCTATTGGGATTTCTCGAAGTGTTTCGTCAAAGATCTGCATCTCTCCAAATGAAGAGACAAGGCATAGGTACCCGTTGAAAAAGAACGCTTTCTTTACATGTGTAACCTTGGAGAAGCATAGCAGCTCTTCAAAGACCTTCTCCAAATCCTTTACTTTTTTATAATATAGCTGCAATAGAACTCTGCTAAAGGTGTCAATGACAGAGAGAGGGATTGCCTTTGTTCTGACAAGAAACCCAAAGAGGTGGTTCGATATCTCCCAGGCTTTCTCCAAGAAACACTTGTTCTGTATTAGAAATATCTTTATCGACCCTTTCTCTGTAACTGACAGAAGATACCCGTTCAGCACGTTAAAAAATACAGTTGGCTCTTTGAGGTCTATCTTGTATGCAGCCTTCCTATTCTCTGGAGAGGGAAGAATCTGCCCAAACACTATAATGGGTGTATTGTTGATTGTGCTGCTTCTTAGCTCCTCCCATGCGTCGTGCCCTTTCTTTGGGATATAGATGTGCTTGTACATTCTGTCTTCTTTGCTTAGCACGGTTTTTGTCTTATTTGCCTTTCTTACCTCCTGCAGCCCTCTGCGAAACTCCTCTTCCAGGCCCTTCAGTATCTCTTCTCTTTGGGTGTATGTTGAAAGATCCTCCAAGTGGTCCACGCTTAGGGCTTCGCTCCATTCTTCTCTTTCTGTTCCCATGTGTGCTGAAAAATTATCCTATTCCTATTTATGCGCATGAAGGCTTGATTGGCTGAGTATAAAACATGTGTTTATTCTTGTTTATTTTGCAAGGCCTAGAAGTAGAGAGATGACCATAGGCAAGCGAGTACAGAAAAACATGGAAATGGAAGAGAGACACTTTTTTGTAAATGGATCTCTTGAGCGAACACACAACAACCTGAAAAGCCCAGTGGAAAAATATCCAAAGAATATTATATGTAACCAAAAATATTCACTCTTGACATTTATTCCCTTGGTATTTGCGCAGCAGCTGAAACACTTTCTGAACATATTTTTCATGACGGTGATGGTTCTGCAGGGCTTTCCCCCTGTGCGGGTCTCGCATCCTCTTACCTCAGTCTTCCCGTGGGCCTTGGTGCAGATATTTGTCTATATCAAGGAGGGCATGGATGACTACAAGCGGTATAAAAGAGACAAGGAGGCAAACGATAAGCAGTGCACGCGATACACTGTGGGAGGGCCTGTGAGAGTGCCCGCCTCGGAGCTGGCAATTGGCGATCTTATCGTTGTAAGCAAGGATGAAAGAGTGCCTGCAGATGCAATGCTTCTGAAAACAGAAGACGCATCGGGGTCCATATTTGTAAGAACAGACCAGCTAGACGGAGAGACAGACTGGAAGATAAAAATGAGCCACAGCATATTCCAGAGCGCAGAAAGCTTTGATGCAGTGGCCAAGCAGTACTTTGAGGTTGTGGCAGAGCCACCCAGCAAAGAAATATACTCCTTTAACGGAAAGCTATACGTGGACAACATCCAATATAAAGTGCACGAGGAGAACATGCTGTGGATGAACATGGTGATAGCCAGCGGCACATCCTTGTGTGTGGTGGTGTACACAGGAAAGGACACGCGGTCTGTGATGAACACAACGAAAGCAAGGAACAAGTCAGGGCTTATAGACAGCGAGCTGAACTTCTACACAAAAATACTGTGCTCTATGGCCTTTTTGGTTGCAATTCTGTTCACAGTGCTGCGAGGCACATACTCTCTGTGGTACATCACGCTTGTTAGGTTTCTGATCATCTTCTCCACAGTAATTCCAATAAGCTTAAGAGTGAACATTGACTGGGCCCGCCTGGTCTATGCGCGAGGCATTGAGAATGACACAGACACGCCAATTGTGGTGCGAAACAGTAACATTCCAGAGGAGCTGGGGCGAATATCCTATCTTCTGACAGACAAAACAGGCACGCTGACCACAAATGAAATGGAAATTAAGAAAATGCACACGGGAGATCTGTGCTACACCCCAGACTTTATACAAGAGATATATGAAATGATCACACACCCAAAGTCACCTGCAGACCATGCAGCGTGCGAGCTTCTGACCGCCATGTGCTTGTGCAACAACGTGATACCATATACAGAGAACAATGAAATAGGATACATCTCCTCCAGCCCAGATGAAATTGCTATGGTGCGATGGGCAGAAAAGGTGGGAATAACTCTGTGCGGGCGAGGCCCAGGCTGGGTAGAGATTAAAACGGCAGGTGTAAAGAAGAAGTACGAGCTGCTGCACACAATTAGGTTTACCAGCGAAAAAAAGTGTATGGGCGTGGTTATAAGGAGTAATGATAAAGTATATCTCTATATGAAAGGCGCAGACAGCGTAATGAAAAAACTCGTTATCGGCAAGGATTGGATGGAAGAGGAGGCTCAGTCAATGGCGAAGGAAGGCCTGCGAACCATGGTGTTTGGAAAAAGGCTTGTCTCTGAAGACGAAATTAAAGAGCTGGCGCAGACGCATACCATATCTGAGAGTGGGCTGGATCTTCTGGGTGTGACTGGTGTGGAGGATAAGCTGCAGGACGATGTAAGGGTCTCTTTGGAAACGCTTCGAAATGCAGGCATAAAGATATGGATGCTTACTGGGGACAAAGTGGAAACAGCCAGATGCATTGCAGTCTCATCTAGGCTTTTTTCTAGATGCAGCCACATTTTAACAATAACAGAGGTGAAGACGCGGCAGGACGCAGACCAGGCCATCAAGAAAATAGAAAGAGAAAAAGACTGCCTTGTGATAGATGGGTCGAGTCTTCAGGTGCTAATGAATATCTACAAAGAGGAGTTCATCACTGCAGTCTCTCTGCTCTCTGCTGTTGCATTCTGTAGATGCTCGCCCACCCAAAAGGCGGAAATAGCTAAAGAGCTGGCAAGGATAACCAAGAAAAGAGTGTGCTGTATAGGTGATGGCGGGAATGACGTGAGCATGATTCAGCAGGCAAATGTAGGAATTGGTATTGTTGGAAAGGAGGGAAGACAGGCTTCACTCGCTGCTGACGTAAGTGTTAATGAGTTTAAGGCAATTGTTGACCTGATACTCTGGCATGGAAGGAATTCCTATAAAAACACTGCAAAGCTTGCTCAGTTTATAATCCACAGAGGAACCACTCTCGGTGTAGCACAGGCAATCTTTTCGTCTCTGTTCAACTTCTGCCCAATCTCCATATACCAAGGTAAGATATCAATTGGATATGTTACTTTCTATACATTTTTGCCTGTTTTCAGCATTGTTCTGTCTAAGGACATGACCAAGAAGGTCTCCCGAAAGTTTCCTGAGCTGTACTCTGATATATCGAATGGAAGTGTCCTGAATAATAGCACGTTCAGTACATGGATGTTCATGGGCTACTACCAGGGCGTTGTCATTATGATACTTACGCTGCTGTTCTTTGAAAGTGCACTTATTCAGCTTGTTAGCATTACTTTTTCGTGCTTGGTGTTGAATGAGCTGCTTATGGTTTTTCTATGTGTAAGTAAGGTGCACAAGCTGATGCTAATTGCACAAAGCGTTTCAATCTTCCTCTATCTCATTAGCTTTAAGGTGCTTTCTGATGAAATACAGATTCCAGCAGAGTGGAGAAAGTTCCTGCTACAAGTTTTACTGGTAAATATTATTGCAATACTACCAGCATTTGCGCAGTGTGCCTGGAGGCTTTGGATGAACCCGCCAAGTTATAGAAAAATACAAGCAACATATAGTTATTAATCGGGTATGAATAAATGTTAATAATTATCAATATATTGGATTTTAGATGTGTTGTACTGTTTTTGACTATATATGAGTGTATGCATACTTCTCTTAAATTTTTCACTGTAAAGTGTCTTTTATTTTTAACAGCATACTACAATCTTCATGCGCATTGTCTATTCATTAAACTGCATTTATACAAGATTTATATATGCTTTATACATGTTTTATACATTTATCCTGTACTCTCCATCTCTAATCTACTTCTTCTGTGCAATGTCTTCATTCTCCTGTCTATGTCTTCTTATTATCCTTTCTTCTACATCTTTGCAAAAATAAACTCTACAATATTCGCACTACCACTACTGTTCAGAAGGGTTTGTTTCTTCTAAAAAAAAGATAAAGACACACGAAAATCAGAAAACTGCACTTTTTGAAGAACCACTTCTGGCAAACACTCAGCGCAATGTAGAAAGCTGAACAAACTCCGCATCACATGCCAGCCACATAAAGAACAAAAAGGCCCTGCCCAGACATGAAAACCTATGCGTACACCAGCACAGAACTATACACGCATACCACACATGATATACATACACGTATGCACATACTATATACATACTACACATATGAAATATATATGCTGATAGAGACGCATCAGAAGTAGACAAGAATGTATTTCTATGACATGCCATGCAAGTGCCAAGACACCAGCCGTCTACCCCACCTACTCATCTGCACACACCTCTCTACATCAGTAGGTCTTTCTCCAGTGCCTGCTGCACATGTCTTGTACACACTCTCTCACTATATTAATTTTTCGTCATATGGCCCTCTGAGGTGCACAATTTGCACATAGACCGGGCTATACACGGCAATTAAGTAAACAAACAGCAGAATGTGGTCTAGAGTGCACTTAGAAGGGCCCACTGCACACATTTCCCAATTTGATCATTTTTTGGAAGTATTTAAGGAGCACGCACTCTGCATTTCAGAACACCAGGAGAGCTGCATCTGTCTCACGGCGCAGTGTAGAGAAGAGGGCTGGCTAGGAGGTGGCAGGAGCAAGCCGGCACTAACCCTGCCGGTGGGTCGTCCACTATTATCATTCCCTTCGGGGTAGCCTATATGGCCATATGGAGTAGCTTGGATGCCAACTTTGTCATTAGGAAATTCCGCGCATGTTCTTTTTACCTTGATGCTTGTACATTTAATATTTAGAACCGCTGCGTTGTCTAAGCCGAAGTGGCACTGAACTATGCGTGCACTGGACTTCCCTGCTCCTGTCCTCAGCACCGACTGGCCCTCTCCTCTGCGCGGCGCGCGCGATGGCCTGCCGTGCTGTCTGCAGCGCTCAGGCAAACAGCAGCATGCGCGGGCCGCTGGGTTCTCAGGCCAGTCGCAAGACGCCGCTCTCCCTGCATATGCAGCAGCTAACCACTACATGTGTATGCAGCGAGCGAAGATGTGCTGTGTGCAGGCAGTACATGGCGCCCGTACATGGCCGGTACACACTATTATTAATAAACAGCCGCTCCCGATCTGCCTGCTGTCTTGCTGTACTGTGTCCGCACTTTGTGTGCTCAACTAATATTCCTTGTCCGCAAGCCTCGAATGGCTTTTTATCTTAAACTCTTTTACTGTGCTGCTGGTATAAATATCAGTGGTGTATGCCACATAACAATAGTACTAAACATAGCAAGAATTTATATATTGGGAGTAAGAAGTGCATAAAACTGCATGATATATAAGAATAATACTGCATCTATTGGATGTACGCAGTATTTAAGGGCACAATATATTGTTTAAGTTCTATTAATTCGGTCTCTTTATTATGTATATGACACGTTTCTTTGAAGTAATAGTAGTAATAAAATCTTTTCTCTTAGTAAGGAATAGCCAAGAAAATATTATTTGTGAATAGCTATATGCTCTTGCATGGATTTATAGCACTTTTATGTACTTTTAGTAGATAGTAATAACTATGCAATGAATTAAATTCAATGGGTTGAGTGCCGTGATAATGGTTGCAGTGTGTCAAATAATTGCTTGTGTATTTAGCAGTAGATCTTTATAAAGTATTAACAACATGTTTAAAAGATGCTGGAAGGTAGAGACATTCGTATAATATGTATTCAGATTAGGCTACATATACCTTAGCTTAATGTAATCTGCAACATTTGGCTTTTCGTAGATTATTACCTTTGTATTAATCATTTTTAGTATGGACTCTGGTAATATCATGCGGTTCTTGGTGAATCCACTGAATATATACATGTTTGCACTGTACTTGCTATGTGCTAGCTTCAGCTTGTCAACTGCACATACGCCTATAGTCCAGGAGTCATTAGTCTGCTTGCTGACACGCTGTATTCCATTTGTAGAAGAAAAACAGTTCGGGTGCTTTTCAAAAGATACATTGTCAATAAATGACATCTTCTGGTACTCTGCAACATACTCTTCTTCATCTGCCTCATTTTTCACTACAATTATTATTCGGTCTCTTCTTTTTTTTTGAGCTTCCTTAATCCTTTCATATATAAGATGCCTAGTTATTGCCTGTATCTCTTTATATGATGTGTTTGGAATCTCTTCTACTATTATGTTGTCTGGCCTTTTAAATTGTATTTTTCTGTCATCAGCTGTGCTGTTCTCTGCTGCATCTGCGTCTTCGCATCCTGCATACTCTATCATGTATCCAGCAATTTTGCACAGGGAGCTATCTACCACCCACAGCTCATCATCTGAATACATTCTTACAGGTGTTATCTCTAGTCGGCCAAAAAATACCTCTTTGCCTGGTATCTTGGAGATTCCCATAACCTTATTTGTGTTATGTGTCATATAACAGTCTTTCTCTTGGTCAATTTTCAGCATTTTCACAAGCTTGTTTTTATGCTTTATGACAATATATCCAGAGATGGGCTTGCTGAAAAGTAGTCTGTCGTTTTTGTTTACTACGTCTATCTCCATTATCTCTGTCTTGATTCCTTTCATCAGCTGCTTCTGTAGACAAAGTGCCTTGTATGCATTGCAATACTGCCGGCTGTAGAGAAAGTACTCTATCAGGCCATTCAGAAGTCTGTCAATATTCTCCATAATACAGCGCTTGTCTATCACCAGAGAGTGCCCTTTTGGGTTTCTATTCTGGATGTGCATAGCAATTAACAACTCAACTTTTTTTTCTTTTGTTAGCTCCTCTTCGTCATTTCTTATGCCAAGGCCCTTTCTATCGTCACTACGCAGTAAAATATTCTTATACTCGTCAGTTCTTGCCAGATATTCTATGACAGGCGCGTCTCTTGGAAGGCCATCCCACTCCACAAGAGTTGCCTCTGACAAAAAGTAATGGCTGATTATACGGCCTAGGTCTGTAATGAGTGTGATCTGGCTGCCCTCGCACTCTCTAATAAGTTTGAGCTCGCGCAGTCGGTTGAAAGAAAGAAGAATGTAGTCAGATATGAGTCCAGGAATGTGGCGAGGAGTAATTCCATACTTCTCAGGCACTCTGTTCATTCGAATATACAAAAAAGTGGTTTTAAACCACCGAATTGCATCTTCCTGGTTCTTTATATTTCGCAAATATATTTCAGATGACAGCTTTTCAGGCAGAGTTTTCAATAAGTCACTCTCAATTGGGTCCTCTACCCGCAGCATCCGAACATACATCGGAAGCGATTTGTGGTCTGTGATCAGTGTGCCTTCTGCAATTGTGTCATACTGCGGCCTGCCTGCTCTTCCAAACATCTGCTGGATGTTCAATATGTCTATATTGATGAGCCCACCTCTTTCAGCACTGTATATCTCCGTGCCAAATATAATCACTGCACGCGCAGGCAAGTTTACACCCCACGCCAGCGTAGATGTACTCACCAAAACTTTTATTTTTCTGCTTCTAAATGCTTTCTCAGCAAACTCTCTAATATTTCGGGGAAGCCCTGCATTGTGAATAAACATTCGTCTTGAGTAAACCTCTTTCATCTCACCAACTATCCCTGCATTCTCTGCCTCCTGCGCCAGCATCTCATCTGGCTCAACATCTTCAGAAAGCACATTTGCAATGGTTAGAGTGTTTCCTCGGGTGTGCACAAACACGATCACCTGCTGGTGCTCACCTAGCACCTTATCCACTTTCTCTTTCAAAACATTGATCATCTTTTCGCGCGTGTCTAGCCGTTTTGTCACGTTATCTGCTGTCACATCTACATTTTTTCTTGTGCCTATTACTGAGTATGTAATTGGAACAGGCCTATCCCCAGGCCCAAACACGTGTAGGTGCTTTCTGGCTACCGCAAGAAACTTTGCAATATCCTTTGGATTTGGGAGTGTTGCAGATATACCAACAATGCGGATCTGCTTCTGGAGTCTTTCAGATATTAGCTTCAGCCTGCTCACAATGGCCTCAATTGTAGGCCCTCTTGTGTCGTTCAGAATGTGAATTTCATCAAGAATTATAAGAGATGTGTGCCGCAAGAGAAACGAGGATATTTTACGCGTAGCCACATCGTATTTCTCAGGCGTGCACACCAGCACAACGCTTTTTTCTAGCTCTGATTGTGTCAAGTCCATGTCTCCAGTGTATTCGTTGACCTGAACAGGAAGCCTGCGCTTAAACTTACTGGTTATTTCAGATGCGAGGGCCTTCATTGGGGCAATATATATTATCTTGTTTTTGTCTGAAGAAGCCCCGCTTTCTAGCTGTTTTACAATGGAAAGAAGTGCTATATCTGTTTTTCCTGCCCCCGTTGGCGCACATATAAGCGTATTCTCTTTTGCTCTATAGACACTTTCAAACACAGAGGACTGCACATGATTGAACTCTTTGTACTGTGAGCTAAATACACTTCTATATGCTTCAGAAATTTCCTTAACTGACACTTTTTCAATTGGTGGGCTGGGTGCAGGTGACTCTAGGATATACTCGTCATAGTAGTCTGTTGACACCTGCTTAATCTTTGATGCAAATATTTTGTCAAGTGTTTCCTCTATGCTTACTACTTGATGCACAGGCATAAAAGGCTTTGGTTTTTTCTTGTGCTTTTCAAGAAGCTCTATAATATCTCCTATGGAAGAGTCTCCAAGTAACTCCAGTAGGTCTTCTTCTGGTGTAGCCGATTTAAGCGTGTTTTTAATCATCTCTTCAGATTCCTTGCTGGATATTCCAAATAGACTGGACAGTTTATTTGTAAGATTCTGCATGGTTTGAAAAACATAAAAATCTTTTTCAATTCAAACTATCTTTAGAAAGACTTAGTGCATGCTTTAATAAGATGTTAAATGAATATACTTCAATATTGGAGTGTAAATAAGTTCGAAAAGACTTAAGATTTGCAGAAAAGAACTTTATTTCTATTTCTGTATAATAGAATAGTTATTTATATAAATTTAAATAAGAATGCTTTAAATAGAAATCCTCTTCTTCTTTGTATTTTTAGTAAAGGACTATGCACATTCTATTAACTGTACTTTTTCATAATATAGAGGAAAAACTAATTATTAAGAAAGAAATGCCTCTCTTTTAGATTTCTAGTATGGAAATGGTAGATAAACAGTTATGTCTAAGTCTAGAGAATTCTTTATTGTGCTCAGGAAAGTGCTTGCTGTAATCTATAGATAGTCTGTTGAACACAGGAAAATTCAACTTTCATGCTACAAAAGCAAATATATAGCAAAAAATACAGCAGCAGTTATTCTAACTATTTTTTTACCACGGTTGTTCTCCTCAGCATAGTATATTTCGTTTATGTGCATTTTTGCAAAAAATAGAAGAAAATACATATACCACAATAAAAAGTATAGTGAGTACGCAAACAGTTTTATATGCAAAATATTTCTCTACCGAAATAATATTTAGTTTACACATAGAATATGCATTATTCGAAAAAAAACAGCTAGATTCACTTCTTTAGGCTACCTAGAAAAAGGACGTTATTCAGACATTAGGCATGGTAGATTATGTGCATTTTCCTGGATAAGCTATAGACACACTTCTATCTAAGGAGAAATTCGCTAAAAAGTCAATGTGCATCAAAAAACGTCACAGTAAGCAAGCACCCAATTATTCAAAAAGAAATATGGCAGCTAGCCACTCACTGCGTATACAATTATGGCATCTCCCTTTTCACGGAGAAAATTTCTACCTGGATCAAAGTGCTATTTTTAAAAATACATTCTGATTGGCCTAATACAAAGCACCATTCTGAAAAAAATGCTTTTCGAAAGCTGTTGGTGCATATAAATATCAGGAATAGCAAAGCCCACCGAAAAAATGATTTAAATAAGTATAAATACAAATGCACACTAGAAGAATATAATGAGATTCATACTAGTAGTTTTAGCAATAATAGCAATTTTATCCATAGTAAGCAAAGTATCTGCAGAAGATGCGAAAAAAGCTCCCGCACCAGCAAAAAAAGAAGAAGAGAAAGACAAAGCTGGAGCAAAAGGGAAAAATCAGGAAATGGCTCCACCAGCACAAGAGAACGGCGTGAATGCTGCGAATCCTCCCAATGCCGCCGGTAAATGCCAGGACCCAAACTGCCAAGGTGGTGCAGGATGCAAAAACCCAAACTGCCAAGATCCAAACTGTCAGGACCCAAACTGCAAAGCTGGAGCAGGACCTAAAGCCCCAAACGGCCAGGCAGCAGGTAATCAAGACCCAAACAACAAAGGCCAGGATGCTTCCAAAGACCAAAACGGCAAAGGCAAAGCCTGTACTGGTGAAAACCCTGCTATAAATGGTGGGAAGTAAACTTCCAAACCAAAAAACCTCTTGCATATAAGATGACACTGGAAAGACTATGAATACATCCTACTGAGTACAGATGGGATTGACTTCCATGTCTCTTTGGTTTAAATATACTAGCTTTATACTGGAATGCAAAGTAAATAGACCTTTCTCTAGATAGAGTGAATTTTATAGAAGAATAAATAGTATATTTCATTTTCCTTTAATTAACACATATTTATCATGCAAATCTTGCTGAGTAATCCATTAATATGGCGAGAACCAGCGTTCAGAGAGCCATATTTTCTTCAGCTACTCTTCTATTGTGTATCCCAAAACTTTTTTTATACGATCGGATACTTCTCTTTCGCTTGGGGCGTCTTTGCTGTGCACCGAGCTGGAAATTGTAAACTCCACAGAGAGCCCATCAATTACATCATCTATAGCCTGGTTCCATCTTTCTATTTCATCGGCCTGTATTGGCTTTCTTTTCTGAATAAAATATGTTTCACACTCGGGCAGTATTTTTGTGGAGAGAAATACCTCTGGAATCTGAAAGTTTGCAGTGCCTGGGACTAGCGCAATGCCCTCGCACTCTTCGCCCTCCAGAATAGCGTTCAGCCCCTCCGCCCTTTTCAAAGCATTCTTTTTGCTGAGTATTTGCCGCAGTCTATCCATTTTTATTTTATTTTATTTTCTACCCCCAGATGACTAAAATAGAACGCAGAGAAAAAAGATACGCTGCCATGGCGGATGATTTATCCATTGTAAGCCAGGGTATGGTATACACCGAGCTGAATGAGATGTTTTCCAAGTTCATGATAAACGATGAGTACGCCGGCATGGACTACAAGCCATACAGCAGCCCCATTGAAATCACACTGAAGCTTGGAAAGCCAGCAGGCATGCTGGAGAACAACAAGCTCAGAATTAAGCAGCTTATTACTCTTATTCAGATGAGATTCAGGCTTGAGGAGGGATCTGTCTCTATTTTCATAGAGCAGGTGAAAAACAAGGCTCTCAACGCACAGATCCAGGCAAACCAGATCAGAGAGAAGATTGGAGCATCTCTTCCCGTCAGAAGAGCTGTGTCTGGCGCAATTCGAACCATTATGGAAGGCGGAGCAGCTGGTGTAGAGGTCATTATATCAGGAAAGCTGAAGGGACAGAGAGCAAGAAGCTACAAAGTAGTGGGCGGTATTATGAAACACTCTGGAGATTCTATCAAGGACTACGTAAAGAAAGGAATGTCCAGCATTCTTCTGAAGCAGGGAATCCTAGGAATCAAGGTGGCAATTACCCTAAAGCACGACCCAACCGGAAAGATCGGAACTGCAGTGCAGCACCCAAGCAGCGTAACTATCTTCTCACAGGAGGAGCTTGCGCAGAAGAAGAAAGTAAAGGCATATCCTGCAAAGGCATACAGCCACAGCAAATAAATCTGCTTTAAATTAGTTATTTATTGTTCTAGCAGAGCACCCCACGTGCTGTGCTTATTTTTAGTGGTGCGGAGAAGCTGCATTTGCTACAGGCCTCCGTATGGTAGGATGGCATCTTCAAGTGCAGAAAAAGTATGTGCAGCACTTCTGTGGGAAGTGTCTGGCATAAATTGCTCTATAAATGATCGCGGTTGAGAAAGTAATCTATTCAGCTCTAATTAAATGCGATTAATAATCAATGTATTATGCACGCTGATAGTGGAAATAATACAGCCTTCCAGCAGCACATATATTGGCATTAATGAATATACTTCTAAAGTAGACGAATCTTTGCCTACACAAGAGACATAATTGCCTGTATATTTTCCTGGGTAGCTGGGGATATCCATGCATATCCATTCATGCTAAACAGACTTGTAGCTGAAACATTCAGTGCTGGGGGATTCAGCAGATACTTTCTGCTCTGGAGTATCCCTACTTTAAGCGCAGCCCCGCCTTTTAGAAGGCCCATACCCTTTACAGCCTCTGTTTTGCAGGATATGACAGCTTCAGCATGCGGTGCATCCTCTACCACCTGTGCTAGAATTACATCCCCAACATTCAGAGACACTCTGTTTCTTTTTGTTGCTGTGGGAAAGTCTAGATAGTTTATAATTGCATACGATGGTGCCCCTATGTCCACCTTGTACGTCTCCTTGCCCTTTCCTTTGACTATCCCAAGAACAATATCATCTAGCAAGGGAATGTATCTAAACTGCTTGAAGTTCACCCAGAAGTTGTGTTTGTCCAGAGAGAGGAGCTCGCCAAAAGCAGAAGACGTCTTCTGTGCCGTGCCAGAAATTCTGTCTGCTGTTCTTGCTCCAGAGCCATATCCAGAGGAAGACCGTGCAGTATGTGCAGCAGCAGCTTCTTTGGGTGCTGTGCTTGGCCTGTGGGTCTTTATTCCAATTGATACGTTCTGTAACTCTTGCTTAATTTGTTCACCCGGTAATAAGAACATTCTATAATAAAATATTTACATCATATATTGTTTCATTTTTCCTCATGTTTACTAAACATATGAATTTGCATAAGGAGGACTCCAAGGTAAAAAAGACTTTTGATCAAGATAGAAAGAGAAAGGATAAAGTAAAAAATGACAAAGCATTCAGACTGCATAGTGATATAAAGAAAGGCGATTTCTACAAAGTTATTCTGCATAACAATGAGTGCAGAACAGGAAGACTCGTAGATATGACCGATAAAGAGATAAGGTTTAGTGAGTACACAGAGAGTGATAGCACAGTTGCATACGAATACACTCACAAAATTGAGGATATTGCAAGTCTGGAGCCCATGATACTTTCTCTTCGCAAGGAAAGCAGTAACATAAAAAACAATGTAGTCATTGTTACAATGCGGACGGGAACCACTGGGTATGGGGAGTTGCAGAAGGAAACAAAAGATTGTTTGGTTCTTAACAACTTCGTGTTCTTCTCTGACGCATATATTCCATATGACATCACGATAAAGAAGGTTCTTATTCGGGACTATCTTAAGCTGAGTGTTCCAGTTAGCGAGCCAATTGACAGCGAGAAGCTGGAGAAGTCTTTCCAAATTGACAGTGAAGTGGGGAAAAAGAGGTTTGGAAAAGCAAAAGAGCTACAGTCTTTCTACGCCAGTGGAGAAGCCCCTCAGAAGGAAGCCATTTCCAAGTCGCACAATGGCAAAGAGGTATGGAACCAGTTTGAGGCAAATGAAAAGTTATTTGGAATGAAGGCAACATTTGATGAGTCTGTGTATACGACTGTCCTGGACAAAAACTCAAAAGAGTACAAGAAGTATGCATATGAGGCAGAATGCATTGCAAGACGAATTGACAACCCAACATCTTCTAATCTACATATGGAAGAGGAAAGAGGCCGAATTAGCAATGCTGGAGAGGATGAGAAGTATGGATCTGCATTCTCTCGACATGACTCCCGCAGAGATTCAAAAGAGAAGCTAAGTGACTCCAAGGAGAAAGAGCTCCAGGCGATAGACAAAGAACTGAAAGAACTGCAAGCTAAGGAGAAGGAATTGAAAGAACTACAGGCCAAGGAGAAAGAGTTGAAAGAACTGCAAGCTAAGGAAAAAGAATTGAAAGAACTGCAAGCTAAGGAGAAGGAATTGAAAGAACTTCAGGCTAAGGAGAAAGAACTCAAAGAACTACAAGCTAAGGAAAAAGAGCCAGCAAATTCTGATACACAAGAAGAAGCTGCTGATTCATCATCCACCTCTGAAAGCAAAGCATCCACTAGGCTCACCCACAAAAAAAGCTCTTCTACGCCTACATCCAAAAGTGACTTGCCTAAGAAGCAGGATAAGCCAAAGCATGCAGTCCATCCTATGCTCAATCAGGCTGGAGTGGATCTTAGTGATATGGTCTTTTCTAGTATGCGCAATAAAACCAAAGCTGAGGCTGCACAGAAACCCCCCACAAAGCCTGAAGAAAAGCTCAAAACTATCAACCTTGCTTCAAAGCCCGAAGAGAGCACTACTCAGAAAGAGACAAGCCCAGCACCTGTGAGAAGACTAAATCCCCACGCAAGAATGTTTGACCCAGCAAAAGCCCCCAGGTCTAATTTTTTGATATCTCCTAGTTTAGCAAAGGCAATCAAAGAGCTAAGCGAAGCATGGACAGTCTATGGTGAAATAAATGCAATTCTGTGGAAAAAGCCAAAACAGGCGCCAGCCACAGCCGAAACAACAAGCGATGACAAGGAAAAGCTTCAATCTTCTGAAGACAAAGAAGAGTCTGCTGAGACCGATGCATCTGAAAAGAAGAATGAAGCCGAGAGAAAAGATAAAAGGGAAAGACAAGACAAAAAAGGCATGCGCGGCTACCCCATACAAAGAAAAGACCATCCAAATAAATTCGCCAGGAAATAGCGGGCCATCCATACACCTGCTTCAGAGAATAAATCTTTTGCGTTTATTTACTATATATTCTTGCAATAATCTCCTGCTTGTGTCTAATCTCTTTAATGCGTCGTCAGAAGTGCTTGAAGTACGTGTCAATTGCAGCCTTGTCCCTCTCTAGATACTCGGTGGCCTTTGTGTCAGTGATTTTCACCATTTGCGGAAAGTCTATTACTTTTACTCTTTTAAAGTCATCCCGCACCATGATATTAAACTCGTTAAAATCTCCGTGCACATACCCTAGATCGTACATTCTGCCAACTATCGCAAAAAGAGCATCTTTCATGGCATGTGGAACAATGCTAGAGGATCTTTGTATCTTAGACAGCGCAGTGTATCCCTCAAGGTACTCCATTACGACAATGTGCCTGTTCTGAGCATACGGCTTTGGCATAGGAAGCCTCTTTGCATATAACTCTGTCATATAGGCATATTCCTTCTGGGCTGAAAGTCTGGAAAGATACATCCAGGAAGTGTGTTTCCTTTTGTCGTGGTAGTCTCTGGTGTTTTTTACGGCTTTGAAGCATACCCGCCCAAGTCTATGTATTTTTATGCAAAGAAGCTTTTTCTCTGGGGATATCCCAAGAAATAAATCAGACTCCTTTCCTACGCCTATTTTGTTTGCAACTCCTTCTATGACACCCTCTTTCTGCAGAGCGTATAAAGCCAGGTTGTCGTATCCATTGTATGTTAGAGCATATCCTTCATAGCCTGTCTCTATGCTTGGGATGCTCTTAAGAAATGTCTGCCTTACAAGATCCGAGACAATTGCATTAATATTACAGCTTATGTTGGATATCTTGGAAATTAAGTCAAGAGGAACTGACTCATGGTTCTTGCTGCCCATTTCTGTGGCAAGAAGGACTCTAAAGTGCTCTGGTGCCAGAAACTGCATTTGGTTGCATGTAAACTTCATTGCGGTTGGAAGATTTCTACAAAAATTTTTTCATGAAGTAGGCCATACTCCTCTGCCGTATAATAAATAAGTAGAATAATATATGCGAATTTCTTTAGGAAAAACGACAGAAAAATTGAGACTTTGTCTTCAAAGTATTCTCGGCCCTCAGCAGGAATCGACTGGAAGTGCCTTCCATTGTTCCGAATGAGTCTCAGAAGGTCTCGAAGGACCTTTGTGTTGTAATAGTACTTCCCGTTTCGTGTCAGGTGGTTTAAAAGGTCTATGTCTATGTACACATCCCAGTTGGACATGTCTGCTGTGATGGTGAGGCCAATTTTGCTTGTCTCCAGAACCAGCATGGCTGGGTGGTCAAACACAAAATCACTGAAAAGAGAAAGAAACTCCAGAGACTGCGTGTGCGTCCAGAATATTGGATGTGGAACTGGTGACTGCACTGTTGTATTTGTGCATAATGTGGCCATCCAGTCAAACAGCTCTATTCTATATTTGCTGTTTGCATCCATGATAAACTTTGGGTACTTCCTATAGTCATACAGAAGAATATCCGGCAGTGCTTCAGAAAACTCTTTCTGGTGGTAGTTTCCTGCACAGCACTCATTCCACTTACTGGTAACATAGATATTGTAGCATAGCCTACTAAGCGCAAAATAGTCTGCAGCGATGCATCTTTCCATCGTATTTTCCTCTAGCACTTCTTCTTCATGAGCTTTCTCTAACTTACTATTCTGTGCTGTTTTTTCGAATTTCCATGTTTCCTGGACGACAGCCATTTTAGCAACTCCCAAAAGAAGAAGGGTATTGGATGGTGTGATGAAGATATTGTGCATGGTTAGGTCTATCTGCCCAATGCCCCTTCTATGCAAATCACCCATATACCTGTGCAGATTGAATATTAAATCTGTTAGGTCTAGCGTGTTTTTTACAAGCTCGCACAAAGGCTGCATATCCCTTGGATATACCATAAAAAAGTGCTCACGTGTCTCCTCTGCGTACAAGCATGTACTCTGAATTTCATTCAAAAGTGCAATATTCCGGTGTTCATCTCTCTCCTCTTTCCTGCTTTTTCTGAATATCCTTACAAGCACTTTCTTCGTTCCAAATAGCATGCCAGGATGCAGTTTGTCGTGCGGCCTGGGGCCCTTAAATATCGTAATTGACTTGTCTCTATGCCCGAAGATCCGGATACCCACAGGAATCACCAGGAAGAGCCCACCAATGAAGAGACAGAAGCAGAGCACCCAGTTTAAAGCAATATTAATAAATGTCTTGTGCACTTCGGCTATTTCTGATATGCTTACTTTTGAGAAGTAGTACATATTGTCTATCTCCTTCAGTAGGTATATATGCGTGTTATATTTGCACTGCAGATCTTCCAGTGCCTTTATGTGCAGAGAGCTTCTGGTTACCACAGTTGCATTCAGAATGGTTGTAAGTTCTCTGTCTATATACTCCAGCATGCCGTTCTTTTTAAAGACCTTTGTTACAGTCTCATTATACACGCATACAATTACCCCAACACATGATCTAATATATTCAACACCAATTCGTTTCTCCTTGGAGGCAACTATTCCTCCAGGCACTATTATTGCAGAATTTGCAGTCCTTGTAGGTGCAGCACAGGGAACAATATCTGTGTTGCCTTGTCTCTCCTGTATAGTGTAGATATTTGTGCTCTTCTGGACACCTAGACTCTCCAGATGCACATTGCTGTACATAGACGGATCAATAGCTGCATTTTGCAAGTGATTGCTTGATGTGTTCAGACCACTTGCTTCTTCATTACCAGAGGATTCTCTGTGCGCCTGCATGTTTGTAATTCTATTGTGCACAGTGCTAAACCTATGGAGAGGCATGGCAATTTTCTCAATTACTTTGCGCGCACTCAGGCTATATACTGCCAGCTGCCCATCTGCTTCAAACACAGCTACGTCCTCCAGAAGTACACTCCTTTGAATCTCTACTCCAGATAGACACTTTCCAGCAAAGTATAAAACTATGAACAAACGCAGCATAAATATTTTTAATGAATGCTCTTGAGAGAATATCCCAAATAATCAACAAGTTGCATGAGGAGAAGGCCTCTGTTGGCGCAGAAATAGAAGAGTATTTGCACGCAGCAAGCGAACAGATAATCAAGGACGAGAAAACAAAAAAACTCAGCCAATACCTAGTCATTTCTGAGTACATAGAGGCAGAAATAACTACGCCCCCGCCTCCATTCGAAAAACTATCTGCACAAGAAAAGGCGCAGGTTGTGCAGCTACTAAATAAAAGGCTTGCACAAGTAAATAACACACAGGAGAAAACTCAGCTCATTGCAAGCCTTGTTTTAGAGTATATTCAACAAAGCATCCCTCCCACAAAGGTAGACTCGTTTATAGTTCTGTTCCTGAAGAGAGTCATTGAGCAAATAAAAGCACAGGTCTCAACAAACAAAGAATCAGCCCTGGGGTATGCATATTTAATCATATGGCTCTCCCAGAAAATACCAAATCTCCTAAGAAAGTACAAGTACACAATGTTTACAAGCGCACTCCCGCTGGACTGTCTTCTAGGGATGTACAGAGTGTACTTTACCATACTTAAGCAGATGGGTGAAATGGAAGATGCCTGGTCCTTCATACACTCCCTTCTCAAGTACACAGAGGACATAGGAAACACATTCAATCCATGTGTTCTTGCAGTGTTCCTGGATGTGCTGCAGGACCCAATGAGATGCACATATCGGGAAAAGTGGATGGAAATGGAGGCGTATATACAAAATGTGTATATCCCTGCCGTAGACCCGTCCAGGTATAAGACAGAGATGCAGCAAATATCTGACTATCTAAAGAAGAAGTAGACATACTTCATACACGCCAGAATTTAAAATAGATTACACACGAAGTCCGCAGTACACAAAACCAATCTGCAGGCACACTTTCCCAGAGTGCACACTAGCACTAGAATATATTCGCAGTATATATTCGTATACCTAGAACTGCTTCCATTAGGATATCTGTCTATTAATATATAAACATGCCTAATACGCATAAGAACACTAGCATGTACTCTAGTGAATTTTCTCAAAGAAATAGAAACCAAATAACCCGAATTTCAGAAATAAATCATGGAGTGCACAGTGTGCTCTTCTTTCAAATGGTCTTTACTACGCCATATCCCACTCAGTGCTTCATGCATACCCATATACTTCTGGTACTTTCATTTTAATTCAGTTAAACTTTTTGTGCCCTGCAAATATTAAAGGACACAATATATGAATTCTTTACAGTGCTCGTGCTATAGTATAAAGTGTCTTCTTGGTTATTTAATCAGTGTTAATTTATTTCTTATCTTCTACTCACCTTGAGGTCTCTTTCGGCTTCTAATAAATAGACATGGTCTCCCTTTCTTACTGGGCCTTCCATTACTCTAGTCAATGACCTCTTGGTAGATACAATCATAACTTTAACTACCTGGCAGCCACCTCCTGGCCCTGTTCTTTGCATTACTTCTGTTACTTGTGCCAATACTGGTTCTGATATTGCCTCCATGAATTAACCAGGCTAAAAAATAAAATATTTAAGAAACGAAAAATTCTTGCAAAAATGGGCATTGGGCAGGAGATAATTTCAGAGCTGCTGAATGATAAAGGATACTTTCAGAAACTAGACAGGAATTCGTATGAAATTGAGAAGATAGAAGAGCAGCTACGGGGCGGCATGATGCCCTCCATTTTCAAGCTGCATTCTAAAGAGTCCGTTGTTGCTCCGCAGAGTGCAGAAGAGTACATGAAAATACTTTCTCTTGTGGACATAAAGCAGGCCCAAGTAAAAGTGATAAAAGAAATTGTGGAGAGAGTCATGGGGTACCCCATAAACTACTATGCGGTGAAAAGAAAGGTAACCGAAGCACTGCGGGAGAGAAGCATGGAGTACATTCGGAAGAACAAGAAGCTTGAAGCATCACTTTTCAAAGCGCATGTTTTGGTTATATCCCGGTGCTGCAGAGCATACTTTGACGAGATTATTATGCCGCTCTGCAAGGAAGGCATGACAAGCACTGTTGCACTGATTATTAGCAGAGTGATTATGAGATGCACCTCAGAGAAGAGCCACATGGAGGAGTTGCTTCGGAAGGTTATGCAATTAGAGAAGTCTCACTCTGTCTATACCCTTCTTACTGCAATTCTTATCAAGAAGATACAATTTGGCCAGAGGGTAATTGATGAAGTGCATGAGTATGTGCTTCAGGAATCTGCAGGTGCTGAAGGCCCTAGGTTCCTGGCGTGGAACAAGGTGGTTCTTGTATTTTTGCGAAACTACAAGACCAAAATCAACCAGTCTGCTCTTAGAGAAATATACTCTCAGGCAGAGTCACCAATAGAAGTAGAAATATTAAAGGAGTTGAGCGAATAAGGAGCGAGTTATTCGGGTTATATACGGATATAAGTTATGCATCCTTACATATGCACACCAAATAAACGAATTATATTGTCACACTCTTTCAGAGGCGAATAAGCCTGGCTTGTATATGCAGGGCTGGCACTTGTTTGAAGATTATGTAAATACCATGCGGCAGTCAAGTTCTTAATTATTCTATATTTCTTGCTGGTGTTTTCTGATGCTTTTTGCGTATACTAGAAAAAATTTACTGTTAAACTGCATATGATCGAAGAAACAGTTGAAACATACAAATCATTATTATGTAGTAAAGCAGAATATGTCTGGGGAGAAATCAAAGCATTCTTAACTGCAAGACTAACTATATGCATTTCTGTAGGTATAGGTATGGTATTAATATGCGGTCTGATTATTTTTCTGATGTTCAAAGTGACAAGTGTGTGTATTCACCGACATAATAGAAACCGGCGTGGGTGTATTTGTTTTAAACGGAATGCACCCAGAAGGAAAAATGCAACAAATCAACCAGTGGATATTTCATTACTAGATATGAAGCTGATTAATGAGAGACATGCTCTTTTACAGAATAGGGACTATTATCAATATGAAACAGCTTCTATAATTGAAGGCAGGTGTTTAAATATAGTGGATTACTAGAAAAGTCTATTCAAAGCTCGTTTGTCTTTGGCTATTTTCAAACAGAAGTCCTTTTGCGCATGGTACACACTTCTTGGTTTATAAATCCTTCTGGATTATTTATGCACAAGAAATTCCATGGCCATAAAGAACGTAGTTGAAATACTTTCATAATAGATATATGAATGAAATAAAGAATATTTAAGCATATGTCTAGTTTCCTTCTGCATAGTATCCAAGCTAATTGGTGCTTTACATGTATTCTGAGTCTGAATTACTGTGTATACACATAGCTAACATTTCTATATCATTATACTTAGTGGAAATTATGCAATCCAGCTGTGCATTCGTGTGTAAATAGGTTCTATTGTATTTTATAGGGAATATACAGCTTTTCTATCTAGTATTGCATATTTATAGTATTTCTATACTTTTTAAAAGCATTCATATAATGATTATTTCTGAAGAGTTTTATTTATATATTCTATGTAGGCAATTAGTATTAGTAAAGAAGAAATAGGCATATAAAGGGTTTAAGCATGGAAAAAAGCAGTAATAAAACCAGAACACTAAAGAAAACCACATATTATTCTGAAATCTAGATTACTTAAGAAGTTTCATAAAAGGATGCTTTAGGAATAGTACAGTGCAGATTTAAATAGAAACACCATCACAAACTGTTTATTCGTATTACTAAGCACACAGAACCCGACTAAACTTGTATATTCTGAAAAATTAAACCGAAAGGTAAAGTACACCAGAAGTGCTCTGCACAAACATACAGTCTCATGAAAAAAAATGTTATTAAAATAGAAATCACTTTACCAGAAAGAGTATTTGAGTCTTTAGTCTATAAATGCTTTATTTATGCTGCTTTAATTTCTATTTTGTGCATGTGTGCATGTATGTTGCTGCAGGTTCTTGAGTCTAGTTATTATTCTACAAGAACAAAGAGTTTTTCTTTATTCTTTTCTGTATCCCCATAACACATAGGCTATGTAGTTTATTCTCTAGGCATTATAATATATGTTGCCATTAAGAGGTTCTATGCATAGATATTTATCTGAAGGATTCTTTCCAGAGATGCTCTGAAAATCTCACAATTCATGAAGCCATACTTATTACTGCACCTTCATTTTCATGTGTTTCTACCATAACCACCTTGTACTATATGTATACATCCAAAATGCATTTTAGTCTGGCATGGCTTTATTTTTACAGACATTTCTGCCATAAGAGTTATATACGAATGAACAGAAGAAAGACGCAGTCACCCTTCAAACAGAAAAGTACTCATGCAAAGTACAAATCAGTACGTATTCCACTAATCAATGAATATAATGTGCTCAGACTTTGGCATATCCATACTAACCTTCTTCTCTTCGATTTCTTCTGCAGGCATATCTTTTTCATACTGCTTATCCTTTCGTATTAGACGCACACCACTTCTCTTATAGTTGTACATAAAATGATTAAATTCATCTGGATTTGCATTGGCAGCCTTCTTTTTAATTTGCTGTATCTTTTCTTCCCGGTCTTTTTCCAGCTTGCTTCTTTTTAAAAAGTGTCTGTTTTTCTCTAAGACCCCCAAAGACCGTCTTTCTGCCAGCTGGCCTCGCTCTTTATAGTGAGTTTCTCTTTTTTTCATAAAAATTCAGCAAAAAAAATATATGAAATGTAATAAATGCCAGAATCGAATTAGCTTGCAGGACAGTATAAAAAGCAAAATAGAATTGCTAGGGGAGGAGGACATTTTCATGTTCTGTGAAGACTGCAGGATTTGCTATATATGCTACACCCAAACAGAAGAGCCCACGGAGTGCTGCAAAATGTGCGGATATTCATACCACACTCATCATTTTCCAGAAACCGAAACTGCACAGAGGGATGGAGATGCAGCTGAGGAAGATAAAAGCAGATGCAAGAAGTGTGCAGACTTGTACAGCGAAATTGGGTTTGGCAGTCTGCTTGGCCCAGAAATACCTGCATTAGAGCGGAATTATGAAGAAATTGATAAAGAGCAGATAAGAAAAATCACAGAGATTGTTAAAAAGAACCGGCCAGGGAAAAACACAGAGGGCATACAAAAAGTGTTTCTGGGAGAGGTAGAGATGCGTCCTCTTTTTTCGTCTCCATACCCAGAGGAGTACGTAAAGTACCCAACCCTGCATATATGCAGAAAGTGCATGGAATACTTTTCCACCAAGTACTCTCTTGAGAGGCACCAGACAAAGTGCAAGATGCAATATCCACCAGGAAGGCTTCTTTATTTAGACAGCGAGTACATTGGGGTGTTTGAGATTGAAGGAGACAAGGAGTCAAGATACTGCCAGAGTCTGTGCCTTTTGGCGAAAATGTTTCTGGATCATAAAACACTGTACTATGACGTAGAGTCATTTTTGTTCTACATCATAGGGGAGATAAAAGATGAAGAATTTATTGTGCAAGGATACTTTTCAAAAGAGAGAGGAGAAGGAAGGAACAACTTGTCCTGCATTGTTGTGTTTCCCCCGTATAGAAAGCTGGGGATAGGGTCATTTTTAATTGACTATAGCTACTATTTAACAAAAAGCACAGCATCTCTGCCGTACACAGCAGGCCCAGAGCAGCCTCTTTCTGCAGAGGGAGAGCGGGCATATTTCTCATATTGGGTGAATGCGATTCTTCGATACATTGCTGACAAAAAGAACTTCAAACCAGAAGATGCATGCTTTGAAAAAGTGTCAGAGCACACGGGCGTGTCAAAGGAAAACATCCGGTGGGCATACAAACAGCTTGTAAAGAAATTTGGCAAGGAGCTGACATACCAAGACTTCATAGCAAACAGAGACATAGCTAAAAAGTCAAGAAGAATTAAAAAAGGTGCAGCTGTCCAAAAGAGTGTAGAAAGCAAAGATGAGAATCCAGAGGAGTCAGAATAAATAACAAAAATACACAGACATGCAAATATCCTGCACTTAATACCTTAATACAGGGATAGTGCTTGCTTTACTTCTTATTGCCAAACAGAACAAGAAAGACAAAGCAAAAGGAAAGCATAGAAGCTTACTACTCAATTAGAAGAGTTTTGGTTAGTATTATTATGCATTTGCATATTAACAAATATCTTTCAAGCGCAAAAAAATAAAAGTCCATACAGGCACGTGCCTGGAGCATAATAAATACAACAGCAGTTTACTATTATAAAGATACACCCAGTAGAATAAATTATTCTATGGAAGACAGCCTACTTTGCAGAAATTCTATAGAAAGTGTAAATATTCTTCAACTAGTCTGAGTGTACCCCCAATATAGCCCGAATAGCATGCAATTGCAGAGTGCAGGAAATATCATTTATTAACTATTCCCACAGCCTTTACTTGAGGCTGTTGGGTTCACGCTAAAGATCTTTGCTATAGCCAAATAGTTGTTCCATCTGTTAGTGGCTGCAGAGTTTGGGCTGCCTTGGCACTCAATTGCCCCGTTGATGGCTTTGGTTGTCTCTCCAAAGTTGCTCAAAGGAGACTTAGATGTCATTACTTTTGTGTTCCAGTACCAAATACTTACAGCTGCTGCTATAGACTTGTCTGTTGCCACTTGGTCTGGATTTGTGTAGAGTCTGTCATCTTTGTAGATGGCTTTACTGGCATCTTGGTAATTAGCAGGCCATGTGAGCTGGATATATCCTCTGCCGTAGTAGTGCTTTCCTGGGGAGCCAGCCACAGGACCACTTGATTTATCTGCATTATCATAGTTTGTGCACGGCGTACTTACGCATGCCTGCTCTACTAGTGCCGTTAGACCTGCAGACTCGTGGTAAATCTGTGCTAAAAACATGCTTTTCTCGTTACTATCCCAGCTAGTCTTGTTTATTTGCGAAATAAGTTCATTAACAAAGTCTTGGTTTGGACTGCCAGAATACCCACATGCTGAAAGCGTCTTTTTCACAAGATCTGCAGTTAGGGTGGTAGACCCTGTGCCAGGACTGCCACTTGGTGAAGGAGAGGCTGATTTCGTTCCTGTGCTGCTGGAAGAAGATGCAGGCTTACTCGAAGATGCAGGCTTGCTTGAAGATGCAGGTTTGCCGGAAGGCGCAGGCTTACTTGAAGAAGATTTTGTTCCTTTGCTGCCTGAAGAGGCTGCTGGCTTGCTGGGTGCTCCAGAAGATGGTTTGCTTGTTTTACCAGATTTTCCTGCAGATGCAGCTTGTGTTGATACTGTCTCTGCCCCAATAGAACCTGATAGTTCTGGGTTTGCAGGTGAAACAGGCGGTGCACCTTGCTTGTTTAAATTCCCTGTGTCTGTGCCCATTGATATCCTGCTAAATTCACCAGGTGTTACTTGCGGTGTACTTGGGCTTTCAGTTGGCTTTGCAGATGGTATTTTAAAGTCAATATTTCCCGTGCCATTGTCTTTATACTCGATTATTATGTTATTTCCATCCTGCGTGATTATTTGTGGGAGTGATGGCTCAGGAGCAGAAATCGACTGTGGTGTCTGTGGATTCAGACTGTTATTATTGTGAGGCAGTGCAGGGTAGCTCCAAGTGTTTGTAGTGCTACTTGCTTGGGGAGTGTATGAAGTGGTCGTGGGAGTTGAATTTCCTTGCGTTTTATCCTGGCCCCATGCTATGTCATACGTGCTGGGCTTCTTCTGGTCGGGTGTCTGTCCATCCATGGGAGTGTTTTGTTTGTTATTTGTGCTGAGATTTGTTTGGTCCTGTGGTGATGCAGATGGCTCTGGGGTTGATATTTGAACTGATTTATTAGAGGAAGGGCTTGGGCCTGTTTGAGCAGCAGGCATGGGATCTGATGTAGGGTGTTTTATTGTGACAGTTGGGCTAATATTTCCTGGAAGAGTTATCGTTACTGTGCTTATTTTAATAGCACGCTCGTCCGGTACACATTCCACATTTCCATTGGAGCTTTCGCATTTGTATCCAGGGCTGCATGGGAAAGTGCTCCATGTATTGTCGTGTTTCTGGAGATAAACATTATTTCCTTCGCACTTTGCGCTTTTGAACAGAGAGTCAATGTTCAGTATTTTTTGGCCTGCAATGCTGCAAATACTAATTACTACCGTGCTTACAGTGCGGAGTATTTTCATAAATTCAAAACAACTTAGTTCTTAATAACACACGAAGGAAATGCTGTTTCAAATGAAAATGTGAAACCAGTGCGCCCAATGGATTTTTCTTTTGAACAGCATGGAATTTACAGCGAAAATTAAATTGAAGAACAATGGGAGTACACAGAGATGAAATTATTGAAAAAAGTGGAAGTGCCCTTCGGATACTAGACAAAGAGACAGAGTATCTTATTGAAAGGCTGAAGAACAGTGCAGAGCAGATTGTAACAGACAAAACTCTGAAAGAGCTGGTTCTTCTGAGAATGCTTCTTGAAGACAACAAAGATGCAATAGAAAAGGAAGAGTACTACAGAATAGAGGCAAATTTAGAGAACAGAAAAAAGATAAAGGAGAATAGGGAGTACCAGATCATCCAGGCAAAAAAAAGCACAGGAATTCTTATGGAGGAAACAGCAGATGGAAATATCTGTCTAATAACACAGAAGGAAATAGAAGAAAAGGTAGAGGCACCGTGCGGGCATGTATTTGACAAGAAGGGCCTGCTGTTCTTATATAAAAGTGTATCAAAGAAAAATAAGTTTCAGTGCCCGTATGTAGGATGCAAAAGTGACTGGCACAAGCTAAAGTATAAACCAACAGAGTAAAAAGAAGCATTAAATACAGATAAAATCAGTATTGAATAAGATAGAAGTAATAAGAGATAAATAATCTGCACAATCACCTAAGAAGGACAGAGAATTCTTTTTGGAAGAAATATTAGGGATATAGAAGGATTTTAGCCTTATTAGAGCATAAGATATTCTCTGGCTAGTAGTATAGTAGTGCGCATAGAATAAATAGCCTGATTTAATATAACCAAACACTGTTTCCAAAAGATTCACGCATCCATTCTACTGGAATGCCTGCTAAAGTATTTCTGACTTGAATATATTCTTGTGCATACTGATGTAGACTAAGGCGTATTTATATAAGCATCACTGCACGAATAATATTTTTTACGGAGAATGAATATTCCATGGATTGAAAAATATCGGCCGTCTACACTGGATGAAATAGTAGGAAACCAAGCAGTAATTGAAGTGTTCAAAATACTTGCAGAAGAAGAAAGTATGCCGCATTTAATTATCACGGGATCACCAGGAATAGGAAAAACAACAGTAGCGCATGCCTTTCTAAACCGAGTGTTTGAGGACAAGCCAGGTCTCCGGAAAGAGTGCGTCCTTGAGATGAATGCGTCCGATGAAAGAGGAGTGGATGTGGTGCGTGTGAAAATAAAAGGGTTTCTGCAAAAGAAGCTCACATACAACAGGTTTCTGGCGCTGGATGAGTCTGACTCAATGACCATGCAGGCGCAGCAGTCAATGAGAAGGCTACTGGAGAGGCACGAATCTGCAAAGTTCATTTTCATATGCAATGACATATCAAAGATATCAGATACAATACAAAGCAGATGCGCAATATTGCGGCTGTCACCGCTTTCATACGAGGAGATCAGCCAGATACTCAGAAAGACCATAGAAAAGGAAGGAATGACAGTCTGCGACAAGTCAATAGCCACAATAGCTGAAACATCAGACGGCGATGCACGGCAGGCACTAAATCTACTGCAGACACTTGCTGCGATCTCAAAGAATGTGGACCTGGGGATGGTGCAGAGAATGAGCCATATTCCGCCAATAGACACAATTAGCAGAATATTTTCAAAAGAGAGCACTGAAAAGGAAGCATTCACTCTTTTAGACGGACTTTTTGAAGATGGATATTCATCAGAAGACATTTCCAAAATGATATTCAGACTGGGAAAGGACAGAGGAGAAATAGCCCTTCTAGAGAAGGCTTCTTCTTTGCTAATGAAACTCGCAGATTCTTCCTCAAAAGTGCATTTCTACTCTGCACTAGCAGAATACAAAACTGCCTTGTTGCAAGTATAAGAGAAACACCTGTAATGAAGATGCCTTGTGCACAAGATCTGAATCATTTTATTCCACTGCGTATAAAATCCATACTCCTTGAAGGCACAGCTTATAGCATGGCATAACTTGAATAACCCGATATAAGTTCACACTGCCTTTATATAAAGCAGCACTCTAGTGACTACATGAAGACAAATAAGAAAGAATATTTATTATAGCAAAAATAACTCAAACCATTCACTTAGCTGTGCAGGACTTGCTGTTCATTGAATTTATGCTGTCATTTAGAGCACTAGTAGATTAAATGAATATACCTCAAATTTCATAGTAAGAGATATCTGTAGCTATGACAAAACAATATGCAGTTTACATATAGATGGTCCTTTAGCACAGTGTATTTCATTATGAATTCATTCTGCCACTTATATGGGAGTTATGATAAAATAAACCAGAATCTAATATTGAATACTTTGATTTTATGTTTGACAGATGAATGCCATAATGTGTTTACATAAATCCATCTGCAATTAAGACATGCTCAAAGAGAAAGAGTAATTCTTCGATATCTCAAATTATTTCCATTAATTTTTACTGCATGCTTCTATGAACAGTCTCTGTACAGAACGTGGTCAAGCTGCATTTTAGTGAATATTTTTTCTTCTATAAGTGCATAGTAGTGCACTAATTTCTTCTAATATTTAAATGTGCTTTTATTTCAGTGGCATAATTTTGCAGCCCACTTGCATATCTGCCAATTACAAAGGCAAAGACGCACTTTCAACGCAGCTTGCAAGGTGCACGTCTTTAATATCATTTTGCATTTTATACTAGAAGCATATATAAATTTTATTTAATACCCCATGTAAAATGGCATTCGATGAAACTGAGGCAAGTGGAATGGTAACTGATATGATTCAGACCCAAGAAATAAGAGTTAAGCATATTATATTCCTAACAGACGGAGATAAGAAGCTTGTCGAAATAACTAGCATTGCAAAGTCAAAGCCAGGGAAGCACGGAGCAGCCAAGTTCTGCTTCCAGGGAGTCAATCTCATCACAGGAAAGTTCTACCAATTCACAGAAGGATCCAAGACCAACCTTACAGTGTGCACTCTTGTAAAGGTTCCATGTGAGTTTATGGAGATAAACGAGAACGACAACTCTCTTGTGGTTCTTAACGAAGAGACAGCAGAGGTTATCACTGTTGCACTCGACAGAATATCACCAGAAACCATTGAGGAGATAAAGAAGCACTCCCTATTAGTGGGATCCAGTGGAAGTGTTAGATTCAAGCTTGTAGACACTCCATACTTGGTGGTTGTAACTGATATAACCTCAAAGGCAGACTAATGACAGACCAGAAATAATTTCCCGTGTGGTACAGCGGATATTGCAGAGAGTGTGCTGGGCATAGCTAAAAGCAGACCAAATCTGATAGAAGAAATAAATAAAGGCAGTCATATGCACAAACAATTTGATTTTATGCTTTCTCCAGAAGCAGACAGAAAATGGCTAAGATACATCCATAGAGTAGACTGCAGTTTTCTACGCAGGTATATGTTTATTTGTGCAAAGAAATGCGGATTTCCTAAAACTTCCACATGAATTGTCTAAATGCAGTGCATGCCTGGCGGAGAAGGTGCAGACGCAGTGGACACTGCAAGAAATAACTCTTTCTTGTTTGCACAGCAGATACGTCATGCATCCAGAAACCCAAAATATAGTGAAACTCTGCAGAGAACCATGCCAGAATAGAAATGTAAATACTAAATGCTTGCCTTTATTTAGCTATAATTAAGCGGATGAGCTGCTGCTGCCACCACTGCTTCCTCCTGCGCCCATGACACCGAAAACACCTCCTGCCACTAGAATCAGAGAGAGGACAAAGAAACCAACAGTCACAAATGGACTTGTGAAGAATCTATATGCTTTTCCGTGTTCTTCACTTTCATCTACAGGCGCAAAGAATATCAAACTAATAAAGCCGCTTTCCTCGCTTGAAGATGATGAGGAAGAAGAAGATGAGCCTCCACCTCCCATGGTTGTTCCTCTAGAAGTTGCAGTTGCAGGATTGGCTGCTGCGTATGTGGCCATGAGTATGATGGCCATGGTGATTAGTAAAAATTTCTTTATACTGTGCTTGTTCATTCTAAAAAGAAGATAAAACCCGATATAAATACTTTATCTCTAGAACGGACAGATAAATTACCAATGATCTATCAATGCGTACACAAATCAAAAACATTTCTAAAACAAAAAACCAATTCTGGCACACATTCAAAACTGGATGGTGCATTTTTCAAACAACCTGCCCCAATAGCATACCTGGCAAATGATTGATCGGTGCACAGCGTGTACCCTGTGATGAATGACATAAATTTCACTAAGTCCCAAGAAAATCACAAAGACAGCATTTATTATAAAGAATTTACTTCTTGGGGGTCTCTTCTTCTCCAAGCACAATAACCTCGTCGATTCGGAGGATGCTTATTGCAGCTTCTGTGGCTGCCCGGAGTGCCTTTAGCTTTGTGTCTAGCGGCTCAATGACGCCCTTCTTAAAGTTATCCACAACAGTGCCTTTCTCCAGGTCCAAGCCCATGTCCCAGTTGCATTTATCATGCTCTGCCAGAAGCTGTGCAAAGACTGCGTTTGTGTCAAGGCCAGCATTCACCAAAAGGGTTTTTGGGATGCGCAGAAGGGCCTCTCCAAATTTCTGAACTGCCGCCTGCTCGTTTGTCCCAAAGGACAAGCCAAAGTTTGAGATGTATACACCCAGGGCTGCCTCAAAGGCCCCGCCCCCTACAACCACAGACTTGCTCTCCAGGGTCCTCTTCAGAGCACACAGACCATCGTGCACACTTCTTTCCATTTCATCAAGAATCTGCTCGTTGGCACCACGAAGGATAATTGAAGCCCCAATGCCCTTGGACGTACTTATGACAGTGCATCTTTCTTCACCCAGCACTTCAATGTGCACGCTGTCAGCTGTTCCTATGATTGGAACAAACTCTTCACCTGAAACATCTTCAAAGGACGCGTATACCTGTGTTCCTGTTGTGGCTGCAATGCGCTGAAGGTCTTCCTTCTTGCATCTTCGAATACCCAAGGCACCTGCCTCAATGAGAAGCTTTGTGCACCCGTCGCTAATTCCCTTAGTGGTGAAAATAACATTTACACCGTTCTTGAGCAACTTGCGTATTTTATCGTGGGAGGCTGTTATTTCCTTCTCCCGGATCTTCTCCAGGTCATCAGGCGTGTTTGCTGCTATTTTCACAGAAAGCCCCATCTTCATCTGCTGCAAGTCCATGTCCAGGCAGACAATTCGTGCTTTGTTCACTCTTGTGGGCATGAGGTTGCTGCTGGGCACGCAGTTAATTGCATACCCAGAGACAAAGATGCTTTCATCCATTGATCTTCCCTGCTTCTTAAGAATGTTAATTTCCTCAATTGGGTAGGATATGCTCTTGTCCAGTTCAGTCTTTTTAACTGCCTGCACTGCATCTACCATTAGCTTACTGAACAGCCCGCTGCTGCATCTGATCACCTTGCTGGATATAGTGCTTTCGCATATTTTCAGCAGGTCTGCATGTCCTACGTGTTTTATTTTCTTTTCAAGCGTATTTCTGATAAACCCAAGAGAGTGCTTGAAGGCCGTTTTGTACCCAGAGACCACAGTCGTTGGGTGCACGCCCTCCTCCACCAAAGACATCCCATACTCGATCAAGGCGGCTGCCAAAAGAACAACACTTGTTGTTCCGTCTCCCACCTCTATATCCTGCTGCACTGCCAGGTCTATCAGAATTCTGCCTGCTGAGTCTGTGCTCTGCAGAGAGGACAAAATAGTTGCTCCGTCGTTTGTAATTGAGACATCCCCAATTTTACTAACTATCATCTTATCTAAGCCACTTGGCCCATACGAGGACTGCACAGCATTTGCAATGTTCATGACTGCCGACAGGTTTCTGCTTCTTGCAGATCTGCCGGTCAATCTCTCCCCGTCCACGAACAACTCTTGAACTGACATGGAAAACTAAAATTATTTTTCATATATTCTGTTGTTATTCGGGAACGATTGTTTGTATTTATGAGTCAAGAGTTGCGGAACGAAGGGACCAATACGAGCTGTCTTTTTGCCTTATTTCGGAAACACGTCAAATCAGGCAATCTAAAAAGATTCAAAAATTTACTAAAAGTGCATCAGGTTCTGCCCGCTGAAATAAGAACCGCCTCAAATACAACCCTTTTGCATATTGCAGCCATGTACAACCAAGAAAAAATGGCAATATTTCTTATGGAACATGGTTTATCCATGCACGAGCAGAATGACCGCAGTCACTGTCCGCACTATCTGGCTGTGCTTCGGAACAGCTGGCGCGTCTTAAGATGCATGGAAAGATGAAATAATAAATATTTTTTATATGTATGGTTGAAGAGTGTAATCATCCGATAAGAATAGGAGGTATGTGCGGGTGCTGTGGGGCTGATATAGAAGAGAAAAGTGAAGAGCTATTTACCCTTTTGCACAGCAATACAAGTGTGCTTTTGAATAAAAAAGAGGCAGAGAGAGTGAATGAAGAGATGTATCTTGGAACAGTTCAGAACAAGAAGCTTGTTCTTCTGCTGGATTTAGACCAGACAGTTATTCATACAAGTGCATCCATGAGGTTTGGAACATATTTTGAAGAGTTCAAAAAGTATTCCTCAGGAGAGCAGCAGAGGGCACAGAACCCCCAGAGAGAAAGCACTGTGCCAGAGGACAGCAGGACAGATTCCATGGCCGCAGGTGCAAGTGAATTAGATTCAAGCCCAGAAGGCATAAACAAAAACAAACCAAAAGAATCCGATCCAGAAGATAAACACAAAGATAGAGAATCTGTTCCAGAAGATAAACACAGAAAGATAGAACCATCGACAGATGAAAGAAGGAAAAAAAGGAAGTTTTCATTTGATGAGTACAAGAATGAATATCTCAAGGAGATAGACAGTCAGCTCAAGGATATACGTGAAATAAAAATAGATGGGTACACGTACTACGTAAAACTTAGAGACCGCCTGGAGTGGTTTCTTAAGGAGGCAGAGAAGTACTGTGAGATGCACATATACACAATGGGAAACAAAGCGTATGCTACTGCCATTGTAAAGATCCTTGATCCAACAGGCAAACTATTTGGCAGCCGGATAATCACGCGAGATGATAACTTCGGGTGCTTTGACAAAGACATAAAGAGACTTTTCCCCACTAACTCTAAGCATGTGATAATTCTGGACGACAGACCAGATGTATGGGGGTTCGTTGATAACTTGTATCCCATAAAGCCATACTACTTTTTTGAGACAGATGACATCAACAGCCCAGAGGCCCTCCAAAATGGATACCTCCCTGATGTAGGTATGCCAGTCTCCATACCAAATAATAAAGAAGACCTTCTGGAGGAGATCAGCATAGAGTGCATACGGAATCCTTTTGACAATGAGCTTGAGAAGGTTCTGAGAGGCTTAGTGGAAGTACATGCAGAGTTCTTTGCAGGCACATACAGTATAGCGCACATTCTACGAGAAAGAAAGAATATCTTCTTAGGGTGCACTGCAAAGATGGTTGGACAGAAAGAATATGTTGAATATTTGCGCAGACTGTTTAAGCACCACGGGGGCCGTGTGCTGCGAAAATCATCTAATTCACCGTATACTCACTGGATACAGGCAGATACAAAGAGAGTCTATCTAAAGTCAAAGCGTCTGGAAGGTGTAAAATATGTTGATGCAGAGTGGGTATACGCCTCAGTATACGCATTCAATAGAAATCCAGAAGAAATGTATATTGTTCAAGAGAGAATATGTGAAGAAGCAGAAAGTAACATAGAAAGTGATGACAGCAAAGACCCCAGTAATGACTCATTGTACAGCAGTGATGAATCTTTGTATAAAAAGATCCTGGATGATGCATAGACAAATACCCAAATATATAAATATTTCAGTTTTCCCTGATTGAATGATCTTGATGTATCATTCCTTCATAACTTCCATATAAAAATACCATTTAAATATTTAGTCTACTTAATTCTCTTAGACCCATCGAGTACTATTGCGTATGGGTTGGCACTGTTTGTGCAGTCAGGACATGTTTCAGGCAGCAATTATTAAACCTTCCTGCCTGAAAATGGCCATGAGACAGATGATCTGGGCGGCAGCCATGATTTATGCTGCATCAGTAGGATATATATACGCTGAAGACTACATATACAAGGATAAGCTTCTTTTCTTCTCTCCTGATGGAAAAGAAAGCACTCTTATTAGCAGAGACCATCTGCACGGGTTTACTACGCATGAAAAAACATATAGAGAAGGGTGGATTAACGGTCGATACAGAAGGTGGGCTGAAAGAAATGCACTAATTGGTCTGTCTACTGCAAGTTCTCTTTCTATTTCTCCAAAATACTTTCCCAGTATAAAGGACTTTTTTCTGATGGCAAATGAACAAAGATATGCATCGTACAAGAATGTGAGTCTGGAGTATTTAGCAAATCTGCTTTGGGTGTGGACACATTTTCACTTGGACCCAGGCACCCCTACCTCAGAGGCCAGTCCTGCACGGCCTGCAAAGATAAACTGCTTTCTTGAAAATCTTCTGCTTCTTATACGAAGCAGCCCAAGTATCCAGGGTCCTCTGCATGGCATATTATTTGAGATAAGCAAGAACCATGGAACCTGCAAATCAGAGCCACCAAAGACCATGGTTCCAAGAGATAGACTTTTCTGGTTCCTTTCATGCCCTCAGAATGCGCACATAAAGAGATTTCTTAGTACCCTTCTTGGCCCAAGGACCAGTAATATTTTAATATACGCGCAGAAAACAGGCGATGAAGCAAATAATAATGCGCTGCGCATAATAGTGACCCCAGGCCATATTCCAAATAGAACAGACGCAGTGCCTCTTTCTTCATTTATTTTGGAGCAAACGACACATAAATATACTCATTTACTTCTGGACCTTCATGAGGCTGCAGTTCTTTCACCAGATGTATTTGCACATCTATTCATTATATTCTCGGGAGTGCATACTCTTACACTTAGCACTAATAGGGCCACAGAGCAATCAGTGATAGATGCAGCTAGTATTCTTATCAGAGATATTCTATTCTTGGAAGAACAGAGGCGAAGAAAGAATCTTCCAGTGCGCTTGCGTGGCCTTATTTTGTCGCATGCGATTCTTCTTACCCAAGAGAGTACAGATCTTCTGCAGAAGACACCACTAGAGACCTTTGGATTTATGCAGTTCTATCCAGCTGATTACACAGCAGAGCAAGAGTACCATAAGAAGCATATAATAATTGAAGCCTTCATCACAGAACTCTTCATAAACCACACTGTTCTCTCTTCATACATCAAGAAGTTAGTGGGTCCAGATGCACTTTTCTTTGCAAACAGACATATAGAGGGACTGCGCAATTTAGTATCCATAGAGATACACACAGACGGCCGCATGAAGCACGGGGTAATTCAGCCACTAGACATAAAGGACAGCAGAATCCAGAAAGTTGCAATTGTAGAAGAAGCTGGGAGCACAGAAAAAGACACATACCGCATACTTGCAGGACTTGCATCGATAAAGCACATGCGCACACTCGATCTAAAGAGAACCACAGTCCAGGCGAAAAAGCTACTTTATCTTCTGCTTGACAAGAAAGTGCAGTATAAACGTACTTTGCGAATTATAGAAATCCCGTACACGGAAGGCACCAGCAATGATACTTCTCTGCCTCTCCACCTACTAACTACTTCTCTGAAGGGCGTGCGTGCATATGGTGTGTACGTGAGGAAAGGAACAAACCCTCTGAAGCGCCTCATACAAGATGTCCAGAAGACCTTTTTGAGCAGACGCATTTCCATATGGATGCATCTGCAATCGATTTCCTGGGCACCAGAGACAAGCACATACTCCTTGCACCCGTACACCATATCACGCCCTCTCTTTAAAGAGGCATACCAGGCAGCAGGCGCACAAGCTAGAGGTTCTTTTGGAGAGGAAGAACTATTCCGCATGCTGTCAATAGGGACAGCATTAAACAAGCAGAAATAAATTCAGTTGCGAAACTATTTATTGTTTAGTAGAAGGCACTTAATGGGTCGACATTCTTTGGGAGAGTGAATGGAGTTGCGAAGTATGTCTTAAGACCTTTAATACCAGCGCATTCCTTTTCAATTGTTGCATCAATGGTCTGCTGCTTGTTGTCAGTTCCAATAAGATGCATAATATCCAGATCTACTGCATTTTCTGTGGTCCAGTCTCTGATGGCAAGTATTTCCTCGTCCTGTACAGAGATAGAGTCAATGAATGTCTTCTGCAGGGGCACAAAGACAGACACTGCGTGCACAAATCTTTGGTTAAGCACTGCAAATGTCATTCCGTTAATCTTGGATGGCCCGCTAATGAGCACAAGATTCTTTGGAAGCTTCTTTATAACGACTCCTCTGAGGGAAGTGTACTGTCCTTTAAGAACGACAACGACCTGGCCTTCTATTATATCTGACCTCTCTTCGTCTACGTGTCTTTTATTTTGGTCTATCCACTTAAGAACTCTTCCTGGGATGTCATCTGCCTCGTATTTGGCGCTGTCTTGCTTGTTTATTATAATGTTTCTAATCATCGGGGGGGCAGAAAAATAAAAAAAATAAATAAAGCAGTAGCAGCCTCTTACTAGAATATCACAAAAAACTGTCTGCAGATATGTAGCTACACTCATACTCCACAAGAAGCAGGCTTCAGGCACCTTGAAATTTGCATAAAATCACTTCAAACGGCAATTGCATCGGGCATTTTGCGGAGTGCGAATATAACTGCATTTTGTGAATATTCAAAAATACTTGAAAAAGTGTCTGCGTGTATCGGAGGTTCATACAAGAAGCATCTTTATTTCAGGAGTTTTCTTAGGTCAGTGTTTGGGTCTGATGTCTTTTTCATCACTTTTGCAACTGCCATTTCAAAGTCATCCTTTGTTATGTGGGTTCTTCTTTCACGCAGTGCAAACATACCTGCCTCTGTGCAGACTCCTTTCACTTCTGCCCCACTTGCGCCAACTAGCTTTTCAGATATCTTTGCTAGATCGATGTTTTTTGTGAGGTTCATTTTCCTGGAGTGAATTTTAAGTATTTCCAGGCGGGCCTCCTCTTTTGGAGCTGGGAATTCAATCTTTCTATCGATTCTTCCTGGTCGCAGCAGTGCCGAGTCCAGGATGTCTATTCTGTTTGTCGCCATAATGACTTTTATATTTTGGTGAGCCTCAAAACCGTCCAGCTGATTGAGAAGCTCCAACATGGTGCGCTGCACTTCACTGCTTCCGTTTGAGCCCTCCATTCTTACAGACCCAATCGAGTCAATTTCGTCCATGAAGATAATTGATGGAGCGTGCTCTCTGGCCATGACAAATAGCTCCCTCACAAGACGGGAGCCTTCTCCAATGTACTTTTGCACCAGCTCAGAGCCAGAAACTCGAATGAACCGGCACTGCGTGTGGTGTGCAACTGCTCGTGCCAGAAGGGTCTTTCCAGTTCCTGGCGGGCCGTACAAAAGAACCCCTTTTGGCTGGGCAATTCCAAGAGACTCAAATAGTTCTGGGTGCTTAATAGGGAGCTCTATCACTTCCTTCACCTCTTTTATCTGATCACTCAGTCCTCCTATCATGTCATACGTTGAATCTGGGGACTTTTCAACCATCATGAGAGAAATAATCGGATCGACCTTTGAAGGAAGTATTTTATACAGGGCGTACGTGTCTCCTCTTAGGGCCACGCGCATTCCTGGCTTAAGGCTGTCGTAATCAACTTGCGGCTCAACCTGCACCAAGTGCTTTCCTTCAGTGGTTGTTTTCACTAGAATAATGTTTTTTCCCATTTTCTTGGATACTTCACCAACAGTGCAGGATGGCTCTTGTATTATTGCGATTTCTTCTTTTAGCTGCCTGACTCTGTCGTTTAGGGTGTTCTTTATTTTGTCTAATCTCTCAATGTTCTGCTGTTTTTTTTCAATCCGCACTTTCAGCTCTTCAGCTCTGCTTGTGTTGTACTGCTGGAGGATATGCATATACGCAATACAAATAAAATAATTTATAGAAATTGCAATGAATTCAAATAGATGCACGTCCGTGCAGAGAAAAGACAGAAACACTGCAGATTTAACTATCAGGTGCAACATATACTACAATGCATGCAGATTAAATTGTGCATGTATGCGCATAAAATATGAATATTTTTCAATGAAATGTGCAGAACTGTACTAGTATATGACAGATGCACACTAAAGACAATCTGGATATTATGGTTATTTGGGCCTAGAGCAGGATTCTATTGAATAATTAACTCTCTGGTGCATGCATTAAAAGGCGCAGTATGCTTATATTATATCTGCATTTCCAAGTACTAGAAGAGTAAGACAGTCTTAGCTCTAGCTCTTATACAATACAAATGAATACTTGAATAGCTGAATCTTTAAAGGATGTACTGAACAATTTGAAAATACTGAATGATTATATGGGTGTACAGTGGTGTAGTATAGAAATACTCCTGCATGTGCATATAATTGTCTTATATGATGAACTATTTTATCTCCTATAGAGTCATGATACTCTTACTATTCTTTTAATTACAGAAAATTCCTGAAGTATATTATATACATAGAAAGATGAAAAATGACTAGACACAGGATAAAATTGCAGAGATGTGAAGTGGATAGTTCTTTCTTCTGGGATATAGCTACTGTATTATTGGTTTTCAATAGAAATTATGCTGCTTTTTCTGTTATTATTATATGACAGTGCATATACTTTGTGCTTATCCTTTAATATTCTAACTGCCTGCACTCTGAATACAATTGCATCTCTGTGATAAAATTAGCTTTGCATGCACTTCTTCGTGTATTTATGCAGGAAATCTTTTTTTGTGCGTTAATGGAAGAAAGACTTCGCAATGAACTTGCAGGGATTATAGGAAAATGCAGCAACATTGAAGAGGAGGCACTGAAAAAAGCCATTATGCAAAGTAAAACACCAAAGAATGGGGACTTTGTCATTCCATTCTCACAGATAACCAGAGATGAAACACTTATACAGACAGTCGCAGAGGCAATAGTGACAGAAGGGTCTATCATAAGAAAGGTTGAAGTTATCAAGCAGATGCTGTGCATATACATAGACGTAAAGAGCATTTCACATGAAATAGTGAGTGAAATACTTGGGAAGAAAGAGGCATACGGAAGCAGCACAGAGGGAGAGGGCAAGACAGTTGTGATTGACTTCAGCTCCCCAAACATTGCAAAAGTATTCCATGCAGGCCATCTGAGGACCACGATCATTGGAAACTACATACAAAACATATACAAGAAGCTTGGGTACAAAACAGTCGCACTAAACTATCTTGGGGACTGGGGAAAGCAGTTTGGGTTCCTGGCCATAGGATATGCAAAGTACGCAGACCAGAAGAAAATGGAAGAAGATCCAATTAGGCACCTAAATGACATATATGTGAGAATGAACCAGGAGGCAGAGCAAGACCCCTCCCTGCACGACAGAGCCAGAGAGTTCTTCAAGAGAATGGAAGAGGGAGACGAAGAAGCCGTCAGCGTATGGCGAAACTTCCGAGAGCTAAGTATTTCTAAGTACGAAGAAATGTACGCCAGCATGAACATCCACTTTGACATATACTCAGGAGAGAGCTTCTACGGAGGAAAGGCAGCACTAGACAACATCCAGACAAAGCCATACCTCATTCCATGCGAAGACGGATCGAAGATAGCAGACCTTGGGCAACTTGGAAAGACAGTTCTTGTAAAGAATGATGGGTCTACCATATACATCACACGGGATGTTCTATCAGCACAGGACAGAATACAGAAGTACTCCCCGCACAAGCTTATATACGTGGTGGCCAGCCAACAAGACCTGCACTTCAAGCAGCTCTTCAAGCTCCTTGAGATGGACGGGTACAGTCCGTCTCTCTTCCTGCACATAAACTTCGGTATGGTGAAGGGAATGTCCACCAGACGAGGCACTGCAGTCTCTCTGGCAGACATCATTGACGTGGCGCAGGATGCAGTAATGGAGAAGATGCAGGAAAGCGGCAAGGCAGAGCAAATATCTGATAAAAAGAACACGTCCCGTACTCTGGCACTTTCTGCAATTCTTGTGCAGGACTTTAAGGCAAAGCGTATAAAGGACTATGACTTTGACATGAAAAAGAACACGTCCTTCATTGGGGACACAGGCCCGTATGTGCAGTATACTCTCTGCCGCCTGGCAAGTATTTCCAGGAATGCAGTATACCCAGTTGGAGACATGGCTGGCCTAGACTTCACAGACCTGGGAAGTGACAAGTGCTACGAGCTTCTGTTCCTTCTGGGCAGATATCCTTCTGTTCTTGCAGAAAGTATCCGGGGGCATGAACCATCAGTCATTGTCACATACATCCTGCAGATATGCCAGCTGGTGAACTCAATATTCCGTGTTGTCTGGGTGGCTAACCAGCCAGAAGAAATTGCTAGAGCCAGGCTCGCCATGTACGAGGCCATTAGGTACGTCTTGGCAGATGCAGTGCGTATTCTGGGAATGAAGCCACTAGAGGTCATGTAGGCCACTCCCTTTACTTGACAGCAAAGTGTCTCAAATAATTAGTGAACGCATAATAATCACGCAGTGCACCTTATTGAAAAAATATGCTAGACAGGAAAGTGTCTTCTATGGGGCAGAGCACAAATATAATTTAGTGCGATATTTCAGGGACACAGAGTCATAAAAAGAATAAAGATCAAGTATTTTGGTATACGCATGCTGTGATACAAACTCCATTAAGAGGCAGTTTTCTGATGGCCATTTAATTTACACATCTGCAAATATTTTATATGCAGAAAGAGACTGTGCCTTTAGTTGTTCTTGGAGGAGGAGGGCATACGCAGGAGATCATTTATATCATGAAAATAGGTCCTTATTTTTCAAATATCACATTGATCCATGGCTCCTGTGATTCTCTCTCAAAGAGTCTTTTTTTACAAGAAATATCCCCAAAGAAGCACACATCATATAGTATGCCTAGACCAAACAATGTGCTTGAAAAGTACTCTGTGCTCCAGATGATATGCTCCCTCTTTTCTGCCATCATGATTATTCTGCGCTCAAAAAGTGACTTTTTAATATGCAATGGACCTGGAATATCAGTTCCTGTTGCTCTCGCGTATAGACTGCTTCATCCAGGCCGGCCAATATTCTATATTGAAAGCATGACCCGTGTAAAGACACTTTCCGCTGCAGGGAAGATCATCCAGTATATAGCAAGTGTGTTTATTGTGCAGAGCAAAGAACTCTCCAGAAATACATATCCATGCAGAAGGTTCCATAGTATATTCAAAATACTTCCAGTCTAGGCCATAAGTGCCTTATAGCACAGCAGGCTTGAAATCAATAAATTTCAGGTTTATTGAAGCCACAAAAAGATGGTTTTATAATTATTTATGTGGCAGATACTTCTGAAAGGCTTGCTTCCATGAATATGCAGGATATGCAGTGTGCTGCAGCACAGAATAGAAGACTATTATCAAATTCACTTGTTTATTTATACTTGTAGGGTTTTTATTAAACCTGCTAGTTAAACTGCATATCCTTAGGGCCTGAAAATGTAAAATATCAGAGACTACAGAAAACTATCAAATCACTGCTTTTAGTTAAATCTGCAGAGGTTATGCCCTGGATATGTTGTGCTGTTCAATTCTGCATTATACCTGCCTGGTGAAGCACAGTATCCTAAATAATGCAAGCATTACAGTGCATTTTATATTTTGCTTTGGCTTTGGCAAGTATCACACCTCTACGGCAATAAGAATATTTTCAGTTTGTTGTAGCTAGTATTAACGCATACCTCGCATCCACTGCCATAATGATAGCACTGTCTTAACTCCATGCACTGCCACTGCAGACACTACTACTGCAGATATGCAGCCTACAAGCACACTTACCTTGATTGTTCTGAATATATACTGTGGCCTTTCTGGGTCTGTCTTTTTTTCTTTGCATATACTGGATATATGCACTGCCTTAATTACCATGTGCATGATGTATATGAAGAGTGGCTGGAATATTTCCAGGCTAAGACTCTTTTCAAAGCAATAGTATATTTCTGTTGTATTATTTTCTTCTCTTTGTCTTAGGTATATCTTTGAGATGCACTCAATACTTGGCAGCCACTTGAATATTTTTAGATCTGACTGAATAATTATTGACGGGGTTGAAGATTCTCCATCCATTGTATATAGCTCTGTGTACAGCATGGATATGATTGCTATGCGTCTAGTTGTTATTTGCTTTAAAAATGCTCTTTTCCCTATTTTCCCCTCTTTTATTTCACTCTCCAGGAGAATGCACCCGTTGTTTAAGAATATGTCTTCCTCCTTAGAGGTGTTGTCTGCGAAGTATCTGCCTAGAATGCTTTCTATCGACAAAGAGGTCTCTCCCATGAGCATCATCCTTCTGCTTGTGTGGTTTGCTTGTGTGTACCATTTGCACAGAACTGCCGTGTCTTCATGCGTGCAGAAAATGGACAAGCACAGATCGTGTGTTTTTATGGTTACTACTGAATTTTCTGCCTGGAAGTGGAGTATCTCGTGCTTGTTAATTACATACTTCCAACCAAATACCATCTCACACACAATAATTGTGTTAACATAGACCTGAAAACTACCTCGCAGTGAATTGCACCCAGCCCGGAAACTTGCAAAAAAACTGCGCCATGGCTTCTTCTCCTTTTCACTCTGAATCACAAACCCTATCCTATTTGGGATAAGCTTTCTTTTTATACACACCTCCTCTGCTGCCATTGCAGTTTCCTCAAGGCCCGGTCTGTACTCATTTGTTATTTTTCTCCTGTGCCTCTCAAGTTCTTCTGATGCTAAGTTGGATAAAGTCGCAACCTCCTTTGTAATTCCTGTGGATATTGCATTCTCCACTGATGTGCACTGATGGTCCTTTATGGTTTGCATCCACAAGCAAATATGCGCATGGTCTGTTGACACTTTTTCCATTGACTCAACTTCTTTGAAAATTGACTTCAACAGGGAAAGTGTTAGCTTGTTTGTTTGAATAGAAAAGCTTAGCTTATACTGTGTAAAGTTCACTTGTTTTTCGTATATCTGAAACTTTCTCTCCAACTCATTCTGTCCTTGTCCTGGTAGTTCTGTCTTCATGAATGCCTGCAGTGCATCATATCTTAATCTTGCCTGTTTATAGTCTGCACATGCCTTCTTGATCATATTCCCAATTGTGGAGTCAAGTGAGATTGATTCTGGAATTGAAGGGGGCATGAATATGTGGCTGTATTTTAGTATTCTGCTGTGGTTAAGCTTCTTTGTGGGCACTGCCCTTACATATATATCTGACTTTTCAATTGTCTCTATGGAGTGCACATACTCCATGAATGCTGTTCTGAGTTTTTCTATCTGCTGCTCAAGTGCTTTTTTCTTCTTCTCGTATGCTTCAATGTCTTTCTTGAGGATCTTCATCGATTCATATGTTCCTTTTGATCTTTCCAGGAAGCCAATTCCCTCTTCGCATGCACTCTCCAGGGAAAGACCCATTGTTTCTAGGAACAAGGCGCTTTCTTTTTCTTCTACCATGCTTAAATAAAAAACCATCACACGGCAGACTATTAATTATCGATTCGTAAATGCAGTCATTTCACATCTATGTGCACTGTGGATGCAAAGTCACTGTGCATACCCCTCACTAGAATATGCATAAATTCTTTGAAAACAAGCACATGTCTTTGCTGCCAATAAATCTATGCGAAAGCCTTTTACAGGATATAACTTAAATATAACTTTAATAATCTGAAGATGTTCTTGCATGCTGCATAATATGGAGAATGGTTAAATAGTATTATTTATTAAGCCTGTGGTAATTACAGTGCAGTTTCTGCAGAGAATATTTTTACTACAGGAAGTACTTTATTTGCACTACAGCAAGGCATGCGATTTAAATATTATCTACACGATTAGGTCTAAGTATATATGCATCTTTGCAGATACTTTGTGATTTATCCATGCCATTCGCACTAATCATACTTTTTATCCTAAAGAACCCAATATCCTGCTACTCTTCTAGATAGCCTATTCTAATATCTGTTATATTTGTTGCATATACGGTATATTTTATAGCACAATACAGGCTACATTCTCTGCGTGCATAAAATCACGGGCATGTGAAGTATTTGGGCTGCTCTTCTAGTTATCAAGTGTTTCAAAGTCCATGCTATGGAATAAGTCGGGCTGCTCTGCAGGCTTCTCTGGCTCTGGCACTGCCATCTCTGAGAACTTCTTGTGCATGTACGCAAGGGCTTTATCAGTTAGAAATCCTGTTCTTGCTGAGAATACTCGTTGTGTAAACTCTGGGGTTTCTTTGATTTTCTCATAGACTTCTGGGTTGTCCATGATGACAAATGCCTTTGACACATTCTTCCACATGTACACTTGATACTTGTACGCCTCTTGGTCTTTTGTTGGATTGTATCCATACTGCACCCATAGCTTCTTCCATGGGCCTGTGGAGTACGTGTATGCAATGCATGCCAGAATATTTTTCACAGAAGACCATTTCCATGCCTGGAAGTCTTTCTGGTGCTCTTTAAAGTACTTCTCCAGGCCCTTAATTGGCCACACCCGCCTCTTTTTGAATGCAAGCATAAGAACCTCTTTGAACTCACCATACCGCACACCTATCTGCTTTTTTACACTTTTCTCTATCGCCGGATCTGCTTCTGGAACCTCTTCCTCTATGCGAATCTTTTTTACTAACTGCCTTCTTTTCTGCGTATTTTTAAACTCCTTGAAATTATAGTATTTGAAGACTCCTGACAGAGTGGTCACAGGAACAGGATAGAAAGGCACTTCATTGCTGCTGGTGTGCCTGTTGAAATACTTTGCAAGCTCTGTTGTTATGCTCCCTTCCATTCTCTCGCCCATTTCCTTGTAGAACGTAAGTGACTCATGTGGCATGGGAATGTAGAAGTCTGAGAGTATGGGCTGCAGATGCATGTCCACCTGGCCGTATATAAGCACGGTGTCACCCTCCTTGCTTGCCACATACATATTTGCATCTGTCTTTCTTTCTTCAAGCCGGATCTCTTTTTTCTGCGGTGACTCACGCAGGTGAAGAGACTCTCCTGTCCACACGTACCCATCGCATCCACCAGGAAGGGTAATTAAAGAGAGACTTTTTAACTTTTCCTTTGCGAATAAATTCCCCATATGAATAAAAAAATCCAGAGTAAATATTTATGCTGCAAAACGCACTGCTTGGAATGAAGAAAGGAAGAGGCGCCCTATCAAGCTACCGCCCAAATGCATCCAGCTTTTTTTCGTTTGCCTCCACGCTAACATTCTTCTCAGTTGTTCTGGGCATAAAATGGGTGGTTTTAATATATGCCATGTACTACATTATGGCATGCAAGAAGATTACTCTATACTATCAGCCGACTGAGCACAATGCCTTTATTGTGTCCAAGCTGAAAGGTCTAGAGCGTGTCTTCTATCCGCATATTCTGTGGATCCTTCCCCAGATACAGACAGTTTCGTACTTCGTGCGCACGCCTCGGCACCATAAAAGCACACAAATAGAAATAGTTCAGGATGACGGAGGTTCTTTTGTCATTACCGTATACGAGCCTGAAGTGCCAGCCACTCACACGGTTATTACACTTCATGGGCTAGGCGGCTCTGCAAATTCAAAGAACGTGCGGATACTTGCCTCGCATCTTCTTAATGAAGGGTATCGAGTGATTGGGCTAAGTGCCAGAGGAACAATTAAAAAGCTCCGTACTCCTGAGTTTTTTCATATAGGCTGGAACAAGGACCTGGTGCGTACTTTTAAGCATGTTCTGAGCACGTATACGGGAACTGTCTCTGGCATAGGATTCAGCCTGGGTGGCCACTGGCTGACAAAAACATTTGGCGAGATGGATCTTCACTTTACACAGGAGGAAATATCCCGGATAAAAGGGGGCATGGCCATCTCCATTCCTTTTGACTTTGTAAAGATCTCTGAGTACATGATGAAGCCCATCCCCAGGCGCATATATAACAGAGAGTTTGCCAAGAAAATACATAGATTTATAGACAGAAATAGAGAGCTCTATGAGGAGCACGGGTACCCTGTGTCTGCCCTTCTGAAAATGAACTCAATGCATGAGCTAGACACGTCTTTTACAGCAAAGGTCTTTAACATACCGGACCTGGAGGAATATTATTACAAAGAGTCCTGTGTGCGGGTTATCCACAAAATTAGAAAGCCATTCTTTATACTTAACTCAAAGGATGACCCAATTGTTCCTTACTACACGATTCCCATAAAGGAGTGCGTCCAAAGCACTCACGTTATACTTGGCTTAACTGAGCGAGGCGGGCATATGGGGTTCCTTGGATACTCCAACCACAAAAGCTATGCAGAGGAGGCAGCCATTGAATTTATATCAGTGATATCTTCAATGTAGAGGCATGCATGATGCATTTACTGCAGTAGTTCTCCATTCTGTCGGTTAATAAAATGCATATCCCTAAATCATGCAGTTTCTAGTCTTCAAGTTTTCTTGGTTTTCATAGATGCATAAATAAAACCCTTCAAATTTATAATTTATCCTGCAGACTTTCTAGTATAACATATTCATAAAAAAATCATATTTTATATTCATTCCTACAGAATATTCCAAAAACCACTTCTGCACACTCCCTATACAATAATAGAGCATAAATACTATCTGCATATTCTAACCTATTTCATCGTATATTTCTTGCATGTAATTTATAAATAGTTTCCTGCAATTCTCATGGAGTCTGTCATCTAAGCATAATGAACGCACAAAAATTATATCTAGATGTTTATTATTGCTCTATGGCATACCCAATCTGGGTTAAATTCGTTCCTATAACAGGCATCTTTCCAACTGCCAGGCACGAAGACGGATTTAGCAGATTATCCATTGACCCATCCACAATTGCATCCCGCATGAATGTGTACGCTGTTTCAAATGATATTTTCTGCATTGGTACTCCGACTGTAGAAAAGGCTCCTCTGCTGAAGGGAATGATTGTGCCCGTGTGCGTCATGTAGTCAGCAATCAGGGACAGATGCCTATAGTCCACTCCAATTCCATACACGTCAAACACTGCAGCAATTTCCCGAATAATGGCAGACCTTGCTGCCTCCACGCCAAGCACGTTGTATGTCTCCCATATACTGTTGGAGCGTGCTGTTTCCACATTGGCCAAGTCGCACAGAAGGCTCTCCGATCCAACTCGGTCGAACAGAGAGTGTAGCCCTCCCTGCTGCACAACGTACTGTCCCTCGCCGTAGCTGCAGTTCTCGTAGCTGACGCCTGTTTCAATGTACATCGCACCAAGGATGCTTTCAATTCTTGGGAGGTACAGTGTTCTATACGCAACGCTTGCATGGAGTGTCACATAAACCTTCTCTCCGTCGGATGTGCACGATGGCTCTCGTACATGGTCTGCACAGCCCTCCTCGCTTACTTCAGCAGGCGCCATCTCATCTTCCTCTCCGCTCTTCTCACTTGCATCTGCAGACACTTCTGACTCGGATTCAGACTCAGAGCTTTCTTCCTCGTCTGTGTCACCCTCCTTCATCTGCGCAACATCTTCCTTTATTTCGCGTGCTGTTTCTGTAATTTCCTGGTGTGAGAGTGACTTTAAGAAGGCCAGCATACTGCGGCTGAATTTAGAGAAAAAGTCCCTCCGTATGGCTGTCTCCACAGCCAGCACTGCTCCAGGCACAGGCGTAGCCACAATGTTCAACTGCCGCACAAGGTCTCCATTGTGCATAAATACTTGCTCATCTACACTGATGTCTGTTAAAAGCGAAAGAACAGACCTGCGCCCAGATATGGTAAGTGCTCTTTCCTCTTCCGGTGTAGGAGGCCTGTGTGCTTGAACTGTTATAACAGGAGTTTTAATCTTCTTTGTGGCGTGCATAACAATCTCCTTCAGACGCGGCATACCAAGGGTCACGTTTTTACCTCCCACACCTGCCAGGTGGAATGTATTCAGTGTCATTTGTGTTGAAGGTTCTCCCACACTCTGTGCTGCCAATATACCAACAGCCTCTCCTGGGTCTACAGATGCCTGTGCATATCTCTTCCACTCTGTTCCCTTTTCCACTGCCTTAGCTGCATTTATTGATGCCAAGTACTTCTCAGACACTCTTCCTGGGACAGACCGTGCGTTGTACAGATCTCCCGCAGTTAACCCTGCAGCACTTGCATTCCCTGCACTTTGTAAAGACCCACTGTCTTTAATGCCTGTATTTTGTCTCTTCTGTGAGGGGTTTTCTGCAAAGAACTCGTGCTTATGAAGATATGCGGCTTTTTCTGGGTGCACGCCGTCCTCTCCGTATACCATCTGTATTACAGATCCAGTTGCATCTCGGACTGATCCATCCACCTCCACGCGCAGGCCTTCCAAGTGCTTGATCAAACATCTTTGCAGATAACCTGATCTGCTGGTCTTAACGGCCGTGTCAATCAGCCCTTCTCTTCCGGCCATGCAGTGGAAGTAGAACTCCTCTGGATGCACACCTGTCAAGAACCGCTGTGAAATAAATCCGTGCGCACGGGGTGTTGGCTCAAGCGGGCAGAACGTAGGCAGTGTCCTTCCGGTTGGCATCAGTGGCACACGCAGTCCTTCCAGCTCCTGCTGACCCAGCATGGCCACAATCTGCCCTAAGTTAACCAAGCTCCCCTTTGCCCCAGAGATAACCATGGCGCGCATGTTATTCCGCAGTCCCTGCACACTCAGTCCACTGCCTGCTGTTTCCAGAACCTGTGATGCACAGTCGCTTGTGGATGCGCGCATTTCTGCGTCTAGGTCTTTCTTCTCTGCTGACACTTCACCGCGCCCTGCAGCCCGTGCTGTGTCCTGGAGGTATGTCATATTAGACCCCATGTAGCTGCACGAGACAGTACTTCCTGCCACTAGGCCCTCCTCAATCTGGACGCGCCGCTGCTTCTCTGCCTCTGGCCTAACCACTAGATCATCCATTGTACAGGAGTGTCCGCGGACTATTAAAGCCCTGTTGAACAGCCGGCCCAGCGCTGTAAGCAAGCTGTTTGCAGCCCTGCCTCCATACCTCTCATGCACTGCATGAATTAGGCCGTATGAAGCTGTGCCGATCTGCGACTTATCTAGGGCACCAGAAATCACAGTGCCGTTACGCAAGATAAAGTCGTCGCCCAATTTAGTTCTCGCTGCAAGGGAGATGTCCATCCTTAGATTCTGCATGACACCTGTAACGCACTGTGCTCCTGTGTAGAGGCGCGCTGGGCGCAGGATTGCTGGCTTCTCTAAGACCCATCTTCTGTGCTGCTGGATTTCCTCTAAGGCAGTGACGAGCATCTGTGCGTATTCGTCGCGCGGGAGGAATATGCACCGCTGCAGGAACAGAGTTCCCATAACCACGTGGTCCTGGACGTGCCCCCGAACGGGTGCTCCGTTTGTTGCAGAAATAAAGCACTTGTCTGTGGCGCATATCTCTTCTGCCTCCACCTGCGCCACAATGTTCTGTGGACAGTGCACGTTCATTTCGTCCCCATCAAAGTCTGCGTTGTACGAGTTACAGTTCACGTAGTGTAGCCTAATGGTTCTTTCCCGTGGCAGAATGCGCACACGGTGCCCCATCATACTGACTCTGTGCAAGGACGGCTGTCTGTTAACAAGAACGTAGTCTCCTGTTCTCATGTGCCTCCAGACACGCCGTATAGACAAGCTCGAGAGCGGCTGCAGAGGGCCCTGCACATGCACATCTGCATCTGTGCTGGCGTGTGCATTGAAAGATGCTGCAGTGAGTAGCTGTCTAGCAATGTGCTCTCTCTTCTCTGGTGTTATATGCTCCAGACTGATCATCTTTCCTGTGGCGTCTTCTACAAATTCTGCCCCTGGGTACACTGGCCCGTTCTCAACTGCCTTGCGAAGTGCTTCTATGTTTACAGGAGAGACGCCTTCTGGGACTGTGAGCTTCTTTGCAAATTCCACTGGAAGACCCACTTCGTGGACTGCAATTGCAGGATCTGGGGAAATAACAGAACGTGCAATGTAATTCACTCTCTTTCCCATAATGTGCTTTCTGAACAGCCCATCTTTCTTTTCAATGATCTGCCGCACACCAAAGGCTTTGGCCTTGTCAGACTCGCGCGACGAAAACAGCTCTCCAACTGCATCCTGCAGGCGTATGTACGAAGATGTGATGGCTTTTGATGATTTGTCTTGCAGATTAAAGAGATCCATTGCTATCCGAATGATATTTTGGTATATCCCTGTCTTCAAGCTGGGAACAATAGCATCTGTCGGCAGGCGGGAAGCCGGTCTGCTCTGGTTTGAAGTCACAGCGACTGCCTCAATAAAGAACATTGGAATGAGAAAGTTTGCGCCCTGCAGCTTCTGGTACATGCCAGAAAATAGCTCGGACAAAACAGCCTCCTCATTCTGCGTGAGTTTCTGAATAATCTGAATGGCCTCAACTGGAAGAAGAAGCTCACCCCGAGAGACTGGGACGCCCTCTTTTGGTCTGTGCTCTCTCTCCACTGAGATTCGCATAGACGAAAGCGTGATCTTTTTCTCAGACTCACCGCACCAGAGGCATGCTCTTTGGGGCGTGCTCAGAAAGCGCGTACGGAGGTTGTGCGTTGTATTCTCTGGCAGATCAGTGCTTGGTGTATTCTTCAAGGTCTCAGTGAGCAGCTCCTGAATCTTATCGTACTTTTTTCTACGAAGAAGTTCTCCTGCTTTGCTGGCCTGTATTTCGTGCCCGCACCGTGCAAGGTGCATTTGTGCTGCTGCACCGGCAGCCTCGTCCTTTCCCATTCTAAAGCGGAAGCACCCAAGGCATGTTTGCCGAATAAGGCGTGCCAGTGTATCGCACGTCATTGGGTTGTATACAGGAAGGGGCAAATCTATGTGGCCGAAATGCCCTGGGCATGCATTGCCTCTCTGTCTGCATGTACCACAGGCTTCGCTTATATCTGATGATCCCAGCCGCTGGTCGTATAGACCGCCTACTATGGCGTGTCCCAGATCATCGTATATCTCTGAGTCGACTATTTTAAGGACACTTTGGTTTTTAATTTCCTGCGGTGTAAGCATATGCAGGTGCATTCTTTGTGCTCTAAACAGAAGCGGTCTTTCCTTGTTCATTTTCTAAAAAAATATTTCAGAGAATTTATGCATTCTTTGCTGTAGAATGTTAAGGTGCCACGGACTTTCAGCTGACAGAGAAGTATAATTTATTTTATGCAGTAAGTCCCTCTAGTGCCATCTACATGCGCTTGATGAGTCAATAATTTCAATATTTTGTTCATTCTATTTTTGTGTATATATACTATGTCTTCTACTGCATCTTTATATATCTTTGATTGGCTGGGTCTTATTTAGCTGATATTCAGTGCACCCTAACTCATGGCCATTTCTGCCAGTCCTGGGGACAGTTCGGTTGTGGTAATTAAACCTGCGATAAATAAATTATTATTCTGTTCTTTATTTATGTCACAAAGCATCGACGTAAGTGGGAGGTACACAGAGACAGGTAATATTCTGCAGCTGGAATATGCCAAGAAGGCAGCTGCAAAAGGGCACACCACAATAGGCATAGCATACAAGGACGGGGTTATCTTGGCGGTGGAGAAGAAGGCGTCTTCAAAGCTTATTGACATTAAGAAACTTATGTTCATTGAAAGTCTTTCGGATGGATTTGCAATGGCATACACGGGCCTTGGGCATGATGCCTTTGTGCTTAAGCACGAGCTGAAAAGGTACTGCATGCAGATCCTGGAGTCTCGGGAGAGAGAGCCTCTGGAGGAGGAGATGCTTGACCAGATTAGATCCTACCTGCTGCACTTCTCATCATATATGTCGTGGAGGCCGGTTGGCTGCGAGTTTCTGCTTTCTTCGCAGAACACGCGAAATGTGAGTCTTTTCCACATCGATGCATCTGGCGCAGCCAACAGATGCCGGGCATATGCTGTTGGGCTTAATGCACAGGCTGCCAAGACTGAGTTGGAGAAAATTCACCAGGACATTGCCACACGTGATGATGCAGTGCATGCAGCCATTAGAGTCTTGCATCTTTCAAAGGATGAGCTCTCTGAAGGATCCTTTGTAATTGAAATGGTAGAAGTGTCTAAAGAAGAGGGAATTAAGAGAGTGTCAGAAGAGGAAATAAACTCTCTCTCTGCAGGGTTTAACAGTGAGCACAACTAGTTGCTAAACAAACACCATCCTGCGCTATAGCGATTCTGGTTATAATAAATCATATTCATTATGCCTTCTCACTGTATTATAGACTGTGCATATGCTTGGCACGCACTTTACAGAAGTACAATATGACAGAAATACTACTTTGCATTCTTCTGAGTTTGCAGAATTTCACTACTCTTCTATTTATATTTTTGACCGCATGGAGTGGCTATAAAGGCAGTTAATTATGAAATTCTTGGGAGGCTAATTTACTGCGTATCTGTGCTTGCTTTCACTCCATATACTCGTGTGCTTAAATAGGGGCATGTATTCTTTACACGTATGCACACTATCAAAGTGATTGCGTGCGAATATTAAAGCAGATAACGCCACTCTATGTGGTAGTTTGTGGATGTGGGGTTTGCATATTAATGCGCAGTCTTAATGGCTCGCACTTTATTTATGTTTCTTGATGAGATATCATATCTTTTTCCAGAAAAAACATCTGCATTCGGGCTTCTATGCAGATGCACAGAAAATGGCATCTTGCCGGTAGTGCTTGCCTTTTACCTCTGTTTGCTCTTTGTGGGCGTATTTTGCGCTCTCTATTCCAGTTAAAGGTGCCTGCAGCTGCTTGAATTATATTCGATATATTTTTTATTTGTATATTATGTTTAGTGGTAAAGACGGACTATTCGCTTTGGACAAGGGGACAACCACAGCCTCTTTCATCACAAAGGATGGAATTGTGGTGGCTGTAGACTCTAGAGCCACATCAGGGTCGTACATTGCATCGCAGACTGTGAATAAAGTCATCCAGGTTAACAAATATTTGCTTGGCACAATGGCAGGTGGTGCTGCTGATTGCTTCTACTGGGAGAGAGCGATGGGTGACTATGCGATGAAGCATGAGCTGAAGTATGGGGAAAGAATACCTGTGGCAGGGGCTGCAAAGTACCTTTCTGCTACACTGAATGCGTATAAAGGAAGAGGTCTGTCAATAGGAAGCATGGTCTGCGGGTGGGGGTCAACTGGGCCTGCCATCTACTATGTGGATGACTCTGGAAACTGCATAAACGGCAAGCTATTCTCAGTGGGATCTGGGTCTTTGTTTGCATATGGTATTTTGAACCCTGGGTACAGCTATGAAATGGAGAAGGAGGATGCAATTGAGCTTGCAAGGCGAGCAATCTTCCATGCTGGGCACAGTGATGCATACTCCGGGGGAACAGTGAACATCTACTTCATTGATGAGAACGGATGGACTAAAATAGACTCACAGGATGTATCTTGCTTATATGATAAGTATATGTAATAATAAATATTCGTATTGCATGAGTGTTTAGGATTTGCATGCGGTGCTGCTTGCTGGCTGCCTTGATTTAGATCTTCAGATGCACTTCTACGCTCTATTGCTATCGTTTGCGTTTATCTTGATAGAAAAGGTGCATGGATTTTCATGGTACTTTTTGGCCTTGAATCTGATTTATCTTTGGCTGGTATGGAATGAACCCCTCATAGTATACGGAAAGAATTCTGAATACAGGTTTGAAATAAAAATATAAAGGCTTCACTTTTTATTCATTCATCTTTGAAGATTGAAGGCTTTTTAAATCAGATCTTGCCTAAACAATAACTTGTGTTTGGTGGAAATAAGAGCAGCATGGGAGAGAGTGCTACTTTGCGCTGAACCAGGTGAGCGCATGGAGCGCGCTGTGAGATATTTGTTCTAAGAAAATTCATAACTATTATGTAATCTGGAATATTAAACTTAAAGGGCCTAGGGTAATAGGAAGCTGAAGTAGAGAGTGTGTAAGAAACTACAAGAACACAACTTGTGCTAGGCAAAGACGTATACAGATCTACAATGTACAATAGATTTGTCTTGCATTTCTACTAAAAACCCAGAGTGCTGTGCAGAATTGTCTATATATTTATTTATGCGCAGCACAATTATATGGTAGTTATGAAGAGACCAAACTATTCGAAGGCGTGCAGGATCTCATTAATTATTTATTTTGGATTTTTTGTTTGTCGATAGGGAATGGAAGAAGTTAAGAGTGAAAAATGTTTTTCTAGAATGCTGTTGCTTCTAATAAAAGTCGTGAACTCTCTAATAATTCCGTTTGACATAAAAGCACTGCTTGTTATCGGTCTAGAATATGTCTCTGCCGGCTTGCATAGAATTCTGCAGAAAAAAGAAGAAAAAGAGACACACAGCAGTAGCGCAGAGGAACCTATTCGAAAAACAGCAGTTATGCTAGATGGCACCAGCAAACACGGGGTTATTTTGAGGAAAAAGCTTGCAGAAGAAGGATATTCTGTTATATATCCAGACGAAAACGGCATTTCAGAAGAAAACATGATAAACATTCCAATTAAAATAAGAAACGAAGCATCCATTAACCTTTTTGTCAAGAAAATATCACTGTATGGGAGAATAGACCTGCTGGTATTGAACTCTGCAAAGCGCAGCATATCTACGCAGGTCAAAATCCGGCCAATAAAAGGCCTTGAGAAAAAGATTATTCCTTCAAAGGACAAAAAAGGATTCATCAGTAAGAATGAACTCTACAAGGAAAAAAATAGAGTTCTATTGGAGAAAGACTCAAATGCAAAGAAAAACTATCTATTCAACTTTCTTCTGATTCGAGGTCTTGCAGAAAAGCTGAAAGCTGGGGATGGAGTGGTTGTGCTTTGTATTGACAGAATTTTTATGATAGCTGACAAAGCCCCATCCATGCTGCCAAGCTACTTCTTCTCATATTGCCACAGCCAGCTGCTTGCTCTTTTCCTGGGAATTGGCACCAAGTCCCGATACACCTACCTAGACGTGCGGATAGTAGGGAGCTGCTTCCTGACCGACCAATGGACATCTGCAGCTATAGGCTCCATACGCCAAAAGAGAAGTGAGTCGGTTCAATACTTCAATGGTTCTACAGAGGAAAAGATTGATGAAAGCTACACAGACAGAGCAAATGACCTGTGGGAGAATGCAGAGATGGTCTCCTAAGCGCAGCTAGAGGTACAGTACAATAGAGGATTGGTGACTGGCTGTGCTAAGGCCTGCACTTCGCAGAATGTATAGAATTTCATGCACCCGCATTCTTTCTTTTCAATATCCTAGGCAGATAAAATAAATCTGTTATACTGCACTTTTCTATACTGTAATATGCTTTTTTATATCCAGCTTGGAATTACAGTACTGCATTTTTCAATATACTTTTGTCTATCTTCCCACAATGGAGCTAGTTCTTTGTGGCTGTCTTTTCTGCCTGCATTATGGTATATTTAAATTTAAAATGGCAGATTCCTTGCTTTAGATGATCTACAATTTTATCATAAAACCGCATGCGTACTACATGTATACTTTGCATAGACTTTATATTTTCAAACAACAAATCTTCTAGCAGAATGCAACTAACACTACGTATTTAACGCGCATTCATAATATAAGTAGAAAATAGCAGAAACAAATGATTACATTAAAATTCACTAGACTAGCAGGATATTCCACACCTGTGTACTTTAAAGCAGTAATTTTTAGAACTTTAAATAAGTTTATATTTGGCTTTATTCATTTATAGCAAATGCTTTTTCTATTATAAGCCACTCAAATTAAGAAATACCACTATTTTCAATTAGAGGAATTTCTTTGGTATAGAATAATAGAATAGCTCTAGTAGTTTTTCTACTATGATTAATAGGGATATCAATCAATTATATGCCATGCTCTTGCAAATCCATCAATATATCTTTTACTATAGCATAAGACACAAAGGCTGTTTAAGAAGTGCTATTGATTTGGAATTGCATAGCAGTTATTTAGCTGCCGCACGGCATACTGCAATATCTGTAGATTCTGTATTAGAATTAAGCCATCTTTTACACCGGATATAAAAAGACGCAGCTATAAGTTTTAGTCTTTTTATGAACTACGCAATTTCTTTAAACCAACTATTTATATGCCATTGCAGGCCAAAATGCGCTTTAATAGGATATTCTTGCTATTTCAGGATGGTCTAGAATTGGGTTGACAATTCTCCACTGCTCCTGTATCTCAGAGAGCGGAGAAAACCCACTGCGCTGTGACTCAAATATCAATTGGGTGAATAGATGCTCGTATGCATCAATCCGGTCCTCGCTATTTGGAATAGCAATGTTTATCTTTTTTGCTAGCTTCTTTTTGTACTTTATTTCTATTGAAATAGACTCCTTGGGTGTTATTTTTATCTTTATTTTTCCTGTTATAAGACTAGAAGGATTCATTCTCTTTGGCTTCTCAGTATCATCAGCGCTTTCCTCTGATACGTCTACGCTTTCATCTGTGGATATGGAATATGTTTCTTTTGGGCTTGGAGTTCGAGAATCCTCTGTTTTTGAGGGTTCAGTACCTACAGCACCCTCTTCACTCTTCTCAAGGCTCTTTATTATGGTTTCCAGCAATTCTGGATTCTCATAGTCCTTTGAGCTGGTTTCCTGCTTGGCAATGAAAAGAATTGCGGATGGGCTCATCATTAAAACCACTGCAACAAAGTGAGAGGGCATTTTTTTGCCTGCTGTCATTTTCAACGGTATGTCCCAAGGACCCTTTATCGTTGTTTCTGTCCGAATGAATGTCTCTTTCACGTCTTCATTAGTGGGCTGGCCCTTTTCTGCAGAAGACAGCTTTGAAGTCTTAAGATCCTTCACTACTCTGTTCAAAGAGGTCTCACTGTGTGTTGCTCTCACCTCCTTTGGTATTTCATGGGCCTGGGTTATCACATTATAATACTCTGAATACACTCCAAATACAACCTTTTCCTTGGAAAGCGACTCTATTTCCTGAAGAATTGAGAGCCTTGTGTTGTTTCCAGCTAAAACAGTTGCCACTGCCAATAGCAGGTGGTTCTGAAGAACATCTCTGCAGGCGCCAGATGTATTATAGTAGCTCTCTCTTCCCTCAACTCCAATTGTTTCGTTGAAGTATCCCTTTACGCCTTCAATCCAGCCCGGCTGAATAAGCTTTTTTAGAATGCTTTCATTAAATATTCCTCTGTACTTAACAAGCACATTCTTAAACAGATAGTGGTCGACACACAAAAATACATCAGAGTCATCTGACATGCATGCTTTCAGCTCATTAAATGTGTCCAGAGAGACCCCAATTGGCTTTTCTATAAGCACAGTTGGAAGAGGCCTATCCCTAAACTGTCCGCTTTTTATCTTGTCCTGAATGCTTTTCAGTATGCCTGGATATGTCTCAGGGGGCACGGCCAGATAGAAGTAGACGCGCTTCTGAGACATATCCGCATTATTTGCTATTTTGTATATATTCTCAACCATCTGATCGTACTCTCCGCTGTAGTACTCTATCCTTTCAACTGTCTCCTTAAGGTAGGATACATTTGGATCTATTCTGTGTATAAACTCTTTCAGAGTTAGGCTACTTCTCGCATATCCTATAATCCGAGGTATGTATATATTGTTGTTCTTCAGAATATCACTCTGTGGTAGCTTGTTTGAGAATATTCTACTTTCAGTTGCCTCCAAGTATCTCTTCTTCTCCAGAACATCAACTGGATTGGCGTGCGTAATAGGGCTGTACTTGCTTAAGTTGTGCGCAGAAGTAGAACTGCTTAGAGTGCCATCTTCCTGATCTAGTTCCCGTGCTGCATATTCTCCTCCCATGCACCTCCCGAGTGCCCTTCTGAACACTTTATTTATGGCTGGGAATATCTTCTTCTTGCTTAAGTCTCCTGTGCATCCTGCAACAACTATCATTACAAATATATTATTTCATTCTAAATAATTTCCTGTAAAAGTATAGACAAATACATGGCGCATAGACTAAGATACACCAGAAATGATTTATGCAGGAGTATTTTAATTGAAAAGCGCGTATACTAAGAAATCAAAGCATCTTGCGGCTTCATAGGGAAACAATCCTATTACAGAAGCACTTTGCTTCAAATTATAACATCTGCAACACCATGCGGATGGCTGCATCTATTTCTAGTAATATTGTAGTATAAGAAATATATGCTACTATGGCACAACCAAGGAAGTATAGTATCTTAAAAATAACAGTGTACTATGCACAATATCTTTGTGAGAGAAGAACCTTTATTGTTTCGATTAAAATATCTTTGAGTGTTACTCATTAGGATAGAACACTATATGGTGCAGATTACTTTCTTTCTATTGTATTTGTCTTTCTGCTGTATGAGTACTCATTGGCACTTAATTTGGTGGGCTTTGAGTCATACTCAATGTATAAGGCATCTTCAATTCGCAAAATATTACAGGAAGTGTTTTTGTATATAACATAGTTATATGGGAAATAGTCAGACCAACTGCAGTAGCCTGTGTATGTCTCTTTGCTAGAAAAAACTCTTTCTATTTCATGCACTAGCTTCAAAAAGAGCTCTTTCTTGCTGATGGGTCTTTCTATCATCTCATAAATAGTTTTGTATTGGATGCTCTTTTGAGGGCACTGCTGTAGGTTTATTCCAACTCCAATTACAGCAGTAGCAGAGGCCTGTTTCTGTGATACTGATTCAAGATAATTAACCAACACCCCACCCACTTTGTACTCATCCTGGCCCTGCACAAGAAATATGTCATTTGGCCACTTCACTCGAATAGAGTCAATCTGGTACTCTTTCTGTAGAATATTTTTAATTATATTTGAGACAATGATTGATACATTTTCAAAGTGATTCTCTACATTTATAAGAATAGAAAAGGTGAGTGATCCATTTGATGAGACCCAGTTAGTGCCTTCTCTTCCCTTCCCGCGCGTCTGCATCTCTGCTATTACAGCAGTTGGGACAGGAAGAGTTGCATGATTCTCCATGCAATAGTCTTGCGTTGAGGCAAGAACCTTTTCTTCTACAATATGCATGCAAGTAAAAAAAACAGATGTTATATATGCGCAATCACTAGAGGCAAAGTAAGTTGCAAGTTAATCCTTAGAAGATCTTCTTATTGCACAACAAGTATCATTCTATGATGTAACATGAAGACTGAAGCTGCATAGCCTAGAAGTAGTGGGTGAATAGAGATAACACCTTGCTTAAAGAAGAATTTTTGTTTTATGTCTTTCGGATATTGTCAGCTGCTTTATTTCTGAATTTGTCTTGATTGACCTGTTGTCTTTTTTCTGTTGCAGAATTGGATTTTTTTATACTTGAAGCCTGATTTTTGTTAGAGAAGGTCTTGCTGTTAATATCATTTTTCTTTTGCACTTCTTGCAGTATAAGAATCTTTCAAAGAAGGGGCAGTTTTCCACAATATGAAAGAGAAATTAGTACTATTGGCAGTTAGGTTTCTCTGTTCTGGATGTATAAAACTCTTTCCTTGAGGCAGCAATGTAGATTAATACTAGCCATTACCTTGTGGATTTGCCTGTCGTTCGTCTTGTTACAAGAAGATCTGCTTATACAACAAAATATCACTTTTTTGAACCAATAGTTTGAATATGCATATGTACGTTATATTGGGTGATTTTAAGTGAAATATATTGATCCCCAAATATAATCCAAATAACCAATAGAAAAAACTTACAATCCTCCTGAATTTATTCGTTATTATATATTGAAAATGATTTATTTTATTTAATGAAAATATATTCTTCCGTTATTTGGATCAAGGCAGTTGCCTTGATCAGTGTTCTAATGATGAATATATGCAGAGCAGACATGACATTGGAAGAAGTGGAGGCCACTCTACAGTTTGCAATTGCAACGGATGCAACACCTATAAGAATAAATCCAGAGGGACCTCTTAACTTCCTCCGGGGATACATATATCAGAAGATGGACTGTATGTACAACAAACGGTTTTTCTCCCCACAGATTTATATAGATTACGCTGTAGAGGAATATATATATGATTCAGAAATGAAAAGTTTCTATATCCACACTAGAGAAGAAAAAAAGGACAGAGCATATGAAGCACTACCAGAGAATAAAATGGATGTATACGCTGAAAAGTACCATAATCATCTGATTGAGCTATTTCCATCACCCACTGGGGACATAACCATAGAGACACGAGGAAACCAGTCCTTTTTTCAGTTCCTTCGGGCTAAGACAACAGAGAAACATGCATTGCAGATTCTTGCTATGCTACTCCTTTTCTCAGAGGGAGTGCATATTCCCATTGACGTCAACAACAAGAAACTGAAGGTGTATGAAACAGATAAAAAAGACAAAATATACTTTGAAGTGGACATGATCATCCCATGGTTGAATAGAGAAACAAATGAAACGAAAAGGTTTGAACAAAAGAAAGTTAAGCAAATGATCAAATTCTTCCAGAAGTATGCAACCAATCAGGAAGTACTTAGCATGATGGTGGACAAGTGCTCATACGATGAGTTTGCTACAGGAAAGTTCTTAGACAGTCCAAAGTTTCTAATTCAGTCGTACATATTCAGGTTTATTAGAACGGCAGAGCGGGCAACAGAATTTATCCAGACTGTGCACACTATGACAGAGAAGTACGCGTCTAAGACAGAAGCACCAAGCAAGGATGACTGTGTGTATGATAGACTGTTTAAGCCAGATGGGACTGAAGCAGGTTCTGACTGCATTGCCTTAATGAGGGAGGTAGAGAATGTTATGAATATGCATAAGGCCTTTCCATTTGCAGATAGCACACAGATGCCTGCATACGTATCTGTTCCTCTGTACAACCGGAAAGACAAGTTGTTTTCTACTGATTCGTTGAAAGACTACAGCAACTGTGTGGATTGCATGATTCTCTCTCTCTTCTGCTGTCTGGCATATGACCCGAATGACTTCACATATAAAACTGACCACATGGGAAATGTCTCTGAAGAGCTTGAAGAATTCTTTGCCCCAGACGAGAACAAGTCATTTGACACAACAAAGGCTAAGTTCCAGAGGGAGTGGTGCAAAGTTGTTGCAGACCTAGATGAGCCTAGCATTGCATACTGCACGGGAAGAAACGAGCTAGACTGCGGTCTTATAAACATGCTCATGGTTATTGCTGAAGTGATAAATGCTCCAGAGGAAGAAAAGAAGAAAATACTTAGGTTTTCTCAGTGTTTAAAAGAGAAGAAGGGAGACATAGAGTATGAAATATTAAATGAAATTAAAGAATACACCAAAGAACTACTTAAACGGCTATCAAAAACAGAGAATATTCAAGTCAAGTTTTCTGAGCTTACAAGTGATAACTATAATGACGAAAGATATGATCTATCTGGAGATATTACTATAACATTTGAGCATAACTCCATTCAAAATACGATAGTTTTGAGAATATCCGAAGGGCATAGTGCCATTAATATGCAGCCAACTATTATGAAATTCAAGGATGACCGATTAGAAAAAACGAATGAAATAGCAGACATTTGTAACAGTGGATCTACATTTGTTGAAAACTTGTTTTCTACATATATGGGATATGAAATACGAAAGATTGACACACCCAAGAAGAGTGAGGAGTTTATGAGGCAGCAGGTGCGCAAAACCGTGGAGAATGGCTTTGCAGACATCAATAGGCTATTATTGGTAAAGAAAATTAGCAGCCTTGAATATAAGAGGCAACTAGTCTCCTGTTCTATTATATACAGCATAGATAAAAATTTAACCCCGGCACATCCTATTGTTCGCTTTACTTCTAACATATTAGGAAGCAGTGAACTAGGTAATAGGCTTATTCAACTGGATATGCTTCCTTCAATTGCTTTTGCAGATCTGCATACTAAAAACAGCAGTAATCCCAACTATCCAAATATAAAAATCTCAGAGAAAAGATACATCGAGATATGTTCTAACCTAGATTCATTTTTCTTGATTAGTTACGTGCTAGACTGTGATGTAGATATTCTCATAAGATGGCTTAAATTCGATATAAACAATTTTTACACTAGTGGTGAGATTGAATATAATCCAATGATGCATCCTTCATTGAATAAAAGAATTTGCCAGCAGATATTCAAAGATGGAACTATGAAGTATTCTGATGAGATTGACAATATTATGATTGAAAAACACTATGAAGAGGAAGATAAGACACTAAGCATTATACACTTCATTTGGGCTGTCTATCTCGGTATTGAGGAAACCCCAAATCTAGAGCTAATTAAGGCAAACTTAGCTGCTATTCGAGAAATCGAGTTTATTTCACAAAACTGTGTTATTTTTTTTGGAGATTTTTCTATACTCTGGAATGCTATTAAAAACCTAAGAAATCTAAAGGACCAGCTATGCAGAGAAGAAGAAGAGATTAGCAGATTTAACTTCATTATGAAAAAATTTCCATGGTTTGGATGAAGATTTTTCGTATCTGAAGTATAAATCCTATTACTCTTTGAAGCACATAGTTGCTTTTCTAGCCAGAAAGGTTTTTCTGCTCATTTACAATAAAGGCTTCTCTCTAAATTATTTTTAAATAATTTTATTTAAATTATTCTTCACGTATACATTTTTTATAAAGTGGTGCTTATTCACTTTTATCTTGCAAGATCTTGGAAAATCGAAAAAACGCACATATTTAAAGAACCATCTTCCTGTAGAGGACACAGTGTATGGGTGAATATATAGGGCCATTTCCATCCTTCAAACGCATGAAGATCTTCAAATGGGTGTGTAGAGTCAGAAATCAGAGTGCTGCTGTATTATACTTGTGAGAGCTGCATTGTCACAATAAATCACACAGTAGCCCAGAAATAGTAGCTCAATATAGCCCGAATACTAAGTGAAGAGCTTTTATTATTATGGTGAAGTATCTTCGAGTAGGGCTGTTACACAGTGTTTATTTCAAATTTTGTGTTTCTTGCAGAATAACACTCGGGGTCTGGTGTTGAAGCGCAGAGGATTTCTTCATCGCCATTATTTTATTTTGGAGTCCGAAGAGTAAAAAGAAATTTCCAAAAGGGGCAATTATACCACAGAAATATATACAGATATTGTGCACTGTCTTTCAAGTTTTAGTTACTAGTCATTACGCTATAAGAGCTTCTTTCTACATATACAAAGATGCTATATATCTTTGACTCTTGCCTTTTTACTTATTTAAGAACGAATAACCAATAATCATAGATACGATTAATAAATGCCATGCCAGAATTTTCTGGAAGCTTTTTCTAAATCTAAGATCACATTGGAGAAAGTGCATAAATAGAGAAAGAAATAAATAAATTATGTCAGATAAAAGATCCAATAATATTATTTTAGAGGAAATCCCAAAAGAAGCTATAGAAGCACTTGGATATTCAGAAATTTTATGGGGGAAAAGAGAGAAAGGGGAATATTGCAAATTTGATAACTATATAAATATGAAAAATTTGGAAGAAAACAAAATGAGACAATTTTGTCTAAATGGCAAAGTATTTAAAGTAGATATTGACGTTGATGGAGTGCTAAAGAAGTATAAAAGTATGTACGCGAATAACAATGCGAATGTAGTTATTGGGAAATTCGGCGAATATTACATTCTTAAGAAGATTTTTAGCCAAAGTATTATAATTCAATCCGGTAGCAATGCAACACAGCAAGAGCTATGTCTTATATATTCGCTAGTAGGCTTGCTTGTGGCAGATACTATAATTAACAACAAGAAAAACAACCCAAATGTATTAAAGCTAAGGAATGTGATTTATAATAGATTTAGTAGGTCAAGCAATCCACCAACGGATGAAGAGAAAAACGAAATTATTCGATCCAATCTAACCCATACTGAGTTCCCAAATAACAAAAATGGTCTTCTTGATGAGATACTGGAGGGCCTTTCTATCTCTCTTGATAGCAGAGCAGATGTAGAATATATTCCGGGCTATACTAGTCTATCTAATATGCATATGTACAATTACATGGGGTTTCTTAGCTTAGTAGACAATAGTGAGCTGAAAAGGTCATTGGAGCATTTTTGTACTGTAGGCATAGAAGCTCAAGATGATGCAGACGTAGACACTTATACACTTGATGAATTATACACAGAAAGAAATGAGAATGGAGTAAGTTTAGTAGAAAAGGGCCTTCAAATTATAAACGAAAACAGCAGTACAATAATTGTGTCTAAGAACAATAATATAAGAGATAATTTAGGCATTAGTGACTCGGATATGAAAATAGTAAGAAGCATTCATAAACACTTAGACAAAATCTTGCAGGAAAGAATACTATACTTTAACCTGTTGAGCTGGCATATACCAAAAAAGTCAAATAATAGTAAGAGATTAGATAGTATCTATTACGGAGAGATCAAAGCTGGAAATAGAACAAGCATTAAAGATTTTAAGTGCCGAGTAAATTTCCAGCTCCTATTCAACATATGGAGCCCAGACCATATCGATATGCAGGAGAAGTCAATGAGTAAAATGACAGAACTATATGCTAAAATAGAAGAGGTAGAGGATAAGATTAATCAAGAAAAAGAAGAATCAGAGAAGCAAAGATATATGAAGAAGCTAGACAGTCTAAGTTATAAGTGTGCAGAAGCAAAGGATGCTTACATTTGCTTTGGCATACTAAGAGAACTAACCGATGCTCAAAAAGAGCTAATAGTTAGCCGCATAGAAGAATATGCAGAGCTCTTAGAAATAACACTTAAAAAAGGCAAGCTACATAGAGAAAGTGAAGCAAGAAAATTTTGGATCAAGGCTGCAAAAGTAGCAATTTCCGCAATTTTAACAATAGCAGTACTAGGAGGAATTGCCTTTTTAGTAGTGTTAGCACTAAAAACGAGTATAGAACAGGAAAATCTTTAAGTCTTTTTAGATGGATTTCTGAGTGAATATTTCATTAATAAACACGCTTTCTTTATACAACATATGCATTCCATTATTAATACTTTCTAGCTATCTTTACAGCAGAGAAATATGTGTCTCCTAAGGATAAGCCAGCATAGGTTTTAATTATTCTGAAAATACCATTTAAAATATATAACTAGACCAAGTCTTTTCAAATGCTTACCTAAGTCCAAAGTTTATCTTTCTGCTGTCTAGAGATGCAATGAAGATTCTAATTATATCACGAGTGCATGCCTTGGTTATGCGAGTGGTGTGCAGATAGATGAACTTCATTGTAACAAAAGCCCAAAAACACATCTTAGCATAAATCCAGAATAAGAATAAATTCTAATTGAATATTAGGAATTCTTGCAGCAAAATGCCATCTACTGCATGTTTTTGTTTATGATCAGAAAAGTGTTTGTTTGTTGTGCTTTGCGGAAAATGCAGATACATTGCTCTGTCAATATTTGCATTCATTTAAACCTAGATGCATCCTTATCTATGCATACGATCACCAGGTATATTTAAGAGGCTGTTTGTTTATTTGCATGAAGCTAGTAGGAATAACTGGTGGAGTATGCACAGGCAGCAGCACAGTTATTGAGTACATTGAAGAAAAAGGATTTTCTGTTGTAAAAAAGAAGGAAATTTGGGAGCACTTGCACACAATAAAAGGCCTGCAAAAAAATAACCTTCCCGTAGACATTTTTGTTAACGAAAAGCTTAGATCCTTAGTGAAGCCACATGTGATTGAGTACATTAAGACAAGGCAGAGCTTCTTCAGGCTCTCATGCAAGTCTGTGCTTTTTATTGACCTTCCCTTTCTATTTGAATGCGAACTGGAGGAGTACTTTACTAGCACAGTGGTAGTAACATGCGGCCCAAAGACCCAGGAAGAGAGAGTCCATAAGAAATACAGCGCAGACAGCGCCACATCTGCCCCACACAAGTCCGGCAAGTCTCTTTCATTGGAAAGCATAAAGAAAATTATACAGAGTGAGATGCCTCTTTCAGAAAAAAGAAAGAAATGCACATATGTCATAGACAATAATAAAGGAATAGAGAACACATACTGCCAAATAGACAGCCTTCTTCGCAAATTCGGAAGATACTCCTATTTCTACGTATTTATTGTCGTTGTGGCATTCACGTCAATCATACTTCCTATTCTTATTAGGTACAAAGAGAAGACCCAGGAGATCAACGTACAGATAAAGGCAGCCATAGAAAAGCTGCGCAAGAAAATCAAGAGGCTTGGGTACTAAGCATCTCTAAAGCAACAAATAAAAAGATAACTAGAATGTATGTTTATTCTTTGAATATAATTTCCTCTTCCCCTTCTTGGTCTACTGTCTTGGTTTCTGCTAGTGGGTCAGAATCGTACAGGGAAGGATAGTCGTTTTCAGTTAAGTAGTGCTTTCTTCTTATGTATTCTATTCCCTTCTTGGTAATGACATAGTAAGCGTCTCTCCAGGCAAAGAACTTTTCTACGCAGCCCATTGAGTATAAACTTCTTACTATCTTCATAACCTTAAAGTTGGCTACATTGACGTAGGGATGTGGCTTGAGTGTTCTGTCAAACTGAACCACAATACACCCTTTGTCAAATATAAATCTCTGTACCTCTTTTATTTCGTTGGTTGGAATGTGCATTTGTGCAAGGATAGTAAAAAAAAATTAACCAAGTAGTTCAAAAAGAAAATTCGCCAAATTTATGCCTCTCTAAATAGCACCTCTTTTGCAGACCAACGTCTGTTTACTAGAACCCTACAGTCTTTTCAATAACTCTTCTAATAAACATGGCCGCGTAAGCTATAGATGTCACCAAAAAGAAAATGAATAATAGCTTTAGCTCAAACACCATGAATGTGCTTTTATTTCTACAGAAAAATATTTCTTTTAGTAGGCATTGAATAAATAAAGATGCTGAATTAAAAAAACAATCCGCCGATGCCTCTTTGGAAGCTAGTTTCCTTCTATGAATTATTCAGCCAAATACTTAGATAGATTTATATTTGTGGTAAAGTTTAATTATATTTACTGTGTTATATAGCTAATATTCTAGCCGAAGTTTTTATGCCATGGGAATTGGAAGTGTTTTTGCAAACCTACTTATAATAGCTATGGTAGTACAGCTTTGTTCTTATTCTTGCGCTACGAGATCTTTTGCGTGGCTGGGTTTTCTTTGAATGGTTACTTTTTGTTATGCTAAACATAGGTATTTGCCCAATACCTCTCATCTATTTATAGCTAAAATATGCATCATCTTGATTTATGCTGCTAAATAGTGAATAAATCAGTTAGATTTATATCTAATTATTTTATATGACTGACAAAGCAGATAAAGGCACTGCAGATATGGGGCAGACGGGCAATGCATAACCAGACAAAAGAGTAGTAAAAAGCCAGCGCATATCAATCATAAAGAATTCAAGTAGCACAATGAAGTAAATGCATATGAATTTGACCACCTGAAATAGTCTATGTGTGTTTCATATGTGTATATATAGCATCTTTCAGTTGCTTCTTCTAAGCGTTCTACATGTCTTTTAAGTTATTATGTCTTTGTTTTCACTTTAATTCTGCAAGACTAGAACGTATATGTTAACAGTGCATACTTATACTGTGTGCTTTCACCATTTCTAGGCTCTTCTAGTAAATCGCCTGCGTTTCCATGCCAATGCATATCACTTAATCATTTACAGGAAAACTGTTTCTTCTCTATTTACCAAAAAAGAACCACGCAATTAGACAACCTTTTTCTATACAATAAACATTCTTTTTTCCTTCTTTCTTTCATATTCTGGCCTGGTTTCTTGTGTTTTCGAATAGCTATATCTTTTTTATTTTTACTCTCTGCACTGCATGTCTGTTTCTAAATATAAGCAGAATAGATGGTATGACAATGAATATATCCCATACACTTTAAAGTTGTTCTCGGCCATATGCGGGGTGGTGGCTCTTCATGCTTTTACCATACGCTTTGCTGAACCCCTTGAGTACCCAAGCATTCTTCTTGCGCTTTCATCGCTTTCTACCCTCATTGTTTTTGGAATTGCTCTTTTCTAGTCTTTTTGCAAGACATGCATTCTCTTTGTTTCTTCTAGCATATGGCAGGAAGAATAAGCACAAGTGCTATTATTTAAATAATGATATTCTCTTCTGGCCATATTGATAGACAGTTTGGTCCTACTCTCTTTCCATCTTCTGTAAGTGCTAATTCCCACATTATTATTAACCAAAATCTCATTATAAATAAAGGGCATACCAACTGTGCATTCTAACTCTATGTTCATTATATGGAAATCTTTAATTCAAGTGTTTATGTTTCTATGCCTTCAACTGGCATCTTTGAATATATATGGAATAATTTGCATCATTGTATTCTTATAAACACATTTAGAATATAAAGTAAATCCAAATCAACATCTAGATAATCCGATTTCGAATAAACAAGTACTTTCGCATTGTAGCATGCTTTTCCACTGCATATAATACTGTATTGCAATGCATCCAATCATAAATGCTTTAACATGCCTGCACGCAATATTCATAAAAACACATATTCATATCCAAAGAAATTGCATATAGCACATATAGAGTAAGCAATGCCCTTAAAATATTATTGCACTAAGCAGAGACTGCATGAAATTAATTAAAATATTCATTTTAGATATATAGCATGTTCTTACGCTTACTGCCATGTGTAACCTTGCATCTATTCCAGCATATACACTGTCTTGCCATATTATACTATATGCGCCCCTTAGGCATAGTCTGCAATGTGCCTATATAACCAGTACACAGAGAAGAAGTAAAATTTTATTAAATGTGTGACCAGGAGGAAATTCGTAAGTTATGGCTCTGCCAAAAAACAATATTCCAAATGATGAAGTGCAGAGGATACACAGTCTCTGAGGTGGACATGGAAATGGACCTTAATGCATTTAAAACATCATACCCTGCTCTTATAAATACAGGTAGCAAGCACTCTCTATCCATGCTGTTCCAGCATACGTCCATGCCAGAAAAGCAGCTCTTTGTTTTTTTCCCAGACAATGCATATTTCAAAGCTAAGGACATAAAGCTGTACACCTCCACCCTGGGAAAACAGAATATCCACAATGGCATAATTGTGTGCAAGGAAACACTTAAGGCGCACAGTCTTAAGGCCCTTGACGAGTCCAGAAAAGACTACGACTTAGAGCTATTCTACATAAAGGAGCTCCTATTCAACATAACAAAGCACAAAGATGTTCCCAAACATGTTCTTCTGACAGACGAGGAGAAGAAAAGCGTTCTAAAGGAGCGAAAGGTAGGAGATGCACAGCTCAAGAAGATTCTAGTGGATGATCCTGTTAACAGATACTATGCAGGTAAAAGGGGTCAGGTTTACAGAATAATCAGAAATTCAGAGACTGCGGGTATTTCAATAGAGTACAGAATAGTAGAGTAAAAATAAACTAAATATTATAACGAGTCTAGGCCCTTGTGTGTGTATATTTTGCTGACTGTGTGGAAAAGCTCAGTAGTTTTGTATAGATTGTTATTCCTTCTTTTTTTTTATTGCATATGGGACTTGTTAAGCTCTTGTTTGAATTTAAGAATTCATTAATTCCTGTGGCTGTTTCAAAGGGAATAACTTTGCTGGAGGCTGCCGCGCTGAACCCGAATGTGCCGCTACGGGGGGCTTGCGAGGGGTCTCTGGCATGCACTACGTGCCATGTAGTGCTCGACAAATCCATATACAAAAAGTGTGAAGACCCAACCGAAAGAGAAGAAGATCTGCTGGATACAAGCAAGCTCCTCACATCCACATCCAGGCTTGGGTGCCAGGTAAAGGTCACTCCAGAAATGGAAGGGACCATAATTAAAATCCCAAATATTAACAAGAATATAATCTAGCTGCGTATAAAACGAACTTTAGAGCTGCTGCTGCAAAATTATTTATGAATGCAAAGAAGAACAAAACACTCAAGCAGCTGCAGGCAAGAATAGCAAGCGAGTCTCCGCTCTACACGGCTCTATTCAACAGAGTTTCAGTAAAGCCGCAGCTGCAGCTGTGCGACATCACAGGGCTACCTGCAAAGTATGTCTGCCCTAAAACAGGCCTGCAGTATAACTCTTGCAAAGTATACAAGAAGATCCGGGAAATGCCAACTGAAGCAGCACAGACCCTTGGAAGCATCCGACAGCTAGGAAAAGAGCTTTCCACACTAACAAAGAAATAAATCTACATAAACTTCAGATTTACCAGCCATGCACAGAAAGTCATAATGAAAAAGCATAAAAGTAGTGGAATAAGTGATTTATTCAAGGCTTGCAAGAACACTGTCTAGCTCCTTCTTGAAGGCGGCGCTAGCAAGAAGCTCTTGTTTCTTCTGCTCCTTCTCTTCGTTTTCTTTCTGAACAACAGAAACTCTCTTTATTCTCTCGTTCTCAAACTTCTCTAGAATGCCTGCGTTGGTCCATCCCATACGTACGCAGATTTCTCCAAGAGTGCATGTCTTTGTGGATGGGTTCAATTTGGTCTCTGCAAGAACCTGTGGAACTATAACTCTCTCCTGTAGTTCGTACTCCATTGGAATTCCGTCGTATGTCTTTAATCTGGCGAAGTCAGCTGCGCCCTGTGCTCCCTTGTACTTAAGCATTCCTCTAACAATTCTCTTGAAGCACTTGGATGGCTCCTTGTAGTGGAATGGTCCTTTCTTTGGGTTTACCAGGCATCTCTTTCTCTTCTTATCCTTATATATACTTACCATTCGTTCAATGGGTGATGAGAAAATAAGACCTTCTGATCTTACGACAACCACACTGTATCCCTCTCTCAGAGATTTGGCTACATATGCAGCTAATCTTCCCACGATATGGTCCTTTGCGTCAATAACGAGTTTTGTTCCGTGTGCCATATTTCTTACTTGGGCTAAAAATTAAAAAAATATTTATAAGAAACAGTTGGCTGTATACTATACAAGCCCACACCGCCAGATATTTGCACATGCTCAGACACGCATAAATCTCCATATGTGTATGTGCTGCGTATACGTACGCTCTTTCTCCTTCAAACCGCACACCACCCGGGTTATATGCAAATGTTACATTGGTTCAAAGTAAAAAGATTTAACAAGTACTGTATTTATCTATTATTATAATTATTGCTCTAGTTATTGTAAGCATCACTTTTTCCCTACCTTCTTGAAGGCACGCCCTTTGCTAAGCTGGATTTCTCTCAGGTCCTGTTTTTCTAAGTGCAGTACACCTAGAGTGCTGTTCAAAATGCCTCTTTCCACGTTTTTCACCTTCTTTTCTGTCTGTCTAATCTGCTTGCATTTTTCCTTCTGGTCTGCCAAGCCCATTCGGTGCTCCTCAATTATCTCCAAAGTGATTGTTGGCGCAATTGGTGTGAGTTTGAAAGGCGCTGGCTCTACCTCCATCATGTCCAGCATGATTGTATTATCGCACAGATCTATACCAATTGCATACTTAATCATGCCCAGCCCAACAGATGGCGGTGGCCCGCTTTGAAGAAGATCTAAAAGCAGGTTTAGCTTCAGCGGGTCTGTGTATGCATTCCTATGCACAAGCAGAACATGCAGCATATTTTTCAGAATATTCATATTTGTAAGCGCATGCGTAACTTTGTACTGCGCTAGCTCTACAATTCTAAACTCGTGTGTTCTTCCTATAATCATTCTTGCCTCGTGGCTCTTGTTCGTATAAATGTATACAAATAGAGAGCAGTCCAGCCTCTTTAAAAGAGCCTCCAGACATCCGTTTGACACAGAAGAGTTAGAGGTGGTTGGCTGGTGCGATCCGTCTTTGTCTGTGTACTTCACCGCGTTGTGCTTTATATTCATAAAGAATGTAATCAGAGGCTGTATGCACTGTGTGTTTGGAGATGGTGAAATGATTAAAAGCTTCTTACTGGGCTCAATAACGCATGGCTTCTTGTCTTTTTTCATGCAATAAAAATATTTCAGCATTATACAATAATTATTTATTCAGTTATCAGATAGGCTGTGCCTTTTCTGTTTGCTGCATATGTGGTAGTTTCTTTCCATTGCTGCAAAGAGGCACTCTTTCTTTGCTTTTATTCCTTCATACACGATCTGTCTTTTATTTTATGAAATTCCTTCAAGAATGGCTGGACGAATTGTGAGCGTGCTGTTCGGTGCTTCTTGAGACACATATATGCTTCCATCGGTTATTCTTCGCAACATATGCACAAACGCCTGGGCTTTTATTCTTCTGCATGTAGAGAGAAGATCTGCCTCTATATCCTCCACTTCCAGAGTTTCTTGCTCTGAAATGCTTTCATCTTTTTTAAAGCTACTCTGTGGTATGAAAGAGAGATCATGCCCGGGTGTCTCTAGAAGAAGTGTTTCCTCCGCTCTTGGAACTTCTATTAAGGAGTCATCTCCTCCAGCGTTTGATTTGTTGCCTGTGCTGCTGAAGAGGTTTTGTGTAATTTCCTGTAGCTCACTTGATATACTAGTACGCAGTTCCTGCTGTACTCCTTCAGCCTCCTCTATTCTACTAATCTCTCCCAGGCTCTCTTTTTCGCATACCTCCTTGGAAAGCCCTGCAACATGCATTTTCTGTATATATGCACGGGCATCCTTCAGAATTTCTGGGATTATAACTCTTGGCCTCTCTTTTCTGCTCTTCTTCTCTGCCAGTGGCTTAGATGCCTTTATAATCTGGCAGTCCAGCTCTGTGGTCTGGTCTAGCTTCTGTTTTTTTGCTGCAGATGCATCCTGCTGGGCTTCTCTTTTTCTTGGAGCTACTGGGCTTGCTAAAATTGTATCGAGCAAGACAGATGGCGCGCCTTGTGAAATCATTGACAGATTTATGTGCGAGCTACTCTGCAGCTCCTCTGTGCGCTCAAAGCTTGCGTCTTTTTCCTTAAGAATCGTGCTCTCCTCCCCCATCATAAAAGAGTGTGTTTTATTTTGCGCATACTCCTCAGAAAGTGTCTCTGCCAAGGAAAGGGAGATGTTGTTCAGACTCATTGAGTAGTCCTGGAAACTTAGCATGTCCACCATGGACCCTCGCGCCATCTCTATCTCTGCATCGACTTCCGCTATATCATTAGGTAGTCTTATGTGCTTGAAAATGTCAATTGCATATGTTATCTGCTTCTTGCTTGTTTTCTGCAGCTGAGCCTCAGACGGCTCCTTTCTTTTCATGCATATAAATAGCTCCTTGCACTCATCATATAGTATTTTGGTCTTTCGGAAAAGTATTCTTGAAAGGCCAAGTAGAATATGGCTTGAGGTTCTTAGCGCCAGCTCAGGCACCTCCCCTGCTTTTATTGACTTCACAGTGTCCTCTATGTCAACCTGCTGGATATCAGATTTGCTAAGTCGCCTGTCAAAGTATGCAGCCACCCAGGCTGCTGAAAGCTTTCCTTTGTTTGATAAAAAGTTCACTGCGTAGAACATTCCCTGTTCTTTTTCTTTCTCTATATATATTTTTTATGCCGGGAAACCTCCCGCCAAAGTGATACTAGCGGCCGCTGCGGTATGCAGGCACTGATGACGTCTTGAGTGCGTGGGAATGCATCCACAATCATTATGATTACACTGTTCTCTTCTTTAGATCCATGCACAGGTGGCTGAGCCTGCCTGCTGCACTATTTCATGCCTGGACATATGCATTGCTTTCTTCTTGCACAGCACGCAACTTTCAAGGAAGCCATATATCTGTACGCATTTGTATGTGGGTTGCCATTATATAGACATACGATTCTAACTTCAATTAGAAGAGTACCTCTGCATACTGCAAAATAATATTCACTTCAGAATAGAAAAATGAAGTAGCAATGGTCTGGTTTGTAGTCAAAATGTTATATGCCTATAATGGAAGAGGCTTCTTGCTTTTGTATGGGGAATGACTCAAACTGTCTAATAATTTTCACTGAAATAATGATCTTTGCATGAAAGTATATTCTGTTTGAATTTTCTTTATTTTTGAAGCCATGCTCTGCTAAATAGTGATATCTGGCCTTAAATTACATCAGTCCCTTCATAATTTATTTTAGTATTTAATAGGACGAAAATACATCTCCCATTACTTCCTATTGCACCAATAACTACGCCTGCCAAATAAATTGCAGCTTCACAGAGAGTTCTTTTGGATAATCAACCCTCTTTGTTATCCTCGCCTTCTCTCCTAATGCATGCAGATATATACAATTCATCTGAAACTCTATATAGCTCTTTACTTACTCTTTGGTCTATAGAATGAATGGCATCCAACAAGCTTGGTAATATATAAGCCTGTCTCTGATTTGAGCAGTTTTCAGATTGGCTTCCCCTGTTTATTCTACGGGCTCTTAAAATAACACAGCCGAATTAATTTCTTTCTAGTTTTAATTCACATCTCCTTTATCTATTATATTAATTATTGGTTATTTGTTTGAATTTGTTTCACTCATTCTATAAATATAAAACACATGGTGCAGACTCCAAAAATGAAAGACCAGAAAAGTGAACTATTTAAAAACTCATCTGCTGATTTGCTCCAAACAGGAAAGCAAAAATCTTCTAATGAGTTGTCTATTGACTGCAACCTTCAAAAAAAGCCAAAGCAAAAAAGATATGTTAAATACAATCTAAGCGAAAGTATTCTATTCAATAGTAAATAGCTTCTCTATTTATACCTATTAATTTTATATCATGTTTTCAGTAATCCCTAGATCCTTTCGTATTTTGTCCGCCTCTTCGCTTGTGATTCCCATAATGCAGTGCGTGCTGTTCAGCATATATTTCTCATCTGGCTTTGTATTGCTCACATAAAGGGTCTCATTTTTCTTTAATAGAAATGCTCGCCCAACTTTTAGCGTAGATGCAAGAGTTAGAAAGTTTTCTATTGTTTTGCTGAACGAGTCAACATTTATCACAAGTCTATAAAGCTCCACCTCTCCAATCTCTTTTAGAATTCCATATATCTTTTTAATCTCCTTTGGAGCATCTATCTGCTCTTCCTTTAGCTCTTCATTTTTGTCCGGCCTTTCCTGTGCTTTTTCTGTCTTTGTCTTTTTGGGCTTTCGTGCAGGCGCGTCTTGCTTGGATCCGGAAAGTGTAAGGATAGGCGGAAAGTATGCACCTCTAAAATATTTGCTAGCAAGCTGCCTGTGCACGTCAAGGTTCGTTGTTACCAGCTCAATATATCCATTTAGTGTGATATTATTGCTGCACTCCATAAAGATTCTCTTGCTCTCTTCTCCTATTATTTCGCTTACTAAGCATGAGTCAAGCCGCAGCTCCTGTGTGGTTTCAATCTCCTTCAAAAGCTCGTTGCTCTTTTTATACAGCGGATACAGAACCTCATTTTCTTTCTTTTTCTGCCTGGCCGTCTTAATTAGCGTAATGTACTTCTTTGTTAGCTCATCTGCCATCTGCACGATTTAATTTTACTTTTCTGCTTATTTCTATTTTATGCTTTTTCTAGGACTAATAAGCGGGGGAAAGGACAGCATTTACAATATGCAGATGTGCGTGCAGAATGGGCACACGCCGGTGTGTTTGCTAAATATGCAAATGGAGAAGGAAAAGGACTCATTTATGTTCCAGTATGCGGGAGGTAGTGTTTTGCCTGCAATTGCGGAGTGCCTGGATCTTCCGCTGCACCAGTTTCCTACATCTGGTGTATCTAAAGAAAGAGGCCTTGACTACAGTATATCTGAAAACGACGAAATAGAGGATCTTTTTGCTGCAATTTCCTCTCTCTTAAAAATATATTCGTTTTCGGGGGTGTCAGTAGGTGCTATTTCTTCTGTGTACCAGTACAACAGGGTGAAAAACGTGTGTGATAGACTAGGGCTGGAGATCTTAGGATATATATGGGGAATGAATCAGAAAGTGCTTCTTGATAAAATGATAGAAGATGGAATATGTGCGATTATAGTAAAAGGAGGCGAGTATTTGAATAACCTGGTTGGAGAGACTCTTATAGAGGTGCGGCAGAAGTACTCTGCATACATTCAGGAGCAGATAGAAAAATACAAAGGCCTAAAGGAGGAATCGTTTAATCTGTGTGGAGAGGGGGGTGAGTACGAAACAATCACACTGGACGCAAAAATATACAAAAAAAGAATAGAAATTGTAAGGAGCGATTTAGTGGAGGTAGATGGGGTGAAGACATTGAACATACTAGAGTGCAGAACAGTACCTAAATAATTCATATGAACTATTAACAGCATGAACTATTATTCAACGCGCTTATTCTAGTTTATATTACATTTCTCTTAGACGCAACTCAATAAATATTGAAATAGAAATTCTGAATGGTTTGCTGAGATAGGCTAATTTCTTGCATGCGCCTCTTTCATCTCTATCTCTTTAGTGATGCTGCTTTTAACGTTAGGTTTTTTCTTATATTCCTCTGTTTAGTAAAGAACAAAAAGAATAATTTCACTATGCAACCAAAAGACATGCTATTGTAAAAAAGCTTCTTGCAATTTAGACCATTATGTATGGATTGATAAAATATTAATATGCGCATGTTATTGGCTTTTAACAAAAATACATGTTTTCTCGCTATACTCTCATATTTGTTCATGTACACCCGCTTAATCCGTATATAAAAGGCTGTTTGTAAATAATACGTCTGTCTTTTGAAGGCTTAACAAGTCCACAGTGTTTTTGTAGACTCTCTTATTAATAGCACTTTTCTCTATTTTTCTATGCTTTTGTTTTTAGGATCTGAAGCCTTCATTCCTAAAATGTTTGGTATATTATGTAGAGTTTTCATTTTTCTAAAAGAACAGAACTAAATAGGAGCTCATAAAAGAAAGCTCTTTATATAGACACCATATGCAACAGGACATTATTTATTATTGATAGTTAGTGTGAAGAAGGCTACTCTAGATGATTTTTGCTAGTACAGCGAATACTATACGAAGTTGAGTTACCGCCTCTAGGCAGAATCTACTCTATCCATATTCTATGCTATAACAAATAATCTGCAAGAATGCCATCCTTATATCAGACACTAAAATAGAAAATGACAATTTGCATACACAAAAACTCTCTAAAGAAGCCTCACTCTCATCTATAAATAGCACACAGCCTTATATAAAAACAGGCAGAATGGATAAGTCTAAATATTAAAAGAAAATTGACTTGGCCAAAACTAGCCATTAAAGGAAATTAACATATAATATCTGGGCTGTATTTATATTGTCTTTATTTGTTATTTGACTGCTTTATAGTACTCTATGCACATGTGATACCAATCTACAGCAGAATAAATGCATCATTTATAACTACTGTAATACTCAAGTCCTTTGTATGTTAAGCTCATAATCATCTCCTTACTGTATCCTTTTCGCACCATCCCCTCGATCATCAATCCTTCATAATCAGTGGCATATTTATTGCTTGTCCCAAGCCCTTCTTTATATAGCTGTATTGCCCGATCAACCTTTGCTTCCTTTTCTTGCTGCTTTATTGTATTGTATCTGCTTATGGCCATATTAATATCAATGTTCTCCTGTGACTCGCATCCATCCGCATCTGGCTCCTTTGGCTTTTGGATCATTTTGTCAAAGTTTATAGTCTCTGGTGCCAAGCAGTTTTTTTCTGCTATTTTCTCCTTGATAATCTGCGATATCCGGGTTATTTCTTTATTTACGCTGTACATTGTGATATTAACATAGTGCTCCTTAACAATAGAAACAAGCTTCTTCTTGTCATCGTAGAAAAGAAGAATCAGTACTGAAATAAGCGGCGACTTATTGTGGTAGTACTTGTTGCTGAACAGCGTAATTACTCTTTCCTTCACATAGTCATAAGACAGAGTTATATGCTTTCTAAAAGACGAGTATATCCTGTTCAGCACATTCACCACATACGACTCGGATACAACTGAGTCTGGAACAATTCCTTTATTCTTAACCAAAAGTGACAAAAACGTCATTTTATTTGAGTTACAATATATTAAAACATCCTCTATTAAGATAGGGATGGACTTGCTTCGAAGAAATAGAAACACAACAATCGATACTTTTGTTAAATAGTTCAAACGAGTGGTAAACGTGGCTGTTTTTATAATACTTAGAATATCTTCGTAGTGCACCAATCCATTAATATCTTTTAAGACGGATTTAAGAACTATCTGTTTTGGGGCACTGTTTAACAGCCAGAGTGGTGTAGTAGTCATAAAAAATAAAAAATTCTAAAATATATATGCGAATTAATTAATTAAATCATTATTACATGAAGCAAGATTTCTAAGAAAGAGTTTTCTAAAAATGCTAATCAATTGTTTTGAATGAAAATAATTTTTACATGCCTTTCTGTGCAGAGCATGGGTATTTAGACCACTAGAGATGGATAGAACAGTAAAATGCAGACGAATGTCTTCACTATAACCTCTTATGCCTTTAAGCTTATTAAAAAGACTTCTTCCATATTCTCATAGAGGAGTGGAAGACTCATTCTGAAAATACATCTACGCTATTGTATACAGTCTTCACACACTTCTTAATTCTATTCAAAAAATGAGGTGTAAATGATGGTGCACATATAAAGCACTTTACTATTTCTTCTGAACTACATGCATTGCGTTTTAAGAGACTGTAGTGCTTCAGCCCTGTGAATTCTCTTAAGTATTGCACATAAAGGTGTATTTTTATTTTTACACACACTGGTCTCCTATTAAATAATTTATTATTTTCTATTCACGTATGGAGACAAAGCCCTCCCTTGACATATCCTACAAGAAGCACGAGCAAATTTCTTTAGAAAAGCTCGCAGAGTTCATAACTGCTTGCAGACTAAGAAAGAACCGAACGCCTATTACAAACAAATTCAATACTTCTGATGTAAATAGAATACTTGTGATCATTAATGAGTCTCGCCCTGTTTACTTGAGCCAAACTAATAAAAAAGAAAACTACACCGCAGTTCTTAAGGAATACCCGCTGCCTGAGGATATTCCCATATATATGCACTCGATTAGAACTAAAACCCCAAAGAAAAGTACTTCAGAAGAGGTGCCCAGAAAGACCCTTCTAGCAGAGGATCTTGAGAAGTACTTGGTTAAGGATATAAATGCAATATACACAGAAGGAATTGACCACAGGATATATACAATTCCTATATCAGAAAAAACTGCTTTCTATTCAAAGTTCAGCACGCCCGAAGTTCTTTCGCAGGTGGCAACACTGAGGCCGCTTAAGATAGAAAAAGTCAAGAAAGATGTGCCAAAAGACGAGTACACATACTATAGCGTGGTGAAGGTCAATGCGCGAGAGATGGTTTCGTTTGATGGCCCCAGCAAATATTCATTCTTGTCTATTGACTGCGAGATGGTCCTAACTGATATAGGGTGTGAGCTAGCTCGGATAAGCATCATTGATGGGGAGCAGACGGTATTGTATGATCAGCTAATTGAGCCAGCTGGAAAGGTCACAGACTATCTGTCTGAAATAACAGGAATAACAGCAAGCAGCTATGACAACAAATGCACCTGCAAGATCTGCGCTGGTTTTGATGAGAAGGGGATAGAGCCAGACAGCAGAGAAGTTCTAAAGCACACTGGGTCAATAGCATATAAAGTGCTGCTTTATGACCTATCCAAAATTATTGGGGCAAATACAATTCTTATTGGGCATTCAATATCGCACGATCTGTTTGCAATGAATGTGTTCCATGAGAAGCTTATTGACACCTCATTACTTTACAACAGCAAGACACACCACAGATACAAACTCAAGGCGCTTTCTTTATCGTATCTGAATAAAGAGATACAGAAGACAAACCACTCGTCTGTAGTTGACTCTGAGATGTGTTTAGATCTCATTAGCTACCTAGACAACAGCCTGCCTGCTCCTCTTCAGTACCAGAAAATGAAAAACCTATCTATTGGAACCGACTACAAAGACATACCACAAAAGCCTGCAAAGAAAGGAACACCACCAGTTGACTATATCTATATAAATGAGCCGCCAAAGGAGATAGAAGACAACACTGTGATAATACGCCTTAATAGAACAAGTGAGAACTGGTCAGTATTCATATCTAACACATAGAAGATGGAAGCTTTCATTGGATAGTCTCTAGGGGATAGAGAATTCTGTAGAAGAACAGATGCAAGAAAAATGCAAAAGAATATTTAGAAGGCACTCCTCTTTAGCGAATTATACTCGTCTTCTTTTTAGCAAGCCGAACTCATATTAAATTTCTAAAAGTACGAATAAAAGTAAGCATTGAAACTAATTTATTTTTAAAAGCATATATGCCAGTTAAGTGCAAGTTACTGTACTTTGATAACTTAATCAAGCTTCTGTGCTGCAATTCTTGCAGTTCCGTTGGTAAGGACAATTCCTAGGTCTGCTGCTCTCTTGACAATGTCTATTCTCTTCTTTGCACCAACTGCATGGGCGATCTCTCCGCAGTACACTCTGTTTAGAGAAATAAGTGCATCCAAGTCTTTGACGTTCTGGATTATTACTTTTCTGAATCCGTTTGGAAGTAAGTGTCTTACTAATTTGTCGGCCTTAAATCCTACAGTTGGCATGACCATGGTACCCTTTACCTTTCTTCGTACCTTGTTGTCAATACCTCTTGGCTTTCTCCAGGAGGTGCTTAATCTCTTGAACTGGTCGCTCTGGAATCTGTTGAACTTTCTGTTTGTCTTCTTAACTGCGATAATCTTGACTAATGGAGTAGTCGTTAATAAGTCCTGCATTACTCTTGTCTGGGGGTAAAAATTTATAAAAAATTTATAAAAAGCCATGGGAGCTAAAAACCACTCGACTGCACTTTTCCTTTACTTGTAGTTTGTAGTACTAGTCTAAAGTCAGATAATACATCAAAAGGTCAAGTTTTGTGATGTCACATTGAAAGATACTGCACAAGCATGTATTTTACACAATATTTTATTATATGGATGCACTATAGCATGCATAATATGTAAATTTTCTACTTTGCAAGGATAAAGCTCTTTTATGCAATATATAACCCATATATTAATCTAGCATTATTATATTCTGTGTACTTTGCTGCTGCTTTGTATTATCAGAGCTGTTTGGCAATTTTCTCAAAGGCTGAAATTGAAATATTCTACATGCAAGTATTTTTATACAAAATTGCCAGAATATTCTGCACAATGATTGGAATCTTTGTTACATACACAATATAGAAAGTTAGTATAAGAAGGCTAGAATAAGAAGTGGCTTTGATTTTTTCCCTAGCTAATAGACAGAATAGTAAGAAAAATTATAAGAATGCAAAAATAAACATTAGAGTATTTTGTGGTACACTAACCCATTCCTGCATTGGTGTCAATACGAGAAACGAAGATAACAGCAGCGGATATGTGTATTTCTAAAAGTTTTTCATCAATGAATTCCAACAGCATGGATAGACTACGCGTGTGATTTGAAAAAGGACAGCATATAGTGTTAGCTTGCTTTAAAGACACTGTGATATTTGTTTGCTTTATACCTAACTAACATAGTATGTGTTTTCTTTGTAGTTGCAACTAGGCATGCTAAAGAAGTCTACTTTATGATGTCAAATATTATTTAAATTACCTCTCTTCTATAATTATTTTCTATTTTCTCATTAAAACTATATACTAGTGTATATGTGTCTTTTAAACTTTATATTTAAAATTTCTATAAACTACCCAAGTGTGTGGCTCTTCTTGTGGTTAACTTAGCTCGCTTTGCTGTGTTTCTGCTGTCGCTAATGAAAGTTCACGCTAAATATTAGTATTTAAGCATGCATTTGAGCGTATGGAATTTATGACTAATAGATAAATGTGTTGTATGTTGCTCTATGCGTACTTATACCTTGAATAAGTGATGTTCCCGTATTATAGCTAGAATAGAGCTTTACTTGGAAAGACTAAGTACATATGGCATTATATAAGGCTTTTACAATTTATCATACATTTAGTAAGATCAAATTTATTCCGATTATATCATAAAAACCTGAATATTATAATAAATTTGCATAATACATCAATTTCATAGACTTATATCTTTTTATAAAGTAGTAGGAGTGAAAAAAAATTTTAGAGCAAATGGATTTCGTAAGCCCAGCAAACGAATTTTTTCATCAAGATCCAAGTGCTCCTGACAATGCAAGAATTGCAGTGAAAAATAATCAAAGCGACATACAGCAAGTAGTAGGGAGAATAATGTACATGTATGACAACTCCAATAACATGATAAAGACCTGTAAGAATAAGTATCATAGAATGAGAAATCTTTACCAATCAGTTTTTATGGTAAATGTTCTCAAAGAAGCCAACGCTACCGCTATAGATGCGATTAGTGACAGATTAATCCAGGAAATAGCTGAAAAGGCTTTAGTAAAAACTGACATGATAATGGATGCAATGTACTCATTGGGAAGCAGCAGCGATTTTTATACACTAGTAGACAACAACTATCTTTCAGTGATGCTAATGAATGAAAGCACATTTAACTTTGCTATGAAAGATATTCGTCTGGCGTTAGAAATTTATAAACAGAGGGTTGCTAACTTCTTCCCAGACAACCAAGACATAGTGACGTATTCCTATGAAAATGATAATGGAGCATCGCTCGAAGAAATCCAATATCTGCTAAAGAAAAACTCCAGTGGAATTCCCCGAATACTTCGGGTCAGAGATATACTAAAGACAAACTTAGGTAGAGTATCACAGCACCTAGTAAATGGCAATCTAAAGAAGAGCGGCTATTTCCCAGACCTAAAATTGACAAAAGAGGACTTTGAATTGCTATTGCACTTTTACAAGGCCGGCGAGCAAGGCAGAAGATGTCTAAGTCTGATTTCTTCTACTGATATGATTTTTAACCGTAGTCCCACAGAGCGTATTTGTACATTTTTCGAAAGGCTTTATCCTTTCTTTAAATCGAACTTTGACATAGAAGACCTGGCATGGCTGCAAGATGTTAAGTATATTATAGAAAAAAACTGGGACGTAGAAGATGACTTCTACAGAGATGAAGAATATTTTCATACATTTTTAATAGGACAATATCATAGGATTCAATCCAAAGACATTCTACCTATTATATCTGAAGAGAGAGAGAAAGTGATGACTTCTATATATAACTTGCATGGTAAAAGGCTCAGCTATATTCATAGGCTAAAGAAAGTATTTACAACACATTCAACATTCAATATAAGAGATCGCATTTTGACAAAGTGGCATATTCTGCGATTTAAATTATGGTTTTACCTTGTGAATAATAGAATTCCTATGTTAGCAATTGCACTATGTTCATTTCTATCGTTAGTTGCGATTTTCGACTTGATTATCGTTGCTAAAGATTTAATTGGTTTTTTTGCCAACTAAGAAAACTAAAGATAAAAACTTATTTAAAATCACTACTATATATAGGGTCACTAGCAACAGATCTTATATTGTGTTGAATAAACAGATTCTAAAATGTTTTTATATTTTCCATCTACTACTCTAACAAGTATTAATTTAGCACTAGATTTTCTGCTCTAAAGTAGCACTTTTACACGGCTGCCTAGAGTGTGGACATTCAATAGCGTTAGCTATCGGGCTTCTCTGTTCTGGACATATAAAACTCTTTTCTTAAGTAAGCAATATAGATGAATATTAACCATTGCCTTCTGAATTTGCCTGTTGTTCATCTTGATATAAGAAGACCTATTTGCTCATACAAAGACATTTTGTAACTTTGACTCTTATCCTTTTATTTGCTTAAGAATAAATAAAATTCTATTACACATACTTAGTACTACACTACCACATGACATTAAGAGACAAATATGAACAATCCGCTCCTGAGCATAATACACATAGTTTACATAAAATACGTTAGGTGAAATAGCATGTATGTTTGAACCAATAGTTTGAATGTTCATATGTACGTTATATTAAGTGATTTTAAGTGAAATATATTGATCACCGAATATAATCCAAATAACCAATAGAAAAAACTTACAATCCTCCTAAATTTATTCGTTATTATATATTGAAAATGATTTATTTTATTTAATGAAAATATATTCTTCCGTTATTTGGATCAAGGCAGTTGCCTTGATCAGTGTTCTAATGATGAATATATGCAGAGCAGACATGACATTGGAAGAAGTGGAGGCCACTCTGCAGTTTGCAATTGCAACGGATGCAACACCTATAAGAATAAACCCAGAGGGACCTCTTAACTTCCTCCGGGGATACATATATCAGAAGATGGAGTGCATGTACAATAAACGGTTTTTCTCTCCACAGATTGATACAAAGTACTCTGTAGAGGAAGATATAACGGTAAAACGAACTATGCCTATCTATAAATATAGCCGAACAGAACAGATGGACAAAGCATACACAGCACAGCCCACTAAAGAAATGGATGAGTACAATGAGCAGTATCACACCCATCTGATTGAACTGTTTCCATCTCCTACTGGTGACATAAACATTGAGACACGAGGAAACCAGTCCTTCATTCAATTTTTGCGAGCAAAGACAACAAAGGAGCATGCATTGCAGATTCTTGCTATGCTACTCCTTTTCTCAGAGGGAGTGCATATTCCTATTAAAGTCACTAACACAGTACTAGAGGTATATGAATCAAGCAAAAAAGACAAAATGTACTTTAAAGTGTCCATGATAATCCCATGGTTGAATAGAGAAACAGGCAAAGAAGAAAAATTCAAACAGAAGAGAGTTAAGCAAATAATCAGCTTCTTCCAGGAGAATGCAAATGATCGTGAGGTGTTGAGTCTAATGAAGGACAAGTGCTCACAAGAGGAGGTTGTCGCAGGAAAGTTCTTGGACAGTCCAAAGTTCCTGATCCAGTCATACATATTTGGGTTCATAGACACAGCACAGCGTGCAACTGAATTTATCCAGACTGTGCACACTATGACAGAGAAGTATGCACCAAAGATAGAAGCACCCAGCAAAGATGACTCTGTATATGATAGACTATTCATGCCTGCTGGAACTGTAACAGGAATAGACTGCATGTCTCTAATGAAGAAGACTCAAGAGATTTTAAATGCGTATCGATTCTTCCCATTTGCAGATAGCACACAGATGCCTACATACATATCTGTTCCTCTGTACAACCGGAAAGACAAGTTGTTTTCTAGTAATCAGGTGGAAAATTATAGCAACTGTGTGGATTGCATGATTCTCTCTCTCTTCTGCTGTCTGGCATATGATCCAGAAAAGGGAATTTATCGGACAGACCATATGGGAGATATCTCTGAAGAGCTTGAAGAATTCTTTTCCCCAGAAGAGAACAAGTCATTTGACACAACAAAGGCTAAGTTCCAGAGGGAGTGGTGCAGAGTTGTTGCAGACCTAGACGAGCCTAGCATTGCATACTGCACAGGAAGAAACGAGCTAGACTGCGGTCTTATAAACATGCTCATGGTTATTGCTGAAGTAATAAATTCCCCAAAGGAAGAAAAAGACAAAATACTTGGGTTTTCTCAGAGTTTAAATGATAAACATGGAGACATAGAGTATGAACTATTAAATGAAGTTAAAGAATACACAGAGGTGCTATTAAAAAGGCTATCAAAAACAGAAAATATTCAAGTCGAGTTTTCTGAGCTTACAAGTGATAACTATAATGATGAAAGATATGATCTATCTGGAGATATTACTATAACATTTGAGCATAGCTCTATTAAGAATGCAATAGTCATAGACATCAACCCTGCCCACAGTACCATTGATATAAAGCCAACTATTATGGAAAAAAAGGATGACCGAATAGAAAAAATGACTGAAATAGCAGGCATTTGTAACAATGGATCTACATTTGTTGAAAACTTGTTTTCTACATATATGGGATATGAAATGCGAAAGATTGACACACCCGAGAAGAGTGAGGAGTTCATGAAGGCGCAGATACGCAAAACCATAGAGAATGGCTTTGCAGACATCAATAGGCTATTATTAGTAAAGAAAATTAGCAGCCTTGAATATAAGAGGCAACTAGTCTTTTGTCCTATCATATATACTATGGACCAAAAGACATCGCGAAAGAATCCTCTTATTCGCTTTACTTCTAACATAATAGGAAGCACAGAGCTAGACAATCCAGGTATTCAAATGAAAATGCTCCCTTCAATTGTTTTTATGGATCTGCATAATAAAAAAAGTAGCATTCTCAACTACCCGAATATAAAAATCTCAGAGAACCGCTATGTTTATTTAGTTTCCATCTTAAGTTCTAGTCTCTTCATTAATTACATACTAGATTGTGATATAAACATTTTTATAACATGGTTTAAATTTTACATGGATACTTTTTACACTAAACATGGGTTAGTCTTTAGTCCATTGTTAGACCGTTTAGTGAATAGAAAGATTTTCCATTATATATTCAAAGATGGAACTATGAAGTACGCCAATGAGATTGACAACATTATTATCCAAAAAAATGACAAAAAGAAAGGTGAAACACTAAGCATTATACACTTCATTTGGGCTGTCTATCTGTGTGTTGAGGAAACCCCAAATATAGAACTAATTAAGGCGAACTTAGATGCTATTCAAGAAACCGAGTTTATTTCACGGGACTTGGGTTCTAATATTGAAACCCAGGATATATTCGATCAAGCTATTCAAACCCTTAGTGGGCTAAAGAATCAGCTATGCAGAGATGAAAATAATACTAGCAGGTTTAACTCAATTATGAAAGCACTTGAAAATGTATAAAATCTCTCTTTTACTTGTAATCATTGTTTTTTTCATAAAACACATAGTTGCTTTTCTAGACAGAGAGGTTTTTTGCTTATTACAATAAAGACTTCTCTCTAAATTATTTAAAAATAATTTTATTTAAATAATTCTTCACGTATACATTTTTTAGAAAATGGTGCTTATTCACTTTTATCTTGCAAGATCTTGGAAAATCGAAAAAACGCACATATTTAAAGAACCATCTTCCTGTAGAGGACACAGTGCATGGATGAATATATAGGGGCATTTCCACTCTTCAAACGCATGAAGATCTTCAAATGGGTGTGTAGAGTCAGAAATCAGAGTGCTGCTGTATTATACTTGTGAGAGCCGCATTGTCATAATAAATCACACAGTAGCCCAGAAATAGCAGCTTAGTATAGCCTGAATACTAAGTGAAGAGCTTTTATTATATTTCTTCATCGCCATTATTTTATTTTGGAGTCCGAAGAGTAAAAAGAAATTTCCAAAAGGGGCAATTATACCACAGAAATAATTTATGCCAGATATAACAAGTGGATCCACTGTTTCAAAGTCAATCTGCACTGTTTTCCAATTTGAAATGTACCTAATTAGAGGACTTTTGCTCTTCACTGGTATATTTGCTTTGGGGGTGGTTGTGTACTGTTTGATATTGTATGTTTAAATCTAGCTTTACTTATAAAAACCCAGATAGATTTATCTAGTATTATTTATATTTTTTCTAGTTTCATTTCTATAAAGCATCGATACATTTCCTTTTGTTTTTTTCTATTCAATATAAGCTTTTTGTCTTCTGTATATTTTACTATTTTAAACAATCCCGCTGTCTGTTTTTCGATCTCTTCTCTGCTAAAGTAATATACATATGTCTTATCGCCTCTTTGATAGAAGTTCTTTGAGAGCACTTGATCCTTTTTAAACCGTAGCTGTGTCAGATCCATTTCATAATAGTCTTTAAATATGACAATGCCCTGCGAAGAGAGAGTTCTGTGTATAAGAGAAAAGATTGAGGGGTATGCGGATGGGTGTATGGCGGAAAGTGTGTATATAAGAAGAATAATGTCCACTTGCACAATCTCCTTACCCTCTATCACAACTTCAGTGAGCTGAGTTATATCACTGGGGGCAAACTGGTTCTTTATTTGAGGAACTCTTTCGCGCAGCAGCTCAACTGCAGTGGAAGAATAGTCTACCCCAAAAATGTTTTCACACTTACTTACATCTTTACTGTCCAGTACTATCTGCTCTGGTGCATCTTTGTCTTGAATTTCGGTGCTTTCTTCGCTTATCTCCGCACCACTTTGTAGATAACTGTTTCTTCTATCTATTCTTTCTCTTATGATGGGAATAAGAGTGCTTCCTGTGCCACAGCCTAGCTCTAATATTTTGTTTGTGCACACCAGTAGCTCTGGATACTCTTTGCTAATCCATTGCCGCTCTTTGAAAAACGTTCTATTGTACCGCTTATAAAACGAATCCCATGGTTCATATGTTATTTCATAATCTTTAGCAGATACCAAGTTGTCTCTTTCAATTTTCCGAAGGGCCTCTGTTTTATATTCTTCTGGCATTTCTACTTTGTCCCATGTATTATATTTATATTTGTCTTCTTTCTCAGTAAGCACTCGCATACTATTGAATAAAAAATTGGGCCAAAAAAAGTCTTTTTACAGACTATTTGTCAGATGTAGTATTTACTGCAGAAACCAGATGCAAATTTCTTTAATAAAAAATAAGGCATCTCGCTTTATGATGTATGCAGTTTCTTATCTTTGGTCTAGCTGCCCTATTATATGCACACTATTTTGTGTTTTTGGCATGGTGCAAGAGTGCAGTGTTTGTCTATACATTTTTATTATGCAAACCAGAAGGTTCTCAGCAAGGCTTCAACTGTTTTTTCTATTTTCATGAGCTTGCACAGAGACAGAGCTCTTATACTTTATTTATATCTTTATATGCAATAGATTCAAATTCAACTTATTAATTGAGGTATGCTTTTTAGACTTTTTAATACACCTGTCATTCTAGACAGTTAGTGTATTAATATTTTAATTTTTTCGAATGGATTATGCTTCTATTCTTACTTACTGTGCTTTGCATTTTCCTTTCCATATGCATGTCCATGTACTGGAGGATGGAAAGAAACAGAAAAGTGCGCATGCCCAGAAAGAAGGCAGCATGGGTTCTTGTTATTAATATGTATTCACCTGTTCAGAGCTCAGTGCTGGATCAGCTAGGAGATAAATATGGCATTAAGCTAACTGTTCAGGAAAATGATCAGGACACATTTCAAAATAATCATAAAAAATTCTGTAAGTCAATAGGAGAGTACACCGAAAAAGTTCCATACGTGGATATAATGGACTTTGTGTCCAGCAACAAGAGCATGTTCCCTGACATCGTTATCCTTTGCTCTGACAAAACAATATTCAAGACCACATCCCCCTTTCTTTTATATTCTGCAGAGCTTCTGCATACAAGGAAAGACTTCTCAGAAGATGCCTTGATAAGAGCATTGCAGCACTATGCTGACTGCGAGATTAGAAATGGAAAATAGAGAGTGCACACTAAGCCTCCAAATAAAACATGCATACTACATAAATAGGTATTTCTCTGCCAGCTAATATTCTTTATATTTATAGCTATAATTGGCATATCTGCAGTATATACATGCCCAGTTTAAATCAGAATATTTTTGCTAATATTAAGGCGCCATTAAGAAAAAGTTGCAAAACAATCCTTGCATGCCTATGCCAAATACTATATAGCCCACATTCTGGCATTGATGTGCAGTAAAGACATGTGCTTTTACATACGCAATCAGTTGGTTTTTTCTCCTCAAAAGATTAGACTTTGTCATTCTCGCTCAAAATTTATTTCTCGTCCTCTATTTATAGATCACTCATATAGGGGAACCCCTCTAGTCTAAACACATTCACTGTAACAGCTACTAGCAGACTTAGAGTTGGATCTGCCTGGTCGGCGTATAAGACTGGCAGAGCCCGGTGTAGTGTGTTATTCCCTTGATGTAATATGTCTACGAGCACATATCCTTCGGTGGTGAGGATTTCGGGACCGGCTGTCTTGAAACTCAGTACTTCGGGCACGAACTTCAACTGTGGGCAGTGGGTCTTAATTGCTTTCATCGCATCCATAGACATGACATTGACATCTGCTCCCGCGCCACATATCACCGATATCTGTAGTCTGTTAAACAGCATATGGGTCTTCAACTCCTGTAAATCTGCCTCTGTAATAGTCTGTACTTGTCGGATTCGTTCCTCTGGGAGTCAACTCGAATTTCCCTTCTTCTCCGTAGCACTTCTGGTGGGGTCTTCCTTCTTACCAAACTGGTATTGATCATACCTTCACTTATACGGGTATTCCTTTCCATTACCGTGGTTCTTGGTACGTGTGTCTTCCTGTGTGGCTCTTGGCTTCAACCTTCGACAGTGTCTCGCAGAATGCCCCTTGATGTCACACTTTTGGCAGACAATTTCCGATGCGGGCGTACGCTTGTTCGGCCTCGTCGGCATTGGTTACACTGTATCTAGTCTCTTGCATTCTAAGAGTAAGCGTCGAAGTGCATCCGCAAACGTCCTTGGTGACATTAACCAAATTTCTGAAAAGCTTCTTGGATATACCATTGTTTTCAACTGGAACTCTACCGCAACGTCTTCGAATGAATAGGTTCCCTCCCACAAATATACCGAAAACCCTGCGAACCATTCGTACCACGTATTATTTCCTTTTTTGGGAACGTTTCCAAGAGGGGATTTGCGTTCTCTCTCAATGCGTTGAAGCAAGTCTTCTATTACTTCATCATAGAATTCTTCAGTCCATTCCTCTAGTGGTGTCCCATCACTGTAGATCAGGGTGTGCAAAGGTGCGTTAATTCGTTTGGCTCTCGGGCCCCTGCGCGTGGATAATTCCTTCATTATAAGGAATAATTTGCCGCGTGGCTCAAGGTCACGCCATTCTGGGAAGGCTAGAGAGAACATTTTCAGATCTCTCTGTGCTACTGTTCTTCCGTGTTCTATGTCCAAGAATTGTAGAATCTGGAGGCACGTAGGTCTTCCTCCTCCTGCGCTATTTTGTCCTACCATGTGTGGGTGTGAAGCAGTGTTCTCATCTGCTTCTAGTTGGTTTTCCCTCCTCGAAATATTAGACTTTGTCATTCTCGCTTAAAATTTATTTCTTGTCCGTTATTTATAGATCACTCGTAAAGAGGCACCCCCTTGCTCTAAACACGTTCACTGTAACAGCTACTAGCAGACTTAGAGTTGGATCTGCCTGGTCAGCGTATAAGACTGGCAGAGCCCCATGTAGTGTGTTGGCCTATAGTCAAAGATCCGGAAGGCAAGGACCGTCATCAACTACTTACTGGCCCGGAGAGATTCAATGTCCTCAAGGCAAGGAAATCCAACATATATGGATTTGCAAACCCCCAATGAACAAGAGAAAAGCCAAGAGAAACTTGTTCTAGCTAAGAAATGTTGAGATTTATTTGATCAGATACTCAGTTAGTGTAGCTGGTGGCAGTAAATTGCTGTGCAATACCTCTTCGATCTGATAGTGCTTTGCAGATAGTTTAGAAATATGCCTGCACAGCCTTTCACTTACTCGCCACTGGCTGGCTGTACCTTTTAGCACATTTATCATTCGAACCTTGGTGGAACCATTGATCACATAAGGCACAAGAGAGTCTATTAATACCCCAAATCTATTATAATACTGGCATGCTCTTTCAATTGAAATAATATTCTCAATGTAATAGGCATCGCCTGGCCTGCTTGAAAGCCTGCCTTTTTTGTACGACTCTTCAAGTATAAGAGCTCTGTTTAGAACGCCTTTAAACTCCTCTCCAATCACCAGCTCGGTTGGCTTTATTCCGTGCGGGCTCTTTATAGAAATGTCACCTATTACAAGCATGCACTGCTTGCTAGTCAGAGTTATTCCCATTGAAATTGCCCAGCCGCCTCGGCTGCATACTCCTGGCGTAGAGTCTGCCTCTTGGTTCAGTACATGCTCTACTTTGCATTCAACTTCCTCCACTGTATGATTCTTATCTTTAATAACTTTCTTTGAATATGTCATAAGCATACCGTCTCTAATAAACACCTCAAATTCTGAGTTCTTATTACTAGCCTTAAACACACTCTGCCGCCCTGTAAACTCTTTCTGGGTTAGCATTAAATATGCAGTGATGGGCTTGTTCTTGCTCGGAACAGTCATGCTAATGGAAGACCTGCTTCCTAGAACTAGCCCAACCTCACCCGGCGAATCAACCTCAAGCTTTTCCAGCAGACTGGCAGCCATATCAATATCTGGCACAGACCTCTTACTGATTAGCCTGAGAAGATACACAATATCCTCTTCATTGTTCAGAAGATAGAGCATGTCATTCTGCTGCATAATAGGGCGCAGCAACCGAATTGAGCCTCCAAGAGATATCTGCTTCTTTGCCTGCGTAAACCAGTATGAGTCGCAGTGCAGCTCGTTTCTTTCTTTTAGTTGCATGATGAATTCGTGAAGCCTTTTGGAATCCTTTCTGAGTTTCTTTACCTCTCTGCATATGCACTTAATCGTAAAGGCATCTGGCTCGGCGGAAAACAGAATTGAAAAAACTCCCAAGCATTTTGCAAGCTTAAGCAGTTGCTTCTGTACAGAGGGAATTTCTCTATAGTGATTTAGCACATCTATTATATGGTCTATTTCATCCGAAACTGACGCACTAAATCTGCTTTTATCTATAGATACTTCTCTCTGCTGCTCTTTCTCCGCGCTGCTCTTCTTTATCTCCAGACCATTAGACATATAGATTGCAGATATCAAACGGTCAACCGCTCTTCCCACAGCATGCATTCCCTTTTTATCTATTTCGTCCCACACTATCTTTTTGATCTTTAATGACATATCGGGGAAGTATAGCATAAGAAGAAGGCCTTTTTCAAGCGACTCAATTGTGATATTTTGCACTAAAAACACTCTTTCGCAAAATCTGCCAATGTCCCAGTAAGACCGAATGGTCACCTCGTTGTTTCGAGTGACTACTGCTTTGTTACTGTGCTCCTCAGACACTGTTTTGACTATTTGCTGAAACAGGTTCTTCTCTTCGCACAGAAGCCGGAAATAGTCGCTGTCGCAAAGAAGGCGTAGCATGTTCTTTGGAATGTGCTCAATTTGGCTACTGCACAGTATGCAGGACTCTGCATAGTCTCGATCGATAATAAAAGCAGTCTTAAAAAAGTACTTTGCAATTTCAATAGCCCCTCCTATAATGATGAGAGACTTAGTTAAAGACTCTGCAGCCACTGGATTGTACTTTGAAATAGCTTGAAGGATCTGTATTGTATACTCTGCCCCTTCCTTTGTATATGTATTTATGAGTAGCTCTGAAAGATCTCTTGTTTGCAGCTTGCCCTTTCGATGGCTGTGGATAACTACAGAATGAATACTCAAAATAGCGTGGGTGTTTGCAGCCTGCACAATTCCAATTACCTCCTCTAGATTTTTCATTCTCTGTATCTCATCCTTAAAATACAGCTGAGTCGATATCTGTGGTAAATAAAGCACTGTTAGATCAAGTTCTTCACTTGCATTGTTCACCCATTTAGCAAGTATCTTTGACTTGCTTTCTGACATGCCTGCCATGTTGTAAAGGAGAAAGTAGAAATGGTCTAAAGGAATTGCATGGTTTGTGTTGGAAGGCTCTAGCTCACTTTCTGCTTCAGCTGCTGCTGGTTTTGAAGAATTCACTTTTTCTTCCTTCTGTGCATGAAGCAGTAGAGATAGGCTTGGTGCATACACCCCGTTGATGTTAGCTAATGCGTACGCACAGAGGTCGCATCTATTTCCAGACAGCACGCTCTGGCGCAGTATGTATTCCTGTGCAAGCGATATGAGCTCACGCGCAGATGAAAAAAGAGGCCCAGGGGAAATAAATTCCTTTTGCGTACTCCATCCATTTGCTTGCAAGGCCCGCGATTTTTCTAGAGAGGATAGCCACCGGTCCTTGAACTGCGCTAAAAACAGGCCAAGCTCAAATATTTGGAGGAGCATTGAGTAGTCTGTTTCGGAAAGGGCCTCCGCCCGAATAATTCTGTGAGCTATTCTGCAGAGTATAATCGCAATGCGCTCCATCTCAGTTGCCATTTTGCTGTCCGTGTCCATAAACAGCGTCTCTATTTCTAGCTTTAGCACAGAGCTTGGGGAGGATGTGAGGGAAAGGTTGCTGCGCATACTCTCCAGCTGGTCTAAACACACATCTACATGGTGTGCCAAGTTATTTTCATCTGCAAGTGTATCTTCATTAGTCTCTAAATGATCATATACCTCAGGTACTATGTGTTTTCTATCTAGCATTTGCGTTCTATCTGGTTTTTCTATTTATCCAAACACTCTAACAGTGTTTCATGAACGTCCTATCATAGAATGATCGCCTTTTCGCATCCACAGACTTTATTATCTATATCGGGCACTTTATTATATTGCTCTCTCCAATGCAATGCCATTTCTTGTTCCTACCGGTATATTCGCAAATATGCATGCATTCATGAAAGAGCTTTTAAAACTATTCCATATAAATAAAATGCATGGAAAGGAAAAATACAAATTCATAGGTTAAACACATACTAACAATTAAAACAGCTCTTTATGGTAAAATATTCACCTAAATATTTACATGTTTATTTTAATTTTGCATGCTACAGAAGCGTCTTTCAAACTGAAGCTAAAATTTACAGGATTAATATTGTAATATCCAATTTAGTGCAGGAATAAGAATCATATCAGTTTGATATAATGCAAGTTTATAAACAAAAGAAAAACTGTTGCTAACTAGAAAACTAAAGATAAAGTTTGTTTAAAATTACTACTATACATAGAGCCTCTGGCAGCAAAAACTATTAGGTGTGTAACAAAGCTGTTTATAGCATTAATGCAAATTTGTGAATTCTATTTGTCTCTGCACAAATAGACACATTTAATAAAGGCCTTTTCTCTGACTCTATCACTTAGTCTTGATGTGCGCGCTCCTTTAAGTTTAATTAAGCTTCTTTCTTCACATTTAATAATGAAAGTAGAGTGGCCTGCCGTGTATAGAGAATTTTATAACATGCTTCTTTTGTACTAATAAGAGGGTTTATTGTATTCTGGTCTGTACTTTTAAGTTCTATAACTTCTATTTGTAAATCTGCAGTCCTTCCAAAACTTGTTTCTCTGCATATTTCTATGTTTTAAATCTTGTATTATAGTAGCGCATATAAGAGGCATAAATTCTTGCATCTTATATTATTCTTGGAGCATAAGAAAAAGACACCTGCTTTGTAGTACACTCTTTAATACATACTGTTGAATTTCTCTATAGGCGCTGCAACTTTCTACTAACTGCTTTGGATGGCTTGCTTTACCTGGTCTATAACTGCATCGCCTTTTCTAATACGGATGAAGAGAGGCGCTGAGTCTTTTGTGCTTATTTTTTCGTTTATCTGGTATAGCTGTATTCCAAAGTGTTTGCAGAACAGTGGGATCAGCTGATATATTGCCGGGTCGTGGTTCTCAGGCAGCATGAACAGATATTCTGTGCGCAGGTCTCTGCTCTCATACTCCTCCATTAGCGTGTTATAGTCCACCGAATACTCAGAAATCGCGTCAATAAGAAAGGATATCTGGCAGGGCGAGACTTTTGGGATTCCTGATGTTAAGTCTATTTGCCTCTTAGTTTCTCTTTTTTTCATTTTTATGGAAAATCGAAGACCTCTAAGAATTCGAAAAAAAGAAGAAATATTCAGAATAAAGGAGATACAGACTGCAGAAAAGGATGACACAAAAGGCTCTCTGCCACATGTGTCGGATGAGGAGCCACTTACAGATTCAGAAGAGCATAATAGCTTAAGCATCTCTACACCAGAAGAAGAAGCAAAAGAGGAAGAGATAAAGAAGGAGGAAGTGGAGAGAAAGTTGAGTTTTTGGAGTCTATACATGCAGTCATCTTCTTTTTCCGTCTGCGTGCTGGTTATTGGTGCTGTGCTTGGGTTCTTACTCCACTCGTACTATCGAAATCTCGATAATTGCATAAATGGCCTAAAAGACAAAATTGAGAGCCAAAAAGAAAGACTACTTGAGCTAGAGTCTATTTTTCATAGCAAGAACAGAGAAATAGACGTGGCAGACTATTTAGAAGGCGCGCGCATCCTATATAACATAACAACCGACCCCTACGTGGAGAAAAAGTGGTTTAAGTCAAACGTCACGGGACTAAGTGCAGAAGTAGCAATAGACAGAGTATGTGACAAACACCACTGTTACTCTTTCAATGGGTCTGAAGGAAAGCTAGGGATTGCATTCAAAAACGAGAAGATAATTCGGAAGATAGGAATAATGCATCCTTTGTATAATGATAGAACCTCAGCTGTAAAGTCTTTTACTGTTGATTGTATTATGAATGATAAACACATTAATATGGGCGAGTTTGAATATGAAATACCTGGGGACTCTTTTCAGCAGTTTTCAATTACTCCTACTAAGTGCACAGGAATGATATTTAAAATAAAGTCCAATCATGGAAAAAAGCAGTACACATGCATTTACAAGATATATGCTTTTGAATAATAAGTTAAAGCTCCTACTTCTATTGGCAGAACATTCAAAGCTTCAGATTCTAAGATGTGCAGAAGAAAAGAGGATAGACATGTGACCACAGTCTCCATACCCGAATCGTTCAAATAAATATTAGATAGGAATAGTTTACATTAGCAGGCATGCATATGCATTAAAGGAAAGTACCTGTGTGCTTATATTTCTACTCTTGCGTTAAAAAACACCTCGCTGCTCTAGACTAGATATTGAGCCAATTTGTCTTTAGAACTTTAGGTATACTTACTCAATATTTCATAATTTATTGACTGGTTCTCTATGTATAGACCTCAAACACTATTGCACTTCTCTAGAAGTATTCACCAGAGCATATCCATGGGTCAAAGTAATAGATAATTAATTGTTCATTCGCATGTGGGTGTACATGGGAATATATTTTTTGCGTCAACAGTGCACATATTGCACGACAAACACACAATAAAGTCAAACAATTGATGCTAGAGAGAGCATATTTAAGCATTTTAAAGTGTATTTGGGGTTTTTCCTATAGTATATATAAATATACTTTTGCTCAAATAAAAGTTTAACTTTCTGGAAACACTATTGAACCATGTGTAAAGCCCATATAGAAAGATTCTAACCATAAGAAAAGATATAAATTTAGAATATTTAATATACAGATTGAGTGGATAGACCTACAGAGACAGCTGTTTAAAGTAGCTTGTTAACTACTCTATGGTTATTCTTTTTAGGGATATTTTCCTTATATTCCACTCAAGGTAGTCTCCAATAAACAACGCACTAAATAAGGCCCCGCTTGAAATAAAGAGAGAAATCGCGCTTATGGACTGGGCCAGCAGAACATCTTTGAATGCGCATGCAGCAATTAGCCCAGCTGTATACACTAGATACTTATTTCGCTTGTACTGTGTGTGCACCAAGAAAATTACTACAGCGCTCTTTGAAAAGAGGGTGTTTTCTGACATCAAATAGATGAAAGCTGCGAACTGCGTTATAAAAACCATTATTCCATTTGTTACGATAATATTGTAGTGTAAAATCTCTAGTTCTCCAGATAGAAGCCTGTTTTTTAGCTGTCTTTGCGCACGCGAGTTGTATATACCAAGCAACATGCACAAAAGATATACACCATCGAGTGCAATTACCTCAGATAAAAATGTGATAGGGATTTTATTTATGTGGTGCATGTATATCCCGGATAGAATGCTGTGCAGTATTATATAGATTGCGTATTTCAGATGAAGAGTTCTTTTGACAAGGACTCCTTTTACGAAAAGTAGAAACGTACATATTTTGCTGAGGAGAAAAAATGTAAAAAGGTCGTGTTTGCTAGATTCAACCATGCATTCAAAGTATGCCACCGACAAAAATAGAACTGTAAGTGCCCCAATTGTAAGCAGAAGAAATGTGCCTAAATTATGCATTACCGTTTACAAATAAAACCAAATATAAAATAACTATAAAACAACGTATCATGTGCAGAATATTATTATTGATATGGGCTAGCGACATAAGTACCGTTGTATATATTGTATAGCCAGCCCAAAGCACTTTTAATGCAAATAGGCACTTTTAAGATTTATGGAAACACATGAATATGTTTGTGGCTTGTGCTTTTAGTACGGTGTGTCACCTAGATGCTTCCCTTAGAACTCACTCCTCTTCTAAAATAGCACACTATTGCATATAACTTTGAATCTTGCAGTATATGGAGCATTATATAGGAGGAACACATATATTTATGTGTGCAGTCTATTCTAATGACTCTATGGCTTTTATAGTAATACATAGGTATCTATGCCGTGCAAAGCAGTTTACTAAGTGTAAAACGTCTGCTTTGGAATGTACTCTTCCCAAGAAGTCAAACAGCACACGCGAAAATTATTAGAGTTGCTTTAGGACATTTGAGTTCTATTTACAGAATATAAATTCTTTCTTAAACCATGTCTTAGCATTTTTAATATTAAATAGCTATATGAATCTTAATGATAGTAGCCATAGCTGGTTTTTCCTTCTTGAAATGTTAGACTTGTCCATAATTTATTTCTTGTTGCCTATTTATAGACCTCTAGACAGATGCAAATCAATGTAATGCTCACAAACACATGTTATATGACAGATAATTCAAGTAATGAAACTTAGAGTCAACAAACTCAGATCACTATTTCTGACGCGCAGACAAACAGGGTCTCTTGTATAATGTTGGCCAAATGCCAAGAACCCCGGAATGTGATTACTCACACCAATATACATTACTGGCCCGGGGAGAAGATTTCATGCCTTCATGGCAAGGAACCCCAATAGTAGTGCTACATTGCTTAAATATACATCAAAATGATCTTTTTTATGGTATATAAATAGAGAATGAAAACCAAGTAAATATTAAGAGAATGTAGATAGGACTAATTTTTTGGGCCAACCCCAGATGAAGTATTGAAGCTGAATGAATATGAACATATAAAATGATTGAATAGTTTTGCACAGTTTAAGGCCGCCATTATATACATCCAGTGTTCTATTTAATTTGCTTAGTGTTTACTAGATATTCTATATGGCTATATAGCTACTTTATACGATCGGGTCTTATCCCAAATCAACTTTTGACTGAAATATATACTTGTCTATTTGTGCAACTCTCTATATGCGAGGGAAGCAGATATGTGATGTTTTTCTATTTTCCTATCCTCTCTGAAAAATTTAGAAGAATCCAAGCCTTCACTACTATTGGTGGCTCTGAAGAGATTTTATTTATATATTACAGAAAAGACACCAAAGAAACTAAAAAATCTAATTTTCAGGATTTAAGCGCAACCAGTACGAAATAAACAAATGATATTTATTCTATAATGTCAATCTTCACTTTCTTGTTACTGTTTTTATCCAAAGATGCCTCCTTGGTCTCTGGAGTATCGCATGGGGCACTAGGCACTTCCTCAACCAGATCATCAAAATGACTTTCTCCTTCTATAATAGTGCCTTTTCTTGGGTGAATTATTAGGTCTAGAATAGACAGAATGCGGGAGGCCTCTTCTGCAGTGCTTTCAATAGAGAGGGTCTGTGAGAGAATAATAATGTAGTTTGACAGAAAAAGATGGATACCCTTTGTGTTGAAAGGTATGACTATCTCGTAGAGGCTTTTCCATGCTAACTCTATCAGCTCTGTATATTTCGCACTCTCAAGCATGTCCAACAAATCAAGTAAAACCTTCTCTGTCGCGCTAGACTCACTGTTCATTGCTGGGGGAAAATAGAGTTAGCTAAATTTTTCAACAAAAGAAAAGTTCTTTGCTGCAACAATATAGATTCTAGCCATATGTGAGTGCATGGAAAGCAAATGTTACAAAGGAATGCGTGGTGTAAGAGATAAAATAGTTTCCTAAGCAAAGAGCGCCAAAAGAAGAAGCATATAAAACATAATTATATTTGCCTTGTGTTTTTATCGTCTAATAACTAGAGGAGAAATACTTACAGCATAGGCAAGTTTTTTCTACTGCGTGTTATACATGCTTTAGTTAAGAGTCAGTATATAGGAGAAGGAATAAGAATACAGAGGGTAGAAACAAAGAAAACGCAAATTTCTTTAAGTAGACCATATATAAATAAATATATTCTATGACCAATGTGCTAGAAAATCTTTTTACTATTTGCTTAAAGAACACAAAGTATTTAAAGAAACAGAAGCAGTTCTATTTTCAGGAACGAAAGAGATGAGTGTAACCTGAAACCTGAATAATAACAAGATGGCAGGGCAGTAAGATAGATCAATCACCAAAAACCCACAATATAACAAGCATATAATTCATGCGACTTAAAATATGAAATATCTATTAGAAAGCATGAATAAAAACAGTGGGAGGGCAAAAATATTTTGATGCCAGCAGGCAGGAAGGCGTTGTAACGGCAATATTTTATTTTAAGACACAAAAAGAATACGTCCTGACAGGGACTCGAACCCAGAACCTCCTGATTAGAAGTCAGATGCGCTGCCAATTGCGCCACCAGGACCTGCTATATTTAGCAATACTTGCATATTTTTATTCGCATGGACCAAATATGCAAGGAGTATGCAGCCACAGGCAAATGCAGCAGAAAGAGCACATGCACTAGCAAGCATGCAAGGGACGTGGTAATTGAAGAGGAGAAGTGTCTTCTGTGCGCTAGGCCTGCCCAGTGCGTGACTGTCTGCAAACACTTCTTTTGCTACGACTGCGCAAGAGGATTTATCACACAGTCCACAAAATGCATAATATGCGATGAAGAGACAAATGGAGTAGTATTTATCACTGTGAATGAAAGCCCAAAAAAGAACCAGAGAAAATAGGTGGTTGGCGTGCAGGGCATTACACACGCATTATTCAGGCTGTATCATATAGAATGGATGCACTTTTTATTTCAGATGCAGAGGCGTCTTATCTACTTACATTTGCCACCATAAAATCTCGCAAACTTAGAATAGTGCGGTCCTATTGCCTCTAGATATTTCTTAGTTTCGTCTGAGATATTCAATGTGTTTATTTCGCTCCAGAACTGCAGGGCTGTGCTTAATTAATTCATCAACTGGCTTATTTGTAGTGTATAGAAATCCTAATTTAAACTCGCTCAGCATTCCTTCTATTGTGTTGGGGTCATTTGCTGCTCCCTTCATATTTATTTTTTCTCATTTCTATTTATAATTCAGCAAAGCATTGCATTGCGCCATAACAAAACAGATCTTTCGCTATAGCTGCAAGAAAGTCTATAATAAACGAATATATTAATATACAATATGCATACCCAGCCAAACATAGTTTACTGCAACATAGTACACTGCAGAATACTCCTTTTATACTTCAGCAAGACATTATATTTTATATGACTGGAACCGTGAAGACTATCATATTTTGTGAGGCCCGGTGGCGCAAAGGTAGCGCTTTCGACTCCAGATCGAATGGTTGGGAGTTCGATTCTCTCCTGGGTCATATTTTTCGCTATTTTTATTTTTAATTAATGCACGTGCGGGTTCCAAAGAGCTTCCAGCACAAAACAAATAGCATTTCCACTACGTCATACACGCTCATCACCTTTCTTCCTGGAAGGTTGGCCAAAGAAATGACAAAAACATTCAACCTTTTTTTTGTGATCCTTTGCTGCATTGTGATGATCCCCAATTTGACCTCCTTCTCAAAGTCTTCCTACATATTGTGCATTTCATTCTATATTTGCACAAGCATTCTGAAAACCGGAATAAATGAAATTAAAAAGTACAGGCTAGACAGAAAAATCAATAAAAGAGAGGTAGATGTAATTCGGCACGAAAACCTCACCAAGATATGGAGGGAGGACATAAACGTAGGAGAGCGGGTGATAATAAAAAAAGGAGAAATTATTCCAGTGAACACACTTGTGCTAGGCGCATATACAGAGAAAGGCAGAGGAAGCGGTGGGTGCGTCCCGCAGATACACATCGAAACCAGTGCAATCGATGGAGAGAGTGCACTAAAGCTTAGATCCCCACTTACAGCGATGGGGTCAACAGGCGCGCTGGAGCCGCACGAGATGGCTGTGTTGGAGACCATAAAGGTAGAGTACGACCCAGAGACACAGTCTGGCGAGTTGGCAATAGAGGTGCAGGACCCTCAAATGAATGCGCCTGTGCTGCAGTCCATTCAAATTCCCATTACAAAGAAGAATGTCATTCCAATGGGAGCATCCATATACACAGACGCAACCACCATTGTGCTGTCTCTTGGGGGAGAGCAGAAGAAGGCGAAGCCTTCTCGCATAAAAGGATCAATCTTCATAAATATGATATCCAACATAAGCATATACACAATGATTGCTTATCTTATACTGCTGCTTATATCCGTGGTAAGTGCGTGCTGGTTTATGGTGCGCAGTGAGTGGCTTCTTGGGAGTGTCGCGATCTCCATCACAAGCGATAGCATGCGTACGCTTGTCTCAAATGTTTTGATTTTCAGCAGCTTGATACCCCTCTCGCTTTTTGTCACGCTTGATGGGCTAAGAATATCATACTCGATATTCATACAGAGCGATACCACCATGCAGTCAAATGAGACACAGACAAAGTGCAACACCCACGGGGTTCTGGAAGATATTGGCTTGATTTCGCATGTGCTTTCAGACAAAACAGGCACCCTTACTCTGAACCAGATGACTTTGAAAGGATTCCATCTACCTGGGAGCAGCTCGCTGGCTATAAGGGACCCAAAGAACTTGCAGGCGCTGTACCAGTCCATGAATGTAATAAGCATTCTGACAGTCCTACTATGCCACTCTGTTTGCATGGTAAATGGTGAGTACATAGGAACATCACAGGAAGAGGTGTGCTCTCTGCAGTACTTCAGAGACAACCAGATAGTCCTTCTAAGCAACCAGGATGGACGCGTGACCATAGATATAGAGGGAAATATACTGACAGCACATGTATTGGGGGTTCTTCCATTCTCCCCAGCCATAGCAAGAATGTCTGTCATAGTGCTGGTGGAAAGAAAAGTATTTATTCTAACTAAAGGGTCTGATGAAACTGTCCCCAATATGTGCACTCTGCAAGTGGGGGGAGAGTATCGAACACTTACTATGGCAGGCACTGAAATATCAAAAGAAAGCCTGCAAAAGATATCTGAAGATACCACAGCCTCTTCTGGGCTAGAAGAAGCAGCAGCAAGCGAGCACAGGGAAAATATAAAGAAAATTATAAGAGTGATGGAGAATAAAAGTAAGACAGGTAAAGACTATGAAAGTCTAAAGGGCATCTCACTACCTATAGAATTTATCATGGAGTGCGAAAAGCTCACAGAATACATTGGAACTCTCTATCTTGAAGACACTTTGCAGCCGGATGCAGCAAAGACTGTCAGGTCAATCACAAACAAAGGGACCAACCTGTGGATGGTAACTGGGGATAGAAAAGAAAGTGCTATTTCCTGCGGGATTCTTTCAGGAATGGCAAGTGGTGTCAGGGCCATATCAGGCGCAGAAATGATGCGAATTGTAGAAAGCGAGCCTGAGCTGCTAAAAGAAAAATCCTTGGTTCTTTTTAGATGCACGCCAGAGCATAAGAAGGAAATTGCGCATATTCTAAGGCGTGCTGGAAACATTGTATTAGCAGTGGGGGATGGTGAGAATGACATTGGAATGATTGAAGAGGCTGATATTGGAGTGTGCGTATGCGGCCCAGAGTCAAGCAGAACCTCGCTCTCTGCAGACTTGGTAATTCCTTCATTCAGTGCACTGGGAAGGCTTGTTATGCATCACGGACCGATTGCTTTAAATCGGCTGCGAAATGTATTTCTGTTCTTTATATTCAAAAGTGTGTGCGTGGCTGTGTGTCAATGCATCTACGGTGGGTTTGTTGGGGCGTCTGGCTCAATGGCTCCATCCTCGCTTTTCCTTATTTTCTTTAACTCTCTTTTAACATCGCCTCTTTCTGTTGAAATGGGGCTTTTTAGAAGGGCGTGCATAAGAAAGTCTGTGTTTGACTCGTTTCTTCGTGGTGTGTTGTACGGAGTGGCTTCTTTCTGTGTGGTGTACAGTCTATTTGGATCAATTGATGTTATAAGCATGGATGGGGAGTTAGGAGGGCATTCTTTGGTAAGCTGCTTCTTTTCAATGTGTTTGTTCATCTCGACTGTATCGTACTTTATATACTCAGCAGAGTCATTTGTGATATACTCCTTTCTAGCTCTGTTTGTCTCTATGATGTTTTTTATCCTAATAATCGGCATGGATATTGGATTTGAAGCCTTTGCATCCCCTGCATTCTATCTGTGCGCAATATATATGATTCTAGCTGGGATGGCTGTGGAGAGAGTATCTGCAGTTTTGAGAAAAAATCATGCAGAGAGACAGAGTTCTGACGTGTGGGAGGAGCAGACAGTTCGTGCATGAAAATGCTATAAAAGGAACATGCAAATAGTACGAGCCTAGCATCATTTCTAACTTAAACAGACTTAAAATAAGAAATGCTATATTCCGAAGCTGTATGTCAGTATAGACAGCATATTGTAGAAATAACAACAGTTTTGCAATATCTGTATTATGAATTTATAAGCATAAAATGCCTATTTTTTCCTTGCGGTATTCTGTACATATAAATTAGTGCGTGTGTGGAATAAACTATAAATAAAAAAGAACTTGAACTTTAGGCATATATAAAATGATTGTGTTCTCATTAGATTATGCCTGACTTTTTATTTATAGATTGCAAGCTAGGGCTCATAATTCTTCCATTCCACATGCATATTTATTTTACTTCTGGATAAAAATATGCAAGCGACTTTTGCAGGGCATTGATCATTGCTCCTGGTGTGTGATGGATGAATGCCTTTGCCCAAAGCTTTATGGCACTGTACTCAGACCAGTGTGTTTTTCGAACCAAAAAGGTGCTAGGTGTGTCTTTAGTGTGCCGTATTTTATATATATCTCCAGGTATGTATAACTTTTCCATCCCTTTGTTTTTTAGCTTTCTAAGCAGCGCATGAATGTACTTGTTCTTGTTTTTATACTTTGACACGCTTATTGCATAGAAGTGCGTGGCAAGCAGCCGCAGCTCAAAAACAGTTCCAAAGCAAAGAGTGGGCACAATATCATTCCCGTAAATTATAACTGTGATTTTGTTTTCTGGGTTGTTTCCGGATAGGGTGTTAAACCACTTTGGATTGTTTATAATGGGAGGGGGAGAATACGCAATGCAGGAAACCGTGTACTGCGACAAAAGGGGTCTCTCCCGCATGAACATCCACACAAGCATGGCTAGGGAGCCTCCCAGAGACTGCCCAACCAAGCATATTCGGGTTATCTGATTCTTCACCATCAGCTCCTTAATTGCATTCTCTTTCTCATTTATAAATCGCTCAGACTCCTTAAATATCCCTCTGTGGAACAGATTGTTCTTGTATCGGTGGTATTTATAGTCTATGTCAATAAGAGCTTCTCTACTATGTAGGGTGCCCTTAAAAGTGATATAAAGAATGCCCTCTTTTCGATCTATGAATATCACATGTTCAAGGTACTTGCTGTCTGCATGCACAATGTCAGTGTACGGTATTCCAGAGAATAGGTGGAAAAACTTCTCTTCTGGATCTGTTTTTGAGTTCTTGCAGTATACGCATATACAGTTTTCTATTCTTATTTTAATGACATTGATGAGAGAGTGGAAGTTAAGAAATGCATGCCCATACGGCGCAATTGCGTATCTATACATTTCTAAGTGGAAGCTATAAAACTCTTTTTCTTCAATGTACCACTTAAATGGGTTTTTTGGTGGAGAAAGAACCTCCTTTAGGCTTTTGGAATAATTAAGTCGGTGGGGCATTGGGTCTTTTCTTTTAAAAAGTCCTTTGATTACATCAAGTATTCCTGTGCTTTCCTTCATCCCGGTGTACTTTGGCACGTCTTTGAACTCGGCTTTGTCTGTTTCGTTGTAGTAGACAAAGAGCTCTCGCACACCGTACACAAATTCTGAAATATTTTGCATGTCCCGAAACAGAAACCGAAATGCCTCCTGTAGATCAAATATCCGCCCTGCAAGAGCTTCATCTTTCAGAAACCCAGGCCATAGGAAGGGAGACTTTTTCTGCTCCGAGGCTTTGATGTATTTTATTTTTACAACAGACAGAGCCAAATAAAACTCCATCTCCTTCGGGACAAAGTCAAACTTTCGAGGCTGTCTACTGTAGAGCCAGCTATTTATTGGGTCATTTGTAGGAAATAGCTTCAGATAGTGGACTGAGTTTTTCTTTTTTTCAAGCAAGTCTTCAACCTTTTTAAAAGTGTACCCAACCAGATGATTTCTTAGAAAACCCTCTTCTATAATGAATATCTCTAGCACTCCCATTTTAACATCCTGTATAGACTCAAAATGCAGAGTAAATACTGCAAGATCTCTGTTATACTTTACCTTCTGCCCATTATATAATATGTTTATTGTGTATCCTGATGTGAATAGAGGCGCACCCTCCCACCACCACATATTATTGTCCTGTGTGGCTAGTGATTCTGGCGAGCATGATAACAATTTACACTCAATATCCATTTTACTTTTGTTTGGCTAATTCTTAAATATTTTTATATGTAAATAAATAGAAAATCTTACTATAAATTGATCTATAGGAAGATAAATCAAGCGCACTGGACATCAATATAGAAAAATGTTCTTTGAGAGCTTCAGATAACTTCTTCTGCAGCCTTCTTCCAACCATATTGTATTTGGTTGCTGCTGAGACTTCTTTCCTATGTGTGTATAAAACCACTACATCATGTTTAATAATTAATATGCCTGGGTATATATCCGAATTTAAGCGGCGCTGGTTTGTATTGCACACTAGAATCTATAAATACAACAGGTTTAAAGGATTCTGATAAAGCATCCATGTTATAGTTAGCACTGCTACTGTGGGGCAGGCTATTATAGTAGGTGTGTATTTATGGTTTGCATGCACTAGTATCATATATGGTGTAATCATTGATTATACACCTATATTTTCAAATGAAAAAGATAGATCAATAGTTGACATCTCAAGTCATAAGAGATTGATTTGATATAGTGAGCATTGCTTTTGCATTTTGGATTTATCATTATTCTTTGTCATGCAAGTTCTCGCTATTTATTGAATTTCTCATTAATGCTCTTATAGATTCTTCTTAATTGCATAAATAGCCATGTATCTGAGTATATGAAATAATATTCCCGAAACTTATTTGTCTTTTCAGAATAAAGACGCTTCTATAAATATAAGGCCAGAATAAGTGCATAGAGAAGACCAGCAGAGCATACAGTGCCTTTCTTTTCGTGCATCTTTCGTATAGGCAGCGTGCTACTATACGATGTTACGGTTTGGAAATTGCCTTTAAACAGATCTTTTACTATAGGCTTAATATGCTTGCTGTGTGCCTTTATGTTTAAATAGTCATGTGCTCATTAATGAGTATACCTCTGTAGAGAAGCATAAGAATAAAAAGATTCTGTAATAATTTAGCTAATACAGTTTACTGTGCTATAAAATGTGTGATATTTATTAAATACTCATAATTAGTAAATTTTCTTAGCCTGCAGATCGGGCTGGCCTTGCTTTCTTTTTTATGAATGGGTCTTTTTTGTACGCTCTTTTTCTGTAAAGAATTGCTGCCCACGTGATAATTACAACAGGTGTAATGACTATCAAAGCGTCTGTAAGTATGCTGTAGTATATAAAGTTACTTGGGACAATGATATTGTCTGTGCCGCCTGTTAGAAGTGCAAGCATAGAGCTAGAGACTTTTTCTTGCAGATGCTTTCTCATCTGTGAAACACTCATTGGTTTTCTCTGCATTAAGACTGCAACATATCCAGCTATATATGCAGCTGATATGCTTGTGCCCTCGCGCTGGCCATACTCCACAGAAAGCGATGACTCGGACACTTCTCCTACGGTGGCCATACCAGGCGCATATGCGTCAACACAGTCGCCTGTGTTAGACCATTCATCTGGATTGAGGCTGTCTGAAAGGCTTCCTATGGTAATTGTGTACTTGGATCTAGCAGGGCTGTAGTTGCAGGCCGGCAGGCTACTATTTCCAGCAGCAACCACCACAGGAATATTTGCATCATAAAACATCTTCAGAGAGGTGTCCAGTATGGCAGACTTATTTCCTGTGAACGGCAGAAGAATAACCTTTTGTGTGCCACTCACCGATATGCCATCTAAAACATGGAGAATATCCGACAGATATGCCGTGCCATATCTAAACACAGGGTGCAGAATAACTTCAGCCTCTTTGGCCAGGCCTGTTTTTGTTCCTGCTGCTACAGTTATTACTGAGGTGGGGTGGGCGCTCGGCTGATGCTGGGGGCGCATGCGGACAATCTCCACGCGGCCTTCTACCTCTCTGTGGATCTGTCCAATATCTGCATCTAGTATTTCTATGGACACGCCCTTTCCTGTATAATTGCTCTGCAAAGGAAAGTACATGTTTCTGTACCACTTAAATAGACTGGATTTTTTTACAAGATATCCATTTCGAATATGTCTATTCACAAACCCGTCTAGCCACTGTATGTTAAACAGCCTCTGCTGGCTGTTCAGCATAGTATAGAAGTTGTCTGGCAAGTTAGTCTGCTTGTATGCCAGTGTGTATTGCGCATTAGCCTCCAGACTTATTTGCATTGTGGAGAGGTCAGAGAGAACTGCACTGATCTCTTTCTGGGAGAGCTTGCACACAGAAAGACCACTAAACACATTTCTGTAAACATATTGCAAGTACCCGCCTTTCTGCTGAATTTTTCTTCTAAGCTTTTTCTCTTTCTCGGGAGTTATATGGTGTGCAAGAACCAGAATATTGCATTCGCTCAGGTCGCTAGTAATCTCTTTGTAGGGTGATTCGATTGGATCTTCATGGTATGCACTCTCCAGCCTAGGCATTTTCAGTTGTTTCTGTGAAGTATCATGGGCTTCCTTCTTAGGGGCTGCTGTTTCTGAAAGAGGGTCCTTTCCAATACTATCCGTAGACGTGTTCTTGCTAACTGGCGCATTTCTGATGCTGTTTATTTCAACCGGCGGCAAAGACGACTGCATGTAACTTGAGACTGTATATGGCCCTCGCCAAGTATCTGGCTCAATTCTCTCTATTCCGTGATCATTTAACGTAACTACAATATTATCAGTTGAAATCTGAAAAGCACGTGTGCCCAACATAAACAGAAGGACATTCCTGCACGCGCGCATGAAAGGTGAAAACACTCATGGTTTTAAAGAGTAGAATAATTTTATTGGGTCATTTCTTTGATTTGTTTCTCTTCGGCTGTCAAGAAGTTCTTGAGGATTCTTTTCTCTACGCACACTCCGCAAACTGTTCCACCGTATGCTCTGTTAATTGTTCTCTGGGACTTTGGAAGCCTTGCAAATGCTGCTGGTCTAAGAGTTGGGATTCCCTCAAGCTTCTTCTTGCAGTCACCGCACTTCTGTGGGCTACCTGTTTTCTTCTGTTTTTTGAAGTACAACTTTCCAGTCTCCTTGTCCTTTGCGAAGACCATGACGTTGCTTGGTGTAATGTATGGATTGTATCCTGCTCTAACTACTCTTTGTGCCATTGACAAGGCATAAAAAAATAAAAATAAATCCACCAAGAGACACACCAGTGCTTTCTAAAAATAGTTTCAAGAGCATGCATGTGCAGAGAGGGAAAACAAGCGCACTGCAAAGTATAACTCAAATTGCAGCAAAGCCTGGCACGCATGCAGATTGTGCTTGAAATATTGCAAAAACAGAATAAGTGGCATTTTGCAGAGGCAGATATATGCATCTAGAAAACCAACGAATATTGCATATGTGGATAGAAATGGCATGCGTTAGAAAGAAAAGCCTAGTATATAGTTAGGATGCGTTCTCATTATACAACAATATAAAGTATTACGCACAAATCAAAAAGATATTTCATAAGTAGAATGTGCACTCAGTAATGCATGCTGCAGTTCTCTAGCAGAAACATGCTCTGAATATATTGATCACTAGTGCATGCTCTGCACATGCTGTTTTATATAGGTTTTCGGGCTATATCTTGCAGAGTTTATCTGTGCATATGCATATAACCATAAATATTAACTCTGCATGATTTTATTCCCTACACACATACCATAGAAGAAAACATTTATGTGTTTATTTCTGTATTTTTTATGCGGGAAATCCTCCAAGCCTCTGAAACAAACCCAGAAACAAAAAAACAGATAGAATCCTTGCTGGAACTATTTAATATGAAGCTATCAAGTAACACAAATACAAACTATGCCATGCTTCTTTTCATCAACAACCTGTACTACAAAACAGTTGGAAACATAAAGGACATCCAAAAACAGTCCGACGAGAACATACACCGGCTGTACAAGTACAATAAGCTCAAGGATACAGCACAGGAAATTCTTGGAAAACTTGCAGAGCTAAAGGGAGTAACCAATAAAAAGATTGCACAGGAGTATGATGCGCCTGAATAGATGTTCTCCAGCCATAAGCATGCTTGAATAAACTCTACACATATTTAATTGCTTCTGTTCGTGTATCTTGGAGTACTGTCTGCCTCTCTCTATAGTGCACAACTTGCGTATTTATTCAGTCGCCGGTTGGTGTGCTTACCATTTCGATCCACTTAGTATTTATTTTTCAGTACAGGAGTGCACTGCTAGAAGGACTCTGCCAATAGAAGTCCGTTATGGCCAGCATCACAGCGCACTGATATGGCTTGTTAATGTATCCGCTTTGGTCCAGTGGCTAGGATTTCGCCCTCTCACGGCGACGGCCGGGGTTCGATTCCCTGAAGCGGAATTATTTTTATGTTTCCAATCTTTTTTTCCCATGCTTACATACAGGGAGTTTACGGCCTTAGACCTTCTTGACATGAGCTTGCCAAACTTGGATGAGCACACGTACTCTTTTACCCCTGACTTCTACTTCAGGTATCTGCACGGGCACGCCAAGTACTGCCTCTCTGTTTTCTCGGATAGCGCGAACATTGGGTACATTATTGGCAACTCCGGTGTTTACAAGGACACGAAAATGCTGTACTCGCATGTGACAGCGCTGAGCATAGCGCAGGAGTTCCGAAGGCATGGGATTGGGAGAAGGCTTTTGAAGCTCTACGAGATGAACGCAAAGCGGGATAGGTCCGAGTTCATAGACCTGTTTGTAAAAGAGTCCAACAAAGTTGCAATTGACTTCTATATGAAGTGCGGTTATATAATTCACGAGCGCATAATAGATTACTACAGTAACCCGACAGAGGATGCATTTGACATGCGGCAGTACACACCAGAGCACTAAGGCTCACTAATACGAAAAAATTAAGAACTATCATGTCCTTTAATCATACCACTTTGTCTGCGTTATTTTCATACTATACAGAAACTAGTAATTTAGTGCGAGTGGTTCTTCTATAGAAAAGTATAGTTATTCTTATGCTTACATTTTTATGGGGTTCTCTTAGAGTTATCAGCAATTTTTATGTGCGCCTGCAATGCTATGAAGAGCATCCTAGCATAGCATTGGTTATTTTGTGTTTTGTGCGCGCTCTGCTTATAGTGCAGCTGAAAATTAATAAATGCTCTATTTAGAATGCTTTAGTTGAATTCTGTATTTATTCTTGCATTTTGTGTCTCTGCACTATTTTTGAGTCTAAAGCAGTTATGTTTTCACAGATGCTGCTTACAACAGTGGGGTTATTGCAGATATAATATTTGGGTTTAGAAATGCTGCGTATGTTCTCTCTATGTCAGACAGCTGCTTGGTCACCTCGTCTGCTAATGTGTGGCTATCCTTTTCCACCTCCACCCGCACAATATACTTACTGCTTAGCACTGTAAATAGCTTATACAGAATAGAGAGACCAATCAGCCCAACCATTGAGCAGTGCGGAATTGTGGGAATTACCACCACATGCACGTATTCGCCCGTGCTTGTTGTTCTAATGGAAACTCTGTCTAGAGAGACCACTCTTAGTTCCTCCAGCGTGTAGCTGTGCTCTGGATCTCGGATGTTTCGAATGATCTGAAATATGCTTTTTTCATTAACGTCCACTTCCCCATTGTTCCATACTATTTCATACTCTGGGCTGGTCTCTGTGCACACGTCTGGTGTCTCGTTCATGCGCATAAAATTATTTATGCATGATATATCCATGCAAAGGGAAGCATACGCTCAAACATTTCAGAAATCGTGCACGTTTGGCACATAATATAAAAAGGCATGGCCACTCTACACAGCGCATGCATAAATAATATCCTGCTGTAAATCTCCATATTACCGCACTGTTGACTTTCTGTAAATAGCAGCTAGATGTATGTCTCAAGATATAACCCGAATTTATTTAACGAAATGCCATAAGACTTTAGTAGTTCAATGCCTCACCCTTTGCCTTCTTCTGTGCTCCAATTTCTACGTGCTTTGCTCTCTTGAATACTTTGCACTGCTTTCTCTTGCACTTTGAGCACTCCATCTTCAAGACAACCTTCTTTGTGGTCTTTGCCTTTCTTCTTAAAATGGGCTTTGTCTGACCTCCAAATCCTCTCTGCTTTCGTGCGTATCTACGGGCACCCTGTGCTGTAGGTCTTTCCTTGCTCTTTTTGTATAGCGATACTTTGTGTACCTCGTGTGCATTGCACTTCTGGCAATGTGTTTTTCTTGTCTTTGGGTAGTTTACCATGCAGGGCTACAAAAATAAAATTAATTTCTGGGTTTCCGTAAAATTTCAGTTTTAACTTCTGGGCACATGCAGGCCACCCGGCCTATGCAGTAAAGGAGATACCAGCTTCTTTAAATTTAATAAGAAGGAACAGAAAGTCCTCGACAATCATTTTTGCTGCTCTTTCTTTCTCCAGCTTACTTTCCTCCAGCACTTTGTTTAGCACTTCCTCCTCCTGAGGTGTTATTTTGGTCTTTTCTTCTATAACTGTTTCGTTGTTTGTGTCCTCTTCTTCGGGAATGTCTGCTATTTTATCTCTGTTCTGGAAGAGAAGGTTCTTTATGGTACTCTGCCGGAATATTGATCCAATTGTTTTGTTCTTTCGGCTGAAGCAGATCCTTAGCATTCCATCAAACTCGTTTAGGTCTATGTCCAGCTTGTTTCTCCGCGGCTCTATGCGCACGATGCTTGACTCTACCTTGGGGGGCGGCCTAAAGTTCTTTCTTGAGACTTTCATGACATGCGTCACTGTTGCTCGGATCTGCACAGAGACTGAGAGTCTGCAATAGTTGCTTGTTCCTGCTGTGGCACAGAGTCTGTCAGCAAACTCCTTCTGGAACATCAGCACGCATGCCCTAAACGGATAGTTCAACAGCTTGAACACAAGCGGACTGCTTATTTGGTATGGTGTGTTCGACACGCACAGATCAAAGTATGGGTACTCCACTTCGATTGCATCATCTATTAGCAGCTGCAGCTTGGTCTTTCTGCTGCCCACTCTTTTTATCAAATCAGATGCAATCTTTCTGTCCTTCTCTATGGCAACCACTCGCTTGCACTTGTCCAAGAGCTTTAGTGTCAGATTTCCAGTTCCCGGGCCTATCTCCAAAACCGTGTCGGTTGGCTTAATCTTTGCTCTATCTATCATTGTTGTCACAATTCCTGGGTTCTTTAGAATGTGCTGTCCAAACGTCTTCTTAAACCGTCCATCCATTTTGCAAATTCTTCTAATATTTTCTCATTTTATTCTTTGCAACTGTAGGCACTTTTTGCTGATTTTATGCATTGCCCATAGGTGGTGTTTCTCCCCCTCGCTTTTCTTTATGAAGGCTTCCTACTAGCGAACCTCCTTCTTATTTGATCAAATCACTTCCCTTTGAGCTGACTTTCCACGCTAAGCGAGCCACTCTATCTGCTCACCCATGCATAGAATGCACTCTTATGTAAGCATACTTCTTATATCTACACTCTATTTTTCTATACACGCTGCCTTGCATATGCATTCCCTGCATAGTTACTATTTTCCAGAACAGACCCATCTCTAAGTAAGCTTCTAACCCACACCCTTACTTAGCACATTTTATGCAGCTTTTTTTGCAGAAATTCTCAATACGGATTTTCTTCTATCCAACCAGCATATTATATGTTTAAGATTCTTTTTTTAACCTATTGTAGATATGCATTCAGTAACACTAGCAATATCTGTCCTTCAGATAGAAGCAGGAATAGGGAAAATGTTTGTTGAGATTATTAAAATATATCTATAAAAATAGCATACATTCACTGCACAATGCATTTACATCTATACAGAGCACGTTAAAAATAGCGCTTTGCGTTCATGGTCTATGCACAGAGAGCCATGCTTTATGACCCTTGCGATATTCAAAAATAAGCTAACTGACTTAGAAGACTGCGGTATTCATGTGATTAGCATATGTTTGGTCGTAATATTCAGGCAACCTAGCGTATGCTCCTTTTGTTTTCTTTTTTCTTATTTATATGTACTTCTTATATTATGATGTTTGACTATACCTTGTGTACGCGCAAGCATTCTATATTAATTTATACATTATTTATTTATTTTGTAAATTAACACTAATGGACACGAATGGATATGATACAACTGGGCTTTCCTCTTCTTTGCTAGCTGTTGGCTTACTTATTCCAAGTATTACAGTTGTCTACTTTGCATCTGGAACACAAAAAACAAAGACCAGCTGTAAATGCAATCAATGCCTTGGTATGAAGAAGAAATACCGATTCAACAAGTACAGGTGGCTTTTGTATGGTTTGGTGCTTCTGCTTGCGGTGCCTGTATATAATATACTATGCAACCAGTATGGGAAAAACACAGACAACAACCCGTATACTCTTCTGAATGTTTCTCAAAATGCAACACATAAAGAGATAGAGGCAGCATACCGCAAGACTGTGAGAAAGGCCAAGTTTACAAAGATGGACAGAACTGCACAAAAGAAGCTTGTGCAGCGGATACTTAAGGCAAAGGATCTTCTTTTGGATGAAAAGGCAAGAGAGCGTTGGGATGCCTTTGGAGATGCGCCTGTGGTAAACAACCACACAATAGCCATACCTTCCTGGGTCATGAGCAAGTACAATCCGATTATTCTTATCTTTTTGTATGTGCTTGTGCTTGGTGTTCTGCTTCCCAAGTGTGTCTCATACATGTGGATGTATTCTTTTGAATACTCCTCAAGCGGGATTCTATACAGAAGTACTGAGTCGCTGTACAGCGCTCTAAAACACATTTCAGTTGAGGATGTCATTGGCCTTCTCGCCCTACTGAGCAAGTACACAGTAGAGATATCGCAGTACAGCGAGAAAACGCCCAAAAAGAACATAGATAAACTAAGAGAAACCATCAAGGACAAGTGTGGATTCACTCTTCCTCTGGACACAAATGTATTTATTCTATGCGTGTCCATGCTTCTTTTAAGAGATCCAGAAGTTCTTTCCTTAATTGATGCGCAGGATATAGAGTGCCTGCAGAACTCGCTGGTTCTATCCTCGAATGCAATAAGAAAACTTGCGTCGGCTTTCAAAAGCAGCTCTCTCTATGGCATTGCAATGGACTTGGAAAGAAGTGTTGTGCAAAGTGTTCCGGACCCCATATACTACCAAATGCAGGCAGGGCTTCCTTTCAGCGATGTGTTTATTGCACAGTACCAGAACAAAAAAATCGATGAAAACACTGCAGTTGACCGCAAGATGTTTAAGATAAATATTACTGGAATTGATGTATATAATATGTTTGATGGCCTAGTCAAGGATGGAATGTATGTGACCGGCTCCGTTGATACAATAGTGAAAATACACATAGACAGAGATGGGTTGAATTCGTATACGCGTCCTACTATTGTAAAAAATGAAAGCAAGGCCAGTGACTCTGGAGACCTGGATGATTTAGAGCAGAACTATGAGGACCAGTACCCGTCTTCATTAGAAAAGCACCCCATAAAGGTGCAAGGAACCAGCTCTGAGGCAGTGCATGCACCAATGTATTTTGATGACCTTCCATATACGTGGGAATGCATCTTAGAAGTAAACAATGAGGTGGTCCTGGCGTCCTATTCATTTACACCATGCCAGAAAGGAACGGATGTATTCTTCAAAGTCCCTGCACTGGCTAGCTTTATTTCCACAAGAAAGGCAGAGATTGAGGTAAAGCTTATTTGCGGGAAATACTTCAATAGAGACACCGCGAAAAAGATATCAGTTCTAATTAAATAAATTCTTATCTTTATTTCTTATTTCCACTGAATATTTAAGAAGCCCTCACATGAGTCTTCTACTCTTCAGCTGGCCATAAAAGTGCGAACTGAACCAATTTTTTATTTCATAGCTTCCTGTCTGTGCTTTGGGTTAAGTGGCTTCAGAAGGCCGTGCTTCTCTTTCCATGACTTCATTCTGATTGTCTCTTCTCTTAGCTTGAACATCTCGTCGCATGCTGCCACCTCGGACTTGACCTCAGACAGAGGCATAGACTGGATAACAATCTTCTTCTTTTCTATTGGCATAATAGTAGACTTGTGCTGTACTGCGCCTGCCTCAAGTGCCTCCTTCTTTGTTTCATAGACAGTGATCTTTGATAGATACTCCTTGATTCTCTCTACGTTTAAGTTAAGGGACTCAACTGATCTGGTGTATCTCTGCATGTTGACAGATATTCCTAGCTGTCTTGCCTGCTTTACGTCTAATCCGGCCTGCATAACCTCAACAATAGAAAATCCTCTTCCAAGTCTCTGGTTGATGTTGTATCTTCTGCTGTTTGCTCTTACAATGGGTCTAAGTAGCTCTACGTTCATTGGAGCGATCTTCTGTGCCTTCTCCTTTCTCAGCTGGCTTCTAAGCTTCTTCTGGATTGGCTGGTGGAACCATGTCTTGTATTTCAGAGAAGTCTTTTTGTAGTGTCCGGTGGTTAATGCGTTATTATGCTTCATATCCCTGTACAAAGAATTAAAAAAAAGTATTTAAATACTTTCTCAGAGGAAGGAAATTTGTCCAAACATGCGAAACTTGGAAGAATCTGCAGAAAACGGAGCATGCACACGGCACAACACTTGCACTGCGGTAGACAAGCTGTATACACGCCTATTAAAGCCAACCCGTTCACTTGTGTGAAAATGATAAATATTTTAATTTTTTACTCCCCTTGTATGAGTATTCAGAGCATAACAGCAAAAGGAGCCAAAAAGACAGCCGTAGCCGTTAGCACATGTAAAAACACTGGGAAATTTGAGATAGTGGTCAACAAGAGGCCATTGCACCTATTCAGCCCAAAGATGATCCTGTCAAAGGTTATGGAGCTGTTCACCATTCTAGATAAAAAGTACTACGAAGGCCTCTCTTTCAATGTAGAAGTTCGAGGAGGAGGAGATGTAACCAAGCTGTATGCTGTCAGACAAGCACTTGCAAAGTCACTAATTGCATACTACGGTAAGTATGTTGACGAACAGCTCAGAGCAGATATCAAGGATGTTATCACCAAGTACGACAGATACATGGTTGTAGCCGACTCTAGAAGAAAGGAGCCAAAGAAGGCCGGAGGACCGGGAGCCCGTGCAAGATACCAGAAGTCTTTCCGATGAGGTGGAATAAAGAACGCTCTATTACTTTTATATTATAAACATTCTAAATTATTTTGCAGCGAGCATGGAGCGGACTGATAGGCTTTTAAGAGAGCTGCATGCAAAAGACGAGATTATTTCAGAGCTGAAGAAGAATGGCAGGCAGGAGAGAGACCATGTGAGAGACCTCTACAAGAAAGTGGACGACCTCCAGGAGGAGAATGGCCGGCTGAAGGAGATCCTTCGAAGCACAAAAAGAAATCTTGCTGTACATGAAAGAAAGGCAAAAAGTGCAGAAAGAAGAGGGCTTGTCCAGACACGAAAGATCCTTGGCCTTACCAAGGAGCCTCACACTGCCCTTATTAACCGGGTTCTTACACTGGAGTGGATTGTAAGAGAGCTAGGCACCCAGCTTAATTTCCCTGTGAATGAAATTATTTCTCTCTCAGAAATATGCATGGAGAACGACCCGCTCTTGAGAAATGTCCTGCAGAAGAATGAGGAAGATATCAATAGCAATGATTTAATCGATTATTTAGATAAAAATGGCGTAAATAGCATACTGGGCATAGAAATTGATCGCTCTCTTCTAGATTAGCTTATTGTGCATAGGCTGTCTTGGTTGTATTAATAAACATGCTTAGGTCGTATGTTGTTTGCCCTTAAGCTGTGCAGTCTTACAGAATATCATGGCGTGTTCTATACTTGGATTTATTTTGTATTTGCCACTGAGAGCTCCTTTAGCCTCTTCATTAATTTTATTTCAGTTATACTTGGTGCAGTGTTTTTGGAAGGAATCTCCATTATCAATGGAAACATCTCTTTTCTTTTTGAAATCTCTTCCTTCAAGACATCTGCAGCCTTTCTTCCGAGAAATATAATTGCTATTTCTTTTCTTTCTATGAATATACTGTATTTAGATATTACCTCAGCAGGCTCAGTATTTTCAGACACCACATGAAAATAGTTAAACACCCCATGTACGGACTGGCATGCCCACTCAGATCCATTGATTCCTGTGAGGCTAAATCCACTAATTGTTGCCTCATCTGCTAGAAAGGCAATTTTGGTACGAGAGGAGAGCCCAGTATTGTGTGTCATTTAAAAATTTAAATATAATTAAATTTAAATTGCTGCTGCCTTTAAATGTGTATTCTATAGCTATTTCTTATTAGTCCGCCTTGCACTGGCTGCTCTTTTTTTAAGCAGGTATAGGTATTTAGTGTATGTGCTTGTTGCTGGCTCCTCTTCTTTCTCTTCAAGAATTGTGTATACACTCTGTATGCTTTTTGTTGTTATGGAGCTCACTGCTTTGCAGTTATTTTTCGTATTTGGCACAAATAATATGCCATTGTTGTGTTTGTACACCTCTAGCTTTGTATTGTCTATTGTGATGGTCTCTTTAGTATAAAGATCCTCTTTCATACCTTTCTCCATTTAAATTATTTTACACTCAAAATATTTAATGGAGTGTGGCCTCTTTACTGTTTCTTTGTGCCCTGCGATGGATTTAATGTATTTTTTGCAAAGCAGCATCAGTTTGTTCCATACCTTATATAACAAGAAGTATTAGAAGAGTTTCTTTTCATACATTTTTGTTCTCAAATTGTATTTTCTACTGTCTTTTTAATTTATAACTTAGTATTTAAATCCGCACAATACTAAACAAATATTATTCTTTCTTATTTAAGAAATTTTAAATATGTGGAAACCAAATTAGCATATGAAGAATACAAAATAGAGAAAACCCATAAAAACCTATATATTTAATGGCGCTACTCATTATAAAGAAACACTTAATAGAAATGCAATGCTGTAAGCTGGTTTTCCTTAGAAATATTAAACCAGTTTGCGAATTGTCTCATCGCCTCATTTATTATCTTTTCTCTGTATATAAACTCCATCTATCATTGCCATACGGATCTATGTGTAAGTTCCAAAAGCTAACTATTAATCACATCGATCAATAATTAATTATTTGACTATATATAAATAAAGCTAAGAGTATAAGCCATAAAATAGCTTTATATAAACGAAAAGAGCTTCTCGTAGCGTGCTGGCCTGCCATCACCTAAATAATCCAAAAGCCAATATGCATATCTATTACTTACTCAATGCAGAAGCTCTCTTTACTCTCCAGCATAAAACTCAAGATTAGCTCTATAGCATAATAGAAGATGAAGTGAGTTTTATAATAAAGAACAAAATAATAAATTATAACGGTTTAACAGTGTAATTCTACTATTTGAAAAAGCTCAATTGTGTTCAGTAAAGTGCTATTCATATATACATGCTGGTTTATTATGATAATTCGGCTCTCACAAGTATAATACAGAAGCACTCTGATTTCTGACTCTACAGACCCATTTGAAGATCTTCATGCGTTTGAAGAGTGGAAATGCCCCTATATATTCATCCACGCATTGTCTCCTCTACAGGAAGATGGTTCTTTAAATATGTGCGTTTTTGCGATTTTCCAAGATCTTTCCATAATAAAAGTAAATCAACACCACTTTATAAAAAATGTATACGTGAAGAATTATTTAAATAAAATTATTTAAAAATAATTTAAAGAGAAGTCTTTATTGTAAATGAGCAGAAAAACCTCTCTGTCTAGAAAAGCGACTGTGCGCTTCAAAGAGTAATAGGATTTATACTTCACTTGAAAGAAGGATTATATACGCCTTTAAAAAAGTTAATAACCAAGAAAAACTTATCAAGGTCATTATCATCTTCGCATATATGGTCTTTCATAGCATTCAGATTTTCAACCACCTGGTGGAATACAAAAAAATCATCAACATAAAGATTAAATCTACTTGGAAAGAGCTTAATCTCTTGGATGGCATTTATATTCGCCTTAATCAACTTTAGATCCGGGGTTTCCTCAAGACAGAGATAGAAAACCCACACGAGGTGTACAATGTTTAGTACCTCATCGCCTCCATTGTATTTTTCGACTAGGATGCTTTTAATCTCATTAGCACACTCCATAGTTCCATTTTTAAATATATGTTTGCAAATCCTTCTATTAATTAAAGGGTCTAATAATGGATTTAAAGTTGTCTTAGTTTGAGTATAGAGGTTGTCTATGCAGAACTTAATCCATCTTACGAAAACATCCATATTACAATCGAATGCATAATCAATGAAGAAACTGGCGTTTGAATTAATACATATAAGCTTATATCTTTCCTCTGAAAATTTTATATTCGGGTAGTTAAGATTACTGCCGTTTTTAGTATGCAGATCTGCAAAAACAATTGATGGAATCATATAGACTTGAGCATTCCAATTATTTAGCTCTATGCTTCCTATTATGTTGGAGGTAAAGCGAACAATAGGATGATCAGGAGATAGCTTTTGGTTCGTGGCGTGCATAATAGAATAGTTAAATAACTCCTTCTTGTATTTTAAGCCATTAATTTTTTTCACTAATAGTAGTCTATTAATGTCTTCAAACTTGTTCTCTGCAGTTTTGCGCACCTGCTGCCTCATAAACTCCTCACTCTTCTTGGGTCTGTCAATCTTTCGTATTTCATATCTCATATATGTAGAAAACAAGTTTTCAACAAATGTAGACCCATTGTTACAAATGCCTGCTATTTTAGTCATTTTTTCTATTCGGTCATCCTTTTTTTTCATAATAATTGGCTTCATGTCAATGGTACTATGGGCAGGGTCGATGCCTATGACTATCGTATTTTGAATGGAGCTATGCTCAAATGTTATAGTAATATCGCCAGATAGATCATATCTTTCATCATTATAGTTATCACTTGTAAACTCAGAAAACTCGACTTGAATATTTTCTGTTTTTGATAGCCTTTTTAATAGCACCTCTGTGTATTCTTTAATAGCATCACATAAGTCTTTCTCTAGTTTCCCATGTTTATCATTTAAACTCTGAGAAAACCCAAGTATTTTCTTCTTTTCTTCCTTTGGAGCATTTATCACTTCAGCAATAACCATGAGCATGTTTATAAGACCGCAGTCTAGCTCGTTTCTTTCCTTGCAGTATGCAATGCTAGGCTCGTCTAGGTCTGCAACAACTCTGCACCACTCCTTCTGCAACTTAGCCTTTGTTGTGTCAAATGGCTGGTTCTCTGGAGCGAAGAATTCTTCAAGCTCTTCAGAAATATTTTCCATATGGTCTGTCCGATAAATTCCCTTTGCTGGATCATATGCCAGACAGCAGAAGAGAGAGAGAATCATGCAATCCACACAGTTGCTGTAGTCTTTCAACCGATCAGTAGAAAACAACTTGTCTTTCCGGTTGTACAGAGGAAGCGATCTGTATGCAGGGACCTGTGTGCTATCTGCAAATGGGAAGACTCGGTACGCATTTAAAGTCTCTTGAGTCTTCTTCATTAAAGCTGCGCAGTCTGTTCCTGTTACAGTTCCAGCAGGCATGAATAGTCTATCATATACAGAGTCATCTTTGCTGGGTGCTTCTGTCTTTGGTGCATACTTCTCTGTCATAGTGTGCACAGTCTGAATAAATTCAGTTGCACAGTCTGCACTGTCAATAAACCCGAATATGTATGACTGGATCAGGAACTTTGGACTGTCCAAGAACTTTCCTGCCACAACCTCCTCTTGTGAGCACTTGTCCACCATCATGCTAAGTACTTCCTGATTGGTTGCATACTCCTTGAAAAAGTTGATCATTTGTTTAACTTTCTTTTGTTGGAAGTTTTCTTCTTTTTCTGATTCTTTATTGAACCATGGGATTACCATGCTCACTTCAAAGTATATTTTGTCTTTTTTATCTGTTTCATAGACCTTCAGTACCTTGTTGCTGACATCAATGGGAATGATCACTCCCTCTGAGAAAAGCAGCAGCATGGCTAGAATTTTTAAAGAGTGCTCCTCTGTTGTTTTTGCTCGCAGAAATTGAACAAAGGACTGGTTCCCTCGTGTTTCAATTGTTATGTCTCCAGTGGGCGATGGAAACAGCTCAATCAGATGCTTGTGGTACTGCTCAGCGTATTTATCCATTTTATTCTCTGGTAGTGCTTCGTATGCTTCGTCCTTTTGTTCTTCTCTAGTGTATATATAGAGATTTTCTAGATTAAATATGTCTGTATTCACTTTTAATTCGTAATCTGTATTGATCTGTGGGGAGAAGAATCTTTTGTTGTACATGCACTCCATCTTCTGGTAGATGTACCCCCGGAGGAAGTTAAGAGGTCCATCCGGATTTATCACTACTTGAGAAGAATCCGTTGCAATTTCAAACTGCAGAGTAGTCTCTACTTCGCTTATTGATAAATCTGCTCTATGAGTGCTCATCAGTAGAACACTGATTAAAGCAACTGCCTTCATCCAAATAACGTAAGAATGCGTTTTCATTAAATAAAATAAATCATTTTCGATATATAATAACGGATAAATTTAGGGGGTTTGTAAGTCGTTTCTATTGGTTGTTCAGGATCTATATGTTGATCAATATATTTCACTTAAAATTACCCAATATAACGTACATATGAAAAGTCTAGTATATATGTGCGGCCAAGTTTCCCCTCTTGAGATATTATATCTGATCATACTAAATTTGGATATATTTATTTCTTGCCATCTATTTGTAAATCTCTAGCCTACCATAGATCAGTATTATAGTTCAAACAACCTAATATCGCAGATGGACTGTGGCGCAGAGGCCAAGTACAGCCCCATATAACATGTTGGCCTACAGCCAAAATGGAGAAGACAATGACTAGGCTCACTTTATATTACAAACATGAAAGAGGATTTCATGTCCACATAGCAGAGAAAACCAAGAGGACATAGAAAATTTCACTTAAGAGATTTGCTAAAAGTTGTTTTCACACAACAACAATGGATTAAAACAGCTTAAACATACAAGAGACAAATGTGTACACTATTCTCCATACAAAAATATTCTTAATTGGAATAGAAAACATATACTCATTGTTGCAGGTTTCTGGTATGCTATTAATCTATGATAGAAGCTTTTTTCGGATTTCCAGAAGATGCTTTTCTTTTGCTATTCTATCTTCAAAAATCTTCCGAATAGCCAAGAATTTATCATTGCTTTTTCTAATAAACTGGATGCATAGGTGTCTTTTCATATGTGTGAGAGTATATAGTGAATTTGCAGAATATTGTAGATAGTGATCCACTCCAGTATCTATCTTATTATTCTGGAACTCAACTGAATCATAGCAGCCTTTGATAACTATCGCATATACGGGGGCTTCGTGACATGCTATACTCATCCATATAAGCCAAAAAAGATTGGCATTTTGAACATCCTCGCCAGGTATGCATTTTACTCCTGCTTTTGCTCTCGCCTTTGCTCTTGCATCTTTAGCAATATTTTCAAGATCATTGAGATATTTAATGGTTTTACCCCCTATAGTAAGACAAGCAAGCATACGTTGTTTCACATGCAATGGTGCAAGCTCCAATAAATGAAATAAACAGTGTATAATTGGGTACTCACCTATATTTAGATAGATGCTTAGGCATTTCAGAATTCCCTCTACCGACTCTAGGTGTGCTAAGTAATCCAGAAGCTTGATCACAGTGTATTCATCAAGCTTGTAGTGTTTAGATATTTGACTGCTAATACATATATTTGGATATAAATTTTCATAATTCGCTGCATAGAAAAGAATTGAAAGAAGCTCCTTCTGAAGAGCTTCTGTATGGGGTATTATACTTCCTATAATGTTAGAAACCATGCGAATACTCGGTGTGTTATTGAACAGAGTATTCTTCAGATCATTCATTAAAGCACATATGGCTATGTTCTTTTTATAATCGTATTGATATATGGGCCCAATCATAAAAAATCTTTCTAACCCATGGTGGGTGCCTTTTGTAATTTGTCTGGCCTCATGGGAGAGTGTTTTTATTAGCATATCATCCTCGCAGTTAAAGACTCTGAGCTGGTATTGTATATAGTTTGCAAGTGCCAACTCAGCCATATTTCTGCGGCTAGAGAGGTTTTTGGCTATGTAAGTAAATAATTCGTATGTAAAGCTAGACATTCGGTTTCTCTTTGAATTAGGATAAAAAACATACATAGTATCCTCTCTTATGTTCAACTCTAGTGATTCTTCTAGTCCATCTTGTATGTAGCTCAAAGTAAGGTCTCCAAATAGCTCAGTTTGATCCGTCTGTACTATTAGTTCATCCATACCAACAAAGTTTACTTTTATATCCAGATTTGGGCGTACAGTGGGGGTGCTTTCTGAGTATATCTCACTAGATCTAGAGCCATTCTTACCGTATCCAGAGATTTTTATAAAAAGATCCTCCATTTGTCTGGATACTTTGCTGTATATACTTTTAAGATTTTTCTTTTCTCTTGCCATTTCTCTTAAACGCATAAGATCATGTTTTACCAAGGGATACATTCCTGATAATACACAAATTGCAGTAAACATGTTCAAAAGGCCTGGCTTGAGATTAGTTCTATTTTCATCAGTATACTCTACCATGCCCTCTAAAAGATTAGAAACAACGCCATTCCACTCATGTAAAACTTTACCTTTTATAGTGGCATGTGGAGTTGGGTGGTTAGTAAAGAATTTTTTCAATGCATTGGATGCACTGCGTGGAAGGTGTGTTAAAACATATTCTGAGTTCTCAGGGTGATACATAAAGCATTCAAATAGATAAAGAATAGCGGTGTTCATTGTTATCAAAGTGGGTTTTTGATGGGGTCTTTTTATGCCCTCCATTATTATATGCTCTAGATCCCAGTTTCCATATGTGGTACTCGGATACAATATATTTGGATTATTTTCAAAGATCTTAAAAGAAATAAACTTGGTCTTAGAAGACCTTTTGATATTTTCAATTATGCTCAGAACCTGGCTAATAGATTTATCTAACGAAAACTGCGAATTATATGAAACAAAGAGGCTTTTAAAGACAATATGTGCTAATGGCATAATTATGGGAGGTTTTGAATCAGTCCTATTTTCTGAGTCTATTTTACTTTCTGGCTCTGTTTTATGAACAGTTTTTTTAATGGTTTTGAATAGAATACTGAAAGGCTTTTTAAGAAATGATGCATGGCTCTTGGGTTTGCATGTGATGATCCTTTTTATCTCATCAGCTTCTTGCTTTTCTTCATACACCATCTGCTCATGCAATAGAGTATGCACTGACTTAATAAGAAATGCCATTTCCGGCGGGGTTTTAATAAACTCATATATGTATGTCTGTATAAGAAATTTTGGGCTATTCATAAACATTCCAGTCTTAAAGGCTTCCCATGTTTTAGGATATGAAAATGGGCCTTTGTCATGCAAGAGTGGATTGTTTCTGTTTTTTATGAAAAATCGGATAATAGTCTCTGCATGGCTCTTGCGAAACGTTTTTTTCCCATATGTGGTAGAACTAAACGATCTCTCAACTATTGGATACATTTTAATGATAAAGTGTGCACTGGCTTTATCTCTGTTGCTTCTGTACAAAATAAGCTCTGAGTAATTACTGCATGATTGGAACTCCAGTGGTATGTCTACTCCTTCAGAAATCAACAGCAGCGAGGCCAGCAGATGGTACACAACTTTTTTATCCTGTATATTTAAAAGAAAAATAGTGAAGCCTTTGCTGTAGGGCGAATTAATACTTAATTTATGCAATGTGGATGGGAACATTTTAATAAGAGTGTTGTGGTAGTCTTCTAAATAGCATTCTATTTCATTATTGGCATCGGGTAAATGTGCTTTGTCATCAAGATAATTTCGTTTATATAGATGTTTTATGTTGCCTATGCGTGGCTTAACACCTTTCAAGCTATAGAAAATGTTTATCTCAGGGGAAAAGAATCGCTTGTTATGCATGCAGCCGCTTTGATGGAGAAGATATGTATAGTACTGGCTCAATGCTCCCATTGGGTTAATTTTTACATACCCAAGCCTATCATCTTTAATTAGTAGGTCTTTTAAGCTACTTAGATTAGAAAAGCTTAGTGCAGCACTCACTTGGTAGAGAATTAGCAGAAAACATAGAATGTTCATATGCAAACAAAGCTCTTTTCTCTCTATAGTATGCAAAACATCACTATTTCTTCAATGTTTGTTTAGTAACTGTTTGTATGTAAAATCATTATTATTATGTCTTCTTGGCTTTTTCTCTCTTGAAGGCATGAAATCCTCTTTCAAGCTTGTAATGTAAAATGATGCTGGTTATTACCTTGTCTAATTTGGCTGAAGGACAAGACGCTACGTAGAGATTTGCTTGTATATGCATTTCTACTTCAGTGATTAGACAGTGAGGGACTTCTATGCCGCATTGCATATGCATTATCAGTTTGTCTGTATGGCCATAATACTAATATACAGCTGACTAGAAGAAAGTGTTAATGCATGTTTATAGAGTGGGTTAGCGAGGTTCTATATAAGGTAAATAGACAAGACACTCTATTTGCTTATATAAGCATGTTTATATCAAAGAAAATTGCATGAAAAGGAATGTATTTTCAGTGTATTCTAGCTACAGTAGGATATAACCATTGCTGTTCTACTGCAAAAGACATTCTTTATTTGAACACCATAGACCAAGTATTTAGGCTAGTTCTCTATGCTGCACTCAAAGAAAGCATGCACAGGAAAATTGCAGGCAGCCCAGAAAGCATTTTAAAATATGCATATTGCAGAAGCATGTAGAGATATTTGAGTTATATAAAAGCATGGGGCAGCGTACCTATGCTCTGTGAATTTGAATCGAAAGAAGAGTGCGTCCGTTGTATTTTGCAAAATATTTAGTTTTACTTTTTTAGCCCCAGACAAAATGAGTAGAAAAGCAAAGACGAATGTTTCAACAGTTGCATCACAGCTGCCACTAGTTATCAAAACAGGAAAATATCATGTAGGATTTAGACAAACCATGAGCTCATTAATAAACGAGACCGGCAAGTACATCATTCTTACAAAGAACTACCCAGAAGTCAAGAAAATGCAGATAGAGTACTATGCAAAGCTTGGAGGAAATGTGCCAGTCTACATGTTTGACGGATCTAACAGGGATCTAGCAAACCTGTGCGGAGCACACTTTAGAATGGGAGTTATGACCATTTTAGACGAAGGGGAAGCTGACCTTGCTCAGTGCGACGAATAAAAGTATTATGGGCTCTGTTAAATTTTTCTTTATTCATATACAGCCATGCAATAGGCCTTGTTAGTGCATTGCAATTGTAATGTCCTTATTGGATACATGCGTGTACAGATACATGCCCCAGTATGAGATAAAATACAGCATAAAGAAAAGGTTGCATGCAGTAATAAGCAGATCCAGTATTTTTTTCGATCTTTTAAAAGACACTTCCTGGAAGAGTAAAAGAAAGTGAAGCAGCGACAGAACAAAAAGAACCACAGGATATAGCATGGCAATATTGGTGTATGGCTGTGCATCTGTTAGAAACAGTGAGAGGTACCCGGCAAACAGAAGAATCATTGCATGGATGTATGCATAGTCAGGCACAACCATATTTATAATGAATATTAGGCTGTATGGAGAGTATACGTGCAGGGCTACGAACCCAAGCAGAGACCATTTGGAAAGAGTGAAGTATATGGCTATTACGCATGCATTGCCCGTGTCATACTCTCCTATAACATTAGAGGCCCGAATAAATATTATGTATGCTACGTATAGGATGGCCAAATATGCTGCAGCGACTGAAGGGTCAGTGAATAGACTTTTTATAATAAGGCAGGCAATGGCAGAGAGTGGTATGGCCAGTAGAACAGGAGATGATCTGTACCGTAGTTTTAGAATCCTGTTGGTGTTGGTTCTTCTGGCGGCTGTAAACACCTCAAATGGCGTCATCTCATATTATTATCCTAATATTAAATTAATAGAATTTGCGCAATCAAGGGTCTAGACATGTGAAAGTTTGTCGCGCTTTCTTTGAGAGAGAATTATAGACAAAAAAGCCTTCTAAGTCTACATATATGCATAGAGACATATTAAAATGATTTCTATGTATACCATGGCTTTAAACTAGGTCCTGCCAATATCACAACATATTTATATTACAGGTATTTTATTTAAACTGCCTGATTATCTTTCTGTAGTTGGTAAAAATTTATCTTGCGTATGGATTGGACAACCTGTCTATTTATAGAAAATATAAATCTTAATATAACCTTTTTAAATGACAGTGCATAAAGTGTGTCTACTTATATTTTAGCATGTGCATATGAAAGGTATATAGCCATGTAATGGATGCTATAGTAGCTGTAGTAGTGTAGCGCTCTAAATGTAAGAATATAGCTTTTTCTTAATTTCCTTTAATTATTCATTATCTTATAACTGCGCTTTCTCTGCTACAATGTGTCTTCCATACAGATGGACATGCCTTAGTTTTTTGAGAAGAATGTTTGCAGCTTCGCTTGACTGCATCTCAACAAAGCAGAATCCTCTATGAGTTCCGTCCGACTTCACTGGCATTCTTAATGTGTACTCCTTTCCTATCAAGCCAGTTATCAGTTCTGAGAGCTCCGATCTTCCTGCCTGGAATGGCACATTCTTCAGTATAATTTTAAGCATGTGCGGGTTATCTGCCTCGCGCTTGAGCTCGCTGTCTGCTGACTTCAGGCTGGAGACAGGAGGCAGGCCTGCCATCTCCCGGGCATATCTCTCTTTTGTCACCTTCAAATACTCTATGTAGATGGGCTGGTCCCGCACGCGAGTAAAGTTGTTTGCCTTAAGCTCTGTTGCTGCGTCAGATTTAGTGGTGTACTCTAAAATAAGAAGAGTTTTTGATGGAGAGAAGACTGCTCGGATGTACTTTTTAAAGTACTCTCGAATCTCGCCCTCCTTTATTCCGTATGGTATGTTCTTGATCAATATTGACTTCTTTGAGACAAACATGCACACGCAGGGTTTTTTACTGCACACGCATTCCTCAGATATTCCTTCATCTTTCAGGAAAAGACGTGTTCTTTCAATTAATTCGCTCTCCAGCAGTGCTATTCGACCACCCAATCCAATTCCTCTGTCTTTAAGAATGTCTTGTTTAGAAACCTTCTTCTCCTTGGATGCAACACCAAGAATCGCAGAAAAGTTGAAAAAGACTGGATTGTATCGTCCATGTGATACATTGCTTTTGTTTTTGTCGGTTACTTCCTCAACAGGTTTTCCCCTGCTAGGAAGTATTTTAATGTTCTTTCCTTGGAACATAATTGTTTCGCCTACAAGCTTATACGCGTCTTTGGGAAATGTGAATGTGACTATTGCAAAGCCTGTGTTTAGTGTTTGCCCTTCACCCCAAGTGTCCTCTCTTTCTTTATACTTCATAAATACCTCAGAAATCATTCCATACTCTTGGAATGCCTTCTCCACCTCTTCTTCTGTCGCTGTGTATGGTATGCCGTTAACAAAAATCTCGCCAGTCTCAAGCACCTTTTCCTTGTTTTTTGTCAGTGCATTTTGCCTGTACCGGTCAACCATTGTCTCAAGTGTCTCCTTTTTCTCTTCTTTTTTTCCGCTTGCTGGGTCCTCTTCATCTGCAGTTGTAGACCACGAGTTCTCCTTTTTTGCCTGGAGCAGTTTAAGAATTTCTTTCATCTCCTCCACCTCAAGCCCATCACTCAGTGTTTTTCTGTGCTTTGCAGGCCTTTCTTCTTGGTCTCGCTTCTCAAGAGCCTCCTTGCTCACACTCTTTGCAACAATAAGCCTCTTTCCATTATAGTAAGATTTGTTGTAATGACGGATGCTGGCTGCTGCCTCTTCTTCTGTTTTGTACCCAATAAACGCAACACCTCTGCTCTCTCCCTGTATTGTGTTTAAAAGACGCACGTCTGTTGGGACCCCCTTTGCCGAAAAGTGCTCCTTTATGTTTTGCTTTGTTGCCGTTAACGATAAGTTTTTCACTATAATCCGCATTTAAAACTTTTACAAAAATACTTCTATTATATGCTCTTTCCCGAACTTTATTTATTCTTACTCAGTCAGACCCATGTTTCCAAATAAAACATCTCTTCCTTCAGTGTTCTCTCCGAAGTCCTCAATTGAAGCAATTGCGCACTTGGCATCCTTTACGATGTTTCCAGTCTCGTCTGTTTTGCAGATTCCGACGTATCTGGCGAGCTCAGCGTGTGTGCCTATCTTTAGAACTGGCACATCGTACTGCTTGACTAACCCATCAATAATGGCAACCATCTTCTTCTCGTTAATCTCCCTTGACATAAGGATGAGCTTAGATCGGCCTCCTATTAAAGACTTGGTTACCTGTCTGAACCCTTTAATGAGTCCTCCTACTTTTAAACTCGAGATGCACATGCTTTCAGATGCCTGTGTGATGTCCATTGTATTCTCTCCCTGCTGTAAGTTCATTGCCATTTTCTATACTGGGGTAGGAAAAAATAAAATTTATATGGCCTGCCTCTGCTCTGCAGTAAACCGGCTTTACATAAAACATTATTCTCTTTTCATTCATAGCGCCTTCTTCTTCTGTTCCTCGCTTCTAAATACATTGATTGCTATTTTAATATTCCGCGGGGTTTTTATTGAGCACAGACTTAGCTTTTGGTTATGAAAGAATATGTTTAGCAGCTTCAGCTGCTCAGTGAGCGAGTTTGTCACTTTGGAGGATCTTCTAAGAAGACGCACATAGACATACCCGAGCAGTAAAATGGCACCAAGTATCCTCAAATACACTCTGAATATAAGATCTGTTAAATAGATGGAGTCCTTACTATACAGATCCCACAGAATATTATACATCTGTCTGTTAATGTATAGTGTGTATGCACACACCATAATCATCAACATAACAAAATATGTAAATCTTCTCTTTGTCTCATGGATGTATTTATTCTTGAGCTGCTTTTCAAATATAAGGATGTCCTTGATTGGGTTCAGAGGCCTGTCTACTCTAACTTCCTCCATTGCCTAAGATGAAAAGCACGAAAATTTTCTTAAAATTAATGAGATCAGATATGCTGCAGGCTTTATAAAAGAGACCGCATAGGATAATTGTTGCCACCTACCTGGTTATACTGATTTTCTTGGTTTTTTATCATCTTTTTCCGTTATATAATTGTATTTACAGATGTTTTCACATAAAACCCGGGAGATTACTCTATCTCTGCAGAGTTCTCTGCCTAATGCAAGCATGCAATAAACTAGAGCGCGTGTAAACTTGCTATGTCTCTTAGCATATTACATTTATCAGAAAATATACATAAAGAAATATCTAGATACAAAATCGCATCCTTACTACGAATACAATATGACAATGTAAACATAGATATACGCATGGTTCTATTTTTCTATATTAGCACACTTTTCCTGCACACTGAAATTCATCACTAAAGCTCTTTTCTAGGTATGTATTAGTAGTACCTATGCGGTTTAAGAATGTAGTAATAATACTTTCTGCACATTAAGTCCTCTTTACACTTATAGAAATTATTTGGCATTCATATATACTCCTTTTACTAGCAGTCTATGCAGGGCTTCTCTCAAACTTAAAGCAGCAAAGTACACTGAGGAATTAGCAGTTCTTAAATACTTTTGTGTACAGAACTAGTATGCGCATCACATATACTTGTCTGATGTGCAGGACCAGAAAAATATACAATGCATGACAGCACTTATAAATCTGCAATTTATAGATAACTTATATACAAGCTCAATAATTGTTCTGGCAGTCTATCAAACAGATTGGAGCACATAATATTTGTTTATTGTAAGAGATCTCTATCCTAGTCTTCATCTTGAAAAAATGAATATGCGCACTCCCATACTACTATACTATGATATTTCACCCACCTACAAAAAAGCATCTAGGATGAAAATCTAAATTGAGCATTCGTGTTATACACTGCAATACTGAGAAATCATTAGGTCTTTCTCTTTAAACTTGCTGACTAAATATTCTGCATTTTTTACATCCTGCGTAATACTCTCCCTCTCTACAATTATTTTGAATATTCCTGGGACTCTTTGAGAAACACAGCTTAGGAAAGAAGGAGGCTCCTCTCTCCTTCCATTCACTAAATACACCATTGTCACATTAAGAATGGCAGAAAACGGAGGACTAGGCAAACTATTCACGCACAAATTATATCCTTTAGTTCTTGGATACAAAACATTTCTAAGTGTGGAAAGGCCTTTTTTCTGTGTGTACTCTGCAGACTCCTTTTGCTTGGACTGTGTAAAGCGGGTTCCTTCCGGATAGATAACTAATGAAATGCCAGAGGACTGCTTTGTGCACCACTTCTTGATTCTTTCGCAGTCAATGCTCCATGCTCTTTTAATAAACAGATAGTCTGAAAGGTACATTCCCCATCCAATAACGGGTATCCACCTTAGCTCGCTCTTGCATATAAACCTAGGGTTCATCTGGAATCTTTTAGATATCATAGCAAGTAATGTCCCATCAAATGCACATATGTGGTTACTTATTATCAAAAGAGACTCTTGTCTGTCTTCTAATTTATTTCTCTGCTTTTCATTTATGTACTGAACCTCAATTGCATTTTTATTCCCTATCCGTAGAAGAAAGAGACATGCACTTGCAAAATGTCTATTGTACCAGTCCATTACCCAAACCATTGACTTTCTGTTGATTATTACCATAGGAAATGTAATAATCTGTAGAAGCAGAAGCAGGAATATGCAGGCAATAAGATAGAGCGACATGACCATCTTGCACAAAGTAAATATAAACCCAAATCTATTCATTGCACTCAATAAAAAGTAAAAGCAAAGAATAAAATATATTCTGGCTAGAACAAAAATCACTGCTGAAAATCATACTAGTGCACACCAAGCACAAATTGTGTGATGATTTTATAAACATCAATTATAGGTCATATCTGCTGGATTTATCAGATCTGCTGTGACTAGAAATGTAAAACACCAAATGAAATGGCATTTAATGCATTGTAGCAGATTCTTGGAAACACTGTTTGTTTGTCTACACAATGAATATGCATAAAAGCGGAAACCAAAACAAGGCACTATGTTGACATTCAAGAAAGAGAAGAGCGCAAATGAAATCAAGCCAACCATAGATTCCATTGCGGATAAGAACAAAAATGCATGCGAGGAAGAAAGTCCAGTGGAGTGCACAACTCCATCCGATGCATTTATACTTGATATGCCTGACACGGTCTTAGACTATTCTGAAATTTCATATCCTGAGGATGACGTGTCTGAAGAAGAAATGAGCCCAAAGAAGCCCAAAACCACTTGGGAGGAGTACCAGCGCAAGACAGCCAGCATAATGGAGGCCGAGGCACAAGAGGCTCTGAAAGCCAAAGAAGCCAAAGAGGCCATGAAAAAAGCCCTTCAAGCAAACACACTTCCAAAACAAGAGAAGCCACTTGCAGAGGGTGTTTATAATACGGAGGAAAAAGAAAAAGTTGATGAGGCAGTGCCAGTAGAGGAGGCACTGCTTGAGAGCAGCGAAGAAATTGAGTTAGAAGATGAGGATTTAATTCTTGATGAAGAGAGCGAGAGTTTAGTTGAGGAAGAGGAAAAGAAGGAGTGTGCAAGCGAGTGTAAGAGCGAAGAAGAAGTGCAAAATAAGAATGAGATAGTAGCAGATGCATGTACTAGTGCAGAAACAGAGACTTCTGTAGTGGAAGAAGAGTCTTCATTTGATGTTGTGATTGAAGACTCCTCTGAGTCCGCGGAAGAAACATTAGGAGAGACTCCAGAAGAAACTCCATCCGATAATGAGCTAGTATTCATTTCCTTAGATGAGAATGATTCAGCCGAAGAAACTCTCCAAACTATGCAGACAGAAACTCCTCAAAGCATTCAGACAGATTCTATAGCTAGTGAACCTCAGCCTGTACCAAGCGACGAAGAAAAGCAAAAAGAACCCAAACAAGCACCAGAACCCTTCTTTTCTCCTAAAAAAGAAGAAACTGCGTACATTTCAGCCTCCCACACTATAAACCCATTCAGCAGTATTCAAATGCCTTCTAGGCCTGTGACCTTCACTAACTCAGGAAGACCTCCAAAGGCCATTAAAGCAGTCCATGTGCCTCCTGTGATCATCCGAGACCAAGCAGAAATTGTCAAGAATCCTAATGAGAATATAGTATTCGCTGAACCAGAAGAACTGCCAATTCCCATACCTTCTGTCAAAGAATCGAGCCCCAAAGAGATGCAAAGCATACAAGTTCCTGAGCCAAAGATTGAAAAAGAGCCAGAAGCAATAAAAGAGATAGTAGCCCCCTTGCCTGCCCAGACTACTTCTCTTTTTGACAAAATTCTAACAGTTATGCAGACTATCTGCCTGGTTCCGCTTCTTGGTCTTCAAATATCTGCCCTACAAGGATATGGCATGCGCATGACCCATACGTTGCTGAATTTATTTTCTGCAGACACTTTGCTTCCAGCCTTCTTTGCAGTTTCCTTTGTGCCCCTTATTTTCTCTCTGCTGCTATCTACAAGAGCACTGATTAATGCATTTTTAGTGGAGCCTACTATGCCAGCCATCCCAAGGAAAGAGACCATCAAAGAGATCAAAATCAAAGGATTTTATTTGCTAGACTTAATGCAGATATCTCTATTCCTTCCCTTTTCTCTTGGCATGGCCCGTCCTTTCCTCCAGGAATTCTTCAGAAAGCCAGAAAGAGGCTGGGCACTTGGCAAATTTACATGCGAGCTGCTATACATAGTCTTTATTCTTTGCGTGGCCCACCGTGCATATGAAACCTGGAGAAACACAAAAATATCCACAAAGTCTGAATTCTCTGTCATTTACACGTCTTTGCCTCGAGTTACAGCGTGCATCTCTGCTTTACTCCAGATATATATCTTCCGGTATTTACTACAAGTCTCCATTGACATTGCCACAGACTACGATAAACTTCAAAAAATAATTGCATTTGCAACTGAAAACATACTTACTCCTGTGCAGAGTGCTTTGCAATGAAGATACTGCACTGTATCCCAAATGATTGTTCTCAATTAAAAAGACCCTCTACTCTTTGCTAGATAATCACATAAATAAACTCAACTTAATATTTACTTTCATCTTTCTCTTCCTCTCTTGGGAAGAACTATGCAAGCAGGCCCTTTCTTTCATATTTCAATGGAGCAGGCACTCTCTGCATAGGGCCAAGCATCGGCTGGCCAAGCACATAGCAATTTATCCCACTCTGTACAATCAGCTACCTAAATGCAATTATATCTAAATTAGACTCACTTTTTGCGCACTTGCTATCGAAAAGGTTCCAGAAGTTAAGATTCTCATCAGCCCCGCACGTAGCAAGTATCTCTCCATTTGGTGACAGAGCACTAAATAGAACTCTTCCTGTGTGCCCTTTCATATCGCCTATTTTCCTCATGCTGCAATACTTCCATACTGCCACGTTATTATCAGAGTACCCGTGTGTCGTAATAATCTCTTTGTATCTTTCACTAAAGACAATGCTACACACCTGCGAGCCAGTGTCTATACTGCTAAGACATACTCCCTTGTCTACATCCCAAGTCCGAATTGTTCTGTCATTTGTTCCTCCTCCAGTTGAAAGAATTCCTTTCTTCCATGGGCACCAATTGACAGCCCGAACAGCTGCCGTGTGATCTGTCAGCTTCACTCTGGGCCTGTCATATCCATTTCTCCAGACGCAGACATTATTGTCATTTGCACCGCTTGCCAAATAAGACCCATCCGCATCCCACTTCAGCCCGCACACTTCCTGCGTGTGGTGCAGAAAGCTGGACACGTGCTCACCACTTCGCACATCATAATTAAATATATTTCCATCCTTTCCACCTGCACTCACAACATTGTTTCCCCATGAAATTGATGAAACTCTTACACTTCTGCCTGGCAGGTCACACACCTTTTTGCTGCACACTACATCAATGACCGACAGATTCCCATCCGACATTCCATATGCAAGCAGGCCGTCCTTGGAGAAAGAGACAGAGGAAATGTGGTGGTTGTCTGGCGCATCAACCACATGAGAGACTGACTTGTTTGATGCATTCCACAAGTACAGCTGCTCACTCAGCCCAAGAGAGATCAGATTGTCTTTGCTCCAATCTAGTAGATTTACATAGTAGTCATTCAGAATAGAAGGTGCATCCAGAATTCTAAACGGACTAGCAGGGAGTGGTCTCTTGCTCATTCTGTCTATTCGCGACTCCATCTTTAGTGGCCCACTATATGCAGCCCCCAATGAAAACCCAAAGCACTTCTTCTTCTCTTCTATCCCATACCTCTCCTTTATGTTTTTTCTTTTCTGTATCCTCCGATATCTTGGCTCTATGAGTCCTTCAAAGGATATGTCCCACAGATCATCTAGACCAGAATGACCCATTTCTTTTTATGAAAAATAAACAATTTTATAATTACTCTGAAGCCACCTCCATCACACTATATTTCATCGTGATGTAAATGATGAATATTCTGTCTTCTAGCTTAATATATGCAGATGAGTCTATTTCTTCTCTTCTAGCAACCATGCATTTTGTACGATATTACTGTACATTTATTTCTCTTAGTCAGCACATAATATCCTCATTTATTATAGTAGATGGCCAGAATATGTGCATGTTCTACCTTATTTTGTGCTGTATCCAGTTATAATACAGTTCTCTCTCTTTTTATGTGCTGAAATAGATGGCAGGCCTCCAAAATATATTTTAATGTATTTTAAGTATTTCTAGTGACTATATGCATGAGAATCCTCAAGGCACAGAAATACGGTGCTTTTAATAAAGCAGAAACTGCTGTCTTCTGTAAGTATACTAATGCCTGTAGCACTCTCTTTATTAATACTGGCACACTACTGCCACCCACACAAATACATAGAGATTTACTTGCATACATTATTATTTATTCTTGTTACATAAAGCTTACTTATTTTTTATCGAATTTCTCCAATAGCTTTGCCTTAACTACGCACCATATTTTTTCCTCTTCGCACTTGGCTTCTTTCATTATTTTATTCCAAAATCTTAGTATTTGCTTGTCTGCGTACTTTGTTGGATTGGTCATTACTTCCCACTCTAGATGGTTTTCTTCTATCAGCTCCAGTGTTTTTTTGATGTCCTTTGCCGTTATGGTTGGCACAATAACCTCCTTGTCACTTCGCAGCCCCTTGATTAGGTCATCTAAATCCTCTTCTGTGAGCATTTTTATTTTTATTCAGAGTTTTATTTTAAATATCTGCAGGCAGATTTATCAGACATAGATGCCGGGCTTTGAATTGTCTACCTCTAGGCCAGAATTGTCTTGTGCAGAGAAATATTTTCTTTATGTTTTTCTGAATTCATGCTGTATAAATATAAAGTGCATATTGAGAAGTATTTCTATAGAATATATTACTAGATGCAAATAGATAAGGCGGTTTGTCTTATTTTAGTGGAGTGTTCTTTCTCTGCTAGTATAAAGATTTAATATGCATCTAAATAGTATAAAGTATATTAAGATGTCATTTTATTAGCGTACTATGCTGCAGGTTATGGAATCTTCTCTAGTACAACAGAGTCATGGGTATTTTATCTGTATTGCTGCTTCTTCTGTATAGATGGATATATTTTAGATGATTTGTATTTCTGTACACATAATCATTTAGTTGTACTTTTTGAATTATTTGTTTTTCTATGATGTGAAAGCTCTTCACTTTGATTTTCTACATGAAGGATTTAGTTTATAAAAACTTGAAAGCAAAAGAAAATATCTAGATGAAATGGCATAAGATGCAAAGTAACTAGATTCAAAGAGTCAGCTACAAGAACTAACACATTGCCTGTGAGCAAGAAACCACAGTACAGGATTAGAGAATATGAGTAAGTGTTGGCTATTTAACTATGCAGTGCACAATTTTAATATCTCTACAAGTGTTTAGAAAATATACATAGATTAAACACATATCTATCTAGAAATACACAGCAGGAATAGAATGTATAGAGGTTTTTATGTAATTTGTTTAGTAAGTATAAGATGATTATTTTTCTATAATGCAGCTTCTTTGGGCTTTTGTGTGCTCGTCTCAAAAAATTTCAGGATTGCAAATGCGTAGGGACAAAACTGCATTAGAGAACAATGAGCATAAATAACACTATTTATAGACTATAAATACGGCAAGCATATCTTAATTTCTGAGGATTTAATTGTTTATTTTTTTATTTACTATACGATGGAAGAAATCTTAAGAAGTGTCTATGAATATTCAGATGAGCTACTTTTGGAGTTACTTCAGGAAGAGCAACCCCTGGAAGCAGCTGTTAATATACTGTGTGGTGTAATTCGAAGCATCACTGCACAGGAAATATTGAGAGAAAAAGAGCAGCTCCTGCTTCTTTATAGATATTTGCTAATGCTTGTAAGAATGCCTGAGATGTTTGACTTTGAAGGCAGGAGCATCAGCCGAACAGTAGAAATATTCTATGGCGCGTGCATGCATCATAAGCTGCCGCTGCACACCACGCTATCTGGCAATGAAATAGGCGAGGAAATACTTACTGTGCTTCTCCATGGGGTCTATAGAAAGATGGACCACTCTTCTGAGCCGGGCAGATATGCAAATTACTCAAGCCCTAGCAGGATAGAGGAGAATTCCTCGTATAATTTATCTGTGCATGAAGACTTGCTAAAGCACCCAATGGCAACAAGGATATTAGAGAAAAAGAGTCTTTGGGGCCTAGAGCCAATTTTGCCAACAGGAGAGGATGAGTGGGTGCACATGCAGTGCAGAAATAGCAGGATTTTTAATCTAACCCAGTCGTATATTCTAAATCTGTGCCCAGTCTACTACACAGGAGAGCATATAGGGATATACATGATGTACCCAGAGTTCTACAATAAACCAAAGGCAGAAATACAAAGGGCCCGGGCTTCGCTGCAAAAAGTAGTAGACCAGACAAATACAAGGTTCTTTAGCATTTTCAAGTCATTGATCATGGTTAATAAAGATATTAAAAAGAATTTTATATCGTCAATCTACAGCATATACGAAAACAACAAAGAAAGAGAAAAGACCAGATACAAGCTAGAGGAGGTGCAGCCAGATGCAAAAATATTCACAATTTCAAATCTTCTTGGACGGCTTATCCAGCCTGTTGCAAATGACACAATAAAAATGCAAAGTATCCCAGCAGACACACTCCAGCGATCAGAGTACTTAAAAAGTACACAGTTTCCAATAGCAACCAGCACACCCTGCATGACAAGCTCCATGACAAATATGAACTCTCCATCAGACATTAGCTCACGAGCAGATGCACCGAAGGCAAATGACACTTTTTTATCTGAGCTGTTCTATGGAAAGCTGCTGTATAATAGAATATCGTATACCCAGATATACACAAACTACAATGCATATACTGAAGACATGAGAAGAACAGAGCGTGCAATCGCATCTGCCCCTAATGACCAGAGAATGAAGTATGTGCTAAGTATCCTGAATTCAGAGCTTGAATACATAAATGCCCTATTGGCCTGCGACACCATGCGAACAGAGGTTGTATTTCTAATGTACACAGTTTCATTCCTTAACCATATGGCGCATAAAGGGCGGTTAAGCACTGTGCCTGTCTTCATATTAGAGAACATCATTATTTCGCTGGAAAGACTCACGCATATGAAGCTGGGAATTAGGCTAACGCAGGAAGATGTAAGGAAAGTTCACATTCTGTGCATACATGTGCTAAACTCCAGAATCAACATAAACTACAAGCAGGAGGTGATTAAGCTCTTACTGACATACATAAACACATCTGAGTGCGAGTACACTCCAGGAATTGTTCTGTCAATTATAATGTACTTCATTGATGTGCAAATAGAAATAAGAAACCAGTCGGAGCAGCTGCAGGAAAGAGGAAGGGCATCGTGCATACTGGACTATCTGCTAGAGAATTACAAAGGAAAGGAAGAGATCCGAGGAATTCTTGAAACAGCTCACAGCACAAGTGATCATAAGGACACAAAAACAGTTTTTCTACTGCATTTACTCTCTTCATTAGTTGATGCGCAGGAAAGAGGATTTGAGGAGCTGCGAAAGGTATCTAGGGCACAGAGGGAAAGCGAGCCTGCAGAGAGCATTGATACGTACATAGAGCACTCAAACTCCTATTTCTATATTGTGGATGTTATAGACCGCATAATCTTCACGCTCATGGACGTATCTGCAAAGGCATTTTCATCCTCGCTAATTATGTGCCGGCTGGCATCTCTGCTCAATGCGTCTTTAATCACCTTGGTTAGCAAGAAATCCTCTGAGCTGAAGCTAAATAGCTCTAAAAGCACATTCTCTCCTGTCACACTACTTGGAAACCGCGTAAAAATGTATATATCGCTGAAAAGCATGGCTTTTGTAAAGGCAGTGGCAGAGGATGAGGATATGTTCAAGCCAGAGCTATTTAGCAAAGCAATTGAGATATGCGACAGAAAGGGAGTGCTAACACAAAGAGATAAAGCATATGCAATTCTATTCATCAAGCGAGTGGCTAATCTGAAAGAGCAGAGAACAGTCAGCTCCATTACATATCCAGATGAATTCATCGACCCACTAACCTTTGGGCTGATGAAAGACCCAGTTATACTAAGAACTAGCAATACACGGGTGGACAGGTCAACTGCAGCCATGATACTTATGACAGATCCCACAGATCCATTTACTAGAGACCCGCTTACAGAAGAAGACATTTTAGAAGACCATGAAATGCGCAAAATAATTCATGATTTCTTGGCTAAGCATACTTAGTAAAAATGCGCAATAACAATAAATTATTGAATTTAATTCGGGCTGCAATAAAATCACAGATATTTAAGAGAGAAATAGGATAGTGAATGGATGATATTATTTAAGATTATATAAGAGTGCTCAGTTACTTATGCATTGTACTGTATGAGAATGCATTTAGAGAAGTGCATGCATCGATTGAAATATTGCTAGATAATCAAGGCATTTATTGTTCTTTTGTCTCTAGTAAACTACACACTGCTAATTTAAACAATCCATACTATGCTCAAGTATAGTGAACTTTGGTATACCAATTTTCTGCAATTAAATCTATCTAAAGAGCATGTAATGTATATTAGTTGTCTAATTATATATGTTTATTCTATGGTGTTATATTCTATTGAATGGCTTAAGGAGTGGCTTTCCTGCACACAAAACTTCTCTTCCATATTTTTGTATTTTAGTTTTCAAAGGCTTCATATACTAGTAGTAGAGAGGAAAAAATGGACACTTTATGTTCCTTATTTAAAATCTGAATTGATCGGTTCAAGAGTGCAAACAAAAAAGCGTATCTGCAAGAATAATTAAATAAAGAGTAGAGGGTGAATGTGATATTTATATATGATCCTTTGCTAATGCATAAGTCAGTTGTACACTATATGCAGCTACCCACTAGCTCTATTTATGGAAATAATTTTATTAAATTTCACAGCAGAATGAAGGAGTATGACATATTTTTGGACACAGAGGAAAGTACCCTTCTTTTTCAATATCCATTAAGCACAGAGGTTCCAGATGTGCAGACAGTCTCTACAAAGTGCGACAACAAGTATGTCCAAATATCTGCCAAGAAAGGGACAGAAGAAATGAACTATAAAGGAATTGGCTCTGATACAATAAACAAATACTATGTGCTAAGTCTGCAGAACGGGCAGATAGCAGGAACACAGGTGAAAACAATAGTGCAGATGCGGCCATTTTTGCCAGAAACAGAGGAAACAATGAAGCTGGCAGAAAAAAAGGAGACAAAAGTATTTGCAATGAACGAATCACAGGACGAGTTGGAGAATAGAATGAAAAACCCAAATTATATAGTCGACAAAGTAAACAAAACACCCTGGGTAGTGCATAAGCTGGCTGAGTATAAAGAATCTGTGATAAAGCCAGAAGTCCATAAGCCGCTGTATGCAGAGACTAGCAGTACTTGCCTGAATAAGCTGAAAGAAACCATATACAATGCAAGAGTTGTAAACATATCAGAACTACATAAAATATATCCAGGGCGAAGTATTTCAGATATCAACCAGGCAGTATCTGAGATGACAATTCCCTTTTTGGGAAGACACATACTCAAGCCAGAGTACTTCAATGATCTCTCGCCTTTGCTAATTAAAATACTGAAGAGAATGGAAGAAGAGAAAGGAACATTTAAACTCACAAAGGATGAAATAATAAACCCATCAGAGGAATTCATCTACCTTCTCAACCAAGTCGCATACAAGGATGAACATAAGTATGTATTAAAGGGTTTTAATGAAAATATATTATAGATAGCATAGAATGCGCAATAAACAATACAGGATAGATAAATAGAGCAGTAAGCAAGTATATTATATATATTAGAGGCGCATAAATCAATAAAAAACTGCGCATTTTATTACACTTTGGTCTGCTGTATATTGTCCTATATTTATGCTGCAGACATGTCTACTTTCTAGTTTTAATTTTGCATAAATTTATTTTTGAAGATGAAGAACAGAAGTGAAAGGTTAATGGAACTATTTGAAATAATGCTGCAATCTGAGAAAAGACTGGATGAATCGATCACCCAGAAAAAGATGGCAGTCGAAGAAGCTCATTTCAAAAAGATAAAGAAAATGTGCACTGTGCGAATAAATATATCCCTGGAGAAGACATCAGAGAACTCTCTTTTCATTTTAATCGGTGGAAAGGTAAAGGAAGAGGCAGGTGAAGGGGAGGATGAAGGAACGACAGAAATAAAGTCTATTGGAAGTGTGCTAAGCAAATTATATGTTGAGTTATCAGAGACCGAAGGGGAGATTAGCAGACCGCAGGGTGATAGGGCTCAGGAAACAGAGCCATCTGCCAAAAGGGTAAGAATGTCAACAGGAGAGAGCGAGACCTTCTTTGAGTGGCATAACAGAACAACCACATCAGACGTGTCTGAGTTTGAGATTAAGACATCTGCAAAGTCATCGCATGGCCGCCTATTTATTAGCTTCATGAGTTACACAGGTGTTTTTGATTTGTGCAGTGACCTGGCAGGGCCCATTGGCATGAAGAGAGGCACCAAGTCAGGAATTCTTCTAGCCATATGGAAGTACATTACAGCACAGAAGATGCGAGATCCATTGCGGAATAAAACAATCTTGTGCAATGATGTATTTAAAAAGGTATTTGAGAAGGATGAAATAACATTCAGTGAAATAATCCAAGACCTAGGGAAGTTCATGTCTCCTGTTGAGATGATTACCTTTGACTTTGCAGTCCCCACCCAGGTAGGAGGCAAGCTGCAGTATTCTTATGACATTACAGCAGAGCTGGATCCGATCTCAAGGGAGTACGCATACGCGAATAATGCAAAAATAGCAATTCTGAACAAAAAGATAGAAGACATACAGGTGAGAATAGAAAAGCAGAATGAAAAAATTGATGGCTTAGACAGATTCATTGAAAACCCAAAGAGATACATTAACAACTGGATATTAAACAGCTCAAAGAATCTTCACTTAATTGCAGATGACTTGTTTGATGTAAATGATGGATTCTACACCCAGAAAGAAATACAAGAAAGCGTGTACCAACTGCTGCAAAATTACAAATAATAAAAATAAGCCTGTAATAAAGAAGAAGTATATCAAAAGAATATTACTTTTTCTAAATCTTGTATAGCCACAGGATAAGTTAAAATAAAATGACTGCAAGAAAATCAACAGAGCATAAGAGCAGAAGAATCTTTGTAGTCGCAAATACTTGGGCATCTGTGCACTCATCATTCTATTTGGTTGGTATATCAGGCTACATGCCCGTCCATATAGAATGCCAGCTATCCAATATATCTTGGGTGGTCTCTGCGGCAGTTGAAGGGCACAGAAGCACATAAAATTATATTCTACAGAAGATGCATACTATATCACATTCTTAAACCAACATAACCTAATAAATACTTTAGTAGTTGCTTTTATATAAGAAAGGCCTGTTAGTTTATTATAAATAAAACTGCATATTACAGCTGTCAGCACAGGGAAATTATACTTTTACAAAGACTACTGCAAGAAGCCATGAAGAGTTTATTTATTGTTGTCTTCTTTTATTCCAGTCCGAATGGAAAATAAAAGCAGTATTGCTTAACAGCCAATCCATGCATTATTCTTTGTAGAAATGGAAGAATATAATTCAGAAGCAGTGAATTAACATATAGACAGTTATTCACTAGATATTATATACATATTATGGGAGTTTTCTAAATAGTTTTATTTATTTTATTAAGGATAGACTAAATTCTTTCAAACTGGAACTCTGCCTGGTTGTCCTCTGCCTCCTGCTTGAAGTTTTCAGGGATCAAATTATTCTCTCTAAGTATTTTGATCTCAGAAGGGAAGTACTTCTTGCATATGTAGCCTGTGTCCTTCTGGTCATCTGCCAGTGACACCAGCACAATATCATTCTGCTGGACCCAAACGGACTTGTGCATGCTTCCCCGAAGAACGCACTTTCTGCTTATTGCGTCAATGCAAAGCACTTCGAACCTGGATGACCCAAGTGCACATGTCACCTGGCCGTATATTGTTTTCTCGGCCTCATCCATGAACACCATTGGCTGATTTGAACTATTCTTCTTTTTGCATCCTTTTCTCTTTCCCTTCATATTCTGTAAAATTTCTTTTACTCATTAAATGAAAAAGGGTGCAAAGGGAAAGGACTTTCTTATAGAACAGATTTGGCTATGGAGCAGCATTTCCTTCATTACTATCTACAGTATGATACTGGTCAAGGTAATAAGTGGGCTGGGAATAAATAAGAGGGTACTTCACATTGGATCCTGCTTATCTCTTATAGCTACATACAGCTCCTGCATATTCTTTAAGAGCTCAGCAATAAACATCCAAAAGCTTCTGAAAGATGGGAACTTTAGATGCCTGCTAGTAGCATGCTCTTTGCTAAGCGTCCGAAGCATGGTTATCCCTATGATGCCCTTCTTGCTAATGTCCACACTGTCGGTTGCTGGGTATATTAACAAGAATAGAAGCAAGTTTGAAAAAACATCAGTTGTAGGTGCAGCCCACAATTTGGCCATCCAGAAGGACCAGATTACTCTGTTTGCACTGAAGATTGAGGTTCTCTCTCTTCCACTGATATTCCTGCACTTAGTTCTAGGAAGTGCTGATTTGTTCCTGTTTGTCAGCTATGCTAGCATGGTGTGGTACGAGTACACAACAAACCCACGCATGAAGAGTGCAGTGTATGAAATAATTGAAGTAATAGACAGATTAGTTGGCTCCTCAAATGTACCGCATTCACTTAGAGAGAAGTATTCTTTGCTCAAAGAGTACATTAAAATGAGGTTGCCGGTAAGTGAAGGAATGGATGCCTCTGGTCAACCAAAGATATCACAGGTGCATAGTAATTAGTAGGAAATAAAATAGTTATTAGTTGAGATATGTACATTTGCCTCTCCCAGCAAGTTTATACAAAAATAATCCAATCAAAGTCTGTCTAAGCGGCTTCACTCGTGTGCAATTACAAGTAAATATTTCTACAGTATTTAAATGTGTTCTTGCAGTGTCCTAGGGTTAATACTAAAACTTCAACTGCTCTTCCTAAAAGTGCTAAGTACCATAGACCAACTAAGCATCCATCTAGAGGCATAAAAATGAAAAGAGTATTATAGGGTGTTTATTATCCTATGCACTGATCTATCTAGGGCCAGGATGATTACACTAGAGAGTATTCAATGCCTGCAGCTGACTCAGTGAAAGTGCCTTCACTTGTGCATTCAATTTGAATACCAATTAGTCTCTTAAGTGTGTCTTGGTGGGTGCTCAGTTCTTCTGTTATCTTAGATAACTTGATCAGAACCTTGTCTGTTTTATCTCGTGTTGAGATCTTAGAGCGTGCGTCCTTAATGAACTCAATGATTGCTTCGATTTGATGGAGTTCTTCTTTATCTTCATCTGTCTCCTCCCGGCTGGATGGGTAGTCTTCCACTGTGATGGACTCCATCCATGTGTATCCCTCAATATTCCATGCCTTTTGCATGGCCTGGTATATTTCTTCTGTAAGGAACGGGAAGAATGGGTGAATGAGCTTGATAAATTCTAGAGAGACTGTCTGCAGTGTAGTAATACCAGAAGGATCCTTTCTGCCCTTAAACATTTCCAGGTAGAAATCGCAGAATTCATAGACCATGAACTGGTGTACGTCCACAGAAGCCTTCATAAAGTTTGATGATTCAAGGGAGGCATTTACACTACTAACGGCCTTTCTAAATCTGCTTTCAATCCATCTGTCAGAGATGTACTCAAACGAGCCCTTTCTGACCTCTTTACTATCAGGTGCTGCCTTCTGGGCAAGTGCAAACTTCATTCCATTCCAGATCTTATTACAGAACCTTCTGCAGCTAGTGACTTTGTCGATGCTCAGGTTGACATCTCGCCCAAGTGATGCACTTGACAGAAGTGCATACCGCAAGGCATCACTGCCACATGCCTCAATACCTGCAGGATACTCCTGTGTGATACTCACAGTTGCCTTGTCTGCCTCGTTTTGTGATAGATTTCCTGACTTGAGTTTTGCCAAAAGGCTTTCCAAAGTAATACCTGATATTACGTCCACTGGGTCAATCACATTTCCTTTGCTCTTACTCATCTTCTCTCCCTTTGCATCTCTTACTATGCTGTGGAATAAAACTGTGCTAAAAGGGCATTTTCCAGTTAGAGAAATTCCCATCATCACCATTCTTGCAACCCAGAAGAAAATAATGTCCTTTCCTGTCTCAAGAAGAGATGTAGGGTAGAATGTCTTCATGTCTTCAGTTTCTTTGGGCCACCCAAGCGTAGAGAAAGGCCACAGACCAGACGAAAACCAAGTATCAAGTACGTCTTCTTCTTGTTCAACAGGGCCACCTGCCTGAGCCTCTGCTTCTTCCTTGGTTCTAGTGATGTACCACTGGCCATTTCTAGTGTATGCGGGTATTCTGTGGCCCCACCATAACTGCCTTGATAGACACCAGTCCTTGATGTTTGAAAGCCAGCCTTCCCAGGTTTTGGTCATTTCATCTGGGACAATCCGCAGGGCACCAGACTGCGAGGCTTCAAGTGCCTTTTTAGCAAGGCCTTGGCAGTTCATCCACCACTGAGGAGCAAGTCTAGGCTCTATTACCTCTCCAGTTCTGGAGCATATTGGAATATTCGAGGAGTGTCCTTCTTCCTTAACGAGCACCTTGATTGCCTGCAGCTCTTTAACCGTTGCCTCTCTGGCATCAAATCTAAGCATGCCTTTAAATGGACCAACGGTCATTCTGTTGTTGATATCAAGAACAGAGATCATTTCAAGCTTGTGTCTCTCTCCTACCTCAAAGTCCACAGGATCATGTGCAGGTGTGATCTTCAGGACACCTGTTCCAAAGGACATGTCAGCAGCTTCATCAAATACAAATCTCATTCTCTCCTGGGTAAGAGGGTTTATGGGAACTGCATCCTTAAACCTGGCAAATCTACTGTCATTTGGGTTGGCACAGAGGGCGACATCTCCAAATATTGTTTCTGGTCTTGTAGTTTGCACATGGATCTTTTCAATCTTTCCATCTACCTCAACATCGTATGCGATAGTGAATATGCGCCCAAGAACATACTCTTTCCCATCTGTGGTTATCTTTCCGTATGGCTCAACCATCTGATAGTCTACCTCCAGATCACTTAGACTTGTCTGTATCTTTGCACACCAGTTGACAAGTCTATTACCTCTGTATATCAGGCCATCCTCATAGAATCTAACAAATGCCTCTGTTACAGCATGTGATACATCTGCGTCCATTGTGAACTTCTCTCTAGTAAAGTCCAGACTTGTCCCAAGTGACTTAAACTGGTTGGATATCTGGTTTCCATACTGCTCCTTCCATGCCCATACTTTCTCCAGAAATTCCTCTCTAGTCATATCCTTTCTATAAATACCCTTCTTCTCCAAAGACTTCTCTACAACCACTTGCGTTGCTATTCCAGCATGATCTGTTCCAGGCAGGTAAAGGGTCTTGTATCCCTGCATTCTCTTCCATCTTACAATAGTGTCCTCAATGGAGGCCATCATGGCATGTCCTATGTGCAAAGACCCAGTTACATTTGGGGGAGGCAGCACTATGCTAAACATCTTTCCATTTGAAGCCTTTGTTTTGTACTCTGGCGTGAAGAATCCTTTTTTGTTCCACCAGGAGAACCATCCATTTTCCACAGACTTTGGATTGAATTGCCCATTAAGCTTATCTACTTCTTTTTTCTCTCCTTCGGGAACAAACTCTCCTTCCTCAAACTCGATCTTCTTTTTCTCTTTTTGATTTTCCTTCTTTGGGGCATTCTTCTGAACCTCCAGCTTGCTCATAAACTTTGCTAGCTTGCTCATTTTCTTCTCTAGTTTTGCTCTTTTTCTATCGTCAGTTTCACCTGCCAGTGCAGCCTTTAATTCTTCCATATATTTTTCCATTTTTATTTTTCTATTTAAATTATGATTCTGAATTCTGTGCTTGCTCCCTACCCCCGGACAGAGCTGCTGCACACCACATGCAGTTCTGCATATTTTCTGATCATTTTGGATTACTTCCAGATCACTAATTTCTGGACTTTACTATTTGGTTTGTCCATGATTCACTATATAATCACAGTATCAGAGTCCATGATATTCAGTCAGGTTCTGTGCGGTGTATCTGTGATTTTTTTCCTGCTAAAAGCAAAGTCTTCTAAGACACAGCAAATGAACAAAATTGACACAGATATTGCATACCTGGTGATCAATGGCCTAAGATATATTGTATGCAGCTTGGTGTCTATCTCTATCTTTACGTGTGATTTTGGGATATATCCATTGCATAAGTACAAGTGCAAGTACTTTGGGATATCCTTAATGGACTTTGGGGTGGTTGCCTTTATGATTAATGCAGGCATGCTGTCTTCTCTTTCCCATAGATTTAGAGCACGCAAGTCTGCATATATGTTTATCATGGGGATAGTTCGCTTATGTATCATTCTGTCTGGATACCACACAGACCCAACAGAGTATGGAGTTCATCTTAACTTTTACTTTATATATCTGCTGTCTGAGAATATAAGCTTATTGTTTAAGAATATAAATCCTATTCTAGCAGCCTCTCTTATCCTTGGAGCACACGAAGCAGTTATCACAAAAAAATCAGTCATTAATTATGTCTTCTTTGGGGAAAGAGACAACATATTCAGTGCAAACAGGGAAGGACTACTTTCAATCCTTCCTTATACAGCTGTGCTTCTGCTAGGAAAGGGAGTTGGTAATATTCTGTTTGAAAAAAACAAGACAGTCTTTAAGAAGTTCCTTAAGCTTGTCGCCCTATACAGTTCTTTGCATGTGGTACATCTTGTTTTTCTATCTATAACTGAGCCATCTAGAAGACTTTGCTCAATTTCCTTTATCTCTTTCTGCTGCAGTGCAATTATATTCCCTATGTGTCTTCTCTATGGAATTTCTTGTGTCTATAAGGTGCCAAGCATCGAATCCCTTTCTGGGCTTAGTAAGCTAATGAATCCACTATTTCTTCTGTCCAACTTGTATGTTCTTATTGGTAATCTTCTCTTTGATTGGAAGAGCTATTCTGCAGTTGAATCTCACTTGTGCAATTTAGTATACATGTTCCTGACTTTTTGTGTTCCCGTGTACCTCTACAGGAAATATGTAGAAATCCCAAGTGAAAGAAAGACAAAATAAATATGTAAATTCTCATAAATATAATCTAACGTAAAAACAATAAATAAGACAGTCAGCAGGATAATAGGCCAATCTGTATCTGTACTCTATTAAAGAAGGATTTTATGTAGTGCCACAGATTTATTGGTCTTTTCATCTAGGATATTCTGAAGGTTGGCATGAAATATCTTTCTACTGAATATATTCTGAAGGCTTTCTTTTTCTTAAATGCATAGATATTTAGACTATCCTGGTACTAGTGCCTATTGAACTTTTAGTGCTCATTTGTATACGCATAATCATATAGACTAATTCCAGTGCAAAATAGCTTCTTATGTTTTAGACAGTTTCGTATTTGGAGAGTCACTAGCACAGATATTTTTATGCACTCTAGTAGCAAAGGAGTGCTTTCTTCTTTTAAATATCTGCTGAGACTGCCTAAATCTAATAATAGAAATACTTTCTAGCTTTCTATTCTAAGAGCATTGACATGCATATTGGCTGAGTGAGAATGGCCACAACCCCGCCTCTGTCTTTTATTTTCTCTCCTTCATTTGTGTACTGCGAAATAATGTTTATTTCTGCATTTGTCTGTTTGGAAAGCTTAAGTATTTCTTCTGCTGCCTCTCTCTCTGCTGGACTCTCTGACTTTATTAGCCCATCTGAGATGATTATTGTCTTGACCATGTAGTTTTCGCAGGCGCATGTCACCTCCTTAACTCCCATGGCAATTCCCTTTGTGCCTACGTCCTCTAGTCTGTAGTAGTTATTCTGTGCTAGTAGTTCATTTCCTTTTTTTGCTCCCTTAAGCTTCTTAAGGAGTTCAGGGGACTTGAAAATTTCATCTATTTCCTCCATGTCTCCTTTGTGTGTGTTGCCCGATGATACCGACTTTTTAATGAAAACGACAAGGTTCTTTAGCTGCGGCTGCTGCTTAAAGTAGTCATCTACCTCTTTTTCTGGTCCTACTATGGCAAATGCAGTTAGATTTCCTTTTAAGTGGCTGAGAACATTCTTGAACAACTTGTCCTTTGACTTGACTTTCTCTGGGAGTGGTACTCTGCGCATAGTGTACTCAGTTGCCAGAAGAAGAGAATATCCTTCCTTCCGGCATATCAGGTATGCCATGCTTGCTTTGTTTTCCAGCGTAAGCCCCTCTAGCATCTTTATTGCAGCTGCTGACAGATAGTCTTTCTTCAAGGACATTCTCTGGTTTACTGGTATTTCCAGTGTGTGAAATGTCCCGGTCTTTGTGTATTCCGTCTCATTCAAGATTTTTCCCTTTACGAACAATATTCCTACTGCCAGATCCACTGTGACCTTCTCAACCTCGACTTCCAAAAGAAGAGTAACCCGTATTTTCGCCTTTCCGCCTTCTCCTGGAATGCTCCTTTGTGTCATTGACTTTACAATATCTTTCTCGTCAATAATTCTGTATAGTTCGTATATATCGTCAATATCCTCTGGAAGAATATCCAGAAACACATTGCACTTTGTCTGGCTCTTTTTAAATATTTTCATTCTGTGTTATTGTGTATAACTATTTATGTGGATTTGGTTTCTTCTTTGCACACTATTCCTGGCGACAAAAGAGTCTGCACAGAAGGAGGACGCGTGCATCTTCATTCTTTGCAGGAACACGGACATCCATGGCCTCAAAGACACAATTACTAAATTCGAAAAATACTTCAACAAAAAATACCAATACCCATATGTTGTAGTGAATGACGTAGAATTCACACCCGAATTTAAAAAAGATTTCAATGCCCTTACAACAAATCCCGTTGAATACGGAACAATTCCAAAGGAGCACTGGGGATATCCCACGTGGATTGATAAGGAAAGGGCCTCCCGGGAGAGAACAAGAATGGAAAGAGACAATATAATATATGGAGGCAGTGAGTCATACAGGCACATGTGCAGATATTTCTCTGGATTCTTCTTTGAGCACCCACTCACAAAGAAGTACAGATATTATTGGAGGGTAGAGCCAGACACGCAGTTGCACTGCCCCATTGACTATGATGTCTTTGAGTACATGCGCATACACAACAAGAAGTATGGGTTTACGATTACACTCCATGAATATCCTCAGACAGTCCAGTCTCTTTGGCGAACTATTCAGCAATTTGTTTCCTCTTACAACACATTCTATAAAGAAGGAGACTTCTGGACCTTAGTGGAGCCCCTTAATCTGCACAGATTTATAACAGATGACATGTACACCCGGTATAATATGTGCCACTTCTGGTCTAACTTTGAAATTGCAGACTTCTCTTTTTTCCGAAGCAAAAAGTACAAGGCATTCTTTGAGTTTCTAGATCGGTCAGGTGGATTTTTTTATGAAAGATGGGGAGATGCGCCTGTGCACTCAATTGCAGCCTCGTTATTCCTGAATAAGGATGAGATCCATTATTTTGAAGATATAGGGTATACGCATCCCCCGTTCACGCACTGCCCTAGGATGTCTCTACAAAAGTCTCCTTGCAGCTGCAATGTCTCTACCTCTGTGGATATTACTATGCCTATGTGTATAAATTTGTATAAAAAGATACCCAGGTAGAGAAAGGTAGAAAGGTAAATATTCTGTAAAATATCCTTCTACTAGAGATAGTACATCTTTATGATTTACATGGCCTGATTTACATTGTACAATGGAGTACGTCCTGGAATACTAAAGATATTCATTTTAGTACACTCTCTAGAATAACGTATATTATGGAAGTCTCAGAAAGTCACTGCACACCATGAAGCCATGCCTGCTGGCATAAGAATAATGAAGACTTATATATTTCGGGTTATATCTGTATATTACGTTTCTTTATTACTTTCCAGTGCTAGATGCCAGCAACCAATCTATGTATAGGCATAGTATACACAGAGAATTCTCTTTTGAATTTTGAAGAGCAGTCACAGTGTACTGTGTGTCTATGTGCAGGCACGTGATAACGCATAGTGTGACTTAGTCTTGCTAATACTTTTTATCCTCGCCTGAGTACTTTTTAACTATCATATCAATGCTGTCCCTGCGCTCCGTGCGCTCTGCCTTTTCAAGCTTTCTAAAGCATTCCACCAGAGATGTGTATGGCATGCTATTGCTTCTGACTTCCATGGAATTATTAAATACTTTTATATTTCCAGTTTTCAATCCATTTATAACAGAGCGGCGTGTTCTCTTCACAGGAGTCAGAAACACTGTGCTTTTCTCTTTTTTTGGTGTCAGTATATTAATGAACCTCTCTGATCGAGTGTACTTTCTTTTAATCTTTTTCTTTGCAGGCCCAACTCCTGATGCATCCTCAAGAATTGAGTCTGAGCCACTGCTGTCTAAATCTACCACGTCATCTACCACAGAGGCTGCAAATGTCTGTGCTTCAGCTGGCTTTCCTGTCTTCTCCTGTGCTGTGTGCGCAGTATTTGCAGTCTGCTCGGATATATTCTCGCATGGAGCAGCGGGTGCACTCTGCATGCCGTCATTTCTGCTTGAGACACTCTCTGGGCAAGAAGGCATGGTGGCATCCAGTGCGCCTGCATTCTTTGGTGTCTGTGTGCTTTCTGGTGTGCATCCACTATACTCCCGCTCCCTACTCTCAAGAAGTATGTATGAGCTGTCCAACTCTGAATCCATAAAAAATTTAGAAGAAAATGAAACTAAGTTGCTTTATTTCTTAGCAGACTTCTTGCCAGTTGCGAAGAACTCTGGCACTCTTGCCTCAGTGGCAGCCTTGTCCAAGACCTCGTGGATAATACCTACTCCAATGGTCTTACCCATATCTCTAAGGGCAAATCTTCCAAGGAATGGGAACTCTGAGAACTTCTCCATAACAGTTGGCTTGGATGGGACAATAATGACTCTGGCGCATGGTCTAGTTCCTGCAATTTCAGTTGGCTTGTCGTTGGTTACAACGAACTCCTTTCCTTTCTTGCTTCCAATGTCGCAAAGCTTTGCGAAGACGGTGCTGACGTGAGTGGCTGCAATGTCCATAGTAGGAGCATATCCGGCCTTGATGCACTTCACCTTTCCAATGAAAATGACTGTGGCGTATGCGGCGAATGCCTTGATGCATGGGTTTGCTGCGTCTGCAATGACGGATCCCTGCTTGACCTTGTCGGTTTCAGCGTTGTTCTTCAGTGTGATACCGCAGTTTTCTCCTGCCTCGACCTTCTTTCTGGCGGTCTTGTGGATTTCCATGGTCTTGACTTCAGTGGCTACTCCTGCTGGGGCAATGTTTACCTTCATACCGGCTAAGCATGTACCAGACTCAACTCTTCCAGTGAACACCTTACCAATACCCTTGATTTCAAGGATGTTTGTAAGAGGAATTCTAAGAGGAGCGGTGGTCATTCTCTTTGGAATTGGGTAGTAGTCAATGGCCTCCTCAAGAGATCTGATGGGGGTTGCGTCTGGGGTCTCTTCTGGAGTCCATCCCTTGAACCAGTTGAACTTCTCACCTTCTGCGGTTAAACCGTATCCCTTGAATCCGGAGATGGCAATAATTGGAGTAGTCTTCATGTTGTACATCTTCTTCATCTTTCCAGTGATGTTCTCGCTGATTTCCTTGAATCTTGCTGCTGCTGCCTCGTCAGATCCAAGAGTATCTAACTTGTTGATGGCAACAATGGCCTTGGAGACACCAAGAGTGTGTGCAAGGACAATGTGCTCGTATAAAGTACTTGTCTCTGCAATGGCTCTCTCGAACTCACCCTGGGCTGCTGGCACAATGATGACAGCGACGTCGGCCTGGGCGGTTCCGGTGATCATGTTCTTAAGGAAACCTCTGTGTCCTGGGCAGTCAAGGATGTTGACTGTGTGCTTGGCGGTCTTCACCACCTTCATTGCTACCTGGATAGTAATACCAGACTCTCTCTCTGCCTTGTTGTTATCACAGAAGAAAGCGTAACTGAAGGATCCCTTTCCGTGCTCCTTTGCTACTTCTTCCAACTTCTCAAGTGTTCTCTTGTCAATTGCTCCTAGCTTGTAGCACAGGTGCCCAATGGTAGTACTCTTACCACTGTCCACGTGCCCAAGGAAGCATACGTTTATGTATTGTTCTTTCTGCTCTGTCATTACATGGTATAAAATTTTTCACATTTTATTCTTTAATTTTTTCTAGAATTAAAGTAACTGTTTTCGTCTTCCTGTTATAAAAGCCAGTTTTCTTCAAATATTCAGCACCTTTCATATTAAATATTCTTTTCAAAGTACTTTAATTTCTCCTCCAATAATTCATATACTGCTTAGTTACATGCTATACCCCGAATTCAGTAAATAATTGGCAGTTCTGCTCTAATTACTCTTATACCCAGCCAAAAATACAGCACAAAACCAAATATTCTTGTAAATGGTCTATGTACCATGCAAAATGCACTCTATTAATTCATTCTATCATGCAGTCACAAAAAAAGTTACCCCTAATTATATCCAGACGTACACCCGGATATTCATCTACTTCAATGCAAGCATAAACTACTAATGAAATTTATTCTCTAGTGGATTTCCCTATAAGAAGGCATAAATATATCTTGGCGCATGAAGAAGTAGAAAGCTCTTCCTAATGGAATACGCAGAGTTTCATAGAAAAGGGATACTCCTTCTGTCTATTTTGCTGTAGAGGATAAACTGTATATGAGTTGGCATGTACTATTTTCTATTTTGCAGCAGTAATTAAAAGAACTAGAATGGCTAGAATACAATGAAGTACTGCGTAAATATGTATCTTCCTTGAGAAATGTCTCTTTTTGAAGATGGCTGTTTCGGTTTATAATGCTTTTTAGCCTTCTATTATATGGATGTCTTTTAGATTAGTCTATCACTCTGGTATTTGCTAAAAAGAATGTCTTCTGAGTACTTTTGCTGCTTTCTCTTTCTATGCGATGATTTTTTATAACTCAGACTTTCTTGGCAGTACTTCTGCTACGTGCACATGAGATGCATATTTATTCTACTTCTACAATTATGGAATTATTCTGTGTTAATGCGTATGCATGAACTGTCTTCTATCTCAAGATCTTTTAAGATAATTATTCTACTTCTCTCTTTGAATCTACCAAGAATACTAAATATTCTACTATGCATCTTCAAATTATTTATTTTTAAATCCAGGATATCCTTGCGCACGAACTTCCTTTAGTTTTATTGAATAAATGCACTTTCTTCTAAACAATTTCTGACAGCAGCTTCTATCCATACAGACGGTGCATTTCCAAAGAACAAACAATTTCACTGAATCTGGAAATTATCCATGAATAGACTCTTATTTATCTATTTAGTCATATACTTCTGAATGCGTAGATGATCTATCATTTTCTTTCTATTTTTGCAGTTTATAAATCCCTTCAGCATTTTTCAATTTGTACCATAGTATACATGTTTTCCCAAAATAATTTACAAATTTAATTACAAAAGAAGTAGAAATATATTACAGTAGTACCCAGGTATACCAGCAGAAATACTTAGAATAGAATAAATTCAATAAAATACATTAGAAATTAAATAGAACAATTAGTATATAATAAGGCTGTATTTTACTGCACTAGTGAATTCCTGCCTGGCTTAAATAAGTACAAAAATAAATTCAGTTGTAACGGGATAAGAGTGCATAAAACTACTAGTACTCATTACAATATTGAATTTACAATTTAGTGCTTCAGACCAGATATTTGCTTCTGTGGCCTGGAAAGATAGAATGTTTTATGGTGCTTGCGCAATGCAGAGTAGCAAGAATGCCTCTACTGTGCATTCTGGTGCTAGAAAATAACTGGAGTGCACCCAGGCTGTCTCTGATAAAAATGCCAGCAGATGGCTAATTATTGCAGAGTGCTTTTATTTTTTATTTTTGTTTGAGTGCAAAGTTAATAATGACTCTGCAGGTAGGCTATGCCATATCAAGAGCATCTTATACACAATGCAAGATAGACAGTTCAGCAGAGATCAAAAATGAGATAATTCTTAAGAATGGATTATTAGACACAGCCTCGGATTATTTGGTAATTTCCTGTGAGGAATGGGACAGTATAACAAGCGTACACTCCTATGATAAGGAAATACCAGTTGGAAAGATAAATATAAAAATAACCATAAATATAAATGAAATTACGAAGGAGTTTAGTGTCTCAGCTGGAGACATTCTATTTGATATAATTAAAATAGTCATGTACACAGAGAAGATGACAGAGGATGAGTTCAGGGATGAGTTTAGGTACGAAATAACACCAGATATCCAGCTGAATGAAAAGCTAGTTCGGGCAGGCACTGAGAGCGTAAGCATAAATATATTTGAAAAGAATAAAAAGAACAGAAAAAGCAAAGAAGACTGCATGCCTGTTGAGTTCAGGAATGTGGGCCTGACGTGCTACATGAACACGGCCCTGCAGGTGCTGCTGGGAGTCGGTGAACTGTCAAATGCAATTGAAGAAATGACCCGGGATGAGATCAATGAATATGCACAGAGAGAAGATACAAAGAAAGGATACACAAGAGAAAAGTGCGGTAATCTGCTCAATGCGTATAGAGAGCTTATTAAAACTGTAAGGAAAAAAAAAGACTGCCACAGTAAGCTAAGCGAAATGAAAAGGGCAATTGGAAGTATTGACACAAGATACAGAGGATGCATAGAGGAGGATGCAGGAGAAGTTTTCTCGCTTATTTTGACGAACTTCAACTATCTCTTCCAAAAGACAAGACACGAAAACCTGATACCAGATCTTTTTATGTACTCAGCAGAGTCTGTGCGCGTCTTTAAGGAAGGAACAGAGGTAGTAAACAAGTGCGTAAAGCCGTTGTATAAGTCTTTTGTTCTGAATGGATCATTTGGGTCAGAAGGTGGGCCGCACTCGCATATTCTGGTAATGCACAAAAACCAGCTGGTTGTGACAGGGCTGTGCATACCTGCAGCGCAGACTACAATCCAAAATATTAAGGAAAGAATTTCTAATAGCTTCCATGTAGAAACAGAGAGAATAGCTTGCATATTCGTGTCGGATGGAAGAGTTGAAAGAGTTTCTGATGATCAAATTCTAGTTTCTAAGCGCAGTTTGCTTGACCAGCCTATTTTCTACATTACAGACGAAGAGATTGAGAACATTGAGTTTCTCTTTATAAGCTATACAGCCACAGTGGAGGGACTGGCCTTTTTCACATCCTTGCTGAGTGGAGTCAAAAATGTATTCCAAATTCCCTTCCTAGTGAAAAAGAAGTGCAATATTGCGCAGTTCTTGGAGAGAGAGCTAAAAATAAAAAGGCGCGACATACCAAACACAATATTGGACATACAGCAGAACAGAGAAAGCACAGAAAGACACTTTGGGTCAATGGTCATTGCACTCTCTAATAAGTACTGGGATGCAGCAGAGCACATTGACATCATAAAGAACAGAAAGTATGACATGAAGGACTGTGTGCATGTGCAGTGCGTGGTCAGCAACTGGGAGACCACAGCAGTCCGGGAAAGGACTTCAGAAGACAAAGAGGACTTTCTCTTTGATAGGGTGGAGGAGTCAACAAAGTTCAGAAAATTCTCAAAGTACTTTTGCGTGCAACTGCCAATTGGCTTAGGAAAGCCATTTAAAGGAGATAAGTCAGAGAGACAAAAACTGCATGTAGAAAAAGATGGCCTAGTTCTGGATGGTGTAGTGTACTCCCTAGTGGGAATCCTGGTGCACCATAGTTTTGGAATTGGTGGGCATTATGTGGCATTCACAAAAAGAAATAACACGTGGTACCACTGTAATGACAGTACAATCACGAAGTCCTCTGTTAATGAAGCAATCTCAACAGGATATCCATATGGAATATTATACAGAAGGTCTGACTCGTATGCTTGCTAGCTGGTGCCGTTGCATCAAAAAAGAGCATTTACGTCTTTAGAGAGAAGATGCCTGCCATAGACCAATGGAAGAGATTTAAGCTATGAAGCAGCAGAAATATTCTATCTATCAGTATGCAAGAGACATCATAACCCTCTAGCACCACAGTAATACTCTCTTTAGGCAATTAGTTACTGCACTGTGTATTTATGCATTTTAAGCTCTGTGTTCTTAATAGACTTAGTGGTTTATGAAGCATCCTGCGTTTATGGAATAGTTCAAATAGGAATCTGAAATAAAGTTGTTCGATAATGGGCGCATAGATGCTGACTAGTATTAGTGCATGGCTATGTTGTCGTACAGTTAAGGATTAAATCTATACTAGGGCTGCATAGGATTTGAACCCTAGAATATACTACCTGAATTAATAGAATAAATGACTATTCAATAGCTCTAGATAGGGATATCTCCATCTTATAGTATGAATTCTTATAGAAGCACGTGCACCTCTGCAATAAACATTGAATATTCTGGATAGTAAATGCATGTGCTATTTCCAGGATAGAGTGTATTTGCAAGAACATCCTGGGTATTGTTAAGAAAGTCTCTTTATTATCTCATATTTGTATGCTAAATATTTGCACTAAAGATTGCACAAATCTCTTTTTCTTCAAATTTCATTATGGTTCTAAGTTATTCAGTACTGCAATCGTCTTATCTCATATCTAGCTTATTTTATGTATTCATTTATGGATGTCTTACTATTCATGCAGGTATAAGAATTTTCATTGGATTATATCTCTGCATAGGCAGTTGACTTCTGGTTACCCTGCAGCAAAAATAGTTCGTATGGAATATCTCTAAACATATTCAGTCTTTCTGATGGAAACTGCTCAGTTCCTGCAATGCACTCTGTGGAGTTATTTGTGTATGATATTCTTTTATGCAGGCATGCTTTGCACTTTGCTGTGCGAATTAATTTATGGAGAGCATATTCATATGAATGGTCTGGAGTGTATTGGCTTACTGCCCACTCTCTGACATTATCATCTTCGCTTCCAATTACCTCAAGCAGTTCACTCTCTAGAGACATGCACTCATTGCTGATTCCTGCGCACTTCTGGAGTGCATTGAATTCCTTTCTATTTTCGCTGTTATTTAAGGAGACTCTAGCCATAGTGTCTTTCACATGGGCAGGTACTAATTTGTGCGAGCTAAGTATAAGGTTGTCCTCTTGGTCTGGGGTTTTATATAAGATCTGATCTATCTTTTTTCTGGTTCTCTTGCAGAGGGATGTGCATCTGATGCTCTTTAGCAATTCTCTTTCTCTTTCACTAATTTCATTTATACGGGAGAAAAAGACCAAACAAGAGAATATTCCATTCTGGTCATTAGACATGTTAAAGTATTCGAGGCAGTCGCATAGCACCTTCTTTGAAGTCTGATTGACAGAGATCTTCGAGTACCTTGCATCTTCTTGTGTGTTAAGGGCCTCTTTGCACATTTTCTTAATAAGCGTAGTGTACAGCATCAGAGAAGTATTTCTTACCTTCCAGGCTCTGTGTGACATAAGCAAGGCAGACAGCAGAAACAAAGAAGGCTCGTATACTCGCATGTCATACTTAAATATGCCATCACTTGATATGCTTTTCAGGATATTAAGGTAGTGAATTAGATACTTTTCATTAGACACTTCTGGTGTTGCATCTAAGGAGGCCTTAGATACCTGTAGACCAGATATTCCTAGATCTTCTGTGAATGTTAGCTCAGAGTTCTCACGCACTGGCTTGAACATCCATCTGTTCTCAATAAGAGAAAAAGACCGTTGAATTGCCTCTTTCATAATATAATGTGTTGCCAGCTTACTTTTTGAATTGCACTCTGATGCGCTCAAGGCCTTAAATACATACGGTATACCACCATCTCGCCGAATATTCTTCAGGTCCTTGGTGATGACCAGATTTAGCACGTTTTTTGCATATGCTAAGGTTTCTTCCGGTGAGTCATAATATAGCAGGATAGACTTAATTGCATCAGACGCAGTCATAATGACTCCCAAATGACCGCCAACTGTCAGCAGGGCATTAGTCAAAAGATCAAGGCATCCTTTGTCTCTGCTTGTTATTGCGTATACTGTGATGAACATAATGCACTCTCGGACTGTATACCAGTTTTGCAAGTAGTCTGCTGAGTGTGAGATTTCTGTACTCTCTGGCTTCTCTCCATGCGGCTCTTCTGTGTTTTCGGAAAGGTATATCTCACGGGTCTGCAAGACTTTCAATGATTTCCTGAATATTGGAAGAATCAGCTCAGCATATATCTCTCTTATCTTGTAAGGAATGTCTATTTTGTATGTCTGAGCAATATCTATCTCTGAAACACCAAATGCTTTTCTCTTTTTTGTTTCTACCACATGGACTGGATTTAGTCTGTTTCCCTCCAGGAAAAGCCTATCTTCTGGTAGGGAGTTGAATATGCTCCACAGCACATGGATCTCCTTATATATTGTAGGTGATCCCTTGTTAGATCGCATCCGTTCCAATGCGCTCTTGAAAATGGCTGTGACCTTTTCTTTATTCAGCTCAGTTATGTTGGCAGCCAGCAGAAGAGCCATTCCATGCAGCTCATTGTTATTCGAGCACTCTAATATTCGTTCAACCTGCTCAACACATATATCCATTTTGAAGAGTACTGCTATTTCTCGGATTTCTTTGTGTGTCTCTGCAAGTGCTTTGAAAAGAATTTCTCTAAGCTTAGACTCAGGTATATATTCCTGTACATCTTTTGTTTCTGTTAGGATCTTTAAATAGTTGAGACCCTGCAGCAGTCTACAGTAATTTGTGCCATGCGCCATTGCCAAAACAATCTGAATAATCTGTCTGAAATATCCCATGCTTCTTTCATTTTTTGCATCGACCAATTTGTTCTCTACTACGTATTTATGCTTAGTTACAACCTTATGGCGAATAACTCGGACTAGAGTCTGGAATAGCTGCCGGAGTCTTTTCTGGTTTTCCTTTGAGGTGAGAATCTGGTTGTGCATCAGATACTGCACGATCAAATCCAACCTATCTTCCACTGCACTCTGGTCCTTCATTAGGCTTTCAAAGTACTCCACTCGCACGTTTTCATTTTTCACAGAAAAGCATTTGCAGTGCATTTCCTCTGAATGAACAGTCTGTGCATCAGAAAAAAAGACACAGTTCACAGAATTAAGACGGCACAGAATATCATAGACTCCTTTACGTTCTACATCTGGCAGTCTGCTTGCAAGCATCCGAATATTTCTGCTCCCTACACATGTAAGGTCTACTCCACTAAGGAGGGGTGCATACTGCGCATGGTCTGATAGAAGCAGCAACTTTGCTATCTTATCTCCTGATTTCTTATTATTTAACTGCTCAATATCACTCACACTTGCAGTTAGTGTGATTGTCTTCATGGCAAGTGCAATCTCTGTTCTAGTATGGGATGACCAGTTCTCATTACTGAGGATGCACGGTTCTTTGCTAAATGACACTAACTCCTTCATTATATTCTTAATAATATTCCGGATAACAAAGTGAGAATTTCCCATTGTACTATTTAGCAAGACAACCAGATTATTTTCATTTTCTTTAAGAAAGCATGCAGGCGTATTTTCTGTCTGGCCTGCTTCATTCTCAGCCACACCTAGTGAAGATACTTTTTTCATCTGCTTGGCAATAAGTAAGAGAGTTTCGTATCCTACTCTTAGCTCATGTGTTGTTTTTAAAGAGTGCACCTCTTTTATAATCCTAGGCAGCTGATGCCATTCTTCATTTTCATTTGTTATTGATCCTTTCAGAAGTGCCAGATAGTTTATTCCTGCTGTTCCCATTTCATTCACATCTTCAACTTCTGAGGAGCATGAAGTGTCTGCATTCTTGCACTCTGCAGAGCATGCAGTATAGTATACGTGACCACCATACAGCTTTTCATCCAATGAGGCTGTCTCTAAAATTCTTGTCTTTAAATGTCCTTTGCAGAGCTCTTTTAATGAAGAGATGTCCCTCCGTGCAACTGCTTCTGTCATAAAAATTTTCAGCTGTATACTCTTATTCACATTCTCAAAGAGAAGTGATGTTCTACCATGTGAACAGAAATGTAAAATAAAATATATTTATAAAGGTGTTGTATTACTATAACTATGCAGTTTTCTTAAAATGCTTTTGTCCTTAGTTTATTATTGTGTTGTCACTTGCTATTTTATATTTCTACTCCTTAAATTTTTATAAAAGTCTCTTGCACTCTAACTCTTTCTCTTAGAGATATTTTTATAGTGAGTATATGGCTTAGAGGGTTTTTGTCTTTGAACTTACATATTTCAAGGATTGTATTAATATATGTATTCGGGTCTAGTTCTAGGAGAGGGCTATTTCGCTTTCAATTAGGGCAATGCAGAAAACTATGCAGGAAGCAGAAAATGCCACTGTAAGAACAAGTATAGTTGTTATGTAGATGGACATTTTATATCTAGTGTGATCTGAATATATGATTATTCCATCTGCATTGTCATTATTTGAGCAGGAGGAGCCATTGAGTGAAATGGTAGTAAAACTATCACTTCTGTCTGATCTACAGCTTATCTCAGTGTTGTCATACATCTTGAATTTTTCCAAGTGTGAAATTATATTTACAATTTGCCTATAAACACAAAAATCACCTAGAGTATAATTACCGTATACTGTAGACAGTATTTACTGATTCTTTCTCAGCCAAAGTAGTAAGGCTGCATATACTGTTCATAATACAATTTAGCAAGTAGTTTTAACAGTACATTTGGATGTTATTATTGATAGACTCTTTCATTGTGATATATGGGCTGTGTTATTTATATGTAATTCTGTATGCATGTACTAGACCACCTGTAATATTATTTAGTTTCTGATATATAATTGTTTCGCCTGTGAGTATTCCTGTTTTCCTTTAATTCAGGTAATTTTAGTGAAGATATCTTGTATTTTATGTATTCTTGTGCCTGGCAGATAACTGCCTGCAGTGTGGTTATAGAGAATGCATTTACCAGAACTGCTTCACTCTGCATATGATCAGTGTTCTACGCAAAACATAGATAAAACCTAGTAGACTACATGCTTTGAACATATTTATTTGTAACAGTCAAGGAAACAGTGCAGCATTTTGCTGAAATGGAACACGGGTATTTACGGTACAAAATAAAGAGTGTCTGCTGAGAGAGACACAAGCCCTTTCTCCTGGAGAGCCATGATGTACGCATCGAGTTCTTCCTCTTCCAACGGGAATCTTTTCATGACTATTTGCTTGAGGTTGGAAGATTCCAGTCCTGTTTCTGTCTTCAGGGTTTTCACTATGTATGCTTCAACTGCACTTTTTGAGTAGGCGGAGTGCGCTGTTTCGGTGTCCTTCAGTGTATCTTTAATATCAGGCACAAAAATGTTTATGTGCTTTGTTTCCTCTGATACTTGCAGGTGTATTTCATACTTTCCATCACTTTCTCTAATGATTGAGGAATCAACCAGCGACTGCACTTTGTTTTTTACTATAGCCTGTGTCTTTTCAGTTATATCCAGCATTATTGCAGATGTTAGTTCCTCTAGAGTACTAATTCCTCCACGTGCCAAGAGTATAAGTATTGATCCCTGGACCATGTCACACTCTACCTCTACACCGTTCACCTCCAGAGTAACTGAGGAGACTGTAGGGCAGAGACGAAGGATAAACTTTCTTCCTTTTTCTGTGCAGTACTCTTTGACAGACTCCCAAATATCCTCGAGTTCAGCAGGAATGCGCATGTGTATTGCAGGATAGCTCCACCTAATGCAGGCAAGCAAGAAGCAGTCTGACTGCATCTTAGGCTTGTGGCTTCTAAAGTACACCTCGCTTATCTCAATGTCCTTTATGCACATCAGGATCTCCTCAAAGTTGCTTGTGTCGTAGTACTCTTCTGTCTTGTAGAGTGTTTCTATGTCAATGTAGTCAACAACTGATTTATGCACTTTCAGATTATTCCATAGCTTTGGCTCCTTGTAGTTCTCAAGCCTTCGAGTTATAATGTTTATAAGCTTCTTCTCTGCGACTGCAGGACTGCCCAGAATTAGTCTGTTCTTCACTCCTGCTAAAAACTGCGTCCAGAAGGCATTTTTGTGTGCTGGCACATTTGCAATAATAAGAGACAGCTCTATTATTGGCTGCTTCTTCTGCTTCATATACATGTTGACCTCCTCAAGCAGCTGATTTCCAAACTCAAGAGTGTCTGGGCTCTCTACAAGAAGACTCTCAAGCTTTCTTCTCAGCACAAGCTCAAACACCTTCTTGACACTTTTTGAGGTGCGCGGCATGCAGCTGAAGTGCTTCTCCATGAATATACAGAACTTAAGAAATGAGCTGCAGTCTGATATTTTCTCAATAATCTTTATGCTCATTAGAATTGCAGTATTCACAAAAATGCTCCTGCTTTTCACAGAGTTATCAACGAATGAGTAGAAAGGCGCAATCTCTGCGTGTGTCTTCTTGTTTATTCCGGTTCTCATGATTTTTGAGACAAACCCTTCAATGAAATTCTTCAGAACCTGGTCATCTATCTTCTCCTCCACCATGCGGTAGAGAATCTTTTTGTTTTTTTCCTTTTTTTTGAATAGACCGTCTGCAGCTGCTATCTTATAGTATATAAAGGATATCTGGTCCTGCTCGCTCTCTTTTTTCCGCGGAGAAGCCACAAACTTTGCAATTGAGTTAAGAAGCTTTTTCAGGGACTTTTTCTGATTTGACACTTTGCATATCTTTATATTGACCTTGAGCATGACCCGAAGAATCTTTAGCTTTCTACAGCATGCATCTTTATCCAGAGGCCTTTGCGCCTTTATTTCCAGATATTCCTTAAGCCCATCCACAAACATTGGGTGGAGCCTGCCCTCCTTCCCGCTTATAAGGATTGAAAATAGCCTTTGATAATACAGATCCTTCAGAGCCACTACGTTCGCATTGGATATCTCCAGGTTAACCCGCACAAAGTATCTGCTTAAAAAGGACAGCATCTTGCATATCCTTTCATTTGCCCGAATGTACCCATCTATAAACCGGACGAATGTCTCAAGCGTATAGTCTTCTGGAAGTCTCTTCAGATGCTTTATCAGAGCCTGGTCGTATATTGTGTATACCTCGGCACCCTCAATGATGTATTTGTCTTTTGTGTTTTCAGTGCAGTACCTGTACACTGCGTTGTACCCATCCATAAACACATTATGGCAGTCTCTTTCCTCTGGAGTGCATATCAGCTTGCCTATTGATTTTTTTATTACTGACAGATACTTCTGTCCGCTAATATTCTTTTCGCTTATGTCTGGTACCATAGACTGCATTTAAATTCTTTTCTTTTCTATTTTTTTGTATTACAATTAGCCAATGGGATATAAAATACTTGTAACAGGCACACCGGGTGTGGGGAAGACCACTCTCACACAGTACATGAAAACCCGTCTAAATTACAAATTAATCGAGCTAAGTGATGTAATTGAGAAGAAAAAACTATTTACAAATAAGTGTAAAATATACGATACACTGGAGTACGACATAGAGGATGTAGAGAAGTATCTGGAGAAAAAGATAAAGGACAGAAACAATTATATCATAGACACACATGACCCAGAGGCAGTCTCCTTCATTAAGTTTGACATCATAGTTGTTTTGTCTGCTGATCTCAGCGTACTCTATGATAGATACGAAAAAAGAGGCTACAACAAAGTGAAAACAGAAGAGAATCTGCAGGTAGAAATCATGGAGGTCATCTATAATGAGGTGATTGAGATGCTTTGTGAAAATGAAGAAGAAGTTGAGCAGATAATAAGAATAGAAACAGTCCAGAACAAAGAGCCCAAAAAGATTGAGGACATATACAAGGAGATCACTCAGACCAAGCAGTGGAAAAGCACAATAAACAAGAGCCTATGCAAACTCGAGACAAAGCAATAGAATTATACGTAAGCAAGCACGATCTTGCTCAGCCGTTGGTTGTAAGCACCTTATAATAAACATATTTATGCACTAGCACTTTTTGAGAACTGTCATATGCTTCTGTCTATCACATAGGTCTGGTCTCTGAAGAAGCTATTTCTGCCTTAGAACAAATATATTTTTAATCCAATAATAAGCACTATATTCACTTAAGTTATATACTAAGTGCATGAGTTGGTATGTCTATGAATTACGCATAGATATTTTAGGACAGAGATATAATTATGTCCGTTATATTTGTGGTTAATTTCTTGGCATTAATAAATAAATTTAAGATCAATCTTAGGCTAAAAGGCACATTGTAGACCAGACAGACCATACATATCCTGAAAAAGTCAGAATATGTGCTCTTATGTGTAATTATGAAACTTTGGCATTTATTAAAAATAAAGCTTCTTAAATACTTTATGCTTTAGTTGTTCATTTCTGTATAATTAGCAAACTAGTCCTTGAGTGGCAAATAGCCCGAATTACAGCTGGTTTTGGAAATGACATCTATGCTCTCAGATGCAGCACAGATTTGCAATAATAATAAACCCTGAATGACTGCAATTACTTATATTTTTAGCCTAGGAAAGAGGCATGGCATCATTAAGAATATGTTGGTCTTAGAACTATCTAAAGACATTTCTACTGTTAGTATGAAGCCAGTTATTATAAACTCTACTGAGGATCGAATGGAGAAAATGAATCTAATAGCAGAGTGCTGTAAAACAAGACACTCTCTATGCATACTACAACATACTTCCAAACTTTACGCTGTGGTTTTGTCTGAAATATCGCAGTATTTCTTTAAGCACTCAATTGCTTTATTTCTCCCTTCCCTGGATAACCTTTCAAGCAGTTCAGTTGCATTTTTTTCGTATACGTACCAAAGTATCTGAGCGTATGTAACTATTGCATTTGCAACATCTAAATCCGAGCCAACTAAAAGTAGATTATTAATGATTTTTACCATGTCTTTTATGCACACTAATCTATGGACTTCCCATGTTTCATTTCTGATGCCCTGCACTTTAGACAAATTTTCTTTTATATTATTTACTCTGCACCCTATGCAAATAATTAAGTATTTTCGAATTTCCATACTTGGCTCCTGCTGGTTGGCTAGTATATTGTTTATATAACGAAGATTATAGTAGGTGTGTACTGGAGCAAACCTATGATCCCACATCATGAATATAATAATATTGAGTTTGTCTGTTGTATATTCAACTTCATATTGAAATGGCTGGACTTTTGGATAAATTAGATCTAGTGTGCTATATGCTGTCTTATTGACCAGCTTTATATAACCAGAATTAATTATTATATAATCACATAGTGTGTATAATTCTATATGCACTGCATAATCAGAAAGGATAAAATACGGAAATGCAAGTCTCTGCATGTTGATTATATCTCTTTTTAAGTACCTTACTTCCTCTTCTATACCTTTATCTAGCTTTATAATGGGACTGCCAAGCTCTAGGGCTGCGGTTTTTTTGGAACTCAAATCAATAATCATAGGCTGTGCTTGTCTTTTGTATGCATAATAGATCTTTAAGTTTCCATAAAAATCAAAAATATGATTGCATTCATATATATTACGCATGGTAAATAACGTAAATACCTCTCTTCCTTCTTCAAATGAAGAGTTATTTTTGTACCACTTATCTAAGTTTTTGCTTGCTATGCAGTTTCTTGAGAGAGAAGCAAGAACAGTTGATATTTTTTCCTCTAATAAGCTTATAAAGATTCTAAATGGATTTATATTATTTTCTCCACTTACACTAGCTATGCTTAATATTGAGATTTCCACCATTTCCTTTATTTCTTCTTTAGATTTTCCTGCAAGCGCCAAAACAATGGAGATCAAATCAATAATGCCACCCACAGCAATCTTTTGATCATTTTCGTATTTGCCTATTTCTCTATCTTTCATTATATTTCTAATTATTTTTTTCCACTGGCAGTAAATTTCATGTGTTACTTCCTTTCCTATTGCCATATTAAAACTATCCTTTTTTATGGGCTTATTGTTATCTTGTCTTACATTTATCCCGCATGCCCTGTTTAAAACATAGCTAATGCAGTCAACTGGCATAGAAAAAAAACTCTTTATTCCTACGTGTAGATTTGGAATGTGGTCTGTCTCATATGAATTGGTATTTGGGTCGTATGTAAGACAGGAGAATATTCCAAGTAAAGCAGCCTCTATTTCATCCAGAGCTATTTCTGTTTTCAACTGTACTTTTTCAAAAATATCTAAATTGACTACTTTTTTAATAGGAAGCTCTGAGTGTTTTGTAAAGGGAAGTAATTGTATTTTTTCAGGGGGCTTTACCAAACTCTTCAGTTTTTGTATTTTCTCCCAATATCTAAGCATTTCTTTAAGCTCATTATGGTCATTAGAAAAGAGATCATCGAAGAGTCTTCTTTCCTTTTCTTCTTCTAACACCAGATTATTTCTTCTACTTTCTATTATGTGCTCATCCAGCATTAAATATACTGTTCTATTAAAGCTGTTTGCTTCTTCTACAGTTTCTAGAAAGAAATGTATATACGTCTGTATAAGCCAGTATGGGGTTTTCATAAGACGATCTAGCCATTCTATTCTTTCATAAAATTGAAAAGGACCCGATACAGCAGCGGTGGGCTTCATACCCGGCCAAGAATATTTCACCTTACAATAATCATTAGCATAATGAATAAAAAACTCAATAACCTCTACTGCCTTCTTTTGATAAGTATCCAATTTCTGCCCATCACAACCATTATCTTTTTCTATCTGCGGCATAGAAATAACCATTTCAAGAGAAAAGTGCTCTTCTTCTTTTCTTTTCTCTTGACCTACCTTCTTTAGTACAAGCCTTTGGGATGAGCCTGGCGTCTTATCGAAGAACAGCGGCACTTTTATCCCCTCCGAGAGCAGCAAGAGCGACGCAAGAATCATATGGGCGTGCTTCTTCACAGGTTCGCTCTTCAAAAAAAGAGTAAATGAGTCTTTACAATCTTCTTCTGGAAAGATACTTATTTTTTGCTTAGGTGAGGGAAACATGCTAATGAGTGTAGTGTAATAGTCTATATCAAATGCTCTTAATACGTCACCATTTATATCCTTTTTATGCACAGTGTCTTTGCTTGGGTCTCTTGTGTATTGGTTATTATTTGTCTTGTCTGACATAATATAGTATGCATCTATTTCTGAAGAGTTGAACCGAATATTATAAATATGATTGTTTTTATCGCATACATATAGCATAATTGGGCAAAGTGCCCCTCTTAGTTTAACTGTCCAGCTTATTCCATTCTCCTCGAATAAAACTGTTTTCAGTATATCCTCTACTGCATTGGCTTCTACTATTGCACAAATATTTTGTATTGCTAGAATTATAAATACCAAAAACATTCTTACTAAAGAATTCTTAAAGATTTCTTTATGACCTTCGGGTGCATCCACCTCTTGTTTTCTGCCGGGCTTTCCGCTTCTAGTCTTTTTCATATAATATTCATTCTTATTAGTATTTTTCCGATTACTCATATCTTAATAACAAGTTATTTAAAAGAATTTTCTCTAATAAATTTTGTTGTCTGTCTGTCTACATATATTAGTAATTCTACTAGTAGTAATTTAAAATAAATTCTATCTTTAGTTTTCTAGTCGACAACAAATCTAAGAAAAAGATAGAAGATTTTAATATTGGTAACTACATAGTAAGATTGATCTATTACATAACATGGTTTTTAGCTGTTTTTGGCCTATAAGCTCCTAGCAGCAAAATCTAAATAGACATAAATATGTTCTCTATGCATTTGTATGCAGATATTATAGTGGGCTTATGTAGCCTTTTGTGTATGCATGGATTTTTATACGAGTTTACTTAGAAAGCATAGTAAAGAAAGAAGAATTTGCTGAACATATATCACCATACACCTATTCTATTTTAGTAGTTTAATAGTTCTGTTTGCACAAATTGTTTCTTCTTCCCATTCCTATGCACAATTATTCTTTCTCTCTTTATATTTTTGTGCTTTTTTCTTGTATTATTTTTCTATTTTTATGTGTCTAAAAATATCTCTTCCTGCTCTACACCCAGCTATGAGAAGAAAGATTTAGTTTGAAAAAAAGAACGAGTTTAAAAAAAATAGAGAAATTACATATTCCATAAACCCGTATAAATGTCTATGTGATCGAAAGAGATTTAACAAGCAGAGCAAATAAGAGATGTGTAAAATAAAGAAGCACAGGATGCATATTAGAATCAAATAAAAATTATTAAAAATGTCTGCTGTAAATAAAGAAGTATACAGCTTTACATGCGCACTACATAAATGCAAAATAGAAAATATTGGAGTAGTACTGCCGTGCCTGCTTAAATATTTAAATATGTATCTTAAATATGTTTATTAATTATTCAGTTTTTTCTATGAGCTAACTCATATTGCTGCCTTTTATAGAGAACATTTGCAGGCGTGACTATTTTGTCAGATTTTGCTATTTCAATAAGAAGAGAAAATTCTTCATCACTAATTGAGGGAAGGCTTGTGTTATTAAAGAAGTACTCTGCAGAAATCTTTAGCATTGAGCCTGTCTGATTTGACCGAGAAATTCCTAGATACATTCTCTCAAGAAGTGCAAGAGACAGCTTAAAAAGAAAGACTGCCCCATAGTATGCAAGATAGTCAAATATAACCTCAATGTGTTTTCTCTGGAAAAACGTGCTGAAGAGGCTGAGTATCCACGGGGTGACAAGTATTTTAAGCTCTATCTCCTTGGAAACAAGATTGTCACATAGCCCAGGACACTTCTCTTTTGCAAACTCAATAAAGACTGCCACGTCTCTGTGCATGCCGTATATTTCAGGCCCTGTATAATCAGGAAGTATCCTTGTGAATATGTGAACAAGACTGTAGAAACACCCAGACTCTCCTAAAATTCTATATAGAATGCCTCCAACCATAGCATGCGACTGCAGGTACTCGTTATTGTTATATGCTGTGAACGCATACATCACTCTTTTTAGCCCTGCATACACCTCGCCAGGCACATCTTCATAGATTGATCTCTGTATATCCTTATCAATCTGGTCATATGATGTAAAGTATGTGGTCTTTGACTTTTCAACTGACATTTCAAATAGCCCTGGGTCGTTAACAATGCCGCAAAGACAGAAACATCCAAACCAGATGAAAGGTCTTTCCTGCCTTTGCACAGAAATGCTCATTGCACTATTCGTCTTCATGCACATGTATATCCTGTATTCAGAGCATCTACCCATAGACCAGTTTCCTGACGTAGAGTCTAAATCGCAGTTCATAATCTTGCTGTTTTGTAGTATATCCAGCAGTATGCTGAAGTATGCAGACTTAAACCGAGGGTCTTCTTTTGCGATGTTTAGAAGTATGCTGTCTATTGATAGCTCTTCATTATCCACTAAATACATCTCAAATTCTCTGTGGTTGGCATCTGTGACTCGCAGAACAATATTCCATCCTTTTGTGATTTCTGCCTTTCTAATCATGCAGAGCGGAATTGCCAGGCACTTCTGATCCTCCTTGATAATCAAAAAGTTGTTTGTTATCGAAACAGTTCCTGTTGAATGCATGGCAATGCAGTTTATTCTCTGGTTGTATAACGGAATGGTTGAACAGAGTCTTTCGCAGATTCTTTGCCGCAGTAAGTCAGCGTATGTTTGAATTTCTTCTCTGGGCGACAATGCAAGCTGCATAATCTCTTCATCAAGCTCTGGGAAAAGGCATAGACAGACTTTTTTATAAAGAAAGCCAGACTCTTTTTTCTTGCTCTCTGTACTTAATTCCTCAGCCCCATTCTTTATATCCTCGTCTGCACTTCCTGCAGTTTCCGGAATTGTTTGCTCATCTGCCAAGGCGCAGTGTTTCTCGGAAACCAAATTGCTAGCATACATCTGCTCAGGCCCATCTCTGTAGCAAGCTACCTGTTCGTGGTCTGCACTATCAGCACCACCTACACTTTCAATATAGGAAATCTCCATATGGTTGCCCTTCTTTATCTCTCGCACTGCTTCATACTTTATCACGATGTGCTCTCCTATGCCAAATATTCCTATTGATCTGGTGCCTAAGAGCACAACCGTTCTGGAGCTTTCGTATGCCTTGATGTAAGACCCTATGCACATACCAAAGGATAGGCTTTGGAAAAAATCAGGAGCACCTTCTTCTATCCACTTCGCCAGTCTGTTGAAGGACCAGCTCCCGCATATAACTCTTTCTGCACCAGAAATACTCTTGTCAACCAAGCGGTACCTTCCAATTTTCCTATCTATTATATACTCCCGCACTGTTTTGTAGTTTATTTCCTCGCTCTCTTCAGACTCGTAATTGGCAGGTTCTCTTCTTTTATGCCCTTGTATGGTTATATCTGACTCTGCACTATTTTTATCCTTTCTATGCCCAGCAGTTTTTTGCGATTTAGTTTCGACTAAAGCTTCTTCTATTTTCTTTTCTATTATGAATTTACCCTGGGCATACACTTCTATCCACATAATAATTTAATTTACAAATTAACTCATTCCATATTTGGGTTCTTTTTAGAAAGTCTTCTGTATGCTTCATGGATGTGTGAGGGAAGAAGTTCTCCTCCATCCTCCCACTCCTCCTGCACTTCCTTGGCTTCTTCAACCATCTCTGCCACAAACACCTTTGCAATTCCGCTAAGTACAATTGAGAAATTTGGATTGCATGTCTGATCCAAGACTTGACTGACAAACTTGCGAATCCCTCCTTTGTTAAACCCGGTTCTTCTGAATTTTACATACCTTTTCAGCTCGTCTTCCGTTAGGTTTACTGTTTCCTCCTCTGCTGGTGCTTTGTATGTTTCCATCTCCTCGCTTTCTGTGTCGAATGCGTCTTCTTTATTACTTCTCATATTTTTTTGTTTTTTTGTCTGAATGCATACATTTACGTCTGTGCTGCCACACGGCATAAAGAATGCGTTAATCGGATATAAAGAAGGAGACATGCCGCTCTTGGATGAGCTGGGAATTAATTTTGATTCTATTAAAAAAGACTCCCTCAGAATTGTGTTTGTGAAGAGTAAGGGACACGAAGATACAATGGACATGGTGGGACCGCTGCTTTTTATTTTCCTGTACGGGTTTATTCTCTTTCTGCGGGGAACAGTGCACATAGGATACCTATACTACCTATCTACACTTAGCTGTATGTTTATATACACAATAACGGTTTTAATGAATAACAGCAGAGTCAGTCTTATGGGCATAATAAATGCATTAGGGTATGCACTAATACCTGTTCTAGCCTTTGCCACTATTAGCAGGCTGCTGCCTGGAGGAAAGGGTTTTGCACTGCTGATTGGCAGCCTGTTTTCTATTTGGTCAACAGCTGTCTCTACAAACGAAATAACAAGAAGGTTTCAAATTGAAAGAAAAGGAGCTTTAATAGGATACCCAATATTCTTGGTATACACGTGCTTCATGATGCTGTCTACAATGTAGCTCGTAAGATAGATTAGTTTAAGAAATTAGAAAATAAATGTAATCAGATACAATGACATTCTACACTACCTTCAGACCGCCCGTCATTGGTGTCTCATCATGTTACATGGGGTAATAAAAAATTAGAAAATATATTGAAAAGAGGCATAGAAACCGGTAAAAACATTTTAGCCAAATATAAGAGACAGCTCAATAAATAGTGGTGTACCCGTCTATATTTACATGCAGTTGGTGCGGGCTGTTTAAATAAAATCAGGATGTTTTTGGATGCATTTTCCTTATTGCAATTATAATTTACTGAATTCAGGATATACCTATAAATGCAGTAGACACAGGTGTAGGAAATGCGCATATATATAATGCTAAAAATTATAATTATAGCTAATGTGCTGCAGATGCGTGCAGTATTATATAATGAAGAGAATGAAGATTTGCAGGCAGAAAAAGCAGTATTTGGTTGGAGACGGTTTGTTCCAAGGATTGTGAGAGGAGCCTTTTCTTTTTTAAAACGGCCAGTTGGCAATTCAGAGGGCGATTCTGTAGAGGCACTTGGCATGCGCCAGGATATAAGCACTGCGTGTGAAAAGCCCAGTGCAGAAGAAAGCAAAGGCATAGGGCTAGAGTATATGAAAGAGTTCATTGTTAAGCACAACCGAGGCGGGAACCTGCAGGAAGAAGGCCTTTTGCTGCAATGCGATCCGCTAATTAATAAAGACATGGAGGAGAATATATATGAAAGCAGCAGCAGTGAACTGGAGCAGGTGGATAAGCTATGCGAGAGAAAGAACAAACAGTTTTGGTATACCTTCAATGGGATAACTGTCTTCAACAAGCCGTACATATACGATATATGCGTAGATGGAACTGCATGTGAAATACTTAATAACAAGGACCATGAGAAGCCAAGAAGTACAATGCCCCACAGAAATATCTTTACGGAGACAAAGCATCTTTTTTCTCTTTGGAGGCCTGAAATGACCAACATATTCTACTGCGGAGTGGTTCTAGTGAGTATATTCAGTACGTACTATCTTGACAAGCTTGATGTTTCTGCATCGTCAAAAGAGCTCATTAGAAAGACGCTGAGTTCTATAATTCAGTCTTTCAGGGCATATCTTGGAAATAGCACATGTAAACTTGTTTTAAACAATGAAGAAATATCGAAATACATTGAGATAACTAGGAAGGAGATTCTTTCAGGCAAGAACTTCATCTTTCCTTCTCTTATAGATGTAAATCAGCTAATAGAAAAAGAGAAGCTCGTGTTTGAGACAGTCTTCAGCCTAGGAATACGAGGAAGCGAGCTGCCTAAGTACGTATATGACTTAGCCAATATTTGTATAGGGCAAGCAGGCCTTCCAAATGATCCTAAATATGACGCACTCAGTCGACTAATAAAAATGCACATGTACATTTACTCCTACGAGGGAATGGTGTCTCTTCTCTGCAGGCCCAATATCAAGGACATAGCAGCCGAGCACTTAGAGGAAGTGTTCAAACTATATGGGGGTGAAATACTCCACATAATTCTAGCAGTGCGGCAATACTTCTCAGAAGCTGCTCTTCTTTATGCACGTGCTTAATTATTTCTACATACCTACTTCCCCTGCCTCAGTGCATGTACTGGGAATTTAACTGTGAAAGAGACACTGTATAGAATATACATGGTATTTGTCTCTCTGCATACATGCGCATTTCAGAGCCGTCTGCAATGTAGTCCTATTTGACGAAGTGTTCTCTACTAAATATAAGAATTGCATCTGGAAGAGGGTTAAAGAAAGTATGCTTTATATTTCAGAGTTTGGACAGTATATGTATATACATCTCTGCTTGTAAGGCATGCGAGAATTCTCTGTAGAGGCAAATTTATGCAGTGCTTCTTCAAGAAAAGAGATGCATGAAATTTAGTGCAGAGCAGAAGGAATAAAGCAAACACGAGTATACTATGCTTAGTCTATTTTGCCTGGATATGACTCTCTGGCAGTTCTATCTATAATATACACGCTGCAGTAAAGCGCATTGGCTTGGATTAATTCAGATTTATTAGTTAGTAGCCTCTTCTCCAGTGAGCAGCATGTACTTTGCCTTTATCTTCTCCTTTCTCTCAGCGTTAGTTAGCTTGGCTGGCTTGTACTGGTACTTGGATCTGTCAATCTTGGTGGTTCTCTTGGTTCTTTCGAAAGAGTCCTGTCTGATCTTTTCAAATGCCTCTTCGTACTTCTGCTCAATCATGTCTGCAGTTATTCCGTTCTTAATGTACTCGGAGAACTTTGCTGCGTATGCCTCAGAGTCATTCTCCTGCAGCTCCCGCATGTAGTTGGCGACGTGTCCTCCAAAGATTCTGTCTTTCAGTGCCTCTGCATCGAGCTCTTTGCTTTCTTTGTCAAACCCAGCGAACTTGTTTGGTGAGTGTGGGATGTGGAGTCCTCCATCGCATGCCCCCTTCATGGCGGCGAATACTTTGGCACCCTTTGAGGATCTGGCAAGACCAAGGTCCAAGTAGCATCTGAATGCGCTTGGTCCTTCTTCGTTGTCAGACTCTAAGTACTCTTCTCCGTCAATCTCCTCCTTTCCGGTGTACTCTCCTGCAAGGCCCAGCTTGGTGAGCATTTTTCTTGCGCAGAGGAATCCAGTTGCGTATGCAGCGGAGTAGTTCTTCAGACCAAATGTGATGCCGTACTTCTTCAGCTCGGTTGAGTCTGCTGCGCAGATAACCTTGTCACCTATAGTGTATGCCTGCACTATCTGGCAGATAACTTTAGTATTGGTAATTCTTACAACAAATCTGGATTTCACCTCTCCATAGTTGGCCTTGTTGTGTCTAATTAGGTTATGTCTCTGCTGGTAGTCGGTCTTACCTTCTCTTCTTCGTCTTAAAGGAAGTCTCATTCTCTTCATGTGTGATTTGTGGTCTCTTGCTGCTTCAAATGACATTTACTGGGGGGTAAATTTTGTAAAACTTAAAAATAAAAAACCGGTAGAAAATGCAAAATCCGTGCGCACAGAAGATGCATGCGCACACCACCATAAAAACATAAGAAAAAGATTATAACTTCAAAGATTGTCTATTAAATCACCAGCTCCCAGTGCTACTCTTTTTTGTCTTTCTTCTGAAAATTATTTAAAAGAATTCTGGCCACATTCTGGTCAGTGAAGACATACGGAATAAGATCATGCATTAGCTCGCTGTCCAGAGTTTTCAAAGCGCCTTCGCACTCTTCTATAAAGTCAGTTGCAACGCCTGCGTACCAAAATATATCATGCAGCCCTTTGATCTGGCAGTAGAAGTCTACAGCCTCCCCGAACTCGCCTGTAATTTGCAATAGGCTCTGCAGAAGCTCTGCCCAGTGCTTGATGTCTGCCTCTTCTAAGTCAGATTGTATTGTGTAATAGGCGTCTCTTAAAATACGGCTGTAGAACATTGTTTTTATGTGGAAAAGCAATGAGTCAGTGAAAATTCGATCTATAATCTCAATAAATATGTTGTTTACCATACTAATCGTTCTAGTTACATTTGTGCTTAAAAAATCAATTCTGTCTACCTTTGTACAGAGAATCAAATGCGAAAACGACTCGTCTACTATATCTACAAAATATTCCTCCTTTTGACCAAAAATCTGCACTATTCCATTATTAATTTCTTCTTTCTCTGTCTTAGCCAAATGCAAAGGGGCGAGTGAAATTATGCCAAGCACTGCCTGTGAGTCCGCAAGACGTAGCGCGCACCTCTGCATCTCCACATGCTCTGAGAGCCCAGAAGGCAGCTCAAAGTGTTCTTGAATTTTCTCTATGATTGCTTTCTGTATTTTCTCCTTGTGCGATCTTTCTGTGGTTGCTATCCGCTCCAGAATCTGCATAGACTTAAAGAATGCATGCGAAATACTTGCTACCTTCTGCCTCTGCATGCTTTCTGATAAAATATCAAGTATAGACATGGCTTTCTGCGAGGTGTTCATCTGCAGCCGGTTAGCCAGGCCTTTTTTCTGTGCGTCTGTGATTTCTTCTGCTCGCGCCTCTGCTTTTTTGCTGACCTCCCCTATTTTCTGCACTAAGTTGTCGCAGTACCAGGTATCCGTGTTTTCTATGTGGTATACTGTCCCATAAAACAGCTCGTTGTTGTACCGATCTATCTGCTTGCACGATAGCTGGTGCAGATCCCTCAAGAGTCGTGTTTTTACTTCAATCAGAATATCCTCAAAGATTGCCAGCTTTGATAGTGTGCCATGTAGTTTCTCATTGGCAATGTAGCTTTCTGCGTCTTGAATGTCCAAATCCTCTAGTATTTGCTTATGGATTTCACTTTGTGCTATCTCTGTCCGCTTGCTGGCAGCATATGTAATAATCTCCACGCTCTCTTTATGCACGATGCTCAGCACATTACTGGACAGAAGAACAGCATCAACAACTAGCTTTGTAATTGTCTGTATGTGGGCATTGAAGTGCCCTGGAAGGTACGCCTGCACTTGCTGCAGCAGCTCGTTATACTTCAGCGATATTTTTAGCCTGTTTACCTTGACCTTCATTCCCTCCACAGAAATTACTGTGGACTGCTCACTATACAGCGTGCTAAAGTACTCTAGCACCTTTGCAGCTAGCTCCTTCTGATTTATAAAGTTGCGAAGTTTTGAGATTTCCTCGGGCGACTCGATCTTTCTCTTTATTGCATTCTGCTTTTCTATCTCTTCCTGCAGCTTTCCAAGTCGTTTTTGGTATGTTTCCACCTTATCGGGTACTGCTTTTATTTCCTTCTCTTTGTTGAGAAGCTCAGTTATTTCTCTATTTAGATCATCCAGCCTATCCTGCAGATTTCTTATTTCTTCTGCTTCTTTTCCCATCCCTTCTGCGATTTTTAAATATTCAAGAAATTCATCCATTGTCACACTCAGAGAATAACAAAAAATATGAATAAAACTTTATTTAAATTCAGTGGAATCCGCCCATGAAAACAGCCGTGCCCTGCAAGCAGCAAATATTATAAGGATTTGATTAAACAAATATTTCTTTCGCACAACTTATCAAATAATTTACCAGACGTCACTTCTATTGTATTTAGAATGCACTAGACTCCCCTTCATATGAATTTGATTCTGGAAGACAGTGTTAGATAAACACTCCAGACTGTATGTGCTATTAAATGTGACTTTGTATACACAAAGCACTCTTTGGCTAATTTATATTAAAAATATGCATACTAGACCCTAGCCTCTTAGTACTCTGGGCACCTGCATATTTTCTGAATTTTTTCTGGATATTATACCTGCAGGATATTTATGTACCAAAATGGATTTAATGCTGTGGGCTAGCAGATTTCAGATAAGTGCACGATATGGCCAAGACGTGATGAAGCACTGAAAAACATCTTTAGAATTGATAGTGGAGAAAAACACAGGGGTTCTATATCTAATACAATATAATATCTCTATTTGTTGCATGCTCAAATAGTTTGCCTACAAATTGAGCTGTGATAAAATTACTAGTTAAAAGGGATTGCCAATAAATAGCATGAGCAATTGAAAAGGTGGGCTTTGGCTTTTAAAAGCGCAAATTTCAAAGAAAACACCTAACTGTTTGAATAATATAAGGGAGAATAAGGTCTTACCCAATATGAGATATTTATTTACTAGTTCATCATTCTTATTTTTCCTTGTATTAAAAATGGCTTATTGGGGGATTTTGGCTGAGGACAGAGTACCTTTATCTCTGTTTCAGACACAACCTCTAGAACACTTAAGTATCCTATAATGGGCGCAGAAGGAACATCTTCTAAGCTCTCTGCTGAGGAAATGGCAAGAATAGACCCCTCTATGGGCGCACAGTCTAGCACAGCCGTGGACACTTTTCTTTTGGAAGAGCCCAGTGGAAGAGCTGACATTGGAGCCATGTGCTCGTCTCCAACCTGCAGAACTCTATATTCATTTGCATGCATTGCCTCTCCGCTTGCTAGCTTGATGGAAATTGTGCAAGGGCTGTACTCGTCTTGCTCACCATAGAAATATGTCTTTATCCGGCTTGCAATATGGCTTCTTCGCTGCTCTGTGGTTCTTTCCATCAGACCCGGGAATCGCGGGATATATATCTTGTTCTCAGTTGTGATCTGGGTGTAAAACTTTTCATTTCCCATCACCAAAACATAGTCCACTCCGCACTCTTCTGCAAGCTCCTCTACCTCTTTTTGTGTTATTTCCTTGTGCCCAACTATTATAGAAGCCTCAGCTGTCTTCTGCCGGCCCGATGCAACTATCTCCTGCACTAATAGTCGGTACAGATCTATGTTATCATTTGCACTGGGTGACCCGCTAAAATACGCTAGCTTCTCACTTATTGTTGCTCGCTCAATGGGACTAAATGGCTCCTGAATTATTGCGCTCGTGATGTTTCCCGGAAATAAAAGTGTCCCGCCATGCACGTCTAGGTCGGTGTAGAGCACCCTGTCGCCTTTACGAGTGAAATAATTTGTCAGAATGTTTGCACATGCGGACCTTCCCTCTCCCACAATAAGCACCTTCTTCTTATTCCGCGAGTATAGGTTGTAAAAGACGTTGAAAATATACGGCATGTTGGTCTCCTGTGACGTGTAGTAAAACGCATCGCTTGCTGCCAGTTTAATTTTGCACCCAGTGCATGTGAAAATACAGAACTGCTCTTCCTTTACAGTGTACCATTTTCCCAGCAACAGCTCCTGCCCTGCTATTTCCGCTGTGTTTTCAGCCAGAACAAATTTTGCTTTTGTATTGGGCGGTATTTCTATTCTTAGCTCACATCCTGCGCTTAGCTCAATGTCCATTAAATTTTCTAAAAGAAGAGTTTTAATCGTATTTATATGCCTGCCGCACACTTATGTTAATGCGTGATTCTGAAATTAGGCTGAAAAATTCCTCTTTCTTGTAGTCCTCCAGGCCTTTGTTGCTGTTTAGAATTTTTGGCACGCCATGGAAGTACTCTCTTGACTCACCTATCAGAATCGCAATGTCTCCATCCTCTAAGAGAAAAGTGTCTACGGACGAGTCCTCTCTTTCTTTTTTCCCTAGCACAAACACGCACGAAGCGCCAAAGCTGAATGATATCAGAGGCTTACTCATGTCTTCCTCGTATCTATCAACGTGGCTCATGATTCTATCTTTTTTCTGGTAGTAGTTTATAACCGCAGTCTCTGGTATAAAATTCACTTTGCAGATATCCCTGGATATGTCCTTGCAGGCCTGATCTATCACCTCTGGAATCTGTGCCACTATTTCCCTGTTATATGCCTTTATTTCCCAGTCATAGTATATCCCTATGCTACTCCATCTTATTTTTTTTATTAACTCTTCTGGATTCATCTTCACTATTCCCGTGCTTATAAAACTCTCTTTTTCGCTTGGAGTTGCATACGGGTCCTGCTTTATTTTAATTTTAGCAATAGGGTTATCATACATTTTGACAGACACTTCACTCTTCTGCAAGTACGCACTGTAAAGATCTAAATCACTCAGATCAAGAGCTCTGTCAATGCTGTTTCTGTACGGTGGGTATAGAAGCTTAGTAAGAACCTCTTTTGCTATTCTGCCCTTTACCTCCTGTCTTAGTGGGTTTGGAATAAAGATAAATCCGCCTTTGAAGTAGTATGCAACAACTGTTTCTTTAAGAAGCTTGCTTTCTGTTGCAATATTCTCCTGGCGCGTGCAGTAAATGTGCGCGTTTTCGCTGTTTATTGTTGGCATGGCCTCTGAGTGCATGTGATATTTCTCTACTTCTCTTAACTTGGTTTTTTTCATGTTTAATGGAAGAAAAAAAACATCCGTAATTTGGCGTGCCATTATTTTTACTAATCTATATAAGTTGCACACTAATGCCCTGCCCCAAGCTAGAATTCCTGTGCATGCACATACTGCATCTATTGTTTTCTTTGTTTTATGAAATAGCAAGGCATCCTTCATATTTCAGTTACACAATACGATGTTTAGGCAAGTTTTCTGTAAAGATAGCATGTATATAGCAGATAAATCGCTACTATTTGAGATATTGCACAATTCCATGGAACCAAATTGGATCTTAATTGAGTGTATATAACTGCCTTTTCTGCATTCCTTGCATAAGTCCAAAATTTCTTTGTGTTTCTTAGTATATAGCCATTTTAGGCATAAAAATATTAATATGGTGGTTGAAATTGCTATTTTTAGTGTGCTTAGACATAGTAGATAAATGGGATAAAACCACAATAGCATGCTAAAGCATACAACCCCACATATACTTTGGAAGGATTCGCTTTACTACTATCTATTGCGATATACTGTTTTAATATGCCACACATATTCTCGTGCTAGTGTGCTGTATATTACTGCTGCGCTGTTTTTATTTCCTACTATATTTCGGCATTTACAATATGTGTTCTATACAATTAATATTTAACTAGCTGGTTTGCAATTTATTATACTTCACTATTTTACTGGAAAATATTGCATCTATTCTAATTTAAACTTGAGCCATGCAAACCCCTCACCTCTATAGTTTAAGAAACTCAATTCCCTCTACTGTTGCAGCACAGATGAATCGATTAAACACCACCGCGTTTAGTGTTATGCTGCTCAGAGCATAGCTGCATATTATTGTGTTGTCTGCTCTTAGCGAAACCACAGACACATTCCCTGTGTTTGTTACTGCAATGCATACGGCATCTGACACTGCAATGATTTTTATAACGCACTCCTGCTCCTCTGCAATCCTGCACGTTTTCTCTGTTTTATACTTTGTATCTAGAACAGAAACAGTTGATGCAAAGTCTCCATATATAAGCATCTCTCCAAAGAACAGCAGTGACTCAATTGACTGCCGTGCGGAGTTATCACTCTGATATACATTTACTAGCCGGTTTTGCGCGGGAGAGTATGAAAGTATTACCAAAGATCCATTTCCATACCCAACTCCTAGGGACTTTCCAGTGCTGTTTATCTGGACCACCCGAATGTCGCTATCTAACTCTGCGTTGTACCGGGCAGACACGCTCCCTGTTTCTTTATTAAATACGATTATCTGTCCACTTGAGACAATGTACAGGCAGGTGTCAGATTCCAGTATGTCCTGGATCTCAGACGAGTGTCCTGCATACACTTTTACAGCGCGCCCGCCAATTTCATCAATGTTATTTGGCAGCTCCTCCACAAGGCCATCAGCAGTTCCTATGTAGAGGCGCTGTTTATCTTTGGACACCACTGCTTTAGTTATGTCCATCTGGACATCTACAGTTTTTATCTCTTTTGTGTATCCTCCATGCTCTTTTTTAATTGCAATTGAGGCAACCGTTCCGTCCATGGACACTGCAACTGCTTTGTCGCTGGACACAAACTCAGTCATTATAATTGAGTCTTCAAACCCCTCAATTACCTCGTCAATGAGATACTCCTCGCCGTTAAAGGCATGGAATGTCACTGCATCGTTGCCTCCTCCGGATATAACCATATTCAGGTCTTTATTTACGTCAAGGCAGTATACCTCTTCTGTCTTTTCCTTTAGCTCTTCCATTCTAAATATTTTGTTGTAAATTCGCTAATTTTATTTCCCTCTTTGATGCCTCCAATGCACTAACAGTTTACACTATGTACAAAAGGCCCATGCAGAGGCATTGAAGATAAAAGTGAAAAGTGCGAGTTGAATGTCAATCCACTATTGGCAAGAAAACTACTTGTGCTTTATTTATTTTATCTTTTTCGCTAGATCATGCTGGGCCTCTATCATTGAGGCTAAGACTTCTTCTGTCACTTTTTTTCTTGCAATTGGCGGCTTATAGTATAAGCCCTCCTCTGTTACTATTCTTATAATACATGCAAGACACTTTGTGAAATTTGTTAGCGTAAAGAACCCGTTCTGGAAGTTAGAGTTCTTTCGAACAAGCAGCCGAATCTGCACAGAATTTCCGTCCTTCATCCCCATTGGCGCAAAAACAAGCCCTGACAGCATCTTCTCTTCCTCTACATACCACTGAAGTCTTTTCTTAAGATTCAGTATTGACTCGTTGCTGCATTCTATACTAATTGGCAAATCAATTGTCCAGTACTGCGAAATAGATCTCCTTACGTTCACCACTGGGTACTTGCTCACTACACTGTTCTGTATTATTGTGTAAACGCCTGCCCAGGTGGTAAAGCATGTGGAAAAGAGCCCAACCTTATTTACAATCATGTTCTCTCCTTTAATAAACACTCTGTCACCAGTATCATATGGATGCGATATCAACAAGAAGATAAAGCTCTCAAAGAAGCTGACGCTTCCTGGGATTATGGCATTTATCAATGCAAACGAAAAGAACGTGTGCAGAAACAGGTTGTGCATGTTCATTGAAATTGTGAACACAATGAATATAAGGATTCCTTCAACTATGCATAGAAACCAGTTAAAGTGGCTGAGCAGCCTTCTGCAGTCTTTTATCGCCATGTATAGATTGGTTCTCTCCAGCGATATCTGTCTGAATGTTTCTTTGAATGTAGAGTACTGTATTCTGCTTCTCTCTCCATACGAAATAAGAGAAAACAGAATATTTGCATCTTCTGACGAGAACACCCTTCGGAGAGATGCAACTGAGATAGACCCCTCCACGTCATCCATCTGCGGGGTAAGGCGTGGCCTATTTGGCACTCTAAGGCTCTCCCCCAGGCCATAGCCATACTCCTCCATCACAGAGCCTTCTGTCTCTTCGTCTCTTCTCCACTTTTTAAAAATATCAAGAAGAGGCAGCTCCTCTGGCTTTCCTTTCTTGTAAAATGTGTCTATTTTAAGATCCTGCTGTAGCTCGTGCAGCCCAATCTTATCCATGGCGTAGAGAAGATACTTTTCTAGCTGAAGCACCTCTAGATTGTGTCCTGTGCTGAAGTCCTTTAGCAGATTCCTCTTTGCAGTGGAATACAGAATCAGAAGCAAGGTTCGAACTGCTGTGTCACACAGTATCACAATGTACATCTCCCCTGTGCTGTGCTCGGGCCATGGCCACTCCAGTATGAGACCCAGCAAAAATAGCTGGAGCCTTATCTTGTAAAAAATGAAGCACGGGATGCTGTGCTTGCATCGCTTGTAGAGCAACGGAAAGACCCCAAACAGCGCAGTGGCCGAGATGACATGCACCATGAGCAATCCCATCCAGTCAACCCCAACGTGTCTCAGCACCAGCCCAACAACCCAGTTTGCAGCTATAAATATCCCCAATAGCGCAACAAAGAATGCATTTTCCTCAAGTCTCATAAACAAATATTTTACTTTCTGGAAATAAACAAATATGAAATATGTGGCTTTTATACGTGTTAAAATCGTGCAATCTACTTTTCAGGCTGCTCTTTTTTTATATAGCCTATTAGATTATTTTGTAATAATTTCTTGTAATTGATCCAGGGATGCAGGGTGTTGAACAGATCAGTGCAGTCCTTCCCTGCATTTTCATATATTATATTTGAGCCTCCTGGGTGATCTTTTGCATACTCAGTCACGTCATAAACGATATTTGATAAAACAATCCAGCAGCTGTCCTTTGCTGTGTGTTCTGACACTTCCTCTAAAGTGTATTGTCTAGGTTTTTTATGCAGCATAACAAACTATTTAATGAATTTTTTTAATACTAATTTATGGCCGAGACAAACATAGCTACTGCTATTCTAGATGAGAAAAGACCAAATAGCTACCAGATTGTATACCCAACAGATGAATGCGTAAAAGGTGAGTGCACCTTGGATCCAGCAGATGTAGGTATTTCATACGCCCGCATGCAGCAGCTAAACATATTTCAGTATGATGTTATTCTTATAAAAGGTAAAAAGAGAAAGGAGTCTCTTTTTATGGTCAAGAAAATGGACATACCTGATGATAAGATAGTTCTGGTTCGAGAAGGATGTGAGAATCTGTGCTCTCGCGTGGGGGACTTTGTGAAGCTGTATGAGCTGATGGACGATACAATTACTGTGGAGAAGGCAACTATTCTTCCTGTCAAGGAGGACCTGGAAGGTGTGCAGATTGACGTATACAATGATCTTTTGAAGGACTACTTTGAGAAGGCTGTGCGCCCAATTCATGTAAATGACACCATTACCATCCGCACGAACAAGGTATTTAGGTTTAAAGTCACACAGGTAAAGGCCGGTGACCAGGCGTATGGAAAGGTGGGGCAGGACACAGAAATTTTCTGCTCAGGCGAGGTGACCGAGGAGGAGCTGCTAGCAGACAAGAACATGATAGGATACGATGACATTGGAGGCTGCCGAAAGCAAATGGCTAAGATACGTGAGCTGGTTGACCTTCCTCTAAGACACCCCATTCTGTTCCAAAAGCTAGGAGCCAAGCCACCAAGAGGAATTCTCATGCACGGACCGCCAGGAACTGGTAAAACAATGATTGCCCGTGCCGTGGCGAATGAGTCTGGTGCTTTCTTCTTCCTTATTAACGGGCCAGAGATTATGTCCAAGCTTTCTGGAGAAAGTGAGAACAATCTAAGAAAGGCTTTCAAGGAGGCAGAGAAGAACAGCCCAAGTATCATTTTTATCGATGAAATCGATGCAATTGCGCCAAAGAGGGATAAAAGTCAGGGAGAAGTGGAGAAGAGAGTTGTAAGTCAGCTGCTTACGCTTATGGACGGGCTGAACTCTAGGTCAACTGTAATTGTGATTGGGGCAACCAACAGACCAAACAGCATTGATCCTGCACTAAGAAGATTTGGTAGGTTTGACAGAGAGCTTGAGATAGGAATCCCAGACTTTGCAGGGCGTCTTGAGATCATGAGAATCCACACCAAGAACATCCTCATTGCGCCAGAAACTGATATTGAAAAGATTGCGAAGGACACCCACGGGTACACCGGGAGTGATCTGGCGTCTCTTTGCTCTGAGGCTGCTCTCCAGCAAATCCGGGAAAAGATGCATCTGTTTGACCTGGACAGCGATGTGCTGGACATTAATGTGCTGAATTCTCTTGCTGTCACACAGAAGAACTTTGAGTATGCTCTGCAGCACACAGACCCAAGCTCCTTGAGAGAGACTGTTCTTGAGGCACCAAACATCAAATGGGAAGATATTGGTGGTCTAGAGGGCGTGAAGACAGAGCTAAAGGAGATGGTGCAGTATCCAGTGGAGTATCCAGATCTGTATAGAGAGTTTGGAATGAGCCCTTCTCGTGGTGTGCTTTTCTACGGACCACCTGGATGTGGTAAGACTCTTTTAGCCAAAGCTGTGGCCAGCCAGTGCAATGCCAACTTTGTGTCGATTAAAGGGCCAGAGCTGCTCACCATGTGGGTTGGTGAAAGTGAGGCAAATCTGCGTGAAATATTCGACAAGGCCCGATCTGCAGCACCATGTGTCCTGTTCTTTGACGAAATTGACTCCATTGCCAAGGCCAGAGCAGGTGCAGGAGACAGGTCTAGCGGAGGAGCAACCCAAATTCTCAACCAAATGTTGATTGAAATGGATGGAATGAACACCAAGAAGAATGTGTTTGTAATTGGGGCAACCAACAGGCCCGATGTCATTGAGCCTGCTCTTCTGCGTCCAGGGCGGCTAGACCAGCTCATATACATCCCTCTTCCAGACGAGGAGAGCAGATACTCTATTCTTAAGGCTGCCCTGCAAAAGGCCCCTCTAGACGAGTCAGTCAATCTCAGAGAAATCGCTGTAAAGACGATTGGGTTTTCCGGTGCTGATCTGACCGAGGTGTGTCAAACTGCATGTAAGTTTGCCATAAAGAAGAGGATTGAAGAGGAAATTGCCATAAAGAAGAGTAAAATGGAGATATCTGATGTCTCTACACCGGATGCCGGCGAAAATGCTGCAAAGGATAAGGAGCCAGAGAATCCGCAGAAAACAGTCTTTGTTACGTCTGAGCACTTTAAGAAGGCGCTGGAAAGAGCCAGAAGAAGTGTAAGTGAGGAGGACGAAAGAAAGTACGAAGGGTTCCAGAATAAGTACAAAGGCGGTCTTGGTGAGAGTGCTCTTGATGATGAAGCTGGCCTGTACGATTAAGTGGCCTATGTGAAGAATAAAGGTCTTTTACAATTTTCTCTACTATCTTTCTCTTACACTTGTATATATTGCAGTTTAATCAGATTTTATGTTTACAAATAAATAAAGATTTGCAAGAAAAAATTATGCAGCCTCAGTTTAATACTCTTGTAATAGCAGGCGCCAGCGGCTCAGGTAAGTCCACCATCGTGAGGCACTTACTTCACAGATATCCTCATAAGTTTACTATTTCTGTCTCATACACAACACGAACGCCCAGAGAAAACGAGAGAGATGGAAAGGACTACTTTTTCATAACGCGCGATAAGTTTATGGAGAAGGTTAAAAACAACGAGTTTATTGAGTATGCTGAGTATGCTGAAAATTACTATGGAACTGGCATAGAGTACAAGACACCTCAGCCTGGAAAGATACTTCTGCTAGAAATAGAAAAAAAGGGTGTAAAAAGCATAAAAGAGTCTGGGATAAATGCTGTTTATGTCTTTATATATGCCCCCATGTCTATTCTCCACGAAAGAATTTCACAAAGAGCAATAATAACACAGGATGAGCTAAGCAAGCGGCTGATGAAGGCTAAAGAGGAGAACTTCTATGGGCATAGCAGCGAGTTTGACAAGCTAATTAATAATACCCTTTTGGATAGCGCTATTAAGGAGATGGAGGCATTTATTAAGTCAGTCTTTGGTTTTGTGTAATGAGGTCCGATGCACAAGTTGTTTTATGCTTACTATGGCAAACATTCGCTGTACGTTTTATTGCTTTCCAATAGAAGTCGCATTACTTTCTTAAATGTAGTTTTTAGCAGGCATAATTTGTAATAGAGAAAAAGACAGAAACTTTCTTGTGGATGTAGTGTTTTAATTCTAAATGCTATTGATGGTTTGCATTTTTCTTCTTCTAACGCTTTTATTTTGACTTGTTTTCTCAGCATTACAATAGATCTCTATCTTGTTTTCAAAGATCGCCTTATATTCTATAGAATATTTAACCATTTGGGATTTTTTATTGAGGAATAGCCTATTCTCCACAAAATAGTGTTGTTTTCTGTAAAAGCGTTTGCGCTATAGTTTAGCTTTAATCCACAATAATTAAGTTCTCTGCTATCCAATTTTAAAAATTAACTGTTAATAAATTGGTTAATTTGAAATGCTTTATATAATAGTTTTAGAGTCTATATTTCTTTTTATTTATTATTTCCAACTAAGAAAACTAAAGGTAAAAATTATTTTAAATTATTCTATATAGAACAACTGGTAACATTTATGAGTAAACTCTTGGCTTGCTTTTAGTAATATATGTAGCTTCTGCGCCCCCCCCACAAAGACTAAGTGTTTCTATTTTAATAGAGGATTTCTCTATATATATCTATAGCATGTGTAATATTTCTCATCTATTCTATTTTATACCTCTTGTATTATAACAATCCAAACACAATAAGCCTATTAGGCTAAGAAGCATTAATTTATAGTTAGTTCTATTCTCTACACACAGCACTTTCTTTCTCCTTAACAACATTCTTGTTCTTTTCTAAGTACTATATACCTATATGCCAGCCCTGCCCAAGGCTCTTGTGCCAATGAAGAGATTAATATATAAGGGGGCCTCGACCTACTGGCCCCCACACCACTTCCCTGCCAGCCCAAATGCTCGCTAGTGGCGCTTTACATCCGCGCTGACCCGCCGCACTGAGTGTTTCTACATACCCGACTGTTATGCGTCTGTGGCTGAGAAGTCTCTCGCACTGCGAATAAAAGACAGAGTTTTCGCGTATTTATAGACCGCATTTTATTTTTTTCCTTTTTCGTCAGCAATTTCCCTCTCCGCACTTTTTTGCCCCTGCAAACCGAAGGAAGGGGGCATTTTCCCTGAAATTCCTGTGTTTTGCCCTGCTGAGCGCCCCTGCAAAAAATATTTTCTCAGGTGTTTTTTTTGAGATGGGCCTCCTGCCCAGAAAGGGCGCGCGCATCCATACTGCAGCGAGGGCAGAGACACTCTGCATATGTGTGTGTACGGCAGAGCTCCTAGAAGGGTAGCTGTGTCCGAGAGGCAGAGACTGCAGACTGTTCTGTGAAAGGGCCCTACTCTCTATAACTCACACACGCCATAAAGAGAGCAACAAAAAGAGTGCACCCACATCTCTCAACTCTGTCTGTACTCTGGCTAGTAGTGCAGCCTGAGGTATTCAAACCAGCCAGTCTGTTTATATCCACTGCATATATACTGCATATCACAGTATAGCATCTGTGCTCTGCGCTATACCCTCTGTGTGTGAGGCACACAGCCAGGCTGCGCAATTCCTGCGCAATTTACCCTTACTCGGGCATATTGGGGGTGCAGCCCCCATAGACCTGTCTATATTCACTTTAGAGCGGGTCTTCTTGTATATTAAAAAGTATATGCGCTCTTTGGGGGATATTGGGAGCATCCAGAACGGGCAAATTAAGGTCTATTTTCCAAAATATAAGTATAAATAGAGCATAAATCTGTAAAAATATTCCAAAGCAAACACAGGAATCACTTGCTAGTTCTCCTCTGTGTGCACTCGCGCACAGGCAGATACCTTAAGCTCATCGAGGTGCCTTTAACTTCATCGAGACAACTTAAGCTCTTCGGACAACTTAAATTCATCAAGGTAAGTTAAACTCATCACAGGCCTGCACTGAAACCTGGGCCTAGAAGAAGCACTTTAAACTCTTCGCATAGTATTCCTGGCACACACATAAGCCCATCCTGTCTGCACAAAACAGATAAAACAACCCCGCAGACAGGCCCGAATATCTTAAGCTCCTATTAAACTCCTCTAAATGAACTGTCTCTACATGTATATTAACAACACAAAAAACAATAAAGACACATGCATTTACTCCTTTTTATTTTATTTCTGCACACTGCTTTCTACTTCTGTCCTCTACTTGTATACTTTACTACTACAGAGCAGAGTGTGTGTTGTGATGATGCTACTGTGCTGCACCATGCATAAACAGCCCGAATGACCTGCAGTAATGCAACACAGCACAAGCACTTATCTGCTATGGCTGTAAGCTGACTGTAGAGCAAGAGTGTGCTATTTATAGTGTGCTTACATGAATGTATTTACATGATTCTATACGTGTATTCTTCCTTTGGTATAACCTATAGTATTGCTGCTGTGGCATTCTGGTTGTGCTCTCTATGTGCTGAGCATACATAGCCTGTTTTGTGTATTAAGCTCCTCTATGTGGTGTCAGCGCCCGGCTGGGTCTTTGAATTGTGCAGCTTTTTTGATTTTCCTGTGCTTTCGTCTTTTTTTAGAGGAAATAAGCCTTCTATCTAATATTTACACACGAAATACAGAAGAGTTTATTTTTACATATATATGGAAAGTAGAAAAAATGTAAAATATATAGCATGTATTCATAAGTAAAATAAATAACAGAAGAAACTGGTTTGCAAAGAAGGTATACCTCATATACCCGAACAATAAATAAAAACTAGGATAACATAAGCATAGAAACATTCTAAATAAAGCAAATGGGCTAAATTAGAGTCTGTTTGAGAGCATTTAAATGAGTTTTATATTTTATAAAGACATATAGCTTTATTAGACAACTTTATCTATCTACTTCTTAGTGCTTTTTGCTCTTTAGTATATTAAAAGAAGCTATGCTATTATTTTTATATAGAGAGTTATATAATTTTAAAAGAGGTGTCCATGTATATAACCCAAAGTTATAGTACTATATCATATGCCATATCCGTGAGCAAGAAATACGTAATATTTTGCTTCAATAGAGAAAATTAAATATATATATTAAAGAGCTTTATGCAAAAGTCAACTATACTAGTTAAAATATAGACAGCAAAAAGACAAAGTAACGCCAAGTGGGGTCATTGTATGTATGCACTGAATAAAAGTATCTTCATTGTAAAATAGAATTTATTAGCATATAATTGGTTTGTTTTATAGGAGACAGAAATTATATTGAAAACTATGCGAAAAGATTTTATTAGTATGAAACTAGCCCAAACTGTGCAGCTGCTCTTCCAAGAAATTACTAGATTTATGGATATGCACAAAGAAGAGTCATCTTTAATGAAAAGAGTGCCAGAAAAGATAGAAAACATGCCGGAAATAGAGCAGATAATCGATAGAGACATTCATAGACTACGTTTTTGTGTAAGAAGCTCTGACGGAGAGGAAGAAGCAAGCGAAATAGATAAAAACAGCAAGCCTGTTATGTATCTAAGAAAAATAGCAGCCAAGCTATATAGCATAGAGGAGTACTATCAGGAGATTCTGGACTTTCTTATTCCTATAATATATACGGAGGTGGCGGCAGACAAAGATGTAGAGTACTCAAAGGTAGAAAAAGACTGCATGGCCATATACGAGAGCTTTCTTTACGAGTATCTGAAAAACCAGTATGCGCTTGCGCTTCGCTATGAAACAACGCTGCAGAAAATGGAGGGATACTATATTGTCAAGGAAATAGACTTTGAGCAGATAAAAGGGACGTTTATTGAGCTATCTCACACAGCACTGTGGTTCTCCAGAACATTTGCCTATGAAGACCTAGTTTACATATACGCATATTTACTCAGATCAGAGCTGCATGCCCCATATGTATTTTTCTTGGCATCCATTCGCATTATTCGGGAAAGAGAGGAAGTAAAGCCAATGTTTGATCTAAAGAAAAGGTCTGCCATACTGGGGGAGAAGAAAATGAAAGGGCTTATTGTGAAGAGCAAAGAGCTAGATAAAAAAATCGGACATTTTTTCAAAGATGGTCTTTTGACAAATAAAACAACGGCATTTATGGTGCTTGCTGGTGTTGGGATTGTTGCTGCAGTGGCTGCAGGATTATGCATGTCTAGACACAAGTCAACTAAAGAATGAAGAGCCAAGCCGGCAAGTTTGGTGTAAAATATTCAGACAAAATGCATATATTCTTTTAAAAAGCTTGGGAATAAAAATGCATACATTTATATTTATTAGTTTGTGCTACAACTTGGACAACTCTTGTTAGTATTAGAAACAAATTGAAAAAGAGCTTCCAAATAGAGAAGAAAGTAGCCAATAAATAAATCTATTCTATGAAATTATGCTTTTTAGTGCTAAAGTGGGCTATATCTAGGTCAAATAGCAGGTTATGTGTTTTCATTCTAGTCCAAGTACTTATTTGCTATAGATATATCTATCTTATGGGTATAGTTTGGAATTTGCAGAATTTGTGTAGGCGCTGGTGCAGATGGAACTATCTTAAATAAAAAGCCTTGTTCATCCAAAACAGCAAATCCATCTTCCATGCTGATTCCGTCTATTATTACTTTGTCTGATAGGCCAGATATTTCTGTGCAAGTAACTTCTAGATTTTCGTTTATCTTAGAGATGTCTACCAAGATAGGAGTGCTGTTTCGCAGTATAAGGAGTGTATTGCCATTCCCAAGCAGCTTTCTTACTTTACTTTCTGCATCAAGATTAATATTAGATATATTCTCAGGATCATCCACCCCTGGTAGTGTTTTACCCATCCGCTCTATTTTATTTTGCATTAAATCAAAAATAAGAACTTCCTTCGTGTCTGTGTTGTACAATGAGACGTACCAATCATACCCACCGGCCACTAGATACTTTCCAACAGTGGCAATAGAGAGTATTGGCTTACTGTGGACCTGGATGAAGCTCTGTATTCTGTGCGGATATTGCCGGTCTGTAACTCTTATTTTGTTGTCTTTGTCTGCAGTAATAATAGAGTCCTCCGAAACAATAATGTCAGTTATCATAGAAATAGAGCCAAAAAGATGTTTTGGTGCTCCTTCCATCTGAGACATACAAGTTTTTTCGAGATCCTCCAACTCATAGACAGAGCCTGCCCTGTCTGCAATGTACATTGAGCTGCCACTAATAGCCATCTTTGTTGGAGTCTTGTGCGATTTTCCAATTCTCTTTACTGCGCCATCGTTAATCACCAGTATATCCTTGGTTTCTGTAATGACATAGCATCCGCATACCAACAGGCCTTTACTTGGCAGATCAATATGTGCTTGCACCCCATCTTTGTGTATATTTAATGTTTTCTCGTTTAGAATAGCAATGCTCGAATTTACATATGTTACTGTGGAAAGCATGGTATACAAAAAATTTCAGAATAAATTATTTATGTGCGGAAAGCTTTCATCTTTAGAGTAAACCATTCCTAGAATAATAAATATACAGAAAAATAAAAACAGAGCTTCTAAACTCTAATTTTTAAGAAAAGTATCTGCTAGAAGCTGCTCTTTGGCATGCCTAGCTTATGGGAATAAGAAAAGTCTAATGAATAAAGCTGTACAAATTATATAGAACACGTATTCGCACCCGTAGATAATGGCAATATGTCTGTGTATGCGATGTATTAAATCAGGGCTGTCTAACAAAGGGCATTTTTATTAATACTGTATACTTTCGGGCGCTATTAGAGAACTAGTGGTTTCCTCTGTCTTGGAGTCCTCCTCTGTCTCATCGTGCTTTTTGTATATTCGATTGTATATTCTATATGTACTTTCCAGCTTTCTATTAAGTGATTTGTTCATGATTTTCAAGTTGTTTATCGCTTCCGCCCTTTCCTCTTCTAGCTCTTTCAGTATCTTTATCTCTTCGTTTTTCTCCATCACTTCCATTTCTAGCCGACTGTTTATTGCCTCTATGTCTTCTTTTTCTTGTTTATAGTTGCGGGTTTCTTCTTTAAGAAGTGTTTCTGATTTTATTCTTCCTTTCAGATCTTCAAAGTTTCTTTTTATTATGTCATTTGCTTTCTTTAGGTCGTCCTCAAGTATTCTATTTTCTTTTTTCAGACGGTCAATTTCCAATGCGGATTCATCAGTGATTTTTTTGAGGCTGTTTACTTTCATCTCCAAGTCACCTGCTTCTCTGCGCGAGCGGTTGGTGGTGCTCTCGAGCTTTTCAAGCTCCTCTCTGTATCGCTGCGTCATATCATCATTGGCACGCCTAGCGGACATCAGCTCTTCTTTCAGAATGCTGTTTTCTCTCTCCAAAGCACTTGTTTTTCGATTTAATTTGCTAAGTATCTCAGATATATACATTTTATACTCGCTTTCAGTCAGATTCTTCAGCGGCAGCTCAAGATGCAGAATGTTTCTGAATGTGTTTCTTTCTATGATTTTTATGGTGCTCCCTACTTCTATAAAGAGTTCTTTCCTCTGCACGCGCTTTAGTAGCTCGCTAAGTGTTGCTATAAAAGACATGTAGTTCACGCGTATGCTCTGTGTCTCTTTAATGGTGTAGTACTCTGATTCATTGAGCTTAGAAAGCATGATTGTGAACGTGGCCTGGTTGTAGAGTTTTAGCTCGAAGAATTCGGGTTTCTTAGCCAGCTCGCAGATGTACTCTGCTGTGCTGGAGTTCTTTTGTACAGAAAGAGGCCCTGAGAACAAAACTTCATCCATAAATAAATATTTTCTAGCTCTGTTAATATGCACTCAGTAATAGTAGTGAATTTTAGTGAAAAGGAAGTTGAAATAAAGAACAAAGAGGTAAAAAAGAAGAGACGGGTCGTGGACGTGTACGATGTAATGGACCCGTTCTATCAGGAAGACGAAGAAGTGAATACCTTTGAGTGCAAATACGAGAACTTCTATTGTTTAACAGGCGAGTCGGCAGTAGAAAGGAGAAAAGAGGCTGAGATTGAGTATGAGGAAAAGCTAAGAAAGGATAAAAAAGAGACAGCACGTGAACGATATGTAAAACAAAAGCAGGAAAAGCTAGAAGAGTATGCAGCTTCTTCTCCAGAGGGCAGGGCGGCAGTGCTAGATAAAATAGCTATACTTGAATTAGTGACAACACAGGAGCTAGATGCAAAAAGTCTGGCAGAAGAGGTTGTAAATAAGTGCCCAGACGAGAATATAAAAGAGCTCGAAAAAGTTCTAACAAAGACCTTTAGCAAAGAAGGAATGGAGGAAATGTATGCCAAAGCTGAGGAAAAGAAGAACGCGCTAGGTGAGGAGGTAAAGGTAGAGTCCGTGAAAAGGATTAAGAAGGATGAAGCAACAGGAAGGCCAGAAATTCAGTTCGATCCTAAGTTCCTTGACCTTTTAGTAAAGTATACCGATGTGGAGTACTTGATGTTTTATATAAAGCTATTTCTGTCCGGCAAGAAAAGAATATTAGAGCATAAAGTAAAGAAGAATGCGATACGCGCACTACACGAGTACTTCCCAGTAGAGTGCCGATCTATGTCACTAGGAAAGAAAATAGCATCGCATGTAATAAAAAAAAGAAGACGCGGGCAGATGACTCAGTCTGAGGGAAATGCTGATGCAAATAGCAATACAGACGAAGAAGCACAGGATACAGAAGAAGTATCAGTAGAAAAAGAGGAATCAATGGCAAAAGAATTCCCAGTGGAAAAAGAAGAGCTGAAAAAAGAAGAAGTTCCAGAGGCCATTCCACAAGCCAACCTAGAAAAAAGCACTCATATACCCAAAGAGAAGCTTTTAGAAGAGCTTTCAAAAAACCAGAGACATCCTGAGATCATGCAAGAAATTACAGCTGCAGAAAACTCCTTAGCAGAAGAGCATTCTATGCATAGTCAAACAGACTCTTCCATCATCAAAAGTAGCACAGTGCAAGATGATAGCTTAATAATCCCTAGCTCGCCTACCATAAACCCAAGTACGCTAGTATACGCACCATTTCCTCCTGTGCAAACAAAAGAGAAGAAGCAGACTAAGCCCCGCAAAGCAGCTACCCCAATTAAGCGTGGGCTTGGAAAACATAGGCCGCCGATGGATGAGGTTGAAGAGCCTTCTATAGATGCCGATGTGTCTCAGAATGATTCAAAAGAAATTCTAGATAGTAAAGATGAAGTGTCTAGAGAAACACTGCTATCTACGCCGACTAAAATAGTCAAGACCCGAAAAGCACCTCTAAAAAGTGCCAAGCTGACTAAAGAAAAGAATACAAGACTTCCAGCTAATCCAGCTAAAAAGCAAAAGAGCGCTGCTAAGAGCCCAATAAAGCGCAAAAATGCAAAAGAAACCTCTGTTTTAAAGGAAAAGGAAGACGAATCCATATTAGATGAAAAAACAATTGAAACAACAGAAACAAATGATACACACCAGGGCAGTTCAGACAATCTTGAGGATATAGATATGTAATTTACTGTATGAAAAGTACTAGCTGGAAATGCTTATGTTTTATTCGGGATAGCCATCTGTCTAAAGCCTGGTATAATACCCCCATATCATAGTGGAAGTAGCAATAAAAACTGCCTTTAATATGCCTATACAATTGGAAAACTTTACATAGAATTAGTTCATGTTTATTTAGAATTGCTTATTGCCACTGGAAATCAAGTACAAAGGTAGGCAGTTGCAGTACATTTAGGCATCCATGGCAGCACACAAATAAAACTCATTTGAAACTACTCTATCAATTTCATACTAATAGTGAAAATCCTGGTTAAAGTATCCCGAACGCATTCTCTCGTAAATTTGAGCCAAATCAATCATCTCATCATTATAATCAGTGTTGGATATATCCATGGATTCTGCACATTTAGAAAGCGCATAAATAGTATAGTTGGTTTTTGCTACCTTGCTTAATTTGGTCTTTAATTCGAATATTCTCGGACTATTGAATTTTCGAATATATTTGTTAATTCGTAAATAAATTTCTTTTGTTGAGGTAAGATAAATGTCTATCCGTTGTGCCTTATTTTGTGTTGCATAATAAATATACATAAATTTAGTCATTATTTCTTTAGCATCTGAACTCTTAATAAAACCATCCCTAAATTCCACACATATTCTTCTTGGGTTCTTATCTTCAGAAGATGTAGAAGGCTCTAGGCACCAGTCGTGAATTGTTTGATTTCCTAAGGATTCTCTTGACATCTGAGAAAATGTTCTTGCTACATAGTCTCGAATTTTATTATCAAATCTTGCTTCTTGGTATTCTTGTATATATTCTCTCATTTCTTCCATATATTTCTTATAGTCCATTCCTGTAACTTTTATCATTATTATGAGAATATTGAGGATATTAGGATCAATCATGCGTCTATCCTCTATAGTTGTATAGCTTATGTCTTTATCTTCTTTCACCAAGTTCTGAATTATTTCACTCCATTTACTCAAAGCCTCTTGTGGTATTTCCTTTCCTACCTGTATAATAGGCATACTATTGCTTGGTAGATTGCTTGTAGCTGGGTCACTGCTTATTTCAGATGGATTACTAGAGACACACGTGTGTATAGACGAAATACAAAATAGATTCTTCACTTCTTCCGGTATGTTTGGAAGATGGTCAACATTGTAGGCATTTGCCATTGGGTCATATACAAAGATGCATAATAGAGTGAGCACCACAGACTCTATATCACTTGGGATTAGCCCTTCTTCTGGAGGTGTGTTTTCTTCAACTGTTGTTTTGGCAGGGAGCTGGCTATTATCCGCGAAGGGAAGCACTTGAAATCTTTCCTCAGCTTCAATTAGATCTTTAAGCTCTTTAAACATCTCCCAGCACTCAAATGTTTTTAACTCTTTTTTATCGGGTGTAGGAATTTTTCTAAAGAACCTCCATGCAACATCGAGATAGCCTATTGGTGTGGTATCTAGCTTACTAGCAATCACTTTTTGGATTATTTCGCAGTATAGTTTAATTAAATCTTCTTTAGTTTCCAGATAGTAGTATATGTAAGATTGTATTAGCCAAGCCGGTGTCGCACTAAACTCATCCCACAATAAACTTTCATCCAAATCTGATTGTAACCACCTTATTTTATCTATATCAACTTTTTTGTAGAGTTCTTCGTTAATGAAGTACTTAATAGTCTGCATTGTTTGACTGCCTTTTTTTTTAATACTTAGTTCTTCATTGGAGCTACTGCTCTTCTGCTCTTCTGTACTACCAGCAATGTCTATAGGAACACTGAAGGTGTCTTTGTCATTGTTTTTATTAGACCATACAAGCATAGGGCATTCGCTTTCCTCATCCTCAATTCTCAGTTGCACATCCATTCCCTCTGTTTGTAGAAGAAGTACTGCAAGAATCTTATGAGCATATTCCTTGACATGTTCACTCTTTAGAAAAGAAGTAAAAGAATCTTTGCATCCTTCTTTAGGATAGATGCTTATTTTTCTATCAGGAGAAGGGAACATGTTAACTAGTGCGTTGTAGTGCTCTTTAGAGCATGTTGAAAGCCTATCTTCTTCTTTGACGAGCGGATAGATTGAGTCAGGCTTCTTGTCCATTGTCTGCATACAACACATCTCCTTTCCATCAGAGCTCTGTTCAGGTGAATATGGAGAATTAAATCGCCTGTTGTAAAGAGTATCCATCTTGTCACATAAGAATAGCATAATTGGGTTTAAAGGCCCATCCATGTTGAGTTCAATGCCATATTTTTCGAATTTTTCTACTAGTTCTTCTAGCACATTATCTGCACATTGTCTGCTCAATAACCCAAAGACATTCTGCATTGCTAGAAGTGAAACCATAAGAAGCACTTTTGCTAGTAGCTTGATAGATATCTGTCTGTTATTTCTTTTGTATAAACATTCATGTGGTTTCATTTCCATTTTCATATCTTAGCACTGAAATTCTCAAATATTTTTAGATTTAAGCATTTAAAATAAGATAAATATCAATAATTCTTCATCGCATATCTATATTAAGTGTTGGCAGATCATTTTATTTCCACAATATTTCTAGTAATTTCTACAAAAGAGAAGTTGGACTATATTGACCGCATTTATGCAGCAAAGTATAATAGAATTCAACTATTCTTATATACGTATATATTCGCGCATGTGCTTGTTTTTATTTCTGCCTTAAGAATGCAAAGCCTTTTTTAGTCAGTCATATATTGTGAGTGGCTCTGTTTTCTTATGCTAAAGTAGATTTGTGGTGAAACTATCACTCCTTTGGGATTTTCTTATTACAACAAAGAGTCCAAATATAAAATGATAGCGATGGAAGAATATTCACTATTTTGAAATCAGACTCCAACTATAAGTACAGGTGTGATTTTGCAATGAAAGCAATAAAAAAGCAGATACCAAGACAGTTAAGACAATTTCAGAAACCAAAGTCCCGGCGATATGCACAGGCCATGAATAAAAGTTCCTCTTTAAACAAGATATTATCTTTATTCGGGTTATTACTTCCAGATTCAAACTAGTTTATTTGTTTAATTAGCCCTATTACCTGGGCTTATCAGACTAGCCCAAGAAAAAAGAAATAGTGTACCAATTGCCGTAGCAAAACAACAACTAAATAGTCTAGATGTCATACACTTTTTTAATATGCCGGAGTATCACTTCTTTCAGAAGAGCTAGTATTATTCAATCCATATATAGTGTAGATGCTATATCTTTGCGCTAACACTGCATGCTTTATTTATATACAGAAAACATCCAGAAAAAGACTTTTTTAATAATTTTTCGAAAGAGGAAGTCCTGTTTGTTAAGCTAGCCAGCTAATTCGCATTCAACTTAAAAGAAGAAATAACTACCCTATTTAAATAATAGGAATATTTAAAAAATATTTTCAGTTATATTCATATAGATGAACATGATGAACGCAAGCAAAAACAATAGAGATTCAATACAAATGGCAAGCATTGAAAATATTGAAGAGGCATCCGAGGCTAGAGACAATTTTCCTGCCTTCCCAACTATAAAATATGTTACGCTTACATTTAAAAAGGACAAGCTAAAGAATGATACAATGAGATTATATGAAAAAATTAGACCCTATAATCAAGCCAGTGGACTCACATACACTAAGTTCTATGGCCAGCTGCATACAATGATTTTAAATAATTTAGAAGTCGCATTCGATCCAGCTGTTGACCCATCGCATAGGGAGCTACTTGAAAACATTATAAGAGCAACACTAGAGAAAAAAATTATAGAAAATAACTTGGCTAGTGGCTTAAATCTATACGCCCTAGAAAAGGTACAAATGACCAACAAGGATTACATTGACGTATTTAAAGACGCAATTAAGGAATTGGAGCCTTCACGACTAATCATAGATGTAATGCAGTTCTTTAATCTATACTACCAAAACATTACCCAGCTGACGCATATAAACCAAAGAAATTACTTGAGGCACATGCACATGACGAATATTCATGCAGCAATGTACACTCCGTGCGTCTATTTAAAGAAAAAATCCGATCTGGAGGAATTCTGCATGAAAGTGCATTCATATGAGAGGCCCAAGAAAAAGTACAAGCCACACCCAAAGAGTTTTCTGTTTAAAAAACGAGAAAATGGCGAGTACAATATAGACTATGCACTGAACTTACTTTTTAATAACAAAAATGAAATAGGCAATTACTATAGTGGGCACCCAGTGTACCATCCTTTCACTCTAAGCGATGAAGACAAAAAACTGCTCGTAACTCTTTTTCAGAACTGGGGCATGGTAGAGAGATTTTTCCGCGATCTCTATGAGTTATTGGATAAAAAGTCAAGCAAGAAAACCATGAATGAAAAGTTCCTTGTTGGAAAGGTTTTTTCAACCGGGCATATTGCAAGGCCATCCGACTTTAACCCACATGTGTACTATCAAAGCGTTGAACAGATGCTAGGAAATACATTAAAGGAAATGAAACATACCACTAAGGAAGAGGCCGCTTATATTAAAGACATGGTACAAGGCTTTAATAATTTAATAATGGATACTCCTGTTTTGATGAGAAATAAAACTGCTGTGACGAAGAGAAGCACTAGCAGCCGATTCTCAAGGATTTTCGGGTTCCTTGGAGGGATAGGAACAATTGTTACGCTTGGTACATTGGCAACTTTTTCTATGTATGAGAATAACTAAAACTTCTATCATACAAGCACCAATGCAGTTAAATAAAGATAGCTTATGCATGTCAGCAGATACTTTACAATCCAGTCTATAAACTCTTTAAAGTATAGAATTTCTGTGTATTCTGGTGCATCCAAGAGAAGTAATACTCCAGCCTATAGATAATAGTATAAAGAAAAGAAAAATTCTGAATGTGTTCTATTAATACAACTATCCAGAACCTTTGAGACAATAACTAGCTTCCCTTGTACTTAGCGTGTCTCACTGCAGGCATGGACTGTACCATTGCATGTTTCTCTTGCAATTTTATAGAAATCTTTTTATCTGAATTTTTATAAATTCTTTTGCAACTATTTTCATATCAAAAATGTCGTGGAGAGAAGAGGATAAGTTGGAAATTTTCCGTATTTCTAATACAAAGGCTTTTCTATTGCTGGATGAGCTTTTACAAAAAGAAATACCAAATTGCAGTGGAGAAGACAAATTATATTTTAACAAAAGGTCTAACGACTTAGACTTCACCCCAGAAGAATCCATATCTAGTGGTCTTTCTACTAAAAGAAAAAAGAAGAACAACCAAACTTTTATTCTAGAGGTGTGCAAGCATAAAGTCTACGCTCAAATATACAGAATGGTTGAGTCTCTTGAGCCAGATAATACTAACTATGCAGACTATACCAATCTCCTTATAATACTGCAAACAGCCGTGCGCAACTCTCTGATCATTAAGATAAGAAAAAAGCATATTCAAACTTTCCAGAATAAAGTAATTTTTAAAGGAATACTTGTACGCGTGCTTGAGCAGATTATTATAGAGCGAACTAAAATCATAGATAAACATCTGTTCAAATTAGAAAACGCAGATTCCTTTAGCCCAGAAAACATTAAAACCACTCTGTGCGATGCAGCTAATGAGCTAATACAGAATAACATTTTAGAAAAGATCCAGCACGCTATGAATCTCTGGTGCTCCAATCTTAAAGAAGTAAAGACCATTGCATTTTATCCATACATAACATGCTCCTACTATCTATTCTTAGACAAGTGCTTTACCAATAAAATAATGAATAGAAAGCTCTATGCAGATCTGCTGACGCTCACACACGCATACTATATGCAAGATCTTACAGAGGAGGACATGCAGACCGCACACAAAATGAATCTTTTTTCTCTGGAAGGTAACCAAAGCGAGTATAATATAGATGTGGCTATTAATGCTCTATTTAATAACCGTTATGTGGCGATAGATATTCGAAGTAGCGACGTAAAGTCATCATATACTCCACCAATAGATAAAGCCAATAAGATTCTGTTGCTTGCCTTAAAGCATAGATGGCATGAAGTGACGAATTTCTATCACAGACTTCATCCTATTATATATTCCCAGGTAGAAGCTCTTTTTATGGAGGGACTTTTCGTAAAAGACAACTGCACTTCACCACACATAGAAAATAACTATATGCTGTGTGTAGAAAGGTACTATAGGGAGCTAATCAAGAATAGAGAGGCAATTGAGACAAAGTTTGGCCCACAGTATCCTATCTATAGTGATTATTGCGAGTTTCGAATAAATATCCTTAGAAGTCTTATAGATCTTGAGGCTGGAGTTCAGTCTATAAAGGGATGTGAAGACAAAAATAGTTGGTGCTTTAAAATGCCAGGTCTTCCAGAAACAAATAAGCCAATTTTTATGCTGGCCTTGGCTCTATTGAGTGGAAGCACTATATTGCAGTGGATCACTGAAACTGCGTCGCATTCATGACGTGAGTTTAAATTATTTTTTCACTCTAGTTCTTTTGCTTTTAAGCTTAGAAAATATTGCCTAAAATGCAGAACTCTTTATATTCCTCCTTAACTGCAGAAGATTAATAAAAAGTCTAATGGTTAACTAAGTATAGACACTTATACATTTTAAAGCCTTTAAAATATCTAGTCCTATTCTATGCATTTATTCTGGTCTTTCTTTCATATAGACAAAATTTGGTTTATACACATTTTATTGAAGAAACAGAAATATTCTTTTGCATATACTCTAATGAGGCAGCCTATGTTAATATTCTACCACAATAAAATTACTCGGGTGTATATCATTCTATAGACACTTTAACTGCACAAAGGCAGTAATTTATATATACAACAAGGTGCAATGATTATTATCTTATATTTAACTGGTTTACATATCATAATACATATAGGTCATTTTTCTACTATTTTACAGAAGTTCTTCAGCACGCACTGAAATATTTTTATGGCAGCTAATTCTCCTTTGAAGGTTTAGACTTACTTTCTCTATCCTTTATATTTATTATTTTCTTTCTCTATTATATATTTCTCCCAATATTATACTAGTCTAGGAAAACATTCTTAAACAGCAAGAATTCGGGTTGATATGCAATAAGCTATCCACTCTTACACAGATAAGATCAAAAGCCTAGGACAGAGTAAGTTTATGTAGACAAGCAGGGCCTTTCATAATATCGGGTAGTAGCCAATAATTAGAAGGCACTGGTTAACATCCATGTGCACTGATCATCTTGGTAAAAGGTTTTGCGTTTTAAATGTAAAGAAACCTGACAATAGTAAAAACTTTTTTATACCTGTAATGAATACTCGAAAAACAGGGATTGTTTCGTTAGACCTACACAATGCCTCTTCTGATAGAACTGATAGTGATGCAAGTTCCCCTAAAAGGCCATCTAGACCATCTAAGCATAAGTCAGGTCCTGTTGCACCTAAAAGGCGCACTATTAAGTATAAACTTGACAAAACAGCTCTTTTAAGCGAGCTAAATACTTTGTCTATTCTAGTTAATCGGAGCACAAATGTAGAAACTTCTTACTATGAGATGATGTTTGGGGTTCTGCACAATTTAATATCAAAGCATGTAACTGTAAACATATCAGGCTCAATAGACAGCGAGAAGGCTGAGGCCCTGCGCACTATATCCCTGCGCGTTTTGGAGAAAATCATTAAGGGTCGCTATATCAATAAAAACTCGCTGATTTACAGAAAAGGAAAATACACCGCAACCACGGTGAAAATGCTTTTTGAGGTGCTTGAAAGGTCAGTCACAGAGGTTATTAACTCAAACCTTCTTGCGCAGGCTGAAAAAAGAGTCAATGACTGGTACGATCAGATGCTTGAATATAACATTCAGGACTTTGCAGGATACCTTAACTATGCGAGTAGACTTCTAAACGAGATCATGATTCTTGAGGATATTAATGAATACACCATATACAACGACCTGCGCTGTTTTTCATCTGAAGCAAAGAAAAATCTGAGCGTAAACGATCTGCCTAGTTTCCCACCTCAATCCAGCAGCTATAATAGCCCTTCTGTCTTTAGTATGCACAATCTTGACAGAGCAATCCAGATTATCATGCAAAACAGACACATACTTAGGACATACTTTAGCACAAAAGAAAGCGAGAGAAGCAATGTTCTCTCAAAGAAAGACATTGTTTTGGTTGTGTCTTTCCTGCGCCAGCATCTGCTTGCCTTGAAGTCCATCATGAATGCCCATAATTTGATTGATAAAGACATGAAATACGTCGATATAAAAAGACTTACAGATTCTGAAGAAAGAAACGAGAATGCTGTCGTATACAATAACCCAGCCACAGTTAGGTACAGTGACTGCGTAAATACAGCAAACATTAATTATTATGTTAACAACAAGTATTTATCCCCCGACATTATAAAGTACCTTGAAGGAAGGCTATTTGAGTTCAAGCAAATGGTAATTAACAATGCAGAATATGCAGGTGAATTCACTTCTTCACCAGCACACCCCAGGCCGTCATCCTCTATTGAAATGGCTTCTTCCTCCTCTTCCTCTGCAAGTTCTAGTAAATCTGCTTCCCCGGAGCCAAAGGCTTCTGCAGAGGGAGAGGACAAGTCTATTCCCTTGAATTTTTCCACTGAAAAAGCTGTCAAAAAAAAGAGTATTATACGCAGAGTTGGAGACACCAAGGGAATGTCTCTCTTTAAGGCCTGCATTGGTCTTACTATTGTTTCTTTGGGTTATATCCAATTGTTTGGATCAGACAGTCCTTACCAGAATAACTAATACAGGATTTACTTAAACATCAGAAATAAACTTTTGAATGTCTATTTTATCTATATATTCAAGTGTCTGCTGCATTTCTTTTTTTATATTCCTTGCTGTGTACTTCTTTTTTTCTCTCTTTATTTTTAGAAAATTAAACTGTTCATATACATTACTACAATGTGTATGGCTTTAAAACATTAAAATGCAGAATATAAAAAACAAAGTGCAGATATCAGAAAAAAAGAAGGAAAATATTCAAGCCAGTAGGATATAACCCAAAAACACAAGGAAACACTCTTCCCCAAGTAATTTAGTCTAACTTCTAATAAACACATATTTATTGAAATTACTTCATCAGCATAAATATGTTAATATGCCATAGCCAGAGGATGCATAAAAGCAATTCGAATTATATTCAACCAGAAAAATACTTCACCAGAAAACCCACTAGAACATGCATACCATAAATTAATTAGAGACACAACTGTATTAATAAGCATTCTCTTATTTATGAAGTCAGATACTTTTCCCTGTATTCTAGCCAAACAAGAACTGCACCCATATACAAATAATTATTTGTCCTCTTTCGTGCATATTTTTATGCTTTAATATATGTAAAGACCTTAATATTCTCCCACATGCACAGGCTGCAGTAGAGTGGATACTAGCAGAAGTAAAATATGCAAGAAACCATGCGCACTAAAGAAACCAAATAAACCATGATCTACCCTTTAGTACACATATAATTCTGAAAATAACAGGGAAAAGAGCCATTCCAGCAAGCCAACTAGTTTCTCTCCTGAATATACTCCTTCCAAATATCACATTAAAAACACAACTGCATCGATACGTGCAGAAACACCAAACGAAGCAAACACATGGATGCACTGCAGACAGATACTTGGATTCACGTATACATACAATAAAGACCCACACCTAACAGCAGCCTTTCTCTGCTTTTTGTTTATTAAATACACGACTGCATGTAATTTTTGTTTATTATAGAGCTCCCGTAGCTCAGTGGTAGAGCACGGCACTTATGGGTGGGAGCCTCCTGTGTTTGAAGGCTGTAACAAGCTGAGCTATGCCGGGGTCGTGGGTTCGATCCCCATCGGGAGCATTTTTATTACTTTTTTAATAATTCATGGAGCCAACGTACTTCCTCTCTGTCCGGAGTGTACTTCCGGCATAGATGCAAGTATATTGCCTCCAAATCAGAAATATCCCTGGGATTCTTCTGCTCTGCAATTTTCTGCGCCAAAAGAAGAAGCACATCCATCTCTGCAATTGTCGCATTCTTCAGATATTCCCGGGAGACAGGCGCAAGATCCACTGGAGAATAAAGCAGTGCCTGGACCACTCTAGCAAAGGCCGTCTCTTCTGACTTTCTGTTTTCTTCATAGTAATTTTGTGTGTCTTCATCACGCACTATTCGCAGTATAAGCTCAACCTCCAGTGCATCTCGAGTCTCTCCCTGGAGATTTGCCTTCTTTATGCAGGAGAGCACTGCACTGTGCACAGCCGGATTTTGCAGTTGCCCGGACGTGCTTGCAGCTGCCAGAATAAGCTTGCTTAGTGCAACAAGTTCTTGCTGATCATCTGTCTCCAAATACTTCTGCAGTTCAACAGGTGCACCCACCTCCTTCATAAGCACGCTCTGCACTAGGCCCACATACGCATCAGACATAGCCGTACTTCTCTCTATCTCAGTGGGTTCTTCATTCACTTCACTAATAACAGGGAGATTCTTGTACTCCTCTGCAATTTTTATCACACTCTCTGCTTCTTCCGTCTTAAGTGCAGCCTGCATCTGCAGTGCCCGAATGTGCTTTTTATACTGCACAGCCCGTGTTCTCTCAGGGTCACCCACTTCTTCTGCAAGCAGCGAGTCAAGAATATCCTCTGCCACATCAAGGCTGTCTATTTTTATATGCAAGTACGCATTGAATATTTTCACAGTTGGCAGCAGATCACTCCCTGCCTTATTTTCTGTCTCTTCAATTTCACTTAGTATTTTTATTGCATATCTATACTTCTTCTGCTCAGTCAGTGCTTCAGTCAGTGCCATCTTCACTGTATATTCATACCTGAACATAAGAACCTCTTTTGCCCTTCTTTCCATCATCTCCCAAGATTCTTGTCTTTTATGCCACTCCATGCTCAGCATGAACAGATGCGGACTACTAATATTCTGCACAACACGCAAATATTTATCAACAGGATGCAAGGACTCGTTTGATTCTGCAAGAACCACCCCGAAGTCACTGATAAGGTAGTAGTCATTTGGTCTTGCATCATACAGCTCCTTAAGAAGTTGCAGCACCACAGGACTATTTCCCTTTTCATAGTGATTTATGGCCAGAAGATGCTTAAAGTGCGAAATATGCGCATCCACTGAGTATTTATACAGGTTCAGTGGGAGCAAGTCTAGTGCAGTTTTCATCTGCATATTCTCCTTGCTGTATATACTAGCATAGTGCAGGTAGTCACTGCCCACAGGCACATTAGACTGTGAAGAGGCAAGTGTCTTGTTAATGTACTCGCATGCAAACTTGTAGTAGCTGTAGATCATTTCAAAGGCACTTGTGTACTTACTAATTCTAACGAGATAGACTCTGTATGAATCTATTTTTATCTCGTTCTCTATGAGGCACGCATGCACAGATTCTATCTTGCCTTTAAGAAGGGCCATGTGCTGCTTCACTAGCACTAGGTGATATTCTGAGTTTATTTTTTCATGCACATATTCAAGTAAAAGGTCTTTGTGTCCTAGGGTATTATATGCGAGTCTGGTTATTTTAATAAGTGCCTCTCTAGTGCATATATTACTCTCTACTGGAAGTACAGTCTCTTTGTGCTCTTCTTGTATGCACAAATCTTTCTGTGGAATATTTCTATCTGCAAGAAATTCTATTGCACTCTCTGGGATTTCCATTAGATCAAGCACTGCAGATACAATGTCATCTATTACTGTTGATGGCAGGTGCATATCCAGGACCTCATTGATCACCTTGAGGTTCATTGCCTTAAGGGCATCATCCAGGATAATCAGCAGATTCATTGGGCTTGATATTCTGGGTACATCTGGGTATGCTACAGTGACTGAAGAGAGAAAAGGGCACTCTCTGTCTGTGAGTACTTCCTGGCTGGATATCTGTCTCACCAGAAGGGCTGTCACATAGTCCACTTTTTCCTTGTACTCTCTTCCTAGTGCAATTTCTATTTCCTTGTATATCTCTAGTACAGTCTTCATGACAGCTTCATTTCCTGGGAACCGCAGTAGCAGGATAGTGGGTGAGAGTGTGTTATAATATACTTTCTTGTATATGGAAGGAGATCCTAATAAGGCAGGAATATTCATGAAGTCAGAAAGTGTCATAAGCACCAAAGACGTATCTTCAATTGGAATGTTCTCTTCAAGGATTTTCTGCATAAATTCAAGAAGATTTCCTACCTGCAGAAAGTCACTGTATGCGCGCATAATAAGGTACAGCAAGTAGTTACTGCATATATCTGCAAGAAACTCTTTCCTATACGTCTCTATAAGGTCTTTGTAGTACTCAGGCAAATCACTTACTTTTGCTAAAATATTCTTCACTTCCTGGACAAGAACCTTTCTTTCCATGGAGAAGTATCCACTCTCAATTGTGCTCTTTAGGTCTCTGTGGAACTGTTTTAGTCTCTCACAGAAATATGCCCGGATATGCGAGAATCCTTCATCTGAGAAGGCTTCGTTTATGACTGTTTTTTCACCAGAAGAATCTGTCTCCATGCAGTACTTTCTGAATACAGCCATATACTGATCTAGATCATTGTACAGATATATGCTTAGAAGAAAAATAATAGAGTCCTTCTCCAGGGCAGTGTACTTCTTTGGATCTGCACCCTCCAGGACAGTCTCCAGGACATTTTCTATTTCCTTTCTGTCTTCATCCTTTATGTACATATAGTCAGATTCTATGTATATTTTAGCAAGGCCTTTAGACGCCTCTAGTGACTCTTCTGGGGAGGAAGAGGTGGCTATTGCTTGCTTATAGTGGCAGACTGCCTGGGGGTAGTCTTTTTTTAGGAAATAGCAGTATCCCGTGTAAAACTGCACTTTGTAATCTGGCTCATAGTATTTGATTGTGTAAAGGGCAGTCTCCAGGGCCTTATCTATTTCATTCGTTTTTATGTATTTTAGAATGAGCTTTCGCTGTGTCTTCATGCGGATAAAAAAAATAAAATGCAGAAATACCTGCAGTCAGTGGATGGCAGTTATTTATGTATCTATATTCTGTGCTGTGTCCATACAAGATACCTCTGCATGGCTAGTCAGATAATTTCGTAGCATAACTCATCGCATAAAATATCTAAATTAATTTAGATATACTACTGTATGATATACTACTAAGCATATGCCGATACATAAACTATATGGGCAGTCTCTGTGCAAAGGCATAGTGATATTTACTGGGAATTCATTGTATATATTACTGCGTATGCTTAAATACCCAGATTAAATATGCCTTAAAATATCACATGTACTTGTATTCTTGCAGTATAGTAGTGTATTAGCACGGCACAGCATACTTTCATTTCTGCTTGGTGTGCTACTAAAGTACTGGAGTCTTTAGATATATTCTTCACCAGAGATATTTTTATCTTTTACACAAGACCATAATAAGCAGATAGAGTACGTTAATAATGGAGTATTAGCTTATTCCTTCATGCATGCTCGGGTTATATCGGATTATTTTAGTGGGCAGACCGTGGAAGTCACTGCGCAAAGTATTTCGGGAGTGAAAATATTTTCAGACAAAGGGGAATAGCAGAGACCACTAAGAGTACTTGTAGGGCGGATATTTAAGAGGCAGGCCAGGCGCAGTGCACGAGGGTAGATGGGTATTTTTAGTGGCAGATGCACAGGGTGCACTGTAAGAAGGACAAAAAAACGTCCTGACAGGGACTCGAACCCAGAACCTCCTGATTAGAAGTCAGATGCGCTGCCAATTGCGCCACCAGGACCACACACATATTAAAAAGTACTTCATACATCAGTATGATTAATAATGAATAGAAAGATATACTATATACAGGAAGTACTAAATAGCCTGTATACTTGTATATCCCTTTATTTAGGCTGTTCTTCTTTTTTATTTCTTCCTGTCTTATGGCAGGCTTATTCTTTTAGTGAATTTATTTTAATTTTTTGTTCTACAGAATATTCTATTCATTAAAAGTCCTTTCTATATTTATGCGAATTAAAACTAAAATTGATCCTGTAGTGCACTAAAATTAATTAGAGTGAAATCATGCAAGAATGAAAGAACAAAGAGATAATAAGACACTCCGTATATAATGGTAATATAAGAAGGACAGTAATTTAGATTATTCTTTTTTCTTAAGACCATTATTTTTTGCTCTCTTCGGGTAGTACTTGTGTGTCATGTAGTAGGAAAATATCTTAAAGCCAAGCCAAAATACCGGAGCAATAATTACAGCGAATATATCAGCAAGAGAGCATATATGGGCAGACTTGCTGAATAGACGAGTGATGAAATCGGAGTACACAATTCTTGTGGATGGAAGGGAGTCTAAAAGATGCTTAGCCCTGTTGTCTGGGAGAGAGTCTGTGCCCATGGAGGATCCTTCTATCTTCTTGGTGAACAAGGGCTTGTGCTTCTGCTCTTCTATAAACCCTGGGCTCTGTATGGTTGACACGTAGTATATGGACAGATCAAGGCCCTGCATCGATGACTCGCACTCGACAGCCTCATAGAAGGAAGAAAGAGCTGCCTTGCTTGGGGCATACATTCCATAGCCCCCGAAGGAGTGCAGGGCCAGTGTGGATGCAATAAGCACAAGGTGCTTTCTGTGCTTGAGTGATGCACTCTGCAGAAAGTGCAGGTAGACTCTGACAGGCCCAAGGAAATTGCAGTTAAGCTGTCTTTCTACTTGTAGGATTTCAATGTCCTTTGCTAAGGAGGGGAGTGCATACCCAGCACAGCAGAAAATCATATCAAAATCAGTGGGAAGGGATGCAACTGATTTTTCATCTGTTATATCTACAGTCAAAAGAGCATATTCTTTTTGGAGTGCTTCCATTGAGGAAAGACTTCTTGCTGTTATAGTCACTTTGCATCCTCTGCTTTTTGCGTCCTTTGCAAGAGAGAGTCCTAGTCCACTGCTTCCCCCTATAATTAGAATGCGCTTTCCTGGGTAGTAGCTTGATCTCTTACACCACACCATTCTGTTTGTTTATTTGTGTTCTGCCTGGATATTTCTGTGCATCTGGAAAGTGTCTGGTATTTTCTCTTTTATGTTTTCTTCTGCAGTTATTTCGAGTATTTGAATATTACAGTGTATTTAATGGGACTGTTATTCTGTGTATGATATACACTGTGATTTGATTTTGGTCTATTTGCTGCAGTGTAGTAATAATAGTTGCATTATTTATTCTTTCTGTGTTGTTTTGGAAGGCATGCTTTCTATTCTATCTTTTGTGTTCTTTGAGAGGCTTGCATTCTACTCTATTAAGAGCCACTTATTCATGTATATTGTGCAATATATGGACTACAATAGGATGGATGGTATTATTTATGTGCACTCCTTTATATTTCTATCGTACCTTTGCTGCATCATGTGCGGGTTTATTGCAGATAGGTACGTTGGGCAGTATCTTATGATTTCTATTTCTTTGGCAACTTATATCTTAGGGACTCTTTCTATAACGGTTTCATCCGTTGCCAGAAGCAATCTCTTTTTTGCTGCAGGAGTGCTTTGTGTTGCCTTCAGTGCAGGCGGCATAAAACCAAATATATCTTCATCTGGGGCAGGAATTGTACAAAGTATCCATGCAGCCAAAATAGCTGCACATAAGACAGTACAGACAATTAACTCTCTAATAGTAACATTCTTTTCACAGTTCTATTTCGTGATAAATCTAAGCAGTTTTATTGTTCTGTTCATAACACCTGCTACTGTCAGTAGGCTGCTGTGTACTCTAATGGGCAGTAACTCTTTTAGCAGAGGCAGTTTGCACCAGGCTGATATTTCTGAATATTTTCTTGTTTTCGCATTCTCTTCTGTCTCAATTTTCATTTCAATTATTCTATTCTCTGCACTTATGGCGCAGTGCATTCTGCGGTATATCTTTGTGCCTAAATTCAGTGTCTTGCAAGAAGAAAAATCACAATCAGATTCACACCCGTACAGCATAGTGCAAAGTCTGCCTATAATCATTGGATGGGCTATTTATGACCAAATGAGTTCTACATGGATAGACCAAGGAAAGAGAATGCTTAGTACTGTGCATATTCTCTCTTATTCTGCCCATATTCTTCCCTCCCAAATGATACTCATTAACTCCTTTCTTCTGATGGTATTCCTTCCCTTCTATAATCCTGCCATGACATGGTTATTTTCTATTGTACCACTTAGAGACACACCCAGACACAGAATGTCATATGGACTGTTTCTTATAGGGATATCTTACATAGTGTACTATATGATTGAGCTGTACTTACTGCATAAAGGACCTATCTCCATTCTCTTTCAAGTCCCACAGATACTCATTATAACACTAGGCGAGGCACTGATTAGTGTATCAGGAATGACTCTGGCGTACAATGATGGGACCTCTGATAGTAAGAGTATGGCGATGGGGTACTGGTATTTTAATATTGCACTTGGGAACTTACTGGTTATATGCATCTCTGCCTTGTATAAGTCAATGGGCCTGCAGATAGCACACCAAGGCATACTGTATATCTGCTTGATATTCATAGCCATGGTGCGCTCCCTGCAGGAAACTGCAAATAATATTCCAGCCAGATGTGATGCCGTATTGCTGCCCATATGCACAAGCAGACTACAGCCAGAACATGTCCAAAGCATAGTTATGTAGTCCACTTACAGCATGATATTTATAACTGAAGGGTGCAAATATTATTAGTCAGCTGAAATAACATGTACTTTGCCCTATTTTCATTGAATATTGCAGTATATTACTACTAGCTTATAGTAGATGCATTAGATTTCACTAGACACTAACTACAACAGAAATTCCCTTTCTCAAAAAGAAATTCGAATACGTTTTATGCAGACTGAAAATATGCAGTATACTATGAAGATTACCAGATGCATGGAATGCTCTAAATTAAGAAGATTATATACACCGTAAGCCAAATATAATAGACAGACAGATAGACATAGTATATTTATACGCTGTATCTTATTGCAGTAATACAAAGTGCACTTGATACGCTGCATATGCACAGTGATTCTTCGGGTTATATCGAATAAATAATTATTTACTTTATGGAACGAAACAAAATAGAAGGATTCCTTGAAGGGAATAGACTAAGAAATGAATTACGTGCAATGAAGTGGAGTAAACACTGTATATGTGTACGTTAAGCTTCTATTACATTTTTATTTATTTAAATTTTTTTACCCCCTTCATGACTTTAAGATTTACAGAGAGCGCACAGATGCAGGACATCATTCGTATGTACAATACGAACATAAATGGTAGATCCACTATCATCAGATCATTAACTGGAATCAGAGGAATTGGTCTAAGAGTGTCCACTTTATTGTGCAAGAAGGCAGGCATTGACACCACCTTAAGAGCAGGACAAGTTGAGCAGGAGAAGTTAGACACAATCTCCAAGATTCTTGAGAACCCACAGTCCTTTGGAGTGCCAGAATGGATGCTTAACAGACAGAAGGACCCCCTTACTGGAGAGTACAAGCAGTTAATAGCCAACCAGGTTGAGGCTGACTACAGGCTGTACCTTGAGAGAGCAAAGAGAGTAAAGCACATAAGAGGACTTAGACTTCTGAAGGGCCTGAAGGTCAACGGACAGAGAACCAAGTCTAACGGTAGAAGAGGAAAGACTGTCGGAGTATCAAAGAAGAAATAAATTATTCGTGCATGAATCTTACAGTTGTTTATTATGAGTTGGGAAGGGAGTCTAGAATGTGCTTTGGCACAATGCCCTCTGGGACTAATTCATATCTATATGGAAGCAGCTCTTTGTACGTGTTTTTTATCGTCACATCTGTTACATTTGTGACTATCTGAATGTTCTTCTGTATTTTCTTCTGCATGGGGAATAAGTATGTGATCAAATATATAATGGCAGCTGCAATGGAGTCAGGGGACTTTCCGGCTATGCATCCTATGGCCTGTGCCCTTTGGCTAATTGTCAAGGCAACCTTCTGTATATCTATGCTTAGTGTTAGATCTGAGCAGAATCTTGCCACAATGTCCTCTGTTGAAACAACAGCAAGCTTATCAATATGTGGGAATATGGCTTTGTAGCACCTTCCTATCTCTTTTTTAGGAACTGCTGTTAGTATACTCACTTCTTTAAACGTACGGACAAAACCAGCCTGTCTGCATGCAATGTATATGCAGGCAGCCCCAATTCCCTCCAAGTTCTTTCCCTTTAGAACCTTCTTATTTTCCACTGTCTTAAATACGTATTTTGCTGCATCTGATATTGTCTTTGAGAGATTTTTCCTCTCACAAAATGCGGTTATTAGATTAAGCCCATTAATAAGTGCACGCTCTGGGCCACGCAAGCTGCTTTTCATTTGGGTCTTAGCAAGACTGTACGATGCAAGCCCAGAACCAGAAGAAATTAATGTGTCTAGCTGCTCTGTGTCCAGGAAGGGATTGTTTGGTCCTCCTACTCGGCTTGGGTTCTCCCCAGAGTCACTAAATGTTCTCCATTCTCCTCGTTCATCTATTATTCTACTCCCTACAACACACCCACATGAACCACATACATTATATCCATTCTTGTAATCTTCTATAATATTCTCCTCTTCCTTGCAGTCTGGGCACTTTTCCCGTTCTATTTTCTTCATTTGCATTCTATTCTGCATTTAAAATATTTTCTGTGTTGTTTGTAATTGTACTTATGTTTATGTCTGCTGCAGATATCTATTAGAATTAATTATTTGAAGATTATAAAGGACTGGTATATATTCATGTATAACGTAATTCATGTATATATTATAGTCTAATTCCTTCATATATTTAAAATGACTTTGTCTCTTGTTTATTTGCAACTGTCTATCTGGCACTTCTTAATTCTTGCATATTCTGCCTCTATAGTGGTTTATTTTCCATCTGTTCTAGTGCTATTTTTAGATGCATTAATATCCTTGGAGAGACTCTTTGTTCTACTAGTTTAGGAGTCATTTTAGTATCTGACTTAGATATATGCATCATAGTGACTTCTTTATTTCTTGCACTCTTTAAGCATACTGTATATTATAAAGTTCTTCATTCAAATATATTCTGGTGTTTTCTAATAAATATACTTACAGACTGAATGCACAGATATAACCCGATATAACCCGAATAGCATATTACTTGAATATCCTGAAGAATTCACTCCTTCCACAGAAGAACTGAGTATTTTCAGCATTAAATCTATTAAAGCACTTTGTAGTAAACAAGAAAAATATCTTGCTTGTAGTGCGTCTATTGCAAGAATATTAGAATGAAATTAGACATAATATAATTCAAGATACAAGTGAATAATACATACTATTCCTGTGGCAGTATGTAATTGGAGGAAATAATTTGGGTTTCAGTTGTAGAAACATATAATCACTATTAACTAACACGCACCAAGGAGATGCACACTAGTGCTATGGATTATGCATGAAAACCAAAGAGAAAGCACCACAAGAAAAAGTGAAAATAACCCGATATAGCCCGAATAGTATGTATACCACTGCCACTTTCTAAGGATTTTTAATGAAAATTACTTTGGACCAGATTCACGGTCTTTTTTCTTTGGACCATGGCTGTGTGAAGGGGTCTTTCATTAATTCAGAAGAGAATGAAATATGACCAGAGTGACTATGCCTAAATAGAGCACTATTCTGGTGCAAGTGCAATATGCTAATCTAAGCCAAAATAGAAACTGGAAAGAGTATTTTTAGAATACTGCCCCAGCACTTATTACTTCTAAATAGTAAGACAGTACTTTTATATATTTGCAAGGTCTTCATGTTATTTCATATTACAGTGCTATTATTCTGCATACTAATTCATTTTAGTCCATGTCGTTAAGAAAATAAACAGTGAATTCTTTTGCCTCTTTTATTTTTAGTCTTTCTAGTAGGGAATAGAGAAATAGTTTGCGTACTTGAGACCAATAGAATATTTAGATAGAAATATTCTACGAATAATATAATTCCAGAAGAACTAACAGTTGAAACTCATAGATAAAATATTCCCACCCAGTAAAATGCTACAATGTATTGGGTAGATCAGTTTATTACATGATCTGTTTCAATGTACTGAGATAGTGAAACAATTTATCCTGTATATATAGAGGGACTAACTGCAATTATATTATGCGTATTTACATTCTAGGATTATTTCTACTCTTACTCCAGAATGCTGATGCATTGCCAAGTGAGACAAATATAGGATTCTATATTATTCCAAGAAATAATGTAAAACACGGCCTTCCATATGTAATGAATATTTCTTCTAGTGGTGAATGGTTCTTTGCCGAGTTCGGTAACCGAGAGGATCAGATCTTTATTCTAAAGAAACCAAGCGCAAGAAAGCTATGCTTGAAGTACAAAGAAGACGTGTGCCTTGATACAAATGCAGATATTGATCGGAAAAAAGTCACTCTGTTCCGATGGAAGGTATGCCAGAAGTCACTTGAACATAATAAGATAAATATCCTACGAACAGTTTACGAGAACATTTTCACAATTAATATTAAAAGGTGCAATATATACTGCCTATACAGCCATTCCAAAGAGGCAGCCCCAGGAGACGATCCTTCTCCAACAATAAAAATGTGTGATAACTCAAATATTAACACTCACTACTATATGGTTGAAGAGGAAGGTGGCTTAGATACGTACTACAGGATGTCTGGACATAATTACGTTACGCAAGCCCCAGGTGCTGGCAGTATTATTTCTCCCAACTACAATAGACGCATATCTGGATCAATAGAAGAAGGTATAACCCGAAGATCTACTCCATTCTCTTTCTCTCCTAGTTATACCCGAATCACTTCTTCTGTAATGCCTAACATCATGAGCAGAACAAATGGATATATGTATTCAATGTAAACATACAAATAAATATGAGAAAAGAAGGAGTTCTAGCAAAGGTATTTTTGAGTATTATTGGGATTTGGGTTGTGCTAACAGGGTATAAACTAGCGCGAAGAAAGTATCTGCAAAGCACTCAACTCAAAGCCCGCAGAACCGGAGAGTGGGATAGCTTCTATAACATGCCTAAAACCAAAGAAGAGAGAAAAACTGAGCTTGGACGAGGCACATGGGCCCTAATACACACAATTGCTGCAAAATATCCACCGTACCCAACCAGAGAGCACCAGGCCAATGTACTTAAGTTTATCGATCTGCTGACAAAGATCTTTCCCTGCGAGGACTGCAGAGGACACTTTAAGAACCTAGTTGAGACATTTCCTCCAAAGGTCTCTGGGCGCGCAGAGTTTGGGGGCTGGGCCTGCCAGGCACACAACATCGTGAATAAAAGACTCGGCAAACAGGAGTTTGACTGCACCCGGCTAGATGACCGGTGGGACTGTGGATGCAAATAAACTTACTTTTCGCTCTAAGCCTTTTTATGCAACTGTGTGTTCGTTAAGTCGTTTTTGCAAAGTTATATTTAAATAATTTTTATCCCCAGCTAATATGGCAGAGAAGAAAGAGAAAGCAAAAAATCTTGGTCTAGTAAAAGTAAGAGCATTAGCCGCTGAAGTTATTGGCTGCGGAAGAAACAAGGTGTGGATGGACCCCACTGAGTCAATAAAGCTCTCAGAGGGTAAGACCAAAGAGCAGGTTTCCCAGATGGTAGAGGATGGTTTAATTGTCAGAAGGCCAGACATCGGTCAGTCCAGAGGAAGAGTCAGACAGTTCAGATTAGAAAGATCCAAGGGAAGACACAGAGGTCTAGGAAGAAGAAGAGGTACAAAGAATGCCAGATTCCCACAGAGAAAGATCTGGATGCTTAGAATAAGAGCACTTAGAAAGGATCTTAAGGAGTTAAGAGCAGAGGGAAGAATCGACAGGACAATGTACAGATCAATCTACCTAAAAGCAAAGGGAGGATACTTCAAGAACAGAAGAATGCTTAAGGAGTACATCGTCAACGAGGAGCTCAGAAAGAAGAAGGAAGAGATAGTTATGGCACAAATGAATATTTCTAAATAAATTATGAGTCTTTCACCATGCTTAGCATATAACTGATTTTTTTTGCAGAATAAAATATTGAATGAAAATAAGCGGAACCAAAGCGCAGCACACACAAGAGGAAGCAGATGATGACTTTGGGGATTTTAATAAGATGCTAGGGCAGGAACTTGATGGAAGCCCCTCAGACAGCGAGAATGAGGAAGAGAACGAGGAGTGCAGTGCGTCTGAGGAAAGCCGCCCAGACTGCAGCAGTGAAGGCGCTGACATAGAAGAAGAACTTTTGAAGCTGGATGAAATGAACAAGCAGCAAGAGGAGAAACAAAGTGTGCCTGTTCAGGTTGAAGACATGACAAGCACGTACAGACTGCTTGCTACAATGCACAAGGAAGGCGCAGCTGGTGTGCTTGACCCAAGTGAGTACGAGTTTTTAAAGATATTTAGTGACCCGAATGCAGAGCAAATCCTGCAAGACCAGGCAAGTGATCTGATCAGGCAGGTGGAAGCCCTGTTTAAAACACCCGTGTACAAGAAACTTAATAAACAGAAACTTCTGCGGCAGAGGATAAACCACAGCATATCAGAAAAAACAAAGCAGTACTTGAACAAATATGATGACATGCCCTTCATAGTGAGCATAACCAAGGACTTCTGCTACAAAACAGGAACAAAGCTCTTTAGGAAGAAAACAGGCGGAAAGCACATCCCAAAAATAAACAGAAAGACGTATGATAAGATGGTCGGGTTCTGTGTGCCTGTAGGAGAGTATAAGTGGTCAGAAGAAAAGAACGAAGAGTTCATTAATTGTGTGCTTAGAAGGTAAAGCAGAAATTACTTTTCGGGTTATATCGTATGCCATTCTTAGTACAAGATAAATTGGCTAGAGTGATTGGAACAGAAGATGCTTGTTCTGTATTTAGGCATGCTTAGCATGGCCTTTGTAGATAGAGTCTTTTGAACAAGTATAAACAAAAAAGTACTATAGGCCCAATGATCTGACCAAGTTTGAACAGAGACTATTATGGCCTGGTATTAGAGTATATAGTGATGTGGGTTTAAGCACACTCCATACAATGGAGAATAGATGAAATTGATTTCTTTGCTCTTAATTTGAAGGCTGTGCTAAGTAGAGGCTTAAGAAAGACTTTTGCATAGGCAGCACAATTGAAGAGTACTAATAAACCAAATAGAAATTGCCTTATAGTGAACTACTTTCTGTGCCTATATAATTTGCAGCTATTTCCAGATTCTTCTTTTGTAAATCTGTTTTCTTTCTATGGAGTAGCAAACATAAACTCTGCAGATATAAAATAAGTTATGAAGAGTTTGAGATTTTCCTATCGAAATAAAATAGAATAAATATAGACAAAGGCATTCCAAATACATCTGTTCTTTTGATTCCCCGAGAATAAACTAAGGTAAACCTAAAGTTCTCAAGGGAATTTTACTACAATTATACACTTTATAGCTAGTATTATAGTGCTATATTAACCTCTTATAATAATATAAACCAAACAAAAAGAACATATCATGATACTTTACTAATCTAGTGCGATTAATTAAGTATTAAGATGGAAGATAATAAAGTAAACTCTTAAATCTAAATGTATTGCCATACTGTCTTACTATTTATATTTCTGCATTGATTCTGCACTTAGGATGTTCAAATAGCATTGCATATTTAAAATATTTACGGAAACCACTAGAGATGCAAGAAAGAGTATGAAGCTCACCATAAACAGAATAGAAAAGGAAAGCACAAAGTACAGTATTACAAAGCAATGCATTATTCTGCCAGATTATGCATGGTTGATAGAGTAAAAATTTTACTATTGGTGCATATAAAGCAAAGTATAGAGCATGGGAATAAAGCACTTATGGAAATTACTAAATGGACGAACAGTAGAGCTAAGGGAGCTTAATGGATTAAGCCTATGCGTTGATGCAAATTTAGCGCTATTTTCTTGCCTGGGAACTAGCAATATTGTGTTTATAACAGAGTATACGCTTAAAGTCATCTACAGACTAATATCACTTGGAATAGACCCGGTATTTGTGTTTGACGGAAGAAAGCCTTTGTTCAAAAAAAGGCCTAGAAAAGAAATATTGGGCACAGATGGAAATGGGAAAGATGTTTGCACGGAAATAGAGCAGATGCCTGAGGAGACAGCAGATATGTCTAGCACATATATTAATGAAAACTCTGAAGCAGCCGATACTTTAGAAAGAGAAGAAGACTTTAGGCAGAACATGAGTGACGGAGAGTTCTCAATGTACCAGGTTCAAAAGGTATTTGATCGGTATAAATACATAAGATCACTTACAAAAATAAAAAGAATGCATGGAGACAGTGAGATACTTTTCAAGCTAAAATCGCACTCACTGCCTGCCGTGCAAGCTAGAGAAGACCCGGATACAGATGAGCCCTTTAAAGAGTTAAATGCATGCATGGAAAGAATGAAGGAGATACTTTACAGCCAGCAAGATGGAGCTGAAGAAAAAGTAGAAAGAAAAATGTCGTATAGTAGAGACATAGAGAGAGAAAAAAAAGAGAAAGGACAGGTGCACAGAATAGAGGTGTCTACAGAGGAAACTGAGTATCAAAGAGAAATGAAAATGTACGAACTACCAAAAGAGGACATCTTTCTGAATACACATGCAATTGATAAAGAGACTCTTCCTTTAGCATACAGAGTGATTGTGGACATTCTTGACGCCTTCTCAATAAAATATGCAATAGCACCAAGCGAGTCAGATAATGTGTATAAGAGTATAGAAAGGGCTATAGACATGGATGGGGTAGTCACAGAAGACAGCGATATTCTGATATTCAGCAAAAAGCCTGTCTTCAGGCACGTCTTCAAAAGAAAGATTCTTCCAAAGGTATTTGCAGAAGAAGGCGTGCTTGAGTATACACAGACAGAGCTGCACATATTGGCATGGCTACTTGGAAATGACTATGTGCCAGGTATTCCAGGAATAGGACCATCCAGGGCTAGAATAATTATTGGAAAGTATAGAGAGGCAGTCAGCCCACAAAATGCAGAAGAGGACGCAATAAATATAGACCAGCTCTGTGAAATAGTCAGGTCAACAGTAAACAGAGACGTAACTCTGGAGATTCCAAATCTTCTGCAAGTTCAAAAGGTATATGCTGATAGAGAGTTTAAAGTGCACATTGCGAACTTGGCACCAAAGCCGCTTGACAAGCGAAAAATTGTAGAGTTTTTGGCAAAGAGAACCTCCTGGGAAAGCACAGAGAAAGAAGGATATTTTAAAATGATAAACGAATACCAGAAAAACAGAGAGAATAAACTAGAAGAGATGAAAGAAAGCAAGAATTTGCAAGAAACCGGTTGGTGAAGGTTACTCTGGATTAAATATGTATAATAGACTAGAAGAGTCTGTAAGATTCATTTTCTTGTATACGTGTATAGCTGTATTTCTATTATTTTTATAGGAATAGTATATAGAGCTTTTTTCTTAATTTAAAATTAAAACGTACTATTCACTAAAATTAAAATATAATCTGAAAGCTTTCTCTTCTGAATAGATTGCAAATTATGCAATAAAAGCACATGTGGGTTTAGAGACAAATATAAATATACAAAGCTGCAAGGCGTAAGAAAGCTTTATCAAAATGCAGAGATAAGACTTTGTAGATGTAAACGTCTATTTATTACTGATTTCAGAGCACTGTGTATAGTGTCTTCTGCAGCTATAATTTCTTGAACAGATGCTTTTAGCTTTACTCTGATAGATGCACTACTTCTTTAATTTCCTTCTGCATTTAGACTATTCTAATAGCATAGTCTAGTTAGGTGTAGAGAAAGGTGTATTATGGACTGCTTCCCGAATGAATATTTTATACAGGAAGAAAAGTTGGTCTTTGTTCTCAACCATCCATGTCCTTCTGCTTCGTAGGTACAAGAACAGCTCGACAAAAGAGGCCATTAGGCTTTCTTTGTCTTGAAGGACAGTTCCATTGAGAAGGGCTCTTTTAAGCATGCTGTAAAAAATGAAAGTGCCTGTTCTTCCCACGCCTGCTAGACAGTGGACTATAACTGGACTCTCTGAGATATGCACAAGCTTCCAGATGCCAAGGAGAATGTCCAGAACTTTAATAATGTTTGTGGTTGGGGGCGTCTTATCCACCCAGCACATACACTTTATTCTAAATAGTTCCTCAGAAGGATCCTTCAGTGCTTCATGTCTTTCTATTATAAAGCTACTACTCTCCTCCTTAATTATTCTGTAGATGTCTTCGTACTCTGCAGAAATACTGCTAGTGTTTGCACCTTTTTCGTGTGCATACTCCATGAATTCTTCTGGTGTAAAGACGCTCTTGCGCTTGTGAGAGAGAGACAGAAAGTCACTCTCCCATGGTGGATGGTCACCAATAAGTGAGATAACCAAGCCACACTTTGACTTCACCAGAAGATCACTAGCAGTAGAAATGGTTGCAGATGTAGGATACTCCATGGCAATAAAATCATTTCCATCTGGGTTTTCTATGAGTGAGGCATTCAGCTCGCCATCTATTGCATACGCATCCTTCAGCAAATTGTAGTTGTAAGAGTGTACGTCACTAAATCTGAACGAGCGGTTTCGTTCGGATGTAAATGGCACTTTTGTTTTTATAGCAGTAGAAATGAATGCGAAATGATCCTTTGCCAGTAGCTCTAATAGCTTTGTTTTCCGTGTTCTCTGTGTCTTGCTAAGCAGCCACTTAGCCATTCTTAAAAAAAGTATTTAGGAATAAATCACATACTATAAGCATAGCAGATCATTTGCAGAGTATACATAATAGAGATAGGCAGACTTGTTTAATATAAATAAACAGAAGTGTTTGTTGTTACATGAAGATTGAAGGGAAAATAGTGAATGAAGTTGTGCTGAAAGAAGAAATAGGGATTGGAAATATTTCCTCGCAGATGCTAAAGAAGATTCTGCAGCGAGGAGTTGAGTTTAACCTGTTTGTGGCAGCTGAAAGAGGAATAGGAGCAAAAACCCTTATTTCTTCGATTTACAATATATCCACATGGCCATCCAAGGTGTGTGCACACACTCCAGATCTTGCAGAGTACTTAGTTCCCTTGCAGCTTAACAAGATTACCTTAAAACTGACAATTTTCATATACCGCGGAAAGGACCCGGAATTTGTAAAAACATTCCTTGGGGAGAGAAACTCAATGTACAACAAAAATAATATAGGACTGAGAAGGGAGCGAAAGGAAGATCCAAGGATACATGCATCACTCTTTCTTATTTCTCCATTTTCATTTAAACAGGAAGATATAGAGGTTTTGCATGTTTTGTCTGAGCTCACAAATACATTCCCAATAATTCCGAAGAGAGACATATTTACATCGAATGAGCTGGAAGCATACAAAGAAAGGATTCTTGCACAAATAAGGCAGAACCAGATCAAAGCATCACATCTAATGCCAGATGGCCTCCAAGTGTTGTCAGTTGTAGCTAGTACATCCTTTGTGAACGTGGGAGGGGAGCTTGTTCGGGGAAGAGAGTACAGCTGGGGAATAATTAATGCAGATTGTTCTTCGGTCTCAGATTTAAATCTTCTTACACAGATTTTGCTGACTGTTAATCTGATAGATCTGAAGAACAGCACTGTTTTCTTCTACCAGCAGTGGAAGCAGGCACAGCCAGAGCCAGATTCATTCGATATAGAGGAGTCTGACAGGGACCTCATAAAGGAAATTGAGTGCATAATTTCAGGAAACCTCAAAGAAAAGATTTCTTTGCTGGAAAAGCAGGAAAGAGAGATAGACTATAAAGTTAAGTCATTAGATTCCAAGTAAGCCTATAACTAGTATGCGCTGATTCTGCCAATAGTGCATGCCAGGAAACACTTGCGTACACATAAAAAATCACACTGTGGTTCACTCTAAAGAATGCATATAGAGTGGTTGGTAGGAATAGAAATCAATTTGCACAAAGATTCTAGTTGATGTAATCTATGCGGGCAGTAATATGACCTGCAATGGAAACCATACTGTTAAACCTACTTATCCACCTAGACTCTTGATATCCCTGCTGTTGTGCTTTTTAGACTGCAGCTTGCTATCTATTTTATGAAAAAATAGCACAGAGTTAAAAATAAATTTAGGCTATATCTAATGATAGTTTGTAGTGCAGCAGGCATGAAATTTTCATCAACCAAGAGTATATGGGTACTCAGATATAACCTGAATAAATCTCCAAAATATGCATTACAGATAGTTCATTTAAATATACCTAGTGTATACGCAGTCTCTCTGTATATATGCATATTTTCAAAATGTTTTCTTATATTTTCTGGAGTCTAATGCAGCTGTATGCTTGAAATAAATAGAAGAATATATTTGGAGAAATATCTGGGGTAAAGAATCAGCATATAATATAGACTTAGATACGCAATATAAGAAGGTTTTATCTCTATAAAAAGAAAACTGATATCAAAAACATAAGATGTTATCAAGAATATACGAAAGAATCAGCAGCAAAAAGAGCTTTTTAAAGAAAAACAAAAACTCGCTTAAAAGACTAAGAAGAAAAGAGCGCCGAAAGCAGAGGAAGTACAGGAAGATAGAATATATGAAGGTATGGAGGATGAATAATAGCTTTCAGATCTCTGCCAAAGATGCACCATGTAATAGAGTATTTAACAGGTTCTACAACCAATTCATTATATACTGGCCAGACGCATTGCATAACCAATATTATGATGCACTTGAGAAAGAAGTCTTATCGCATGTAATACCGACAAAAAATGGATATGTCGACTGCGCCTTGCTGCAGACCCCATTTAACATGCCGTCTCCAGTGGATTACTATGCCTCCTATGGGTCGCACAGGCTGATAGAGGAGGAAGATGCAGAGTCTGAGTATGGTGAGAAGGAAGAGAATTCAGACGAGTGGAGACAAAGTACACCTATGATAATTGATAGCCAAGAGATGCTTGGTCAGTTACGAAGTGATTATATGTACTCAGACCTGTCTCTGGAGACAATAAGTGAGCAGAAATCTGAGATGAGCCTCATGAGTGAATTAATGACTGCGCTTAGCTCTAGTGAAGAAAAGGGAGGAACACTTGAAAATGAACCCATGGAAGAAAGCCCACTGACAGATACTCTGAAAGAAATAGAGGCAGGCAAGGAAAAGGCTACTGTGTGCAACATATTATCACTGCTGTCTTAAGCCACAGTAATGTAGCAATAAATCCAAACCATTCACTTTGGTGTTGCACTCTGAAAAATTATTTGTACATAGCAGTTATACTCTTTTTTATTATGGCAGACCCACTGGAAGGCCTGCTTGCAGCATATAGAGAGCTTGAGGTGGCAAAGAGCAACTATGAAAGGGGAATGATCAAGGAAAAGATACGAGGCCTGGAAGCTGCTTTAAAGGAGAATCCTATAGGCCCAGTTCAGAAGGAGCAGAGGGTAAGCAAGGTTATTGCAATAGAAGACACGCAGAGAACAATAGATAGCGTATTTCTGCTAAAAGACACAAGCGAAAGAGAGTTAAAAGTAGAAGAAGAATACGATACAGCGCGCATAGAGAATATAACCAGATGCAATATTCATATTAGAACTGCACACTCAGCGCACATAAGCCATGCCAAAGACTCAGTGCTCTACATTACAGCCCAGCAGATACGTGTATACTCGTGCTCTAATCTTACGATATACGCATACACAGCAACTGGTGTATTCATTGAAGACTCAGTTGAAATTCGTGTATGCGAGTATACTCCAGACACACGCCCATCATATGAGAATCGTCCTATAGTGTATAGCTTCAATGCAGAAAGCACAATTTAATGGAAAAGTAAAAGAGTAAGAAAGAGGAGGATTTGGTGCAGGTATCTTGGATTCTGCTTTGTGCATGCAGTGAAAGCATAAGCACATAGAAGAACTGCATGGATGTGCTAAATAAAGGAGTTATAATAAAAGATGAAAACAGAAAGATTGATATTAGGATGAAATAAGATGGAAAGTATACTCACTCCATGCATTGTAATGGAGAAGTGAGCATGCTTTATAAAGAGCCTGACTTTAGTAATATGAAGAGTAAAGGATTTAAAGGAAAATTGCACAATTACTATTCATACAACCCAGAAAATCATTCTCATATTAAAGAGAAAGGCCTAGATAGATGGAGATGTGCATGCAATAAGAGTAATTAATTACATGGTTAAATTGAATTGTTCCTATATTTGGGAAAATAGCCAGAATGGACCTGGTCTTATTTTAATATTACACATGCATTATATTATAAAATGAATTATATTCGAATAGCCAGGTCGAAATGATCGAAAATAATAGAAAGTGAAAAAAAGACGGAGAGAGCAAGTCTATTAACATAAATATTACCTGAAAGGGATAGGATCTAGACGTATCCAAAAAGATCCAGAAATTTTAAATACGATTGAAACTTATCAACACAATGAAGATTCAAAGAACAATCAGAAAGACATTCGTAGTTGCAGTTCACATTGCAGTAGCAAAGTGTGCCATGTATGGTGACTTTGACTACTTCAATGGAGATGGATACAACAACGCATGCGGAGGATACGCAAGACCTCAGCAAACTCTTGATGACGCATACTACTATGGCGACTATGAAAGAGTAGGAGCAGACGCAGCACAGCTAGGAATGGGCGGATGTAATGCAGGAGGATGTGGAATTAGCCAGGACACTCCAGCAATTGGATTTGGAGCTTACCCAGCTGAAGAGACATTCCCAATGCACCAAAACACATATGTAAACAACTCTTTCCCAGAGCAGGCAATACATAACCAGATGGGATACCAGCCAGAGAGATACGACATGTCCACTGCGTACTTCAACAATGTAGAGAATGTCAACTCAGGATACGAAGGATCCTTCTCACAGAACTTTGCACCGGTTGCCCCAGTTGCACAGAGCTTTGCTCCAGTTGCACAGACAGGCCATGCCGCCACATGCATCCACAGTGCAGGTGTTAATGCAGGTGTTAGTGCAGAGGAGACTGAGCCCATCACAATCCTTCTTAACGGAAGTGTGCCAGTAAACATGCAGCCAACAACCATCACTCTTGGCGACCAGACATACCCACTTTCAAACCCACCAGCAATCTCTGCCTCAGTCTCTCAGCTAGGACTTGGTGCAGCCAGCATCCAGGACCTTGACCTTACCTCGGCAACAATTGTTCCACTGCCAAGCCTGTCCAAGGAGGAGGCAGAAGCAGCCGCAGCAGCAACAGCAGCTGGAATAACAGTTGCTCAGCTAAAGAAGGACCAGAAAGACCAGGATGCTCCATGCAAGACCAAGAAGTCTGGAAAGAAGAGCAAGAAGTCTGGAAAGAAAGGAGCCGCAAGTGCAGCAGCCCTTAAGAAGAAGAACGGTGTAGCTGGTGTATCTACAGTTGTAGCCATCGCAGTTCTTCCAATCATTGCATTGCTCATGTAGACAAACTTTTCTATATCTTGAATAAAGATAATTACATACTACTTTCTCTTTTATCTATTATTTTGTCTGCATCTGCTGCATGATTATGCATAATAGTCAGTATGTTACGAAATTTCCATGCTTCATCTTCTCTAATATTCTGGCTCTCTGGTCTCCTTTGTGCTCACTCTGAATCCATGCACTGCAACTAAGTATTTCATCTAGTATAGACTATAATGTAAAGCTAAGCAGTAAGGGATCTATTTAGTGCATCTTCAAAAGATCACTGTGTCCTTAAGGAATAGACTAAATAGCACAGATTATTGCTTAGGAGTCTTCTTTATTCCATTTCAGTACCTTCTACTTCTTGTACTTAGCACTGCACTAAAATAATTTATTCTTCTTACGCAAGAACTGCTTAATTCTAGCCGTACTTCAGCTTATGGAAATATGCATATCCGTGTAAATTAGGCTATATTAATTCTAGGCATTCAAGGTATAGTATACATACATGACAAAGTATGCAGTACAGGCACTAAATTAATATGGCAGTCGGGTAGATTTGTGTTTCTAGGCCATCCTGCAGGGCTGTACAGATAGAAACTGCACTAATAACTATCTATTTATTAAATTATTATTTTGCAACAATGGAAGAAATAATGAAAGCAGAAGAGTGTCCGTGCATAATGAAAGAGGAATCGCAAAGAGTAAAAAGCATTGCATTCCACCCAAGTAAGAAGGTAGTAATTACAGGGCTGCACAGCGGAGCAATTCAGGGATGGAACTATCTCTATAAGACCAAGATATTTGAGCTGAATGAGCATGAAGGACCTGTCCGGGTGGTTGTTTTTCATCACCTGGTGGAGAGATTTGCATCTGCAGGAGATGACTGCCTAGTGCGGATATGGGACTATAAGACGAAGTCTGTGGAGACCGTGTTCAAAGGGCACACTGACTATATCCGATCAATTGAGTTCCATAAGCACCTTCCGTGGCTTATTACGACATCAGACGACCAGACCATTCGTATATGGAATTTCCAGTCAAAAAAACAAATTGCGTGTCTGACAGGGCATACACATTATGTGATGTGTGCCAAGTTTATAAATGATAAACTGTTTGCAAGTGTCTCTTTGGACCAAACCATCCGGGCGTGGGACTACTCGGCGCTGATAACAAAGAGCCAGACCAGTGTTATGGACATGCTTGGTGTCCCTGAGGTTGTTCTGAAGCACGTGATGGATGGGCACGATAGAGGAATCAACTGGATATCCGTGCAGCCAGATGGAGAGACATTTGCAACAGGAGGGGATGACAGCACAATTAGACTGTGGAGTGTGTCTCAGGATGGAATAAGTGAAAAAGACACCTTGCAGGGTCACCACAGCCATATAAGCTCGCTCTACTACACAAAGTCAAACACTCTGCTGAGTAATAGTGAAGACGGGACAATGAAAATATGGGACATAAAGAGCAGGAAGCCCATAAAAACAATCACAGTCTCAGATAACAGATTCTGGTGCATAGCCATGAACCAAGATGAAAAGATATTTGCAGCAGGACATGACACTGGGTTCTCTATATATTCAATTGACCTGCTGTATCCTGTGTATGCAGTAGACGGTGATGTTCTGTATATATGCAGAGGGACAGAGCTAAGTAAAGTTGAGGATGGAAAAATATCAAAGGTCATGAACATTCAGAAGGATGCACATGAGGTGTTTATACACGATGAGTCTGTAATAGTAAATTATACGAGTAAATACGCTGTGTGTAGAGGAAGTAAGGCACAGTATAAAGGACTAGGCCAAGCAACCTTTTCTAATGGAAAAATAGCAGTCTGCACGGAGTCAGAGATAGTAATGAGAGAGCTTGATGGGCGTGATATTGAGTCGTACACAATTGAGGCAGATAAGGTCTTTGAGGTTACACACGGCCTGTTGGCACTTAAGGGAAAGACACTATTCAGAATAGAGAATGGAACCATAGTGCACAGTGTAATACTGCCAGAGCCATGCATGTTCGTTAGGCACAACGAGTCACATATAGTGGCAGTGTGCAGGAATAACATAGTAATTCTTGATTATGCACTGGTGCAGACTGCCCTTATAGAGGAGATTGTTTCTATAAATAGTCTTATACTGAAGGATGATTCTATTTTCTATACTACGCCATTGCACATTAAGTTTGCCTTTATGAGCGGAGAGGGGTCTTCGTTCATGTCAATTGACGAGGCTCTGTGGATTGTGGGTGTTGATGAGAGCCAGTTCACTCTAATAGCAGCAGACGGGTCAGTCATAGATATAGAGATGGATATGATTGAGTGGAAGTTTAGAAAGGCCTTGGAGGACATGGATATGAATAGCATTCGGGAGTGTATATCTACAGGCTCGTTGATTGGGCAGGCCTCTTTATCTTGCTTAATACGCAAGGGGTTCTACGAGGAGGGCCTTAACTATGTTGAAGACACAGGAGTGAGGCTTGAGCTGTCAATTAAGACAAAAAGATTCAAGGAGGCTCTTGGATATGCCAAGGAGCTACACTCCCCTGAAGTGTACATTAAGACAGGAAAGGCTGCAATTAATCACGATGTAGATGTGGCTGAGGAGTGCTTCAAGCTTGCAAAAGACTTTGCACTGCTTCTTCTTCTGTACATTTCAAGCGGGCAGATCAGCAAAATTGATTCAATCTTATTTGACTGTCCTGATGAGATGTACAGCGCAATAGCAGCAATTGTCACTGGCAACAAAGAAAGGCTCTGCAAGCTAATATCACTCGAGGGCCCAGCAGTTACAATAGATGCACAGACCATCTCAGAAACAGACTATTCTGCACGGTCTGACAGCGTAAAAACACAGATTCCGCAAGAAGAGGTTTATAATGAGCCTCTCTTTACATCCGAGTCGCAGGATGGTGCGGATACAGAGAGTGAAGAGGTGCTTACAATTAAAGAGCTAGATGAGGAGTGTGCAGATACTCCCATGTCTGAAGAAGAAAGCAAGGAAGAAGACAGTAATGACTGTGTGTTCCCATCGATAAACCAAGAAAGGCTTAAGAGATGCATGCAGAATATTCCAAATGATATAAACATTGAGAGAGAGCTAATGATAGCAAAAGATTGTGTTGCAAGCGGAAAGGTTTCTGTGGGAATAAACAGCCTTCTAATAACAATCCATCACTTAGTTAGCTCAATGATTGAAAGAAAAGAGAAAAATCCCAAGGACATGGAAATTCTCAAGACTACCTCAGAGTACCTTCAAGGACTGTTTGCAGAAAAGATTAAGAAGACCACACAGTCAGATAAAACAAGCATCTCATGCGCACTTTTCTTTGCATCGCTAAACATCTCTAAGGAGCATAAGGAGAAGCTACTGAAGTCTGCCCTTTTGACCTGCTATAAAAAAGGCAACAAGCACAGTGCAATGGAACTTGCCCAGGAGATTGTGAATACCTACAACTGCACAGATGAAAGAATCAAAACTCTAGCAGAATCGCAGAAGCCAATGAAAGATGCGTACGTTATAGACACTAGTCTTCCCTTCTGTATAGACATGGGAGAATACTCTGAGGATGCAATACAGTGCAAAATATGCAGTGCATGGTCGTCTAGCAAGTGTGCAACATGCGCATGCTGCTTTATTTCTAACCTGCAATAAAATATGACTTTGTTTCTTTGCCTGCTACTTTTGCTTTCTAATTTATCTTTACATACAGCGTATACCTTTGTAATTGATGCATCTATTAACTATTGGAAGAAATATTCAATACATAGGTCTGGAAAATCTTGCAATATATTCAAGTTTTATAGCTGAAGGGATATTTGCAAAAAGAGAGTATATGAATGCTTTGCATGAGAATATAGCATGCAGCCATGCAAATGTGTGCAAGAAAGAATTGCATACTATTTGTTTTCGCAGTAATAACGGCTTTAAGTAAGTGCAAAACATATTTTTAACTAGTATAGATCTATGGGCCTTTAGAAAGAAGTCTTAATATGCATAATTGCAGGACAGCTTCATTAGCTAAAGCACTTTTAAATATGCTTTTTGCACTATAAAAAAGTCTAAATAGAACATAAATAGTCCAGCATAGCCCAAATATTTGTTCGGGTTATGCTTGGAATGGTGTATAAAATATCTTTTTCTGGTAAGATGGAGTCTTCTAAATAGTAGGAGTTCATGAAAGTTATTTATTCTTGCTTTCTGAGTGATCTTATGATCATGATTATTGCAATTATAGCTGTTGCAAAAGTTGCTCCAATGAAGATTGGGATTACGTTGCTTCTAACATACCATGCCCCGTTCTCTATATAGACTGGGCCGTTTTGGGCTAAGTCCTTTGCTGCCAATTGTGCTGCTACAAATGAAGGCTGTACAACTGAGGTGTTTATAGCATTTGCTCCAGTAACTATTGCTCCCTGGGCGGTCTTAAGAAGATCCCCGCACTTCTCGATTACTGGGCCTTTGTTGTCGTTTACTATTTGCACTGCATCTGCGGCTCTGTCACCTACAAACTTGAATGCTCCTTCTGCACCGTGGGTTATTTTTTCAATCAAATTTTGGCTCTCCATGGGCAGCTTAAAAATAAAATTTATTTATAGTTTTAGTTTAAATGGAAAATCTGCAAATTTTTCTGCAAAATCTATTTTTTCCATTTTTTTGCAAAAAACCCTAAAAAGTAGTTTTACACAGTATACAAGCATTAAAGCCTTTTATTTGTAATATTGTCATGAGTATATAAATACGCTGGCATGCTGTAGAGACGAAAGAACAGTGCCTCACTAAAGATAAGATCTTTTTAAGTAAAGAACTTGTATTTATCACATACTGATAAATTTGATAAATATTTTTGCTGTTGGTTTTTCTTGAGTTTTACATCTATTGCAGAGATGCATTAAGCTTATACTTAGTATCCAATCTTGGAAATAATCTTTTCATTAAAATCACTTTAGGAAGCCCATAAAGTAGAAAGAAAGTTTCTAAGAAGTAGTGATTCTGTAACTTCAGTGTATATGGATATTGGCTTTTGAGCATCAGATTTTAGTTGAAGGCTAAAGTGCTACAAAAGGCTTTAAATATATACACAAAGCCATCTTGTGTTTTTGAATCTTGTTCTTTTGTTTGTGTAAGAATGAATAATTAATTATCTATCAATATGATTGAAGAACAATTTCCAGAAATTATTCTAAATCAGCGTGATAGTATATGGGGTCTATAAATAAAGAATTAAAAATAAATATTACCAAATTTATAATGACAAAATGTATTATAGTGGAAAAGAAAAATTATGACCAAATAATAGTAGACTCAGTAGATGCAGACTCTACAGGAAAAAAACCTTTAGAAGTTGTCCAACCAAGTAAAAAGACTGTCTTTAATCGAGTATGGGATTTGTTTTGTAATTTACTGCAAGTTATTTTTATTGATATGCAGTATTGTTACTCTATAGCTTATACAGTTACAGTTCTTTTTTTTTCTGTTCTCAGGTTAAATATCCCTATTAACTATTATAATACTATATGTTATTCGAATTTATTGTATAATAACATAATGCTTGCAGGTTTGATTTTGATTCCAGGTCTCTTTGTGTATGCAGCGTGCATAGTACATCAGACGATAGACTTCACTCATTCACATTTATACAATAGAAAATCTGAAATAACTAACTCTTTCAAGTTCATGGGCAGTTTAGTTGGGTCTGGATTAGCTGGAATTCTACTGTGGAATGCCCTTTTATTTGATCAATTTTACATACTTTCATATTCTTTTATTTCTCTAAAGATAATACACACAATAATAGGAATAATAACTTTGACTAATCCTGGCGTATGGCTAAGAAAAAGAAAAGATATTTTTTTCTTGAGTGGGCCAGAAAACTCCCTCCATGTGTGTATTTTCCTATATATTTTAAGCACTATTCTTTTATCTGTGGCAGGCGTCCTTCTCGATTTTCAGATTAGAAACTATCTAGAGGCCAAATCTGACTTCTTAAAAGGATCCCTTGTTAGATTTTTGGGTTAGAAACCATCTAGAGGCCAAATCTGATTTCTTAAAAGGAGTCCTTGTTAGATTTTAGTATTTATTTGAGAACTCAACTCTTTAAATAGGTTGTTTTTAATTTAATTTTGCCATCCATCAAAATAAACTAATTAATTAATGTCATGTTTAATGTAAACAAGCACAGATTAAATTGTTATTGTGGCCAATAACATGTATTTCTTTATATGCTATTCTGATCATACAGCGTCAAGTTTACAGATTTGTAAAAAAACGTGCATTTGAACCCCCTTTCTTCTATTTTTGAGTGCAAGTTCTAAACCTTAGAACTAATAATTAATAAACTCTTTAAATGTCTTATATACTATTACTAACTATTGATTTCTGTATAATTAGTAAACTAATGCAACAATGAAGATAACTCTAATCATTGCTGTTAATAGAGGTTTCTTTTTTAAGGGTATGCATTCTATCCTAAGCCAGCAATTTAGATAGATATTGAGTATTTTCTTTTGTATTTTTCTGTTAGTAAACGTACTAATGGAGCCTCTGCTTTCTGTGCCAAATTAATTATCTATTTATATTTCTCTCTTTGGATTATATTTTTTTCTTGTAAATATATATTTTCACTACCTGCTACAGTATGTATATGTCTAATTATGTATTAATAATTAATTGCAATATATAAATAGAAAATAAGAAATAAAATATAGCTAGTTTAGTATGAACAAGACCAGTATCTTTAAAAAAGCTTAGCTATATAAAATACCATCGCAAGCACCAGTGTGCTAGCACAATATTAAATAACTTTGCATAGAATGCTATCAAATGCAAGGTTAGGAGATGCTATATAGTTTTTGTGGTAAAAAAATCGCTCTGTTGTTTATTATCAACGCATTACTGTAAAGGAAACAGTGTATTCTGAAAGTAGCATCTTCTAAGATCGAGTCTCTGACTTATCTTTTGAAAATACCCTTAATATGTAGACTCTCTTTTTATAAAGCTGCCTGTCTAACTAACTCTCACCATTCTATGAAAAGAGTGTATTTTGTTCTACATTTAGGCCATTCTGCTAGCTTCTGGCTGCATCCAAAAAACCACTTTACTTTGAATTTTAAATGCCTCAAAGAGTGTGTGAAGGAATAACGTATATTCAGAATAAATCTATTCTTTACGCACACTGTTCATTATAATTTGCAAGAGCGCGTGCGTAGCTTTCGCTGGATAATGTATATCAAAGCTATAAAAATAGCCAGTGCACCAGTCACAATAGCAAGCCCAAGTTTGACATTTTCTTCTTGGGTTAAGTGCTCTTTTCTTATAACAGATTCCTTTCCTGCGGATAGGCCTGCTACCGCTGTGTTTTTCCTTGCCACCACATCTGCATATGTCGGCATGCCCTGTGTGTCTACTGGGCTTACTTTTCGTTTTGACTGCTGTCTAGACCTAGCAGACTTGTATTTCCAGCTATAAAATGTATCACTCACTTCTGATCCAATATATTCTAATACATCTCCTGTTTGGTTAACAGCGCTCACACATTCCTTTTTTATTATATTTGCTGCACCGCTTGCATGATCAGCTAGTGTTTCTCTTCCTGTAATCTTTCTCAAGAACTTATTCATTTTAGTAATAAAGATGCAATTTTTAAATAATTTTATACTTAAAATTGACCAAAATATTAAATATTTTATAGAAATAACCGATTTTTTGCTTATACGCTTATACGCGCAAGCATCTTTCTGTACAGGAGCAGATATATATCCTGCAATAATTCTATTTCTGATGTATAAAAATAGTTGCCAAATAGAAGCTGATCAAACTACTAGACGGATCAGAGAATGAATTAAGAGAAACTGTTGAGACTAAGGTGAATCAAAGAAAGCTTTATTGCAAATCACGTAAGGAAAAATAGACCATTCAGGCAATACAGTGTAGGATTGGCATTTTAATAGCACTTTGAAATAGAAAACTGTCCTTGCGCTCTGCGCTTTAGACTTCTCTATGCTGACTCAAGCCCATGAAATTAGCATATCTGCTGCACTAATAATAGAATATCTGAAATATCAATAGAGACACTGCCTCTAAAGTATATTTTAGATGTAACAATAGGTATATGTATAACACGAGCTGTAAATACTGCATCTCTTCCTAATAAAGCAGTGCATGCGCATTTTCTTTGAATACTTATGTACTTCTTGTATGCAAAGATGATTTTCTTTGCACATTAAGGTATGGGCATTTTTGAATCTTCTAGGAGAGTACATCTCTATGATGTAGCTTTCATTCCATCCCAAACTATATTTTCGCCTTTTAACCTCTGTACATGCCTGTTGGCACTATAGATATTAATTTGCCACATTGCAAAAACAATAAAAATACTCTTATGCCTGCGGCTTTGCATCTTCATCAGCTTCCTCATCAGATGACTCACTGATTGAATTAGAATGCTGCCGAGCTTCATATTCTCCAAATACTGGATGCGCGCCAAAATTAGAGCTTTGGAAAGACATAGGCACCTCACTATAATGTGAAGAAGACTCTGGCATTCTGCTAAAAGCTGGGCTTTGTGAAGGATCTTTTCTGTCACTGGAATGTGAGCTAAATGCCACCTGTCTGTTAAACTCGGGTCTTTTGGTAGTATCCTCTGCATCACTATGATGTGAATCAAATCCTGAGGCGACTGGGAATGCTGGTATTTGAGGACTAGTTAAATCACCTTCAGTTACCTTTGTGTAAACCCAATTCGTATTATAAAGATTTGTTGGCTCCGAGTATCTTCTTTCAGGCCTAGTTCCTTTGAACGCAGATTTTCTTCTTTTCATAACATGTCGCCAAATAAGAATACTAGCTATAGCAAGAAGAAGCAGTAATAAAGTAATACCTGAAATGATCATAGCCCATTTATACCTCTCCTGGAAGCTGTTATTAGTGCTGATGTAAACAACATCTAAATTGCTTATTGCTGCTGCCATGAAACCTCTTGCCTGGTTATATCCTTTTATAAATACGGAATCACTTTGTTGCATTACATTCTTAAAATTTTTCAAATATTTATGTGGTAAAATTTCCACTCTTTTGGAAACTTTCTTACTACTGTATAAGGATCTTAAATAAAATGATGGCAATGGAAAAACCTTCCCTACTTCAATATCAGGTCCCAAGCCTAGATACATATATGATTTTGCAAAAGACACAAGAGTTAAGACAAATTCAGAGTAAAAGCAACAGTCCCAAAAATATTGTTGACATAATAATAAAAGCTTACTACTTAATACATGTTTGTTAAGACATACACATATTTCAATTTCAATAAACTCAAGCTAGCGAATAAACTTTTTACAACAGATATACTATGACTAGTTCGCACTTTGCATAGGTCAAATCGCTGCTACGCCACATTCAAGCTTTTTTTGTTCTTAGCCTGAGCTACATATGATATGGAGTAAGCACACATATGCGGGCTATGTCATTTAGCTGTTCTTTTGCTGTGTGCACTGTTCTCTTGTTTTCTTCTAATATATTTTCTGTAATCGATGCTCTTTTAAATTCAATGAATTCTTCATACACACCGCATACGTTTATTGGCCCGATACAATCCAAATTCTAGCTAAAACACCTTTACAAAGCTTCTTCAAATAGCACAGCTAAAGTTAAAACATTTTATTCATAGGAAATCTACAGTAGCTAGCTGTCAATATGCCAGTGTACAACTAAGATAGCTGCACCAGAATTCTAGCCACTGCTCGTTAATACACCCATAAGTACTATATTTTAAAATATAGCCTATTTATACAGACACATCTGCAAGAAGTATAAGACATTTTTAAACTACTTTATTTATTAAAGCTTCCTTACCAACGGTTTTCCATTAAATGAGATTGAATTGTTGAAAACCTTTTCATACTCTCCCTATCATTCTCAGCACACACTATGTCTTTTACTTCTTCAAACACATTTGACATATATACAAACCACCTTTTACTACAATAACGAATATAGCCACTATCATTTTTGAAGCTTTCTATATCAATTAAGTTATAGCATCCTTGTACTATATTATACCATCCTGTATATCTAAATTTTTCTGCGGAGTAAATAATCCACAGCAAAGACCGGTTGCCAAATCTCTTACAATCACTAGCTGTATAGTTAGCTTCTACTCCCCCTATAGATTTAATAATTTTAGTAATATAGTCCATAGTGATTCCATTCAGTGTTAAAATCTCGATAAGCGAAGGTTCGCACCGAATTGTAGAAAACAGTTCTCCAGGACGATCATTGGATTCGTAGTTATCATTACTACATTTTCTTTGCAAACTAATCATTAAGTCAGTTAGTATATTGGCATACGTTGTCTGCGATAGAGATTTTATACTTTGTGCTAAGTATAATACTTCACGTATTGTGGATGGAATATATTTTTCATCTATACTCTTGTCTATTCCTGTTAGCGGATGATGCTTATCTACTGGGATGTGACTAAGAAATATAAACATTGTATTTCTAATCTCACTATCCATAAAGCAAGCACTGCCCAAGATGTTATCTGCTAGGCGTAAAAAAGGATGATTTTTGTCAAGTTTTTTTTCCATTCCATATAGAAGCAGCAGCCATACATTTTGGTTTATGTGATCCATATTATGGATTGGAGGATTAAGCAGGAGAATATCAACAACCCTGTGCTCTTTTCCATACAAAAAAGTAGGACCCACATGTTTATTCAGTGTAGAGGGGTTCCTATTCTCTTCTTTGGGTTCACTTGTCTTGATACCTTTATCTGTATAGGAACTAAGCATCCCTATAATAGGCGATTCTGTAGATTCGTATATATCCTGCTTAGTTTTATTTAACTCGATATGATCTTTTCCCAGTTCCGAGCCAATTCCAATCGAAATACTAACTGAATAGTGATATTCGTCTTCCAAATGCTCATTTAGTTTATATTCGATTTTTATTTTTTTTTCAAAATCACGGTACTCTCCATTAATAACCCATTTATGCTCAGATAGACATAACTCGATATTGTTATTGAATGAAAAATTCCTAACAATTCTATTCAGATGTTCAAATACATCATTTTCTAGCCATTTCTTTCTGTATTTACATTTAGCTATGTACTTACTTGTAGAACAAACGATATTATTCCTAAGAACTGTTTGCCTCTCTTTAAGAGATTTTTGCTTGTCTTTAAGAAATGTTTGCATTCTCTGGATTTGTTTATTAAGCATGTCTATGAGATCCATTTTAATATTCGCCTTTTCGCTACACTCAGACATATCTGTAATCTTATTGTAATTACTAATAATAATCTCATCATCAGCTACCATATCCATCAAGTTTCTAAGCGTATCTATCTTCAGATTCTTTGTTTCACTGAAACCTGTTATCTCTTTAATAACATACAGCATGTTGATCATGCCGAGCGCAAGCTGATTTCTTTCTGGTCGCATATAGCGTATTTCTGGATTGGAAAGGCCCCCCACTACTTTGTTCCAGTCATCGTGCATTTCCTTTCCTACTTGCTCACGCACGCTCGAATATTTCTTGAAAAAGCTTTTCAGCTCGTCTGAGGCATGCTTTATGTGGTCAACTCTGTATATATTATTCTTAGCGTCATATGCAATAGTCATTAGGACGGCTAGAAGCACTGTCTCTGCAGGGTCAGTAAATCCAGACGATAGTGCGGGCTTAGCATCCTCTTGAATATGCTTGCCATCTAGGGGATTTATTCCAGATGCAGGAGAAGAAGCGCTCAAATTGTTTGTCTTTATTGGGACAGGAACAACATCTGAAGCTACACCTAGATATAAAAGATATTTGCAGTGATCCATATAATCATTGCGCATAGATCTTTTCTTCATATGAGTTATGTCTATCTGCTCTATATAAATTGGGCGATTCTCTTTTGACGCTATGGATTTGAAAAAAGCATTATCCCTCTCAGCTCTTCTTTCTCCTTCCCGCTTTATATACCTACTTATTAGATATCTTGCAATGTTTTCCATCTTCTCTTTTCTCGAGGATTCTTCTTTCTGTAGCATCCATTCGCCTAGCAAGCAATAGGCTGTGTGAATGAATAAAACTGCCTCTTTGGTAGTTTCTAGGCAGTGGTGTATATAGGTTTGTATAAGGAAGGCTGGGCTGTTTACAAACTGAACCTTCTCATGCATATCACAGTCAGATGGCTTTGAGCTATCTTTCTCTTCTATAAAGACCTTATTTTCTCTGTTCTCTATAAAAAAGTTTATAACTTCAATTGCCTTTTGTTGGAGCACCTCTTCAAACACATCTGTAGACTCTGTTTCTTCTTTGCTAGTTTTGACCAACACATTCATACTCACTCTGAAGTGCTCTTCTTCACTATTTGTCTTCTTCAGAACGAGCTCTGTTCTGTCATAACTTTTATTAAATGAGAGTGGTACACTCTTTCCCTCTGCAAGCATTAGCAATGAGGCAAGTATTTTGTGCTTATGCTCTTTTACATTAGCACTATTAATAAATGTATAGAAAGAGTCAAGATCGTCTGACAATATGGACACACATTCATCTAGTGAGGGAAACATGTTAAGAAGCGTATTAAAGTACTCTTTCTTGTACTTGAGCAAGTCACCTTCATATAAAAGCTCATTATCATCACGTACTTTGTCCAGACTGCAGTTTCGCTTAAACCTATAAACAGGATGCTCACAATCATCCTCTTCAAGTGGTATACAGTAGTCTAGCTTTATCTCAGGCGAAAAAAACCTCTTTCTGTGCATAAACCCAATGTTTCTGGCTTCTTCTTTTAGCACTGGCATTATTCTACTATCTACGCCGACTTCTTTTGTTTCTTCAGAAATAGCAGCAGCTTTTATCTGGACATTTCTTAGCCCATCTACTGTCAGCACTCTGTCCCACACATGGCACAGTATAGCTACTCCAATGAGCATGTATATCTTTGCTCTGCAGATAGCTCTTTCCTTCTCCTCTTGTCTTATCTTATAAGTTCTTAAGTCTTCTGTTGCTACTTCTTTACTCTCTAATAGCTGGTTCTTTCTCTTCGAAAGATTAGACTTCATTATACTAAACATTTTGTTTTTTACTTTTTGTTGTCTATTTATAGACCATAAAATTAGCAATTTATCAGTATTCTGTGCTCTTAATTAAAATTAATATACTTTTAATTAAAAGTATTCCCGAATTAACTCTAATTAATTTAATTTTAGCAGAAAAAAACAAAGCCTCTTATATTCTAGTAGTCTACAACGAAATCTTGGAAGGCAAAGACCAGCATACATCTGCATTTCTAACTCTGGGAAAGAACAGTTTACTATTGTGATAAAAGCCTTCTCTTTTGCTCTTTGATAGACCAAGTCTTGCTCTATGTCCAAGCTACGAAGCTCAGCTTTAAGCATCTTAGAACCAACTTCTTTATTCTGCATGCTTCTGCTGTAGCAAGGAAGTATGTATTAAAATGCACAAGCAGCAATAGTAGCTGTAGAACAACACAATACAAGAATGTGAATTACTGGCTGTTTAAATTAAAATTAATTAATTACTAACATACTCTCTCTTTTGTTTATATTTTGCTTGTTAATTAACTCATATTTCTATTTCTGTCTATATTTTGTTTTTTAATAATTGCTTATTATCAATAAATTAATTGCTAGTAGTCTATAAATAGAGAAAAAGAAATAAAGGAATTTTGAATAGAAGAAGCGAAGTCTAATATCGCAAGAAGAAAGAAACCCAACTGTGTATAATCTTCAAGCTCACTTGTTCTATATAATTCCAGCTTGATATGTATTTGTGTGCCTTAATGACAAGAGTATCATGGCCTGTGAATAGTGGCTAAATATAATTCCAAGTGCTAAGAAAACAACTTTTATTTTTAGAAAAAATACTCTTGGCTTCTGCACTTATAATAAATTTGTCTTAAGTACTCTGTCATTTTTAAATACATTGCCACTTCATATGATTGAATGAATATGTGAAAGTACGCCATAAATGTGCTGGAAAAGTTGTTCGAGTTATATACCTGAAATAGCTGTTATTTCAGTGCAACTTAAACCAGGTGCTGTAGTAGTTAAGGTAAAATTTTTCATTTTTCATTAAATGATCTACAGGGTGATTGCTGGTTTGTTTATGGTGCAGAATCTCTTTGCAAGAGTTTCTGTGGAAGATATAAGAAGAGCGCATGAAACTAAGATAAAAGGAAGCCAACAGCTATTCATTAACTCAGAGGGGCCTCTGAATCTGCTATGCGGATATATGGGCTTCCAAAACGGATACATGTACAACAAGCGGTTTTTTTCTCCAAAAATAGAAACAGACTATGCGTTGTATGAAGATGGATTAGCAGCTGACGGCACACAGGAGTATGGATTTACAAGAACGCCTGCAAATGACAAGATACACAAAGAGCTGGGTGTTAGTGGCTCTGATGGAAGATATCTCAGCGCGTACCATGCACAGCTCTTAAAGATGTTTCCATCCGAGCATGGAGACCTCTCAATTGAGACTACCCGGCCAAATGCACTTACAAACTTCTTAAGGGCAGACCATGTTAAGCAGGATGCCAAGTACATCCTTGCCGCTCTGCTGCTTCTTTCAGAAGAGATTGACGTCCAAATAGGCGTGGACCACTCAGGGGAGAGAAAGAGACTTGTCATAAAGAGCAAGACATGCAAGGGAAAAAAGTTTGCAGATGTAGAGCTGTACGCGGCAGGCATTGACCCAGCTACAAATCTGCGCATCGACAGCATTTACCAAAGTGAAGTGGAAGAGATTGTCAACTTCTGTGTACGGTGCAAAGACAGAATAGTAATTAGAAAAGCACCCGCATTTGTAATGCCGTCCAGCCAGGAGGCATTTGACACTGGAGACTTTTTGAACAGCTTAGAGTTTCTCATGCAGACGTACATTTATCACTTCATTGACAGCCTTGCGGAGTATGCAAGTTTTGTGGAGGCAGTGCATGAGCTGCTTCTTGACCAAATGACGGAAGAGGAGAAGAGCAAGCTTCTCATTGGCCAGAGCGGTGCTAAGGAAGAGCAGCAGGCTGCCATAGACCAATATAACACAGGAAATGCAAGTAGCAATAAGAAAAGCCAAACATCAGCCTAAACATCATTATTATGACTTACAACCTTATAAGCGCTGGGGAATTGACCACCCCACATGATTATAAGTTTTTGCTTTGTAATATAAACTTCAACAAAGCTATTCAGATTTTAGAGAGCAAAAAGTCTATAGTGTGCTCAAGAGACAACAAGCAAAGCATGGAAAAATATAACACCATTTTAAAAAAGTTCAGACAAATGCATCCTGTAATAACCATCGGAAGAAAGAGTTTATATCAACGAATGATAGAGACTCTGCACGCTTGGGTTACATGGATTAAGTCTTTTTTTAAGAATATTTTGGCATTTTTGTTTATGAAAGCACATCAGAACAATTCTTGGATGGTTTGTAAATAGAATATGAAATTCAATAAATAACTCGATTCATATTGCTTTCTTTGCGAGACAAAGAATCTATGAAAAGTCTCTCTGTGTGCTCTACTCTACACTCTTTGTAGACTGCAAAACCCACTAGCATTCATATGTAAAGTTCGGTTCTGAGAATTTTTGCATAAGGCAGATTCTGTACTTTTCTCTTTCTTATATTTCGCTTAGCTTGGTGTTTAGTGTGAAGGAATACGCTATTTCCATAGACATGTTTTTTTTATTTTTTACATTCTTCTAAAGAATATAAAAACATGTCTGTACATGTATGTTTTTCTCTGAAAGGTTTGATTTTTCTAATTTCTATCACAAGCACATGAAAATCAAAAATTATGCACAATTGAAAGACCATTCAAGGAAACAATATTAGAGTAAACACATTAACTAGAGTGTATTAGGCGCATCAAAAATAGTAAAGCGAACCACATAGCAAGCAGCATGAATAACTTGAGATGTATTGCAAATTACCATATTTATATAAAGAAATCTTCTCTATGCTTAAAATGAAGATCAGATGTAGAAGAATACTATAATCTAAATACATTCATTTTTATCTTTTCTGCGTGGTAATTTAGGTTTTAGTCTAAAAACAGTACTATATTTAGAGAATTATGTTTTATGTAATTTCTTTTATTCATCACTAATTACTACCATTTTCTCAAAATTATAAATATACTCTTAAATAAGCAAATGCACCTATATCTTAGCTGAAAAGCCAATATTAATAATTAAACGCCATAAGAGACGAAAATTCATGTCTGGAATAGTACTTAATGTCACCCTTTGCTAATGCCAAGAGCCATTCCATTGTGTATATGCAGACAACAGATAGAGTTCTTTTCTTGTGATATGCACTGCTCTTTTTATATCTTGGCCTAATATAGCTCGAAATATCTTTATTTGTACATTCTTCTAAAGGCAATTTTAGATTAAGTAATTATAGTGTGTAGCATATTTGTGGCTATAAACTACACTGCAATCACAATATTATATACTTAATATGCGTATTTGATATAATGCTATATAGTTCTATGACTCTTTCTTTATTGTTTAATTTTATTCCATAATTAATTTTTCTAATTTAAGACGGTTTCTAACCGATCGCGGAGTGACTGACATAGTTGCTAACACTGCAAGATTGCTGAATAACTTCATCTTTTTTGGTAGACTTTTTAAAAACGATGGTTTGCTTTGTTTCTTTGGAATATGGGTTTGGGTATTTTGGACCACATACTCAAGTATAGGCACGCTTGTATGAGAACTCGCTTGTGATGCAATACTTATTTCAGAATCTAACTTAAAGAAATCATCTGAAAAAAGTGGCAACTCTGCTTGTAGCTGGCGGCGCGCCAAATTTTCAAGGCGTAAAGCTTCCTCATCTGTAATTTGATTTGTGTTTGACTGATTAAGGCGGCTCTTCTGCACTTGACAAAGTAATATAACTATGTATACTACTATAGTAACTACCATTACATAAATATAATTATCAAGAAAGTGCCTCCAAATGGACTTTGTGACATTGGGTTCTGATATATATACTATATCTCTTTGATTCTTTAGTTTTTCGATATAAAACGAGATCTTAGACAATACTTGGTTTATAATACTACTATTTCCCATTATGGCAATTAAAACTTTTCACTTTAAAACGGAATTTATAAAACTTTTATGCAAACGATAAAATCTCTATCAGAATAGATTACATACGAATTCATCTTGAATATAGTATCACACAACATTTTGAGCCGTATAAATCAAAAAGCATACTTTAAGAAGAAAACATACTTTCAATTAAATATTAGCACTTAAAAACACACTGTGCTCTCTTTTATTAACATGCATTGGCATGTAATGTAAGTCCAACAAATTGTGTATATGATAAATTTAGAAAGTTTCTGCAATTAAAAAGAAATTGTTTTACATATAACTTCTCTGCATGTTGATAGTAAGCCATTGTAGCTTAGTATATCCCCAACAGCTGCATGTATATTAGAATTTATTCTGTGTTTTCTTTTAGAAATTATGGCATCTGAACTCTTCTTATCTATGCGTGATGCATCTTTATGACTTAGGTTTTCAGCTTTATTATCATAATACCAACAACTAGCCATATTATTAGTTGGTTTTCAGCTCTGTTTCTTAAATCTATACTAAGATGAATAGCATATAAGCATATAAGCCTATAAATAGAAAATGATTAAGCAGTATGAAGAGTGCTATAAATTCCGATTATAATTTATAGGAAAACTTGAAATACACGATTAGATACCAATGTAAAGAGATAGAACAAGATAATAATTTGTGTTTCTCTGTTAAGGAGGCCTGGAAACATGTCATAAGATATTTTTCAAGAGCCTTGGTTATTATGACAGAAATAAATAATTAAAAGAAAGCTATTCAGCGCTAGCCAACTTAGAAGAGTTCTCTACTGTTCTAAAAAAGCATGATAGACAGCCTATATTATTGATTGTATATCATGCAGGTTTTCTAATATGATATATATGCTTTCCGCGTTGTATATAACCAGAACTTTTTTCAATGCTTCGATTTCTATTCAGATTAACACCCCAATGCCTTTTTACATTAGAAAATTAAAATTGTATGTAATTATAGGGTATATGTCTCTCTATTTATCTTATGCATATCTATACATATTGGTAGTTGAAATAAGGGCTGGGCATTAAAGATGTATTTATTATTAGTATCTTCACATATAGCAATCAAAGATATAGCCTGCTCTGCAGCGCTAATTTTCCTATGAACAACTCGAAATACGAGCTATAAATATTCTGTTGCATAACTAAAGTATGTATTATAAATATACATGCTATAATTTTGTAGCTTCTTGCATTTAAGAAGAAACCTCCAAAGTCAGGTCAGAATATAACTCTACGTTGGTTGGCGATGCATTTAGGGTTATGTATTCCTCGGAGTACTTTAGTTCATTAGAATCTGTACCCACGCGTGTACCAGATGGCACTGACAGCCCAGAATTAACTTTAGAAATTTCTGGTATTGGATTCTCTACAGTAGAAGCATTAGTAGGACCAAACTTTTTGATTAATCTGGCATCCTCACCATCAAATCCAAGCATTGGCTGCTCTAACGTAGAAGTACTAGTAGTTTCAAACTTTTTGTTTAGTATGGCATCCTCACCATCAAACCCAAGCATAGATGCAGAGTTTGCAATTGCATATTCTGGAACCTGGCTTTGATTACTATTATTCACAATTCGCAGATTGCTTACATTATATAATTCACAAGGCCGTTCTATTTCTTCCTGCATATTAAAGCTAAATGCTGTAGCAGATCCTCCGTTGGTAGATGTGTTTTTAATAGACTCGGGCTTCTCTTGTTCAGCTACATTAGTTTGTTCTATAGGTGATGAAAGATCTAGTTCAAATGGTTTTGTTATCCTAAAAGTCACTAGATCATCCCCAGAGGGAGATGCTGGGCTACTTTTCTCTACAGTATGGGCTGCTTTTTTGTTCTTGTTTCTTCGTGTTACAACTACGAGAATAGCAATGACAACAAGTAATAAAACTACCGAAACTGCATATATAATTATAGCAGTCTCAGACAGAAAAATACTATGATTGGCTTCGTTCTTACTAGCTGCAATGCCAACTATGTTTTCTAAAAGGCCCGGGGGTGTTACAGTTTGACTAACATCTTTTGCCTGATCATATGATTTTGTTTTCACGCCTGTCATTAAGCAATAAAAAAAACTTTTCATTAAATTATGTAGCCTAGTCAATAATCATTCTCAATTTCTTTACTAGCATTGTTTTTAAATAAGTTCAAATGTATTTAACTTTGCATATGCCCATAGCAATAGTTACTTCTCAATAAAGCAAAAACATCTGTACAGTTTTCTCTATATAGCACATAGAAATATATCTTTTAATTCTGAATTAAGAGCTTTTTTATTATGCCTATTCTCTTTTCTACACATATAACCCGAAAATCTTACTACACCAGAAGTCTTTATAAGATTACTTCTTCTTTTGGGTATATTTTTTCTGCTATTCATATTATATGGATTCTCTCAGTATTAGCAACTTATAGAAAATTACTGTGTGCTTACATTGCTAGAGCTTGGTGTATTCTTCTCGCTCTCTACAGAGTTCTTAGTCTCTTGAGGTTCTTCAACTTTTGCTGTGTCTGGTTTTTTGGCAGAAGGTTCATTTTGAAGGCTATCAGAGTGTCTGCTTGTGGATTCTTCAGACTCTTCAAGGTATGCAGAATCATTTTTTGTATCATTTGGGGTACAAGCCGGCAGCCTATCCAATGTATCATTGCCTAACTCTGATACCATAGAGTGCATACTGCTAGATTCCACTGCTTTCTCGTCTATCTTTATGTCAGCCACTTCATTGTGTGCATTCTCAGTCTCAGACACATCATTCACATGTGGTGGTTCTGCAATGGGCTCTTGATCTGGCTTGGCAGAAAAGTCTATCTTTTCTTCTGCTGGTACGTCTATGGGATTTTGCGCAGTTACAAACTCGCCAAATGAATCACTATCTATATCTTCCACTAATATCAAAGGCTCAGCCTCGTTGTCCATATAATCCGTTAGGGTTATATTCTTTATGGCTTCAGCCCATTCTTGCTCTGTAATAATTGGTCTCTCAAAGTGCTCTTCTGCTTGGGATAATTCTGGCTTTCTATATGCTAAACTGTGCGTGTCTAACATATAATCTCTATTTATTCCATAAGGGCTACTCACATAAGAGTTGCGCTGGTCATGGACTCTATTTTCTACGGCTTCTTGCTGTACTGCATCGACTTTTGGCGCCTTAGTTAATATAGCTTTATTTTCCTCCACTCTTCTTCTATACCTCATAGCTGCAAGTGTACCAACTACAAGACCCAAAGAAACCAAGATAATGATGTGTAATCCGTACTTGCTACCAAAGCTTTTTATGAGGCCAGCTTTAAAATATACATCATTTTTTTCTACTATAGCGAGCTTTCTGCTGATCATCTTACTTTTGCAAAAAATATCTTTATGATTATATTTATATTACAGAATAATTTTTCTGGTGTAGAAGAAAACATTAGCCCAGCTAAAGAAATTTATGAAAATAACTTATTAGTGGGAGGCAGTAAAAATTGGACGCATATACGAAGTACATGTATAAAGACTTCATATACTGTCTTAGAAACTAAGCATATACAAGCATTTGATATAGCTATAGTCTGTGAAATTACTGAAGCATTCCTATTGAATGCTACTTTTAAGATGAGCAAATCGCCATTCTATAGATCACACACAGAGGGCCACATCAAAAGACTGCGCAGAAAAGTATATAAAAAGTTGATTTTATATAGCCCGAATTCATAAGCTTTGTCTTTATTTAAATCTCGATCTGTTTAAATAGTTTCAAGTGAAGCGCTTTTTTCTTCTTAAGCTTATTTAAACCAATCGGATTATAGGCCCTCTAATTCCCAATAAAGGGAAGTTAATTACTTTTATTCTATATACTTGGATACAAAGAAACTAATATTGTGCAATGCTTCAGATGTTATGTTGAGCATACGACACAGAGAAACTTTGGCATGTTTTCCCAATAAAGAAAAAGTACTTTGCTCTGTTTTTATTTTTGTCGCGGGATAAAGCTTTAAATGCTCTTATCTACATGTATAGTTGCTTCTAAACACTTCCGTATCTGACTGATGCAATCTTAGATATTCCACAATCTTTGTATCCATAGATAAGCATGCTGTTGTCACTGTACATAGTGTATAGTGTATCCACCACTGCAATAGTTCTTATAAACGTGCCCGCTTCTCGGCAGTACAGGTCTATTCTATCAATAAGCCCAACAATCAACAGATGGTTAATAACGCAGATGTCTATGGCTTTTGTGTGTGTATCAATCTGGTAGATCTGCAGCTGCTTCTCTATGCACCACTTAGAAACAGTTCCTGTTGCCGTTAGCGTATATACATACCCCTCACTGTCTCTTTTTATTTGAAAGATAGTTCCATTTTGCAGTGGTGTGCTATATATGTGGTCTCCATCCAGCGTCACGACATGCATCCTCTGGTCCATTCCCCCCACTGCTATGAAATCACCAACACACTCCACTTTATAAATCCGCCTGGTAAGCTTTATTAGACATCGAATGCCTTCTCCGGTGTGGTAGTTCCAAAGAATGCACGTTCCGTCATACGAGCCAGTAACCAAAAGAGGCTTTTTTTTGGCAAAGACCATGTCCCGAATACTCCCAGTGTGCCCCTCCAAAACATGTACACATCCTCCTGTCTTCACATCCCACACGCAGACTGTAAAGTCTCTTGACCCGCTTACAACATATTTATCAGATAGCAAAATGCTTCTAATTGTGGACTTGTGCTTAAAAAGCGTCCGTATGCAAGCCCCCAGGAACACATCCCAGACCTTTATTGATTTGTCCGTGCTTCCTGACACAAGAATATTATTTGAGTAGTCAAAGGCCCAAATACTGCCTTTGTGCTGCTTCAGCGTTCGAATGCATACAAGCGACTTGTCAAGTACATACACATACGATGAATTGCTAGATACAATGACTATATCGCCGTACACGCCGATTTTGGTAATTTCTGTATTTGCAACATGTGTGATTTTGCTGGTATGCGCCACATTGTTTTTTATCCAGCTCTGAGTGAGAAGAAATTCTCTTTTTACCTCTGCTAAGTAGTTTCCATTTGCACAGTGTCTGTCTTTTTCTTTTAATTTTTGTTTCCATATAACAGGATTCATTTCAATTACCCTTCTAACCGCCTCTGAGGCGCCCATTAGTTTTTTTATATCCTTTATGCTTAGGTGCTGAGTGATTTTGCTGAGCACTTCGAGAGGGAAGAGATTTCGTATAATTCCCATTCTTTAATAAAATATTTAAAAAATCAAGAGAACGCTCTTCTTTTCTTTGAATTAATTTAGAATTCTGTACAACTGAGTAAGTATAGAAAAAATCACACATGCCCGAAATGGTCCCGTTTTTCTGTAGCCCTTCTACATGCTATGCATCTGCTATGCGCTCTACTTGAAGAGCCCGTCAAAAATTTTCGAACAATAACAAGTTATTCTGTAATGCTAAAAGTAGATGCATATACTGTTGCTTCAAGTTTTTCTGCACACACTACGCTATTGGTCTATTTGGAAAAATCAACTATTTTATTGGCTACTCCATTTTTATTTTAGATTCGAGTTCTGGAATTTTTATGCACAGAAAGAAGAGAGAGGAGAAAATCTCAGAGCTTATAAAGTCACTGCCAATAGACTATAAGAAGTTTGAGGAGCTACTAAAGAACAATGCGCGCAGAGATCTTGAGGTAAAGATATATGGAAACAAGCTTGGAGGGACAGAAAAACAGATAATGCGTGTGATTAGAAAGCTAGGAATAAAAATAAGAATAAAAGAGCCAAATGGCGAAAATCGGCGCATGGTAGTAAAGCTGCATAATCACATGCGGTTTGTGATACTAGACATCATGGCCTAAACACTGTGACTGTTGGTATGCATCTTTTAACAACCAGAAATAACGAGCGGCATGCGTCTGCTGACAGGAGCTCAACTTTTCAGAATACTATTTTTTAGAACTCTTCATGAGTGCATTGAAGAAAAAGGGGTTTTAAGCAATAAAATAATGTGTCTATATTATAATGATGTATAACATCTTTATGCTTGTTATATGATGCACGCTTGTTTGTAGGAAGCGTAGCTGCTAATATGCATTAAGCTATTTTGTCTTGAGGATAAATAATACTCTAAATAAAAACAGAGGGAAGTATTTATTTGAATAATAAAATAAATAAAATTTAAGATGAAGCTTAGTGAAGTAATGGATGATTTGTCGGGAAGGTTTATTATGTGCTTGCCGCTGTCTGAATTTAAGAACACAGAGAGGCTTTTTTTCCAAATAGAGGAAGCACACTGGTTTTATGAAGACTATTATCGTAGAAAATTTAATTTGCCATACTTGAATTTGAAAGACTTTACATTCCAGCTCATAACACACAATGAGCATCTCAAGAGTGTGCTGAAGATGGATGAAGAGTTTAAAAAGTTCCTGCGGTATAAAAAAACAGTGCCTGTGTTTGGAGCACTAATATTTAACACAACCATGACAAAAATACTCCTTGTTCGGGGGTTTGGGCCGAGGCAGTCATTTACTTTTCCACGAGGCAAAGTATGCAAGTCAGAGAGCAACATTGACTGTGCAATTAGAGAGGTCTACGAAGAAGTGGGCTATGATATAAGCAATAAGCTTATATCAAACATATTTCTTGAGACTGGATCAAAAAGCAAAGAGTCAAAGCTGTTTATTATTATGAATGTGCCAGAGCAGACAACAGAATTTAAGACAAAGACCCGAAACGAGATAAAGGAAATAAAGTGGGTGGGAATCGATTGCTTGGAAAGAGAGCCCTCCGAGCAGTTTTCCTATGTAAAAACGTTTGTAAAGGAAATTAAAAGCCTCATACGAAAAGTTGATGCAGAAAAGCCTAGACTCAACCTAAACTCGATAAAAAAAGCATTTTGTGCTATTTAAATATGCTTTTGTTTATAAACTAAATGAACCTATTTGTATATATTTTTCTAATTATTTTCATTCAGATGTATTCGAGTGCACATGAAGAGACAGAAAAAAAGGAAGAATTAGGAAAAGAATACTTTTCAGAATACGAAATCCCAAAAGAAGAGAGAATTTCAAAGCTAAGACAGGTTCTTAAAGATAATGACCTGGAAGGGTGCATTTTATACAGAAGCGATCCCCATTTGAACGAGTACGTACACCCGCATTACGAGCACATTGCCTGGCTTACAGGATTTACAGGCTCTAATGCAACTCTTCTTGTTCTTCCAAACACTGTGTATTTGTACACAGATGCTCGCTATTTTATACAAGCAAAAAAGCAGCTATCGAATAAAGTGGAGCTTTCTCGGATAGGAATTGACCCTTCCATATCGGAGAGACTGCTTACCTGTAATGCTGTGGTTGGAGTCAATCCTCGGAATATAACACAAGCACAGTACAATAGAAACTTTAAAACCCTGCACAAGCATGCGGATATTGAGATTATAGAGTCTGATCTGCTTGAAAGCCTATGGACTTTGCGCCCAAAGATTGAGTCAGGAAATCTTGAGGTCATGAAACACCAAGAGTCTGTTAATGTAAAGCTACAGAAAATTCGAAAAGAAATGGAGAGCAATAAGGAGATGTATTCTTTCATGCCGCCTTTGGATATGATAATCATTTCAGATATGGACGAGATTGCCTGGGCCACGAATTTAAGAGGAACTGACATACCTATGTCTAGGCTGTTTTACTCTTTTTTAATTGTGACTGATTCTACAGCGATTCTTTTTACAGATGCTAGTCTAACTAGTGAAATTCCAAACATTTTAGTAATGCCATACAGTGAATTCGATAACTATATCAAAGAATTAAGTGGGCTGAGAATTGGAGTGTCTACAAATACAAACTATCATATCGTGTGTTCGATTGTTGATGATAACAAAGTATGCGACTTCAAGGGAATACTTAATTTAAAGGCAATTAAAACAGAAAATGAGATAAATGGTTTTAAAGAAGCAAACAAAAGAGATGCTAAGTATCTGTGCATGCTGTTTGGAGAGATCAAAAAAAGACTATCTGATGGAGAGCATGTAGGAGAGTTAGAAGCTGCTGATATGTTGCTAGAGTTAAAGTCTAGCGACTCGGAGTTTATTGTTCCCAGCTTTGACACTATTTCAGGCTATGGAGAAAACGGAGCTTGTATTCACTACTCTCCAGTTGACAATACAACAAAGATCGGTACTGAAAGCCTTTTTTTGATTGACTGCGGCTCCCAGTATACCATGGGGACAACAGACATAACCAGAACTGTCTGCTTTGGACAACCAACCGAGGAGCAAAGAAGAGATTATACCACACTTATTAAATCCCATATTGATCTGGAAAACACACCTTTCCCAGAAAAAACATCTCTTGGCGCTCTATCCCCAATAGTAAGAAAGCACGTCTGGAAGGAAGGCCTTGACTATGGGCATAGCACAGGTCATGGTGTTGGCTTCGGTCTTAATGTGCATGAGGGCCCACAGACAATGGACACTGCGTCACAGATAAAAGCCGTTCCAGGCATGAATATAACTATTGAGCCAGGTATATACAAAGAAGGAAAATATGGAATACGCCATGAAAACCTAGGAATAGTGAAAAAGTATAACAAAAAGGCTGGATTTTTGCGTATACAAAATATTACGCCTGTGCCATTGCACATGGACTTAATCAACCCCGAGCTTCTCACAGCAGATGAGATAGATTATATCAATGCGCAGTCTATATGGATTAAAGAAATGCTAGAGCCAGAGCTACTTGATCACAAGGAAGGTCTTGCATGGCTTTCTGATAACACGCGCAAGATAAGCAAGAAACAGAACTAAAAAGCTGCTTCTGCATATTCCAGGTGCACGTATACTTCGTGAATCTAATTTAAGTGATTAATAAAGTCTATTGCATTAAAAACTCTGTCAATTGTCTATAGCAGTGGTACCTATTTTTCTTGTAATTAGCAATACAGAAAGTCTTCTATTGTTCTATTGCTCTCCAAATACAAGCACACCCAGAGTTTAACACATACAAACCCACTAACTCCCTCTTTTATACTACAAGAATCCTACACACAGCACCTTCTTTCTTCTTAACAATATTCTTGTTCTTTTCTAAGTATTATATACCTATATGCCAGCCCTGCCCAAGGTTCTTGTGCCAATGAAGAGATTAATATATAAGGGGGCCTCGGCCTACTGGCCCCCACACCACTTCCCTGCCAGCCCAAATGCCCGCTAGTGGTGCTTTACATCCGCACTGACCCGCCGCACTGAGTGTTTCTACATACCCGACTGTTATGCGTCTGTGGCTGAGAAGTCTCTCGCACTGCGAATAAAAGACAGAGTTTTCGCGTATTTATAGACCGCATTTTATTTTTTTCCTTTTTCGTCAGCAATTTCCCTCTCCGCACTTTTTTGCCCCTGCAAACCGAAGGAAGGGGGCATTTTCCCCAAAATTCCCGTGTTTTGCCCTGCTGAGCGCCCCTGCAAAAAATATTTTCTCAGGTGTTTTTTTTGAGATGGGTCTCCTGGCCAGAAAGGGCGTGCGCATCCATACTGCAGCGAGGAAAGAGACACTCTGCATATGTGTGTGCAGGGCAGAGCTCCTAGAAGGGTAGCTGTGTCCGAGAGGCAGAGACTGCAGATTGATTTATGAAAGGGCCCTACTCTCTATAACTTGCACATGCCATAAAGAGAGCAACAAAAAGAGTGCACCCACATCTCTCAACTCTGTCTTTACTCTGGCTAGTAGTGCAGTGTGAGGTATTTAAACCAGCCAGTCTGTTTATATCCACTGCTTATATACTGCATGTCACAGTATAGCATCTGTGCTCTTCGCTATACCCTCTGTGTGTGAGTCACACAGCCAGGCTGCGCAATTCCTGCGCAATTTACCCTTACTCGGACATATTGGGGCTCTCGCCCCCATAGACCGGTCTATATTCATTTTAGAGCGGGTCTTCTTGTATATTAAAAAGTATATGCGCTCTTTGGGGGATATTGGGAGCATCCAGAACGGGCAAATTAAGGTCTATTTTCCAAAATATAAGTATAAATAGAGCATAAATCTGTAAAAATATTCCAAAGGAAACACAGGAATCACTTGCTAGTTCTCCTCTGTGTGCACTCGCGCACAGGCAGATACCTTAAGCTCATCGAGGTGCCTTTAACTTCATCGAGACAACTTAAGCTCTTCGGAAAACTTAAATTCATCAAGGTAAGTTAAACTCATCAAGATGCTTTTAAACTCTTCGGACGACTTAAACTCATCAAGGTAAGTTAAACTCATCACGGGCCGCACTGAAACCTGGGCCTAGCAAGAAGCACTTTAAACTCATTGCATAGTATTCCTGGCACACACATAAGCCCATCCTGCCTGCACAAAACAGATAAAACAACCCCGCAGACAGGCCTGAATATTCTAAGCTCCTATTAAACTCCTCTAAATGAACTGTCTCTACATGTATATTAACAACACAAAAAACAATAAAGACACATGCATTTACTCCTTTTTATTTTATTTCTGCGCACTACTTTCTACTTCTGTCCTCTACCTGTATACTTTACTACTACAGAGTAGAGTGTGTGTTGTGATGATGCTACTGTGCTGCACCATGCATAAACATCCTGAATGACCTGCAGTATTGCAATACAGCACAATCACTTCTCTGCTATGTCTGTAAGCTGACTGTAGAGCAAGAGTGTGCTATTTATAGTGTTCTTACATGAATGTATTTACATGCTGCTATACGTGTATTCTTCCTTTGGTATAACCTATAGTATTGCTGATGTGGCACTCTGGTTGTGTTCTCTATGTGCTGGGCATACATAGCCTGTTTTGTGTATTAAGCTCTTCTGTGTGGTGTCAGCGCCCGGCTGGGTCTTTGAATTGTGCAGCTTTTTTGATTTTCCTGTGCTTTCGTCTTTTTTTAGAGGAAATAAGCCTTCTATCTAATATTTACACACGAAATACAGAAGAGTTTATTTTTACATATATATGGAAAGTAAAAAAAATATACTACAGAAACATACAGGTTAGACCATAAAACATCTTAATTTTAACTATATATTCCACAGCACCAGATCTTAATATAAAATATATTTTAAACAAGAAAACTAGGAAGAAATGTTCAATAAAAGGTCCATTTTAGAAGGTGCATCCTGACAGCACAGAACTTATATTAATTGGCAATAAAAATGATCCCCCATCAATAACTTATCTCTTTACTAGCATATTATTTGAAATTTAGAGTACTGCTTTCACTAGAAAATGCCAATGCATGCAGTAGTTTCCCCAATCAGAAATGTAGATGGTTGCTGGCTATTTAATTCAGGCTTTAGCCGCTAGACTGCGCGCAACAAGAGGTTTTTTGTTTATACTAAGCCGTCTTGCAACTTTAATGCTTAACATTTTATCCTATCTAAGATGAAAAACCAATCATATATAGATGAGATCAATAAATAGGCTGTCAGAAACTTCTTTCTAGGTATAGTATACATTAGAGAAGGCTTATAAATAAAAGCTAAAATAAATAAATTATGTTGGATAGAAAAACCAAGTTTAACACTTCAGCTTAGTTCACTTTATTTTAGACAATAGTTGCCCCGAAGTGAAATACCACCAATCTTTAGATGCACTAATATGTTAAACATGTATACATTCCGACTATATAAATATTCAGTGAAAATCATTGATCAACACATATAATTCAAATTGTCAATAGAAATGCCTTACAACTACCTCTGTGTTTATCCGTTACTATATATTGAAAGAGATTTATTTTATTTAATGAAAACGCGTTTTTCTATTATTTGGATCAAGGTAGTTGCCTTAATCAGTGTTCTACTAATGAGCACTCATAGAGCAGATTTATCAATAAGCGAAGTAGAGACTACTCTGCAGTTTGAAATTGCAACAGATGCTTCTCAAGTAGTGATCAATCCGGATGGTCCTCTTAACTTCCTCCGGGGATACATCTACCAGAAGATGGAGTGCATGTACAACAAAAGATTCTTTTCCCCACAGATTAAGACACATTACCTTTTAACAAAAGATGAAGACATGTCTGTCAATTATGAAGTATATAAATACAATCGAAATGAACAGATGGACATGGCATACCCAACAAACAGTAAAGTAGATGTGTTTTCTAAGCAGTACCACACCCATCTGATTGAGCTGTTTCCATCTCCCACTGGAGACATAAACATAGAAACACAAGGAAACCAGTCATTTATTCAGTTCCTTCGAGCAGAAAAAGTAGAAAAGCATGCATTGCAGATTCTAGCTATGCTGCTTCTTTTCTCAGAAGGGGTGGATATTCCTATTGACGTTAGCAACAAGGTACTAGTGGTATATGAACCAAACAAAAAAGACGAAATATACCTTGAAGTGCCTATGGAAATTCCATGGCTAAACCTTGTGGAAGACAAAGTACAAACATTCCAACAGAAGAAAGTTAAACAAATGATCAACTTTTTCCAGGAGAATGCAACCAATCATGAAGTACTTAGCTTAATGATGGATAAGTGCACGAAAGAGGAAGTTATGTCTGGAAAGTTCTTAGACAGTCCTAAGTTCCTGATCCAGTCGTACATATTCGGGTTCATAGACAGTGCACAGCGTGCAACAGAGTTTATTCGGACTGTGCACACTATGACAGAAAAATATGCACCAAAGACAGAAACACCAAGTAAAGGTGACTGTGTGTATGACAGACTATTTAAGCGTGCTGGAACCGCAGCAAACATAGACTGCATGGCTCTAATGAAGAAAACTCAAGAGATTTTAAATACAAACCCGGCCTTCCCATTTGCTAACAGCGCGCAGATTCCTAGATATACATCTGTTCCTAGGTACAACCGAAAAACAAACACCTTTTCTACTGATCATTTGAAAAACTACAGCAACTGCGTAGAGTGCATGATTCTTTCTCTCTTCTGCTGCCTGGCATATGATCCAGCAGGGAAAATTTATCGAACAGACCACATGGGGAATGTCTCTAAAGAGCTTGAAGAATTCTTTTCTCCAGAGAGCCAGCCATTTGACACAACAAAGGCTGAATTACAGAAGAACTGGTGCACAGTTGTTGCGTGCTTAGACGAGCCTAGCATTGCATACTGCAGAAAAAGAAACGAGTTAGACTGTGGTCTTATAAACATGCTCATGGTTATTGCTGAAGTAGTAAATGCCTCTAGAGAAGAAAAAAACAAAATACTTGGCTTTTCAGAGATATTAAAGGAGAAAAAGGGTGAATTGAAAAATGAACTATTGACCGGTATTAAAGAGTACACAAAGGCACTACTTAAACGCCTTTCCAAGATAGAAGATGTAGAAATAATGTTTTCTGATATTAAAAGTGCTAAGTATAAAAATGGAAGATATGACATATCTGGAAAGGCCACTATCATATTTGAACACGGTGAAATTAAGAACGCAATAGATTTAGATATAACCAAAGAGCACAGTTCTATTAATCTAAAGCCTACTGCTATGAATTCTGAGGATGCCAGAATGGAGAAAATGAATGAAATAGCAGCCAGTTGTAAGAATGGAGCCTCGTTTGTTGAAAGTCTATTCGCTACATATGTGAGCTATGAAGTGCGAAAGATGGATGTGTCTGAGGATAATAACAAAGAGTTTATAAAGAGACAGATACGCAAGACCATCGAAAACAATTTCACAGACATCAATAGACTTCTTTTGATAAAGAAAATCAATGACATTTACTTCAAGAAAGATTTAGTTACATGCTCTATCATATACACTATAAATCAAAATCTATTACCAGCCCATCCCATTGTTCGCTTCACCTCCAACATAGTAGGAAGCACTGAATTAGACAATTTGTATACTCAACTACAGATTCTTCCTCCAATTATTTTTGTAGACATGCTTAGTAAAACAGGTAGTAGTAATCTCAACTATCCAAATATAAAATTGGAAAAAGCCTGCCACGACCTTGTAGGTTATAATTTGTTTGCCTGTTTCTTCCTTAATTATATAATAGATTGTGATATGAATGTTTTCATAAGGTGGATTAAATCCTATATAGACAATCTTTACACACAACATGGTGTATGTTCTAATATATTATTAGACTCTTCAATGAGCAGAAAGATCTGTCAACATATATTCAAAGATGGAACTATGAAATATTCTGACATAATTCATGATTTTATGGTTGAAAAACACCACAGAAAGGAAGATGAGATAGTAAGCATTGTACACTTCATATGGGCAGCATATCTTTGTCTTATGGAAAGCCCAAATATAGAGCTGATTAGAAGAAACTTAAATTCTATTCGAGAAACCAAGCTTATTTCATGGAGCTGTATTTATTATTTTGAAGCTCCTTCTATGTTCAGAAAGGCAATTCAAATGCTGAATGTTCTAAAGGATCAGCTATGTGAAGATGAAAATGACACTAACAAGATTGGTCCGATCATTGAAGCGCTTACAAATATTTAAATGCTCTTTTTTACTTTTAGTGATGATTTTTTATCCCTTCATGTGGTGCATTGGATTAGATACTTTTCTAGCCAGAGAGGTTTTTCTGCTCATTTACAATAAAGGCTTCTCTCTAAATTATTTTTAAATAATTTTATTTAAATTATTCTTCACGTATACATTTTTTAGAAAGTGGTGTTTATTTACTTTTATTATGGAAAGATCTTGGAAAATCGGAAAAACGCACATATTTAAAGAACCATCTTCCTGTAGAAGAGACAGTGCATGGATGAATATATAGAGGCATTTCCACTCTTCAAACGCATGAAGATCTTCAAATGGGTGTGTAGAGTCAGAAATCAGAGTGCTGCTGTATTATACTTGTGAGAGCCGCATTATCATAACAAGCCAGCATGCATATACTGTTGGCTTCCACTACCTTGAGGGCATGTAACTCTCTTCTTGGTTCAGCAATATAGATTCATGTTGGTTGTTTCCTTCTAGATTTTAGCTATAGTCCAACACGCTATAAGGGGCTCTGCTTGTAGCTGAGTTTTTCTCTTCAAATATTAGACTTGATCCTACTAAACTTGGATATAATTTATTTCTCATTGTCTATATGGTTTGTAAAGTGGAAATTGATTAATGCTTGTTTACACAACAAACAATGTCTCCACAACAGATCGTAGTGTGCCATCAGGTATCACACAAACATAGGTTACTATTATTCGACATATAAACAAGTAGAGCCCCTTCTAGTGTGTTGTCTTTCAACCAAAGCCCGAGAGGCAATGTCCAACATCTAACTACATTGCTGATCAAGAGAGAGGCTTCTTGACCTAAAGGTAAGGAAAACCAACAAAAATAATAACAAAAGGCATCTTTAATGTTATTTATACCGATATCTCTTAGATATATACTCATATAAAGTGTTTATGTCTTAAAACATTGGAAATGAATCGCCAACCAGTTTAAATGTTATGCTTATTTAAATAACTTCTAAAGAAACACATTCTACATGGAACTTAAATTTTCTGCTAAAGCAAGAGAAGCAGCCAACTTAAGAGACATATAGATTCTGTCATGATTATAGTAGAGGTTTGCAGGGTCAAGAAGTAATGTTTATGCTGCAAAATGAGTTTATGCTTCAATATATGGATTTATTCTTAATATTTAAAATGAGACTCTTTTTCTGCACACTTTATTTTTCTGGAATAAAACTAATGGAAGTATTTGTACAAGAGTTTAAAACACTCCAAAAGGTCATATATAAGTCAAAGAATGCACACCGGTGCACTCTTTACTACAAACACACAGTGCACGTAAGTCGGCTAATTAAAAAATATCTAAGCACAGATGGTACAAAAAAGATAAAAGACCTGCTACTCTCTGACATACAGGACAAGTGCATGACTGCTTATGTTTCTCTAAGCAGCAACATTGCCCAGGGGCACAACCTTGCGCTTAGCATAGGCCTTATGGCTATTATGGCTCAATTGTACAGTACAAGTAAAAAACTTAATTATACAGACGCAGTGCAGGCTACATCATATATTGTACACGACATAGAGAGCAGCTCGGAAAAGGATGAAATAAGTGATATATTCAAATAAAAGATGGGAGATATGCTTTCTATAGCTTTGGGGCTTTAGGGCTTTTAAATTGTGGAATTGTGTGTATACTTATACTAAATGGTATATAACTAGTTGGTATTATAAAAAGAAAATATAACACATTTATGCAAATCTAGTGTGTTTTAGAGAAAGAAATTCCACAAGAGAATGAATAGATGATATGCATAGGTGCATGCACATATTCTTGGCTAACCCCAAGTGGCTGTGCAAGGATAACAGTTACGAATAACAAACAGGTCACACAGTGCATACTAATTAAAGAGAAGCTGCAAATATTAAGCTAGTTAGCATAATAAATAAAAGTGTTTTTATAGTGCTTTTACTATTAATTCTATTAGTATTAATCTACTAAAACTGCTTGACAGCATGCATTTTGATATTTTCTAAGACACATATTAGGCAATAACTCTAAATATCAGGATTTCTGCATTTTTTACTACTTCTATAGCTTTTCTAAAGACTATTCGCATGTGTAAAATTAAAATCTGTCAAATGGAGTAGACAAATATCCTGCTTTTTCTGTATAAAAGAAAGACTCATCACGCAATTCGCCATTTAGGCTTGAGTTTGTATCTAAAGACCAGAACTCCATAGGAGGAGCTGTAGGAATAGTGCTGTCTAGTTCTATGGAAGGAGCTGATGGTGCAGGGGAAGAAGCAAATGAGTCTTTTTCTGTATATGCAGGAGGTGCATCATAGGACACATTTTCTGCAAATTTAACAGTCTTTTTTGAACGATCTAATCGAGTTGCTTTTACTTCATGGCTGTATCTAGGTAAAGTCTCACCGCTAGCTCTTGCTCCTTCTATATTTGATCTTCTGCTGTTTACTCTTATAGAGGAATGATTTTTTACAGCCAGTACAATTGCAATAAACAGTACAATTACTACAAATGCAACAAGTACACTATATGCATCTTCTATATGTAACTCTACTGTCCCCAATGAGTTATTTCCTTCAACTATGGTAGATGAAACTGGAATAGCTAAAACTGGCTGCACTACGCGTGGTGCTGAGTGGTAGTTATATGTTTGTTTAAATACATGTGATGTTTGGTACTGCATTTTGTATATTTGATTATTTAAATTTTTTCATTTAATTCCCCAAATAGTAAAAAAATAATACTAGTGTGATGCTATATGATTAAAAAACAAACCTTCTTTCTTAATATATACGGGTCTCTTTAATAGGATAATAAATAGCCGCGAAAACTAGCAGTAGAGCATGAAAATTCAATAAAGATGCTTTAATTTAAAGAGCTGCGGGTAAGAAGCCCATCCAAATCCTTGTGCAAAGGAAAATCAGCTCATGCCAGATCTTTCTAAGTTCTTATTGTAACAGAGCATATCAGATAAAAACAAATAGATAATAAAGAGTTAAATATCAAATCATTTTATTAAAGATAAAATAAGATGGTATGATTAAAGGTCTTCCTTGGGGATGAACTCTTCTGCTTCTGCTTCGGGAGCCTTCTGTGATTCTGGCTTTGGTGCTGCCTCTTGTCCTTCTCCAAGTGCTGCATAAGCGGATGCGAGATCTGCGAGTTTCTCTTGTATCTTCTGAATCATCTCTTCATCACCAACATCATTCTTGTTCTTAACTTCCATTTCGACCCAGAAACTGGCTTCTTTATAGAGGTCACCAAGCACCTTCTTCTTAGGATGGGTGTCTGGTAGCATAGCAGACTCTTCTCTGAATCTGAGAACGGCTTCCTCAATTTCCTTGACTTTGTCGCACTTCTCAATCCATTTAGCTTCTGTTTCCTTTGTTTTCTCATACTTGCTGTTAAGCTCCTCAATCTCTTTGTCGGTAAGTCTTGTCTTTTCCTTTGTTATTGGAATGGAGTTTCCGTTTGCAAGGTCAGTTCCGTCTTCTGCAACTTCAGTGGCCTTAACAACCATGTGCCCAGAGCTTCCAAAGTCAAAGGTGACCTTGATCTTCTTCTTTCCTCTAGGGAGCTCATTGTTTGGCATGTTCAGATCAAAGGTGCCAATGACCTTTGTGTTACTGAATCTCTTAGTAGTAGAGTGTGTCTGCCCCACAACAATCCGCACAGACTTCTGTGCATCAGAGGTTGTAGTGAAGTACTTCTCAAAGATATTTGGCACCTGTGTTCCAGCTTCTGCCATAATATCAAACATGTCTTGGTCTAGCTTGATTCCCATGTTCATAGGAATGGCGTCAATCAGAGCAACAAAGTTATCCTCATCAATCATGTTTTCAAGGGATGCTGCATAGTATGCTGCACCAACTGAGACACATGTGTCGGGGTCAAGATCAAAGCAGTGGTTGGCCTCAGTGAACTCGCTCATAAGAAGTCTTCTTATACCGAACAGTCTGCTGGATCCTCCTACGTAAAGCACGTGCTTGACCTCATCTTTTGAGTTTACAGTCTTGAGCTTCTGAATCAGACCTTCTGCCTCGTCTTTTCCAGGGTGGGGCCCAACGTTGTGGTCAAGAAGCTTCTTTATCTCTCTGTAGATTGGGTCGCAAAGCTCCTCCAGCTTGTTTGCTGAGAGCTCTAGCTCGCAGTCGATTTGCTTTCCGTCTGAAAGCTCAATTACAAGGTTTCCTTTCACAATCTCATTGGTCTTGCTGTAGTCTGCAGGTCCTTTGCTGTTGTTTCTAATAAGATCCTTTCTGATTTTGTCATCTACAGCATTCTGCTGGTTGCAGAGATTTATCTTCATCTCCTCAACAAGGTATCTCATACGAAGGGATGTGTTAATAGGGAAGTTGCTGGAGTCTATGTTGTACTTACTCTTGAGCTGTCTTTCAAACTCTGCGTAAATAAGATCGTTGATGTTCTCTCCTCCCAGGAAGTTGTTTCCTACGTGCCCATCCACAATAAGCACATCGCTGTCTGCGCCCAGATTCAGATATGAGATATCCAGAGTACCTCCTCCAAAGTCAAAGACCAGGAAGTTCTTCTCCTCCATGTCTGAAAGCTTCTTTGCTCTAGCACATGTGTATGCATATGCAATAGCTGCACTTGTTGGCTCGTTAATAATACCGTCCTCGTGGATGTTCAACAACGAGTATGCTGCTGCATCTCTTGTTTGGTCCTTCTGGTCAATGTTAAAGTATGCGGGCACTGTAATAACACAGGTCTTCTTTACTGCAGCCTCGGCCTTCTCTTCTGGTGATCTCTCTGAGGGTCTCTTATACCACTGGGCTTCAAACTTCAGACGAAGCTCTTCCAGAATAAGAGTGCTCAAACCCTTTGGGGTAATCCAAGCGATCTCCTTTCCTGCATTGTCTGTAATGGTAATAGCAAGCACTTGGCTGCTGATTCCCATGTCATACTTCTGCGCAATTCCGTACTTCACGTTCTTGCTGGTGGTCTGGATTACGTCCACATCCTTGGACTCTGCTAAGCTTCTTGCAAGAAGTGGCTTGAATCTGTATATATAGTTTCTTACAGAGCTCTTCTCATTTTTCATTTTTTCAATTGCTGGCCATCCAACAATAGGAGTAATGAGTCCTTTGAAAGCACTCTTAATCCACATACCATTGTAGTAGTAATGGTCTCCCTTGGTATCCTCCTTTCGAATTATATCCATTTGCTCAATAACACTTTTAGAAAGCTCACTCTCATTCTTTACATCCATCTTTATAAAAGAAGGCATGCTCACTTTTCCATCTATTTGTATTGTTTCCACAGTTTTCTTTGCTTTATCAAACACTGAGATAACAGAGTTGGTTGTACCCAAGTCTATTCCCAGCACAAGATTACTCTTTGCACTTGCAGTCTCCGCTGCCATTAGCTTAGTGAGGTTTGTCATTCCCAAAACACTCATAGCTGTAGCACCAACTACTCTTCTAAGGAATCTCGCCATAGTAAAACTAAAAAAAAACTCTTTAAATATTTTTAATTTTAATTGTTAAATCATTTTGGTAATTTAAGCCATTCCGAACTAAAATTTAAATGAAAAGGAAAATTCCAGAAGAAATTCTAAATGAAATCATTACTGCCATTACAGACGCATCGAAAATAAAGGAAACATTTGACAATCTTCAAATATCCATACAGGATACCGCAGAGACCGAGGTGTCCAGCACGCAGACGCTGAAGGAGTACCTAAAGGAGAATCTTGTGGCCAAATATGGACGGCACACAAGCAGCGAATTTGGGACAATGGCTGAGATAGTTATTAAGAAAGAGACTGTGTCGGTGAAGCTCGTGAACGACTCCATATATGTATCTGGTAGGTACCGAAAAAATAAACGAGGAATATCCAACACCCCAATGGTATTTGGGGAGGGCCTTCCTAGCAGGAGAAAGCGAAAGAAAATGGAAAAAGCAGCTGCTGAGCTCAATGGTCTTCAAGTCATCCAGGTGATAAATGCTGAAGAGACAGAAAAGCAAAGCGTTTACATGGATGCGAATAGAGACAAAACAAGCACTGCACAGAATGCAGTGAGTGCTTCTGCAGAGCAGCCAGAAGAAAGAATGCCAGCTGTTTCTGACTGGATTGATCCATTAAAAGAGTATTTTGGCAGTAATAAAGCTATTTTTATCTCAGGAGGGCGAGAAGACTATGATGTATGCATGCTGGGGAATGGAAGGCCATTCATCTGCAGAATAGAAAATCCATCAAGAAACCTTCCTAGAAAAGTGGGAGCACTGTGCACTGTTATGACTGAGAGCGGAAAAGAGGCTGAGGAATACACTGTAGAATACAAGCCACATAACATAAAGTACAAGATGAGCAGAGATGTGGAAATATTAGAAACGCGTTTAGTAGAAGGCGCTGCTTCGATGAAGGACTTGAAGGCAATTGAGGAAGTGCACTGCAAGGTGTATGGAGTGCGTGTGCGATGCCTGGCGCCCCAAGCAATGGTTATAAGCCAGCTGCTTTCCACATATTGGAAAGAGGATGCTACTATTGTAAAAAACGTGGGCAGGAGGGAGTTTGTTTTAAAGGATACGTGCTTAAAGCTGAGCCAAAGAACGCCTATTCGTGTTTTGCAGAGGCGGGCTAACATGGTGCGGGATAAGGTTATTCATAAATGCAGAGTATCTATAGAGAGCGCGCAAGATGAAGATACTACAGTTATATCTATTGAACTTAAAGCATCATCTGGCACATACATAAAAGAGTTTATTAATGGGGACATGGGTCGAACAACTCCTTCCTTGTCAGAGGTGGTAGGGGAGTATTGTGCTGTGCTGGAATTGGACGTGCTGTCAATAGAGGACACGTTTCCAAGCAAGGAATATGTTCTTGGGGAAGTCAATCTTGTTTAAGATGCCCAAGGCAAGAAGTGCCAATTGTGCAAGACGTGCCATATAATTTAATGAAGCTCCATGTTGTTAAAAGTTTAATGGTACAAAAGATACCTTTCTCTTGGAATATAGAATAAAGTATACACGCGCTTATTTGGGCTAGAGTTTAATATTGGGCTGCAATATAAGAGATATTAAGTGGCGTACGAAGGCTCTTAGGCTATTTATAATATGCGCGTTTTACGAAGGACTCCCACAAATTAAAGCTTATTTAATTAGTCTCTTTATAGAGATATTGTTTCTATTTTCATTTTAGGTTATATTAATATTTTATTTCTGAGAGGCGCATAGTTATATGGTAGATGGAGGTATATGCATGCACTCCAGAGGACTTTCTTCTGTACAATGTCATTATGTAGTATATATAGAATCTGCATGCATCAGATAGAATATCTAGACAAAAGGAATTTTCTTAAACGTAGAGCACATTCGTTTTAGCTTTAAGAATATTTCTCGCAGCAGCTCTTCGTATAGTTTGTTTTGATGCTTTGTGCTTCTTTAATTTAATTGCATGTGTCTTTATTTGGATTATGGTTGCATATTTATGAAATGCGCTTATTCTACTCATGCTAATTTTAATACTTCTTTATTTTTTGGAACTTTCTAATAGAGGCTCTTTTATGTCATTATAAGTGAAAAGTTATAATAAAGCAATTGCGCCATTGGGGGCTAAGATATATAGCTTCTAAGAATATAAAGAAGTTTATGTAAAGGATGCATATTCATTTATGGATGCAATATTTCTTGCTAAATATATAGACTAAAAGACTGTGGCAAAACTCGTTTATCTTAGAATACACTATGCTTTCAAGAAGTATCTATATAGAATTATATGGTTTATAGCTCTTTTCCTATATTCTACATGTTCATATGGCAATTAATATTAACTACATAGCACCCTGCAGATTAGAAGCACGAAAAAGCGTAGATGGCTTCTCAAATATACGTCAGCACAGTCTTGGTCCTTGCTGTTTGATTTTGTACTGCAGCCACCTATTTGGTCTTGAATAAGCCTTGTACTTTTAGAATGGCATCTATTCTATAATTTTATAAATAGAAAAGACTGATATTAGCAGGTCAAATTAATAAATATTTATAAATATATCTCTTTGGCTGGGTGCCCTATTATTGTAACAGTGCAAAATCCATGGAGGTAAATATATACTTATAGAGATTCTTATCAACAATTTTTGTAAGCACTCAAGCAGTGCTTTCCGCACGCCCTGCTTTTATAGATCCTCTGAGTATAGCAATAGATTCTTTGAGTGATATAAATGGTAGTAATATTGTTCTAAAGTCTTCAGAAAGTTTTTAACTACAAAACATGAACACTTTACATTATTTTGTAGTAAAGCAGGTTTACAGACTTTTCAAACTACAATGCTATTGACCCCATAATTTAAATAAAGTGGTTAACACGGAGATTTAGATAAAACAACCCCAATGCTTATCCTCAATCATGTATGATTCAAGATACAGGAAAGCTATAAAAGAAGTGGCATAAAGAGTAGCAATAATATTCTATTGGTAACATTATAGTAATATTAAAGCACTTGTTTCAAGAATTTAATAAAGCAGATTATTATAACATTAAGTTCTATACCATGGAGGTTTCCTTAAGAATTCGGGGTGTGTACAGAGTAGTCAGGAAGTGAATTAGCTTCCCAAAAGAGCCCATTATTTCGAGTTATTTCGGGTTATATTCCAAAATCCATCCAATTAAATAGTTTGGTTTTAATTTAATTTAGCACTATTATCAAAACAAACAAACAAACAAATTAATTACCGCGTTAATAAACAATATTACTACTATATTGTTGCCAATGCCATATATGGCATGAGATTATAGCCAAAGTGAATATTACTTTGCATGCGTAGAAGAGCAATTTTCTTGCCACAAAGCTACACTTGTTTCTATCCCAAGCCTGTTGCATAACACAATAAAAGAAGCAAAAAGGCTGCTCCTATTCTGGGTTTGTGCACATAAAGCATATAATGCATTGCAGCAGTATTATCTTTGGCTGAGGCGTGCAATGTAAAGCGGCGTGTTTAACCTATTCTTGCGCGCAGTTTATATATACATATACAACCAAGCAAGTGTTTCTATACTTAACAGCAGCTATTTTATAGAAGCATCTTTTTGATAGATATTTGAAATAAATATTATGCTAGTGCGTAAAAGCAGCATTACCCATTTTGGAACTTGCCGCAAGTGTATAAATTAATATTTCATTCGACAAATTGGGCGAGGCTCTTTCCAAATATGGCTTAATTAAACTTTACTATTTGACATATATGAGCAATATGAATGCTAATATAAATATTATTGTAAACAAACAAAAGAGTGATGGATGAGAAGAAGAGATACGCATGGCTGGAAATGTATTCAACCAAGAACAACACAATGATATACGATGATCTTCATGTAACAGAACCATTTAATGAGTTCTTTGAGGGTGTATTGAAGATAAGTCCAAGTTTAAATATAAAAATGTTTTACATTACGTCTCTGCATATAATAGGTCTACTAACCATACAGAGGCGGATACAAAGAGCAATGGCTCGGAAGGAGCCCATTACAGAAAGAGAAAATGGTATTCTAAACTTGCGCACAAGCGAGCTATTCTGGCCTGTCACAGAAAATATTCCAAAGGCCTTTTCATTTGCTTTAGTTCCAGAGCTCTCTGTGCCCAAGGAGTTCTATTTGGACTTAGAGGAGATCTTGTCTGAAATTGTCAAATTAAAAAAAATGAACAACTTTTCGCAGATTGAGTATGCTCAATACAAGATACTCGTCCGTGCGCTGACAAATGAGGAGGTGCGCAACCGATACTCTTTTTTCAAAGACAGATTTTCGTACCAAGTTCTGCAGCCGGTGTTCAAAATGTTTATGCGAATGAAAAAGAACGTCATTGCAGAGAGCTACTACAGAACCTATGAAATGGCATACTTCCTAAATCTGTACTACAAAGAGCGATTCTTCAATAACCCGCAGCCTATTGCCATGTGCGACATAGACTTTTTGGTAGAGACAGAAGGTGGCAGAAAGGATGGCATGACGCTAGGCCCGGATAGCAGTGAAGACTATGAAAAGCGAGTTATAGATAGAAAGTTTGTGCTGATTATGCATGCGCTAATCAACAAATTTATGAAGCAAGCAAACATTTCAAAAAAAGTGGAAATATACACAGTAAACATACTACAGATTTTTCTGCAGAAAGAACAGCTGCTTGGATACTTTAAGGACTTCTCGGCTGAAGTTCTTATCATTGGGTTCACATACATAGCTCTCAAGGTACACAAAAAGTACTTGCCTATTCAAAAGATACATGAGATATATAGAACACTTGGGTTTATTCGCCCGTTTTACATAGAAGAGAACCGAAGACTGCGCATTACAATAGAGGAGGTGATTAAGAATCTGGTTGTAAAGACATATAATATTCTTCTACCATCGATACTTAAGAATCTCACGCTCAAGCCAACGACAACACCAAAAAGCGAAAGGGTGGCAGAGGAATCGCCATCTATAAAATACGTGCTGTCCCCGCTTCCAGGAAGAATGAGCAAAATTATTCCAGTTCCAACCACATCAAAAAAGATTCTGTTTCAAGAGAAGGAGGCAGAGGAAATACTGTAAAGATAAATCGAATAAATAAAGTTACATAAAAAAGTTTTACATGGAGAGGCCTCACAAATTGTTGTTTACACACAAAGAGCATTTTATTGGCCAAATTGAAGATGCTCTTGGAAAGAAAGTTCTCTTAAGGCGATCAACCGATGGATTGATCACTGTAAATACAGAAGAGTTGCATGTATGCACCTTAAGCGATGTACCAAAAGAGTTTCTTGACAATGCCTTCTTAGTTAGCGTGTGCACAGAGTTGATAAATCAGAACGAATACCAGCATCTTTTTATCTCTTGGAGTATAGAAGATGAGTACAGCTTATATTTTATTCTATTTATGGAAAAGTTTTGTAGGTACCGAAACATAAAGATACACTGCTCGTATAGCATAGAAAAAGAGTTTATGCGAATAAAAAATAGCATGGCAAAAAACTGGTAAGTATATAGGTAATTGCACATATACATAGAAGACAAAACTCTTTGAATATAGAAATAGATGATTTAAGAGGAGTATCTAAGTAAAAACGGCAAGGCTGCGTAAAGGCATTGTGCGTATGTATGTCACTTATGAAAGTATGCGTTTAATAAATAGAGAACAATAGATATATATGCATTCTTATTTCTACTGCATCTGTATATTTAGAAGCTGTTTTCTTATTCTGACCCATGTGTTTGGTTTGTGTCTTGAGTAGTTGCGGGCTACAGTTTGGAGCTGTTTTGGATTTTGCATGTTTGAGGCTTTTGTCTAGCCATAGCCATTTAGTATTCCATGCTATAGTATAATGCAAGTACTCTATGGAGAAATGTATATGTGCAGATGCATCTGCAAAGAATATTTAGGCAAAACTCGATCCTATCTATGGACAGAGATTAGGGTAGGCTGTGCAAACGCATCAAGATAAACTCATGCTACCCAGTCTATGTGTATATGAAATATAAGAATCTCTCAAATATCTTTATATAGCCCAAAGCCTACTGCATCACTGAGGGTATTCTTCATGCAATAAAATAAAAAATAGCTACGTAGAATACTGCAGTACATCATAAATCGACCACAGAGTAGTTTATTTACTTTGCAGAAAGCCATGCATAGTGTGCAGGTGCTCCATACAGAAGGCATCCTTTCAAAGGACTCAATGGTGTGCTGGAAATACTTATTTTGAGTATTTCTTTGAATCCTTTCTGGACATTGTTACCTTATTACGGGATCCTTTGCCTCCCTCCCAAAATGAAGATGCTTTGCCGGTAAGAGAGGCTTTACATATGCTGCTCCCACAGACAGGGCTAACAGGCCCTTCAACACCGCACTTTCCGCATATCATCCGTGAAGCTCTCTCTGCAGCATGCGACTCGTGCTTATTATGGCACACATCGCAAGCATATCTTGTGTTGCAGCATGGAAATATGAATATTCTACTAGATTTCTTGTAGTGCTCGCAGGTTCCTCCAGTTTTCAAAAGAGCAGGAACGTCCCCCTTTGCAGGCATACTGCGAGATGTGAGATTCTGGTGTATAACTTCCATAAACGGGTTTGATCTATCCTGCATCACCTCTAGCATGCACCCGCAAGAGCACTGGTGTTTTTTGTTTAGATCCAGAAGAGACACTGCACTGCATTCGCTGCAAATACAATTTATTGCAAGCGAGCGTATGGACGCGTTATATAGACCTGAGCACTCAAGCCGCATGATATTATTTCTATTTTCGCCTTCTGGCACAATCAAATGAAAGGAGCTGTCAATTGTCAGAAGGCCAGTGCATTTAATGCAGTTAAACCTGGTCTTTGTATTCTTCTTTATGTCCATATCATCTCCTCCCACTGTCTTTATATTTAAAGTATTGCACCGCTTGCAGAATACAGAGAGAACTGCTTTATTAATTTTAAATGCCTGCACGTGTTTTGCTATATACTTAAATGAAATGTAGTTTCCTTCCTTAATAGGGGTGCTGGCTATGTCTAGGTGCACAGCTTTCTGCTCCTTTGGCTTCATCTCTATTTCTACAACGGGCTTGCCGGATAGCACGCTTTCTATCTGCTGGAAGACCATGTCTGCATACTCCTGGTATGTCATTTTATTCCGCACCCGTATGTACCCCACTGACACATTCAATTCAATTGCCCTGCTGTTTATATCTAAAATGCTGACTGTGTCTTTTCGGTAGCTATACTGAAAGCGCACTGAAGAGATGTCGTATGGGAAGTCTTTATCCGTTATGGGGTATGTTCCGACTACACACTCTACGCATGAATCTGCGTTTGGACTGCTTGGGTCAATTGGTGCCCACATTTACAAAATAATATTATTTTTGCAGAAAACATATGGATACATGTGAGTTTATTGAGGACCAGGATACCCAACAGGTATACGAAGAGCTTTTTAAGAAAACTGCCGAGCAGGAGAGAAGGTATAACGAAATAGAAAGCAAAATCAACAACGAAATAATTCGGCTTCTGATTATAGAGCAGGAGACGATTGAAAAGGACAAGCAGATTCTAAAGAGCGAGATAGAGCACCTGGAGCAGGAGAAGGAAGCTAGAAAAGAGGCAGAAAACGAAGTGCATGCAAGAAAGAAGGAAACAGAAGAGAAAGAAAAACAGCTGAAAGAAACACTTAAATCCAAGAAAGAAATGGAAAAGCAGCTGCAGGATCTGCAGAATACGCTAGAGGTATTCAAGGAGAGAATGTCGCAGGAGACCGAGGAAGAGCAGAAGCGAAAGGAGGAAATAGCCCAAATCAAATCGAAAGAAAAGCAGCTGATTCAAGATCTAAAAGAAAAAGAAAAGGTGGTTGCGCAGAAGGAGGCTGAGTTGAAACAGGAAGTTGAAAGTAAGAGGCGAGAAATTGATCGGGCAGAGGCCCTTTCCAAGGAAATAGCGGAAGCCCAGGCCGAGCTAAGCAAGCGAGAGAAAGAAATTCAAGAGAAAGAACAGGAAATATCCCAGTTTGAGCAGACTCTGAAAGAGGTAAAAAGGCTGAAGGAGAAAAGAGAGGAGGAGACGTACGAAAAGGAGCGGAATTTAAAAAGAAAAGTATCAGAGCTGGAAGAAAGGATCAAAACCACACCGGAGTGCACCGCGTCAATTAGTGAAGAGATAAATAGACTGAAAATAGAAAGTGAAATAAGTAAGGCAAAAGTTGAGGAAAAGTCCAAGACAATAGAAATACTGCAGAGCACAATACAAAGATTAGAGTCTCTATTTTCCAAGCAGATGGAGTACACCATGGTCAATCTTCCAAAGACAAGCTCACCCGTGCAAGCAGAAAGCATTGAGAGCCCAAGATCTTCCGCAGGCAGAAGTAAGGCAAAGAGTGCAGCAAATGAGCACGCCGATGATAAGAAAGCAAATTCAGTTGAGGCTCAAGAAAAGGAAGATGAAAGTGATGATGCGGTTCGTATGAAGGAAAATGCTCCAAAAAAGGAAATTCTTACCAAAGAGAAAGAAGCAGCCACCCGAAGTATTCCTACACCAAGAGCTCTTTCAAAAGAAAAGGTGCCTAAGGCAGCTGCAAAGCAGCCGGCAAAAAGAAAGGGAAAGGGCGAGCTGGTGGATATAAAAAAGGAAATGGCAAAGCAGGCACAGGCGAGAGAAATAAAGAAGCTGAAGGAGTCGTCTGACACTGAAAGCGATTCAAAGGACAAGAAAGACTTTAGTACCCTCTTTGGAAAGAAAAAACCCAAAACTGTTTTCACAGGCCGCCCGGAGGCGTCTTCCTTCTTTGCAAATTTATCATTTTCAGACTATGAGCCAGATACATCCGAGAGGTAAAGCCAAAGCTGAATTCACTGAATACCAATATGATAGATACAGTGAGAATTGCATGCATAGAAATAATAACAACTGTACATTTTCATCATGTTTACTTAATTATTTATTTCTTTTCTAAACAGTGTATGTGTATTAGACCACTTGCCTAGCACGTATGAAAGAGAATAATAGTATGGCCGCTATAGTCTTTTTGATCTTTTTAGAGGTGCATTGGCGTTTAAATTCAGTTCATATCCCCATCTAACATAAAACTCTCCATGTATTATATATCTATCCTAATTATATAAGCTTTTATATGCAACCTTGCATCTTGAATGTTTTATGCAGCGAGACTCTATAGGCATGCATACTTATTTTTCAATCGCATACTAGAGTCAGCATTTTCTAAGTAATATAACCTGAATATATATAGAGAATGCCTGCTATATATAGCTACTGTAAATATATATTAAATACTCTGATATACACGCTGCTTAGCCTGCAAATCTAAGAACTAGCGTCTCTTTACCATAAAGAACCTGGTATCTTTCATATATAATCGTTATTTATTTTGTATATATTTGTAAAATCTCCGCTTAGTGCTATAACCTGATTGAATACCTGTGTGCTCATAATAATCCATAGAATACATTTTCCAGACAAAATATAGCAAACCATCATGCAGCCAATAAATAGTTAGTATTTATACGTACAATTAGGATATATGGAGAAGAATCTTCTAATAAAGGCCACTATTAGCATACCAGTATGCATGTACATTTCTAGTATAGAAAATATACTTTCTGTCTTTTTCTTTTATATGCCTTGATTGTCTTTCTCTTTCTTTGTTCTAAAGCTAGCTAAGAAATTAGCACATATTGTAAACAACACATAGGCAAACTCTGCCTCTAGCAATTAAAAGTATTAAAAAAGATGCATTCGTATCCTCTTGAAGATTTTTCAAGAAAAGCATATGCATACAACTAGAATACAGAAAACAACTGTAGCACACAATGAAAGCACGTTAGTTAGCCCTATCTGCCTTTTGACAGAAGCTTTTGCATTGATATATGCGGTATTAGGTATTCTTTTATCTTTCTAAACTCATAGAATGTAAGGTTGTTCATTCCAATTACTGAAGTATCTATAAACTCGATTCCTTTCAGAAGCTTTTTCAGCCGGATCTCTTTAAGCTGTTTGATAAGCATTTTTATCTCTCCAACGCTTTCTGTTATGTCGCAGCTTTCTAGACACACCTCAGCATTCTCAAATATGTACATGCTAATATGCGAGAACTCCTCTACAGATATCTCCTCGCGCTCCACCGCCCTCTGTAGATACCGCACCCCAAGCCACTCTGGTGGCTGTATTGTGCATAGAAGAGAGTGCTTGAGGAAGAGCGCCACGTACAGAGGAACACTGACTGGTGCCATAGGAAAGAAGGGGCCAAAAGACCCAACTGCCATTTCCAGCTTATCCATGCCAACGAGCGGAATTATAATGACCCGCTCGCTCTGGGCCAGCATTCTCTCGGCCTCCCTTTCTCGACTTATGCGCTGTTCTGTATTTCCTGTTATTTCGTCTGAGCTTCTTAATAGTCCATATGCCATGGTAAAATAATTTTCAATGGGAAGACAAGAGCCAATCTATATGAAATTTATAAGAAGAAGCCAGGAAAGAAAAAGAGAGCGCGAGGGCCTGCTTCTAGCCAGCGTATCAACAAGTCTTAAGAAGAGTATTGGATACACAATCCTTCTAAACATGGGATGGAATACAGATGAGGGGCTTGGGAAGAATAAAGACGGAAGAACTACAATTAATGGACTGGTTCAGCAAAAAAAAAGAGTGAAAGCACGATCCCCATACCAAATGGACTATAAAGCTGCGGAGGAGGAATATAACGCGCTTCTAAAGGAAAAGGCTGCGCTCAACAAAGGATAGACCCGTAAACGATAAAGAGTCAGAAACTGGCCTTTAGCTATTAGAAAGTGCATTAGCTAAATATTTTTATATGAAAGGGAAGCAGCGAAATACGCCATTCAGAAGGGAGAGCCCTCCAAGTAAAAATGCCTGCTATGACAACTTTATGACACAGAAAGAAAAAGACTTTGTGGCCTCTCTATTTGAAAGAACTATTAGAAAGAAAGAAAGAGTTTGCCCAGACTTCTACACACAGGAGAGAGTGCCAAGGCCTGATTGGCGGAAAAAGGAAAGTTCCGAGGAAGAGTCGCTCTTTGAAGGCGTGCTGGGGATGGCCATTCGAAAGTCAACCAAAAAATCCGTAACAGCCAAGGATAAAAATGAAAGCAGCAGAATATTGATTAAAAAGCTGATATCAAGAGGCAAAATAGAGGAGATATATGATATGTTGAACTTTTCTGAAATATTCATAGACGCGCCAGAAAAAGAAGAGGGCGCTTCACACGACTCAGCAGACCCAAATAGCACAAATGTGAAGGCGATTGCAGAAAAGCTTAAGGAAATAGGCGAGGATCTTTTTAACATGGAGAAGGGCATGGAACTAATTAACAGGCTCCTCTTTACAGGTACAGGGGAGAAAAAGGCGTACTTTTCTACAATTCTCTCGATAATTGTTGATAGGATTAAGTATATCTACTATACGCCCGAGCTAGGAGACTATATCAGCAAGCTTGTTCCTGTGATAAAAGAACCACTTTCTTCTCTTGAGCTGACTCCGCATGCGCTAGCAGGCCTTTTCCTCACAAACACAGTAGGAATCCTTATGGGGCACATGCTTTTGGCGTCATTCAGGAAGGATCATCCAGAGTTGTTCAACAGCGTGTGCAAAGTACTTCCAGAGGCGCTGAACGCAGGGTGCATCTCTCGAATATTCCTAAAAGTGCCACATCCATTGGTGTGGAGGTTCCTTGCAGTCTCTTCTAGAAAGATGCCTACGTCTGAGCTACTCTCTCTTAGGAAAAGACTAGACGCATATATAACAGCGGATCTAAACAAAAGATCACCTGCCATGATTGAGAACATAAGAACATTTCTTAAACGGTGTGCGTAAATAAATAGTGTTTGTTAGTATATTAGTTTATATTTTCAGGTACTGCATGCTCAATATTAGTTATTTTTGTCTAAAATAGCCAATATCTCGGAAAGCTCTCTCTTTGTTAAGGTTAGTTTGGCCACTCCACTCTTCTCTGTCAGAATGTTTGAGTCTATAAATGCAGAAAGTGCCTCTCTAAATGAACTGTAATTGACTATCAGCAGCCTTTTCTTTTCCTTATTGAAGATGTCTCGCAGGGAGAACTCTACTCGCGTGGCTGCTGCTTTTAGCGCTAGCTTGAATATTTTCTTGCTAAGAGTTCCCACACAGTCGTACACATTTAGTGTCTCGTCTATGCGCGAGGAAATGCCTGGTCTTTTCTTTTCTTCTGCTATGAATGTTGTGAAGTCTCGCATGACAAAGTTATACTGCAGGACATCGTCAAAGGACAAATACAGCTCTCTATGCTGTATAAGAATTATTTTCAAGTTCTCTATTTTTTCGATTGAGTCCTTTCTTGCATTCATAATGGCAATAGGCTTTGCTTTTTCCCGCGTAAGGAGCGAGTTGATATGGTGCAAAGCGTGCTTTAGCTCTGTTTCGACTGGCTCCAGGGAGTAGTGCTCATACAGATTTCTTGTGGTTATCACACTCTCACTTTCATGGAAGTCAATTATAAAAATATCTGGAAAGACTTCCTTCAATATATCTATTTTGTACCCGTAGCCGTATATATATAAATTAAAAACCTCTATAAGAGAAAGATACTCGTCTTTGATGGCTCTATGGAACTCTAGCAGTTTCTGTGAAAGTGTGCTGTTTAAATCCATTAAAGAATTTTGCAGCATAATTAAAAATAAAAAGAGTTAGTATCAGACACTCACCACACTCCAGATGGCCAATCTTCTAGATACCTCATGTTGTATATTTTAAATTACAAGCGCACTATATGATTTATGTGTTGTGCAAAAGAGGCAGATGCTTTATGCCAATGCATGAAGAATTCTGGTTTTCTATATATATGCTCTGTATGAGTAATTTATTAACCCCAGAATGTTATATTGGAGTATAGATTAGTGTAAATTAGGCTATAAAGGTATAGAGAACTGTACTAGACTAGCTAACAAGACTGAAAGAGTGCATCTCATGCAAGAAATATCTTCAAGCCTAGCTATTAGATACATCTAGTGCTAAAATAACGCATGAGTTCACATAAATGTACAACTCCCTTAATGTGCATGCGTTATTTAGTTTATCTGCTAAAATTGCTTTTTCTTCTGTTCTTTACCCTGAAAATATTCCTTTTCTCAGTAAACACTATGTATTATCCTGCCTTGAATGCGATTACAAAAATAAAAAAGTCTTCAACATGCATTAGAGAATTTATATGAGTTTTGAATAGACTTTTAACCATTAGAACTTAAAATAGAAACAACTGTAAATTTATATACTAGAGGTGTTTTTTGGATTATCCAAATGCTAAAAAATGAAGCCAAGCAAAGAATCATGTAGACTTACTCCAAATTTGAAGGCGCTGTTTTGCACGAATAGAGCACAAAGTTGCAGCTTGTTCTTTTGAGTCTAGATATTTTTTCTACTATATGTATCTTAACCTGTCTAGTCACTTCTATATACAAGACAACATCGTCCACTGCATGGGTTGCGCCAGGCGACCGCACTGTCAATGAGGCGGATACGGTGTTGTATAGAGAGGTATAGCTTTTTCGAAGAACTGGGCTGTGAGCAAAGAGGTATTTTAGATAGAGGGTAGGCTGTAGCTCTTCTAATATGCAGTTTTTTGTTCGTATGTTTGTGGGCATTCTTCTAGGTACGCTTTCATTGGAGAATTGTTTCTCTTTGAGAGCGTTTTCAATGTACTTTATCTCTGCAGCTTCCAGCTCTATTGAGATCTTAAGTTCATTGGCGCGCATGTACTTTAGTATTGCCAAGGGGATGTGAGCATCAATTGAGTTTCGTGTGTTATTCTTGACGATTCTTTCGATCTTATGGATGTATTTGCAAGTATCATTCATTATATCGCCAATTATCTGCTTACTTTGTTCCTCGCACATGAGGTGTGCACGCCTTGAGCCTTCAAACTTCGTCGAGTATATACGAGTTTTTTCAGGTCCATTAGTAGCAGCTGGAGCCACCACGCTTGATTTGTTTCCTTCTGAGCCTACTGGCTTCGATAAAGAGCCCCTATTCTGCCTATCTTTTTTTGATCTCTTAAACACTGAGAATGTTTTTTTAGCTATATACTTTACGCCCTTTTTAACCTTTTTATAAGTACTCCGCGGTAGCTTAATCACCTTTTTTGTATATTTTTTCATAATCCAAACAAGTGATAGGCCATTTGATTGGGTGCGCGCCTCCTGATTGTTCTCTGTCATTGCAAGAATTAACAAAACAAACCCGAATTTATAGCAATCGAAGAATCTAGTAAACAAAGCACAAATATTTGCCTTAAAATACCCCAGGTACTAATTTCTGTGTGCATGTAAATAATACGAACACACAAAACTCTGTAATAAATCATCTATAAAGGCACATAGTATGCATTAAAAGGCTAATTAAAGTGATGCGCATAAAGTGGCTATTTGTTTGCATATTCTGTAAAACGCCTGTCTAGAAAGCCATGTAATTCAGGCCGAAAGGCTTTGAATCACTGAATTGTCTAGTAAATCAGGCAGAAGAAATATCCAGACTTGATATAGAAACCCTTTAGTTTGAGAATACAGAATTGACTAGCTATTTTTTATATAGCTTGAAATAAAAAGAAAGTTCTTAGAGACAAGGAAGCCTTGAAAACACTTTTATTTATTTGCTTTCGATCAGAGAATAAAGAAGCTTTATTTCAGACGCATATTTTTCGGGGTCTGGTGTCTCCAGTATCATTGGAATTCCATTAAAAATAGACGTGTTCATAATATACGAAAATGCTTCTAGACCAATAAGACCCTTTCCAATAGACTCGTGTCTGTCTCTTTTGCTGCCAAGTGGCTCTTTGCTATCGTTTAAGTGCACACCTTTTAAGTACTCAATGCCAACTACATTGTCAAACTCGTCCATCACCTTTTTAAATTTCTCTTTTGTAGTAATATCGTATCCTGCACCAAAAAGATGGCATGTGTCAAGACACACCCCAATCCTATCTTTATTGGTGACTCCGTCAATTATCATCCTTAGCTCCTTAAACTTTGAGCCTACAGTATTTCCCTGCCCTGCCATGTTCTCTATTACAACAATAACCTCTTTTGTTGAGCTATGTGCTTTATTTATATTATCGGCAATCATCTGGCATGCAACTTCAATTGGGAGTTTTCCCACATTGCTTCCTGGGTGGATGTTGCACATGGGGATTCCAAGCTGCTCACACCGAACTAGCTCATCAAGAAATAGATTATATGACTTCTCTAGCTTTTCTTTATCCGGCTGCGCCAAGTTTATCAGATAAGATCCGTGCGGAAGCAGCTTTTCGTGTGTATCTGCTTTTCTAAATGCATGGATGGTTTCATTTGAAAACGGTTTTGTAGTAAAAGTTCTTTGTGGCTTTAGAAAAAATGCAGCTGCGCGTGCTTTTAGGCTTTGCATCTTTTGAAAGACCAACTCAATTCCACCCTGGATAGAAAGGTGTGCGCCGACATGCTTGTCGCTGCTCTGAATTATTTCACTTGTTGGCTCTGTCATTTGCACATTGCATGGCTTTTCTTTTTTCTGAATGAACTTCCCTAGCATTTTTTAAAGAATTTTTATGCTATTATAAAGAGACTGCAGTGCTTAAAGTTGCAAAAACAAATACATGGGCATATTTCTTAAAATCGCATATAGATGTAGACTGTGCGCAGAGTTCAATAAAAGCAGGAAGGAGGCCGAGAGATAGAAAAGTCCAGTAGATGTTTTGGATAGAGATAGCGTATGCAAATGTGTGTAAAAAATAGATAGCCTATGTAGAAAAGCTACTTAGTAAAATCTTCTTCTAAATGGCGCATCTGACATATGGAAGGCAGCTGTAAATAATACAATGGATAGAGTTGTTAAGCAAGCGCACACCTAGTTATTGGGACTGTTGTACGTATAAAAGCCTACATAAGCAACCTACACACATAAAAGTTATATGTGAAACACGTGCTGTGCATATATAGTAATTTAAATAACTTTGTTTTTTTATAATAGGCAACAAGTTTTATTGAATATCATGCTCAGATTTATTTAGTGGTAGACGGTTTATACTAAAGTTAAAATTCTAAAGCTTTCTAAAATATGTCTACTAACAGAATTTAAGATATAGCTGATTTTTCTAGGCTGGAAAGCTAAATAGCTGTGCAGATTAAGCGCATTTATCCCATGTATAGCATCATCACAATCGGTAGTGTATGCGGTGTTAAACGCTAGTGGTTTGTTCTTATATTCTAGCACATGTTAATTTCAGGATCCTTTAAAATCCAAAAAGTGAGTGACTAAAAATGAAGGCAGAAAAGCTTACGCACTGAAGACGAGGTTTCCTTAGGCTTCTTCACTAATTCTGCCATCTTATCCAGGGCACACATCATCTCAGAGAACTTTTTGGCTCCGTTGTTCTGGTGGGTCAAAGTATGCTTCAAAAACTGCAAAACTTTTACTGCTGTATGGTGCTCTTTGGAAACCACTTTGTCAATATATATAACAAATTCTATTCCGTAGGAAACATTTTCCTCAAGACGGTTAAATAGATCAATAATGAGCTGCTCCGGATAGTCTTTTTGAGAGCAAATATAAACTATCCATATTAAAATAATATGATTGCAGATAGCGCTACCGTTCTCTGGATAGTTTCTTTTTAGAATATCCAACACTTCAAAAGCATTTGCAGTTTCATGGTTTTTGAAAAGACACCTAAATATTGCTTTGATTGTCATGTGAAAATAAAAAGGGCTTGTATTGCTCATATTAGCATTTTTGTCTAATTTTGAATACATGTCTAAAGCCTTAATAAAAATATCAGGTGCCTCTATATCTAATACGCATCTAAACACAGCAGGACAGCCACTTTTTCCCAAGGCAATCTCACTCCATTTACTTTCATCAATTTGTATGTATGGATAGTGGGTTTTGTAAAGGTCAAAGTACACGAGAGGGGGAAGAACTCTCTCCTGATAGCATGGCGAGGAGAGAGAAATGCTTGATAGTATATTTGAAGTAAATCTTATTATTGGATGTTCTGTATTAAGCTTTTCTTTACAGCAAAACATCAGGCAGTAGCATACCATTTCCGACTTGGAATGAATGTACTCCATGGGCTCTATCAGATGCAGGCGATTCATAGTTTTAAAATCGTCCTTTACTACAAGTTGAATTGTGTTTTTTATATTGTTTACAATATTCATTGGATACATAGGTTGGAACTTGTACATATTTTGAATTATGTACTCATGCAATAATATTTCTATGAAGCTTTTTTTCTTACTATAATTACGGGATAATAAGAAAAGCTCCAATTCCATAGTTTTAAAAGGACAGCCAATAGCTTCAAAGATGATGAACAGGCTATGCCTAGGCTGGATTGATATGTATGTACGTTGTGTAATCTGAGAATATATATATTTTAACTCAATTAATCCAAATATATCAGTCTTATTATCTGTACGTGCGCCAATGCATATTTTGCTTAGAAGACACGTAAAATTCTTGTTTTTAGATATTTTAGAGAGTAATTTCATAATATAGCAGGATAGCTTGGTATGCAAATCTACATTAGACAACTCATTTGTAGAAGCGTATGCGCTGAGCTTTGCAATTTTAGGGGTTTCTTTCACATAGTTGCCAGTGAGGTGAACAATGAAATAGAGCATGTTTAGAACTCCAGAGACCACTTGATTCTTATTTGATGCATATCCGAGGTCATCTATACTTCTGTTTGAAATAACCTTATTCCAGTCATTGTGCATTTCCAGGCTGGCTGACTCTCTTGGATTTTTGTACTTGTCAAAAAAAGCAACCAGTTTTGGGTCTGGTCTTTTCAGGTGGGTTGTTGTATACTTTTGTGTAGCTGCGTCATAGAGCAAACAGCAAAACAGCCCAAGCAGAGCGGTCTCGCCACAGTTGGTGAAATAATTTGTGTATTCAGAGAGATATGTGCCGGATGTGCTGCAGTATTCGGGAATTTTGCAGAACATTGGTACCTGTGAAAGACAGAAGAATGGAAGAGCTCTATTTATGGCCTTGATCTCTCTAATGCGCTCTGCTGTTGCAACGTATTCAAGCCCAATAGATATATTGTCAATTGGCGCGAAACATCTATTAAACAAACGAAAATCTTTCTGTGTTTGTTTGTTTAAAGCGTTACTGTTAGAAGGCAAATATTCTATTAGAATTTCATATACAGCTTGAACGAATTCTATTACATCGTGGGCGTTGTCTATAAACTCAAAGATGTACATTTGTATTAGAAAACCAAGGCTGTTAAGAAAGGCCCCCGTACTAAATTCGTCAAAGCTATCAGGCTCTGCAAGCTCTCCTGTTTTTTTTAAGAACTTGCTTTTGTGATGGCAGATAAAGAAGTCTATGATGCTTTTTGCTTCCTTCTGTGGGATGTCATCAAAAGAATCAGTCACTGGATTATATCCAGGGACATCCATGCAAACAGTGCAGTGGACGTCCTTTGAGTCTTTCTTCCATATATTGAGGAATGTTTTTTTATTGCTGTCTGCTGTAAAAGAAATTGGAACCCCAAACCCTTCGGATAGCAGCAGAAGAGACGCTAAAATATATTTTGAGTACTTTCGCACAGGCTCATATTTAAGAAAATGAATAAGCGAGTCACTTTTACCAGATGCAATAGAGACATAAATATCATTTTCATTAAACATATGAACGAGCTTGCTGTGGTATGCGCATATGTATTTTTTTAGTTTCTTCTCTTCCTCATTCTTTGATCCAATCTGAAAAACAGTATTGAAAAATGGATGTGCTGTGTCATTGTGAAAGAGCCTGGTAAATATGTGCTGCTTGGCTCCTGTATGCTCGTCTTCAACAGTCTCAAACTTATACTTAATATCTAGCTCATGCGAAAAGAGTCTCTTATTGTGCATATATCCATTTTTGTGATAAATATATCCGCGCAATAGATTTAATGGGCCATTTGGATTAATCAATTTAGGCTCTTTTCCGTCATTAAAAAATTGTCGGTTTTGGACCACTTTTAAATCTTCGATCTCTATACGGGACACTACCAAGCATACCATATGAATAATTAATATGCAATATTTCCACATATGATTCTATAAAGTAAATTTTTTTACATTATAAACTAGCATTGTTCTTTTAAAATACTGTTGGTTCTCCTTTCCTTGAGGGCATGAAACCTCTCTCCGGGTCAGCAATGTAGATTAGTCTTGGCTATTGCCTTGCTGGTTTTGGCTGTAGGCCAACCCACTACAATGGGCTCTACTTATTACGCGTTGAATAATAGTGACCTATAGACGGAGTGACACTGGGTGTCACGTTAGGGTCTGTTGTGGTACAATGGGTCGGTTGTATAAACGAGACCTGGGACTGTTTCCACTATCTAAACTATTTATAGACAATAAAAAATAAATTATATCCAGATTTAGTGTGACCAAGTCTAATATTTCGAAGAGGAAAACTCAGATAATATAATGATATAGTGACCTGGCATTTTTGGACAGAAGTTTCAAAAAAAGAAAGATCTAATATACTATCGGTTAGAAGGATTTTAGACTTTCTAGAAGCATAATAATACTTTAGCATAGAAAAGTTTAAAATATTTTGAGAGCTAGAGATTAAGAGTGCATTCTAAGTAATAAATTGTAATAGTGCACACGCGTTTCCTAATTAATATATAATTTGTTTATTCTGGTTATATCTGAGGCTGAGGATTCAGACAGTTCTCCTTGCACTCTAAAGAACAAATACGCATTGCAAATGGAATATCATGGCCTTTATATGAGATAATTTTAAATATTATGTTTGTGCATGTAGTAAATGATTTACAGCCGTAGCATATAAAGTGGGACTTCTTAAATGCTGGAGATAGATTCTGCATGTTCTCTATTACTATGGTTTTTAGACAAAGCTCATTCAGTGTTTTTTCCTTAAAGACCACACTCGCATTTCTTTTTTCAATCTCCTCTGCACTTAGAAAGTGTCTAGAGCATATAGTGAACAGCATAATGGGAAGTGAGAGAATCTCAATAGGCAGATATTGAATTGGATTGTTTGATAGAGTTAGTGTATGTAGGTGGGCCAGATTTTGAATGTTACTTGGAATAGTCTGGATCTTATTTGACCGAAGGAGGATTGCATGTATATTTGTAGCAGTGAACAGCTCTAGAGGAAGACTTTCAAGCAGGTTGCCTTCAAGGTTCAGTATAACTTTTGACTCGCTGAAAACAGCTTCATAATCGACTTGCTCATTCAGAGGAAGCTGCTCCTCTTTAATTATGGATAATAGAGAGCTGATTGGGATATTTTTTATTGCCAAACAGCTAAGATTGACTGTCCGCGTTTTTGTCAGAACACAGTGCCGCGTATTATTCAAGGCATCTTTTATTTCTGCTGCTTGGTTTTCCTCGGATATCCCGTTGAAAAATATTGGAAGTGATAGATTTCGCACCGGCAATCTGCCAGTCTTTCTTCTTGACCATTGCGACATATTATAAAATTTTCGCCCGTATTTTTTTATGAATATATTAAATAGAGATGAGGTCAAAACGCTGGCAGACCGAATGGTAGCCACTATTGAGGTCTCTTCTCTGCCCAGGCTATGGTTTAGCAGTGCGTATAGACTAGTTGACCAGAAACCCGAAAAGCTGTCCAAAGTACAAAATGAAGATATTTCAGGAGTCATTGCAATAAAAAATGATCGTCTTCCGCTGGACTTTAGCAGGGTTACACCAAAGTATCCTCACATATCCTTTGAGCCCGACAACTTTCAGAAGCAGTGCTTTTACTACATCAATAAAAGCCAGAGCATATTCGTGACAGCTCACACAAGCTCGGGAAAGACCCTTATAGCAGAGTATGCCAGCTACATTGCAGAGCTGCATGATACAAGAATGATATACACGTCTCCAATTAAAGCACTGAGCAACCAGAAATACAAGGAGTTCTCGCAGAAGTTTGCAAGTGTGGGTATATTAACAGGAGATGCGCAAATAAATGGAACTGCAAAGTGTCTAGTTATGACAACAGAAATACTGAGAAACATGCTGTACAGAGGAAGCACAATCCTTGATGACGTTGAGTTTATTGTCTTTGACGAAATACACTATCTGGGGGACAAGGAAAGAGGCGTAGTATGGGAAGAGGTTATAATTATGCTTCCACGGCACATAAGTCTTATATTTTTAAGTGCCACCAGCCCGAATGCAAAAGACATGTGCCAGTGGATAAGCGTAATAAAAAACAAAGAGATGTATCTTATTGGAACAGAGAAAAGAGCAGTCGAGCTAGAACATGGCGTGTACTTTAGAAACAACCTGCATATGCTTACGCAGAACCAGGTGTTTAGCCACGAAGAGTACATGAAGGCGAAGAAAACAGGAGCAGCTGAGATTTTTAAGGAGAAGCAGAGAAGCTCGCCTGCGCTATTAAAAAAGCCTGTAGTAGAGGCCAAAAAAAGAGCTCCAAATGAACTGGAAACCCCAATAAACATAGCAAGAGACCTGATACAGAAAAACCTGGCCCCAATTGTGTTCTTTGATTTTTCAAAGTCGCGAATAGAGCAGTCTTTCTCCATGTGTGATTCGCTAGACCTGACTACATCAGAGGAAAAGACACTTATTCGGGAGTTCATAGTGGATGCGCTGCAGAAATTGCCGAAGTCAGACAGAGAGCTTCCGCAGATAAACTTTGTGGTTCCTAACTTAATTCGGGGAGTGGGCATGCACCACTCTGGGCTGCTTCCTATCCTCAAGGAGATTATAGAAATGCTTTTTACAACAGGTGCGCTGAGAATTCTCTTTTCTACCGAAACACTTGCGATGGGGCTAAACATGCCTGCGCGCACAGTTGTAATCAGAACAACAAAGAAATACAGCCCAGAGACAAGATCGTATGTAGACATCAATGTCGGTGAGTACACACAGATGGCAGGCAGGGCAGGAAGAAGAGGATATGACATAAAAGGAACTTCAATCATAGAATGCACAGGACAAGAGCTGCTGCCAGAGGCGCAGCTTGTAAAGCTACAGACAGGGACGGCCATGGCGATTGAAAGCAACTTCTACATCACTGCGCGAATGATTCTAAAGCTGCTTCGAGTGAAAAGTGTGTCGATCGAGGAAATGGTGCGGTATAGCTTTGGAAAGTCCAAAGTAGAGCAGCAGATGCGCAAACTGATACATCTTCAAATTACACTAAAGACAGAGCTGCTGCACTCTGTTATGTCGTGCGAAAAATGCGAAGATGCACAGAAGTATGTTTATAATTATCAAAACATTATATCCGATCTAGAGACCGTTTATAAAAAGGCTGACGTGTCTCAGCACTCGGGCCAGATTATAATATATGCGGACAAAAGCGCAATACTAGCCATTCCGCATAATAGAATAGAAGAAGAGCTTGACAGCAGTCTGCTTATAGAAAACCCAAGTGCAGACAGCCATCCTTCCTTAGTACTTAACAAAGAGTCAAAAAGACCGGAAACAATACCCACAAAGGACTACAAAGTGCACAAGTCTCAATCCGATGCAGTCTCTATGTGGAGTGAGCTGTATACCTTTAAATGCATTGAATGCCCAGACTTTTCAATCCATTACAAAGGGCATCTAAAAGAATACCTGCTTAGAGCACAAATAGAGTCAATTGACAAGCAGCTGGCAGCAACAAACACCACAGGACTTAAGTGCAACAACTACTTCAACTACATTATGTTCTTGCGTAGCCTTGGATATATAGACGGGCTAAACAATATAAAGATGAAAGGAAAAATAGCATATGAGTTTAACTCTATTGAATGTGTTCTGACAACTGAGGTTCTGCTCTCTCCGCTGATAGCAGGCATGAAAACGCACGAGCTTATTATTGGGCTAGTTGGGCTGACGTTCTTTGAAAAGCACCAGCTTAAAGAGGAGGCTGAGTATGCAAGAGAGGAGCCACGGACAGAACAGATACAAATTCTCATGCCGGCAATTTCTATAATAAGCGAAATAGTGAAAGATTTAAGGCCCACCTATAAAGCCTACAAGATCAAAATAGAACAGCCAAACCATGCATTCTGCGGAGAGCTGGCTCTTTGGCTCCAAGGAAAGTCATTGGCTGAAATTATTGATGCATCTCCTCTTTCTGAAGGTGTAATTGTAAAATACGTCCGAAAGGCAACGGAAATATGCACAGAGCTATCAATAGCAGCGAAAATACTTGGAAATCCAAAACTCTCTCAGGAGATTGATGCGGTGAATGAAAAATTAAAAAGAGGAATTGTTTTCACTCCCAGCTTATACTACGGATAGACTATGCAGGAATGAATATTTCAAGCAGAGGTGCAATAAAGAGCAGAAACTTCTTTAGTAAGGTAGACATCGATTAATTAAGAGTATTTATTTAGGATGTTTATGGGTATGGAGCAAAAATAAAAAAGGAAGTTATGTTAAATGAAGAGTTTATTAAGCACAACAGCCGCCTACGCCCCATACATCTCAGACGGCTCTGATAACTCCTGTATCTCTCTTTCTAGATCTTCAATTTCCTTCAGATTTCCCTCGTTTTTTGCCCGCTCTAGAGTTACTTTTAGCACAAGTCTTCGCTTTGCAGTAATTCTTCTGTCCTTTGAAAATCTTCTCATCTGCCCAAGAGAATAGTCCTGTTCCTCTTCAGACATCCTCTTCTCTAGGCATTTGGAAAGGCGTACTTGCATTTTCTGGAGAGTCTTGTTTCCTCCTGCAATTGCATTCTCCTCAATATACTTTGTGTATTCTTCCTTGGAAATGCCTCGGTTGCTTATGCTCTGGATGTTTACTTGTCTTCTATCGCCAGCCCTCTCCAAGCACATCCACTGGTTTGTTACTTTGCCTTCTATCTCATACCTCTTTCCTTCGTATATCTTGGTTATTCTGTATACATGGTATCCCTCCAAGAGACGTATCTTCACGTAGTATCCTTCAAATGACTTTAGAGCTTTTTTGTACACATTGCTTACAAAAGTGCTTCTACGAAGGACTACAGCCTTAAAGACATCATAGGTGGTGGCCTTGCTAGGCACTGCAGGTGCAGTCTTCTCTTTCTTTCGTTTTGTGTCTTTGCTACTGTCACTCTCTGTTTCATCTTCCTCTGTGAACAGATTATTGCGATGCTTAAGCTCCCGTCTTTCGTTTTCCTCTGTTTTTTTAAGATGTCTTTCGTATAGAATCCGCTCCCGCACTGTTTCTGGCAGCGATTCCAGATAGTTTCTATCTTCCTCGCCAATATACAGCTTTTCTTCCTTTTGCATTCTTCTGGGTTGTTTTAGAGACATAGTATATAAATAAATTAATTCAATTCAAATATTATGGATGTAAATAGAGCAGATGATAGCTTTGTGGGAAAGCCTCTAAAACTCAGCAATATGCTGGAGAACTACAAAGAATCACCGCTATACACGGGTATCAGTGCACTTTCTGCATTGGATTCCAATGTTAGACTTGTAAAGCGGGATGGAAACTGCTTCTACTACTCGGTGATTTTTTTAATGCTTGAGCACTACTCGACCCCATTGCTTGCTGCACATCTGGTGCAGGTCTTTAGTAAGCACAACGCCAATTTGATTTTAAGCGGTGTTGATTCCTATTTGGTCAATGAGTTTTCGGACCCAATTATGTCTGTTCTCAAGGCTGTGGGGAACAACGAAGCGCTTGAAATAGAGGCCCTAGACGGAGTATTCTGGAACTATACGGTGGCCTACTTCAGGATGATCACCTCTTTATGCATAAAAAGCCATCCAGATGATTTTTCTGCGTTTATAGAAAAGCCCCTCAACGAGTACTGCGCAGAGTCTGTTGAAGCAATTGACCAATATGCAGGAGAAGTTGAGATGATTGCAATTTCTAAGGCCCTCTCAATCTCATTTGACCTGTTTTGTATAGAAAAGGAAAGAAACGACCGCTTTACACGGGGGTCCGGCGAGAATATTGGAACTCTTTTATTTATTGCAGATCATTTCGATATTCTATATATATAAGAATAAGAGCAACTTAGTTCTTTTTATTTAAAAAGCAGTACATAGGAATTAATGAAACATGGCTAGGCCTGTTATAAATTTGCAATTAGAGCATGCTAATAAAATATATGATACAATCTATGTTTAAATATTTGTTTATTTTCATTTGGCAATGCAGGAAAACCAGTTTGAAGAGGACGAGCTCTTGAAAGAGGAAAGAATATCCGCAGAGAAGTATGCAAAAAGCCTTGCAAAATACGAGAATGCGCTTGCACTAGATCAGCCATCTACGTTTATGAAGGTCCTTAAGGTTCCAGGGATTGTATTTTTTGCTGTTGTTGGGGGATACATACTAGGATGGCTTGAGTTTCGCCCGTGGGTGATTATTCCTCTGCTGTACATCATAGGATTCGTGTTCATCATGCGCATTAAGGAGTTCAAAAGAAGCATGGAGGCATTTGTGTACTTTTCAATTAGAAAACAAACCGTGTCAAAGTATGAGAAGGTGGACTGGATGAACGAAGTGACTGAGAAGGCATGGAGGTTTGTAGAGTCAACGCTTTCCAAGGTGATTCTTCTTCGGATTAGTACGATACTGCGAAAAGTCAAGGTTCCTATGGTCAGCGACATTAGGCTGGATAGATTTACATTGGGAGGACAAGCGCCTGTAATAGAGGGAATTCGTATAAGACAGTCGTGCAGAGACTCTCTAATTGTAGATGCCACGATGCATTTCATTCCATCTGTGTCAGAGGAACTACAGACCACCCTTGGAACCCCGGGGGATAACCAGATCAGCTGGAACTCCAATATTACGTTTACCATTCGCGTGGGAGGGTCCTCTGCTGGGATAGACATGCCGGTCACGCTAAAAAACATGTCGTTCCGCGGAAGCATGCGTATTAAACTTAATTTTACATACGATGCAAGTGTTATAGAGGGCGTTGAGTTTTCTTTTTTGAAGCAGCCAATCATTGAGTTTAATATTGTTCCGCTTAAAATGCTTGACATAATGGATGTGCCAGGCCTTGGCACAGCAATAAAAAAGGTAATTGAGCTTGGAATAGCCAAGGAAATGCTTTATCCAAAGCGCATTTCAGTTGCACTCAAGCCAAAATCAAAGTACTATGTGGGTGCTATTTCAGTGCACATACACAGAGTTTGCACAAAGATAAAGAAAGACTGGCTGCTATCGGTTGGCCTAAACGGGCGAAAAGGGCAGTTTGTAACAGAAATTACCGGCGAAGACACAAACTATGTAGCATACCTGCCAATTAAAAACATTGATGACTTAATTTACATCTTCATCCAAGGAAAAGAGGAAAAGGGGCCTGCCTCCACTGCCACACTATCGATTGAAAGGATATGCATGCAGTCCCGTATGCAGGGAATTTTCCCATTTTCAAACAGGCAGGGATATATCGACGCATCCTTTTTATACCATCCAAAGATAGATGTGGATAATAATCTATCAGAGGAAACCCCAAAATCTGCAATTGTAACAGTAAAGCTTGCGCAGCTGATAGATATGGTGGATGTTATGGGCATGCCATACAAAAGCCTCACGGTTCGGGCCACTGTATACATGCGGCAGAAAAGAACCAAGAACAAGGACCCTGCGTACATGTCTGCAACAGAGCTTATGCCTGAGGAAAACGATGCGGTAAGTCCCGGGTTTTCAGTAACAAACGAATCCTCTACAGACTCTGATGAAGAGCTTAAGAAGAATCCTGATAAAAAAACCCCAGAAAATGAAGAGCTTGGTGTTTTTACCACATCAACTGCAAGAAACATAACAAGTCCTGCGTTTGATGAGAAGTTCGTGTTCTTTACTAGAGACACAAAGCGCACTATAATATCAATTGAGGCTTTGGAGAAAAAGAGAGTGATTGGAAGCTTCAGTGTAAATATTCGTAGAGGAATATCAATCTCCTACGGAACATTTGACTTTTGGCACATGCCAGCAGGACGGGCGAAGCTTCTGTTCTCTGCAGAGTACTCCTGCATGACTAAGATTAAAATGCAGAAGTACACACATATTCGGGTTGTGAAAGTGAATAGCATTGAAACAGAAGGTGTTTTCTCTGGATATCTTGTTACATCTGGTCGAGTTGTGCCAGTTGAGCCCTTTTTCTCGCACTGCACAGGAGAGTACTCTGGCCTTACACTTGTGCCCCTTTTATCTACAGAAGAAATAACCAAATATGTTGCTTACATGAAAGATGAAGTATATGGTGGGTGTGACGTGATAAGCGGGGAGTCATATATTGGCGACTCGCGCATTGACATGGATGTGGTAGATTATGCGCTTTACAACCACGAGAAGCCGCACGTGCAGGCAGAAACAGAAGCATATTCCAATGAAGAAAGGCAGGAAACAGCAGAACCGAGTAAAGAAGAGGACAAGGAGATGGAGGCATCTAGCATCCAGCACGTTCACTCAGGCGATTCATCTGGATTAAACGAAGACCAGGATACGCCTCACATGAAGTCTTTATTTGTCCAAATGCGCGTAGTTGTGTGCAGAGTAAATCATCCGATTTTCCTTGAGTTTTCTAAAGGAGATGTTGTTGTTGACCGAAGTGTTTCTAGCAGCGGAAAAAAACTGCACGGCGAATTTTTCTTCTTTAGCAGCGATGTGACCATCTCGGTCTTCACTGTGAAAGAAGGATTTCTAATTGGAAAGTTCCATCTGTGTAAACCAAGCGGGAGGCATGAGATAAAGCTCACTCACGGCCAGCTGTTTGTTATAGATGTTAATAACAGATATTACAAAGGCCCCTCCCTTCTCCCCATACAAGCCGGCACGCTTTCAGTTACCATTCTTGAGATGAAGATAGCGGAGCTGCAGGAGCCAAATGTATACTCCAGTATATTTATAGAGATTGTTGTGGGTGATAAATCCAAAATCACAAAGCCAAGTGAAGAAATTATGCTGCCAAAGTTTAATGAAACTTTTGAGTTTCCAGTTTTCACGCCGCTTGACAGAGTTGAGATTAAAGTCTATGGGTGGACCCTTTTAAAGGAGAAGAAGTTCTTGGGGGAGACAGAACTGCCGTCCAAGGCGATTCCTCTAGGCACCTCATCCTTTGCTGCAGACATTCCAGCAATGTCTATAGACAGCACCGCTGCTATATATAAATTAAATGCAAATATGATTTTATATGAAAATGGAAGAGTATGACGGATGGTCACTGGATGAGCCAGAAGCAATAGAAGTGTCGGGAAGAACATTCTTTTTGACTCAGGAAGTGGTTAAAAAGTACTCATATCTACAGTGGTAGTAATAAATGCTAATGTGCAAATGTGCCATATATGTTCTGCCTTGTGCTCAAAAATGCCAAATTAGACGAGCGCTTTCTCTGCTGTTTTTTGCAATTTTAGTTTAAATTTTGCGCAGGAGTAACTGACTGTGTGTTCTGCTGGACTAATGATACAAAAGTTGATGGATAAAAGAATGTATATTTATTAGAATGGGAAATATCTAATAGTCTTTCCTTGAGTAGATTTGATATCAACTGATCGTAAGTTCTGCATTCCCTTCTTAAGAAGACCAATCAAAGCCTGCATAGCAGTGGATATGTTCTGGGACACCTCGGTTGGGCTCATCTTAGTAGTACCAACAGAGAAGCCAAGAAGTAAATCGGCCTTAAGATTCAGCTGTATTTTTCTTCGCACATCCTCGTAGTAGTTCTTGATTTCGTTTATGTTCTTAATCATGTATACGGGCTTCTTCTTTCCGGTAAAGATCAGTGGCTCGAATACTTTATATAGGGATGGAACGGAAATGAAAGAGTGGTACTTCTTTACCAGGCTCTTTCTTCTCTTCTTTGCCTCAGGAGTCTTTCCTTTGTACTCATCGAAGGAGATGAATGGAATGTCTGATCCCTCCAGAGCATTTGCCAAGTGGATGTCTGCTAAAACAAGAACTTTCTCTTCCTTTCTCTTTGGGTAAGGAAGGGTTACTTCTCCTCTAAATCTTTTGTCTCTTGCAGCGTCGTATCCTTTGATTCCTACTCTTACCTCGATTGTTTCACCGGCTTCTACTCTCTTGGCGTTTACTCCATTGATGATTGTTTCCAGTGTTGATACAATTGCTTCTGCTTCAAATGCTTTTGAACCCATGACTAAAGAAAAAAGAAAGAAAATTATAAATATTTTTGGGGAGCTATCCAGTTTAACTATTTTATAAAAATATGCAGAATACCTAAAACACGGCGTGCACTGTCTGCACGCAGGCACTAGATACATGAGAGTCTTCTTCTGAAGGTATTCTCTGGCTTTTCATATATGATGGCAATACAGCACATAAATATAGTCGTTCAGACAGTGCCCAGCTATTTCTGATGGGCAAAACAGACATGATATGTAACTACTGCTGCTCTTCTTGTTTTATTTCGATCTTCTCTCAGTGTATGATAGGTGCGTGGGTGCGGACAATTTCTTGCTTGACACCTTTTTGTCTATCCGCTCAATTTCGTCATCTTCAGACTCCGTTTGGATATCTCTTTCAGACGCCATCAGAATTGAGGCAAGCAGCTCATTTTGCTCGGTTTTCGTTCTATATATGGTGGGCGGATTATCTTCCATCTCTTTAATCTCCTCAATTATCTTAAAGGAGTACCCCTGATCTATCAAGAACTGTCTTCTTCGTGTGGAGTACGGTACCTCCTCCGTGTCCATGCTCACCAGTGTGTAGAAATACGCAGTAAAGCCTTCATCTGTTCTTCTTTTCGCCCTAAGAATACGCCCCAGACGCTGTGTCTCCTGACGTCTACTTCCAAAGTGCCCAGAGATCTGAATTAAGCAGGTAGCCTCTGGCAAATCAATTGACGTATCTCCTACCTTGGACAGAAAGATTGTGTTAATTTTTGAGTTGGTTCTGAACTGGTTCAAAATATGCATTCTTTCTGCCTGTCCTGTAGGTCCGTATATAAACGGCTTTCCAAACTTGAGCGCATATGCTTTTAGCGTAAACACATTGTCCGAAAAGACAATTATCTTGTCGCCAAGCGCCTCGTGCTTATTTATAATATACTCACACATCTGTATTTTGGTTGGGTTCATTGTGGCAAGTATTCTTTTTTTTCTTACATCCGCCACTAGATACTGCTTGTAGAACTCCCCTGTCATCTTGCACCACACCTCTGTACAGCTTACTTTGGATATATGCCCTTGCGCGCTCAGGTTGAGCCAGTCAGCTTCATACAGCTTTGGCCCTATCAGAAAGTTGAGGTCTTCTATTTTCTCGTCCTCCCTTACAAGAGTTGCTGTCAGACCAAGCTTACAGTGCGAGATGATCGTTGAAACTACTCTTCTGAACATGTTGGCAGGCACCACATGCACTTCATCGAAGATAATAAGCCCCCACTCGGTGTTTGTAAGAAAGTCCATTATTTTCTGCGTCTCATATGACCTTTTCCCGCTATACGATACCATAGTGTACGTGCTGACAACAATTCCTGCCTGCCCAGTAAACTTCTCTTTTGTGTCTGATGTAAGTATCGCAATGGACTCATCTTTCACATTAGTGAAGTGCTTTATCTGCTGCTTCCACTGCTCCACGGATACAGAGGTCGTGCATAGTATCAAGCACGATCTTTTCATTGTACACAGCGCCACAATCCCCACCAAGGTTTTTCCTGCTCCGCATGGAAGCACAATAATGCCGGATCGAGCCCTTCCATTTCCAAACATTTTGTTCAGACTGAACTCCTGGTATGTTCGTATTGAGGTTGTGGATTTTAGGTCTATGTCCAGAAGTGGAAGTGTGTTCTCTGTTCTAAAGTCGTACTCTTCGATTAGCGGGTAGTCAAGCTCTATGCATCGCTTCTTGGCCTGCTCTACCTTGGATCGCTCTATTTCAAAGTTCACTATGACTTTTTTTTCTTCTGTTATTGGCACGCACAGCTCCTGAATCACGGGATCTCTGTACAGAAAGGATATATTTTGGTTTTCCTGCGACTCTATAAAGTATCTTCCCTGCCTAATTACCATTTTGATCTTTCCATAGCTAGTGGTGCATGATCTGATAAAGTTCAAAATGCTCAGTGGAACTTTATTCTTGCTGAACCTGTCCATTGTGTCAATAATGTCTTCTGTCTTAAGCCCTACACTGGCAGCTGCATAGAGCGAGTAGGCTGTGAGCTTGTACTCGTGCATGTTGCACGGCCTTGTTACTGGCTCGGCTATGGCAATAAGAAAGTCCTGTGCCTGCTGACTCTGCTCTGAGTGCATTTCAAGAATTATCACCCCATCTGCAGACACCCACATGGGCCTAGCTGCATGGTTTTCCTTGAGAATAATGTGCTCATCTACTCCTTCTAATGTATTTGTAGCTTGTTTTGGCAGCATGCTATTTGTCTTTTTCTGTTTTTCTGTTTTTTCTAAAATTCATATAGACCAAGCGCTACCACTATTTCCAATATTTAATTTAACTTTTATTACTTTTCTTCGCCCATCACATCCTGCGCTGCTCTGTAAGGATTGACTCGATTAGACTCATGTCTTTGTTTGTTAGGTGCCTTTCAAGTATCTCGCATATCTTTTCATACTTCTCTGTTAATGTGAATGTAGTCTTTGAGTTCTCTATCTCTCTCCTAATATGCGCCATGAGTTCCGAATACCGCCCTGTTCGCTTTAGCTCTTCCAGCACTGCATTGACTCCTGTGCTCTTTTTTAGCAAGCAAATTACCTCTTTCATATTTTTATTTTTCTTGCTATGTCTCCGAATGAAAGGCTATTTATACTAGAGCTGTTTGGTGACGTCTGTGAAAGAATTGGTTACTATCTCTTGAAAAACAAGGACACAAGCTTAATATCAATATATAAAGGGATCAACAGCAGCCGAAAAGATGCAGTAAAGGGCCTTTCTTTATTGATACACTTTGGCATTGTAGGATTTACAAACTACAGCGGAAGAGGCGTTCGGTATTTTATAAAGCAGGGACACTCCAGCCTTATCAACTATCCAGTGTATATTAGCTACTGCGAGACTTTGTACGGGCCCCAGGGCAGCCAAATAGTAATGGAGGTGCTTCTCAGAAGAAAAATAGGAATGAGCTCAATTCCAGAAGAGCTGCTTGAGTGTGCAAAGAAAATGCTTCGAGAGGGAATTCTGGCAGAAGAGTCCGCGCAGGGGGTCAAAAGAGTGAAGGAGGACACAGAAAGATATCTTCTTTTTTCAAAAAGCGCAGTTGATTCTAAATTGCTTACCATGTTCTTTTATAACGATATTTTAAGCCATTTTTCGGAAAATACAAAGAGAGTGTTTTCTGCAGTGAGAAGCTTCTATCCAGCGCCATCCCCTCTAAATCGCATTTTGGAAAGATGTGCAGAGTTTCATGTTGAGCCAGAGGCTCTTAGCAGCACAAAAACTCTGAGTATGAGCGAAACTGTTCAGAAGCACATAAAGTATCTTATTGGGTATGGTGCAATATCGGGGGGATACGAAATGTATCAGGTTAACCACGAATCATATCTGGATAAGATTAAAAAGAACGTTCTTCTTGAGTACTGTGACATGTACATAGGCTCCATTGCATCCACGGTGTTTTCTATGCTATTGAACAAAGGATATGTTGAAGATAAGTTCATACAGAAGCATCTTTTGCTAGAGCCGCAGAAATGCAAAAATATTCTTTTTCTTCTCCTATCCGAACGATTTGTCTCTTTGCAGATGATTCCAAGAACTGCAGACTGTGCTCCCTCCAAGAGCTTTCATTTGTGGTCTGCAAATCCAAGAAAGGTATTTGCTGTTCTTGAGCAAAAAGTGCACAGCAAGCTAAATGAAAATTATATTGAGCTATTTTGTCTACAGAAGAACAAACTATTTATTACGCCTGGAGAATATAAACACAAAACAGACCAGATCTTTAATTTACTTGAGAAGTTACACACCTTCTGTTTTATATTGTCTTTATAGGTTTAAAACAGTGTTTTGGGAAAGGTATTAATAATAATAAATATAAAGATAGATAATGAAGCTTTATGCGCTACTTTACATGACAGCGCCTCTTTTTTGCTGGTGCAACGCAGGAAAAAAAGAAACAAACCAGCTTATGATCACTCGCCTAGCCCAAATTGATAGTATGCTAAGAAATATTCTGGATGGAAAAGTGTCTCCGCAGAAGTCATTTCTGAGCAGCACTCTAAAGGGGCTTTCTTCCAAAAGTTCCAAATCCAGAAGCACGTCAAAAAAAGCAAGAAGCAAGCAAAAGAATGTGGACAGTGAGTCAGACTATGCCACAACAAAAGAAATACAGGTAAGGGAGCGAAAAGAAGCCCCTAGGCTGTACTCTAGAGACGATGAAGATTCCTTTGAAAAGCCAAGAAGAAAAAAAAGAACCCGGACATATAGTGCAGATGATGAAGAGAGCTCTGCATACTGGAGACCTTCTAAAGGATCTCGCGCAAATTCTTCCTTCGAAGAGTCCGCTGATAGAGATTATGATGTTTCCTCTGTGAATAGAAGGGCTGCCAAGCCAGGTGGCTATGCGTATGACGATGAGTATAGCCAAGAAGAACGATAAGGCATTTTCGTATATGCAAGAGGTCTTCTCTGCTATGGCTGTATTTAGCCTTTATTTCAGAAACTACTATAATACTGTACGCACAAAAAGTGTTTGGTGGGCTAAAATGATTTTTTAAGCTATGCAGATGCTTTTAGTACTACTTTAATATTTCCACATAGTATGCTCAAATATTATTTTTCTTGCCTTTAGATTCGGCTAAGCAATGCTGCCATACATTCACATATTATAGCCTGAATTCGTAATAAGCAGTATGCGATATTTTCACAAAGCCCCAACACATGCCCAACTAAAGTATAAGACATTATAGAAGAATGTTGATATTCGTATACCCATTTGTCTGAAAATAAAGTAGCTTTAAAATAGCTTATTTCTAGCTTGAATAATTATTATTTACTCCTCATTATTCCTGTTGGTTTTCCTTGCCTTGGGTGCAAGAAACTCTCTTCCCGGATCAGCAATATAGATTGGTGTTAAGCATTGTCTTCAGGATTTTGGCTATAGTCTAACGCACTACAAGGGGCTCTACTTATTTATGCGTCAGATTATAGTGATTCTCGATAAGTGACATATATTGTCATTGGCCTTGGGTCATCTAATAAGACTTTACTTTCATAGCACCACTTTGACTGGCTTTTTCTAGAGGTTTATAAATATAGGATGAAAAATAAATTATATCCAAGTTTCGTATGCTCAAATCTAACATTTCGAAGAGGAAAACTCAGCTATGCCAAAGCTAACTTCTTTATTTAGGCTTTCATTTTTACTTCTGCACTTTAAGACTGTAATATACTTGTGTATGAAATACCTATCATGAATTAGAAGATAGACTGTTTGATTCTATAATACAAATAAAGTGTATATGTACATGAATATATAATAAATCATGCTTTAAAACCAAGATATTTACAAAGGTTGTGAGTTATATAAACTTTTAATGGTATTTATGTATTTTTCTATAACTTTTTCATTTATAAAAATATATACATGTTTATTTTCAGGAAGAAACAACTATTATGAAGCATTTTATTTCCTCTAAAAAAAGACGAAAGCACAGGAAAATCAAAAAACTGCACAATTCAAAGACCCAGCCGGGCACTGACACCACACAGAGGAGCTTAACACACAAAACAGACTATGTATGCCCAGCACATAGAGAACACAACCAGAATGCCACAGCAGCAATACTATAGGTTATACCAAAGGAAGAATACACGTATAGCAACATGTAAATACATTCATGTAAGCACACTATAAACAGCACACTCTTGCTCCACAGTCAACTTACAGCTACAGCAGAGAAGTGCTTGTGCAATGGCGAATCACTGCAGGTCATCCGGGCTGTTTATGCATGGTGCAGCACAGTAGCATCATCACATCACACACTCTGCTCTATAGTAGTAAAGTATACAAGTAGAGGACAGAGGTAGAAAGCAGTGCGCAGAAATAAAATAAAAAAGGAGTAAATGCATGTGTCTTTATTGTTTTTTGTGTTGTTAATATACATGTAGAGACAGTTCATTTAGAGGAGTTTAATAGGAGCTTAGGATATTCGGGCCTGTCTGCGGGGTTGTTTTATCTGTTTTGTGCAGGCAGGATGGGCTTATATGTGTGCCAGGAATACTATGCGAAGAGTTTAAAGTGCTTCTTGCTAGGCCCAGGCTTCAGTGCAGGCCGAGATGAGTTTAACTTACCTTGATGAGTTTAAGTTGTCCGAAGAGCTTAAGTTGTCTCGATGAAGTTAAAGGCACCTCGATGAGCTTAAGGTATCTGCCTGTGCGCGAGTGCACACAGAGGAGAACTAGCAAGTGATTCCTGTGTTTCCTTTGGAATATTTTTACAGATTTATGCTCTATTTATACTTATATTTTGGAAAATAGACCTTAATTTACCCGTTCTGGATGCCCCCAATATCCCCAAAAGAGCGCATATACTTTTTAATATACAAGAAGACCCGCTCTAAAGTGAATATAGACAGGTCTATGGGGGCTGCACCCCCAATATGCCCGAGTAAGGGTAAATTGCGCAGGAATTGCGCAGCCTAGCTGTGTGCCTCACACACAGAGGGTATAGCGCAGAGAACAGATGCTATAATGTGATATGCAGTATATATGCAGTGGATATAAACAGACTGGCTGGCTTGAATACCTCAGGCTGCACTACTAGCCAGAGTACAGACAGAGTTGAGAGATGTGGGCGCACTCTTTTTGTTGCTCTCTTTATGGCGTGTGTGAGTTATAGAGAGTAGGGCCCTTTCACAGAACAGTATGCACTCTCTGCCTCTCGGACACAGCTACCCTTCTAGGAGCTCTGCCCAGCACACACATATGCAGAGTGTTTCTGTCCTCGCTGCATTATGGATTCGCACGCCCTTTCTGGGCAGGAGACCCATCTCAAAAAAAACACCTGAGAAAATATTTTTTGCAGGGGCTCTCAGCAGGGCAAAACACGGGAATTTCGGAGAAAATGCCTCCTTCCTTCGGTTTGCAGGGGCAAAAAAGTGCGGAGAGGGAAATTGCTGACGAAAAAGGAAAAAAATAAAATGCGGTCTATAAATACGCGAAAACTCTGTCTTTTATTCGCAGTGCGAGAGACTTCTCAGCCACAGACGCATAACAGTCGGGTATGGGAACACTCAGTGCTGTGGGTCAGCGCGGATGTAAAGCACCACTAGCGGGCATTTGGGCTGGCAGGGAAGTGGTGTGGGGGCCAGTAGGCCGAGGCCCCCTTATATATTAATCTCTTCATTGGCACAAGAACCTTGGGCAGGGCTGGTATATAGGTATATAGTATTTAGAAAAGAACAAGTGAATATTATATATGCATAGAGCGGCATTTATTTCCATATATGAGTTTTAGCACTTACCCATGTATGCTAGGGTTTATAATATCAGCTATGCTTGATACAACTCTGGATAGATATATAAAGTCACTTCCGCCATATAGCATATCACTTTCACAGCTGCTCAATGCAACAAAAAGTTCTTCTATTTGAGGAGTGATCTTCTTTTTATCGAGAAGATATTTTGAGAGGGCGTGCACAATATCAACAGCAGAGTATCCAAGCATTGCAATACTTTTAGAGGTCTCAAGCACTTCTTCCACAGTTTTAACGCTCATTATTGATTCAATTATTTCTTGGGGAATCACACCAGATATTTCGTCTATTATCCTTCGGTGTGCAGTAGAACTGTCCACAAGATCAGTCTCATTTAGCTGACACGCGCCTACTGTCTGCAGCAAAACTAGCGCCTTTCGCATATCACCCTCTGTTAGCACTAGAATGTACTTCAGATTCTCATCAGAAACACTCAGCTGTTCCTTTCTTTTTATGTCTCTTAGCACCTCCAAGCTTTGGCTCTGGCCAGTCCACGGAATGTATAGCGGAACAAGCCTACTTCGAATGGGGTCAATGACTTTGTTCACATAGTTTGTTATGAATATAAAACGAGTATTCTGGTGGGTGTCTTCAATAATACGTCTTAGACAGTGCTGGGCATCTATTGTTAGATAGTCACACTCGTCCATAATTATTATCTTCACCTCTCCAGAGTGCGACTTGGATGCTGCAAATGTTTTAATTTTCCCCCGAATTGCGGATATTTCTCGGTCGCTTGAGGCATTTAGCTCCAGCACACTCTCTTTTCGTGTAAGCTTTCTAGCTAGAATAAGCGCAAGCGTGGTCTTTCCGCTGCCAGGAGGGCCGTGCAATATGATATTTGGCAGCGCGTGCTTTCTTGTTAGTAAAGAAGAAAAAAAGTCTCTGATCTCTGAAGGAAGGGCCATATCCTCTATCTCCATTGGTCTATACTTTTCAGTCCATGTAATATTCTGTTGCATAAAATTTTATTTCAATTCGCTTTATTATTGGTGTTTCTTCATTCTCTTCTCAGATCCCTTGGAGATTACTTTTGGTCTTGCTGGGTTCTTTCTGTCACTGGCAGATCCAAAGTACTGGCACTGCTTTCTGATCTTTACTGGAGCCTGGAAAATGATCATCTGCTCTGGGGTTGGTGCGACCTTAAATATCTCGTCAAGCTTGTAAACTTGTCCTCCGTACTTTTCTATCTTTTCTCTTGCTTTGTGTGATATGCTTAAGCAGGCCACCTTGATTGGGTGTGGAATTTCAACTATGCTATCATCAGCAACAATCTTTGTTGCTACAACTGCAAGCTTCTCATGGCATGGAGTGGTGTACTTTACCAAGTTCTTGAGAGTGAGCACAGATCTCTGGGTTATTGGCTTCTTGATGTTTCTTGCAATCTTCTCGTACTCTGGATGAGTAGTTTTTCTTGCTACAGTTGAGAACAGCTCAAACAGATTGTTAATTTCTGCGTTTCTTGTCTTTGGAGCTTTTCGGCCTCCTCTTATTCTAGTTGGTCTTCCTAACATACTGCTAGGGGTAAAATTAAAAGAAAAATAAAAGCAAAAATTACATTGGAATAGCAACGAATCCGTTTGAAAAGGATTTGTCTACAAAAAATCTAGAATGGCTCTCTTCTTTGCCTGCAGCCACATACAGCGTGGATTCTTTTTGCAAGAAATCGTTGGGCACTCCATCTATTTTATATGTATTTAAAATTTCCAATGTCTTTGCAACGCCAAGCACAATAATTTTTCCATCTGACAGCCCAATAGCAGCTGTGTTCTGGGAAACAAGCTTCAAGCAGGATACTTCTGCAAGGCTGTTCTCTTCTGTTGGGATGCAAATGCTGCATATAGGATCACTCTTGTTTATGCTGTATAAATGCACTGTTTGTGTGCTGGAGACAACCAAGAACTCTTCCGCAGTAACAAATGCTCCGTAGAGTGCATAGCCCTCGCTAAGGTGGAATAGCAGCTGGGTGTCCTTTTCTAGCCTAAATATCCGCACAGTTTCTGTTAGCTCTGATGTACACAGAAACAGCTTCTTGTCCGGAGAAAGAGACGTGGACTTTATGGGGGTTTTTGGACCGTATAGGGCTTTAATAAAAAGCAGATGCACAGTTTTAACTCCGTTAGATTCATTTATATCCAGCTTCCATATAAACACTCTATGGTCTGCGGAGGCAGTGATAATTTCTGTTTCATTATTCTCTGTCTCAATTGCATGTATCGATATGATCTGTCCTCTGTGCCGTTTAGATATTCGCTTGTAGCGCTTTTCGCATAGAGATTTGACCTCTCCGGTGCGCGCGCCTACAAGTAGAATGTTATTTACTGCGCAAATGGCAGTCGTGGTTGTTCTGTCCTTTACCAGAACTTTTCTTTCCTGTGTCTCAGGAGCAACAGTAATTATTTCTCCTGACTTCTGGGTGATAACCATTAAATTATTCTGCACATCCATAGCAGTTGGTGGTGATCGCAGCTTAGTGACTACAGTATGGGCTAATGCGGCTGACTCTGCTGTCATTAAAAAAACTGAATAATTTCGCTGTAATTAATTATAAAATTTTTATAGTCCTTGGGTAGATAGGTGTGATATCCTCTTGATGCAATGCGCAGTGAATAGCTTGCGACTTTGTATACGCATGCGCAAGGCAAACGATCAGGCTCTTTATATATAGATGCAGTGTTTCTTGCTGCTCTATAAGTCTAGTAGAAGCATGCAGTAAAGAGGTTCTTGCTATGCATTTTGAGAAGCTTTTATATCCAGTGCTAGAATACCTTTGAGATTCAGGCTGTTTGCAAGATGTTCTTCATATTAAAAGGCCAAACACGCATGGTGCACTTGGGTGAAAGTGCTAAAGGAAAGACATAGGAAGAGAAAGTGTATGAGCTCTTCTTTCTAGTAAACATTCCCAAATTACTGTATATATACAGTAGGATGCATCTGTTAACATAAATACAATTTATTCTAGACCAATGTGTTGATGGCAAGCTCTTACTATTTTTGCATAAGCTATGTATATTTATTACTCTAAAGACATAATAAAGAAAATAGTTAGCTAGCAAAAGAAACCAAACCTCTTAATATAAGTAGCGATGAATAGTAAGAGAAGAAATTAGGCAGAAGGTACATCATATATACCATTTGATGCGGCCTAAATATAGTTTGTGATGGCTGGAGCCAAAAAGTCTTCTGTCTGCGCATTATAAAACTGCATGTATGGCTTTGGATGGAAAGCACACCTACAGGTATGAGCATGTGCCGCTTTTAATAGAATGAAATCAGCAACAGAATAGTATGTAGACATATTAAAGTGTCTGAGAACTGGATACACACAGAGCTTAAGAGAAAATACAAAGATGTTTTATAAACTAGTGATTTTATGTGAAAGTGCAGCAAGCTTTAAACAGTATAGCAGTGGCTAAATAAATCGCTAATAATTGTGCATAAAGGAAAAAATAATACGCTTAAGAATGCATAAATGCGTAACAAAACTAGATGAAAGTTGACAAACTGAATCTAAAATTATGTGATAGATAAGGCATTTATCTTAAATTAAATAGAACCCTATCTAGAACTGTAAAGCATTGACTGTTCAAATAACTGCATTGGTGATCTTTGTATATGCAAAAACTGAAAAATCGTTATACACTAATAAACACTAAATTTGAGATAGAATAAGTGCACAGCAGGTGGTTCACAACATAAAAGCACGCAGCCTTGCACTGTCTAAGTATAGCTAAAGGTTTTTCATTTGATTTTTATTTTTCTTTGTATGTGTATAAGTAATCTAGTTGGGAAAGCGTGTGGGGGCTTTCTAGTTCTTGGAAGCACTGTTTTTGCTTTGGCGTTCGGAGGCAGGTATATCATTCTTCTTCCAATTATTATTTTCCATATGTTTGCCAGCTGGTATAACAAAAAAGCACGATCAGCTTCTGTAAAAAAGCTTGCAACGGCACTAGAGGTGATTTTCTCAATTGGCACAATATTTGGGTATTTTATTGTAAGTAACACTGTTTTTCTGCTGCTTCCTGGGTCAAGCGCGCTAGAAAAAATTCCAAGGCCATTGGTATTGCTTATGTATGTGGACTTTGTTGTATATACATGCTACGTGGCCCACATAATATTGAGCTACTTGGAGCAGGATGTGCCTGAGGAGGAGGACTCGTCTGATATAATAAGATGCAATCAGATGAAAACTTTGAATAGACAGAGCGTATAAGCAAATGCCTATTAAGATGTAAAATTTTAGCTAATTTTTTCAGTATGTCCAGCTACAACAAACGGATTCGGGAAAACTACCTCTCCACTCGGGTAAACGACGAGAGAGAGAAAATGACTCTGCAGAACATATATACCTTCGACAAGATGGCGGGGATAGACCAGCAGAAAAAAGAAATAATGGAGGCCCTAAAAATGCCTTTGGAGCACTATAAATACTATGAGCAGATTGGGGTTGAGCCTGCGGGCGGTATACTTATTCATGGGCCGTGCGGGTGCGGAAAAACAGCCTTTGCAAATGCAGCTGCCAAAGAGGCAGGTCTTCCGATTTTTCCTATTACAAGAGGGGACTTTATTTCTAAAAGCGGGGCTTCTGAAGATAACGCCTCGGCTGTTTTAGAGAAGGCAGTTTCGTTCTCTCCAGCGATTATACTCATCGATGACATAGACCGGTTTTGTATGAAAAGGGAGGGGCTAGACAATGAGTCAGACAAGCGGGTGGTTCTTCGGGTAGTGGAGTTTATCAGTGCCCTTCCAAAGAAAGTGCTGGTTATTGCAACAGCCACCTCTGCAGATGACATAGATCCAATTCTCAGAAGGTCTGGAAGGCTGGAGAGAGAAATAAAGCTGATGGTGCCAACTGAAAATGAGAGAAAGCTAATCGTGCAGAAGCTTTTTTCTGCTACAGTGAATAAGAATCTTGACTACGAAAAAATTACAAAAGCCACTCCAGGATACGTTGGTGCAGATATTAAGCTGCTAGTAACAGAGGCAGGCCACTCGGCGGTTAGGCGGGCTGTGCGCGAGAAAGAAAATATTTCTGCAAGCGCTGGTGGCCAGCGTGAGAGTCTCTTGGCAATCACACAGGACGATGTGTGCGAGGCTTTGGCAAAAGTGCAGCCTGTTGCCAAAAAGGAGGGCTTCACAACAGCATCGGATATCTCCTTAGATGATGTGGGGGCCATGGAGCACATAAAGAAGGTGCTTGAGATGGCCATAGTGCAGCCTTCTTTGTATCCAGAGAGATTTATAAAGGTGGGAATTCAGCGGCCTGCCGGAGTTCTTCTTTATGGGCCGCCAGGAACGGGAAAAACAATGCTGGCGCGGGCTATATCTAACAAGACACACTGTAACTTCATTTCTGTGAAAGGGCCAGAGCTGATCAGCATGTATTATGGAGAAAGCGAGAGAGCCATCAGAAAGCTCTTTGCCAGAGCAAAGGCATCCCAGCCATGTGTCATATTTTTCGATGAAATTGACTCAATATGTAGGAAGAGAGATGCTGGAGCAAGCAAATTTGGAGACACCCTTGTGAACCAGCTGTTGATAGAAATGGATGGGCTTGAGGGAAGAGGAGCTGTCTATGTTCTGGGAGCTACAAATAGAATAGACATCCTAGACAGAGCTCTTCTGCGCCCAGGGCGATTTGATAACATAATTGAGGTGCTGCCGCCCACTCCTTTGGAGCTCATTGAAATACTATCCAAAAAGCTCTCAAAGCTAGCTGTTGATAAGAATGTCAACCTGGAGGCATTGTACCTGGAGGGCCTCACTGGTGCAGAGATAGATCTGCTTATAAGAGAGGCCGGAAATGTGTGTCTGCAGGAAACGCCTTTAGACTCCGATCCAGTTATTGGGCAGGCGCACTTAGAGTATGCTTTAGAAAAAATAAGAGATAAAATCTATACTCTTCAGAAATAAAAATACATAATTCAGCTATTGTCTAAAATAAATCACTTTGCTATATTTATAATCTCATCTTTTAGTAGGCTTTATCTAGGAGCTGCAGATTTGTTACACCTTTGTGTAGAATAAATCAGAAGTGCACTTGAATGAAGCTAGTAAGGCATAGTGCTGCTGCAGAGCTTTGCCATAATAAATGCTCCAATGCCAACGCCAGTGGCCACTCCAATGCCAACGTATTTAACTAAATCCTTGTAAAAGAACAGCTCTGCAGGGTTTACCCTCGCGCAAGGTGCGTCTTTTATAGAAGGCTCCTCCTTTCCATCGCAAGCATCCTTCTTTTTCTCTGCATGCACGCCCACACTGCCTTCACTTTGCACAGTGCCTGCCAAGTCTATAGGCTTTGCCAGCTTCTCAGACAGCTCGCTTAAAAGAGTTAGCATCTTCTGATTGAACTGGGTCTCATATGTTTCAAGCTTTTTCACTCTATCCGTTGTAAACTCAATCGTGTCATTTGTTCTGTTTGCATTGGGGCTTTCATTCTTTTCTATTATATCATTTATCCGAGAGAGAATTTCATGGCACTTGTCATTTGATCGGGCAGGCTGTGTGTGCGGCATGGTTTTCCAGCTGTATAGAGCATCCTTGCGGGGCAAAATGTTTGTGCTTCGAGAGTCCTTTATCTCTTTAAACTCATCTAATCTTTTCTGTCTTTCGTTCTTTCGATTGATGATAAATTTGTCAGTTAGTCCTATGTTTATGTCAAGCGAGTTCTGTGTCTTTTCGGCAAGATTATTAGCGCCCTCTGCTACGTCCTCCAGAATGCTTTTAAATTCATACTGGGTTTCATCAAGCGCTTCTGGTAGTATTATTGTGTTGCTAGTATCTAAGTCATACTGCGGAGCCTCTTTAAATGTATTTTCTAAATCGCACATATTCACCTTATTGCTTTTAGCAGCATCAATTATTACCTCAATTAATTTCTTCATTATTCTTTTGCTCACGCGCACCCTCCTATAGTCATACATCTTTCTTTTTACTTCGTAGAGAACATCAGAGCTTCGAATTGGAATATTTAGCATGGAGGGAAGCGTGTCTAGCGAAAGAATAAGCTTCTCAATAGGCTGCTCTCTCTCGACGCCATACATTCTGTTAATAAACTGCTCTACACACTCATTTCGATCTGCCATGACTCTTCTTGCAATAAAAATATTTGCATGCATAGCATATTTCATGTGAAGTATTCAGAGGACGGGGCGCGAGCTAAAAAATAGCATAGAGAGCACAGAGTGGCAAATAGTCGAATTACATTAAAGCAAATATATCTTTAAAATAGAAAATTATAACCAGAATGCATACGTATATATAACTTTATTATAGTATTATACCAATCACTTGCGCAAGAACATAACACCTAATAGAGCTACCCCAATAAGGACAAACAGTGCTATCAAGAAAAAAGCCCCCTTCTTTAAGCTTCTTTTTTTTCTTAGATTTTTTAGGTCAGAGACAAACTCTTCATGCATGTATACTATAAAAGCCTTCATTGAGTCTGTTTTGTAGTCGGTCTTTAGATCCATGTATCTGTTAACTTCATCCACACTTACTATGTAGTACATGTTTTCTCCTATTGTTATATGCTTTCTTCCCATTCCTTTGTTCGGGTTAAGTACATCTGTGTCCTCCTTTTTTAGTTTTGGGGCTTCTTCTTTTTTCTTTTCTGGCACTGCAGGCTCTTTTTTATCTGGCGCTGCTATGTTTTCCTTCTGTGCTGCTGCACCTCCCTGCGGTGCCTCCAATACTGGTTTGCTTTCTGCTGCTACTGCATTTCCTGCCATAGGCGTCCCTGGCTCTGTGCCTATATACAATCGGATTTCACTTGACCAATAGAAAGATGATATATGCGATTGGATCGAATATTTAATTTCAAAAGAATTGACAGAAAGAACTTAAATAAAGCACTGATCTTTTCTCCTAGATATTCAGGAGACTGTAGAATATTCCGAAGCATTCGAATATTGGCGGGAACATGTATTTTATGCAAAGGCTAGTCTGCAAGTTTTTTAAAATGGCGCAGCAGGAAAGAGGAAAAAGCAAAGATGTAAATGCAAAGAAACTGCCCGCTAGTATTAGCTCTATTCTGAGCGACCAGGACGAGCTTGGCATAGACAACATTCGGCTGATAGACTATGGGGGGAAGGATGACGAGATGTTCAAAGACCTCTCAATAAACGACCCAGAGGATATAAGCGAGCTAGACATGACAAAGATATATGAAAACGAGCTGGAGCAGAGCGACGACGACTTAGACATAGGAGAGGAGGAAATAAAGAAAATAAGGGGTTTCGAGGAGAGCATAGACCATAAGTCACGGCATAATACACAAATGTTTGGCACCCTATACCCGCACATGGACACAGCGTACAACTCAAGAGTTGCGGATCTAAATAGTGACGTGGGCAACGACATATGTAAGGAGAACATCAAGAAGATATACAGCTATCTAAAAGAGGACCAGAAACAGGAAGAGGAAATACAGGCAGAGATAGAGAAGACTCTTGAGTATATTCGGCGAATGAAAGAAGCTGAGAAGGTAAGCGGTAATTCTTCATCCAAGCTATAGGCAAAGGCAGTGATTTTACCGTCTGTACATGTTTTTATCAAGAAATGCAGAAGCAGCCAAAATGAGGGCTTCTGATAGTGACGGGGCCTTTGGCATGCAGTAGCCTGCCTTTTTGCAAGCAGGCTTGTTATAGTGAATATTTAAATAATAAATTCGGATACAAGTTGTATTTCTACTTTAAAGCATGCGGCTGAAGTGCATCTGCAGAAGTATATTAAGACCATGCGTATGGACATATTATGTATTTACAATATTAAGGCTAGTTACTCTCTGCAGAAATATCTACTAAGCTGGTAAGAGGATAAGAGCACATTAAAGAGTAAATGATTTTGCCAGAGCTTGGCTTACATCTACAATAGAACACTCATGTGGCATAATTACAAAGTTATCCTCAGAAGTAATTCAGCTATATTTTATAGTACTAGTACTCCAATTAAGGATCCTATATATGGGAATTGGTAGTAGGATGGGTCTGCCTTGGAGAGAGAAAAGCTCAGCTCCAAAGAAGAAAGACGCTTCTTCCTAGATGCATACTGCAAAAGGCATGTGTATAAGTATAGATTGTTTATTAATGCAGTCTGTTTTATAATAATCTGAAAGATACCTATTTGGCAGCCTTCTTCTTTCCCTTCATTTTGCTGGCCTTATGCTTTTTGTTCGGCATTGTCCTCTTAATCATCGCGTCATTTTTCATCTTTGCAGTAAACTCCTTTCTCTTATCTCCGCGCTCTTGTGTGATCTCCTTTATTCTGTCCTCTCGGGCCTTTTGCTTTGCTTCCTTCATCTGCTCAACTTTGAAGGAAAGAGAGCGCAGGAGCTTGAGCTTGTGCATTGTCTCCTCTGTTCCTTGCAAGACTTCCTTCTCCTCGTCTTTTTTAAGCATAGACAGAGGGGCTTTGGATAGCACTGATTTTGGAATGGGGGCAACACGGCAGGCTGCAGGCTCTTCAATATCCCTGTACACGCTGTCCTGTTTACTTTCGAGAGAGATACCGTGCGCGTCTCTGATCTCCTTAAGAAGCTTTATTTCGCCGGAGTCTGCAAAGCTCTCTGCGTTAAGATAGATCTTTGGCGGAGTGATTGGGAAGAAGCACGGAAGGAAGATAATTTCGCTCATCTTAATGACCCCTTCAAACGAAGCTCTGAAAACTCCTTTCGCTCCTGCTTTTTTTATCTGTCCTCTAAGCCCGCTCACAGTCTTAAGCATAGCTCCTTCGTATCGCGCAGCTTCTTCCTGTGTATGGAACATGTCCTTCACAAAGACTGTGTGTCCTTTTATTTCTTGCGGGTATCCAATCAGCTTCAGCTTTTTCATAATTCGGGGCCTGCCACCAATTTCGCACTGCATGCCATTTGCCGCAATTCTAAAGTTCTTATCAGTGCCAAACTTTCTTAAAATAGTAAAGCTTGTGCCGGGCGGGTGTGTTGGGCCATAGAAGGTTGCGTTGCATGTCATGCTTTCGGGGATGTACTTTAGAAGTCTGTTTCTAATTGCATCTTTCAGAGAGAACACTGGTGTGGTTTGGAACCTTCTCCACCCCATAGAGATATAGTGGGCTTCTTTTGTTTTCAGAGTCTTTTTGAACCATTTGTGTCTTTTGACTCTTCCCTGAATGAATGTCATGGAAAGCTCCTCTTCCTTGTTTGCGCCAAGAATAAATATATTCTTTGGCGTGTATACACTAGAAACGACCTCTGGAAGAACAATCATGACTTTAACATATCTTCCTGGTGCTATTCCCTCCAGATGCTCTCTTGCCTCTGCAGAGTGCCTGTCAAGCAAGCTCTGCGTTGCCTCTTCTGCCTCTTTTACTTTTTCTTTCTCCTGCGTGAATATATCTCTTTTGTCCTTCACTTCTTCTATGTACTTGTCATTGAAGCGCTCAATATAGTCCTCTTCATCTTCCTCCTTCATCTTAAACATCATCTTCACTGCCTCTTCATCCATATGGTCGCTCTCATCGCTAGAGATATGCTCAATCGAGCATATTTCAGAGACTGTTTGGCTGCTTTGCTTCACAGTGTTCTGCTTAATCTCGTCTTCTAGCGAGTCCTCGCTGTCGGTTACACAGTTTTCTGGCATTTCGTCTTCTGACTCCTGCTCTTTTTTCTGCGCTTTTTCGCTTTCCGCAGCTTCAGCTGGGTCTACCTCTGACTCAATTCGAATTTTCTTGCCTGGCTCTGCAAAGAGAGAGAAAGGGGTTTCGGCTGCTTCGCTTGGATTGTAGATTGGAGCCTCCTGCTCTTCCTTTGGCTTTTTTATGTCCAGATAAATTGCGTCCTGCTCGACAAGCATCCCTCTTATGTCACTTGTTGGGGCATACAGAGGCTTCTTTCTCTCGCTAAGCTTCTTTTTCTGCTGAGTGGTTAGAGGGCACGGATCGTTTATAACAGTTATGCTTTCTGCAGAGTAGTCTCCAATTCCTGGCAGATGGAACACAGTGTTCTTTTTTAGTGCAATGCCTCCTCTGACATACCCAGTGAGAGAGAACAGCCGCATTCCGCTTGGGACACAAATGCCGGCCTCTTCTTTTTTGTCCTCCTCTAGAATCTGGTCTGCCACAATGTATGGATGCGTGGCTCTCCACATAAAGGGCCTGTACTTCATCTGTGTGATGTATCGCGAGGCTTTGATTACATCCCTATCCAGATATCGCCCTCCAACTACTTTGGACATTGGAATGACCTTTATCCCATCACACACTTCAGTCCACAGCCGCTTCTTCATCTTTTTAATAAGCGATCTCTGCTTGGTCATTCCACCTTCGATCTTGTCTATTTTTGTGATGACACACATTACCTTTGGGAACCCATGTGTTCTCAGTAGATTTAGCATTTCAAATGTTTCTATCTCTAGGCCTATTTCGGCGTCAATAATCAGAATCATCAGGTCTGTGACTTTAGAGGTGTCTGCCATTATAGGAAGGTCCGCAGGGCACTCATAGAAGCTCATTCTTTTTGACTTTGCTGCCATCAGAGTCACAACTCCATTAATCTTCTGGATCTTCTGCTTTGTGTAACACCGCACAATTGAATTCATGAAAAGAGTCTTTCCAGACGATGGTGGCCCAAATATTGTAATCATAGGCGGTGCAGGCTCTACACCGTATGACCGCGTGATTATTGGGGTTTGGTATTTCCTTTCATCGTACTTAACTTTCTTAAGAGCCGCCAATCTGTTTGTGGCCAGTTTCTTTGCTCTTCTTTGAGCGCTTATTACTTCTTTCGAATTTTCGCCCATTATGTAATTTTGTAAAAATTTGCAACTCTTCAACGGCCACTCAAAGGTATTTTCTCTTTCTTTTCTTTTCTATTCATAGCCATTGCATCTACATCTGGGAAGATTCTTCGCTGAACATATTTAAGATTTCTATACTATACATTCCAAACATAATAAAGACTGTATTCGCTGCGAGTTTATACAAACATGCCTCTGCCTCATAAAAGTCCATTTTGATCTTTCTTTCTCAATGTATGTATATCTCATAAAGTAGAGTGTTTTTATGTTGTTAGCGCACTCATGCCTCGCAGGGTAGGATATTTAGTTCTTAGTCTATTCATAAAAATATTCTGGGCTAGAAGGCCTTATATGAATATATTCATCTAATGAAAAACTATTTTTCACAGACTTGTATGCTAGACAAAAAACAAAAGCTGAATACTGAGCTACTAAGATATGCTGTAAGCACTGGGATCTTTGGGATAGGAATGTCCCTAAATCTTCAGTCGCCTGCTGCTATCATGAATATGCACTCTGCAAGAATATTTCTAAATATCCAGGAGATGAGGGAGCAGTGGATGTACTCGGGGCTAGACACGCAAAGAGCAATTACGACAGCAGGAAGCATAGTCTCCTCTGCTGCCATTCTTATTTCAGGGCACTCTCGGGTATCGCGGGTTGCCGAAAGCACATACTTAGCTTTGGAGGCTGTTGGTAAAGTGCAACAGTGGCTGAGAATCCGCCGAATCGCTAGAAGCTCTGCGCCTGCCTCAACCACGCAGATATCGGAGATGTATTCAAAGGCGACGTTTTCTACGGTAATAGCGCTTGTTGAGCTGTTTTCGTACATGTTTTCTATTTGGCCCATATACCTCTTGGTTGCTGTCTTGAAAGGTGGACATTTCCTGTATAGGTCACTTTCAAGCACTTTGCAGGAAACTCTCCACGGATACAGCACAGGAAAGAAAAAGATACACTTTCTGATCAATTCATGTTTTACATAAAACATAGAAATACAAACAAATCAAAACATATGGAGGCTTATCTTCTATATAGAAGCGTGTAAGGGAAGCACCATGCAAACAGAAAGGTGCCAAGCAGTTGCGCAGCCAGAAAAAACCTGCAAGCATTTAAACTTTATGGGTATAAGCATGTGCGGGAAGAAGCTAGTTGCAACTTGTTTTATAATTGGGATAACTGCCAAAGCCCAGATAGCGCTCTATTCTGTATATCTTCTCTCTATAATCATTTCAAATCTGGTAGAGTCAGTTGAAAACTTTAATATATACTTTGCAAGGACTATTCCCATGGCGGGCCTGGTTGTGCAGATATTTCTAGCATCCCCAAAAGGCTTTTTTCCAGTCTCTCTCGCGCTTATTTCACTAGTGCTGATATATATAAAGATATTTACTATAAATGACACATTTGATGAGTATAACGGCGTTATTACTGTGGGCGTTACTATAGTGCTTTTTATGCAGCTAGACATGATTCTTAACTATACACTTACAGGAATGGATAGGTCTAGTGCTATAGACCTACACACCAGGTATGAAGCAGCGCATTTTATACTAACACTGTATCTGGGCATGCTTATGAACGTTCTGCACAAGTACATATATAACTCGGTTTGTTTGCTTGGAGCAGGCTATCTGTTTAATATTCTGAATCTGATCATGTCATGCACATTTGTATTTATTTCCTATACAGTGTGCAATATTCTTTACACACAGTGTCTATCCATGAAAGAGAGCCAGGCATAGATATGCAGGATAATAGGTGAACTGCCAAAAGCAGAGGAATGGAAAGTGATGTAGAAACAGGTTGAGATGATTTTCATTGGTTCGTTTGTGGATGGGGGTGATTGGTTATTTTATGCCTACAAGAAAGGAGGCACTCTTTTCAGCATGTCGGAGCTGCTAGAATTTCTGAATAAAGCAAAAGCCACAAACGAAACAATCTCAGCACTTGTTGAGTGTGTATCAATAGCAGATGCGCTTAAGACAAAAGCAAGGCATACAGATGAGAATCAGCTTCATCATATAGTAGAAGCAATGGAGAGTCTTTACAAAGACTTTAAAAAGCGAACGTGTGTTATAAAGCAAGACATAACGAGAATGAAGGAAGAAAACAGCCAGCACCTGGATAAGTATGGATTTGACAGAAGCTTTGCTACGCGAAATAGCTTTATGCAGAATCTTTTGAGAAGGCTTAGCCTTGTCATACAGGACTTTGGGCGTGTGCAGGGCGGCTTTGCGTCCAACCAGAAGGAAAGGCTCAAAGAGCAGTACTTGATAGCCAATCCGCAGGCAACAGAAAAAGAGCTGCACTACCTGGGGGAAAAGGAAAAAGGAAAGCTTCTTCTGCAGTCTGCATTTACGCTAGGCAATAAAAAAGCAAAGGAGGCGCTTATTCTGGCAGAAGAAAGAAGAAATTCTTTAGAGGCGCTGCTTGAGGGAATTTCTGACTTGAAAGATTTGACGGATGACTTCTCGGCAATTATAAGAAACGACACATGCGAAATGGACAGAATACATGTAGGGGTAAACTATGCAAATGTGCAAACAGGCACATCATGCAAATTAATTACAAACACAACAAACAGAAAAATCAAAATATTCAAAGCAAAGAAAACCACTACACTGATATTTGTAGCCATGCTATTTGCTATTCTCTTTCTTCTTATATTCAAGATAGCGCACTAAAGATAATAAAAATTTTATTCGCTTACACACTAGAAATGCATGTACAATGCACAGCACTGTTATATTTATAAGTTGTGTAGATAAATCGCATACATGTCCTATGCGCAGAGATGATCTATATATTTGTGTTATGTTTGCAAGAGCACTTAGGTTTTGGGTAGATTAAAAATAGATCAAAGAGAAGATAAACATGACGATAGAGGATGTTTTACACACTAGAAAGCCCGCTTAAGACTTGTATGTAGATGTAAATATTTAAATGAATTTAGTATGGAACATTTCTGTACATGTGTAAAGTGCTTTGAGTTAAATCCCCAGTGAATATTGTGTTTACTGGCTATTAAGAGTCTATTTCTGTATTTAGAGACCCAATTTATTTTTTTCCGTCGATTTAGAGTGCACTCTTTAAATGCTGTATGCGTGTTAGAATGCATATTTATAAACTATAATACTCAAAGCATTGATGCATGCGTTCGTTTTTAATATTAAGATGCTACCCGTGATATACCTTAATTTCTCTCTCCATCTGTGTATTAATTAATACACATAGCTTAATGGCGGCACTTAGCGCTCTCTCTATTCCTTTTATCTCTTATATGCATACTCCCTATACTATAGCTCTTTTTTGTCTGTTTCTTTCAGACTGCTTGCTTCAAAGTATTTTTGCTTACAGAAAGTCAAAATAAACCAACATCTGTATGGACTGCATATCGCACATACAACAGGCGCCACGACAAAATACACTCAGCCCCCAGCGAGCGCTGTAAAAGCAACTCTTTCTAACCGATATAACTACTTGGGATAAAATAATTTTTTATGCCTGTCCCAATTAGTAGAACCATTTTAGTTGCAGAAGCAGTAAGTGCTCTGCCAAACATAATGAAGAGGCCCGAATGTAAGCGAGGAATTAAAGCCATTCAAAGATGTCTGCTGAAAAAAGAAGAAGGTATAGTTGTGATGGCTGCTGATGTTGCTCCCTTTGACTTAGTCAGCCACATCCCAGCTCTGTGCTCTGCCTCAAATGTACCGCTTTTCTACATAAGCAGCAGATTTGACGTAAAAACAGAGAAGGACAAGCCAACCACATGCCTGTTTATTCCTTTGGGGATCCTGACAAAGGAGGAAGCACTACTCTTGCAATAGATAATAAACTAAATATTCAACCACATACACCATGCATCACTGCACTTTCCTAAAATACCCGTATATGATAAACTTAACTATTTATTCAATAACTGCGCTGGCGTGCTTGCTCTGCAGCTCCTTAATTTTATCACACACAGAATTAACTAATTTTCTTCCATACTCATCTACTCTTTTAAGAACAGCTGTGCTGCATGGGCAGAGCTTGCAATTTTTAAATGCATCTCTTAACTTACTATATCCGGGCACTTTCTGGCACAGAGCACAGGCCCCAATGCAGACCTTATGCAGAACGCAGCGTGCTACCTCAAGCCCCTTGATCAATAATAGTTCTGCCCGAAGTGCAGCCAGTTGTAGTTGGGTCTTCATAAAGATAAAGTACACATTTGTGAGAATGGGCTGCAGTGCAGGGATAGATGACAATTTGTCTCCTAGCCTACAGCACAGGTTAGTTTGGCACAAAAGTGCATACACGATCGCAATCATGGCTACAAGCCCTCCGAATCTTAGAAACCTGCTGGCTGTTCCTCTTTTCTGGATCTTTTCTGCTCTGCCTTGCTCCAGTGCTGATCTTTTCTGCTCTAATGCTGTTTTAGTCTGTGGCTTTACTACTTTCCAATTTTTCATATAAAGAAAAAAAAGTCTTGCTTAAGATACTTTGCTCACTTTGTATAACGATCGTGTAGTAGATTTTTGATATTGTTTTTAATAGCTACATCTTTACAGTCCAGAATGTTTTCGCACGAATGCCCTTCTGGGATGGAGTGTTTGATGCAGAATGACTTTAAGCAGAACTTGCACCTTAGATCTTTTGGCGAGTTTACTCTATTTTTGCACATAGAAAGAGCGCACTTATTTTTAATGCCTATAACAGTTATTTTTAGGTTAGGAATGCCAAATATCTGGCTTGGTGAGGTTACTGGCTTTTTGTCTATCTCCAGCCGGATGCAGGAGAGCCCGAATAGCTCCTTAGCCTTTTCCTTAATTTCTTCAAGTATATCTTCGGAGACATTAGTTGAAATTGCCTTCTCAATATAGTTATATACTATTGTAAACGAAATCTGTCTTATAACAGAGTGGCTCTCTTTTGCTTTGTGTGCTGGTGTTACTGCGGGCTCACTTGACTCCATGCTCTGTTTGAAATTTGCACATTATATTGTTGGTGTCTAGTGTAATGAAATATAATTGGTGTATGGTTGTTGTTTCTGCCAGGCAAGATTTCATGCGTTGCACTCTTCATAAATAGCAGCACTCTTCCTCAGTACAGCAGAAAGCACCAGCCAGAGCACCCAAATATTGTGGCAGAAGTTCGAAGTGACTTCCATCCAGCTATGCATGAAGATATATTTAAAATAGAACATAGAAGATGTTGAAGCAAGAAAATATGCAGTCAACTGCTAATTTCAAAAGGTCTATATTGCCAAGGAATAGGAGCCAAGTGGCAGATTGCCTCTATGAACTCTCTCTTGCAGAAACTATGGTAAAGCCAGAAGTTGCTACAATAAAGAAACCACCCACTCTAATCAACTATGCAATATACGAAGCAGTAGCTGCAGACACTTTGGGCTTTCCCAGTATATTACCAAATTGAGCACATATGCTAGCAAATTATATTTGGCGGGAAGCCAGAAAATACTTAAATTTTATTCAAGAAGGCATTGGCAGTACAAAATGTGTTTGCAAATCAGCACGCATGCATATTGCACACACAAAATGTATTGGGTGTGTATTTTCTTTATTTGATAGATTTGAACACAGTTCTGCACAAAGTGCAATATATGTCTATAGTGCATATATCGCCAGTTTCATGTGCTCTAGTGTGCATATGACTGATGGCACGCCAGATGGAACATAATTTCTGGAAATGCCAGACTGGCATTAATATCTTAATATTAAAGAAAATACTTTGAATTGGCTTTGTCGGAAAATCCGCGGTTCTAACGTTTTTAAATTTTTTATTTTGGATACGCAGGGGTTATACTACAGGGGATGGGACGACAAAAGAAAGTATTTGATAAGGATTGGGAGGTAAGATCACTCTCACAATATGATTATAATCCAAAGAATAGTATACTAGACAGTCAGGATGAGGAAATGTCGAGCGAAACTGCAAACTACGGACTTCTGTATGAAGATAGAGAGGACGACAGCAAAGAGTTAAAGACTGGGAAAAAAGAGAAAAGAGTTTCAACGCGGCGAATAGTAAACAGACCGGCATCGCAGCCACACATAAAATTAATAAGCGGAGAGAACAGGCTGTGCTTTAAATATCCAACAAAAATGGCAGAAGAAGGAAAAGGCGACATAGGAATAGAAGAAGTCGAGTTTTCTATAAAATATGATATTGAGAACGTGGATATTGACAAAATGACAGAGAAGTTTAAAATGGACAACAGTGTGTATCCTCGAGCCAATGTGCAGCAGGAGAGATATTTAGGAAACCGGTGGGAGTACGAGACAGAGGTAAATAAGCTAGCATGGAAGCTAACAGCTCTTAACCCCACGCTTCTGTATGGAAAGAAGGGGATTGTTCAGAGAGCTGTGGACTCATTCAGAAACTTGCACAGATCAACGAGCTCAAGAAGAGTTGTCCGCATGAAAAAAATGAATGAAGGCACGCTCAGAAAAAGACAGCCAGAAAACAACTCTCTCAACTCACCAAGCGCAGTCAGTATTACGTGGATACAGAAGGGAATTACAAAGAGATGCAAAGTGAGGATTGACATAGAAACAATTGACTACGACAAAATTGACAGCGACTTTAAGCTGAAATACTCTGTCTTTAGCGGAGAGTTTGACGATCAGTCGTTTGGTCTTGGAAAATGGGAAAATATGAATGAGGATAATGTATTGGCAGTGAAGCTCGCCTTTTTAAATGTTGACAACACTGCCTTTTGGAATGCAGTGAAAGCCACAGACAAAGTAACAATGCTAAGAAAGGCTGTAGAGTCATACAAAACAAAAAAGAACTACGACCAATCCAAAGAAGAGCAGTCTTCTCTTACAGATATACAACAGGATGATCTTTACTTCATAGATCCATCAGAAATGAACTATAGAGAGAAGTCTTTTTACTATTATCTGTAAGAACCTGAAATAAACTAAGATTTACACCATTCGTCCATATTAGTAGATTCATCGTGAAAAATCCCTCTGTTGCTGTTTGGCCACCCATGCCAATTGTTTTTCCTGTTCTATTGCAGAGCAGCTCCATCCCGTAAGTACTTTGATCCCCCGCATAATGGCTTCTAAATAGGCATGTGCTGAAGCACAGAGCCTGCACATTACCACCCAGCAATGTATTATCCTTTCTATTCTTTAATTAACTTTATGCTAGCTGGAAAATTTGTGCAGAAGTGTCTGCCTTCTGCCTAACTGCATGCAGTGCTATGCAGGGGGAAAGAATTTTCTAATATACATTCGCCCCTACATAAACAGACATCTTTGTATCTATCATATGGTTTATGGCATGCCTGCTATAATTTCCATGAGTCTAATTTAGAATTAACTACTAAATTAAGAATAAGTCATAGGATACCAAGATAAACTTAAACCATGCACATTTAAGAAGCTTAAGCCTTTAATAAAGGAATATAAGGATATTTTATAAGAATACATACATTCCCAGCTGCTTTCTGCATGTTTATTATGCAGCGTTGAATCATTTGTTCTGCACAGCTCAGGACTTACAGAAAATGCATATAGCAATCCGCCCTCTAAATAGCATGGTGCTAGCTATTGCAAGAGCATAATGGCATGCTGTGTATATATGTTTGCGTATTCATACGCAGCCCATTCAAATTTAAGTATATTCCATCTCGTAGTGATTTCTATTACTGAAATATCTAATAAATACATATTTATAAGTCAGTTTTTACTGAAATGAATTTAGTATATCCTACGCGCACTGAACTTTTTCCCGGATTTATGAATTATTAAAATAATACAGCCTGAGCCCCTATGCTCTCTTTACTTTCCACACCACCAGTCTAGAATTGATTCGATCAAGCCTCTGCTCAAGAATATGCTAAGAGCAGGCGTCTGCTTCGCTACTATTTTTGCACAGACACGTATAGAAGAAGAGAGTCTGCATTCATCTTCTACCCACAGCATGCACAGGCTAAAATGCCTATATACACGCATCCATCAAACCAGATTACATTTGTGCATAGTATATTATGTGTTTGTTTGCAATGTATATTTATGTTTATCCAGGATGTGTGGAAGATGATAAAAGATCCATATCAGAACAATCCTATTAGAATAATAATAGAAATATTGCTTCTAGGAATCGTGCTCAAATATGCATTTGACCAGAAGAAATCCTCGAAAGAAGTAATTCTGTCGCATCAAGAGGCTGAGCAGTTGATTGAAGAGTGGGAGCCCAAAGACCTAGGAACATCCGAGGCAATGCCTGCGCCGCACGAGTGCAAGGATCCAAAATACATTCTATCCACCTTCAACCCATTTCTCTTCAGCAGCACTGTTGAAATACCCAAATACAACCCTCTGCCTGTTGAGACATCAGAGCAAAAAAAGGAGAAACTTGCTATACTGTCTGATGCAATTGAAAAATATGGAGTCGGCACATGTGGGCCCAGAGGGTTCTATGGGACGATTGACATTCATCTTGAGCTGGAGCAAATGCTTGCGCAGTCGCTTGGGGCTGAAGGCGCCGTGCTGTACGCACACTCTCTGCTAGCAATAGCAAGTGTTATAAAATGCTTTTGCAAGAGGGACGATGTGATCTTCTATGACCATAGGTCCTCAATCAGCATAAGAAGAGGCATCTACTCATCAAAAGCCAAGGCCATTTCGTACATATCCACTGCAGATCTGAATCTTAAGCTTGCTTTGGAGGGATCTCTTAAAAACAAGAAGTTTATCATCACCGAGGGTGTGTTTGAGGAAACAGGAGAAACCTCAGACCTTGCATCTATAGTAAAAGCACGATCACTGCATAAAGCCTTTCTTATTCTGGATGAGTCAGTTAGCTTGCCTATGCTTGGGAGTTCTGGCGCTGTCGGGTTCTTTGGCGCAAACCCGTCACAGATTGACCTTCGGATTGGATCTTTGTCAACTGGATTCGGGTCTGCTGGAGGATTCTGTGTTGGATCAAAAGAAGCCTCGGATCTGCAGCGGCTAAGCAGTTTGGCATACTGTTTCTCTGCGTCGCTTCCTGCATACCTTGCACAGGCTGCGCTTCTTAATATAGCCTCTGTAATTGAGTGGGAGGAGTCTCAGATTGGGTTTGTTACGCAGTCTGAGTCGGAGTCTTCATCGGAGGAGTCGCAGTACACGCCTGCCATTGACTATCCTATAAAGAAAACAATCAAGTCCCCGAAGTTTGTCTCTAACTTCCTTCGAGAGAAGAACTCTTTAGTCAACCAGGAGGCTGCTGAAAAGTTCCACTCTAAGTTCAATTCTCTTGCAAGAGGTCTGCCTTTCCGGGCCAAAACGGACCAATTCACACCAATCGCCAGAATACTTCTCCACGAAGACCATCCAGACGTGCCAAGTGTGTTCTCTGCGATTCATGCGGGGCTTGCTGCAGAAGGAGTCTTTGTCCGGCTGTCGGAGTACCCCGATCCGTCTGTTCTTTTTGTCTTCCACAACGCATTCCCCCAGGAAGAGGTCATTCCCCTTGCGAAGACTGTTATCAAAGTGATTAATGAAACATACACAGGCGAATTTTAGCCTCTTACCCACGGCCATCAGCCGCTGCAACCAACAAGGGACGAATCTCTCAAGCATGCTCCTATCATGCAATTAATAGAACCCACTTGAAATAAAACTTGTAACATAAGTTCTTGCAAATTTACAACCCTCGCCAACTCTTTCTATGCAGTGCAGAATAACTGTTAGAATGTAGAATCTTCTTTATTAATTCATATGTCTCATTTCAGATAATAATCTCTCCTGTCTGGCCTTTGCGCCCTTTAAACTTCCAAGTCTCTTCTTCAAGAATTTTCTCATCTTCTTTTCTTCTCCTCGTCTTCCAAAATCTATGGCCTTCTTTTCGTATGGTGCTAATCCGCATATTTCCTTTGCAATGTTCTTGGCTAAGGCGGTCTTCTCCATGGCGATCTTTGCGAACTCGGATGGGTTTTGTCTAATTAGCCTTTTGTGCTCTGATCTAGAAATGATTCTCTGGGTGGTGTGACCTCTTTCTTTTCCGAAAATGGTTCCATTACCATGGGGCTTTCCTTCAATTGGCTGTATTGTGTTTGGGTTTATCTTCATGCAGGGATAAAATAAAAATGAAAATATTTAGTTGCGGCAAAATTTGTCTGCTCTGAATAACGGGCATAGTTTTCAAGCAAGCCCTCTCTCTTTTGCACTTTACTTTTGTAATCACCTTGAATATATTACTCCACTACATCTGCTTATACAGCATCTTTCATTTGTGCAGTATAAAATGATTATGCGTATTGTGTGGGCACTATTTGTACAGAAAGTCTTCTTAAAGGTCCTTTCTTCTTCTGCAGAATAGTATAAGCTACATTGCATAAACCTGCTTTGATTCTCTCCTTGCATTGATATAAAGATCCCACATTTCCCATATACAGACACTCTATAGTGTTTAAATAGACAAAATCAGAATACGTCTGTAAGTTTAGCGCAATTGGGAACCATAGTAATTTCTAGAACTATATTGTGCTTTGTACAGAATGCTGCATATTCTGCATTCTTAAGGAAAGATAACTACTCATTCGGGTTCAGTGCGCATGATTGCATTGAATGGGAGATCCTTACTAGTTATTGACTCTTATTTCAGTCAAATGCATATGCATATATGCTAGCAGGCCCTATTATATATTATTATAAGCACAAATCTTGCTCTACGTAGAAATAAAACTATTTTGACTTTGCGCCATATAATTGTATGAGCTAAAGGATGTAATAATATGTGTGGGTTTTTTCCTTTGCTATGCCATATACTAGAGTTTATATGGGCACATTATGCGCTTTTCTTTGAAAGCTAGGCATATTTAGTAAATGTATGAAGTATTAACTCTCTAGGGCACTTCCTACCTGTCGCTGCAAAAAGGTCTTTTCTCTACATGTGCATGCAGGTACTGCATGTTATCTCTTCTGTTCTCTTCTTTTTGCTCTTCTTTGGTATTGTGCTTTTGGGTTTTATTTATTCACTTTTGTTTTTTTCTATCATGAAGCTCTATGAACTAAGAGGAGAGGTAAATGATATAGCAGCAAAATTAGAGGAAGATATTCTTTCTAATAGAAAACCTGCAACAAGCGTGCTTGAAGGCATTCGAGACAAAGTAAAAAGAATATATGAAGAGGTCTACCAGAAGGAGGCAACCTCTGAGTATCTGATAATTGATAGGCATGCAGTGGGGATGGACATTACAAGAGCAATGCTTCTCATCCAAATGATTGATACAAAGGTAGACATCGATATTCCGCTAAATGCCCTGCAGCGCAACACAAAGTCAACGATTTCCCAGCTCTCATCAAAGGAAATTCTGGTAGAGGCTGTTTACATATACATTATTAAGCACCAGCACTCGCATGGAATGATAGAGGTTCTGCGGATTCTAAAGAACAAGATGCTAATTAAAAAAACCATGACAAACGAAGAGAGCGATCTGGATAGGTTTATTTTGCAAAGTGTAAACAAAATTGTTGAGGCAAAGGTGGAGAGCCTTCTGCCAATTACACAGTGCGAAACAAACAATGAGCTGATTCTGGCGCTAAACGCAATACTTGAGGTTGACAACCTGAAGTACATTGAGGATGTTCTTCTGAATAACGTGTATCCTGCAGTAGACATACGAAATGTGCTGAGGCAGCTAATTCTTATAGACAGCATAGAGATCAACGGAGATTTGCTGGAGGTCTACCATCTGGTGCTGCAGATTCTTTTCCAGTACATCCAGATGAGAAAGAGAAAGGATATTTTCAAGAGCAAAGATGTTATATATGAGGTGCTGGATGATGACTGCGTTAGCATTATGGTGAGAATACTTGAGAAAGACACCGTGCCAAGCAACATTCGCATGGAGGTGATGAACATTCTAATTGAAAGCGACATACAGACAATCAACTACACGCACATAGACATCAACAACATAAATCTTGTTCCGCTAATTCGGTACGTAGTGAAGAACCCGGAACAGATCAGGCTGCTCATGGAAATACTAGAGGTGCTAGAGATTGAAATCACAGAGGACGGAAATGAGTCTGAGATCGCCAGCCTCATAGTAATCATGGACTTCCTGAACATTATTCTGCGCACATACACAGAAAACTCTCTGCCAAATAATGAAAAGCTGCAGGACACGGCCAGCTTCAATGCCCGTAGAGACCTGGGGCTGGAGAGTGTCTTTACTGAAGATGAGGGCTCTCCAAGCATGCAAACCATGAACACAGTGCGCATGTCACTTAACAGCACAATTTCAATTGAGAAATACATTGGAAATAGCATTGTGGAGGTGTACAACAGCATTATACCAGACTTTTCAAACCCTCTTATTATATACACATATTTGACCATGTTCAGCAGGCTGATTCAGGAAACACAACCGGACACTGCGTATTATAAAAACATAAACAACAAGAACAGCCTACTAAGCCACAGCACTGCAGCAATCAGCACGATTCTGAGAACACTCAGTATGTATGTGGCCCAGGACAATATGCTGTATGCCGAAATGCCTGCAATAAAGCTCTATGACCTGAACAGCCCATACAGCGCAATCTCCACATCTGAGACCTCTGCAGGTAAGAACATTCTTTTGGAGTCAATACAGATGCTTTACGCCATTATACTGCAGCTTCCAGAGCCGATAAAGAACACAATCAACACCAGCTATGTTCTGAATATCGTGTTTAGAGTAGTGCGAAAGAGCACAGGCCAGATCCCAAAGGACGTGCTGTCCTTCATTAGAGGCTTTTTCACCTCTCCAATACTCCACAAGCTGGCAAACTCAATTGGAGGAAACCTCTACCCGTTTATCTCTATTCTTACAAACAAAGGAGAGCTGGAGACAGTGTATAACCTGGTGCAAAACAGTAATAAGCTCTACAAGGGAATTCTGCAAAAAGACATCATATCAGAAAGTGTGATCACTGAGTACAAAAACACAAGTATCCTGTATAACCTTCTTGGAACAATCATAGTGCAGTACTACACAGAAAACACCCTACTAATCAACGCAGATATTAACAAAAAAATAGTTGATCTGTATAACATAGTCCTGAGAAACATCAAGAGGTCTCCGCATGTGTCTTTCTTAAAGGAAAGTAACGAGTTTGGGTATTTCTTCAAAATAATCTGTGTTGTTGGAAAGACTCTTGAGCTTGACTGCACGGATATGCTTAATGCAATTCTCTCTGCAACAGGGAACACAGGCGCAAGTGTAAGCCAGTGCCAGTCGTCTGTGATATACACCTGCAACAGCAGAAACATATCTGAGCTGTATTACTTCTATCACTTTATATATAAGGGCGTAGCAACAAACAGCAAATTGGTCATGGGAAAAGACATCCAGCAAGAAAAAGACTTGCTTTGCGTGGCAGAGCTGCACAACCAATACAGCAGCAACACACTCAGGTACTTGGCGCTGCTTGGCTTGGAGGGAAGCCATGTCAACAACCCAAGCTATCTTAAGGTGTATAAGGATCTAGATCTATCTTCTGTTGCAGCTGCTGAAAGAGGGCTATTTGTTAATCAGATATACAGAGCTCTATTCCTTTCCGGCCGCATACACACAGGAAGCCACTCAATCTCTGCACCATACAGCAGCAGCGCGCAAGACTCCTCAGCTTCACCAGCGCGAAATGAAAAACCAAGCGAATACAAAGCGAGAGAATACTCATACGCTGACATGGCAATTCGATCTGCTATAAAGTTCACTAGAGATACTGGAATTCCACAGACGCTTCCCCATACAGTTCTGGCGGTTGGTGATGCATCTCTTGTTTCAGCACTGCTCTATACGCTATATGATAAAGCCCCAAATTCTGCAATTGTCCACTCGTACATTAAGAAAATGCAAAAATATACTAAAAACGACAACACTGTCTTTTCAAGAGTTCTAGCGCATATTATGCTCTAGTACACAGAATAAATATTTATGATTTGAAAAATTCATGTTTAGCTCTTTTACTACCTAAAATTATATCCAGAGGGCTATAAATCTTCTCTTTCTCTGTTTATATAGTATAAATCATGTATTTCATGAATTTCTGTTTGAAAATAGCATAATTAAACTAATTTTTATTCAAAAGCTAAAAGAATTGAATGGGTTCGCTTTAATTCAAACTTTAACATTTTATGAAAATAATAAATTAATTAGTAGTCCAATAAAATTGATATATTTAATTTTGTGCTGTCATATGCTAGCCAATCAATACCACATTATACACATGAAGGAAAAATACCACTGTAACTTGGGCTGTTTCACTAAAAGAACTATTACATATACTAATTTTTACATCTACGTTTATTTCTATCTTCTTCAATAGCAAAAATTATCTCATTCCAAAAATGCATGTCTTCATTTCTATATGCTCTATCTATCATCTGAGAGAATATGCTTTATTGGCCAATTTGCAGCAGAGAAACTTAAAGCCTGTCACTTTTACATTTTTTTAGAGATTTAATAATTGAATTGACTTTAATATACTTCATAAAAAAGCTATTGATCATTATAAGATATTTAACTAAGTTTGCCTTTAATAAAAATATATTTTGAAATGGCATCAACTAAGAAATTAAGTCTAACTTTCTATATTGAACTATCTGCCTTAGTTAGTATTCTACTAGCAAATATATGCAGAGCAGATGCTGGATTACAAATAATAGACTCGGTTTTGCAATTTGAGATTACAACGGATGCAACACGCATAAAAATAAACCCAGATGGACCTCTTAACTTCCTGCGGGGATACATCTACCAAAAGATGGATTGCATGCACAACAAAAGATTTTTTGCCCCGCAGATTGACACAGAGTACAGTGCTAGCGAAGACCCAAAGTATCCAGATTTTTTTAGAATATCCCGATACAGTCGAGATATAAAAAAGGACAAAGCGTACAAAGCACTACCAGAAAATGAAATGGATGTGTTTTCTGAGAAGCTACATACTCATCTAATTAAGCTGTTTCCATCCCCGACTGGTGACATAACTATTGAGACACGAGGAAACCAGTCCTTTATTCAGTTCCTTCAGGCTGAGACAACAACGGAGCACGCATTGAAGATTCTGGCCATGCTACTTCTTTTCTCAGAGGGTGTGGATATTCCCATTAGAGTCAGCAACAATGTACTAGAAGTCTATGAAAAAGAGAAAAAAGACGAAATATACTTTAAAGTGCCCATGGTAATCTCATGGCTAAATATTAAAGAAGACAAGGTGGAAACATTCCAGCAGAGCAAGGTTAAGCAAATGATCAGCTTCTTCAAGGAGTATGCAACCAATCTTGAAGTGTTGAGTTTAATGGTGGATAAGTGCTCAAAAGAGGAAGTTATGTCTGGAAAGTTCCTAGACAGCCCCAAGTTTCTGATCCAGTATTATATATTCGAGTTCATCAACACTGCAGAGCATGCAATAGAGTTTATCCAGACAGTGCACGCAATGACAGAGAAGTATGCACCAAAGACAGAAGCACCAAGCAAGGATGACTGTGTGTATGACAGACTGTTTAAGCCTGCCATCGCTGAAGCAGAAGTAGACTGTGCAGCTTTAATGAAGGACACTCAAGATATTCTAAATACGTATCTGGCTTTTCCATTTGCAGACAACACACAGCTCCCTGCATACAGATCTGTTCCTTTGTACAACCGAGAATCAGCTAGCTTTTCCTCAAACTACTTGGAAAACTACAGCAACTGCGTGGAGTGCGTGATTCTCTCTCTATTCTGCTGCTTGGCTTATAATCCTGAAGAGAGAATTTATCAGACAGACCACATGGGAGACATCTCTCCAAGCCTCAAAGAATTTTTCTGTATGGATATGCAGCAATTCGACACAACGGCGGGTGAGTTCCAGGAGAAGTGGTGCAGAGTTGTTGCTGGTCTAGAAAACGTGAATATTGTATATCTTAGAGACAAAAACGAGATATATTCTGGTCTTCTGAATATTCTTACAGTCATTGCTGAAATAGTAAATGCGCCTGAGGACGAAAAAAACAAAATAGCAAATGCTATATGTGACCTATATAAACAAAATGGATATCTAACCAGTACATTGCATGAAAATATTAAAGACTACACAGAAAACCTACTTAAACGTCTATCCAAAACAAAAGATACAGAAGTAGAGGTTTCTCTTCTGGATGCCTTTAAAGATGACTATCATGAGAATTTGTATGATATCTCTGGAGTGATTACCATGGTATTTAAGCATTATGGTGTTCTCAACACCATAACTTTAAAAGTAGGTAAAGAACATAGTGAAATCGAGATGGAACCTACTGTTATAAAAGTTCATGATAACCGACTAGAAAGAATGAATAGAATGGCAGATACTTATAGAGATAGAAAGAAATTTATTGAAAATCTACTTACTATGTATGTTGAGTATGAGGCAAGAAAGATTGACACCCCTGAGAATAGCAATGAGTTTATGAGGTCTCAGGTATGCAAAACCATTGAGAACAACTTCACAGACATCAATAGACTGCTGCTAATGAAGAAAATTAGCGATTATAACTACAAACAGGATTTAGTTGCCTGTTCTATCATATACAGCATGGATCAGAAGCTATTCCTAAAGCACCCCCTTGTTCGGTTTACTTCCAACATAATAGGAAGCACTGAGCTGAATAGAATGCTTGTCCAGATGGATATGCTTGCTCCAATTGTCTTCGCAGATCTGCATAATAAAGATGGCAAGGTAGGCGCGTACCCAAGGCTGCAATTTTCAGAGAATAGATACAAACAACTTGCATATTTCTCATTTACCAGCTACTTTATTAATTATACGCTGTACAATGATGCTGTTTTTATGGTGTGGATCAAGTCCTTTAGATACACATGCATGAAAGATGAAGTTGAGACAAGGTCCCATCCACTAACAGTTAACAGATTTAATAGAAGAATTTGCCAATATATATTTAGAAATGGAGATATGAAGCTTTCTAATATCATTGATAGGTTCATCACGGATGCATATCCTGCACAGGTAGACGAGGTAACACCCCTGTTGCATTTTATCTGGACTGTATATCTTTGTGCGGAAGAGAATCCAAATGTACAGCTGATTAAGGCAAACTACGACTATATGTGTGACTCCAAGCACATTTCAAAAGATTCTGCCTCATTTGTTCTACTAGATGATATACGTGAGCAGGTTGTTAAAACTCTGAATGATCTAAAGGACCACCTGTGCAGAAATGAAGATGATGTCAATGAGCTTAATAAGTTTATACTTATTATTCAGAAAAAAGCTTAAAGCTCTTTCTCATCTGTAACACATGAATCTCATCGCTCCATGCAATAGCCCGGTTTTATGCATACTTATTTATCTATGAAGGCGTTTCGTGGATCCAATAAAAGTTTATCTTTACAAAACATACTATCTCTATTACGCTACTTTTTCTATGCTACTATACTTTCTCTGTTAAGAGAATTTCTCTTATATAATTTGAATTTATAAATATACTATGGTACTTTAGAATATTCTCAATAGACAGATGAATTAGAGCGCTTCAGACTTACTCAATTGGAATAAACCCCAAGTAATAGCACATGTGTCCACCTATTTAAAATTAATCTTGTCTGCATATATTTATACACTTCTTACTCTCAATATATAAATTCTTGCTATGTTTAGAACTATTGTTATGTGGCATACACCACTGATATTTACACTAGCAGCACAGTAAAAGAGTTTAAGCTAAAAAGCCATTCGAGGCTTGCGGACAAGGAATATTAGTTGAGCACACAAAGGGCGGACACAGTACAGCAAGACAGCAGGCAGATCGGGAGCGGCTGTTTATTAATAATAGTGTGTACCGGCCATGTACGGGCGCCATGTACTGCCTGCACACAGCACATCTTCGCTCGCTGCATACACATGTAGTGGTTAGCTGCTGCATATGCAGGGAGAGCGGCGTCTTGCGACTGGCCTGAGAACCCAGCGGCCCGCGCATGCTGCTGTTTGCCGGAGCGCTGCAGACAGCACGGCAGGCCATCGCGCGCGCTGCGCAGAGGAGAGGGCCAGTCGGTGCTGAGGACAGGAGCAGGGAAGTCCAGTGCACGCATAGTTCAGTGCCACTTCGGCTTAGACAACGCAGCGGCTCTAAATATTAAATGTACAAGCATCAAGGTAAAAAGAACATGCGCGGAATTTCCTAATGACAAAGTTGGCATCCAAGCTACTCCATATGGCCTTATAGGCTACCCCGAAGGGAATGATAATAGTGGACGACCCACCGGCAGGGTTAGTGCCGGCTTGCTCCTGCCACCTCCTAGCCAGCCCTCTCCTGCTGCACTGCGCCGTGAGACAGATGCAGCTCTCCTGGTGTTCTGAAATGCAGAGTGCGTGGCCCTTAAATACCCGCAGAAAATGATCAAATTGGGAAATATGTGCATTGGGCCCTTCTAAGTGCACTCTAGACCACATTTTGCTGTTTGTTTACTTAATTGCAGTATATAGACCGGTCTATGTGCAAATTGCGCATGTTGGAGGGCCATGTGACGAAAAATTAATATAGTGGGAGAGTGTGTACAAGGCATGTGCAGCAGGAACTGGAGAAAGACCTGCCGATGTAGAGTGGTGTGTACAGATGGGTAGGCGGGGTAGACGGCTTGTGTCTTGGCACTTGCATAGCATGCTTGAGGAATGCATTCTTGTCTACTTCTGATGTGTCTCTATCAGCATACATATTGCATATGTATAGTATGTACATATGTGTATGTATATCATGTGTAGTATGTGTGTATAGTTCTGTGCAGGTGTACGCATAGGTTTTCATGTCTGGGCAGAGCCTTTTTGTTCTTTATGTGGCCGGCGTGTGATGCGGAGTTTATTCAGCTTTCTACATTGCGCTGAGTGTTTGCCGAGAGTGGTTCTTCAAAAAGTGCAGTTTTCTGATTTTCGGGTGTCTTTATCTTTTTTTTAGAAGAAACAAACCCTTCTGAACAGTAGTGGTAGTGCGAATATTGTAGAGTTTATTTTTGCAAAGATGTAGAAGAAAGGATAATAAGAAGACATAGACAGCAGAACGAAGACATAGTACAGAAGAGGTAGATTAGAGATGGAGAGTACGGGATACATACATAAATCTTGTATAAATGCAGCTAAATGGATAGACAATACACATGCAGATTATAGTGCATGTTTGGATGCTATTTGGTATTGTATTCTCTAGCTTGTATAACTCACAAAATCTATACTAAATGGCGTTATATCAACTATAAGATTAAGTATGGAAAGCTTTACGCAATATTAAACCAATATATCTCTTACAATCTTAATCTGCCAGCTTAAATTATAGTTAGTTTTATTTGATGATCTATCCATCACGTCCTGCTCTTTAAATTAAGCTAGCATGCGCCAAGCATGTTCATAATAGTAGATAAAATTATACTAGAAAAGACTAAACAAAACAATGACATACATATTTGCATATGCACAATATAAATAGTTGGCATAAATAAAACACCTCTCCTAGACCAACACACTCTTTTATTTAAGAATGTAACTCAGATATATCCAAATTCCTTAAAAGAGACGCATTAATATATCTATTATTCTATGGCCTTCATCTAATTATAATAAAGGAACCTAGGAGTACAATCTGAGTTATTTAGCCCATATGCAATCATAATCCGCTTTTCTAAGCATTCTCCTTTCCTAACAACTGTCTTTAAGGTTCTTATCTGCACCAGCATAAATACCAATGAATCTTTTATTTTTTATATTCTCAATGGATGGTAGCGAGTTAATAGTTGGATGTAAAGTGTCGGTTTCTTCCATGCAGAATGGCGTGGTGGTGACCAAACAGGCTGAAATAGTGGCAATTAGAAACACAGAGGAGACTCCAGAGTACTATCTGCACTACAATGGGTTTAACAAAAGACTAGACCAATGGGTGACCCAGGACAGAATAGACATGTCTTCAGTTGAATTTCCAAAGAAAAAAAAGCAGAAAGAAGATCCAAAAAATAAAAACATTGCCGCAGAAGATATCTATCGAGTGAAGAACATAGACACAATCGAGATAGGAGAGTATTCAGTTGACAGCTGGTACTTCTCGCCGTATCCAAAAAAGATGAACAAGACAATTATTATATGTGAGTACTGTCTGTACTACTTCAATACAAAAGAAGAGCTTGCATCGCACTTTGCAACATGCGTGCATAAAAGGCCACCTGGAAAGCAGATTTATCGAAAGGCTGGGATATCCTTCTTTGAGCTTGATGGAATTGTCCATAGCAACTACTGCAGGAATCTTTCGCTTCTGTCCAAGCTATTTTTAGACCATAAAACACTTTTCTACGATATTGATGTATTTCTGTTCTATGTTATGTGTATATATAATCCAAGTGACCCAGAGGAAGCAAGAGAGTACAAAATAGTTGGGTATTTCTCAAAGGAGAAGGAGTCCCAGCATGGATATAACATAGCGTGCCTGCTAGTTTTACCACACTACCAGCGAAAAGGATATGGTAAAATCCTGATTGACTTCTCGTACTTGCTTAGCAAAAGAGAGAGGGTGGCGGCATCGCCTGAAAAGCCATTAAGTGACTTGGGTCTTCTTAGCTACAGAGAATATTGGGTAGGCGTCATATCACACATACTGATATACAACAGGCTGATATCCATCAATGGAATCCGGGACATGAGCAGCATAACTGTGGAGGATATTATTCACACTCTGCAGTATAACAATATGCTGGTTTACTACAATGGCTTGCCCTGCATAGTTCTAAGAGATGAGCTAGTTGCTAAATACAGCGAGCCGAAGGGTGTCCAGCTTGATCCAGAGTATCTATTATGGGAGGCACAGTAAGATGTGCATGAATATAGGCAAGGACAGAAAATCAATGTAGACCATAAATTCAACCACAAATAAAAATTGTCTTATAACTAGCTTTTGTGCCAATGGAGTATCTTTGAGGTAGCATTCTTTGAGCACCACTCTTACTGTTTATTTAAAACTTTTCAATTATTTATTCAGAAAATGAAAGCCTTCTGTATGATTTTACAAGATACAGTGCCTGCGAGGTTTTAGTTTCATATTATATTCGACTTTCTGTGTGGACTTGTACGGCATGGATTGCATTCTGTAAAATATGTATAACGCAACAAAAATAGCAGGTGCCAGAACTCAATAGCTTCTTTGCATGAGTACTTATTTAGAGAGGCGCAAGTCCCTATACCTTTCTATATAAGCGCGCAGTAAAATCACAATAAACAGATGCATAAAAAGAGGGTATATGCACACATCTAGTACTCGCTAAATAAGTCTTATTGATTACACATAAAATGCATGTTAACATAAAGACATGATATGCAAGATCTACTTGATCAGTATGCACCTTTGTATACACCATATTTAGTATTCAAAGGTTAAAGAATGCTAGCACTTGCAAGGAATTATGTGTATTTTACCTATATAACAATCAATCAAGCATATAAATCTATTTTCGGTGTATTTCTTGCACTAAATGCTGTTGGGCCTATATCTTATCTTAGGACATACATTTACACCCATCAAATGGCAGCATAGTGCATTTCAGTCCGATTGCTAACCAGACTATTTATTTCTTTATAATTAAAGCAGTAATAAATTTTCAACTTTAGAATATAGCCTTACAATTTTCTGTAGAGCGTCTGTGCAAGGAATATCTATTAAAATGCATTGCATGCTGTGGATTATTTTGTATCGGTATAAAAGCTGCCAATACAACAAAACCAATCACTTTGATTGTTTGTGTTAATAACACTGCCTGAAATTTACTGTGCTTTAAAAATGCAGGCCAAATCAAGAAGGCCTTTTCTTTGAGATTTGTTCAATTTCGCATCTATTTTATTTTATTTATTTTTAAAAGTAAATGGGCTCGGATATTTCTATACGGAGAGTGGAGAGTATTGAATTTGGCATATTGTCTCCAGAGGATATTATAGCAATGAGTGTGTGCAAAATAGAACACCCGGAAACAATGGAAAGCGGAGTACCAAAAGAAGGAGGATTAGTCGATCTGCGGCTGGGAACTTCGGAAAGAGGATTTCTTTGCAGCACATGCGGGCACAGGTCAGATAGCTGTGTGGGGCATTTTGGGTATATTGAGTTGGCAAAGCCCGTCTTTCACATAGGGTACATAGGAAAAATAAAAAAGGTACTGGAAAGCGTGTGCTTTTTCTGCTCCAAGCTGCGGGTAGAAAAGAGTAGTCTGCCTTCGCCCAAGCCAAGAACACAGAAAGAGAGAAAAAGAAGGCTGAATTACATATGGAACTTGGCAAAGAACAGAGCTATCTGCATGGGAGAAGTGGTGTCAAACGAGGACAACCCTGAAGAGGCGCTCAGAACTGGCTGTGAAAATAGACAGCCTACCATAAGAAAAGAAGGGCTGCATTTGCTCGCATTCCAGAAGGGCGAGGAGTCTTCTGAGGGAAAGACCATGCTGAGCGCAGAGAAGGTTCTAGAGATACTTCGAAGAATACCAGAGGAAGACATTGAGGCACTCGGGTTTGATCTGGAAAAGGCCCGGCCAGAGTGGATGGTCATAAGGATACTTCCTGTGCCGCCTCCGCAGGTCAGGCCATCCATTGTCATGGAGGGCTCTCTTAGGTGCGAAGATGATTTGACACACAAGCTGGCAGATATCATCAAGGCCAGCAACAACCTGAAGAGATATGAGCAGGAAGGTGTGGCTGGGCATATTATTCGAGACTATGAACAGCTGCTGCAGTTCCATATTGCAACCTTGATGAACAACGATATCTCAGGGCAGCCGCAATCTCTCCAGAAGAATGGAAGACCGCTTAAGGCTATTCGGGCCAGACTGCGGGGAAAAGAAGGGAGAGTGAGAGGAAACCTCATGGGGAAGAGAGTTGACTTCAGTGCACGTACAGTTATCACCGCAGACCCAAATATAAGTATGAATGAGGTAGGAGTCCCTGAGGAGATTGCAAAAATGCTGACTTTCCCGGAGAGAGTGACAGAGTACAATATTAGCAAGCTGTCGCAGCTTGTCCAAAGAGGGCCGTACAATCACCCAGGTGCAAACTACGTTGTAAGAGACGATGGGCAAAAGATAGACCTGCGGTTTCACAAGGGAGAAGTGAATTTGCAGATTGGATATGTGGTTGAGAGACACTTAAGTAATGGAGACACTGTGCTATTTAACAGACAGCCATCTCTGCACAAAATGTCTATGATGGCACACAAGGCAAGGGTGATGAAGTACTCTACCTTTAGGCTGAACCTGAGTGTTACTGCACCGTACAATGCAGACTTTGACGGGGACGAAATGAATCTACATCTACCGCAGTCAATACCTGCGCAGACAGAGTTGAAGGAGCTTGCTCTTGTGGAGAAGAATATTGTCTCGCCGCAAAGTAACAAGCCGGTGATGGGTATTGTTCAGGACACGCTGATGGGGGTGTACAAGCTCACAAGAAGAGACCTATTCCTGACTAAGAGCCAGGTGATGCATCTGCACTATGCAATTGACAACGGAGGCAAGTATCTGAAGCCCACTATTCTAAGGCCGGCTGTGCTCTACACAGGAAAGCAGATCTTTTCCGCAACACTTCCAGATGTTACATACACGGGGCTGCACTCAGAGCACGTCCATGGCAAGAACTATAAAGCAAACCCAATGGACACAGAGGTTGTGATCAAAAATGGAGAGCTTCTGGCCGGGATAATTTGTAAAAAAACAGTTGGAACTGCATCTGGCGGACTAATTCATGTGATTGCAAATGACTTTCCGAGAAGCGTCTGTGTTGACTTTATAGATGCGCTGCAGAGAGCAATTAGCAGCTGGCTTATGTCGTATGAAACATTCTCTGTTGGAATAGGGGACACAATTGCAGACCCATCCTCCATGGACATGATCAAAGAGGCCATTGAGCAGGCAAAGAGTGATGTAAAGGATATTATTGTACAGGCAGAAAATAATAACCTTGAGCGCCTGCCAGGGCTGTCAATGCGAGAGTCCTTTGAGGCAGCTGTTACTTTGGCTCTGAACAAGGCTCGAGACACAAGCGGTACGTCCACGCAGAAAAATCTGAGATCGCAAAATAATATTAAGCAAATGGTGGTGTCGGGATCAAAGGGATCGTACATTAATATATCTCAGATGAGTGCATGTGTAGGACAGCAGAGCGTGGAGGGAAAAAGAATTCTGAATGGGTTTAGAGATAGATCTCTGCCGCATTTTACAAAGGATGACTTCACTGCGGAATCCCGCGGGTTTATCAGCAGCTCATATGTCGCCGGGTTGTCGCCTGTTGAGTTCTTCTTCCACGCAATGGGAGGAAGAGAAGGGCTGATTGATACTGCAGTCAAAACTGCTGAAACAGGGTACATCCAGAGAAGGCTGATCAAAGCCCTGGAGGATGCCCAGGTGCGGCATGACAAGAGTGTGCGGGATGGAGAAGGCCATGTTATACAGTGCGCGTACGGAGGAGACTGCTTTGATGCCACCTATGTGGAGATGCAGTCGCTTTCTCTGTTCTGCTCGCCAGAAAAATTTGCAGAGCAGTATATCATAGACTATTCAGTGCTTTCTGACTACCAGCTGGCTCCGTCAATACTAAACTCGCTAAGGCTTCCCAAGACAAAAGCTCTTCTGGCAGCAGAGACAAAGATGCTGCAGGAAGAGGCCAAGGCGCTGCAAGCCAAATACACGAAGGGAAAGAAACCTCTCCCAGTTCCTCTGGAGAGGATATTCAGCAGAGCTGCCAAGATGCGATCATCCATTACATCGGCCTTCCCCGGTGTGGTAATGAAAATGGGCGAGGGCGGCAGCCAGATGGGGCAGCAAGGCCGCATTTCGCAATATGGAGCAGGGTCGTACGCGGGAGAAGTGGACATTGAGAACATTCGGTGGAGCAGCGAAGATTTGATGCCTGAGAAAATAATTAAAGCCCGTGAGGCTTTGGAGAAAGAGCTGCAAAACGCTATTAGCCACGTGGGCGAGATAGCAGAGGTTGCATTTTCTCTGTTTAAGGCCCACCTTCGTGGATTCTTCACAGTGAAGAGGGTGCTTTGCGAGTATCGCCTTTCTTTGTATGCATTCAATTGGGTGGTTGAGCAAATAAGAACCTCTTTCCTGAAGGCAGTAGTCTCTGCAGGAGAGATGGTGGGAACACTTGCAGCTCAGAGCATTGGAGAGCCAGCAACACAAATGACGCTGAACACCTTCCACTTGGCCGGAGTGGCAAGCACAGTGACAAGAGGAGTGCCGCGTCTCAAGGAAATTATTAATGCTGCGCAGACAATCAAGACCCCGTCTCTTACCATATATCTAAAAGAAGAAATACGAAACACGCTGGAGGGGGCTAAGAAAGCCCAGCAAGAAATTGAGAGATGCTATCTTAAAGATATACTCTTAAGGTCTGAGATAATCTATGACCCAACAATGAAAGCAGTCAAGTCAGATGAAGACTTTATATTTGCGTATGGTATACTTGACCCAACAATCTACTCGCCAGACTCTCCATGGATGCTTAGGCTGGTGCTGAACAGAAGTGCAATGGTGGATCGAGGAATAAGAATAGAGCAGGTTACAAAAACAATAGCACAGAGCACCACATACAGATGCATGCATAGCGACCATAACTCGGCCGAGCAGATTATAAGATGCGAGCTGCCAAATTCTGAAGACTTGCTGCGAAAAATAGAGACAAGTATTTCATGTATTATGGTCAAAGGAATGCCAAAGATCAAGCGGGTGTTTATAAGCGAAATAGGCGCAGAGGACAAGAAGGAGTATGTGCTGCAAACTGAAGGAACCGGGCTGATGGACGTGCTGGGCCATCCTCTGATAGATCCAACCCGAACTGTATCGAATGACCCACTTGAGATGAGCCAGGTGTTTGGAATTGAGGCAGCCAGAACTAGCATTTTAAATGAAATTCGAATGGTGATTGAGAGTGACGGTTCTTATGTCAACTTCCGGCATTTGGCAATTCTTGCTGACATAATGACACAGAGAGGGCATATATGCGGTATCACAAGGCACGGCACAAACAGAGGAGAGTCAGGAGCTCTTATGCGGTGCTCTTTCGAGGAAACCGTTGAAATTCTTCTTGAGGCTGCAGCGAATGCAGAAATTGACCGCTGTAAGGGAGTTGTGGAAAGTGTTATGCTAGGAAATGTTGCTGCAATAGGAACCGGAATAACAGACCTTCTAATTGACAAGAAGAGCATTGAAATGGGCGTTATGGCCATGGAAAAGTATGAGTTCGAAGACGAGGAGTGCACAGACGAAGGCACACCGGTTGACCTCCTCTCCCCCTCGAGCACCATACATTCTGATCTTACGCTTATGTCTAGCTCGCCAGATAGGTCTATCCATGGCTGGTCTCCACAGAACACAGAGATTGGCTATTCTCCGTCAAGCCCGTCTCTGTCATATGGATACTCTGGCGGAGCATACATGCCATCGTCGCCAAAAACAGTCTACTCACCCTATCTCCAGAATGTATCTTCCCCAAGCCACCAGTATGTTCCAACAACGCCTAAGAGAATGCCTGGAATGCACAACAGCCCAGGGAACGCAGGCATTGGGGCATACAACATTAGCTCCCCCAGCTCGCAGAGGCTGTACGCTCCTAGTTCCTCCATTCCTTCCTATGGGTATAATATGATTGCGGATGATGACGAAAGCAGCAGCGACAGTAAATCTGATAAATCAGAGTCAGATGACTAATTAAATGCATTAATGAAACTACGTGCAAGATAAAGACTTTTGTTTTATTCTATCCTGCGCGAATTTTGAAATAAACATGCATCATAAGTATTATTTGAATTCGGGTTATTTTTAAAAACCTTCTAAAAGATCCGATTCTTATCTTACGTCCCTGGCTGGCTTTAGCACAACCGTATGCAAGTGCACATCTTTATGCAAATTGGTTTCTAGTCATAGCGTATGAGTGTTCTGTATGGTGCAAAATTAAAATAAAATGGGCAAGCTCATAAATAGAAAGTTGCTTTTCTAAATGTGGGCTGCTATAGAATGTTCTAGTAGTGCGTTCAAACACAGCATGCTCTTTGGGCGTGGCATTTAAAGAAAACTCCGAGTAGATGAAAGAGTATTACACTTTATAAGCAGGCAGCAATTGGAATTAGTTCTATTAGTATGTATACTCTTAGAAAAATTGCATTCTTTCATGTTGTAGCATTTTATGCAGATGCTGTTTTTGCATATGTCTGGGGGTGTCTTATATTTCTATATTCGCACATTCTTAACACCATTCATATTAGTATGCTCAGCACATATTTCTTTTTGTCTGCTTTATTTTAAATCCTCTAGCAAAATAATGCACATATAGAAAAGCTAATAATTTCACTTCAGAATTGACAGTAGATGCTAAATATTTTTATAGAGCTTTTAGTATTCAAAATACAAAAGTCAATAAATTATTACTAAATAGACATGTTTAATTGAAGCCAGTATAGAACTAGCTGTGTGTATCTTTGAATAGCTCTCTTTTTCAGGATCCTAGTGATCTTTTTTCATACGCGCATTTACACTGGGAAATAACACACTGCCCCACACTATCATCTAGCTATTTCTAGATATATGTTTAGTATGTAATACATCAGCTATACAATCCACTATACTGCAGCCGATACTTAAATGGCTTTTTACTACTGCAAGAAAAGCTTCTTCTAGTGCTCTTTCTAAAAGTACCATGCATATTGGAATAGCGACCTGCACCACGGTTAGATGCAAAAACATGTAGAAAAGGCTGTAGTGATTCAAATTATGCGCTATGAAGAAATACTCTACTGTATAGAGTACAAAATCCTGTAGAAGGTATCTTGATAAAAAAGCTTTTCTTTTTTCAAATAAATGGAAAGTCTTTCTATTGGCGCAGAGGCTACTGTATACAGAAGCAGCGAGTATATTATAAAAATAAGACACCCAAAGGAATATAGAATACACGAGATAGACAGTTCTGTGAGGAAAAGCAGAACAAAGCTTGAGAAAATGCTGCTAAAAAGGATTGAGCACTTGAGCATTGCGCCAAAGATATTTGATATGGCGGTTCTAAAGGACGTGCCTGCGGAAAGCATATGCTTGGACATGCAGTATGCCATCTGCATGGAATATATAAAAGGAAACACTTTGAGAGATGTGCTTGCATTGCACTCCAAAGACCGTGATATAGAGAGTATTTTAGCAGATGTATACAGATGTATTGGCCAGCTGCATGGCCAACAGATTGTTCATGGTGACCTAACACCAAACAACATCATTATATCTAATGGAAGTATAAAGATAATTGATTTTGGTCTTGGAAAAATATCAAACAAGATTGAGGATAAGGCAGTAGACCTGTATGTGTTTGAAAGAACACTTGCATCTTTAGCAGACGTTTCACTGGAGGGCTCTTATGCAAATGTATTTGCAGCATACGCTGAGGGCAATACTCAGAATGGAAAGGATACTTTAAACAAGCTGAAAGAGGTGCGAAAGAGAGGGCGGAAAAGAGAGTTGAATGCAGTTGGATAGAGCAAATGTGTATTCTGTTCTTAGAAGAAATGCAAATGGTATTCTATAAAGTGTAGAGATTCTATAGGAGGTAATAGTATTCTTTTTATTTATTAGTTTGGATATACTCAGAAAATAGCGCTCTAAAGAAAACTATGGCTGCTTTCTAAAGGCATTAGAGCTTAAAAACAAATCTATTTGAGAAACTTAGACATTACAAGCATAGGGTGTCTGTGCGCGCAGATACACTTATGATATGTGCTAATGCATTTTTAAACAGCAGTGAGTGTATTTTGTTCTTTGCTTAATTTACAAGAGGCAGATTCAAAAATATCTATGCACTTATTACTGTTTATAATGAATATAGCCGCATTTAGACAATAAAAACTTAAGTAAAATATCCAAGTTTTCCGTGCGCTGGAATATCCACTTAAATTTCATACCAAATGTAGAAAGCAGATGCTTTGTTTCTCTCGTTAATTAGCATATATATCGCATGCTTGTCGGCTCAGATATCTCTCATAGATGTTCTGTCGTGCTCTAGAACACTGATATTAAATAAAAACCCTGCTATACACTTCTTATTTCTATAAAGCATGCACAAGGTAGATTCTTTTCCTATGCGCATAACAAGGCATGCCGTGTAGAGGATGTCTTTTACAGGGCAATGCACGCCTTTAATAAAAAATATTTGTAATTATGCTTGAACATGCTAGCACAAGGAACTGACTTGGTTGCATCAGCACGAGGAAGCAAGATATATGTGTACACACTATCTGAGGGAATGGGCCTAGTGACAACCATTAAAGCAGCAGCACAAATCTCAGCAGTTGCGTGCGCGCTAAACGACTCGTTTCTGCTCATTGGGACGGCCACTGGACAAATGTATTACTACAATACACTAGAGAGAAAGGAGCTTGTTGATCTAGAAAGCTGCTGCGAAGTATCAAAGCTATCGCTTAAAATCACGTCCATATTTATACTAAATGACATTGTGTACGTAACATCCGAAAACGGCACAATTAGAATATTTTCAATAGAGATAACTAAAGGGCTAGCAAGCACAGCAACAGAAGCTGCTGCAAATATCACAGAAACAGAAACAACCCTGGAAAAGGACGGGTGGATGGAGGAGATTGAGTCAATTGGAGACAATACTACACAAACACTTAGCATGCACATCAGTAGAGCAGAGGGAACATATCATAACTTTAAGTCAGTAAGGGAGATAAAGCACACCACGCCAATAACCAAAATTGCAGTATGCGGACCCAACATATACATACTAGATATGCGAGGGCGTGTTATTGTGTTCCCTTCAAAGGTTGTGTACGACAGCATTGCAGACATTCACTTTAGAAAATACCTATTTTGTATAGATGGGAATACTGTGTTTGCAGAGGTGGGGCAGGTGTTTACATCTGTGTACTTCGCGAAAACTGCAATAAAGCACATGTCAAGCAGCATGCAGGGCGGATTTTTCTTTATACTGACAGAAAAAGAGCTGGAGATTATGAGAATTGAAGAAATGGGTGGAAAGAGAGTGCATGCCTACAAGCTGCCAAAAGAAGCTGATGAGATTGTGGTTGATTCAAAAAGATCCATAGTGTACAGCATGTGCAATGGAAAGCCTGCGCGGATGGAAATAGACTACGTGTGGATAGATAGATCCATGGAAGATCTAAAAATAGCGGGCAGTACAATTAAAGAGGTCTGCCGAGAAGAGGAGCCCATTGAGGATGCAGACGGATACTTTGATATTCCGAATGTAAAGGCAGTTAAGGACCTGGCCCTTCCATCTGTAAAGTATGCAGCTGGCAATTTTAACATGGATATGCGCAAAGGAGGGTTTGATTTCGACTCTGCCTCAGATGATTCAGGCAATAACAACAACGAGCACAATTCAGACATTGAAGACTTGTTTAATGCAGACGAAAACTCGCCCTTTTCTTCCAGCCCTGCCAACGAGCAAGCGCATCTTCTCCTAGAGAAAGATGAACAGAGCACTACACCTCAGCCTAAACAGCACTGCATAGTAAATAGAATATGTGGGCCTGTGTGTATTACAAATAATCAGGACAAGCTTATATACTGGGCGCCTGAGTGCACGATTCGGGTATTTGAAAGGACAGACTATAAGCAGATTGAAGTCACTACGCGCGCATCTTCTGTTGAAATCTCCATTTTGAAAGAGTTGAACGATGTTCTTCTTGCATGCGCATCTGCGTCTATGCTGCTTCTTTATACTGAGGCGCATTTAAAGATATACCGCAGTACAAGCGGGGTCTTTACAGAAAGTGCACTGATCCACAAGATAGAGCCAGGCCACAAAATAGAGAGGCTGGTTTGCGGAAAAGACTTCTTCTGCATAGTAAATGAGAATGGCTTACTGTCTAACGTATCAGTGTACACAAAAGACCTGCAAGAGATCTACTGCTTTGTTGCGGTTGTGCGAGGAATTTCAGCAAGCGGCGACTATCTGGCAGCCATTCTAGAAGAAGGAGAGGGTGTTGTTGTACGAGTGTTTAAGTACACAGATGGAGCTATTCATACTGTAAGCAGTGCGTACTTCAATCGCCAGGCAATTGAATTCTGCGGGGTGTCCAGCACTGGAGTTTTTGTATTCCAGGTTGCTTCTCTCCTCTATGCACTTGGCAGAGACCGAATTATTGCGCTGTCTTGCACAGTGCCTGGCATTCCAATTGCTATTGTTGGAGAGAATGTGGCGTATCTGCTTGAAAATGAAAATAAGACAGTTTCTGTGCATCCAGAAATAGTGCAGTATGTCCGCATAGAGCGAAAATGCCAACTAAGCCAAAAGATGGATATTTTCGCAGCAATTGAAAAGGAAATGCTTACCACTCCTATGCACCATGGATTCTCTGAAACAAAGAGTACAGTTTCCTCTGGACAATTTAGTAAGACAGGCCTTAGTACAGAGGATGATGAAAATACCATTTTCATCTCTAAGGCGCACAAGGCAGTTAATACTACGCCCAGAAAGCAAAATACAAGCCATTCTGACTCAAGCAAAATTGAACACTCCCCTATGCATACACCAATCAAGAAGGTAAAGCATTCAAACCCATTTGCTAGAAATAACTAGGTTTAAATCTAAAAGGCAGCCTGCGCCAGAAAAGTGTCTGCATTAAATATATTTTAAATATCTGAACTATTTTAAGCTTGCAATTTACTCTTTAAATAATGCTGGATAAATATGCATATATTTATTCTATTCTTTGTCTTCTGCCCACTCCTTTAGTGCTTGATATAAGGCATTTTGCTTGTAATTGGTGCCTGGAATGTGCACTAAATAATCCATAGCTAAGTATGCGCCATCTGGAATAGTTACTGTTTTGTATCTTTGGCTGATGTGCGTGATAAATAATGTCTGTGCTCTGGAGCTTTGGAATATAGCCATGGCCTGAGAAATCGTTGAATGCTGTGTCATTCGCGCTTGTACTAGCTCATTTTCTTCAAAGGTTCCTTCGTGTATCATTAAGTCCGCGTGTTGGGAGAGATCCGAGAATTTCTCATTTGGCTTTGTGTCTCCAGAGTAGGCGACTGTGTATTCTGCGCTGCCTGCAGTTTCTTTGACTAAAACACTGTAGCTTTCATGTATATGCAAGGCACTGCACATACTTACTTTGTATATGCTGCTTTCGCTAGGCGCGCATGCAAGACTAGGGTCAATCTTAACAGGCAAGTTGATAAACTTGACAAAGGAGGCCTCGTTTGATGCAAAGACTGATAAAACAGATCTTTTAACACCATTATGTGAACGGTAGTTTAATGGGTTGATGCTTTTGCAATGTCTATAAATATTTTGGGAAATTCTAATAACTACGCTCTCTTTCTGGTTGGTCATCACTATATACTCAATGCTTTCTTTTCTGTGTATGCTTACTTCAAGATCCGCGCTGTTTTGAACAAAAATTCCTGAGATCCCAAACTCCTTTAAAGCAGAGACTATACACTTGTTGCCAAGTACCAGCACAGCAGTATTTCCAGACACATTACATCTGCGCAAGACGCTGAACATTCCCATAATGTGGTCTGCGTGTCTGTGGGTCAGAACAATCATGCTTATGGCTGCATAGTTATATCTGTAGTGTGCACTTATTTTGTTCAGCTGTGTTCCGGTGTCTTCGCCGCAGTCAAGAAGAATGCTTTCCTGCATGGATGCGACCAGCACAGAAGAGACGTTTCTTATGACGCCTGGCACTGCTGCTGCTGTGCCTAGGAACACACTGCATGTGGACTCTATTTCTGTTTGGCAGTCTGCCTGCACTATATCCTGCTTATCTTCTATTTCTTTAGAGTCTTTGTCTCGCTTCCATGCATTGTGTATCTGAACTTCATCACCACCTGCATACTCTATAAGTGTTTGATCAATCACCACTTTGCTATTGCGCAGATACTTTGTGTTTTTTGGTGTGTATATCAGTGGGCGGATAAGTGGCGTGTACACGGGGCACACTTTATCATAGAACTTCTTTACAGGCTCTGCCTCAGTCTCACTTCTCATCATGATATACAAGTTGATGTTTACTTTTTCCCAATCTGTAATTTCAGATGCGATTTTCTTTTTTATTTCTCTTTCTACCTCTGCTAATAATTTGTGCTCCTCTTTTGTACTGCTAAAGAGCTCTGGTGCTGCTCTTATAAATATCTCTATCCCGCTGCTGTCTGCCATAAGAGTTTGGATTCTCTTTACATCCACAGCGTATTTGTCGGATAAGATAGTTATAACAGCTATTTTAGGATAGCAGACTGCTTTGTTCCGGAACTGGTCAACCAAATACTCAATGCCATCCTTTACTATTTTTCCTGTTTTATTTAGCATGGCAATATCAGCCTTACCAACTATTCCTTTCTCTGACGCCTTTTCAACACTAAAGCTTGCTTTTTTATTTGGAAGTGCAACTGTCACATACGCAACATTATGCAGCTCTTCCATCTGCAGGTCTGCGAACCTGTCTTTGCTGCTGTTGTCGTACTTATCAAAGAACTCTAAATTTCCAATGCCCATTCCGACTTCCTGAATTAATTTCTCTGTGTCTTCTGCACACACGTACCTAGTATGGATTTTCCCCTCGTGCATTGCTGTTGTCAGCACTGCTGATATTGCAGGCACAATTTCATACTTGCTACATATGCAAATAACCCGCAATTTCGCAAGTTTGATCTTTTTTCTTCCCATGTAGCGCTGCATGCCTTCAAACCCACCTATTGCAAGGTACTCTCCTGTTGTTTTGTTGACAATATTCAGTGATGTGCCACCTTCTGTTGAGTTTATTGCAATTTGGTACATTTTTGCATTTTTATATTTTCAGTTTTTAACTCCCCTGCAATGGGATTAACAAGAAATGGAGAGCACAAAAGAAAAAACACTGGAGGAAAGAAATCAGTGAGAATCAGTAGAAAGAAGCATGCCATTGCTAGACAGCCAGCAAGTACTAAAGTTGGAGCAACTAAGGTCAAACAGCTCAGAGTCCGAGGAGGAACATACAAGATGAGAGCCCTGCGATTGGCAAGCGGAAGTTTCTCTCTTAAGACCCACAATGTTACAATGAAGTGTGCCATCACACAGGTGGTCTACCACGGAAGTAACAACGAGTTAGTAAGAACTAACACGCTAACCAAAGGATGCGTTGTAAAGCTAGACCCAACTGGATACACTCCAGTAATAGAGAAGATTCTTGAGGCTGAGCAGGATATTCAGGAGATAGATCCAGTGTTTGTTCAAGAATTCAAGCAAGGAAACATATACGGTGTAATTTCTTCAAGACCTGGACAGTCTGGAAGCGCCGATGGTCACATCCTGCAGTCTGAGGAGCTTAGCTTCTATCTTAGCAGAATGAAGAGTCACAAGCAGAAAAAATAAATAACGTAGTTCTTCTTTCTTTTCTCCTCGGGCTCTTATGATTTCCAAAAGAGGCATGCTGTGCTAGTAGCATAAACACATATATGCATGCATTTAGAATGTACTTTACTCTAGCCAGGCCTATAGTAGTAGCTGGGTTTCTCTGTTTGGTCTTTGCCTATATACAGCTCTGACTATTCTTTAGTATCTCTATAGACAGAGTTCTTTCGAATAGCATGCAAAGTAATTAATTGACTAATATATCAGAGCGCTTGAAATAGCATACAATAAGATGAACGTACAACTAAGAGAATGTAAAAGATATATATGAAACATGCACTAAGAAAATTAAATTTGGAAGAATTCCATTGGTGCGATGCCTGTCTTGAGTGTGCTATTTATATGCTCTTTCGCTTACTCCTATTCTAAATTGTCTTACTGCTTTTCTTTACATGCTAACAATTACTATTTGGGGGCTCTTTAATGCGATATATCTACAGCCATATAATTAGCACCAGCTTAGAATATACCATTAGAATGGTATTTTAGGTATTCAGCTTAAAAACAAGTATTTGACTGCACAGTGCCTCGCCTGCTTAATAGTCTGTTGTAAATGCATGCAATTGCAAGAATGCAACTCCATTGTCTAACAAGTTATATTATATAGAAGCTGCATTATATCAATAGAGCTGTATTCCACATGCATTACATTTTTTCTCTGCAGAAAATATTTAGCAGTGCGATAGAAAAGACTGCGATTTCCTCTCTGCAATTTTCAATTTGCATATGCGATATATTGCTGCTTTTATAAGACATACAACACTGTCAATATCAACTTGAGTTATCTACTGATTTGTTAAAATGTATTTTTATTGGTTGTTTTTTTCTCTACTACATTGGTGTATTTCTGTTAAGTGTTAAATACGCATACAGAGGTGCATAACTATGAAATTCAACGTGGAGCATTTCTTATATATATCCATTGTGGTTATGATTATTTTTTCGGTATCTGCTATTATTTCTGACTCTGGGCAGACAGAAGCCTCAGAAAAAGACAACGCAGGAAGCGAAAGCCCAGAGAAGGATGCTAGTGCCGAAAACAATTCTGAAAAACCCTCTGGTACAAAATAGAGATAGTATGTCCTTTTTCTACTATACCATGCTTTCTTTACACCCTATGTGTATTCTATATTTATATAGTCTTTAGACAGAACAGCATTAATGCTTTCTGTGTTAAACGACCTACGCTCTGCATCAAGTGTTAAGAGACTTGCAAGAATGCCTCTTTCCATTGCAGACATATCTGTAAACAGATCTAGTTTCTTTCCTTTTGTTATAGGAATAAAACCACTAAATGGATACTTTTCTAAGATATCTTTGTCTTCCTGTGTTACACCTATTTTTCTAACTATCTCTCCAATTTGATTTATCTCGCAGTCTCCACTAAAGCACACTTCGTTGAAAAACACTTCCCAAAAGGTGCACCCGGCTGCCCACATGTCAACCTCGCATCCATAGTCTCTGCTGCCAAGAAGAATTTCTAGCGGTATATAGTGAAGGGTTCCCATAACTCCGCTCTTTTTTAGCTTGTCTGTCTCCTCGTCTATAGGCTGAAAGGAGTCAAACTCGCTGCTGCTATCCAGCTCTTCCATGAGAAAATCTTCTATCCCCACAATCTCTGCATGGTCACTTTTCTGCCCATTCTTCTCTGTACTATCTGCAAAAGCAGACACTTTCTCCTCCTCCCTTCCTTCTTTGATATATTTTGCAACTCCAAAGTCACCTATCCGCACTTGTTCATTATGAATTAGAATATTTTGCGGCTTAATGTCTCTATGCACAATATTCTGTTCGCCCAAATACTTCAGTCCCTCAACAACACACTTTATTATATAGTACTTATACTCTTGGTTCTTTATTGGAAGAATTTCTTTTAAGTTTGTTTTGAAATACTGCATGGCAAACCATCTGTACTTTATGCAGTAGCTGTTGGAGTAAATGCCTATTATATTCCTATGGTTTAATTTCTTAACAATAGATATTTCTTTGCTTTTTCTATTCTTGATTATTTTGATCGCCAGCTCAACTGGTTTTCCGTCTGCTGGCTCTTTTTCTCTAGTTAGATAAATAGCCGAGTGCACAGATCCGTATATTTTTGCTGGCCCAGTCTTCATTTCTGATAGGCCACTGAAAAGTTTAAATTTAAGAAAAATTAATTTGTGCTTCTTAGTCAAAGTAAAATGCGATGCACAACATGCAATAAAGAAATTGAAAACAAGACAGAGCACTATAAAAGCGCAATACACGAAGAAAACTCGAAAAGACGGCTAGCTGGAATTCAGCCCATGGACAAGCTAGAGGTGAAAGAGTGCGAAACTGTAACTGCAAAAAAGCCAGAGCCAAGAAGAATGGAGGAGACTGGTTTATATAAGCTAAAGGACAAGGAGTGCTTATACTGTGATGAAATAGTCACATGCGAGTACATTGATCACTTGGAGACACACGGATTCAAGCTACTGCTCCCACAGTATATTGTCAATGTAGACGGTTTAATAAAGCACTTGAAGGAGAAGGTGGGGTACTGCATGTGCACATGCTGCAATAAGCGCTTTTCTTGCATTGGCAAAGCCCGGGCTCATATGAGTGCAATGCACCACATGAACTACATCAACACAGAAGAGTACGACAGCTTTTATAACTATCCAGAGAAGGGTATTGGATATGTTTCACAGGACGGGAGCGAGTTATATCTTCCCTCTGGAAAAATAGCAGGAAATAAGAAATACACAAAGTACTATGCGCAGACACTGAGAGACGTCGAGTATTACCAGAACATGAACAAAAAGTACACTCAAGTGGTCCACAAAGAAGCACCCGCGCAGACAGAAGAGGAGAAGATAAAGATTAGGCAGTTCACAGAGAGATCTGAAAGAAACAGACTGAAGATAGGAATGAGCAACAACAGCCAGAAACACTTTAGAGATGATTGGATGCAGTAGTGCATATTTTGCAGCTGATGCTTTCCAGGCTAAGTAAGTGTTAATTTCTTGGTGTTGTGTGCTGTTTTAAACAGATGGCAGGATCTAGCAGAAATTCAAACAAATTACACTGCACTAACTTCTGCAGTGTACCATCTGTACAATGTATGTAGCTCTGTGCTCTGCAGATTTAAATAACTATTTTACATATATTCATGGCTATGTGGAGTTAAACTCACTAAATCGTGAAAACATATTGTAGTGATTAGGCACTGCTTGATGGGATAGCATGGTGTGATTATAGCTGTTTATGATGCGTATACTCAATAAACACACATATTATTAAAATAAATAGATTTAGAGTTATATATATGTTCCTGGTAGTAAAGTATTTCTCCAAATAAAGATACAAAGTCCAAAGATACTTTTTCTTAATAGAACAAGAAAGAATTCTTTGTTTATAGTAAGCAGAAATAGTGCACATCTGCTATAAGTACTTTAAATAAGAAGGAATTCATACATGCTTATTAAATGCGCAACTCCAAAAATCTTGTTAAAGCCTCTGTCTACTCTAATAAACATCTGACTAGTTGAATATATGTCGGAGCTAAACAAAAATATACATAACCAATTCATAGACTATTTAGGCCAAAATCCTATTTTATAAGAATTACTGTGCCGCGCAGTAACAGCAAGGCTATTTGTGAAAGGCATTAAAACTCTTCTCTGGTATATAATTTCTATATACTATGTGAAAGATGCACTCTTATTCTCATGGGTTTGCATTCATTACGTAGCCAGTCTTTTATTTGAGAGCAATTTTTATTTTCTATAGCCTGGTAAATTTTAAAAAAATTAAACCATTCAGAAAGAAAAGTATATGTGGATGTGTTATATTTTTATAATATTTGCAAGTATGCAGAAAATAAACCAATTATTACTTATATAGAATTCAAACTGTATATGCAATAGAAAATGGGAATAAAACAGATTCTGAAGTATAAAGAGCTTAATAGATCAAAACTATGCATTCTTGCAATTTATTAAACATCCCATCCTATTAAATAGTTACGTTTAAAGTTTAAGAGAGCACAGTGAATAAGAGCCCATGGATTCATATTACTCTGGCTGCATGCATGGGCTCGTTTTTAAATCCACAATATCTAGAAGCTCTATAGAATCTGTTATCTTCTTTAAAATACGCACTAGAACGCATATAGTGCTATGCATGGAAATTAGATTATCAAACGCCCGGGTTTCATAATATTCTTTCGCATCATACATGTTTTTTAAAAGAGCAGGTTTCGGTCTAACATAAAAATTGTTCATGGCATCCACATGATCAGAAGCACTAGATTGAATCCATAAAAAGTACGTGTTGAAAAAATGGCACATAGTGTCTTTAAACACATAAGAGAAAAAAATAAGCTCTTTACTGAGCTCGCAAAACGTAATATTAACATCAGGCGACACATCTTTAAGATGGTTTTTTATCGTAGACGCAGGGATAATGAGTATTTTTCTAATATTTTCCCACATAGGACTGCTTGGCCCCATTATAGGGCTCTTTTTGATCTGATATAGTACTTGGTTTATACCATCAATATGAAAGTCACTTATCAACATAGATTCAAGTCTAATGTAGTTATTTTTAAGAACACTAGTGACAGCCAAATTGTACTCTTTATCGTATAGGATTGACTTATTGTATAAGCATAACAAGTTTTCTTTGTAATCGCCGAAAGAGATTTCTTTTTTAAAATGGTCAATCTTATAGAATGGTGTTTCTGGGCCTATTGCTGAAAAAAACTCTTCAAAACTCATTGAAACCCTAAAAGGCAGGCTAACTGCAATATAGCTCCAGGGTAAGTGCTTTTTGTGGGTCTTCATTATATCAACAGAATCAAATGACTTGCAAATAATACAGCTGCCCTTTTTGCAGGATGCTGGGGATATAATGGCAGTAGTACTATGCTGTTGCAGTCCATTCAAAAAGTTTATGTGACTGTTTAGTATCGTGTCTAGGGCCATTTGTGTTACGTGCATGTTGTAGGTGTGGGAGCTTAGTCTTTTCAGGCTTGCATAGCACTCATTAAGCACATTGCTCTTTTTATTTTTTATATAGTAGTTATATTCTTGCGTCCAGTCTACTTGCACAAGCTTTTCTATAAGATCCAGCTCTTTTATACCACATGCAAATGCTTCTGATGTTTTTAGTCTTTTTTCCATCTCTTGTATATTTTGCACGTACATTTCTAGTATTATTCTTTCAGCAGAATGATGCTTTATCGTAGGCACAGCGAGTTCTTTAGTCTTGCAAGACAGTTCTTCAACAAATGAGTAGTAGTGTTTGTATATTTGTATTAGATTAGGCAGCAGTTCCTTAAGGATTGTTGCACTATCTACTAAAATCCTAATCATTACGTAGAATCTCAAAGCATGCTGTGTTCTCTCCGAATCAAAAGGCTTTTCTAGATTACACATCATGTCAGCAGTAATTTCTCCTTCTTCGTCAACTTCCTCCAGCATATTTATATGGATGGCCTCATCTATTCCTACTAATCGAGGATTTAACCTAATTAAGTTATTTAACATTTTCACTGGGTCATTCTGTGACCTGGCTAGACCCCATATAGACAAGAGCACTATAGTTAAATATATATCTATCCTCATTATTCTTAAAAATTTGCTATTTTATCTATATATTAGCACATGGGATATTATAATAATTGTTGCCAGTCTGTCTACCAGTAGTAGTTTTAAACAAATTTTATCTTTAGTTTTCTAATCGACAACAAAACAGTAATAAAGCAGTTTTTAACAAAAAGAGTTCTACAGCACACTTAACACATGCACATAAACAAATAGCAATTTACTATAATAGGGATAAATCATAGAATATACAATGTCGTATGCGCAAACATACACCATACTATGAAATGTCTAGGTACTCTAGACAACTTGTAGAATGGCTTCTTAGTAAGAAAGCAATTCTGACAGTGAATTAGAGCATAGTTAGTATATTACTCCATAGGGTACTCTGCAGTCGCACGTATGGCATGTATATTAAAGCGAGATACTATACCTCACTACTATAATTTCAATTAGCATCTACAAGAGTGTATTTTTACTCAGAGCGAAGATATGCAATGCTTTTAGACAGAAGCTTTTTTACCTCGTATAGCTCTTTTGAGATATCTCCTTCCAATATGAGCTGCTGCTTGTCAAAGTATATGGATATCATATCGTTTACTACTAACTTCTCATCTACTACATCTGCTTTGATCTTTGCATCAATAAATATTTGTCTTATTTCGCTGAGTTTTACTGTTCCCACACAGATACTTTCTTTTGTTTCAGAGGCCTCTTCTATTTCTAGAATTGGCACCTTCTCTGCCCGATTAACACGTGCTGTGAAGTATCCTATAAGAGTGTTTCCAAGCTTCTGCACCTTTATGGAGGAAAGCTCCTCATTTCGGATCTTTAGAGGCAGAGTGTGCCGGATTCCCTCCAATGTTTTCCTGTCGCATAGCTCAAGTACCTCTGGCGCAGCTGTTGTGCATGCAAAGTACTCTTTTAGTACTTTTCTCAGAATAAGGTCTTCTCCGTATACAACTATTTTCTCTGAGCCTATGCCAGATAGTACTACCTTTAGGTTGAAAATATCGCTCTCGCTTGAAAAGAAAAGTGTCTTTACTTGAGCCCGTATTTTTAATGCACGTTCTTTCCTGATGCTAATTCTAAATGCCCTCTTCTGAACCACCTCAGGCTTCATAATCACCTCAGTCTCTTTCTCTTCTTCCTTTTCTTTCTGTATGTACACTGGCTCGCCGTACTCATCGGTTGGCTTTCTCTTTGCTGGGTTTGGAAAAAGCAGTTTGCTTCCTGTGCCGTTTATATCAAAATCAAGGTAAGTTATTCTTTCCTCGTTTGTTTCAATCTCATCCTGCAGCTCGTGCCAGAATCTGTTGAATATTTGCTTCCGGTCCTCTTCTTCCTCTGAAGAATCTTCTATTTTTTGCTTTACTATTCTGTCTATTTTTTCCTGCGCTTCCTGTGCCTCCTGCTCTTTCTTTGATTTTTTGTACTCATTTTCTATTTCTGTTGTAGACAGCCGCGTGTACTTAATAGGGGCTAGAGTGATTGTGTGTCTAGATGAGGTTTCTTTCGTTGGGGCAGGCTGCCTTTCTGATTCATCTGATTTATCCTCTGTGTCAGATCGAGTTTTTTCGCCTTTGTCTGATCCTTCCGTTGCATCACTGCACTCCTGCTTTTTTTTGTACTGAAGCGAGCTAGATACTCTTAGAATGAGATTTTTTGAGCTCTTGGCTATGTGTGGCAGTATAACAGGAGAAAACCCAGAGTTTCCATGCTTATCAATTACGAATATAATACTCTCTGATATCTCACTATCTGGGCACTCGTTGTAAAACTTCAGATTCAGTAGATTGAACGGGTTTTCTTTCTCCTGGTTGAACTTGTGCAGAATTGAGCTACCTGTCCATTCCAGAATTGTCTTCACCATGTCAAAGTACTTGTTTCCATAGAAGGAGTACAGAGCCATTGGCATCTCTTGAGTTTCTTTATGGTTGTACAAAGTCATGGCTATCTCTAACAGCTGCGAGTACCCAGTTGGTATAAATACCTTTCCGTTGCCATTTATGCACTTTACAACACTATCCACCAGCTCTTTATCTCTCATCCTTCGGGTGCTCTGCTCCTTGACTACTTGAGTGCTATTGACAATTACACCCAGTGGCTTGGAGATATTTGATATATCCAGACCATCCAGATGTGCCTCCTTTCTGTGATTTATTTTATCACAGATAATCCACTCCTGCTCGTTTTTTCGGATTTTCCATATGGCACCTCCAACTGAGCTTCCACTGTTCAGCGGACCAACTACTATGCCATCTTCCAGCTCAACTGTCTGCGTGTACTTCAAAGGAATTATCCTGTCAAATATCTTGTCTTGCTTCATATCTAAGCTGCTGTTACCGTGAAACTTCTCGAGCACTTTAAGTCTCTCAAGTATCTCTATTCTACCCAAAATCTTAATAGGAACTGTTCCATATATTGGAGCATTTATCCCCAATGACTCCAGATGAATAAGCCCCCCAAGCGAGGAAATATCACTTGAGCACAGTATAATATGTGTTATGCCCTTTAGGTACTCTAAATCCGTGTAGATCCCCAGAGACAGATCATACTCTGTGCCCAAATTAACCAGAATCTTGAGCTTACCTATTTCTACTATGCAGCAGCAGGATTCTAGCTGCCTGACTCGCGGAACATGCACTGCAGTAATTCCGTCCTCCATATTCTTATAAGATTTTTTTATATAAATATTCAATTGAGAGGCTACTGTATTCCATATATATTTGAATATTTTGGAGGAGACTGTGCTACAAGACCTTTTATGCACAAATTACAAGCATGCACTTGCTGTCAAATAGTTAATAAAATAGTGTAAATTAGATAATCATACGGTACTTTGATAAAGTACATGAAAATGCATTGTATTTTGTATGCTAGTTCACATAGAATAGAGCACAGTGCGTGTTAAAAATATAGTATTCTAAGTTTACTATCTGTGTACTTATAAAGGCCTTTTCTATTGTGGCTATGAAGAAAGGCTATTCTGTGTTTGCTAGACTTCTGAAATTTCATCATTCTTCATTGTGTTTTTACTTTGAGATAATAGACATATATAGGAATGCATTGATGGATGCTTTATAATTATGTAATATTTTTATTTAAAATGGTACTGAAAGACAGTGCGTACATTTTCTACACATTCTCAAATTGCATGAATGACCTGGAATTCCTGCAGATGATGTGCAATGAGTTCTCGCTGCATTTGTATGTAGAAGAAAACAGAAAGACAGCCAATTACATGATAAGCGGGAAGACATTTGTAATTGATATTTTCTATGAGCGCGAAGAAGAAATCCATACAGAAGAAGGAGAGGATGCGCAGAGCATTGGAAGTAGTGTTGTGCAGATAGGAAAGGAGAGAGTAGAAACAGTGTCCCAGAGAATAAAGAAGGTTGGAATATCCCTTTTAGAGGAAGAATGGTCAGCATATTTCACAATCTGCACATTTTCAATCATGTTTCATCTAAAGAACAAAGATTACTACAGCACATACAAGCTAATACAGAATGTCATACAGTATGATAGCGAAGAAGACCAGAGTGGTTTTGCACTGATCATTAAAAGGCTGAAGGCCCTGGAGGAAAAGGGGGTTAGCCCACTAGAGTACTCTTTTCTGCACCATAAGCCAGTTATGCGACACATAATAAATAGCACAGGCAGGCTATACACCTCCTTAGGAGTGTTTTCCTGGATAGAAGATGACAGCACACAAAAACTCTATAATTTAACTGATTTAAGAGAGATTCCTTTGAATAGCACAGTAATTGACATAATCATTGAAATGTTTATATACGGTGTTAAAATAACTATTGGAAAGGGGGTTGTTGTAAATGCATATGTAGATAGCAATTGTTTCCAGGTTGAGGTAGGTGAGGATGGGTATGTTCTAGTAAATAACGAAATAGACAGATATAGAACACTTCTTCTTAAAAGAACAAACTCATTATACCATGTGCTATGCGAGACAGGATTAGAGGTTGAATACATAGTCTAGAAGTGTATATTTTTGCAAGCAGACAGACCTGCAAGTGCAAGAATATTCACAGATTGACCAGGAATACTAAAGTACTCCACAAGGATAAGCTTACAAGTAGGAAGAATATTATCCCTATAAAGATAACAGGTACATGCAATCTATGAGATGTGCAATATCAGTAGTAGCTGATTTATTTAATCTAGATGTGTAAAATATGTCTCCTTGGTTTAATACAAACACTATAGACTGGTGAATGTATATAGCTATTTATTCCAACAAGGACCACTATATTTATATAATAGTTGAGCCATGTCCTGTTTCCTTTAGGTGCTTGAATAGATCATTTCTATTGGAAAATATCTCTTTACACTTTGCACAAGATGTGGTAAAGGCAGCGCCTGTTCTTAGATCTGAATCATTTGCTTGGGAAAATAAAGGCTTTTTGGGCTGCTTGTGCTCCTTTCTTCCCTGGACCTTCTGTTTTTGGGTTTCTTTTGTCCTGTTTGTTTTTTCTTTATTTAAAGTACTTGTGCTTTGCACCTCCTTGAGATTGCTTTTCTGCTCTGGCTTATTGTCTCTCTCAATTGAGTATCCAAATTCACTCTCTTTTTCATCTTCTGATATTTTCCGGGGCTTTGTTTTGGCTGCTTCCTCCATATTTGGGATCTCTTCTATTTTGCACTGTTCTATCTGAGAGATAAGAGCTTCTATTTCTTCTGGCTGTATAGATTCAAGCCTTTCCTTATGCTTTTTTGACTTAGAATGATTCCCTAGCTGGTTCAGACTTTTGAATCTTTTATTGCACGGCTGGCAGATGAAAATCTCTTTGTCGCATTCAAGCTTCTTTTTTTCTTCCTCCTTTTTCTTTTTCTCTGTTACATGCTTTGTATATTCCTCTTCTAGTGCTCTTTTCTCCTCTTCTGTCAGATTGTGACTGTCTGTTAAAATAACACCATTTTTGCTGATCTTTGGCTTTGCTATGTTTAGGTCTATCTTTTTAGGCACAATCCTTAGCCTTTGGTCTTTCCGCTGGAGTATTTTCACAAGTTCTCTTATTTTTGACACATAGTCAGCTCTTCTTGCATCCAGCACACTTTTGAGGTCTTTCTCTACTTCTCTTTTAAGAGGACGGGAGTAGTATTGGTAGTTTGAGTCAATGTCTTCGCATGTGATGTTAAAGTGCCGAAGTGAAGAGAAGTTAGAATAGAACTCATAGAATGGCTTGGGCATTCCCTTTGCATATCCAAAGGAAGGTGCTCTAAAAAGCCCTCCTCTTGTTATGTTTTCCACTCGAACAATCTCTGCAAATAGGTTATTTATCATGGAGTAGTTCTTCTCCTCTATCTTTTCAATTGCACTTGCTTGCCTAATGTAGCCATCTATATCTATCTCTGGCTCTACTTTTCGGGCTGGCATCTTACTCACAGAAACCTCTTTGCTTGTCAGCTGTTCATAGGCTTCTTTTATTTCTATGAAAAGATCATCTGAGACCACTTCTCCACGGGCTCTTGCTGCATCTGGGTGGTGCTGCATGGCAAGCCTTCTGTATGCTTTTTTAATTTCATCTTCTGTTGCGGTGTTTGTAACCCCAAGTACTTCACGGGGGTGCCTTTTTGTTCTTCCTGCAAGAGTTGAGGATGCTTGTCCCATTAAAATAATACACTGTAAAACAGAATAAATATAAAAATAGAAAGAGTTATAAAAATAGCCTTCTTAAACAAAGTCTACAATACAAGAAGATATATAAGATAGACTCACTGACTACAAAGTACTTTATATACTGTTTATGCATAATAGAGAATAAAATGTATCCAAATAATTCTCAGAGAAAGCTGCTGTAATTAATAGAAATGGTGCACTGTCTTAGCAGATGATTCTGGCTCTTAGAGTTCATTACTAGAAGTTTTTGAATAATGATACATCTATCTTCTGGCATTTTGTTTTTTAGCTGCAAAACATCAACCCGTTCACTTCAGAGGGAAATATGTATGGGTTATATTCCGAGTGAAAATACAAAAATATAAAGAGATGTTCAAGAGAGATCCCTTCTAAAACTAACAGATTTCAGTGCCCAAATAGCATATAAATGTGGATATACTCTTAAAGCACAGAGGTATGTAGAGGCCTCGGCATAATTATTTAATTCAGGACAAATATGTGTTAGAAGAGTATGAATAAGACAGAGTACATATAGCAAGAATAGAGTTGTAAATTTAGCAAACCAATAGTAGCAAAAATCATAATAAACAGCACATATGTACAACAATTTAGATGGGTTATAAATAATCTTACTAATAGCTCTACTAGTAGTAATTTTAAATAATTTCATCTTTAGTCTCTTATCTAGTAACAAAAATTATAAAACGATATATATCATATATGACTGCAAATAGACTTATATATGAAGCACATAATATAGGTCTAGTAGTGCTATTTATAACCAAAATTAACAAAAACCCCATACACTCTCTAGTTATACCTATTAAACACATTTATTTTGAAGAGTGCATGGGTTTTTGTTAATTTGGTTTATATTTTAGATCTAGATATATAAACTTTTTATTAAAAGAAAATTTTAGATATCGATATGACAGCAAGAATTAAAAGACAGAATAAAACAGCTGCAGCATTAATGATACTTCTAGTGCAAATCACATACACTATGGGCGTAAATGTTACTGCAATAAATGCAGAAGTTCAAATACAGCAGTGCCAGGATGAAAGTAGCGATACAGTGCAGAGTAATACTGTAGAGTACCAGGATATGCCTGTGTACAATGACAGCATGTCAGAGAGTATGCAGGAGTTTATTCGCAGATACCATATGATATTTTAAAGAAATATTTCAGAAAGACGCATGCAGCACACTAACTTAAATAAACCAGATTATTGCATACGGAACGTGTAATTTTAAGAGTTATCTCATGAGTCTTCATAGTACATATGGTCTTTAGTATTCACTCAGACTTAGCTTCTTTTTTATTCAGTGTCTTTATTTTAGGCTGAAAACCCGAATTTATGTGAATATCCAGAAGGCTTCGGGTACACAGAAAAGCAAAGAATTTGAAATAGCAGTGCCTGTTCTGCATCTGCTAATATATGAAACACAAATGTGAATCATAATATAAGATCGGAAAAATTAAGCAAAGTTAACTTCTGGAACATAATTTCCATTCTCTTATTGAATTCTTTTTGCAATGTTTACAAAACAAACATGGCAGTGTTCAGGACAGGGGGATTGAGGCAACAATCGGTCAGAAGACTGGCTGCAGAATATAAGCAGCTGAAAAGCGATCCAGACGCCAAGTGGTTCGAAATAAATGACGAGCCAGAAGATTTTATACCGTTCACAGATAACAATACAGAGTATGTTGGAAAGTGGGAAATCACCATAAATGGTTTTAAAGACACTGTGTATGAGGGATATTCTCTCAAAGCAGATATTTTCTTCCCATCAGACTATCCTTTGTCACCACCCAGGGTTATGTTTAAAACCAAAATGTACCACCCGAATATCTACAATGATGGAAGGGTGTGCATTTCAATTCTGCACACAGCCCAGACAGACCCACACTCAGACGAGTTGGACACAGAGCAGTGGACACCTGTTCTCTCTGTAAGAACAATTCTTCTTTCCATTATGCTTCTTCTAAATGAGCCAAACCCAGACTCACCAGCAAACCTAGATGCTGCGCTGCACTTTAGAAGAAACAGGCCCGACTATGAGGAGTATGTTAAAACCAAGATATTAGGCGTGCACTATTCTTCATAGGGCATAGGACACGAATAAAAATCCGTTCTTACAGATGAAGCACTGGTTAAAATATTTAATAAATAATTATTAGCAGGGAAATGAAGAATTTTAAAGCTACAGTGAAGGAGGAGGCTGCTTTAATTATGAGCAGAATAAAAAAGAATTCTATTAGTCTGGCACTTACCCAGACAAATGAAGGAATGGTTATTTCTGAAGAGATGAGTATTCCGTATGTACTTAAACTACTAGACGACTTAAAAAATAAAAAATGGACCGCAGGGAAATAGACGAATTAAACAAGAAAATGTCTAGTACAATAGATCTGGTAGGAAACATATTTGGGTACGAAGTAAAGCTTATAGGCAACAATCGGCTGGCTATTAGGTCTCTGTATGCCTTTGATGAGGATGATGTTTTCATTATAACAGTAACCAAGAACGGAATGCAGCTAGACATGAATGACTACTTAAAAAAATTCGAGAAGGAAAGAAAGTTGTACTTGGATGGAGCAAAGTCACTTGGGGCATTTCTATCTGCAGTGACACTTTCTCTATTTGAGAAGAACACCTTTCAATAAATAACAAATGCAGTACTCTAACCCATATGGGATCCCATTTATACATTTTATAAGATATCTTGTTTGCTGTACTTGGTCTTCTGGGATTGCAGGTCATCTATATGTCTCCTTCTTAAAGGTACCAGGTGAGAATGCATATGCTCTGGTTATAAAGTAAGCAGGGAATATTAAACAGAATAGTTAATCAAAGAACAGTAAGTATTTGGGTACACAGTACTTTACAATCTTGGTTATGTGCTATCTCTGGCCTGCTATAAAGGTCTAGTCGGTTTACTCCAGGTTATAAATATGAAATGCAGCAGTCTCAAGGAATTCCAATAAAAAAGTCTAAGCTTCAGTGAGTATTCGTAGTAGAAGAACTTTTAAAATATTCAGAAATACAAGGGCAGTAGTATACTAAGTGTGCATGACAGTAATTTATCTGCAAGTACATATAGATTATGTCTACTGTATCTTATGATTCTATTACCTATTTATAAAGACTAGAGCACATTATAATCAACCAAATGAATCTAAAGAGTATTCTTGTGAAATAATAAGATTCTTTAAGGTTATATGTATATATTCACATTGTACCAAGATAGTAGAGAATAAAAAGCAAGAGAGCTTATCTAGAAGGAAATCAAAAATCACAAGCCCAAAGGCGTCTTCTTCCTGAATATATTTCTGTTTTAAATTTTTAAGAATTTTAAACTTATGAATATAGAAGAAGAGGTAAGAGATGCCATGAAGAAAAGAAATTACAAAAAAGCAGAAAGTCTTTTTTCCAAGCACATAAGCGAGTCATTTTCAGTTGAGATGCACGCGGAGTATTTGGCATTCATTAACGCAACAAACAAGGATATGATGAAGGATGCATTGGCTTTTTCTTATAATCATACTTTATACAACACAGACAGCCTGGATATTAAAATACAGTATTTAGAGTCAATTATGGAAGAAAATGACCCGGAAAGAGTAAAGGAGGTTTACACAAGCATACTGGAGATTCCAATCAAAAAGGTAGACACTATAATAGAACTGTACAAAAACTTTGAAAACACAAAGAGTAAAATAAAGAAGAAGGATAGTGATCTGCTATCAAAGGAAATAGTGGCAGTAGAAGAGTCCAAAGCAATACAGAAATTAAATGATATGCAGGCAATAGAATACTTTCTGCTGCAGTACAAGAACAATTATCCTATATATACCATAGAATACATATTATATAATGTGGATTGCGCTCTGAGCAATGGTAAAATAAAGAATCGAAGTAGAAATAAGATGTTGTTTTATAAGATACTGATCTTGTCGAAGAAGGTGGATAAGAAGAATATTATAGATAAAAATAGCAAAGAGATCATTTTAGCAAAGGGTGTTTCAGAGAAGAACCAGAAGATTAGTGGGATGCTTTGGAGTGAAATAAGAAATACAAATGACATACTTCCTTTGTTGCCGCTGCTTATAGGGTACACCTTTGACATCGACCAGCTCTTGGCAATTGCGCCTCCTGGAATAACTAAAAAAAGCGAGTCATTCTACTTGATCCTCTTTGGGGCAATTTTGAAGCACAGAGGCATTGAAGGAATGCGAAAGTATCTGATTAAGCTAACAAAAGAGAGGAAAATCGGGTGGATATCATACAACTACTGCGCAAGAGTGGAGGGCCTAATAGGAGGAGGAAATAAGTATGCAGGTGGGATACTTTTAACAGCCCTGAAGATATTTATTAAGGGTGAAGACAGCAGATATTACATGTCTGCAGAGGAGAACGCGTACAAGCTAGCATTGAATGGGACACAGCTGCTCCTTTCACTGGGAGATGCACAAAGAGCCCACATTTTAATAGAGCTTTATAATAAAGAGAAGGGGAAGGAGCAGCTTGCGCATGCAACCTTTAAGATTAGAGAGGGAGAAGAGGAGAAAGACCCAAAGCTTATGATGATAAAGCACCAGATGCTGTACGAGTCTGGGTTTGCTGCGCTTCTAACTATCTCCAATACATATAGCTACGGGGATCTTTTTGATTTCCTGTGCAGAGTGTATCGAATAGAGGACGAGGATGAAGTGCCTATGCCTCCTGTGCTCAAGAAATTAATTGAAGAGCTTCCAAAAATAAGAGAGTCCCAGGATATCTTTAGCGGTGTAGATATAAACAGCATAATTGACATGCTAATAGATATAGAGATATGATGGAGATGGCTGTTACTGGGAATATCTCAAAAATAAACATTTCTGCACGTTTTATCAGTTAAAAAGGCATATTCATTTGTAAAGAATTTTAGATCGCATTAATTCATAGCTTGCAGTAGAACTATTAGTATGATAATGTGCAGAACTCGCAAGAAGTTCTCTTAGACAAAAATGTGCTTATCTCTGTTCATGCTTAATAAAGATATATTTTCTTATGTGATACTGCAGAGGACAGATAAAGATATAGACAAAGATATCTGCACCCACAATATATGACTCTAAGTATATATTTAAATCCAAGAATAACAGGATATATCTATGTGTAGTATGCTTAAGAGTGTCTCTATACTGCAGGTGTATACTCAGGCTACTTAAAAATGGAAAAGTAATAGTAGGAGCATAGAGATAAACTGGTCATTTTCAAGTGCAGTAGAAGATAGAATATATTCTTTAGTGTACAGTGTATATGCTTGGACTACCAAGGCATTTACTGTCATACCAGGACACAGCCAATAGGCAATGAAGCACTCTTAGATTTGTTTCATATCGATTCAGTTTGAATGCTAAAAGAAGAAAAAGAGCATAAAAAAGAAGAAGAGAAAGAGGACAGCAGCACGTCCAGTAATAATGAGGTTGACCATGATGACCTATTTGATATAATAAAGAAGGCAAATAAAGGCCTTGCTGGGTCAGTGCGAACATCAAAGGACACAACAAAAACACTCACAAAGCAGGGACATAGTCTGAAGAAGTCCCTTCACAAGAAGAAGAACATTCGGAAGAGTATAGGGAAGGATGAAAAAGCAGTTCAAAATATAAATGCAGAAGGTCACGTAGTGGTTGTTAAGAGCTCTTTCTTCGATAAAGTGAAGGGTTTCTTCAGTGGAAAAACCTGGCACGAAGAAGCAGTCAACCAGTCTGCAGAGAAGGAAGAAAAAAAGGCAGAAAAATATTCAGACGAAGAAGAGAATGATGAGTTCAGCTCAGAGGAGAGCAGAGTGGCAGAGGATCTGGAGAGTACAGGCTCAGATGTGAGTGATGAGCTGGAGAAAACACTCGCAGGCCTGCAGTCTCTTAGAAGAAGCGTGCACTTCCAAACACAAAAAATCAAGTCCCAAAGGCACGCAGCAAAGGAAATGCAAATATTAGACAAGGATACAACAGAAAGAGCCAAGCAGCTTGAAGAAGAGGCAAAGCACATAAAATAAATACCCTACATTCTATATGGAAATATACAGAATTATTGTAGAAAAGGTTGATTCTTTGGATATAACCTGAATAAAATATCTCTTACTTAGAAGAAGAAAATATTTATTAGAAAATAAACCATATGAGTATCTTTTATTACTCTTCTATAACTTAAAACTAAGGTTTATTTGCATATTATTAAATCCACACTGTTTCACCACGTGAATATATACTCTGTAGTATTTTGGAATCATTGCCGTTACATCTTAAAAATTATAATTTTTAATCAAGTCCGTTATCAAGTGCATATAATTAAGCGTAGTAAAGCATATTTGTATTCTTCTTAGAATGTACATAGAATTAATCTAAATAATAGAAACGCACTTTTATTCACCAAATACCCTCTTATGGGCTATATACTAAGACAGGTCTTTTCTTTCCGTTCAACTGTGGCTATTAATAGAGAAGGAATTGAAATTTAGATATTTCTCCTGGGCATAGCTTGAATAGTAGGGCCTGGGGCAGTCTCAACGTATATATTTTATCCTAAGGGTTTTCGCTGGTTCACAAAACAAAAGCACAGAATGAACAATAGTAAGCAGATAACACAAGCAGATAATAAGATATATTTCTACTAAAGGTATCCAAACAAATTGTATAAAGGCCTTTACTAAATCAGCCAGACATACTGCCGTATTCTTCAGCAATGCACTCTGCCTCTGGGGTTTATTGCAGAGACAGGTGTCTAGTCTAAAGAGCACCATACTAGGCGGTCTATACAAATGTTCCATCCATATATCCCTCTATTATCTCCTTGACCATCTCCTTAGGCAGAACTGAGGCCCCTTGTTCCTTCATTTTCTTAAGGAATTCACTGTAGATTTCATTTATGTTTGTGTTTCCCTCCTGCACTTTCTTCTTTAAAAATTGGTGATACTGCCCAAGTGCTTCATTATTGTTTGCAGGAATTGGCTCAATCCTTTTGGTCATAATAGCCCGCAGATCTGCCTTCTCAACTCCATTGTGCAGTCGCATGAAATTTTGTACCTTTGATTCGCTAGATATGTCTTTCTTCTCTACAATATGTTTTATAGCCTCCTCTTTGTATGGTTTGAACTGTATGCCTTTGCTGTTGTATTCGTTGCTTATGAGCACAACCTTAAAACTGAACTTTTTTCTTTCCTCCTTTCTAAAGAGCCTCTCCAGCTTCTCCTTGTGCCGAACAAACAGCTTGTCTCTTCGGGCCCCCTCAAACTCGTCCACCACCAAAACCACTGTGGCAGAAATGGCACGCCCTGTTTTCTTAAATGCCTTGTCGATGAGTAGATTACTATAATACACCTCTACACCCTCTTCGTCAAGAATCTGCGCGATCTTCTCCATTACGTATGTCTTCCCTGTTCCTGGCTTTCCATGGATGTATAGAGTGTGGCGAGAGCTCTCTGTGATGCACTCTGCTATTTCTTTTATTTCTTCTGATCGGCCATCAATAGACAGACTGCATATTCTTTCTCTTATTTTGTCTTTCCTCTCTGGATCGTGCAAAACCTCTTCTACTTTCTTCATCATTTCTTTCTTTAATTTGGCTCTTCTCTCCTTTTCCAATGCAGCCTCTTCTGGAGTCTGCTTTGCTCTTTTGGAGGACCCAGGAATTGGCAGTCCTGTGACTGGGTCCAATTCCACAACCTCTCCATTCTCTCCTGGCTGCTTCTTCTTTTTCTTCTTCAAAGGAACCCCCTCTGGTGTCTTTGTTCTGGGCCTGCCCCTCTTTCTCTTTGGGAGATTCTTGGCCTCTTCTTTTTTTCTTTCAATTTCAGCCACTGCCAGTGCTTTTTTTAGTGGCTTCTTCTTCTCTATTTCTTTTAACTTTTCTTTTATTTCTTTCTCCTTTGCCTTAGTCACACGCTTTATGTTCTTCGCTTTATTCTCTTCTCGAACCTGCCTTGCTTGCTGCATTCTTTTCTCTCTTTCAAGTGCGGCTTCGTTTATTCTTAGTCTGGCTTTTACTGCTATCTTTCTCTCTGGCTTCCCCATTAAAAAAAACACTGAATAATAGATATTTTATTCCTTCCTTTATTTATGTTGCTCAAGATACTTAAATAGCATAGGTGCAATTATTTTTCTGCTAATGGCCGTGTCCACAGTGTACACAGTAATCTCATTGTCATTTAAGACAGCTCTTTTATTCACTGGCTTTCCCTCATATATTCCCTTTTCAATAAAATCCGTGCTTGGGGGATTGTAAATATAGAATTCTCTTTTGTTGTGCACCTTGCAGTTGATAATGTAGAATTCGTGCTTTTTCATTTCTACAAACTCTTTAATTGACTGCTTCCATTTTTCTGCTCCGTCTCTTGCAACCCACTCATCATATGCATACTTTACAGACGAAATTCCAAATGTCTTCTTTCCGTACTGTTTTGGAAAGTCGAATGACTTGTAGTCCATTTGCACAATCATATTGGTTGGTACACTTGGCTCGCATTTCTTCAGAGTTTTTAGTTCCTCCATGACGGTTTTGGCTGTCTCAAATAGTACGTCTGAAATACCCAGAGAAATATCCACTCCTTCCCTGTCTATATCATGGGTTCTTTTCTGTAGGCAGTTTGTGTCTGTCATGATTGGGATGGACATAAGCAGCAGGAATTTGTAATCAGGACTTCCTGTCTTTTCTTCTAGTGTCTTGGAGCATACGTGCCGTATATACCTGTATATTATAGAGCAGCAAGATCCTGCATGTAGCTGAATATTCATTCCTGTCAGCTGAGAGTGCACCTTGCTATTAAATTCAAGCAGTGCATGGTGGTCAATTATATGATCAACAGTAAATGCGTCAGAGAGCAAGAGGTCTTGGTCTGGCAGGTTAAAGTCAATCAGAAAGGCCTTTATATTTATCTTTGAGACAGGATATTCTTTATCTCCTCTTTTTAGCACCCATGCATCATTGTTTTTCACCAGAAATACAAGTTCATCAACAGACACGCCCATAATATCGCATATTTTCACTAAGTCTTGCTTGCACTTAAATATTTCTTTAGATAGGTTTACGACAGGAACTCGCCCAAGCATGACAGCAAGAATATGCGATCCTATAAATGAGTCCTGATCACATGAAGGATTACCCAAAACAATTTCTATAGACGAACTCTCTAGGTGTGCATATGATTTATCGAATAGTTCTCTAAGTTTTGTTGTTTTAATTATTTCTTTGTATGTCTCCATACTGTTGAGTTTTTTTATTTATTTATACTTTTTTGCTTTGGATGGTGTCTTTTTGCTACCAATAGGATCACGTGCACTGAATAGATAGATCAACCTATTTTCAGGAAAGAACTTCTCTTAAAATACTCGATCTAATAACCACTTAAAAAGGAGAAAAATCATCCAATCATCAGAAGTTGCAGGAATATAGAGAATAGATGTAGAATAGGCTGATTTATGTGCAGTGCATAGTAATTTAACTCTCATAGTCATGTATTCTTTGCTTATGTTCCACTCAGATAATACTTCTGCAATATAACTAGTTCTAAGCTGTATATTTTGTCTGTATTTAAATGGTTTTGTCAGCAGTTTATGCTGGTAATCTGCAGTATATTGCATGGTGTACTCTAATTAGTATAGATATTGTGATGTATTTAGAGTCTGTAAGCTGTTAATTGTCTGCTGAAAGAATAAAGCTAGAAGGATTTTAGAAGACCAAGTAAAAACACTTTTATACCCAAGAATGTGCATATTACTTCTGCAAAATGCAGCCCAGCTGGGTACTCTATGGTGTAGATGCATTTTGCACTAATAAAAGACAGTTAGTACTGGCTAATTCTTAACTTTTATTTTTTTAATTTTTCCCATCCCTGCAATGAATACAGAAATAATCCCAAAAACAGAGACGGAGTACAAAGTAATGGTTGAGGCCAGAGAAAGAGTTGGAATCCCAGCCACCTTCATATCATTCAAAAGATCACAAAGAATGGTACACCCAAGATACGCATTATTGAAAATAGAAAACGTCACCAGCAAAGAGCAGGCTGAAAAATACATTGGAAGAGCTGTTGAGATGTACATTCCAAAGACGAAAGTACAGCTGTCTGGATACAAGGAGAGAGTAGTTATGGGATACGTTCACAGAGTTCACGGAAATTCTGGAATTGTCAGAGCTAGATTTGAGAAGAACCTGTGCCCAAAATTCATAGGAACCCACGTGTACGTGCAGTTATACAAGGCTAACCCAAATTACTTCCAAAAAGACTAAATAAATTATATCTTGCGATAAACAGCAGAGGCTGCAGGTATCTGCACCACTTCTATCTCTTTGTGTCTTATTTGGCTACTTGTGATTTGCTCTATCCAGACGTAGTTAATTTCTGTCTTTTTAATTTCTGTGCTACTTGAAGTTCTCTGCAGAATGGAGAATTTTTAGTACAGTGTCTCAAGTATTTCAGCAGACTATTAGAACATGGCGGTGAATGGTGATTTCCTGCCAAGTGCGCTAATAGAAGAATCTGCTTGTGTCCTGCAGTCTGCACTACACAAAGTAGCACTTCTTCAAGTCAACTCTTTGACTTTCTGACTTGACTGCGCACTCGCTGAAGACATTTCCCTTCTTGCATACGTATGTAGCATTGTTGGTCGGGATAAACGTACCAAATGCACTGCATAGAAGCCTGCTACTGGTTCTCATGCTTTTGGGGCAGTACTCAGCTATTCTGGCAATGCTTTTTGAGCAGCCTGGGCAGTCTGTTTTTTCTCTCTCCCGGCACACTGGCGTAATGAAGCCAGAGATCCCCAGAGCAACTCTTTGGTAAAAGTAGTTGTGCTGCGGGACAGTCTTATAAACTAGCGTCTTCATTAGTGTTGCAGATATCTGGCAGTCCTTATACCTATTGGCAATGCTGTGAAAGAGATCTGATGTCTTTGGAAGCACTAGAAGAGAAAGAATCTGCTGGGGAATCTCGTCCTTATGCTTTTTGATGTACATGCATGCTTTCTTTTTATTTGGATTCTTTAGCTCGCATAGGCGTATGACCTCTCTGCATAGCACTGTCATCCGAACAGACTTCTGCGCTGTATCTACAGCTGGGAAGTTCTTGCTGTATGCAGCCTTTTGCTGATACTTTGTTGAAAGTGCCTGCTTTACAGAGTCCTTTGCTGCTTTATATGGCTCAATATCTATAAGGCTCTTAATCGGGTATTGGTTCTTTATTGACTGTGCAGTTCTTGTAAACCCTCTTTTTCCCAGGAATTCAATGAGTTCTACCATCATTTCATTATTCATTTTTTCCTTTGCTATTCTTTCTTCAATTTTCTTTTCCTCTTCAATTTTCTGGCACTCAACCTCTTTGTTCTGCAGATATTCCAGAAGACGGGATATTTTCTCGTGTATTTTATCAGAGGGTGTTTCACTTAGGGCATTCCCAAACTTCTGTGCAGAAAGATAAGTCACCTTCAATAGCTTCTGTAAAAGAACCTGCTTCTCATCCATGTAAATAAACCTTTAGTGGGCTGAATTTATTAATTTCAGACCACAGTAATTACTCTCGTGTGTATAAGTGTATTAGTATTATAATTCAGAATATATGATGTGTCTACAGATATAATGTATGGAATATCCTGATATAAAGTCATGAAATACTCATTGAGCAAGTAAGTCTTTGTCTTTAGACATCTGCACCATACTAATAATATTCTCTAGTTTGACATATTCTCAGAATACAAGTAATTATGTGTGCACTAGAGTGTATATGACCAGAAAACCCGATATAACCCGAATAAAGTGATTCTTGTGGTATTTTATGCCTGTAGATACGTTAGAATATATTCTAGTACCTCACGTGCAATGAACAAGCATACTTCTATTCATAAAATATCACTAACTGAAGAAAAATCTGTTTTATGCAACAAAAAATACAAGTAATTCTTCATCAATACACAAATTAAACTAGAGACCAAGAGAACTTCCCTATTTCTAAAGATATCGCACTGCAGGAAAAGGGTTTGTATTAAAGCATTTTTATTTAGACACTGTCTTATTGTTTGTTTGCACTCTGCTAGCAATTCCTTTAAATGCACGCATGCCCTTGCAAACAGACTATTTCTTCTGTCACAGAATGCATCTACTTTATACTATTCCAACAGACAGAAGGATCTTTGGCCTATACATTCACAGACTACACCAAGAAAGCTAGAACTGTCTAATTCCCTCAGCTGTGATTGCGCAGAAATGAAGTGTGCCGTAGCTTAAAACAAGCCTTTTTTTAATTCCCTCATATATTTCCTTCATTAACTCTACAGTTTGCTCTACGTCCATCTCACTTGTATGGCACATTTTCATTTTTGTCAAAAAGAATGGGGCACAGTATCCAGTGGCCATGTGCTTATATGACGAGCATGCACCGTATTGGTCTATCATGTATATCTGCCCAGATCCTTCAGAGATACCTCCTGCAATTGAGCTGACCTCAACTGGGGCCTTTCTCAACTTACTGTGAATTTCCATTTGGAGGGCACTAGCAAACACTTTCTCTGTTATGTTCAGGCCGTGTGCTATACTCTCATACCTAAGGCCCTCCAGGACACCTTGGACCACTCTGTCACAGTCCCCTAGGTTACCCCCAGAAATCACAGCTGATTTATTGTTGATTTCAATGCATTTGTTATGGTCACTTTTTGGAACCAGAATATTATTTCTATACATCGTGTCACATGCTAGTATTACGTAATCCTTTCCAGCTACTCCGAACAATGCATCCATACTTATAAATAAATAAAATATTATAACCCGAATATAACCCGAATTATTGCATCTGCAGTAAAACCAAAGCACTGAACTATCTTGAAGGAGTCTTTGACAAAGAGCAACAAAAATCAGATTTTATTGCAAAGTGCATGCAGATGTAGTAGTGCCAGACTTGCAAATATAACCTGATATAACCCGAATACTTAAAATTCCATGAACACATAATTCCATGAACACATCCTAGTATTAGTGTGCTTCTTTGGTATATGCACAATAACCAGATTATCTACTTGAATATGCAGTTCTTGCTATTTCATCTGTACTGCATTATAGTACACTGTGATTTATTGTTATTTATGGATATTCTAGGGATATTCCAGGATATTTCAGGATATTTCAGGATATTTTCATTGCAACATTTGACGGGTGTGAAATTCTAGTGCTAGAGAATACTAAGAATAGTAGAGAATATATAGTTAGCATAAATTACAGCAGTATCAACTTATTTATCAACTGCATGCTTTAGTGAAATATCAAGTACTGCGAGCTTATTCTGTCATCTTCTGTCTTCATCTTCTATCTTTATTTCTATCGCCTTCTATCTTCATTTCTGTCATATTCTGCTGTCTTCTAAATAGTATAGTTTTAATTTATATAGTGCATTCTTCTGGCTTAATACGCTAAGCTATTTACATTTCTTGCAGAGTAAACAATAAACAAATGGGAAAGAGTCTGCGCACACGCATGCTTACCTTTGGTGTATGCGCCTTTATTCTTTTTTCTATACTCCCTCAGCTGGACCTCTTAAGTATTAACAAGTTTAATCTGCTGTGTGTTCTGTGCTTGGCATATTTCATTGGGAGTACATACTACCAGGCTGTGTTCATTCTGTACTTCATCTTAAACTCAGCTGACATCCTTTTTATTATAGATAACATTCAGCTGGTGCTTTTCTACAGCTTAGTATACTCCACAGATATTCCTATCCTGGCAAATCTATCTTATGGACGAGCTATTTATAGAAGCTTTAAGAAAAAAAGTATAATTCCCATTATGGTGTCTGCTATGGCTGGCCTTGCTGTCTGTGGCTGGAGAATATTTGAAGCCCAGAAAATATCTCCTATGGCTACTTCCCCTTTGATGTCTTCTTCTTTTGTTCATCTGCACTCTGGTCTAATTTACATCAGTAGCACAGAAAGCTACTATGGGAATTATAATAGAAAGCAAGGGAGCGGAAATAGGGCTGTAGTAGGGACAAAGGAGAAAACACAAAATACAGAATGGAAGGTTATTCTTGAGGGGCTTGAGGGAAATCCTGCACCAACTGTCTCCATAACAAGTGGCTCTGTTGTTTATCTGCAGAATGCACAGACCAAAGAGTACATGTACACAGCAGATGTTGCATCGCCTTTAACTCTCTCTAATCAGGAAGTATCTACTACCCAGGCACTGACAGATGCAAATAGGTTCTTAATTCTAAACACAGATGGAGACATGACAAAGACTGTGTCTATATTCAGTGATGGGCTGTTTTATCTGAAGAATGTCAGCACAGGCGTATTTATTCGTGTTTTGAAAAGAAAAACACCCATAGAAGACGTGAAAATAGCACGGGGATATGAAATAAATGGGCAAAAAGAGACCGGAGTGAATATATATGTTGGGGGAAGTACCTGCCTGTGGAGTGCCCGGGTGATTGATACCTCTAAGGTAACTATTAAAGACTGGTGTAAGAATATACTGGCGCATATTTATAGAGCAGGAAAAAAGAGGCTTTACATAATTTCTCGTATAGAAGGCTTAACTGAGGAGGAAAACCCCCAGTATAATCACCACTATACATACATGGGCAGATACAACGTGCTTATGTATGGGGTACTATTTATGTTTTCTGGGCTGCGTGGGATGCTTGGGAAAGAGCGTATCTGGGAAAAAGTAATTTCGTGCCTGATTGACATTCTACTGTGTCTTGTCTTTAAGAAAAAATGCACAAAGGCAGTGGTATACACGGCAGGCGTTATTGGCATACAGAATGGACTAAAGTTGCATAAACTAGTTAGAGAGATTATCACTTTGAGAACCAAAGTAAAGAAAGACTAAAGGCAGGTAATATACCAGGGCCACCATATTTCCAGATGTATACTGCATCTTAGTATTGAAATAAAGTGCATTCTTTAGAAATTCAAGTTAATAAGCGAGTATTACTCTCTTTCTTTTTGTTCTCTTTCTTTTCGTTTTCATTTTATTTTTGTATTATTTTACATCTGTATATATTGGAGAATTATTGTCTTTCTACAGTGTAGATATTCTAAAAAAAGTGCACTAAATAGACAACTTCTTTTAGGAAATATTCTAAAGTCATGAAAATGCAGCTGCATCTGCAAAAGTTATAAAGAGATAAGAGTAGGTACCTATCATGCACTGAAAAATCCCACTGTAATACATATATTACTATACAAGTATATACTAACAATCTGAAAGAGATGATGTAAATAGGTCTAATAAAGAATTGCTCAAATAACATGAAATTTCACTTCAATGGGCCATGAGTGCTTTCTTAGTCTTTGAAATACTCAGACTAATAATCCAAAAATATAAATATACAGATCGTAAATATTCAGAATATAACTACTTTATTCATAACCCTCTGAAATTACCACTAAAAGCATAGTGAGTGTGCTTACTCTAGAACAATTTGTGCGTAGAGCTTTCTCTGGCCGCTTTCCCCAAGAAGGGCCAAGCCCACAAGCCACGATGTATTTGTCCATCCAAACCCTTCTCTTGGCACATGGCGTATCTGGGCCCCAATGTTTCCGTACTCTACGTTCACTTTGTGCGAGCCTGTCTTTATATTGTACTTCTCAGTAACCACTCCGTTATATCGCGCAAAAAGCTTTCCTACCATTGTGCACCATTTTAGGGCTAGGCTTTTCGCCAGATCAGCATACCCATAGTTCACTAGGCCTATCCACCCAAGCATCTGGTGAGGGGCCCATCCATATGGATAGTCCCACTGTTTTTGTGTTTCACTTTTTTCTGCTCCCACAGCACAGCTTTCTTCAGTTCCTGTGAATATTCCTCCTGCCCCAATCAGATCACCCAGACCGTGCACCAGTATTTCAGCCTTTTTCTCTTCTGCTGCTCTTGTAAATAGCGGATACAGAGTAGTGGCACCCTTATAGTCACTTAGTTTGTTGCTCTTAATGTTGTAGTCGTAGTATGCCTCTCCGTTCCACAGAATTGTATTAATGGCTGCTTTCCTTCTATTTGATATTTTTTCTATCTCAGGAACATGCCGCAGCTTTAGAATATCCTGCTCTGTCTTGTACAGCAGTGAGTTTAGGTCAACTGTGTACAGATGTGATGCAATGCCTTCAACTCTCTTTGAAGTATCGTGCCCTGACTCCCGCACTGCCCGATCATTTTGCAAAAACTCTTCAAGTTCTTCCGAAACTACCTCTCCTCTGTTGTATTTCGCAATGTACTCGTTAAGATCACTTGCTGACCAATTAGCAGCCTCTGGCACTATCTCCCGAATTGCTGCAAAGAAATGTCCCTCTTCTGTTTCTAGAGGGATTCCTTTTCCTCCAGGTGCATGCCGTGTGAGGTGTATTTCTTCATTGTACCCTCTGTGGAAGTAGTAGTATTCGCTGATCATTGCGTCCACTGCTTTCTCTATCCATCCCTCAAGTGAGTTTCTCTCTTGCGCTGTAAGATGCGATATAAGCTCTACTACAAGAGTTGAGAACAGAGGGGGATTTCCACGAAATAGATAGTAAGACCTATTTGCGTTGAGTATTTTTCCATACGCTTCGATTTGGTATCTCAGGTTCTCTGCTATGGAAAAGGCCTCTGACAGTTGGTTTGACAAGATAAGACCCTTTGCAATGAAGTAGGAGTCCCATCCGTACATTTCATTAAACCGGCCACCTGGCACATAGAATGGACATGGACCTTTACCCTGCCTAATATAACCTCCTCTGTTTTCTGGCGGTATCTGTGGATTGTGCCATGCCTCTGCAAATGGCACTTTTTTGTTCTCCTGCTTGATTTCTTCTTCAAAGGCCTTTGGTTTTGTGCAGTACGCCGCCTGCTCTGCCTGAGAGGCATCCGCTAGCTCTGCGGGTGAGATAAAAAAATATGTGTGCGAGAGCGACAGGAGGCCTGGTGCTGTATCGCACAAGGCTTCTCGGGAAACAAGAGTGTCTGCAAAGAAAACACCTGCCTGGCATGCCTTACTAGTTCTCAGCTTAATCATTCGCACTAGAAAACCAGAATCTGCTAGGCTTGCAATTATTTCTTTGTAGTACTGGATGCTCTCTGTGTCAAACGACGGAACATAAAGGAAGTACTCTACTCGTGATATTTTTGTGTCAATTAGCGCTAGCTTTAGCCCATTCAGATCAAGCACTCGCCTGAGATTAGGCCAGAAACAGGTTTTGATGAGCCTTGTGAGCCTATTTATAGTGTGCTCATTTATGATTTTCTCAGGAACTATAACTGTCTTAAGGTTTATGTCGACTAGAGCCAATTCCTGCAAAAGAGTGGAGATGCAGTAGTTTCCCTCCAGCCAGATTTGATCTCCATACTGCCCGTCAATTAGATACTTCTTAGGGCCTGCATCATCTACTGTAATTGTTCCATCTTTCGTAGTGTCCTCTTGGTCCAGCAGCTTCTGGATGGTTTTTTGCACATCACACACAAACTCTCTGGCTTTGTTTATCTGGGCTGATTTACGCCTAGTTGGAATTTCTTTAGTAGCTTCAGGCTGCACTGTTCGCCTTCTTCCCTTTGTAGGAGTTACTTCTCGCATAACAATAAAATAAATGAAAATGTCCTTATATACAAATTTAACAGTACATATCTTCAGTATAGTATGGAGAGAGCAAGAAACTCGCCGTCTGTGAACTGTGTGCCTTATATTGTGTTTGTTATACATGTTCATTCTGCTGCAGTGCCCAAGCATATTTTTTGTTCTAGTTACACAGTGCCTCTGTACTTTTGCTTTGAATTTCGTATGAATAGCACTGCAACCAGATAGGAAGTGGACTTACATGCAAGATAAAATATGCAGAGTCTGCCTGGTTTAGTGCTGTCTCCAGGCTACTTAAAGCATTACACATTATTATTCAGAGTCCGCTGTGAATTTATCATATAAATAAAGCTTCTTCAAGTCTATACGTAGATTTCATATAAAGTACTTCTTCGTGGTTGGCAATTATTACTAATGGTCCTTTTTTACTGCAGTTTGTAAGATTTAAGGTGTTCTAGATATCTACAAAAGTTTTTGTTACATAGATAAGCACTAATATAATATAGTACGTGGTATCTTACAAGCTATTTAAGAAAATTTATTGTTCTCTTTATTATAGCTGAGCCTTCTCTGAAATATTAAACTTGATTTTTCTATTGGGGTGAAATTTATTAGAGTAGTCTGGCATACAAAGAGTTTTTCATTTATACGAACTACTTTGTGACCTCAGACTAATGATGTGATAAATACCACAGTGCATTTTTAGTTATTTTCCCTAAAGTCATTATAACCTAGTAACTCTGTGCAGGTTTAGATATTTCTCTTTGACTGCCACCTATGTAGAACCATTCAACTAATATATGTAAATAGCACATATAGGAACTAAAAGGCTACATATCTCATAATTCTACCATAAACTGTTGGTATGATCACACTATCTAGCTTTTTTATGTAGAAGATCCATGTGATCAGCATGTTATTTCTTATTTTTATGTTTTCTAGATCTAGAATGATCAGAATCTTTTTGTACTCTGGCAGAATCTCAATTATAACTTTTCTAAGAAGATCGTACTTGTTATGTGAAAAAGTACTATACTGCTTAAGTTCATCCAAAATTTTATCTTCAAGGAGAGTAACTGCACTCTCTATATACTCTATGTATATACGGTCTACCTTATCTTTTTTATCTTCTAGCTTATTTCGAATCTGCTTTACTAATTCAATAATTAGACCGCAGACTGGCACTTCCATAGTGCAGGGTCTGTGCAAGCTTTTATTGAGTAATTGTAATAAATCCTGCTCTCTGCATTCTGGATTATAGTTTTTCTCTATATATTTGTTGATTGACTCCATTTTCTTTATGTAGGCGTAGTTGTTATTCAATATTTCCACTATCTTATCAATAGGATAGAATTTTATCGTATTGTCTTCCAAATCATTGTTTCTCATAATCTCCTCGTCTGCAAATCTTTTTAATACGTTATGCTGGGCCAGCCCAAATTTCACTATTTCTATGTCCATATCTGTGATAGTTTTGATCTTCTTAATAGTGGCTTCTATCTTTTTATTTGCAGCTTTTTTCTCAGACGCAGTACACTCTTCTAAGTTAACTATTTGATTCATCAATATATAGTAGTCCTGCCTAAAAATATCGTAGCCTCTCTGTACCTGATCTGGGTATTTCTCCATAGGACATACATCGTTATTGCATGTTTCGCATATTTTTTTTATCATGTCATCTTGCTCTTTTATGTATTTATGAATGCTGCTTCGAAGCTTTTCCATTTCAAATCTATGCTGTTTTCTAAGTACATTGATCGCCTGCTCTATTTGTTTCTGATTTGTCGTGTCAAAGGCTACCTGTACAAACTCCCCTCCATTGAAAAATACCTGATCACCTGACTTTCCTATAATATGATATGCCTCTAGCATTGTTTTTCTAAAGCCAAGCAGCTTTTTCTTGAGGATGTCAAGACGGTTTACCATTTTTTTAAACCTCTTAATTAATTTGTCAGTCTGGTCTGTTTTTTCAATTTGGTTTATGCAATGTTCCTCATTGGAAGCAAATAAATTCACATGGGAAATTGTCGCTCTGACTAACTCACTGTATGTTTTCATGAACATGCCAAAACTATTGTAGTTTAGGTTTCCAAATATATTTCTATCAATAAAGTTTAGCAGAATCTCTGTATCCCTTGCTGTGGCTATCTTGAAGTTGTATGAGTATAAATAGCCTATCATTTTACCAACAAGTATAGAAGGCATTCCAATAAGTTCAAGATATCTACCAATAATAAACCTTACATCTCTTGTTTCAAGAGATTCTTTTCCAGAGGATTTCTTCTCTAAATTCTCTAATTTGTCTACTAGTTCAGATATGTCACTGTTCATTATTTTATCCGGATTCTCCAAGAGTCTAACAACTATAGCGTAGTTCTGCCTATTGTCATACGCCACCTCCCTAAATTTTGCATTATAGTGCTGCTCTATTTTAGCCTTGTTAAGCTTGCTTGTACTGCTGTACAGCTGGAACATATGCTCCATCTTTTGGTTTTTTGAATATTTGGCGTATTCCGAAAACACTTTATCGCATCCTTTATCTGCAACATTTAGCATGTCTTCTAGCCGTGCATAGCTTATAATTGGTGCCATATCATCAGGAGATTCTGCTCTTGGAGTAGTAGAGTCTAGCCTAAATCTCACTTCATCTGTAGTCAAGTTATGTTCGTCTAATAGATTATGTACATCTTCTATTTCTTCAGGAGACAGCACCATAGTAGAAACTATCCTGCCGATATATGCTGCAAGCACGATATAAATGATGTGTATTCTCATAAAAGAAAAAATATTTTCAGTTAATTTCTACTATTATAAAAACTGCCATGCCAAAAATGTATAAATAATTCCAATTACTGTATTATTTACTTATCCTTGCGTGCATCCATTATTGGCTGTTTTAATTCCTTGGTGGTGTGGCATTTACAGAAAAAGAATCTAATCACCTAGTGTTTTACATTGGTTGTTCTATCTAAGTTAAATCAAAACCAAAAGATTTTAAAGTTTGGCTTTCAATAAACCTCAAGCTTACTAATACCACACTCTAGGAAAATAAACAAAATTCTGTCTATTCTGTCTATTATGTGTATATAAAGGGTATGCATCTGCATGCATGGGACATTTCATATACACCTGCTGTTATAATGGTTTTTGTTGACTGTGTTTATTTAAACCCTTCTATATCTTTTTCTATGCTATAATTTCTATCTATATAGCACTGAGGAATTTAGCAGACTCCCAGATAAACTCCCAGATAAATTGGCAAGACATATGTGTACCTTCATGGTGTACAGATTTTTATGGTGCATTAGTGGTGTATTGAAATTCAAGTGGTACCAAATCTTGAAGACGTCTATCTTAAGTAGAATATGGTATGTTTGTGCAAGTTTATTACTATGTGCCTGTGGGTAGCCTGCAGTGCTGTGTCACAGCATCTTTGTGCTGATGGCGTGATTTAATTTATTTATTTTTGCATGCACTGCATATAATATTTGCCCATAAATATAACTCTAATAACCTGATATAACCCGAATTACTTAAATCCATGGATACAGCAGAATTGTAGTAGATTTAGACAAAAAGGAGAAAGATTGCACAATGTGCCGTAATTGTTCTAGAAACACACAATGTTCGTTTGGCTTTATTTAATATGCTAATTGGCGAGTGAAATAATATTTAGAGTGTTTAGCAATGCATCAGCTCTGCCTTTAATTACAGACATCATATTGGATAGATTAAAGTGCGTTGCCAGCTTAATAATATTTTTCACCAACCACTGGATTAGAACTGTAGTGTATGCCTCCATGAAGTTTGCACCAAAGTATGCAACTACCACAAATAAGGCACTGCATAAAATACCTAGTAGGAGAGACATGTATGCATGTGCCCTTGAGTTGTCTGCGCGTATGGGTATTCTGTTTTCATGCTGCTTCTTTGAGTCAGAGGACACGTGCCTATTGTTTATCCAGCGAATCAGGTTGGACAGCACACGCAGTCCAATAACTGCTCCATAAAAGAACGATATAATTGCAGAGGAGTGGATGTATTTTGCGGCAAATCTATACTTCAGAGGAAGGAAGATAAGAAGCATCGTGTACGTCATGTATAAGCTGGCGAATGCAGTCATAGTAGCAACCACTGGGTTTCTCTTAATTAGCTCAGAGGGCTTTCTGCAGTCGAACAGGCCATGGCCAATCACAGACATAAGGAATATTACAGCAATCTGGATTACCATAATTAGTATTTGCAGAAGGACAGGCATTGAGGCTAGGTTCATTTCGTATAGGAATCTAGAAGTGAAGAGAAGCAAGCCAATCAGAGGAAGAATTGAGAAGGAGAAGACCATCTCAACACCCTCATTAGAAGAGAGGAACAGTAGCCGCAGGAAGTACAGAATAAACAAAGGTGCAATTATAAGGTACTTACTAGAGGCCAGGAGTTTCTGTAGCCTGGTGCTTGCGTCAAAGTAGCTATGGATATTGTTGATGCACCTGTAGTACCGCATCTCATCGACGAAGAATACCCCAAAGCTGATCAGGACATACACCCCGATCATGTGAAATATATAGAATGCGCCATCCTGCGACATGAATCTGTTGTCAAATGGGACTTCGTTCTCTCCATTCCCCTGTACCCCTTCTCCTATATTTTCTTTAACTGGTACTGCTGGATCAGATGTATTTGATAAAAATGACTGCGAGTCATTTAATGCTCTGCTGCGTGTATGCGTGCTACTTTGCTTCCTTAATTGCTTATCTTCTTCAAGCCCACTTTCTCCCATAGGGATGCTACTTCCATTTGTATGATCATTCCCTGCAGGGCGGTTGATGCTCGGGCTTTTGTCTGTGAAGTGTGTCTTTGTTGTGACATATGAATCAAGAGAACTTGCTGGCGAGGACATAACTATGCAAGAAAGCGTCATACATATAATTATGATGGTTCTAAATTTTCTTGCTATGCTCATCTATTAAAAATTTTCAGAAAGTGGAAATATATATAATTTTTTCTAAAATAACGGATTAATTACACTAAAGATGCTTATATTATCACTAAAGCAGCCATCTCCATCCGGTTTCTTCTACTCAGGCCGTGCGCTTATTCCTGTTCTGACTAATTTGCTGTAAATAGGTGTGTACATGCGCAGATTTCCGAAACTTATTGGCTCTATGGAAGAAATTTCCCCGTATGAAAGAAAGTGTCCAATAAAAATTAAAAAAGGAATTAAAGGAAGAGGCATATAACTATCTATATTTTATTCTAAAAAATAATGAAAGAGAGCACGAAGAGAGAAGAGTTGATGACAGAAATCAAGACCCTTCCAATGAGCAAGATAAAGACCAGCAAAAGCGCGCTAATTAGCAGGATTATTCAAGGAAAATACTCTGAGCTGGAGCAGATTGAGCTGCGGAGAGAGCTTCAGAAGAGATTTATAAATGACTCTGAAGGAAAGAACAATCCGGAGTCAAAGCTCTCCGAAACTGAAGACGCCATTAAGAGGCAGTGCAACGTGTCTGTTGAGGCTGCAAAGAAGCTTGCAGAGTCAGATGGAAAGCTGAGCAAAATAAAGCGCAGTCAAGAAAGAATTTCAGAAGAGATGAAGAAGGCAGAGTGCACTCTTCAAAAGAAAAAGTCAAAAGAGTTTAGAGAGGAAATTCTGCTCATTGGGGCATTTGGCATTTTCTTTAGCATTTGTTCATACATCCTCTTAGATAAGTTTGTGTTACAGAGAGCCTAACACCAGCGCGCACTCAACCCGAAACACTGTAGCAGGTCGGGTATTTATGAAAGAAACACAAAAGGAAAGCACATGTGGATTATTATACTTATGCTGCTTGGCTATGCTTTATGTATTGAGGAAGAAAGCATAAAGCTTGCCTCCATCCATGCTGATACAGTGGCTGTTATTTCGCTGTTTATGATACTGGGCCTTACGTTCTCTGTCTCTCTCTATGGCATTAAGAAGCTAATTGAGAAGAGCCCAAAGCACATGACAAGTAGAAGTCATCTATCCCAGAGTTTCATTCCTAGAAAGCAGACAACTGAATATGAGGTGATTTCTTTCTAATAATAAGCTAGAAATAAAAGAGTTTTATATCTATATAGCTTAAGTCACCCTTATCCCAGTATTAAGAGTAGAAGATTATGGGCCCTTTGCGAATCAATAAACACTTCTTATTTATCCTCTCTCTATGCTGTATACTTCTTTTAGTCTGGGCCATACCTGCACTCCACCAACTGCACTATCATTATGTGGGTGTAGGTCTCTTTTTATTCTCCTCAGCACTCCACTCCATGTGAGTTTGCACTTTGCAGTGCTCCATGACTGTATTTTCAAGATACTTCTCCAAACAGTGCTCTAAGGTGTTTGAGCTGAATAAAAACACTGCAATTGGCTGCGAAAATACAATGCTCTATTCCTACTTATATCCGTGCATCTTGAGTTATATCTGTGCAAATGCATAATAAGACTTTGGTGGCTGAGTGGGGAATTGAATACCCGATCCTTTCTATGCAAAAGAATAAAAATAGAATCTCTTCAGTATAAAGAATAAGAACATTATTTATTTGAAATAAACCAACTATTACATTAGCATTTAACTCACTTTCTCATGATCTTATTTATAGCAGATTTGAGCATTGTCCATATAAACATGCTAGCTCCTTGCTATTCAGATGGGGCCTGCTGGTGCTCTGCATTCTGGTCTTGCTGTGTGCTCTCCTCTTCAAGCCTCTTCTTCTCTGCAAGCCTTCTTTGCTCCTCAAGCTGCTCCTGCTCCATTTGATACTTTCTCTGTCTCTCCTGTCTCTCCATCTCTTTAATGACTTCAGACTGCATGAACTTAAAGATGTCAAAAAGTCGGTGTATTCCTGGATAGACAGGTGGGGTGATAGTAACCCCGTATTTCTCTGTGAAGTTGTCAGATAACTTCTTTCCTGCATCATTCCACTCGCTTTCCAGAGAAACTTCCTTCTCAAGAGTGTCTTCAAACGCAGTTACCTCTTGCATTGTTTTTGCAGATGCTGCAAGTTCTTCCACTGTCTGACTGTGCTCCCAGAGACTTTCGGTTGCCTTCTCTGCAGAGGAAAGAATAGACAGAGAGTCTGAAAGAAGCTCAATTGTGTTGTATATACCCGTCTGTATGGAATTGATCTTGCTTTCTATCTCAACAACCATCCTTTCCTTGTTAATATATCTATCCTCAGACCTTTTCATTTCGATCATGTTCATTTCATCTAATATGCTAAATGCCTCTACGTCATCTGAAGTAATATGAATTCCTCCTGTAGATGTCAGGCTTATGACGAGCTTTACTGCTTTCTTTTCATCATTTGCCTCTTCGACAACATCTTTCTTTTCCTCTGTCTTAGAGTCATCTTCTGGCTGCACAGTCTTTTCTTTTATTTTTAATGAGTACACTGGATAGTCTCCTGCATATACAGTCATTACACTTTCCTCATCTATCTTTGCAATCTTTACTGTCTTTTTTGGGCACTTCAGAAGCACAATCTTTGGGTCATACTTCTTCCCAGCCACCTTGGACTTCATCTCCTTGACATATCGCGTGTGCTTGTCAAACACCATGATAGTCCGTGGGTTTGTGCTGCTTCCCACAACCTTTATGTAGTATGGATGGCTGGTTGTGTCCCAAATCACAGGATCATATCTAAACCTGTGGAATGGGCTCTCCATGAGTCTTCTGTAGACCCCGCCAAGCGCCACAGACTCGTCTGCATTCAAATGCATCTCTGGCTTTTTATTGAGTGTTTTTTGTATAATGTCCTCAATAAAGAACATCTTTGATGACCCTCCAGTTATCTCCACGTCTATCACAGTGTTTTCAGTGATCTGCCCCTGCTTCTCTATCTGCTCTCTCATTCTGCGTAGCTCTACCTCCAGCTCTGAAAAAGCGCCTGCCACCTCTTCTATGTCTGCCTTTGTTATGGTTACCCCAACCGACCTATCGTACGAGGCATCCACCTGGGTGGTTACAGAAGAAAGTCCAAATATAGCTCCCTTGATCCACTCTATTTTTTTCAGATTTCTTATGCCAAACTCCTCCTTGCTGAAGAGATCAGGTATGCTCTTGTCCAGCCCGTTGTATATCTTTCTCAGAAGATGCTCTGTAATTGCGCTTCCTCCAACATTCACAGTGGATCTTCCAATCACCTGAATCTCAGTGTCAACTATAGATGCTGTGGTAAGTGTGCTTTTGTCGCTTCCTATGTCGATGAACCCCACTATCTTTGGCACGTCTGACGACCTTCTGCTTAGATAGTACGCGCACAGTGCAATGGAATCTGAAATGCACTCCACTCCTATTTTTGGGTTGATAAGCTCAAGTATTTTAATCAGAATATTCTTGTGCAGCTCAGTGTACGAGCACGGCACTATTATCTCTACCTCAAGCTCGTTTGTAGATATGTTCTTTGTTTCGGCATAGTGCGTGATTAAGTGGTTTAAAAGACCATACACATGCGATGTCTTTGGTACATCTGCCTTTTTTGCGCCCTTTGCTGCAATCTGTGCTGCAAGGCTCTCTATTTCGCTTCTTATGGCCTCTGCCACCTTCTCTCTGTCCTTGCAGGTAACATTGATATTTCCAAAGGATCTTATCTTGTTTCTGTAATCTATGGCCATTTTCGTGCTTCTGCCCCCTGTTCTGCTCAGGATTATTTCGCCCGCAGAGGTGTCTGATGAGGCTAATACTGTTTTATAACTTCCTAAGTCAATTGAAAGAATCTTCATAAAAAAAAAATAATATGCTTATTTAACCATACAGAAATATCCAGAAAATTCAAAAGGCTGTTTTTAAATTTCCTTTCTTCAAATAGAGGCAGGCACCTAGCATTCTACATATAAGTTGTGTTAAAAACAGAGCGCACATAACTAAACTGCTAGGTGCATAATAAGTGCATATATTTATGTCTCGTATAAATAAAACTTCAGAGTGAGTAATCTTCTACACATTTTACAGTGCAGATATATACGTATTTTTGGAATCCTAAATTATCACATGCTTCTTGTATTAGTAATAAGCTATTTTTGAACAGGCAGAATACCACTTCTGCTCTTTTTTCTGAATATTTTTGGGCTGTAGCGTATACTTGGCAAAAACACTTTTTAGACACTGAAGCATCTATATGTTTGTGTGGTATTTCTCTTGTAAATATTTCTTCTACTTATATGTGTTAAAAATATATTACTAATTTCTTAAATATACCACTTTTTCTTAAAGAAGTCTTGTTAAGCTTTAGTATTTGTTGCGAACTAAAAACTAAAGAAAAAATGTATTTTAAACTACTAATGTGTATAGAGAGATTGGCACCATTATTTATTCAAAAACTCAATTTTTAAATAGCTTGGTTTTTCAGCTTTAAAAGCTTATATTAGAGCGAATAAAGCAATTCGCTTCTTGCCGTGTGAGCAAACACTATTATTATGTTGTTTCAAATAAAATGTGTATTGTCTGCACTAGGCAAGAGTTCCAGTAACTGTAGGAGTTGTAACTTCGGGGGTTTCCTCTCTAACTTCAGGAATTGGAACTATAGGATTTGCTCCATATCTAAGTCTAGCATACCAGTTATATAGATATTTCTGTATACTATCTACTCCATTTTTTATTGGAGTATATATGTAATTAAATGCCCTCATTAACATAAAAGGGAATTTTTTATCTGCTACTTCTGGTTTAACTTGAGCAACTGGTCTATCTTGAGCACCTTGTTCGGGTATAGGTGTGGTGTTTGTATTGGGGTTGAGAGTAGCATCTACTACTCTTGGTTTAACTTCCGGTTTAACTTCTTTGGGTTTAACTTCGGGTTTGGGCTTGATTTTAGTTGGATTAACTAGGTTGGGCTGAACATCTGATTTCTTGCTAGAGTCCCTTTGTTCTTCTTTGGAAAGTTGGGCGTTATGATGTGCCTTTCTCTTTTGCACTTTTAATTCTGTAAGCTTTTCGGGTTCGAGATTAGTAGTAGATTTGGGTATCATACTAGTATCTTTATCAGAGGAGTCGTTTCCGAATTTCGTTAATACCAAGTATATTGCAATGAATGCTATTGCTATTACAATTCCCATGATGAGTGCGATAATCTTGTTTGTTCTGTTCTTTGTTATTGTAGTCATGTTTTTTTAAAAATTTTAAACCACTTTTATACTTATTTTTTAATTAATTAATTATCTAACTCTTTATAATAGAAGAAACTATCTGATGTAAGCACATTTAGAAACATATTTTTATTAAAAAGGGTCATAAACTTTGTCTTTAATACTGTTTTACGAAACAAAAATCTTTCAGTTTAGCCCTATCTCAGATACTATTGTTTCTTAGAGGGAAGAAACCACTTTCCTCGCTTGAAATATGCTATAAGTGATTATTGTTTTTAAATTAAAATTAATTTGCTAATTTTTGTTTTTCATTTATTTTTATTTGCTGGTGCATTCTACGTGTTTACTAGTAGATTGCATTATTAGTTGATTATTGACTAGCAGTCTGTAAATAGACTGTTGTGTGTTCATGATAGCATCTGACAGCATAAACATTATTGGTAATAACAACTAATGATGGCCTTTGCTGACACCATGTGTCATGAATTAATTGGGGTTATTTCAATAATGTGAAAATTAAATTAAAGACCAAGCTATTTAAAAAGCTGAGTTTTCAAATAAATACTAAAGTTTAATATGACTCCTTTTAAGAAACAAACTTACACAACCAGAATAATGAATGAAGAGTAGGAAAACTAGGCCTAATACTTTAGAAGAAAGAAGTCAGCTAGAATAGCTCTTAGACAAGAGTATTTTTGTTTTTTCATGTGTTTATACTATTGGTTTTCTCTGGCTTGAGGGTGTAAAACTCTCTTCCTGGTTTAGCAGTGTAAAATGGTTTTGGTCACTGCCTTCTGCTTTTTTGCTGTAAGCTAACACACTACAAGAACCTCTGCTGTTTACATGCTAATAATCATAGTGATAGAAATAATGCCATATACTGTCACTTTCTATTAGCTGATAGTAAAACTTTGTCTTTATGACACATGGTACTAATTGCAGCTGTTCAGAGGTCTATAAATAAAATAGAAGACAAGAAATAAATTAGAACCAATTTGGTATGACTAACTCTAGAATTTCAAGAAGAAAGCTCAGCTTAACTCGAGCTTATTGCTTACAGTCCTTTTAAACATATTTTCTCTGCTTTCTTTAATTTACTTATTTGACGAGTAAAACTACTCTATTTTTATACGCTATTTTGGCACGCACTTCTATAAAAATTAGATGGCTTCCATACAACTTTATTCTTTATAAGCAATGAAGACTTCTATTTAAATAAAATATAGAAATATACAGCGCAGACAGCATATGCATCTATTTCCACGTAGATATTTCTTGATTATTGCAGAATACTTGAAATATTCGTGCATTTGCGCATTTACACATTGCTCTGGCCTTTGTCATAACGCCAAAATCTCTATCTCACTGCAATTTGTAAATGTGAAAATAAAATGTATTGACTGGCCTGGTGTAATCCCACTGCTCTGCATGAAATGACATGTAGCTTGAAAAGACCCAGTGTATTAGAGGGGAGGAAAGCCTAGCTTCTACGCTGTACAACATCTTTGTTTGTAGCACACCCTGCCAAAGAAGGATTTAGCACATAGAGTAGCATGTATATGTAAAAGGGAATAAGGTATAGGAGGAGTTTAAAATATAAAGAGGACATCGACGTGCATGACCTCTACACCAATAGTATCTGCACTACTGCAGAAACATTGATGATTTCGGTGTGCTCAGTGTGTCGGCTGCAGCAGGGGCTAGGCAGTGCTAACATTTACCTTCGCAGACTGTGTATGAACAAAGCCACTCCAATAAAGTATTAACCCACCTCTGTCTAAAAATTAATTTTCGTCCTCTATTTATAGACAGGGAATTTCCTTTTTAGGAAAAGCCCATATTAATATACATATATTTCATATACGGTAATATTAGCGCCTTCTAGAAATTCTAGAATTATTTCACAGAAATGGCGCGGAATGCGTCTAAATTAAAGAAAATATCCATTACAGGACAGAGGAAAAATCAACGATGTAAATGGCGCATATAAACAATTTAGGAGGCACTGCTAGTGCAGACAGAGCTTTGGCTTCCTAAACACCATGAAGTTGCCATTTGCATATACAAATATTTCTAAGTAGACAAAAAGAATAAAGTACTCCTATTTATTATATAGATTTAGTGTAGCCCGTATGAGTTGTTATTTATCCTAGGTGGGTTGATTCTTGTAGGATTAAGAACAGGTGCTGCTCTTTGCTGTCTAATAGGAGCTCCCTGCGCTGGTTGGAAGCCATTTATTTGCTCTGCATAGTAGGGAACAAACTGCTGCGTATTGCTGGATTGGCTAAAGTCAACAATAGGAACAGATACATCGTCACTGTACATAAAATCATTTCCAATGGGGATAAATGCCTGCTGTATTAATGGCTGCATTTTAGCTGCCAAACCAGACGCACATGTTGAGTGTCCTGCGCTTTTCTGGCACGGAGAAGCTTTCATGGTGGGTGCTGGAATAGAAGGCGAATTCTCAAACCGCACAGATCTTTTCAGAATTCCCTTCTTTGGCGAAGAAGATGTTACTGCAGAAGAGGTGTCTATTAAAGACGCAATTTCCTTTGCCATTCCAGATATTTTAGTTTTCTTTTGGCAGTCTGGATTGTCATTTGCAGGCGATGAATAGACTACGCCCTGGGGATGAACAGAGGCAGCTGGCACACCAATTTGCTGGGCTGCTATACTAATGGGAATTGTTTGTGTAATTCTTATCTCTGCATCAGATGGCTGGAGAAAATCCAGCCCACTTTTCTTCAGAGACTGAAGAAACCCATTCTGCAGGCCTATGTTATTTTCGCCTGTTGTTCTCACAACTCTTAAAACATTATTTGGATCCACTCTTGTTGTTCTTAGCATATTGTAAAGATTGCTGTTGTCTACATTGTACGAGCTTGGTATTGTGACTGTTTTTTTGCCATGCAGCATAAATCGGTACATTAGTGTTGATCTCTCCAAAACAATGGTTATACCCAGCATATTCAGAAGAATATTAGAAAGCTCGCTTACTTTGTTTGAAAAGGATTCTGCTCGCATAGGGTTGATGTTACCAAGCGAGCTCTTAAAGTTGTCAAAGAGACTGCTGTTAAGATTTGTCAGAGTAAGAACGTTCTCAAGAGTGTGTACAAGACGACTCACTTCCTCTGTAGAGCTCAGCGTATTCGTGATTCTTCCTATTCCTGCGGTGCCTCTAGCCATTGCATCTGGGGTGTGAAGGCTTAGAGCTCTAATAACCCGGTACACAAGGAATCCCTCGTGCTTGTAGAGTGCACGGCACACAAGGCAGTTGTAGCTGTTGCACAGGTCCATTAGAATGGAGTCTAGGAGAACTACAAGGTACATTTTCACCTCCTGGTGCTTTGCTGGAATTTTGCTGATTCTTTTTGCTATGTCTGTGATACTGTACTCTGACGGAGCCTGCTGGGCAAATAGCCCATTTAGAAGAGAAGACACTTTTTGCACGCCATCAACCTTCTCCTGGTCTCCAAAGTGCGCATCTAGAACTCTCTCAATTTCATCTAGGATGTACTTGTTGCACTGTCTGCCAGAGCTTGAACGGCCTGTTACATTGCCAATTGCCTTCTGTGTGCAGCTGCAGCATAACCTGCAGTCTGTATCGCCCCTTAGGAATCCCCCGGTAAGTGTGGCTAAGGAGTTTTTCACAATTTCATGGTCTCGAAGCACATTTCTTGATCTTGACCTGGATGTTCGTCTTCTAGAATAACTTTCTTCTGGCTCCACATCGTTGTATACATTTGGCTGCTCTCTAGTGACATAGACAATGGGCTGTTGGACTGGCTGCTGCTGTGGCTGGGCTCCTATGGCGTATGCAGGAGTGTCTGCAATCTGCTGCGACAGCTGCTGTGTCAGATTATTCTTCTCCTTTAGGTCTGCATGCACCTGCATGAAGGCAGAGAGTAGGTTCTGTGCTATATTTGAGTTGTTAGTTAATTCATTTGCAATTTCATTATAATCAGGTTCTGAAGAAATAACATTAACATTTGCATCCAGAGCTGGGCCTGTAGCACTGACTACCTGAAGATATGCATTTCCTAGTAGGCAGCACGCTGTTGCAATAGTGTATTTTCTTGTATTCTTTCTTTGAATCTGTGTGTGCATACCTCCTCCGGAGAGACATCTATTTATAGCATACTAGCGAATCAATTATGATGCATGCGTGTAACATCATTTTGTTTTTGTACCTTATTGGGAATTTTTAATAAAGACACTGTGTCTAGATCAAATGATCAAGGGACTTGAGCACCTAATGGTATTAATATTCTATAATCCGGCACATTGCACGCAGGCATAGGAATGCATCTAGATACCTGGCTAAATATGCAATTTCAACCTGCATGAAGAGAAATGCACTGTGCATGGCTGAGTTCGCCACTGTTGGAGTAGTATGAGACAACCGTGTTATAAATAGAGGCCTTTCAACATGCTATTTATTTGCAGCTTTAGACAAGCAATTAACGCTATGAATGCAATGCATAGAAGAATGCATAGAGACACTTTCTTTGTAGAGAACTGGCAAAAAAGAAGGGAAATAGAGGGCTTCTGCAGTAACAAAGTGTTTATTATATAGATTGCCTAGAAAAAGGCCTAGCACATACTGCAGTGCGTTGTTTGCTCCTTTGCTGCTATATTCTTTCCAACAGTGTGCATTTGTCACCGCTATGCATTATATAGGGCGAGGCCTAAAAGCAAGTGAGCCACCGTATACCAATAGACAAATAAAGAAATTAGAAAGGACGAATTTCTTCTTAAGTATAGAACCTTCAGTAGAGTGCGTGGGAAAGCCGTATACATAGCTGTATATTAATGGGTTTTTATTGAATTTGTCAAAATGCAGCCTTGCATGATGCATGCCATTAATGCATAGGATAAATAGGTGAGAAATGCTGAGTTTTGCATTCTCTACATTTAATAGAAATGGCTAGGTGCCATGAATTTGAATTTATAGAAGCCACTAGCATTTGCATTCCAGAAAACAGAGCGTGTCTGTGAATAAAAACAATACAACTCACAGCCTCTAGTAAATATAGGTTGTTGGCATAAATAAGACAGTTTATTTAAGGGTTCAAAGATATAACTAATGAGTACAGCGTATTTAAAATGTGGTATGTGAACGCTAAAATACTAGCAGCCCGAACTTTACCTTTGGGCTATACCAATAAGGAAGATTCATGGAAAATTATGCATTATTTTAGCTTTGCATCAATCCATAGTCTATTTCCTCTAGAGAAAAAATAATACATTCCATCTTCCTCCCAAGTGCAGGCAAGGCTGTGTCTCTTGAATATCAAACCTACCCATACTATTTAGTCTTTCTATTTTGGGCTATAGCATGCAGGTCTACGGACATTACCTCACCAGTGTAATAATTATACCCATATGCCTGCCCTTTTGCTTCATCTATATCTATAGTATACACAAGGTCACTTGTAGGAATATTTTGAACCAGGTCCATCTGGCCGGTATAGATGCCTATTCCATCGTATGACTGCGCAACCACATTATAAGAGTCTCCATTTATATTAACCTTATGTATTCTCCATATAATAGACTTTGTGTTTTTTTGCAGCACAGTCTCACCGTCCATAATCATGGCGTACTCTCCTGTGTATGTCCCTACCTCTAGGACATGCTGTCTGCCCTCAGGCACTTCAAAGAATGTGCTTAGCCATGTTATCCCCGCTGAAAAGGCCCGTGTGTATTGCACCTCGTATGTGCTCCTATTGATGCACGATAAATACCCACCATCGCATCCTATGTATATGTGATTTTTGTCTACTGCTATAGAAAGTATGTCGTGAATGCATTTTTTGCCATCACAAATGTATGGATGCTCCATAGTGTGTCCTGTGTTAGTATCTACTTCAGAATAGCACCCCAGCCCTGTTGAGTAGATAATACCATCATACTCTGCAAAATAGTAATTTACAGCATTATTTTTGTAGGTTGTACTTTGCAGGCTGCTTGAAGTGTCTAGGTCTATTACGCATATTTCATTGTAATTTCCTGCAATTAGCCTGCTTCCTCTTATGAGCATGGAGAACGTTCCGCTGGTCTTCATCTTCTTGTTTTTCCAGAGAATGCAGCCGTGTCTAGAATCTTTACTGTATTCATATGTGGAATAGATGGTCTCTCCTTTATACTTAATACAGTCTGTAATATATTTCATATTGAAAGAAGAAAGGCAGAAATAAAAATTGAAAATACTGTGCACAGCACATGCATGGCCTTTAAATGGAAAGGCTGTCTTTGTCTTAGGATATTGGTCTTAGGATATTAAAAGAAAATGCCTCAGTAACCGTTGTAGTTTATATTGATGTGTCATCACTTCTAAGCTTTCTTAGGTTCTCATCATCAGCAAAGTATGTGAATACAGCGCAGACTAGCTATTGCATGCTGGCTCTGCACAGTGATTCTTCATCTATTTTGACTCCTGCACGCTAGGCTGCAGAGCGAAAAGACTATTTATAAATAATAGAAGCACAGAAGAGAGATACGATAGAGAGCCTATATATCTTCCACCATACCTGACAAAGAGGATATTTTCTCCACTTCTTTCCTGCCCGAGCTTATTTTTCTCAAGGCAGCTTCTCTAGCACAAATAGAATTGCGAGGAGAGAAAGAATAGAAGCATGGGTTAAAAAACATTTTTGCTTTTATAGTTTAGGATGCTATAAAACAGGAAAATATTTTAACCCCTGCGATTGCAAGCAGAGTGTTTTAGACATTTCTGCAATGGAATGCACTTATGTGCATATAGTCTCCAATTGCGATTGCATAAAAATGTGTCCTTGTCTTAGTTTCCACGGTAGACTATTCAAGGCGTGTGCAATACTCCAATCACAATATTCTTAATAGTGCGGGATAGTGGTTCACACTACATTTTACATTTAACTTCTTTGTGTGCAAGCACTATATAATTTTTATTTTCATATGAGCTAGCGAGTTTGATTTTCATAGAGGATAACCTATTCTATATAGCAGATTGTGTTTATGACATGCGCTCTTCGGTTTTACGCACTTGTTTTGTGTATTGCGAAGTTTTCTTCTAATATAAAGCTATAAATTCAACGTTGCCTCTAGGCTCTGTATATATACAAGCTTGAAGTAACCTCAGTAATCTCCTATAATGAAATCAAACGACATTAAAAAGGCTGTCTGTAGTATTCTAGCTCAGTAAAGTAGCAATTAAGATTAAAAGCACGGCTCTATCTAAAGAGTTGCATAAAGAAAGATATATTTTAATACTGTCTTATTTTTCTATATTGAAGCCACTTTATTTTAGCTTTAGCTCTATTTATCCTATATCTAGGCCTATTACTAGCGCTTTTTGGTACATAGAGAATCAGTAGCACTCTGAGCTGTTTATATAGTATTCAAAATAGTAAATATAGCAGTTTTACTATACAAACAGCCTCTCTAACTGGCATACACACCAACAACGCTAGAAGATTCCTAGAGTCTAATGAACTGGAATTATATATTCAGAATAATTGCAGAGAAAAATAAATATGATTTGGTGTATACTAAATATAGAGTTTCTTGGATATGTGAATTTAGAAACCCTAGAAATAAAGCAGCAGTTTCTATTATTGTCTATATATTGTTAGGAAATCTGCATATTCTTGTATTTTCAATTATATGTTTGACTAAATAATTATAACTAGATGAGTTATTTATGGAGCACATAATATATCCAAAATCAGAAAGAGCATACAAAACTGCATGGCATCGTAGACTAGCTAACGCCGTACCCGCAGTGTTTGCTTAGAGCCTGTCAGGCCATCACTGAATGCCTATGGCAGTTAATAGCTTTATTTTCATACAATTCGCGTGCCTCCTCTACACAGACAAATGGAGTATATTTCCTGTTAATTTTAGCCTATTCTTTTTCACTCTTCTTTTTAAGCTCTTTCTTTTATTTTTAATGCATGGCTTGCAGGCATAGAGGCTAAAAATGCACAGCATAAGAACTACTTTGGTAAGTCGCATTGGGGATTGAAACACGGAGAAATTATTTATTTGGGGATAAGCATCCAATAGGCATTTAAAACATAAATCAAAAAAACAGCCAATAACATATTTATTGCATTAAATGCGATTTTGTTATGCCAGCGTGCTTATTAACTTTATTTACATAATATTTATTAAGCACTAGTAAATTATCGCACAGTTCACAGATAGACTATATAAAGAAAGATTTTCTACATATCAGTACTGTATCTGTACAGCCGGTGTTTATGAAGTTTATGAATATAAAACTCTAATTCACGCCTATATTACCATTGTGAAGAACTATGCTGTGCTTAACCACTATTTGGATTTATGGCAGGGTGTGTGGCTTCATTGATTTCATGGATCTTTTTTCCCTTTTTAGCATTCTTTTTGTCTTTTTTGGCGTTATGTTCTCCCTTTTCAGCGTTATGCCCTTCCTTTTTGGCGTTATGTTCTTCTTCTGTGGGTTTTTCTTCTTTAGAATTTGAATTTCTTCTAAACACACTAGAAAAGAAGCCCTTAAATCTACTAAACAATCCGGGTTTTTCTATATTATTGTCTTTCTCTTTTTCCTTATCTTCGTTTGCTTTACAGAAAGATAAAAAAACTAGTAGTGCAAGTAAAAAGATTAATGTTTTTTGTGTTTTCATTGTATATTCTCTATGTTTCAACTTATTTATCCTTAATCTAATCACACAAAAATAATAGGCAAATCATTTTCCATCCTATCTGTTAAAAAGCAAAGTCTAAAACAGGCCTCCATGTCCTTAAGTATGCATTGTGATATTTATTGGTTCTTTGAATTCTAGTAGAAGTCACTTCTTTCCATCTATATGCCAAAGTAAATAGAAAGGCCGAATAAATAGGTTTTGTGTTTTAAAACTAGCAAATCTTCTTTTTCTATTTAGTTGAGATTAATAACCCTTCTAGAGCTGTCTATTTCTGTAGGCATTCTGTCAATATAAATATAGGTCTTGTTCTAAAAAGCATCATGACCACTACCAAGCGTATTGGCATAGTTACCCTCTAGTCCTTCAGTTTGATGTTTTTTGTGTGTCTAAAGATGTAATTCTCATTAACATCCACAGTCTGCAGCTTAAGAGAGAGTCGCGGACCTATCTCATCCAGCCGCACAGTTTCATCTTTTGTGCTGTCTTCTGGCAGCCGAATAATGTATCTGTGTTTCCTACAAAGAATAAAGCCTCTTTTTTTTGTAAATGACACCACCTGCCTTCCCTCAAAGTCAGGGTCTTCAGTACTGTATGCATCCTCTATATCCTTTATAAAACGAAGGTCATTTTCTGTATCGTCAAAGTTTGTTATGGACAGCTCTGGCATGTGCCCTGAGTCAACAGCCCCATTCAGCCGCCTTGAGAGTGTGTATGCCACAATAGAGTATGTGCTTGTGGTTAGATTGTTTTCTGCATCTTTTTTTATGAAAAGAAGCCGTCTGTAGGAACAGTCAACTTGGTCGAGACGTATGATCATAGCCTCTTTCTCTGTGACTTCTTCTTTCAAGAACTGCGAAAACTTTCTGTTCTTGCGCGGAATAGGCGTAGCTCCTGGAAAGAGCCCTTCAATGTCTAGAAGGAGTTCCTTTGTTTCGTGCGTTAGCTTTGAGTTACTGGATGTAATAATGACTTGCATGTACCAGTAAAAAAATAAATGAAAATAACAGAATATCTCGAGATTGGTATTGGCAGAAACCCATAGTATGCTCTTAGAACTGTTTGAGGCAAGTTATTTGCATGAACTCGTTATATGAGATGCTTAGTGTTTTACTATACAAGCACATAATTCAGCCCACTGCGGCAGATTTTAGAAAACGCTTAGTATTCGGGTTATGTGCACAATGTCAAACTTACTAGAAAAAAGTGCACAAGTTTTCCATTGGCTTTTTTTGCTAGACTTATTGAATGTACAGGCAAACTTTGCATGTGTTGGTAAAGTATTATTCCTATTTTAACATTTTATTTCTGGCATTAGAGCAGCTGATTTTTTCTTTTCAAAGTATTGGACTTAGTCATAGTGAAATTCAAATTTTATTTCTTGTTCTCTATTTATAGGCCTGCTTCAAAGCGATATTTTATCATGAAGATTAATCATTCACTCTGGAATGAATAAAATGTCAAGGTCTAAGCTAGCTTGACCAGCACATGACCAATTAGAGACCTATTTAGCATGATATCCTATGGCTCAAACTCGAACCCCGAGGACCAACACTAATATACGTTGCTGACCTGGAAAGATGGTTTCATGCCCTCAATGTAAGGAAAACCACCAAGAAGTCAGACTAGTATTTATAGACTCGTTTAGAAACTAAACCAGTACTCAACTGTGATTTTTATTAGACAGATTTAACTCTAGAATGGCAATAGTTCATAAATGGGCATTGGTTCAAAAAGAAAAGTAAGATATTGAACATCTGAAAGTATCAGATAAGGTGCATTGTCTTTTATAATATATGCATTGTTTTCTTATAAGTAAATTCAGGTTATATCATGTTATGTATACCTAATAGTATTTTCTCTATTTGTTCCACTTCTTTATTAAAACTACAAAGATATCTTGCTTAAAGATAGTATTAAGCGTCTTCTGGTATCCTGCACCCTCCATCTCTAATCTACCTCTTCTGTACTATGTCTCCATTCTCCTGTCTATATCTTCTTATTATCCTTTCTTCTACATCTTTGCAAAAATAAACTCTACAATATTCGCACCACCACTACTTTTCAGAAGGGTTTGTTTCTTCTAAAAAAAAGATAAAGACACACGAAAATCAGAAAACTGCACTTTTTGAAGAACCACTCTCAGCAAACACTCAGCACAATGTAGAAAGCTGAACAAACTCTGCATCACACGCCAGCCACATAAAGAACAAAAAGGCTCTGCCCAGACATGAAAACCTATGTGTACACCTGCACAGAACTATACACACATACCACACATGATATACATACACGTATGTACATACTATACACATACTACATACATGCAATATGTATGCTGATAGAGACGCATCAGAAGTAGACAAGAGTGCATTCCTCAAGCATGCTATGCAAGTGCCAAGACACAAGCTGTCTACCTCACCTACCCATCTACATACACTTCCTTACATCAGCAGGTCTTTCTCCAGTGCCTGCTGCACATGCCTTGTACACACTCTCCCACTATATTAATTTTTCGTCATATGGCCCTCCAAGATGCACAATTTGCACATAGACCCGGCTATACACCGCAATTAAGTAAACAAACAGCAGAACGTGGTCTAGAGTGCACTTAGAAGGGTCCAATGTACACATTTCCCAATTTGATTATTTTCTGCGGGTATTTAAGGGCCACGCACTCTGCATTTCAGAACACCAGGAGAGCTGCATCTGTCTCACGGCGCAGTGCAGCAGGAGAGGGCTGGCTAGGAGGTGGCAGGAGCAAGCCGGCACTAACCCTGCCGGTGGGTCGTCCACTATTATCATTCCCTTCGGGGTAGCCTATAAGGCCATATGGAGTAGCTTGGATGCCAACTTTGTCATTAGGAAATTCCGCGCATGTTCTTTTTACCTTGATGCTTGTACATTTAATATTTAGAACCGCTGCGTTGTCTAAGCCGAAGTGGCACTGAACTATGCGTGCACTGGACTTCCCTGCTCCTGTCCTCAGCACCGACTGGCCCTCTTCTCTGCGCGGCACGCGCGATGGCCTGCCGTGCTGTCTGCAGCGCTCTGGCAAACAGCAGCATGCGCGGGCCGCTGGGTTCTCAGGCCAGTCGCAAGACGCCGCTCTCCCTGCATATGCAGCAGCTAACCACTACATGTGTATGCAGCGAGCGAAGATGTGCTGTGTGCAGGCAGTACATGGCGCCCGTACATGGCCGGTACACACTATTATTAATAAACAGCCGCTCTCGATCTGCCTGCTGTCTTGCTGTACTGTGTCCGCCCTTTGTGTGCTCAACTAATATTCCTTGTTCGCAAGCCTCGAATGGCTTTTTATATTAAACTCTTTTACTGTGCTGCTGGTATAAATATTTTGTTTAATACGTATATTCTCTTGTGTAGTGAAAAGTGTATTTATTGAGTTTTGTAATTCAATTGCACAAAAGACATAGGGGCCTTAAGAAAAGTTTGCACCTATAAATAAAATAAGTGCCAATAGCCTGGTCTGTTTAAATACCACAGCCAATATAATAAATATTAAATTTAGCTAGGCTTTATGTCGTGTGGGGTTTTTGAGGTAGGGCTTTCGGGTTATATGCAAATTTATTTAGCGTAACTAAGCGAAAAGATACATGCACTTTCTTAGTATTGAAAACTCTGTTTTGAAGAATAAAAGTGCTTTTAGCAGCTAATGTATGCTTAAGCCATAGATATAGTTGGGTTTAAATGGCAAGAACAGCGCAAGGAACTCTGTATATGAAAAGATGGCCTTAGAACAGCTACTACTGCATAATTTGATTCTTTTCGACTGATCTGGATCTTTTAATTACACATAATATTCATTTGATTTTCATTTTGTTTATTCTTTAAATGGTCAAAATAACAAGAAGAGCAAAAGATCCTAATAGGTTAACTAAAATAGAGTTATGTGCGATTCTTAATAGATTGGAGATCAGTAATATTACAGTGCAGAGCACTAAAAAGGATATTATAAGTGTCTTTAAAAGAAACAAGAAGAGCATAGAGCAGAATCAAGCTAAGACAATTCAGATTCTTAAGGAGCTGGACATTGCCAAGAGCAAGGACAAAGTACCAAAGAAGACAGAAAAGAGAAAGAGGAGTGATACAAGCGATACGCCGGCAACAAAGAGGGGAAAGAAGGAAGTGCTTAAAGAGCCAGCACAAGAGCCAAAGGAATTAGGTATAGAAAAGGCAGCATCAGTAGAAAAGACAGACAAAGAAAGCATTTTATCAGAGGAGAGTGCTGCAGTGCCTTCTGAGATACCTAAGCCAAAGAAAGCAGAAAAACCCAAGTCACAGGAAATAAAGAAAGTGGCAAGCACAGCCCTTCAAGGAGTTCTTAGCAAATCAATGAAAAAAAACAAAGAAGCTGCAGCACAGCCCATAGAAGCTGCAAAGAAAAAGGTAGAGAGAAAACAAACAAACAAAGAAGTAGACCTAGCAACCAGGGTAAACATATATATACAAAAGATGTACACAAAATGTATGGTGTTTGCAAATGGGTATGGCCGGCTAATTGTCATAGGAGCAACTATAGGAATAGTTGCAGTGCTTGCAACATACACACTTTCCATAGATCAGGATAAGAAAGCGCCAGGTGTAGTTGAGTCAGTAAAAAACTATGTAATGAACAAAGTGCATGATAGAAATCAGAAAACCCCAGCAATAAAGCATAAAACAGAAGAGATTGCAAAGGTTAAGAAAGAACTAGAAAAAGTGCAAAGAGATATAGAGCTTAAAAGACAACAAGAAGCTATTCAGAAGGCCAAGGCGGAGGCAGATCGGAAAGCCAAGGTGGAGGCAGACCGAAAAGCAAAGGAGGAAGCTGCTCAGAAGGCCAAGGAAGAAGCAGACCGAAAAGCTAAGGAGGAAGCTGCCCAAAAAGCCAAGGTGGAGGCAGACCGAAAGGCTAAAGAAGAGGCAGAACTAAAAGCTAAGGAGGAAGCTGCTCAGAAGGCTAAAGAAGAGGCGGATCGGAAAGCCAAGGAAGAAGCGGATCGGAAAGCCAAGGAAGAAGCGGATCGGAAAGCTAAGGTGGAGGCAGACCGAAAAGCTAAGGAGAAAGCTGCTCAAAAGGCTAAAGAAGAGGCGGATCGGAAAGCTAAAGAAGAAGCTGCGCTGAAGGCCAAGGAAGAAGCAGACCGAAAAGCTAAGGAGAAAGCTGCCCAAAAAGCCAAGGTGGAGGCAGACCGAAAGGCTAAAGAAGAGGCTGAACTAAAGGCTAAAGAAGAGGCGGATCGGAAAGCCAGGGTGGAAGCTGACCGAAAAGCTAAAGAAGAAGCAGAACTAAAAGCTAAGGAAGAAGCGGATAAAATTGTACAAGATCATATAGAAGATGGGGTGGACATAAGCTCTATAGATCAAACAGAACAAGTAGAAAAATCCCAAACTGATAATTCCAATGAAGTAGCAGAAAGCAACTCTTCAAATCGCACTACAGTTTTTGGCCATGCTCTAAAACTATTTAAGCAGACTGCGCGATTCATTTTCAAAATTCTAAAAGTATTTGCACTGGGAATATTTGTAGTCTTAGTGGTGGGAGGCATGGTAATCACAGTTCTTCGTATTATGTTCCTAACACGAACGAAGGTAGACAAATATAAAGAATATATCGTGGATAGAATATATAAAAAGAATAAGCGTGCTTTGCCAGCTGACACAATTAGAGAGCTTCGTGAGCAGCACCCAGCACTGAGTAGAATAGAATGGAGAATGCTTTGCCAAAGAGTTTTATTAGACAGCAATATCCGAATTTCAAAAGTATTGCGGGGATGCAAGGAGGAAGATGCTTGGATCTGGATAGGAGATAATTAAAATGTATGTGGCTTTTTAAATGTTTTTGTTTTTGTTATTTCTTTTAAAAGCCAGGTTCCAAGAGTCTCTCTCTTCTTAATTTCTTCTTCTTCCTTCACAGGCATTTTCATAAACTTTAACTGTCTTAAGTTGTTGCTTATGTTCATGCTGCTGCAAAATTTTCTGTTCAATCCAAATAAATATAGACAGTGTGATGCTCTAAATAAGAAAAAATGTGCAGAAGTAGCCATATCTGATTAAATATGCTAAAGATCTGCTAAATAAAAGAACGGGCCAGCAGGCCCCTATATACTCTTAGAATAAAGCAAATTCAGAGTTTTAACACACCGTATTGTGTGCTTATATTTATTTCTACTATATGCATAAAACTGCATTTTTTCACAGGCCAGTAATGTAAGGAGACACTCCATTCAAGAAAGAAGTACGCATATACTAAGAAAGCATTTGCTTTGAATATATAGTTAAAAGCTGGCCAAGACCTTTAAGTCATAACATAAACACTAAAAAAAGCTAATAGTTTTATTCTTCATCGACTGCTCGTGTGCATGTCTCTATGCTATCGCTTTCGCCCTCTTTGTTTTTAAGCCCCTCGTATGAGTTGCATCCATACTCGATCACCCCGTGGGAGTTCGCCAGCCGAAACCCGTCAAATATGAACAGCTCTCTTTTAATTGCATTTGGAGCGCTTGGGCTTGGGTCGCCAGCATGCGGTATTTTCTTTATAGCCTCATGGTATGGGATTTCCTCGGGGTTCATTCTTTCAATACACTCCTTGGCTACTAGGTGGTTTGCTATGTTTGCCAAATTCTTTTCATCTGAATTTACTAGCGGCAGGCCCCTCTTTTCCTCTGATGTGTACTCTGTCACTTCTATTCTTCCATTGATCAGCTCAAACACACCCATCTTTTTGTTTGGCATTTCAGGAACTCCAGCACTTACTACTTCCAGCAGATATTTCTGAGCATATCCTACCATGGCCGGATCGGCAATCCGAACTAGCACATTGTCTATAGATATAATGTTGAAGTATCTAGTATCTGGGAGCGCAGAAAGAAGAGACATGCTCTGCGGCGTAACCGAGTCTTTGTCCACTGCAATATAGCTGCTTGCTTTGAGTGTCTTGAACACCGAGCCGTTTCCATTTGGCACCTGTATGTGGTCGCCCTTCATGTTGAGAAGAGGATTCTTTGTTTCTTTATCAAGTGCATCAATATCTTCCTGGACGATTAGAAAGACCTTCATATCATATTCTGGGAGAACTACTGTTTGCAGATGCTCAATTGTTTTATCCTTGGTTTCATTCGAGACCATTATAACCCAAGGAGCGCCTGCTTTGAATATTTTCTCAGCTTGTCTCTGGAACAAAGACCGGCCTGGCTTTTTCTTTGTAGGAAGGACAAACGTGCCCTTTGGGTGCTCATATCCCAGTCGTGACCCACTTCCGCCTGCAAGGGTCAGAACTGCAACACTTTTCTTTTCTATAAGGCTGCGCCCTATTTCTTCTAGGCTTTTTCTTTCTGGACTTGTCTCTAATAATAAGTGCATATGCGCAGCAATAAATAACCTAATTTATACTTTGAGCTTGGGGGTGAAACAGATATCACCTCTTATTACCTGTCTAAACACACAAACCGTGCATAGGCTAAACAAACTGCCCTAAATCCTCGAATTATGCAGTGGCTCTATTTACAGGAATATTCATCCAACCCCAGACAAAGCGTGTGGGCGGCTATATACGCTGCATAAACAAAAAGCCCATGCTTTATGACAAATCTTTTTGCACCGTATACTATATTTAGACTTGCGCGCTGCATGTATATACTATTATCATTGCATGTGCATTGGAGTCTCTGTGCCTCTGTAGCTGCATTTGCTTGCAGCTCTAGACTCTAAGCATAGAGGCTTAGAATTCGCTAAGGACTAAGTTCATTTGGACTCATCCATTCCTTATTCGGTGATATTGGAAAATAAATTGGACAGCACTAGCCTGAAACACAAAGCAAAAAAGAAGCAAGCAGCACATATGGATTATTCCATTCCTATCTCTGGATTGAAATGGCCAAGCGCCTTCGTCTTATTTAGTAATGCCAAAAGTAATTTTCCTAATTAAGACAATAAATAGTTGAATTTATTTTCAAGATATGCGTAGAGAATGCAGAAAAAAGACTCTTCCCGAATAAAAAATCTTATTATACACAGTGCCATACTAGATCTGTATTATAAGCAGAACAAATGCGAGCCATTAGGAGAAGTTCTAAACAAAATGAACACTCTGAATCGGTTCACACTTATTGAGGTAATATGCGCAAAGATATACAGCAGCTCCGTAATTACCTATCTTCCCCAGTATACTGGGCTGGAAATATTCTTTACAGCATGCATAATATTTAAGAAGTACTGGAATGACTTTTCTTTAAAGAATATAGAAGAAACAAGCAATGACATAGTTGGCATAAAAAAACTAAATAGAATAGAGATGGCAATACTTGAGCTTATAAAGTATGACGTGCACATTACAAAAGAGCAAATACAGAAGGAAATAGAATTAGAAAGAAATGTAGATGTTAATTATAAAGAAGCTATGTCTAGCATTGCAGTGCATGTAATGCAATAGAGCTAAATATTTAGAGGTTTATTCAGACACACAACTCCGAATAATAAATTGTAAATATGATATGCAGATGTTTCTTTGGGGACTGGTTTTTCCATTTTATTTATCCATTCTATTGCAGATATATTTTTAGTACACATGAGGATTTTCTCTAAAATAAAAAGAGAGCTTTGTACTTATACTATTGTTGCCTTTAACTATAAAGCTCAGTGGCTAAGACAGAGCTATTCTATTCAGAGATAGATCTTCATAAGTGCAGCGTTTTTGTACTCGCACAAAGAGTTATTCACAAACTCTGGAAAGCTTGTTTGCGAGCATGTGCATTTGAAAGTATAGATTCCTGTAACGCAGGCTGAAAATTAAATAGATAACTCATTATAAACTTTTATTACACAATTATATATAAAGAAGTGAACCTAGATATGGATTATATAATTGAATAAACTCTTTCTACTTCTGCTTCAATTTGCAGCAGGTGTAGATTCACTCTTTTTTAGGTCTTGGCTTGCTAATGTGCTGTGCGATGTCTGCGCTGAGAGCACAGGATCTGGCATTCTTTCTGCATTTCTTCCCCACAGTTTGCCGTCCAAAAACCCATACTTTAGGATAATCAGCCCAATTGCAAGAAGAGATAGATAGGTACATCCATTGAACACCATCTGAACTCCTTCAAATGTATCAATTTTGAGGAAGTGTCCTGCAATCACTCCTGCAACTGTTCCTAAACAGACAAACGTTCCTGTATAGATCATTTGACTTGTTGACTTTAGATTGCTTGGAACTAGAAGAGTTGCCATCTGCACGCCTGACAGATGTGTTAGCCCAAAGTTAACTCCTTTAAGCACTTCAATGAAGCAGCACTTTTCAAACCTAAGTGGGTCTTCTGGCGTTATGAAGGTGTATAAGAAGAACCGCAGCCCCTGCGCCATTTGCGATAGAAGGAAAGACCAGTACAGCCCAAAGAATCCGAGCAGAGATTTTGAGCAGAAAAACAGCACAATTTCCAGAACAATTCCAAATGTGCTGCAGGTGGACATTGGGTTTGCATAGAACCCCTGAAGTGCCCACTGCGCATAAATGGGCAGGCTTTTAGAGGGCTTGAAGTCTGCAAAGTTAAGAATATTCTTATAGTAGTTACTTAAATACATGCTCATGACTCCTCGGGTTATTCCATTCATGAGAATAATCAGAAGGAAGAACATGTATGCTGGATTCTTAAGAACCTTTGAAAACTGCGGAGGATTTCTAGAAGAAGAAGTGCTTGTGCTTCTAATGCGGTCTGCTGGTGCAAGCAAAAAGATAAGCCCACCTGCAAGCGCTGAAAACAGAATGTATGGAATACACAGCCTTGAGTAATTTCCCTCCTTGCTGCTCTTTCCACCGCTTCCAAAAACAAGAGACTCGGTAAGATAGTTTACTGCACAGTATGTCAGCGTTCCAAACATTCTTTGCCTTCCGTATAAGGATGCAGGCGCCTGCAGCACTTTCTGAAGATAGTCTAGCACAATCCTGTCAAGAAGCGGCAAGGTAGATAGAATAAACATACAGTAGAACACGAACACAACTGAAATTAAAATAGAGGGAATTGGCATCATCAGAACTTGGAACAGGACTGCAGAGAATAGCAAAGAGAACACAAGAATTCCTTTCGGTCTCTGGAATTTATCTGCTATGTATGCAATCCCCATATTGCTGAAAAATGTGCTTAAAAGCATAACAATAAGTGTAATTGTTTGCTGTGTGCCAGTTACTCCCCTTGTAGTAAGAAAGGTCTGTCGTAGATTGTAGAACAAAAAGTACTCTATATTTACTGCAATGTACAAAAGTTTTGGGGTAAGAAATAGTGCTGAGTTAAGCTTTTTGTAAACCATTCAAAAATACAATAAAAAATCTATTTATATACTGTAATTAATATAAGACAAGCAAAAAACAAGACCGATCACGCAAGTTTATGTCCAAACAAACACAAAAACATTTAATGATGAAAATACATAAGATCCATTATCTATAGAAAGAAGTAGAAAAGCATCACAATTTCTATATATTTGTTTTGCACATGAAGAGTGCCTTTGGAAAGCTTCCCTGGCAAGATTGCACTGCATGCAGGCTCTTTTTTCAGAGAAGTAGACTGCAATTTTTGCTAATGTATGGATGCGCTACTGCAATAATGCTTGGAGTAGACTCTTTTCTTAAAGCTAAACCAGTATTTTTAATACTGCTATTTTTAAAGGAACATTTATTGAAAGAAGTTCTAGTAGAGAGAGAAATAGCTGCAAACCACAACTCTCTGTCTGAGAGCAACACTTCCAACAGAATCCGTGCTATTCCAGCTAATTCTGGATATGCCACTTCTGTGTGGCTGTCAGCTAGACCAGTAATTTGTAGCTACTAAGCACAATATCTAGTGCTGCTGATCTTATGGCCTTCAATATGTAATTTCGATGTCTCTTAGTTTAAACACATTAAAAACGCACACTCTACTAACAAAAAATCGATGCATCTGTAAATTCCCGAATTATAGCTCAATTTCATTTATGTAGAAAGCAAGCATTTTATATTACAACTTTTTAGTACACTATGCACTGTCTTTTATATCACTAGCTGCTAATCGAGTGTGTATTAACTAAATAAAATTGTGGAAAAATCTCACATCATTATTCTGAGACCACAAGAGTCCATCAATGATAATTTCACTTTCCAAAAGATTTTCCATATATCAGAAGACTACCAATTCTAAAAGTATATTAAAGCAAGCAGAATATGTCAACAGTAAGAAATACACTCATCGCTTATACAAGATATCACAGTCACCAAAGGCACTTGCAAAAGTATAAAAATAAAACTCACTTGACAACTACCCCTATTAGAGTCTAAAATACTAATGTCTTCTGGCTGAAATATTACTCCCTTTTGGGCACGTTAAAAACGATTTATCTCTGAATTGGTATTTAAGCTTATATTAAAACTGGCTCTTTATTAAAATCACTTCCTATTTTGCGCCTGTTTGGATTATATCTAGCCAACTAATTGATTAATATAAAGGCGTATGCCTGTAGTCATTAGTTGATATACGTCCTTTAGCAAACAGCCCTGCAACTAGTATTTATAGCTTGCACTCTTGTATGGGCCTGCCACTGGAATGTTGAGGTAGTCTGCCTGTGTTTGCGACAGCTTGGTTAGAGAGTGTCCCTGCCCTTCAAGGTGCATTCTTGCTATCTCCTCGTCTTCTTCTCTTGTTAAGAATAGAACTGCCCCTCTGTTCTCACTTCCTGCTTTGAAGTCCCTCCAAAGCCGCATGGCTGCAAGCGTCTGGCAGCAGAAGCTTGTGCTCATCACAAAGCTGGAGTGTCCTGTTGCGCATCCCAGATTAACAAGCCTTCCTTCCGCCAGCAGAATAACTGACTTGTTGTTTGGCAGGACAATCCTCTCTGCATTGTTTCCCATAGGCACTCTCTTCACTGCGTTCTTGTAGATCCAGTCTGCATCGATCTCTACATTGAAGTGTCCTATGTTGGAAAGAACTGCCATGTTCTTCATGCGAAGAATGTCCTCTGATGTGATGATGTCTCTGTTTCCAGTTGCTGTTACCCATATGTCTACCTCTGGGGCGACCTGGTCAACTCTTCTTATTTGGTATCCCTCCATCACAGCCTGCATGGCACATATTGGGTCAATCTCAGAAATTGTCACAACTGCGCCCATTTTGGCCATTGCCTGCGCGCACCCCTTTCCAACATCTCCAAATCCGCACACGTGCACTCTCTTTCCTGCAATCATGGCGTCGGTTGCCCTCTTTATTCCGTCTGTCAAAGACTCCCTGCATCCATAGATGTTATCAAACTTGCTCTTCATCACGCTTTCGTTGATGCAGATTGCTGGGATTCTAAGGATTCCGCTTTCGTGCATTTTTTGCAGAATGTGCGTTCCTGTGGTGGTTTGTTCTGTCTGCCCTATGATGCCTGGTATTAAATGAGTGTACTCCGTGTGAAGAAGGTTTGTAAGGTCTCCTCCGTCATCGATTATCAAGTTTGGGCCGTTTTCCCATTTGGATAAAACAGCTCTAATGCACCACTTGTACTCCTCGTCTGTTTCGCCCTTCCATGCATATATGCTTAGCCCTCTGCTTGCAAGAGCAGCTGCGGCTTTGTTTTCTGTGCTCAGAACATTTGATGAGCACCAAGCTACCTCAGCCCCCATTTCCACAAGGAGCTCAATCATGGCTGCTGCCTGGACGGTCATGTGAAGACATCCGGATATTCTGGCGCCTGTTAGAGGCTTTGTCTCTCTGTACTTCTCAGACAGATACCTAATTCCAGGCATTTCATTCTTTGCAAACAGAATTGCCTCCTCTCCTATCTCAGCGAGCTCAATTGATTGCACTTTGTATGGCGGGAATGTTTCTTTATTCATCTGTTGCGGCATTAAAAATTTTCATTCTGAAACACCCTTTCATATACAAAAAACAAGACACAGTTTATGAAAACAAGAGCTGCAGTGTGGAAAGAGCTTATGTGTACCCCAGTGCAGACTGACTTTAACACGCTGAAGGTGTCTGAGATACCATACGAGGCGCTTCAGAATATTGAGGTTGACATTGAGAGATCTGTTGGCTCAAAGTCTTTTTCTATGGGCGTGCTTGACTCTGAGATGCGAAGCTACAATGTGAGTGAGAGAAAAAGAGAGTTGAAAGAGGTTCTTGTGGCCTTTGCCAAGCACAACATCTTAATTGAGTACTGCCAGGGCCTTTCCTACTATGCAGCATTTCTTTTGCACTTTTTTATGCCTGAAGACGCGTTCTTCATTCTCTGCCACACAATTAAGAAGAACAGAATAGAAAGACTCTTTGACAAAAAGCTTTCTTTGGTCTCTAAGGTGCTAAGCGTGCACGGGCGGGTGCTCAATCTAACTCTTCCAGAGGCAATACGAAAGAGCATACAGGTGATTAGCAACTCTTCGCATGACTATTCTGCGGGGTGGTATCTTACGCTTTTTTCCCGGCTGTCTCCTGGAATATATGCTGCGATACTGGACCTGTTTTATACCCGGGGCTTCCCTGTTCTTTTTCACGCAGCATCTGCCTTGGTGGAGGTTGGCCACCGGCGATATATAACGGACTCCATCACAGAGCAGGACCAGAGAATGCAAATACTTTTCAAGCTTGCAGAGTATCCCATACCTGAGGATGAGTTTAAAAGTGTCATGAACAGAAATATGCAGATGGTCAGCCTGGCTACAATTGAGCATATGCTATATGAAGCAAATAGTTAAGATGGAAGTAAAGCATGGCGGCATGCTACGGTTTGCTAAATATATTGAGCAGGAAACAAATATTAAATACTTTTCTGTCGGGTGAGTGTGCAGTGTCTAGAGCGTGCTGTTTTAGCTCTGTTTTCACTATACTTCCTTATACAAAGCCATTAGTGTGCTTGGTGTCTATGAAAACCATTGTGTAAATCTATTATACTTTTTAGTATCTTAAATAAATTTTACCATGATTAGCTATTCATTTATAATTGAGTTTATGTATCCTTCTGCCTTTCCAGCAAACAGTCTTTCAAAGATAGATTGAGTGTGCGTGGTTTATATTGTTTGTGTTTTCTTAATATATATCTATTCTATATACTTTTTCTTTTTGTTTTGTTTGCAAACTATTCTTTTTATTTTTAGTTTCTTCTCTATATTATGGTATGAAAACTCTTCAGCACAAAAAGTTTTTATAGAAAAGACACATTTATTTTTAGAATTAAAAGAAGATAAATACTGAAATGGTTTGGCGCATCTACATTGTAGGGCTTAATTTTAAACATTTATTGCACACAAGTCACTCAGCATATATTGTTGCATTCGAGGTTCGGGTTATGCTATGGAGTATATTCTGGCCTGCAATGTCATTCTTTTTATTGTAAGCGCATTCACCTGGCATAAACAAACTTCTATTCTTAAAGACATTTCTAAGGCATGTACTCCATTATATCTTTTCATTTGCATTGGGGCTTGGCACTTGCGAGTATAGAGGTATGCATATGCAATGTATCTAAAGGAAAAGCAGATAATATAAAGTCAATGACACAGCTATTCATTTTCAGTAGGGGAGTATGCAGCATATTGGATTCAAACAACTATTTATCACACCTGTAAGAAATCATGTTGCAAAGGATGCACATGGATGTGTATATGTATATATTCTTTGTGTAAAGGACTGTTTAAGATAAAAAACACTAGACTGGGCGCAGTCAGTATAGATAAAATCCATTAAGGGCAAACTAGTTTATTAATTGCACTTATTCCAGCAGACGAGGGAAGACAGGGCGAGGCATCTTCTTGTGAGTCTCTTTCTCTTTCTGTATCTTCTCTGCAATTGCTGCTATGTCAATGGATAGCTGTTCTTTCTTTGAAAGGAAGCTTTCTTCTTCTGCCTTTACAACAGTATCAATCTTTTGGAGAGTCTTCTCCACATCAGCTACTGTCTTTGGAATTGCAATTCTAAACATAACTAGCTGGCTAACTAGGTGAAGTGGCAGCGTAATGAGCTGGCTCTTTCCGCTCTTTGCTGGTATGTTGTACTTAGAGAGAGAGGACTTAACGCACTTCAGCTTCTCTGCTGGGTTTCCGTGCAGATTCATCTCCATCTTTTCCTTATCCTCTTGGAGGTCAGAGATAAGCTTCTCCTGCTCAATGAGAGCATCCTTTCGGCTCTTTGCAACTTCAATTTCTGCAGCCTTCAGGTCAAACTCCTCGCTCTTCTTCTTGATGATCTCAAACTCATCGGTTCTCTTCTTGGACAGAACAGCTACTTCAGCATTGATTGATGCCACAGAGGCCTGCATCTTCTTTATGTCCTCTGGGTAGACAGTCTTTTTGACTGCATCGATCTTTTCCTTTACTTCAAGAAGAAGCTTGTTCTGGATCTCCAGCTCCTGTTTCTTCACAGACAGAACTGCCTCCTTCTTCTTCTTCTGGTCTTCCATTTCCTTGATCTTTTCATCCTTCTCCTTAAAGATGTCCTGCATTGAGAGCATCTTTCGGATCTGGTTCTTCTCATTGCTGATATCTCTCTCCTCCTTCACATTCAATGGCTTTTCGATAATTCTGTTATCAATAGACATAAGCTTGTTCTTTAGATCAGCAGTGCTTTGCATGTTCATCATCTTCTTCTCCTCACCAACGGTTTGGGAAAGTTCTCTGAGCTCGTTCCTTGCAATATTTACTTCATCAAACATTCTCTTCTTCTCCTTCTGCAGCTCAGCAATCTTCTCCTGGATCTGGTCTCTGGAGTCATACAGCTCCTTCTGCCCAGTCTGTTTTCTGAACTCCTCAATGCGGCTGTTCAGCCTCTTCTTGGTGCTTTCTATGGTGTCTTTCAGCTGGTTGATTTCTGTAGTGTATCCCTTAACAGTAGTAAAGTGTTTTTTTACACCAGGAAATCTAAACTGCTTCTGGTTCTTCTTTGTGTCGTCTTCTTGCTTTCTTTCGTTAACAGCGTTCATTTTGCCCAGGGCCGTAAGAAATAAAAAAATAAAAGAAAAAAGACGCAATGAAATCCAACAAGGGAGCTGCCACAAAAAAGGAGATATTTGCAGGACCTTCATTTAACGACATGCCTGACATGGAGACACTTCCAATTCCAACAATTCCCGACGGATTTACAGTAAAGATGCAGAAAGAGAAAAAGCCCAAGGCAAAGAAGCAAAAGGCAAAGGCAAAGAAGGCAGAGCAGAAGAATAAATAATGTATTTTTAAATTTAAACAACTTACATTGCAGAAGAGAACGCGGCACTGCTCTGAAAAGTATGCACCGCTCTTTCCGAGTGTGGTATATTGGACAGACAGACTGCCAGTTAGCTGCTGCGAATGATAACCTGGAGGTAGACCTCCTTATTTTTAAGCACTTTTAGTCTTCTTTTTCTATGCCTCTTCAGCACTGTCTTCTCAATATACTTTTTGTGCTGTAGTGCAGTGCTTTTTAGTTATGCCCAAGGAACTTTAATAAAAATAGTACTAGTGTAGCCAGTAGACACGCATGACTAATCTCAATAGATATGTCTGTATAGCACAATTATTCTTTCAGTTTGTCAGAACACTTCAAACCAAGGTGATTTTCTTAAGTGAATTTATTTAGCCTGGCAGCACTTGCCTTCAAATAAGCAATTTATAATAGGGCATAGTCTCACTAAAGCAAGTCTAGTATATAGGCTGAAGTTCATGGAAAAGGCAGACTATAGGCTGCTAAGACCATCCAATTAGAGTGAATCGATGCACTGTGCCAACCAGGTGGGCACTCTTAGTGAGCATATAAGAGATAAAAATAGACAGACTGGCTGCCAAATACTTTTCAACAAAATGATATCTAGCAGAAGAGCCTGCTTTACATAAATTGAATAAATTTAAATAGGATTTATTCTCTCTTAGAGTCAAGAAGAGCTAGCTTTGATATAATGCACTTTGCATATGAGCTTTTCTTTAAGTCCGAGATATTTGCTTTAAGATGCGCCATTAGAACCTCTTTGTCAGCTCCTGTTAGCACATCTAGAAGCCTCTGAATTACATAGTTTCCGAACTTGTCCATTGTTATATGAATAAGCATGTCCTCGCCTGAGGGACCAACAGCTGACTTGAGCTGCTTGAGCATATGCTTTCGGTCTTCCATGGTTCCGCATATAACGCATTTCTCCATGACGTTTGATGCAAATTTATGTGTGCTGTACTCTGCTATGTTGTCTGAAAGGTCTGTGATGATCTTTCTCTTGTGCGCATGAGTCCCTTTCTCTAATATATGCTGTATCACATAGTTGCCGTACTGGTCCTCTACAAGCAGCTTGGCATTGCTAATTATTTTGTCAATTGCGCTTGCGCACTTTGTGCTGTTCTCAAAAATCCTCTGAATGACCCTGCAGCCATACCGGTGCCGGCTTAGGGATACTGCATCTTCTTCAAACTCCTTAATTACAAAATCAGAATCAACACACTCAACGCACTTCTGGACCACATGGTTTCCATTCTGGTCGCAAACAAGATCTATCACGTGCCCCTTGATTCTTTCTACAATTTTTCTGTTTATATCCTTACACTCAAGGGCCTTTTGGATAACTCTGCAGCCATACATGTGCAAAGCAAGAGGAATGATCGTTCCCTCCATGGCAGAGAATATCTTCTCCCGCTGCTCATGTGTTCCAATTTCAAGGAACTTCTGCACAACATAGTTCCCAAACAGATCTGCAATTAAGTCTCCTATCCATGGACAGATCTCCTCAAAGGTCATTGCTATTTCCTCTGCACTGGCTCCATCTAGTTTTTTCTGGATAAACCGACTGCCCTCCTGGTCCTTCGAAATTGCGCATATTAAATTTTCGCTGCTGGAGATGCCTCTTTTCTTTGCAAACGCATAGACCTCTTCAAAGAACTGGTCTTTTAGGGGTTCTGCTGCAGGAGTAGAGGAGAAAGAGTCTATTTTTATGCTGTTCAGAAGAATGTGTCTTTTGCCTTTTTCCTTGAGGCCTTTCCCAATTGGAGGCAGCACACTCTTCTTTTCCTCTATGTTGTACTCTATGCTTTTGTGTGTAGGGTGGTCTTCTTCAATTCTATCTACCAAGTTCTTCTTTGATTGCCATGTTGTGCATTTAATCGGATTAAACGCGTCTTCAATTATGTCTGTACATTCTTTATCCATTGTTTGTGTATTAGTTTCGTGTAATGAAAATTCTTTCTCTTTATCGTCTGGGTCTACGTTTCCTCTTGCTATGTGCGAAATACTTCTTGCCGAGCGGATATTCTTCTCAAACATCTTTGCAAATTTTTACTCCGCATTGAAATACTTCTCTCCCCTGAGTGGGGGGTTATCTTTTATTTTCATTTCGGCTCTCATTCTTTTCTTTTATATTCCATATTGATTGTGCTCCCATGTTCTACATAAGGCAGATGGAGGAGAGGATTGTGCTGGAGCCAAAGTACCTGGGAAAGAAAATAGAGGAAACTGTAAGAAAAAGACTAGTCTCTGAGGTGGAGGGCAAGTGCATGGCAGAGTGCGGATACATTATTAGCATCATCTCCATAGACAACTTGTACACAACAGAAATTGACAGCGCCACTGGGTCTGGCACTTTTCTGGCAGAGTACTCGGCGCTGACTCTTTTCCCAAAGAAGAACGAAGTGGCAAATGCTGTAGTTCATGAGATAAACAAGATGGGGGTATTTTGTTATATAGGCCCACTCTCTGTGTTTATAAGTATACATCAGTTGTCTGGGCAGTTTATAGAAGCAGGCGCGCACTCCAGCATAATTCAGCACGACGGGGGATCTGCAATAGTAAAGGACAGCATTGTACGGCTGAAGCTCATAGGAGTGAAAATTGAGCCAACAAAAATATTCGGGGTAGCCACGATAAATGATGACTACTTGGGAAATATTCAGTAGACAGTGTTTAATACCAACATAAATTGGCCAGTTAACTTCGCACTGACACCCCATAGGACAGTGACTTTTTTGTGCTTCTGCAATGGCGTATAGTGCAGAGGGATATTTTGTGCATGGATCCGTGAAAGTGCAGACTATATTATGCGTCTATCAGCAAGTGCATTCTTGAGCTGCATAGGATAGTTTCTATTGGTTGCCAGATACTCAGAGAATTCCCCTGCACATAATATTCCGAGTGTGCACTGTATAATAGCAGCAGAAGAATAATTATTAAGACTTAAAGGAGGATGGAAAGAAGAAACACTTCTGGCACATCAATGCGTGTTGAAGAAATATGATTAAACTGGCACAATTACATTATTTAGGTATTTATTTAGCTGAGCCACTTCTTTCTTTTTTTGCTCTTTGGCTTTGGAAGTGGCTTCTCAGACTTTCCCAGGTTCTGTATATACTTCACCTCAGCCCGGATAATAATGCTCCAGGTCGACGGAAACCCATTTTCGAACTTTTTCTGTGTGCTTTCTCTGAAGCCTGCGTATGGAAGTACTGTGCAGTCGCATGCATTCTCAAGAATGTACGTTGTGTTCTTTGACATAACAGAGTGGGAAGAAATTCTTTTCTTGATAAAAGAGCTTTGAATGATATCATTTGTGTCTTTTATCATGCCAAGAATAATTACTTCCAGAGTTCCTGATGTGTTTTCAATTAGCTTTATGGCCCATGAACTGAGAGTTACTATTTTATTTCCTGTCTCTTTTTTCTCTTCTGTTTTCTCCTCACTAGCCACTGCCTTTATTTCTTCTGTAGATGCGGCATCTGCAGGTTTTGAGGTGCACTCCTCAGAAACTTCGATCTTATTTGCACAGAAGGCATCTTCCTTCTTTTCATCTGCTTCTTCTTTCTCCAGGGCCTTTTGCTCCTCAAGGAGTTTTGTAATTGTTTCCGCATATTCATTTGTCTTATTAGATGAAGTCTTTCGAAACATCTGATAGTTGTCAGCACGCAGAAGAACCTCCATAGCATCTTCAGTGATTGGCTGGACTGCAATAGTGCATGTTTTCTCTTTCCCAGGAATATTCATCTTTTTTGCCCTCGCAGATGGCTTTGGCTTGCGCATGCTCAAATATTTTTACAGAAAAGTAATTTTAACTCTTCTTTCTGCTACTGCTGAAATCCCTGATGGTGTGAAAATAAAATATTCAGGATCGAATGTTTGTTTATTTGCTGTTCTATGAAACGGTTTCTATGAAACTGTTTCACCCCCGGAATATAAGCCAAAGTCTGTGTTGTTGATTATGAATTATAACCAGTTAGAAGAGCAGGGTGATAAGGAGCTGTTTCATTTCCTAGCTAACTCACCAAAGGACTTCCGGGAGGGAGAAAGAATTAGAAAGTACCAATTAAAGAATGGAGACTACATCCACTGCATTCTTTGGAATATGCACTTTTACATCACAGGGACAGATATCGTGAAGGTTCTTGTGTGGAGATTCCAGAACGCAGGGAGACACATTGCAAGCCACAAAAAGTTCGAGGAGGGTGTCTTCTCAGACCTCAGAAACCTAAAGCCTGGCATAGATGCAACCCTTGAATCACCCCGATCTGACTTTCTTGAATTCTTGTACAAAAATGGGTGCATTCGAACACAGAAGAAGCAGAAGGTTTTCTTCTGGTACTCGGTCCCTCATGATGCCCTTTTCTGCGATGCTTTGGAGAGAGACCTAAGGCGGGAGACAAATCTATACACATACAGCAAATACATGTGCGGCATGCCAGGAGTCCCCAGGCCACAAACATTTGCACAACAAAAGAGAAGCTTGAAGACATACATTCGGGACACAAAGATGGACGAGAAGAAGAAGATGCTTCCAATGGGCAAGCCCCTGCAAAGGCCAAAGGAGCGGCCAGAAATGTCTTCCGTAGACATTGATCTGTTCAAAGACTCAAGCCTGCCTAACCCAACACCTGTGTTTACTCCTGCCTCTACTTCATATACCTCGCACATACAGCAGTTCATACAGCCCACAGCAAAGCCAGAAACAAGCACATACAGCTTTAATGAACTAGACTTTTTTTCAGACGACTCCGCGTTTATTGAAAGCATCATAGGAGACAACTTTTCTTTTCCCCAGCCATTTGAGAAGTCGTTGATATTTGATACAGGGTGTAGCAACAAAAAGTCAGACTTAGATGACTTTTCATTTATTAACCCAAAGAAACTTACATACGGAAGCAATAGCAGTGGGTTTCAAAGAGGATAAATAAAACAGAATTTCTTTCATATTATATCTTTGCATTTATGCTTGTACTTTGTCTCTGGGCACACAGAGCCTGTAGAAGACCTGACTAAAAGAATCGCAGAGTAAAAATATTCTGGATAAAGCACTTATTACTACTGTCATATTGAGTTATATTGAGTTATATCTAGCAGACAAAGGAAGAATGACCTTCTGCAGATTACAATGCAGTGTATAATATTTAAATATGCACTGTGTGCTAAATATTTCTATTTCTAATATGATTAAATAGGTCTTTTTATTCTGGCTTTTAATGGGATATTTCATGCTTCATAGAGAGTCTTTTTACTCGCAGAAGACAGAAGCTCATTCTGCAAAGTAACTGTGCTTCTTTAAGCATAAATATACTTTGGTTTATATAGCCATAACATATACCTATACAGCCATAATTTCATTGCTTGGCAGGCGCATTCTGCAACTAGCAGCCTGCAGTGCCTGTATATCCCAAGCATTAAAGCACTTGGTGCATGCAATACTGCCACACAGCATGCCACTTAGATCACTAAGTTGGCGAGTATTTTTTTTGTAATCCCTGCCTGCAGCAGTTCATTGATATCTACGATGGGGTTTTTTTGGGCGTACTTGATAATCTTTTCAGCTCGCTGATCTCCTATCATTGGAAGGGACTTTATTCTCAGAAAATCTTGACTATTTACAATCTCTAAAATTGCCTCTATGCTTTGTTTCTTGTATTCTCTTGCAACTTTCTGCTTTTTTTCCCTCGGCTTCTTTAGAGTATGATCTGCTTCAGACTTTTTGTGCTTCTTTTTTTCTTCTCTTTCACTGCTGTTTGGAGCTCTATTTTCACTGCTGCTCTTTTTCCCGTATCCCATGGAGCTACCTGCATGCGTGTAGACTGGGCGTAGAGATGTAGCAGAGGCAGAGTGTCCCCGTATGGGCATACGAGCAGGCCGTGGGTCCTTTACGATATCAGTCCATTTATTAAAGGCAATCTTCTCGCTCTGTGGCTTCAGCTTGACCTTTCTGCTCTTCCCTGAGAAAGCAAGCGTACTAATTGTCTCAGCAGATGAATCTCCCTGTATGTTTACAATAAGGGCACAGTCACTCATACCGCCTAGTGAATCTTGCAGAATTCTTGTGAGTTTGCTGTCTCTGTATGGAATTCTGGCACTTCCCTGCCCTAAGCTTTCAATTACTTTGTTAAGCACAAAAAGACTTCTGTTTATGCTTGCACTTTCAACCATGCTTACGCCTTCATTCCCTGTCCTTTTATTGTTTTCACTTCCTGCTAGGTCCACCAGATTGATCTTTGTTCTAACCATGGTTGAGTCTGTTGAGAGCGTGATGAAAAGTGTGACAACTGCATGACTTCTGCTACTCTCCGTGTTTAAAAGTGTTTTTCTTTGCTTTCTTCTATGACCGCCCTTGTTAAAGAGTTCTTCAAACTCCTTTTCAGTCCGGACCTTTTTCTCCAGAACACCTTGTATAACTACTCTTCCCTGCGAGTCTTCTCTGACTGGAAGAGAGACAGGCTCTTCTACAAGCAGGTCATACACTTTTTCGTTGTAAATCTCAATATACGTCATTTCTATTCCAACCTTAAACAGGACAGAAAGGGTTTCTGTGTATCGTCCAAATATATCACTTGCCATCCGGGGAATTATCCCAGGGTCTGCAGAGGTTCCACACATTGTGTATGTTTTCCCTGAGCCTGTTGCTCCGTATGCTAGAATTGAAGTATTTATTCCCCTTGCAATATTGTCTAAATACACCTCAATGTTCCTGTATATGTCTTCCTGCGTGCTGTCACTTTTGTACGCAGCATCAAAGAGAAAGGATAGTTCCTCCTGGCTGTTCTTATCTACATAAACTGTCTTATCTCTTACTCTTAGGCTTTTGTCTTTGTGGGGCGGGCGAATCCGAAGAATACTCTTGATTGAAGTGGATTCTATTCCCATACAAGAAACAAAAAGAAATTACTAAATCACTAATTATTCTACTGGACAGGTATACCAGAGACTAAGTGCAGACTGCACTTTTTAGGGCTTTCTAGCACGTGTATCATCTAGAAAGGCAAATGTCCAGCAGGCACGCAGTGCATTCTCATCTCCAGAGGAGCTAAAGTTTAATTCAAATTGTTTTAGCAAAGAAGAATTCCCAGAGGATTTATTTAGAGAAGAAAAGCCTGTTATGTGAAGAACATCCATTTTGAAGACTGTTATGTGAAGAACATCTTTTGTAGTAGGATCTTTGTAGTACTTCATTTTTAGTAGAATCTTTATAGTAGGATCTTATTAGTAGAATCTTTTGTAATAGAATCTTTGTAGTACTTCATTTATATCCTGTTTACTTTGAAGAGCGCCCTTTATAGTAAAATCTTATTAGCCCGTTTACTTTGAAGAATTCCCTTATTACGGCTGTGCTATTACTCTAATATATAATATATAATATATAATTACGGGCCATTTGAACCCTTTCAGCTTATTATTACACATATTCCAGACTTATGGGATTTTTAGTGTGCTTTGTCTTTGTATTCAAGCACTTCTTCTAGAGACAAATAAGAAGCAGAAGTTCAGAATATTCTGAGATACCCAAATATTGCCATCCATGAATCAAAGACATATAGGATATCTCAGTAAATTTGTAGAGTTAAACTTAGGTCTGAAGAACTGAATGATATACTGCACTTTATTTTTGTTTACACACTATTTTTATTGTCGGTTAGGACAGCAGCTATTTCATTCTTCTGGTGGAAGTTTGCCTTAGAAAGAACCATGTCCTTAAATGCTATTTGCAGCCTAAATCCCAATGGGTTTTCCACATTGTTTAAAAGATTCATTATTTCCTTTGCTCTTTTCACTATGCTAGAGAGCTTCTCCTTCTCAAAGACCTTTTCCTCTGCAAGGTAGATTAAGTTGCCTGTTGTCTTCTCTATCTCATCATCCAAAATAGCATCTACATCAGACTCATACACTCCCTTGTTCTCCAGGTAGTGTGCCTGCATAGATCCAAGGATAGAGGCCTTTTTGATTGTCTGGTAGACTCTTTCAGACTGCGCAGATATTTTACTTGAGTGAACCAGATTTAGCTTTAGTATTTCAGTGTTTATGGAGGGAAGTATTGATGCATCCACAGTTGCATAGAATGTTTTGTCCATCTCAATTGCGCCTTCCTTTGAATACTCTTTTGCAATTATTTTCTTCATGTTCTGCATATATCCTGCCTTTAGGTCTTGCACCTTCTTTTTTATCTGGGGCACTATGGCATCTACCCTATGAATTGCAAGTGTCTCTGATGGTGTAGATGTTGGGGTTGTAAGCCACTCAAATTTATTTGCCAGCAGGTTAATCACTCCTACCTCGTACCCATAGCCATACAGGATGCCTGGGAAGGCCACTATTTCCTGTTCTGCTTGTGCAAATATATCCTTGAGAATATCCATGTTTGGGTCTTCTTCTTCTGGAGTGAATAATTCTAGCAGAAAGTATCCTTCAGTCGAGGCCAGTGAATATGCCAGTTGTATCAGGGATATCATGGCTTCTTCTATTTTTGTGCTTAGCTCGGCTTTGTCTTTTGCCTTTCTAAAGGGCTTTGCAAGATCTTCTATCTTTTTGTGGATGTACGCCCTGTGCAGCTTGGATATGGATGTTACGTACGCGTGGATGCACTCTTCAAATACTCTTTTGTTCACAAGGTAGTTTATTATTTCCGTGTATCTGCTTAGTATAGTATGCACTTCTGTTGGGCTTTTTTTGTTCTTCAGGCAGCTCTTAAGAATGAACTCTTTTGCCTTCTTCTCAAATTTTGCTGAGACAGCGTGCACTTCTTTCTGCTTTTCTTTTACCAACTGAATGCTCAAAATCCTGGGCTCTGAAATACTCAGGCACTTCTTTACTTTATGCAGTGCTTCTTCTATTTTTGTTATTTCCTGTGCGTCTGTGAATATTGGCTCCTGCAGTCTCTGCATCTCCTCTTTAGATATCTGTGTGCCTTCAATGATTCTGTCTAGTATTTTAAGTGCTTTCTGTTTTGTCTGTATCTCCTTTTCCACATCTGCTGTTAGTCTTTCTATCCGCACAATATCCTCTTTTGCCTCTTCCATCATCTCTTTGATTCTTGCAACCTCTTTGGCTGAGTCTTGTATCCGGGCAAGGGTCTCCTTTGCCCTGGGAAGAACCTCTTGTGCCCTTGCCCATGCAGCTTCTGTCTTTCCAATGATCTCCCCGTGGGCAGCCCTGCCTTGCTGCACCTCAAGGGTCCATGGCTCCTTGAATATCTTGTCTGGGTTGTCCATAAAAACAAAAACGCGAATTCACGCTGTATTATAGAAAAAGTAGTCTGAAGGGTATGCAGGTAACAAACATCATTTATTTCCCGGAGTGTTTTTCTTATTTCCACGCATCTATATCGCTACTTGTATCAAGTGCATACTTTTTTGTCCATTCCTGGCACGTTTCGCTGTACTTGGTGCGCTCTGTCTTGTACATAGATGCAATGTTTGGCATCAGTGGGTCGTCTGGGTTTGGCTCGTCCAGCCAGCTGCAGATGGACATCATTACCTTGGATATGGTGAGGGCTGGAGACCACTTCTCATTCAAAATGTCCAAACAGATTGTTCCGTTGGTGTTTATGTTTGGATGGAATATGCGGGTAAGAAATTTAATTCTGGGGGGCTTGAAGGGATAGTCTGTAGGAAATTTAATATCCAGGTAGAACACACCCCCATGATAGTCACTGCCAACTGGCGGTGTTATCCTTCCTCGCCAGGTATACATATCTGCTTCGTCAACTGGGCCTATTCGCACTACGTGCTCCCCATTGCCTTCCAGATTGTTCTTCTCAGACTCATGTATATCCCTTAGCTCCTTCATTATTCTTTTAATTGAGTTCGCATTCTGAAGCATTCTTTTCCAAGGACAACAAATATTTTGTATTTAAAGCCAGGATAATAAAACAGCGTCTGCAAAATATAGTATTTTTCACTTTGAAAGATTACTTGGAATCTGCAGGTGAGTCTCTGTATGCTGCCTGACTTACATGCATCTGTCGTATATAGGACAAGTTCTTCTTCTTATCACCCTGCCACCTCATTTGAGTTATCTGAAAATGATCTATGATTTTTTATGCAATTCTTCTAGAGAGTGTCTTCCATGAGAAGAGTAAATTCGCATGAACCTGCCGTTCTCAAAACATGCAGTATCCTGTTGTAATTTCGGGTTATATCAGCATATGCATTATACTTGCAGAAGCAGACTAGTTTCTATTAATTTTGTAGCCTGCACTCACATAAATATATCCTGCCTATAGTAGTAATTCTCTTGGGACTATATGGAATAGAATGCCTGATTCATGGATTTTTCTAGAATTTTCCTGTATGGGTGGGATGCATAATTAGTCTTATTTACTAACTGTTGTAATTGGGATATATAAAATAGAAGACTTATACTGATTCCAAGATATATTTATGTGGGTGGATTTATTTAAGTGCTGAAATATTTGCAGTTTCTGAGTTAGTGAAAGTGCATATTTCTGTTTTCTGCCAGTCATGGTAATTAGCCATGCGAGGCACTAAGAATATCCCCAGAACCAGGCTGCAGTGCATGCCGAGTGTACAGTAAATATGGCTGCCTTGTACATTAAATATGCAAAGATTTCATAAAGGTATTCTTAGTTGAAGAAAAGACTAAGACAGTGTAATAACCAGAAGATAAAAGACATTGAGATATTCTTAGGGTATCATAAGCAGAGTGAACTAGCACTACAGTGTGAAATAATTTATACGGGTTAATTTTTCTACTAGTACTACAATCACCCTGGCTTACTTAACTAAACACAAGAGACAAGCTATAAATCTGACTATCAGAGTATTCTTTTTATTTAAACCATAATCAAAGCCTGGTTTGCCCAGCCCTGCAGACCCAAAATTCTGTGTCTAGCAGCCAGGCAGGCAGAAGTTCCCAACATAAATAAATCTACAAAAATAGGAAAAGTCCCAGGGGACAGTAGACAAAGCAGCAGGTGCCCAAATGCATAGTTGCACTTTGTCTACTCATCAGAGTCAAAGGAGTTAATTTGCTTTGTAGGACTGTACACTTCAGACTCTATCAAGGGGGTTCCTTCGTCTTGTGCTGGCGTTGTGCTGTTGTCCTCTTCATCTGAAGAGTCAGAGTAAGCTGGCACTGCCATGCTATTGAGCATCTCTTCCTTCTCAGACTCATTAGTTTCTCGCATGGACGGGGTTGCATTTCTTCTGTGAATTTCAAAGTCTGTTTTCTTGACTGTTATGCACTTCAGCGTGGTTATAAGCTGTATCCTGTAGGAGGCAGGCAGAACATCCTTAATGGTTCCACGCTTCCCTTTGTACTCTCCTGCTGTTATTTCTCCCTGTCTATCTACAAGTGGGTCTCTCTTACCGCGCGATGGGATCTTTCCTTGGGTCTTTGGTCTTTCCTGCTGTGCATCTGGTACTGAGCTCAGAACAACCTCCTCTATCTCTGCCTCAATTTCTTCTGTAAAGTTGTTTATTCCTATCATAAGCTTATTATCTGATATTCCCACTACAAATCCACACTTTCCTCTCTTTCTTCCGGAGACCACCAGAACTTCATCCCCAATCGCATACTTCTTCTGTATTTCATCTCGTGCAACAACAATCTTCTTATCTCCTATCTTTATCGTTACGTTCTCTTCTTCTACAACAAGCACTTTTCCAACAGCTCCCTTCAGTCCTCCAAACATAACCTCTACAATTTCGTCTTTTACAAAGTGCGAGCCTGATGTCTTTTTGTTCTCTGCAGTAGAGAACCACCTTTTTTCCTCTCCTGTAATTGCTGGACTTGCTGCTAGATAGACAACCGGGATGCTTTTCAGCAAATACCCGTCTTTGTACATTTCCTTTTTATAGACCCATGTGCTACTTGACATCTTGTATATCTCCGACTTGTTGAAGTCATTTGGGTTAAACAGCTTGTGCTTGTCATTTATCTTTGGGACCAGCTTTACAGAGATTTTGTCCTTTCCTGTCCCAAGCGAATCTATTTGTGCTATTTCCCCAGAGTGCGCTCCCTTTATCACTCGGAGATAGTTTCCCTCTTTGTATATCACTGGGTCTAGCTCTGGTATGTACAGCACATCTGCCATCTCCTTGTTTGGGATCTGTGTGATATTCGTTTTAAATGCCCCAAATATCCCGTCTATTGCCTGCAGAACAGCCTGTTTCTGGTACGCCTCTATGTATATGTATCCCTTTACTATTTCATTTGTCAGAACTGCAGTTATATTTATCTTGTTGGCGAAGGCCTTCCGTAGAACAGAGAGCACAATTTGCTTCTCCTTTGCAGGCGCACACCTGATCAGCCACAGCTTTGGTGACTTGTCATTCGGCAGAAGCAGCTGCTGCGGTGTTACCTCAACCTCCATGGAGTCTATGTTCTTGTACCTCTCTTCCACAGTTTTTGTGTACTCTTCAAAGTCATCAAGATTTCCCTCTTCTTCACTTTCCTCCATACTCTCCTGCCCTTCTGCAGTGGATGCTTCTATCTCTGGGCCTTCCTCCTCTGCTGCCTCTACGTCTTCTGCTAGCTCATTGATAAAGGAATTCATGCTTCCATCATCAGACGGCTCATTCTCAGAGGCCTCTACATCCACAAATTTGCTTGCTTTAAACTCTTCTTCGCTATCAGAATCTACTGCATACTTTCTCTTTACCTTTGCCATTACGCCAAGAATAAAAATAAAATGTATATTACAATATGCACCAGACTGTCCCCAAATATTCCTGCAGTTAAGCCGCATTCAGCTGCAGAGAAGTCTAAAGGCCTCTTCTCAGATTGTGTTAATCTACCACACTAAGACAAAGGCCTCTTTCACAATTTACTGACCAGTATAAAAGACCATGCCAGTCAAAGTACTATACTGTACAAAGAATAAAGCACTAAATCAATGATTGCAAAACAAGAAATACGTTAGAATGAAAGTATTAGGATTCAGGTTAAAATAGCCTGCACTGCCGTCTGGCTTATAGTATAGAAGAATTTATTCATATTCTAAGGCCAAAACCCTGCAGTAGGCCTGCCACCCTGGTGCATGCGAGTTTATTCTGGATACTAAGCCATAACAAGCCCGAATATGCACGGTGCATCTGCCTTATACCAGACAGTGCACTGCCTATTCTGCTCTAAATACTCTGCAGACTATCTCTTAGTCAAGAAGAAGCAGCAATTTACTTCAATCTGAGCAGCTTTAATCTGAGCAGCAGGCATCTCACAGAAAGAGGCATAAAGCACAATCCTTGTGCCTACTCCTCTAAGTCCGCCAGAGTGGCTGGCCTTCGAACTCGTTCTGTCTGGACTGCCTGTGCAGCTGCAGCTGTCTTTTTTATGAAGATATTTTTCAGGATCTCAGGTGTTGCAAGAGGATCTCTGCCTGGGTTTGTTTTTGTGTACACTGTCTTAAAGTAGAAGTACACGTGTCCTGTCAGTATACCGACTAAATCATTTGTAGGAAGTGACTTTTCTGCGAGATACGAGAAAATAAACATGATCCATGGGATGTAGTACGCAGGAAGATTGAACAGTCCCATGTACTGCACAATAATCAAAGGATTCTTACGGCTCCAGACATAGATAATATACGTAGACAGGACATTAGAGAGCCTGGACAGTCCCAAGACAGAGGCAGCCACTAGTATCTGCGCCATTCCTATGATAATCATGTACAGAAATTCAGCTGGATTACTCCCAGTCTCCTCCATCATTATGCAGTACTTCAGCATGAAGAAGTGGTGCACGACTGTGTCAAGGGTGGGTGGTCCCCAATAGAAAAACGCAGTTATAACCCTCCAGAGCTCCAATTTCTTGATGTGCGCAAAGGAATATATCAGATTATATGCACTAATTACATTGAGATATGTCAGGGCTGTTAGTCCTATGCTTATTGTGAACAGAATTCGGCTGACTACTGGGATAGATTTATAGAACTGTACAAGAAGAGACTCAATCTGCATCCAAATAAAAATAAAATAAATAATTATATGTCTATTAATAGTATCTTATCACTTCCTCTGGCTTTCTCGGCTGAGTCTTCTCTGCCAAATACTTCTGTCTTCCTTCTTTTTCTCTTCTTTCTTTTTCTCCTCTAGAGAGTCTTTATTTTCCTTCTCCTTGCTGCGGTCTGCGCTGCTTTCTTCCTTCACTTCCGGGATGTCGTCTGTTTCCTCACCCAAATAGAACTTCTTTCTTGCTGTGTTAAGGTACGGCCTAAACACAAACTCCTTCTCTGCGTATGTCATGTCCAAAGTGCCTGCACGTATTTCGTACAGCTTCATTGTGAACTGCGGGGAGGTTTTCTGGAGAGTGACTTCGCCCTTTTGGAATGTGCTTTTAAACTGCGTGAATAATATGCTGTCTTCTCTGTTGATGAAGCTTATCATTCTCTTTGGCTTTTCACTTCCTGGCAGCTGCGGGAAGAGTGAGGAAAGAATTCTCTTCACACGCATTCCAAGGGGCGTTGTGAAATTGTCGAAAATCACAGCAGGAATTGCTGTGCTTATTGGCTCCTCCGTGTCAATATTTGGATGGTGTATGCTGAAGTACGTGGTGGGTCCGTGCGGTAGATGCGAGATAATAAGAGATGAAGGGACTCCTCTATTCTCATTCACCATTATGAGATCTGTGTGGTTCTTTTTGATTGCACTTTGCACTAGCTCTTGTATCATGTGCTTTCCTCTGTTTAGCTTTTCTGCATTTGGAAGAATATTCTTCAGTGATTTTGCAAATCTAATAAGCGAATCAGAAGGTGACCTTGATGTAGTGATAATTGGTCGTGCCTCAGTGTGGGAAAATTCATCCTCCTTCTCTCCATCCTCAAATGCATAAATTGCATCTTGGAGTGCCTCTTCTGCTGTAAGCTTGCTTTCATCTATGTCATTTCGTATTTCTTTTGGCACTATTACATCTCTTTCATACGACTTGTACAGCATTTCCTTTCTTTTTTTTGACTCTATGCGCCTTTCCTCTGCTCTTACTGAGTCCATCCATTCTCTTCTTTCTCTGCGCAGCTTTCTGTCCAGTAGCATTGTAAATATTTTGCAGTAAAGATTTTGCAGCTAAATGAAAAAACTGAATACAAAGATAAACCACTGAATATTGTATTTTCCTGGGCAGAAGCGTATATTTATGTGAGTTTAGTCTGTAGAAGATCTTTCTTAAATGTTTATTCGGATTATATCGGGTGCACCAATAAAATCTCTTCTTGCCGCACTTTTTGCATCTTCGCCTACATAGCAACAGCAGACGTAATTCTGTTATACTGCTAACTTATAAGACATTTCAGTCATGTGCTTGTACTAGCACTTAATATAACCCGAACCCGAACTTAAATGATATTCTGGTTATATTGGATTATATTCGGTTATATTCTGGTTAGATATTCTGGTTATATTGGATTATATTCTAGTTAGATTCGATTATATTTGGCTATTCCTATTCTCATGGGTTTATGCAGCTGTCTTGCACTAAAACAGACAGAAGCCTCTCTTCTCACTCAAAGTAACACTGGAAGATTTTTTCTAGTGAATGTGAGTAATAGACCTTAAAATACTGCAGAAGAATTAACGGCAATCAGAAATATCAGTGCATTTAAGATATAAATAGACACAAGGCTTTTAATTAGCAAACGAATATGCACAATTAAAGAACAAAACACGCAAGTAGACAGAATAACGGAAATAGTTTAAAATAGTTCTACTATAGGATTTCAGTTATATTTTCAGCTTTCTTTATTTCTTTTATAGCTTAAGCCCTCCAAGTGCATGTACCTGGTGCAGCACAGGACCAGTTACTTTAAACACTTTCAAGAACTCATCTCCATAGTGCTTTAGTATTTCAATGAGATGGAGCTGGAGCACCTTTGAGATCAGCTGGTCACTTTTGATGTCACCTCTGAACTCTGCGTAGAATGCATTCAGCCGGTTAATAATGCCCATAACCACAGTCTTATCAGAGACCACAGAAGAAGAAAGCTTGGAGTGCTTCCACAGCAGCTTCACAAGGATCTCGCGCACTTTCTCCTCTTTGTACCTATTTGACAGAAGATTTATGTATATTTTGAACATGTTCAGAAAGGGCGCATTCACACACATCTTAAGAAGACTTTCACTGCACTCCTTTTTGATGCCCTCTGGCGATGCAGAGCCCCTGGGCATCTGCCCTGTTATGATCACAATATAGTCGGATACCAGGCTGAGCAGCGTACCTGCATCGAGCGTGGCCAGGAACAGATCACTTTCGCATATTCTCTTGATTATGTTTATAATCGTGTATACGTTCAAGCATGTGCTTCCTGAGGAGAGCGAGTCATTCAGCTGAAGAAGAAGAACATTCACCACTGTAGATGCACTTCTTAGAAGAACACTCATATTTTCAATTGCAACCTTCTGCAGCTTCTTCAGAGACTCCTGTGACTGCTGGCTGTTTTGGTCTATTATGTCATTAAGAAGCAGATTTATATCAGTGGCAGCCTCCTCAGACCTTCTCACCTTCTTTGCATGCGGCGAGTACGCTGTAATGATGTTCTCTTTCTTCAGAAGGGCAATTACATGCGCAGCTGCTGGAGTTTCTGCTCTTTCGAGCAAAGAAATAAATCTGTGGTTATTCAAAGCACCTTCAATCCATGTGTTAGAAATAAATGGCGTCTTCTGCAGGAGGAAGTAGATGCTGTTTATGAATACTGGCTGCGTCTCAGCCAGTGAGATAAGACTTGCAAATATCTTGGACACCGGGAAGACTTTATCCAATCCAGAGAGTACGTCCCAGTACTCGTTTTCCCCTGCCACCTTTATAATAACAAATGCCTCTTCATCCTTAATCATTCCAGACCTACTCTCAATCATTCCCAGAACATTCATGATATGCTCCTGTGGCACGCCCTCTCCTTTCATCAGAGCATCGCAGAGAGCAGAAAGAAGGCACTTCTCTTCAAATGCACTTTTCTCTCCTATCACCTTTGCTGCCTTGCTTCTTAGGCCTTCCATCATCAGAACTGCGTGTGAGTCAGAGACCTCCACTCGCTCCAGCCTGTCCTTAATCAAAACAGCCATTTCTTCACTCATGTTTATCGATGAAAGTATAGAAAGAATACGCCCATTCACTGCAGGGCCTGTCCCCAGTCCATCAATAAGCACCTGCAGCACAGAGTCACTAATTCTTCCTGTCTGAATAAAGTGCAGAATTTCACTCTCCCCTGCCGTTCTTGTTGAAGCATTTGTATTACTCTGCTTACCTGAGCATATCTGTGCAGTTTGATCAATAAACACGTTATCTGGATTTGTGTCCTGAATTGGAATAACGGGCTTGTCTTTTTTCAAAGACTGCGTTATAATTGGGCTCAGTACCATGTTCTCCTGCTGACTGCTCAAGACGTGCGATGGCCGCATGGGTGTGACAGGCTCTGGCTTGATCAAAGTGTTTCGAATATCTTCGCAGAGGGATTCAATAATTGCTGTGATTTCTGCATCCTTTTCCTTGAAGAGCTCCTCAGCCTGCGCCTTTATTTTTGCTGCAAGGTGCCTCTCTATTCCGTACTGCTCTATCTCGCTGAGTGCAGGAATCTCGTCTCTTTTAATAAATACCTTTGATATGCAGGTGCATGCAAGGCTTCTTATGTCTGCACTCTGGTCTTTCGTGCACTCAATCAGTGCCTTAAATGCCTTTGAGTCTTCCATCTCCTTTTCACTCACCAGCTCAATCGATGCATCAAATGTCTTGAGGGCTCCGTGCCGCACTGTCTTGTCAGACACTGCCATTACTGAGAGCTCCTGCAGCACAGACACTTTGTACACTCCCAGAAGAGAAACAATAAGACTTGTCACAGACTGCTGCACCTGCTCCTTCTTGTCCTTCAGCCTTTTCCCAACAACTTTGACAATCTGCACAGAAAGTGACTCTTGTATCTTCTCGCGTGCGGTTATTTTTTCAGCCACAGACATTGCAGCAATAAAGACCTTATTATTACTCTCTCCCACTCGCTTCAGAATCGCATCTATCACGTCATACGTGTCATTTCTGCTTAGTTTACCTGTGTCTGCCAGCTTCTCATCAAGCTCTTCCATAACCAGCCGCTCCTTCCACTGTGCAGACTGGAACCTTTCATAGAAATTGCTGCTAAGGGCCACAATCTTGTACTCTTTGGGCTTGCTACTCTGCTGCACCGGGCATTCCTTCTTCTTTGGTGCTGCCTTCTTCTCAGCAGGCTCAACTCTTGTGCGCATACTATTCTCTTCTGAGCTGCTGCACGGATATGAGGCACTTATAGCACTTGGTGTCTGGTGCATCTCTGGTGCAATTGTCTTCTGCACCTCTACTGTGGCTTCCTGCACGACTGGCTCCTGCACTGGGCTCTTCTGCTCCTTCTCCTGTGGTGGCTGGAAGATCTCTTTTATCTGTATAGGGCGCAGTGCACTAACTGCCTGTGACACTTGCTCTGGGTCCTGCACTGCAAGTATCTGGAAGAGCTTTGTTGCCTCCTCCCGCACAGACCCTGTGCCGTGCCCAAAGAGAAATCCTGCCTGCGGTAGCATCTGTCCCATCAGGTGTCCTTCCAGCAGCGGTGCATGTCCCACTAATATCTTCAGAGTCTCTGTTATTATCTTCGGGTTCTTGTCCTTTATGCACCCAGATGCAGCCAGCACCACCTGCGCCGGGTTATGCGCAGCCTGTGCCTCCATAATCTCTTTTATTGCCTTCTTTGTGGTCGGCTTTGTTGAGGATGAATTCTTAAATAGTGCTGCTAATACATCTCTCGTGTACTCCTGCATGGTGTTTGCCTTGGCCAGCGGTATAATGGCTGATAGACCTGCCTCAAGTGCAGGTATAGATGTTTCTTTGACTATCTCCACTATCATGTTTATCTGTCCTTGCGGGCTTCTTTTCCACTGGTCTTCTAACTTGCGGTATTTCTCAACTCTGTCTTTCCACGTGGGCTGTGAATCTGCCATAAAAAAATAGATTCCTTTGTAAAATATATACTACAACTAAATTTTCACCAATAGATGCACCTGTGCATATTATTTTATTGGAGTAAATATGCACTATATTTAATTGATGCGCTTTAGTCTTCTGTAAATAAGATTGGTCTTTATATATTTAGTCTGTCCACTGTAATTAGTCTTAATGTCTTAAACTAGGATCTTTTATGAAAAAGTTCTCATCTGCGAATTATTGAATTTATTTTTCTTGTAGTGCACTGCTGCTATTTTTATTAGAGAGAAACAAATTAAAATTTATTTGGCTTGGAAGACAATGGCTTTAAAGAATTTAGAGTATAGACAAGTGCACTGTCTTATCTAAGAGATCTACTGATTTAGTGCTTTAGGTTATTTTTGATCGAAATTATTTGCACTCTACTATGGTGTCTTAGGCTAGAATTTGTTAAGTGGGTGCTTGGTTTGTTTGTTTGTGTGGTATTTCATGCTGGGTGCCTTGTTTGTTATTATATGGGTGTACACTTTAAGGTGCTTGGTCTTTTCTTTTTTCTTGTTCCTGCGGGCTCTGTGCTGGCAGGCAAGTGCCGCGTGGATACAGACTGCCAGATTTCCAAAATAACTGGCTCTCACAGTCTTTTCTGTGTGGATGGGCAGTGTGTCCAGCTGAAGCCCCCTGGCAGTGCGTGCAATGCTGCCAGCGAGTGCGCGTCGTATCCCTTCTTTGGGCCCCTGGCCTGCAGCAGCCAGTGCGACAAAGGCCTCTGCTGCCAGTTCATTCCCACTGGCTCTGCGTGCAGTGTCAATCGGCCAATTGCCCTGAGCGGGTGCACTTCCGGGTTTACGTGCTCCAACAAGGAGATAGGCCCTGTGTGCGTACCCACCATCAGCAGACTGTGGGTGTTTGGTCCTGTGCTCTCAATCACTGGAAACCTTTTCATTAATGTTGGTTTGAACCTTCAGAAGAAGTCGTACACTGTGGAAAGAGAGTCTATTATGGGGCTTTCTGTGAATTTGTTTGGAATGGGGGTCTTCCTCTATGTGGTGGGGAAGATATCTGGGTTTAGCTCGTACGTTTTTGGAAACCAGTCACTCATGACATCCCTTGGGGCAGTTGGCCTTATTGCAAACAGCATATTTGCCCCGATGATTAACAAAGAGGTCTTCACGGTATACGACTTTTTGTGCATTGTGTTTGTGCTTATTGGCTCTTCGTTTGTTCTCTCAAACTCTGGCTCTGGGAAGAAGGAGTACAGTCTGTTTTCCCTTCTGAAGAACTACTTCACTCTCACCACGTTTCTCTGGTTTTCATTCCTAGTGAGCATGATTTCTGCCCTAATTATCTTCTGCATAGTGGTGGAGGAAAACAGTGACTGGAAGATAGGCACGCACGCCCCCTGGGTGGCTCTTGACCGAAAGATCAGCAAAAACAGCTACCTCCTAAAATACGGCATGCTCTTTGCATACATTGGTGTGTCTGCCTGCATTGCGTCTTTCACTACGCTCTTTGCCAAGAGCTTTGGTGTTCTGATCAGCATAACCATGGGCGGGAACAACCAGTTCTTTGGGCCTGGGCCGTATCTTTTTGGGTCTTTGGTGTTTCTGTGCACGGTTGGGCAGATATACTGGCTAAACAGAGCCCTCAAGCGGTATGATGCGCTGCTTGTCATTCCGGTGTTCCACATTATGTGGACTCTTTTAAGCGTTACAACTGCAGGGATTTATTTCAAAGACTTCTCTATGTTTACTTCTTCACAGTTTAAAAACTTCCTTGCAGGCCTTGTGACCATATTTATAGGGTCTGGGTTCCTGACCTTCCGAATGATCGGCAAAGACGCTCCATCTACTGAGAGCGAAAGCCTAAACGTGGAGACAAAGCAGAAATAGCGCATTGCAATGAATTTAATAATAAATCACACAGCATATCTATATCTATCTTTCTATTATATACGCATTCCAGGCCTGTCCGATTTTCTGTTTACATTAAAGCACAGAGTCAGATGAATAACCAGAATTACCAGTATCACTGTATATTGTGCGTATGTGCAAGGGAAAAAATAACTACATTCACTTCATTATATGCTGAGAAATTAGAATGTCCTAAATAGATAGTCTTTATCTATTTTTGATGATCTGGCCAAAATACTTTATCTTTCTGCTACTTCTACTCTAATAGTTCTATTTGTTTATGAGCACATACATTTTTATGCTCTCAAGAGATTTTAAAAATAAAAGTATTCCAAATAATTTTATTTATAGCGTATATGGACACTTTATTTTCCTGCAAATTCAGAGAAAAATAAACTGAAGGTGTCTACGCTGCACTTCAAACAAAATATCTGGCACATACGCAGAACTTATCTAAACGTATCAATCTTGCTCTTTTCGAATATTCGAACAAGCTCGTTGTACTTAGAGACTCTTTCAGACCTGCAAAGAGAGCCTGCTTTGAGATAGTCTGCAGAGAGTCCAACAGAAAGATGTGACAGGAAGATATCTTCTGTCTCCCCGCTTCTGTGGCTGGCCATGATCTTCATGCCCTGGTGCCTTGCCTCCTTGACAGCCTGTATGGTCTCTGTAATTGTTCCTATCTGGTTCATCTTTATAAGGGCAACATTGCACAGCTTCTTCTCACCTGCCTTCTTTATAAGCTCTGGGTTTGTCACAATGAGGTCATCACCGACTATTTGCACATTCAGCTTGGCAGCTTCTTCCATAAACTTGGCCCAGCCTTCATAGTCTTTTTCATCAAATGGGTCCTCAATCATCACAACCTTGTACTTCTTGATTATTTTGATATAGTACTCAATCATTTCAGCCTGAGTCAGAAACTTGTCTTTTGTTTTCCATCCTATGTTGTACTTTCCGTTCTGGTAGAACTCTGAGGCAGCAACATCCAAAGCAATCACAGGCTTTATTCCAGAGGCAGCAGACGCCTCTTGGATCAGATCAAGACCCTCCTCAAGAGAGTTTATGGGGGGAGCAAATCCTCCTTCATCCCCAACACCTGTCAGCTTATACCTCTTCTTCACAATGGCCTTTAGTGCCCAGATGAACTCAGAGGCACAGGACAGCACGGTGTATGGGGCATTTCCCTCAAAAGAAACCATGATTTCCTGTACAAAGAGTCCGTTGTCTGAGTGTCTTCCTCCATTGATTATGTTGAAAAATATCTTTGGAATTGTCAGGCCTGCATTCTTCTTTTGCACGCTATTCCTGCACCCCTCCGGTGACTTTACATTTTTGCAAGGCAGTGACTCATTTGCAGCCGGCTGCTCCACTTCTTTTTCTGCAGATTTCTCTACAGATTTTTCTGCGTTCGAGTTTTCCACAACGACACTTCCATCTGGAAGGTTCTGGCTTTTATCAGAGGGTGGTGCAGGTGCAGAAGCAGAAGAGCACATACCGCAAGGGTACATTTTGTCATTGTTGACAAGCATTTGGATATATTCCCAGTCCTGGACTTTCATGCACCTGGCACCCAGTCTTGAAAAGCAAATGGATATGGGGAGTATTGAGTTGGCGCCCACTCTGCTTTTGTTTTTTGTTCCATCCAGGGACACCATGTGCTTGTCAATTGCAGCCTGGTCGGTTATCTCAAGGGGTGTAGATATAAGAGAAGTTGCAAGTTCTTCAACCCCAATTAGGGCCTTTTGAACACTTTTCCCCATGCACTTTGAGTTATTTCCATCTCTAAGCTCAAGAGCCTCCTGTGAGCCAGTGGATGCCCCTGATGGGCAGCTGGCCCGTGCAGTTGCAAAAGATGCTTCAATGTCCACCTCCACAGTAGGAATTCCCCGGCTGTCGAAAATGCTTCGTCCAATTACCTTTCTGACATGTTCTTTAATCTTCATATAAGACAAATAGAAGTGAAATATATAGGATAAATAAATCACTTTAGTGCGTGCATGGTTACAGAAAATAAAGAGAAAACAAACAAGCTCTTGTAAACTTTATAAAACGTCAAAAGCACAATCTATTCTTGCAGTTTCATATATGTGCATTAGAACAGTAAATACTTCAGTTTAGACCATAATATGCGCATGTGCAATTTCGCATTTCCTGGAGACAGAAGGAAAGTGACGTGCCCAAATAGAGGTAATATTTCAGCCAAGAGATAGTAATATAAGATAGATAGTGTAGTTGTCAAGGGAACTTTATTTTTATCACTTAGTTGAATATCTTTAATGACTAGAATATTTCGTATTTTTGTTGGATATATTTCTTGTTTTCACTGTCTCTCTACTACTAGTAATTCTACTACTACTAGTAATTTTAAATAAATTTCTATCTTTAGTTTTCTAGTAGACAACATTTCTTACTGTTGAAATTCTCGCTTGTTTTGCTAATTTCACACAATTCTAGCAGTAGAATAGTAATGAGAGTTTTTACCACAGTAAGAGTAATATTCATGAGAAGAGTGCAAAGAAGTCTTGCACACCAAAATTCGGGTTATTAATAAATACCAAGTGAAATGGAAATTATTCAGTGTTTTTGCAGTAAGATATCTATATCTATATAGAATAAAGAAGATTTTTGCAATTTAATTTAGGATTATTTGGATATTTTATGATATAACCCGAAATAAACCCGAATACATTTTATCTGTGCTCTCTCAGGAATATTCTTATTTTTTGTTAGATTCAGAGCACTCTAGTTTAAATTAGCCTGCACTCTCAAGGTATACTTGACTTTGTATTATTTCTATTCGGGTTATATGCATATCCTAATAGTGCACACATGAACTTTACATCTCGGTGTTCGAGTGTGCCTTTAGAATATGCCGAGTAAGAGATCCATTGTAACGGTATGTTCTGTCACATTTTGGGCACTTATATTTCGCATCACTGTGAGCACATAGTTCGTGTGTTTTACAGTTTTTCTCCAACTTGAATCCCTTATTACACACAGTGCACCTAAAAAGATCTTTAATTTCTTTCCTATTTTCTTTAGTATTCCTTAGGGACTTTCTCACGGGTTCATGGACAGCCGTGCACGTCCTTGCATGAGTAAGAAACCACTTAGCCCGGGAGAACTCTGTATTGCATATCTCGCAGACAAATACCTGGCCACATACGTCCATGTGCCGCCTAAGACCCTCCTCTGAGGCAAGTGTCTTTTTGCACTGATCGCACGTTCTCTTCTCTGAACTTCCGTGTGCCCGTAGAGTGTGCACTTTCAAGTGGCTGTTCTTAAAGTACTTGAGATCACAGAGGCTGCATGCAAAGGGCCGTGTGTTTGTGTGGGTGTTCTCATGCAGCTCCAGAAGAGATGGCTTTTTGAACTTCTTAGTGCAGTCAGTGAAGCTGCATGAATAGAAGACCATCTTTTTTTATTTTCATTTTCATGGATCCAACTATTTGCCAGACGGCAGCTAGAATACTTCCACTTGGTGCAGGCAGCGAAGTGGGGCGGTCGTGCGTGGTGACTAAGTTCCAAGGGGTGACTGTTATGTTTGACTGCGGGGTGCATCCTGCGTATACGGGAATATCCTCTCTTCCATTCTTTGACCTCATAGACCCAACGGAGGTAGATGTAATTCTTGTAACCCACTTCCATCTGGACCATGCTGGGGCCTTGCCGTACTTCACAGAGAGAAGTGGATTTAAGGGAAAAGTGTACATGACCCATCCAACACGTGCGATATTTCGGTGGCTTCTGAATGACTATGTCCGTGTCTCAAATGTTTCATCTGAGAATGACCTGTTCACAGAGAAGGAGCTTTCCCAGTGCTACGACAGAATTATCCCGATAGACTACGGGCAGGAAATAACCCTGAAAAATATCACAATAATAGCGTACAACGCAGGGCACGTACTGGGGGCAGCAATGTTTTTGGTTAAAAACGAGAATATTTCTCTGCTGTACACAGGAGACTACTCCAGAGAGGAGGACAGACACTTGAAGGCTGCTGTAATTCCGCCAATGCCCATAGATATTCTTATATCTGAGTCAACGTACGGAGTGCAGTGCCACCAGAGCAAAGAAGAGAGAGAGCACAGGTTCATAACGAGCGTGTCTGATGTGGTGAAGCGGGGAGGAAAGTGCTTGCTGCCGGTGTTTGCCCTGGGGCGGGCGCAGGAGCTGCTTCTGATACTGGACGAGTTCTGGGAGGCTCGGAAGGACCTGCAGGGAATTCCCATTCTCTATGCGTCTGCACTGGCAAAACGGTTTATGGCTGTGTACCAGACATATTTGAACATGATGAACGACAGAATACAGGGCATGGCAGAGATCAGCAATCCGTTCCACTTCAAGCACGTGCAGAACATTAAAAACATTGAGGCATACGAGGACCGAGGGCCTTGCGTAATGATGGCATCCCCGGGTATGCTGCAGAACGGCCTCTCTCGAGATCTTTTTGAGATGTGGTGCGGAGATAAAAGAAATGGCTGCATTATACCGGGATACTGTGTAGAAGGAACCCTGGCTAAGGACCTTCTTTGCGAGCCAGATGAGATAACCTCGCTGAAGGGGAACAAGCTGGTTGTGCGGTCGTCGATTGACTACATTTCATTCAGTGCACACGTGGACTTTTTGCAAAACGCAGAGTTCATTGAAGGGTGCAAAGTATCTGAGGTGGTGCTTGTGCACGGAGAGTCATCAGAGATGAATAGACTGAAGAGTGCACTAGTGCACAGAAGTGAGGCAAAGAGCGAGAACATCACAATACACACGCCAAGAAATGGGGAGTGGGTGCATATTAAAGGCACAGGAGAGCTCAACGTAAAGTACTTGGGGACAGAGATGCCAGACGAGTTCTCTGGGTTCATGCACATAGCAGAGGACGGAAAGGTTTCTGTTGTGGAGAGGGAAAGCATCTCCAAGCTTGACATCTCAGAGATAAAAATAGTCGAGAAGGCAAAGATGCAGGGCGTATCTTTCCAGCTGCTGATCAGCCAGATTGACCGGATCTTTGATGAGCACCCGGAGATAAAGGAGTGGGAGAATAAGAGGTGCATGGAAGTGGATGGTGTGCTAATATACGAGGACGCAGAGGGATCAATAACCATCCAGTGGAAGAGTGCATTTAGGACTGACGTATTGGCAAACTGCATAATCAAGGCAATTAATGACACTGTCCTGGGAAAAAACTCAGTGCAGATTCCACTGAATAAGAAGAAAAAGGAAGAAGACAGTGACCAAAAAGAGTGCACTGAGGAGCCAGCTAAGCCTGTTCCCTTTCCAAAGCACTGCCTGTCCACGGTAGCCCAGATTCTTTCGAACTACTTTACGCTGTCAAGAGAAAAGGACACTCTGGAAATTAGAGACAAAGAAAAGTCAGTTGTTCTTTCAAAAGACGGCCTGACAGGAGATGAGTCCCTTGCAAAAATAGTCCAGGATGTATTCGATAATATCTCATGGGCTGTCAAAGACGAAGAGATCTCAGATACTGAGGACAAATAAGGCAGTGCTGCAGAGTGCATTTTGGGTTCAAGTATTCAAATTATCATTGGCAAAGACCAAGCACAGACAAAGATGATTTATCCACACAAACTATACAGTCACTGTGTCCAGGCCAAGTGAAATATGAACCAAGAAATAACAGTGCATCTACAAATCATTGTGTAATTTATATGCTCTTAATCACCTTACAGTAGATTAGTACAGATTTAAAGTAGACTGCTGCAGGTAGAAAGCAGCTTAAATTCGGGTTATATTCAGAGAATACGAATATACTCTGAGCATGAGTTGTTCTGCATGAATAAATAAAGTTTCGTAATATTATCTTCTATGAAGGAAGTTGCAGCCAGATGATGTGAAAGCACTGTATGACTGTTATTATTTATATACATAAATATACGTATATTCTGCTATTTAGGGTATATTTAGTCTATTTTAAATTGTAAGAGTGTAAATGTCTGGTGTATTCTGCATCTTATATCGTTTAGTTATTCTAGTTAAAAATTCAATTACTGCGAAAATCAATAATTCAATTAAATGTAAAATCCTTTTATTAACTGGTTTATTAAAATAATTAAAATCTGTACCTTAACAAATCCGAAATCCTACTGAAAATAATTCAGGTTATATCAGGTTATATTGGGTTTACATTCTATTTGCTCTTGAATTTTCACTATTTCTCATTCCTTTCATACTATAGTGTCTCCTCTTTATTATTCCACTATCTTCTTCTCTAACTAAATATGTGTCATATACGCATCTGTCTACTATTGTATCTCGTTCCATGAATCTTCCCTTATAGACCTTCCCTGGCTTCTATAAATTCTTGCTTTTTCTTCTCTTAAATTCTTCCCTCTTGTCTTTTTAGACAAGTGCTATACTGTTCATTAAAAGATAAAGGGCTTATACTTCGGTCTTCGTTGCAGATATGCACATTCGTGCAGGTATAAGGCCAGATACTAAGCACTCTACTGACCACAACAAGCAAGAACCTTCATGGTCTCTCTTAAAAAGTCAATAAACTTCGTCTCTTCAACTGCTGGCATACACTGAAAATTAACATAAAGAACTACTCTTGCAACCTTGCAACTTTCTGCCATTCGGGTTATATCGGTTTATATTCTGGTTATATTTGCAATTTAAATAAACAGTGCATATTCCCATGCTTTTTATTATTACAGCTGTCATTTTCGGTTTATGAAAAATTCACATGAAAACACCCAGATATTCCTGCATGACTGCCAGGAGTCTGCTGGAGTGCAGTCTAAAGGGGTATGTATCAGCAGGTTCTGTCAATTCCAGGGGCCCCTAGTAGAATTGCCTCTTTGCAATAATTATGCAGTTTATGGAGGTTATTGTATTCCTTAATTGTGCTTCTAAATTAAAGAATTAAAGTGAAAATACAGTACTCTAGCAGTGTCAAAAAGCACTTTCTTTTATAATATCTTTGTGGTCTAATAATTCATCGTATTTGAACCTTCTATTAATATGTGTAAGCCGGTCTAAGTTAATTTTCGGCTGCTATTGGTGAGTAAATTTGAAAACTCATTGGCAGTGCACTGAGAGGTTCCAAGAGTGAATTTGGAAAGGGGGAAATATCAGTGTTGAGGGCTATTTTCGTTCTGCCTATTAGAGAAAAATGCAAGCCAGTTATTTAAGATCATTTAATGGGCCACTTAACTGTATCATAACTATATTTCTAGCTTTTTTTATTTGTTGATAACCCGTTCATATGGATGAACATAGCAACAGCCATGAAGAAAAGGAGATAAACAACTGCGCGCCTGAAGAAAAAGAAGAACTGCAGGTGAAGGGCCCGTGGACACGTGACGAGGACGACAGGCTTCGGATGCTGGTCAAGGCATTTGGGCCCAAACGGTGGACCTACATTGCAAAAAAATTAGGAGGAAGAGTAGGCAAGCAGTGCCGTGAGAGATGGCACAACCATCTTGACCCAAACATAATTAAGACGCCATTTACTGCAGAGGAGGACAGTATAATACTGGCCCTGCACACGAAATATGGGAACAAGTGGTCAGACATTGCTAAGCACTTGCCAGGACGAACAGACAACGCAATTAAAAACCACTGGAATAGCAGTATGCAAAAGAAAGCACTGAGGGCAAAGAGAGCCAATAGTATATCTGGCGACTTCATAGCGGCCCATGCAGAGTTTAAAGAGGAGGAAGGGTACGCCAGCCACGGGGTATCACCAAAAAAAGGATGGGTGCGCAGAAGGACAACCTCAATGTTTATTCCGCAGCCTGACAGCGGGAATCTTCTTAATGCGCTAGCGCAGTCTGCGTACAATGAGCTGCTGAAAACAAAACAGATGTATTATAGCAAAGGAGCTCCTTCTTTGCAAAATTGGAATATTCCGCTGCAGGATATACAAAATGCAAGCACTGACCGAAACAAAAAGAATTCTTCGGACGAGGAGGAGGTTATGGAAGGACTGGTTTTACTGGCAAGTGGTGAAAAATAATTGAATAAAGCATTTTTCGATTTGTTTTTTTGCATGAATATTAGAAAACTATTCGATGAGATTCGAAGTGCTGATCTGTTCAATGCCTTTTGGGAGTACCCAGAGGAAAAGAATCTTTCAGTTCTGGCAAGCAGGCTGCCCCACATAAAGTCACCCAAGGAGCTCCGCTGTGCAATTGCGCAGATATGCAACTATGTGTTTGAGGAGAACGAGGAGGGCTCTTTTCTGTACACAGAGGCGCAGAATCTGCTGAAGCATGCGGAGGTAAGTGTGGAGAGAGCTGCTGCAATGGCCAATGTGACTAGTGCGTATGCTGATATAATATCAATAAAGGAGGAAAAGGATAAGAATAAATTTGTTATGTGGGAGAACGCAGTGATTAACAAACTGTGCCAGCTATATAAGGAGTCGCTTATTTCCTTCTGCAAAGACCTTTCTGTATATGAGATAGAAGAGCACATAAAAATAGTCCTCTTTGGAGAGAGCCAAAGTGTTATATCATCACCCGAGCAGAATGCAAATTAGAAAGTTGCATGCACTCAGGGTAAACCAGCAGGCGCAGCTGGCAGGCACTAATAAAGATCTAACAAATAGAACAGAAGGTTGAATTTGGGGTATTTTATGCAGCTGCAGAGAATTGGTAGCCATGTAAATCTACTGGGTTTACTGTGAATGCAGTCACTTGCAGATACAAAGTGGGCACAGCCCGAGTGGAAGTAAGATTGTGCAGGTGTTCATTTGAAAAGGTCAAAGAGAAGACGTGTATGCATGATATGTAAAGAATTGGAAGTCTGCTAGGCAGCTGGCTTTTAATCAGCAGGTGACTGCTCAAGTAGAATGAAATAGCGCACTCAAAACCTTTCGCTTTCATACAGCAGAATATAGTATTACTGTAGTGCACAGTGCATTTAAGGTAATTAAGAAGAGACTTAAGAATAATAGAATAGATAAATCATATAAATCGTATAAATATATTATTTTTGCACAAAACTCAACAGCAGCACTTTAGTCTTCTGCACTTTAATCTTCTGCTAAATAACTGATTTTCAGAATACGTGTATTTTTGATAGAAGCAATTAGCATTCTACTGTGCACTGGAATGGGTTTATTTACAGCCAGATGGCATTAATATTGACATGCCCAAAAGAATTAACATTTCAGTCAGAAGACACTAGTATTTTAGACTCTAATAGGGGTGGTTGTCAAGTGAGTTTTATTATCATATTTTTTCGGTTGGTGACTGTGACCTTTTGTATTTTTATTGAATGTATTTCTTACTGTTGACATATTCTGCTTGTTTTAATATTTTCTCACAATTAGTAGGGCAGGGTTCTGATATATGGAAAATCTTTTGGAAAGTGAAATTATCATTGGTGGACTCTTGTGGCCTCAGGGTAATGATATGAGATTTTTACCACAAATATAAATGGGCATGTGCCTATTCCATTCTATAAAATCATGTGGTTATCTCTTGATAGGAGCCATTGTTAAGCTTTAGTATCTGTTAAATTTTAATTTTATTAAATAGTCTTCTTAGGTGAATTTTCTGTACATAAGTACTATTTAGAACTTTCAGTTTATGGATACGTTAATTCCTAAGAATAGAGGTTTCAATCCCTTTATATTTAATGATTTAAATATAATTGGGCTAAGATTAATTCCTTCCATTTTGCATACCCTTTGAATCTTTGTATATTCATTTTCTGATTTTTCTTAATGAAAAGCATATTTATTCAATAATATCCTATTAGAGAGGAACCTATAAGACTCTACTGATCAAATAGAACCAATCCAAAAAATTCATGTTCTACCATACAGAAGCCACAACACTTCTGTGTTTTTGACTGCTGGACATTCACTTACTGAGCATCTATGGAATTTTAAGCTAAAACTCTTTTTCTTGTGCACACAAATACAGATTATAGAGAGTCCCTGCAGCATATATTCATTTGAAATGGACAATATGCCAGATATAATCAGATATAATCAGGAAAAGTGATGTGCACTTGGAGACGTGCAGAAGAAAGTTTCATGCAGTGAAAATATTTCAGTAGCAAAGCACAAATTAAACAGAAATATTTATGACCCAGTTTGGGTGCACTTGAAAGGCTAAAGAGTTAATTATGGCAATATTTATTACATTGAGCCTGCCTCTATCTCCGATCCGGGGATAAGTTTAACGCCTTCTGTGAGTGAGACTGTGCATACATCAAACTGTCCATTGGAGATCACCTCTGGATCATTTACGGCATTCTTGAACGCAGAAAGCGCAAGGGCCTGGAGGTCCTCATTTGAAAGATCCAGTATCTCACCGTCGTACGACTCTAAAATGGTTCTGGCAGACTGCGCTCTTGACCCAATGCACGAGCCAAAGCAAGGAATTGCCTCGCCTGTGGGGCCCATCTCAATCACAGATATTTTCCCCTTATCAATTCCTGCGAGAATAACTGAGATACCAGAAGCACGCCTTCCGTACCGCATAATTTCAAGCGCATTGTTGAACTGCTGCGACTCAATAAGATGCATAATTGGGAGGGGTGTGCCGTACTTGTAGTTGGCAAGCTGGATCTCGTCTCTTAGGACATGCTGGAATTTCATTCCGTCATTTGTCACGCCTGCATAGACGTAGACAAGGTTGGTGTCTATTTGCTTGATCTTTGTCTGCCCGTTCAGTAGCTTGTCATTTTTTCCTGTTCGCTGTGCAATGATCACTGCCATGTTCTTATTATGGAGAGCCACACAGGAACTGCCGTGTTCTGTCGACCGGATGACTCCTTCAATTGGAAGTATCTTTCCCTCTGGTGTGAACGTGCAAAAATAGTTGTACCTTTCCTTGCTAGACATGTAAAAACAAAAAAACAAATAGCTAAAATTCATTTATTTTTACAGAACGGTAACATATAACAATGAATGGAGAGACAATTGAGAAGAAATATACAGACGGAGAAGACCTTCTAAACGTGCGGGTCCTTCAGCGAAACCTAGTATACGTAGTGGGCATTCCTATTGAGTTTGCACGCGAGGACTTGCTTCGCTCCAAGAGCCTCTTTGGGGGATTTGGAGAGATAGTTAAAATAGTTCTAAGCCGAAGAAAGGAAACCAAGCCAGAAAAACAAACAGAGGGAGTGTACAGTGCGTACATAACATACCTCAAGGAGGAGTATGCAGTTGAGGCCATTCGAGAAATGGATGGCTTTATGCTAGGGGAAAAGACAGTTCGGTGTACGTTTGGAACGACAAAGTACTGCTCGTTTTTCCTGCGGAAGATCAAGTGCAGTAACGAAGGGTGCCTATACCTCCATGAAAAAGGGAGGGACGAAGATTCATTTGCCAGGGACCAGATGTTTGTGCTGAAGACGAAAATTGAGAAGATTATAGAAGAAAGACGGCCTGTGGAGAAGGATACTTTCTCCAGCGGAGCAAAAGCAAGTGACAGTGACAATATAGAGGAGTTATCTGCACTGTTTTTGTTCAAGCCAGAATATGTTGCGGCCCAGAAGCATTATGACAGCTGCCAATTCAACCCGTTCTACAGAAGAACATCCGATGACAGCCACGAGTCTGCATCCTTGGGTGTTCGAAGTATATGTGCAGAAAAGTAGAACTAATAAATAGACCTTTAATTTATTTACATATGAAAGCATGGACACACGAGGTTTATTCAGGGAAGAAAACCCTTGGTGATGTAGACATAGAGGGAAAGAGAGTTTTTTTACGTGTGGACTACAATGTACCCATACAGGATGGTTTAGTGAGTGACAAGGCAAAAATACAAAAAAGCCTGGGGACAATTGAGTATTTACTACGAAAAAATGTACAAAGCATAGTGATTGCCTCTCACTTAGGGCGGCCTGGGCTTGATGCAGACCCACATAATCCAACTGATACCACAATGATGCCTGTGCTGGAGGCACTGAATGCGTGCCTTGACAGAGCAGAGATGCCCATTCAGTTTGAGTTTGAGTACATGGCAAATAGAAAAACACAGAAGAAATGGGTTATGGTGCAGAATCTGCGCACTCTGGCAGTTGAAAAGGATCCAACGGATTCAGAAAGCAAGGAGCTATTCGATGCTTTTATAGAGAAGAACTGTGACCTCATGGTAAATGATGCATTTGCTGTCTTGCACAGAGATGACTACTCAGTGACGCAAATTAAATTAGAGAAAATAGCGGGTCTTCTTCTGGACTCAGAGATGCAGGGAGTGAGCCTTATACTTGGAAAGGCCCGTCCCACACAGGAACACTCCCCCATTACAAGCCTATCCCGCAGAGATAAGGAGAAATTCCTGCGGGTGGGAAAAGACCCGAAGAATTTCCAAACACAGGAGCAGAAGCCAATTGACCTTCTAATTATTGGAGGGTGCAAACTGCAGGATAAGATTAAAATGGTAAAAAACCTAGCAAAAATCACCTCAAATATCTTCCTGGGTGGGCTTCTATCAGTGCCTCTGCTGGAGCACAATCCCTCACCAGATGTTGAGGATCTAATTGGGTGTGTTATATTCGAGCAGGTCTCTTTGTTCTATCCGGTTGACTACGTCTTGGAAAATCTTTCAGTTGTTTCGTATAAAGAGGCTGCTGGTTCTGCCTCCAAAATAAAGGACATAGGCCCAATGACTGAGGATATGCTTACAAGCCTTATCTCGCAGAGTGCGTCTCTTTTTTGGAATGGGACACTTGGGCAGGCAGAAATAAAAGAATATGCACACGGGACAGACACTGCGTTGAATGCCATTATGCAGAGAAAGCAGCAGCTTCAGAAGGCAGAGACAAAGTCAATGCTTTGTGCTGGTGGGGGAGATACATGCGGGTACATTAATATCTCTGGACATGCAGATGCATTTGATCTTATACTGACTGGTGGAGGGGCTGCCTTGGCTGCTCTCCAAGGGGATGTTCTTCCTGGAGTATTTGCGCTGTCTGAGAGAAACTAGCCTGAAGGGCGGACTTTGCTGGAATATATGTGTCTTACATGATGAAAGTACTTAAAGACTTTGAATTTTAGATATTCGAGGGTGTACAGTCTACTGTCTAGAAGGGTGGTTTGCAGAGAGTACTTTGGTTTTGTGATTTCTGCATATCTTGGATTGTGTGCCTTAGATCAGAGCAGATGTTCTTTGTATTAACAGATCGCTTTGTCACAAGATATCCTTAGATGCTTGTGCATTTATCATTTACAAAGCACTTGATTATAAATAATCTTGTTTTTGTGTATGTTATGTGCCATGATTAAATACTCAATGCACACTGGGACTGTGGAAATATCTATGCTACCTCTTGTAAATACGCATATACATAGATCCATAGTATGAAAGATATTTAATCCTGTCTTTCTATGCGTATAAATATGCAAATTTGAATGGGTGTCTAGTGCACTGTCTTATTCCTCTGATATTCAGGAAGGATATCTTTATCTGCATAAAACTACATAAATACTTAAGATACACTTTTCTTGTTCTTTTCTATTTCATTTTCTTCTGCCTGGGTTTTCTTCTCTTTTTGTCCTGTCAATCTCCTAATGCACGATCAAACACCTGCACAGAAATAAAATGCACTGAAAATATTTACACATGGTACTTGCAAGAGTGTTCCTTACGCTTATAGTTGGTATATGGGGGAAAAATGCACAAAGTGCTTATTATCGCTCAGGAGACATTAAAAAGAGAGCTGAATTAAGCAAATACCATGGAATAGACGATATATATAACAAAGTGTATATGGCTGGTCTTAGCTCAGGAAAAACTGGCACGAATAAGAACCTACTAGGTGACAAGCTAAATGAAAAGAGACCTTTCAAAGCAGAAAATACTCCAAATAATCCAAATAACCCGGATGCAAAGAAATACACCTACGAAGAGAAGAAGCAGGAGCTGATTGAGGTATTGACAAAAATAGTAAACTATATTTTCCATGGGGGAGTACCAGAAAAAATAAAAACGGCAGTTTCAATCAAACCTGAAGAGAAGATATTTGAGATCATAGACAAGGCGTATATCCCATGGGCCCTGACTGCTATGTTTATTGTTGGTTGCAATATGGCCATATACGGCATACAGTACAAGAATATACATGCATTTTCCCTTGTGTGGTACTATCTCTTCAGAGCCGTGCACGTGAATATATCGATGCCTGCGTACAACTTTCTACTAAATAGGTTTATTTCTGGATTTGTGCCAGAAATGCTCTTGGAATATATTCAAACACAGACAGGACAGCTAGTCCTTTCAGCCACTATATGTTTAGCTCTTTCTGTTCTTGCGTGCTGGGTTGTGAGTCTGTGGTTTCGTGTGGTAGCCATGGGGAGCGTACTACTCATAAGCACATGTCTTGTGAAGAGTGCTGATGTAATGCCAATCCGTCTGGATAGATTGCTGCTTTTGATTGTCTGCCTGATTGTGCTTGTCCTGGCTCTGTACAAGTTCATGCACAAGAACATTGAAAATTACATATTTATCTGTCTGTTTGGGTTTTTCAGCTCCTTGCTTATATTTCTGCCTCTTTCTGAGTTTTTGGAGCTTGGAATGGCAATTCCACCAATTCTGCTGAACTACAATACAGACATTCGGACAAGTGATATTTCCCTTACTTCTGAGTATATTGCTATAGGGCTTCTAATGGCCTCTACAATAATCATGCAAATATGCACAAGAAGAAAAAAGGGCTAGCCCAAGAGAACTCTCCCACAGCAGCCACATAATCCTGCGAATATTAAAAACATACACACCAGAATGCCTCCAAACTCAAACCGTACAGTAGCTGCACACCAAGATATACCCATCTACTATATTATTGCAGTGCACTGCTGTATGGTTCACTGCTGCAGAATGTAAGAATTAAATACACAAGAATCCTTAAGACTTTTTCATTTATGCATAAAAGTACACTGAATTCTATCTCTATTTTATACTACAGATACTTCTGCTGTGAATTACATACAAAATAGCTTAAATATATCCCAGGAGTAGCTTGCAGTGTGTGGATATGGAGAGTGCAGTGGTGTAAGTGATTTCTGGTATAACAAAAAATTGATGCATTTTGAAGAGTTCTATCAGAGAGTGCAAACCCAAGAATGCACCTATTACTGCTGGATTTAATTTCGTGCTTGTTTTTTTATATTTTCTGTGCCCTCTTGACTGTTAAATTTTTTTAATTTTTCTGCCCCAGATGAAAGTTGAAGAAATATGCCCAGAACAGTTCATAAATGTTCTTTCAAAATCCCTCAAGGAGGAAAAGAAAATAGAAAGACCAGCAGAAGCAGATCACATTAAGACTGGCCACGGAAGAGAGCAGGCACCAGTAAGTGAGGATTGGTACCACGTCAGAGCTGCATCTCTCTTGAGAAAGCTCTACATGGAAGAGCTCACCAACCCAGAGAAGAGCAAGTATGGATTTGGAGTTATGTGGTTCGCAAGAGTATATGGAGGAGCGAAGAACAACGGACACAAGCCATCCCACACAGTATCCGGATCAAAGAGTCTTGTTAGAAGAATTCTCCAGTCTCTAGAGAACGTTAAGCTCGTTTCAACTATGCCCAAAGGAGGAAGAAAACTCACCCAGACAGGCCATGCTTATCTTCAGGAGATAGCTGGAAAAGCAACCACTGCCTAAATAAACTGATTTATTTACCTGTTTATTCTACTTTAATGGCCTTATGGCTGCCTGGTGCAAATGCCAGTTTATTTTCTGCTTAATGCGCACGGTATTCCGTGTATTATTATGATTATTAAAGGACCGGTGCACTGGGGCATTAAGGGGTCTATTTACAGTATGGGCGCACGGAGGGCACTTTGCACTGGGAAAGTGGCTTTGCTTGGGGTATGCGGGTGCATTGGAATATTTCTGTCTATAAATATTTATTTTTTTTCTCTCATTAATGCAAGTTAGTTATAAGACCGCAGAGGGATTCTTTTTGCTGCTTCCAGTCCTTTTGTCATACGGATTCAAAGGCAAGATGAATGACATCTTCACACAGTATATTGTATACTTTAGAATTGCGTTTGTTATTTCTATTATCATTGACATGGCAGTATCATACAGAATTAAAAGTAGAATAGAGCTGCACAATGTGAAGACAAAGATAAGATTCGCAACAGACGACTACATTGTGGTTCCAAAGACAGTTAGCGAGGAGAAGGAAGGTCAAGCACAAAATGAGCAGGATGAAGAGATGGAAATAGAAATGACTGTTCATGACTATGATCTGAAAGTAATTAACTCGCATATCTCTCGGGTTCTGTCGAATGCAGCAATTCATTTGGCAATTCATCTGTTTATGAAGAGCACGCAGCCTCTGTTTATGCTTATTCTTAACCCAGTGAAGAACTTCATCTTCTTCCCCCCATACATTGAGTACATAACCAGCAGATCTATGCTCAGGCCCTTCTCCAGGAACTACATCATTGGGGCATACGAGAAACGAAAAACCCCAAAGACCGCAGAGAAGGTTGATGCAATTCCCGAGAAAGAGATGAAGGCAAAGAAGGAGGAATAGGTTATGAATAAATCATCAATTTCTTACTGTTCCTGGATATTTTTGCATGTGCGTCTGCCTTGCATTTGCATAATTCAGTCTACGCATATTCGAGTTATATCTGTTATTCGGCTATATTCATGTATCGTGCGTATTGCTGGATCTGGCTGCATGTATACACCTTAGGGCTCTTTTATCTTCAGAGCAGATACTTTATCTTTATATGGAATTCATGAGATGACAGTTATATAAAATGTCTTCTTAATATTCTGGGGTGCATGAAACGACAGTTATATAAGATATTTTCTTAATATTCTGGGGTGCATAAAATGGCAGTTATATATGCTATTTTCTTAATATTCTGGAATTCATGAAGTGGCAGTTAATATGATATTCTCTTAATATGCTAGAGTACATTGATTAATACAGCGTATATTTACAATTTTCATCACCTTTATACTCTCTTCCTTCATTAGTACATTGATCAATACAACGTATATAACCCGAAAGTTCATCACTGTTATACTCTCTCCCTGCATTAGTGTACAGGCCTGCATAGAGACAATTTAATCTCTAGAAAATATAGTAGCTACATTGCATAAATAAACTCTGCTACTAGTACTACTTAACCAACTTAACTAACTTAACTGCCTCCATAAAATATCTTCTAATGGGCACATTGTTCTCTTGCAGCTACCTTCTCTAGAAACTTAAAATATCTAAGTACTATTTTATAGTGCATTTATTGACTGCATTTAGTTTTATTCACTTGCTTTATGCTTACTTGGCTTACTCTTCTCTTCTCCTGCATTGCTGACAAAACTTGAGTTTTTTATACGCGGATTCTTTGTTCGGTTCTCCTGTAAGATTAGCTCTTTGACCACATTCTTTGTGACTGCTCGCACCTCAGAGTGGTAAAGGACGTTCTCTGGATCCATTTCAATTCGAAGTCTTTCATGCTTTTCGTTCCACTCAGGAAGAACCTTTGTCACCTCTAGAACATACCAGTATATTCCATGAATCATAGCAAAGGGAGCCTTGTCAATGTTTCCTATGAGACCTGCCTCCTCCAAGGCCTCTTTTCCTGCTGAGTAGTACCCCTCTTCACCCCTCTCAATTCCACCCTTTGGGAATATAAGCTTTTTATTTGTTCTTCCATTGATTAGGAATATCTTTCCATCTTTTATGGGTATGCATCCGACAAACGGACGGCCGTGCCTCACTCTTAGCATTTTCTTTCCCGTTTTACCACTCTCTTTAAGTTTACTGCTGTTGCTGCTACTGCCGCTGCACATGCTTACAATCACAGGCCATAGCACAAATAAGCACACACCCACCACCAGAACAATAGTTATAATTCCTCTTTTCATTTACTCTGGCCCTGCCGTTAGCACTAAAAGTATATATACACTGTTTCACACATAACCCGAAACACCATTCGGCAGATAAGACGCAAAACACTGCACGATCTGCTGCACTGGCCCAAGCCTATGCCTACAAACAGGAGAAACATTGTCAGAGATTTTTGTTTGGAAGAGTAGAATTTCAGCAAATAGAGTGAATATTCACAGTAGTGCAGCTGTCCTATACTATGCCAGTAAGTATGCTAAATTTACTGAGTAGTGCATATTTGTACTATGGTTTAAGCATACACTGCAAATATTTATAAGCACTAACTTAAATCTTCTCTAGATGCATATCCGAAATAGAAATATTCTAGAGGCAGTTATTCTTCACACAGTTATTACTATTTGTTCTCTATATAAATAAGTGTATTTGAGGTGTATTACACACTAAATCTACTAGTGCATTTCTTGATGGTCTCTTTATTTCTGCATAAGCCACTTGTTCCCTTAGAATGACCAAACTCATTATTCATATATATTAAAGAGAAGAGACACACAGGTTAGATACAAGCATAACAGACCAGTCAACCAGTAGATGCACATTCAGGAAAATGCATCAATATTATTTCTATGCACACAGTGCCCATATTATTTCTATGCACACGGTGCTTTATTCTGTATTTTTATAAGTTCTTCTATTCCTGGCTTAGACTGATTATTGCAATATAGAGCTGAAGTACATTTGTAATATACTTGAATGCAAAAATAACCCCGCATAAAACCCCCAATAATACACTCTTAAAGCATAGAATATTTAAGAGAAATAGCTCACTGCCTAAACAAACAGTGAATAACACGGGCCTTGCATAGTAGAAGGAAAGTATCCTACTCGCTATACTAGTGCTTGCATGCACTTTGTGTGACACCTTGCTACTGCACGTGCACACAACACAGAAGAAGTGCGACAAAACATCCATCATAAGAAAGGCACCCAGAATAATGAACATCTTTGGGTATGCATCAACTACTCTTAGAATCAGAACAGCAGATGACGCCCTATCTGTTGCCATGTCAAGAATATATCCTAATTTTGATTCTTGTTTGAACCTGCGCGCTGCATACCCATCCAGAGAATCTAGGAGATACGATATACTATAAAGTATAACAAATATATTCTTGCTGAAAAATAGTGATATAAATAACAGCACTACTCGGACATACCCAATTATATTTGGAATATAAAGCAGGGTACTCTTCTGCCTTACAGTCTCTGCATCCATAAATAAAAATATTCTTTGAAATGCGCCCGTATTTACTGCAGACAACAAAAATAGCCTGCATATCATTGAAGTATAATAAAATACCATATAATTAGACTGTGGTTATGAGATATTTGGTATAGAAATAACCTGAATATAACCCGATATAACCCGAATGAACCAGAATACTGCACTTTTGCTTAATTTCTTGCCTTTTATTTGCTTCCTATGAGAAATTCATGTCTGAAGGTGCCTTTGCTGTAAAATGTCTCTTTATGAATATGTGCTGAATAAAATTTGCTTGAGTCTGGGTTCTTAGAAGAACTTTCTTTTTTATTTGCATGACACTGCACGAATCGGTAATAGATCGAATGACTGCATACTTTTTGACTGTTTTTGTCTCTATATCCATGCATGCAGTATGCATTGTTCTTAAAAATAACATAACTAAATTCATCTTCCCTCGCACCACAAACTCAGCTGCATGCCCAAGAAGATACCGTAAAATAAAACACTCTGTGGGATAATATAGTAGAACAGCCTAATATATGTAGATAGTCATTTGTTATACGCTTTTAAATGACATTTTAACTGCCTAAATCATGGAAAGAGTTTACTTCATTTGAGTTCGGGTTATATTGATTTAAAAGGGATCTGTTTGCACCAATTCGATGTTTATCCTCTCAGCAGTTGAAGAGACCAGAAGTACTGTGGCCTCTGTATGAGAGAACATGAATATTTTTGGATTTGTTCTATTTGATCAGTAGAGTCTTATAGGTGTCCTCCATGACAGTATATTATTGAATAAATATGCCTTTCATTCAAAAACTATTTCTTCAATGTTGGTGTAGAGCATGCCTAGAGAAATTGTATAATCTATATGTAGTTTATTATAGCATTCAGCAGGAAAATCTTGCTTAACTGCAGTCTGTGTGCATAAATAGCACCAAGGCAGCCCTTTTCAAATCTCCCATCGTTAGATTTGTGCTTTGTGCAAAAACTACCTTTTTCTACCGAATTCACAGTTTGTAAAAAAGATAGTGCCCTGCATACGCTAAAGATCCTAGCATAAGAACAACTACTACAGCAGAAACTTTAAAGATAAGTGGTACATCTGAGTCATCCTCAGTATACCGAATATTCGGGGTATTTTGGCGGGACTGCAGAATATCTAGGTCTCTATTGTATAAGCTACTTGTTTCATTTGGATTTTTCAGATATCTTTTAATGCGGTTTTCTAGAGACTTTACTCTGTGCATAATATATCTAGAGGCGCCTGGCAGACTTTCTTTAATTTGCCTGCAGTAATAGGAAATCTGATCTATTTTTATGAAGTTTAAGTAGCTGTTCTGTTTCGGGTCTACAAATATGCACTTTTCATCGCCGCATGATGTAAGGTATGGATAGTTGATGTACTTTCCATCACAGTCAATCAATGTGTCTGTGTCTATAAAGATACTATAGACAGTCCTCCAATTGTTATGCAGTGCAAGTATCATTTCCTGGTCTCTTTTTGGAATCTGCGTGCTTGAGTCTATAGTTTGCGTCTTCTGGTACTTTACGAGTTTATTTTTGTACTTATGTGCAAGAATCAACGCCTTGTCTATGTTATACAAGTATCTATTATAGGGCTGGAATAGGTCTATTTCTCTTGCGCCTTCGAAGACACATTTGCCAGTAGAAGTTCCTGGAGTGTTCTTAAACATATCAGCAAAGTGATTCAGATCATTCTCAAGCTGTGTAGATAGATAGATCGATGCAAGTCTTTTGTGCACCATCCACATCTGTGTGTATCTTAGATAATCAGTTACAGAGATATCTGAGAGTGTCTGTACGTTTTTGTACCATGCATTTAGCTTTTTATTCACAGCAACTAAGAAACCACTCTTTGCAAAATTCTTGAGTGCCTTACTCAGCACTTGCATTGTTTCGTTTTTCCTGTTCAGATAATCTATTGAGAGACCTTTTGCAACTTTCGCCAGATCAACACCACTATCTATATGGTTTTCTAGCACGTCCTCCACGAGAAGGGATGCAATTGATGATATTAGCTCTACGCACTCAAAATCTGGGTTTATTCCTACGACATTTACAATAATATTTTGCGCAAATAGTGAGTACATATCTCCTATAATTGCATAGTTGCTGTAGTTGTCTAGGGTTACTCGGTTAATCACACGGGCAAACATATCCTTCCAGTCTTCGTTCAATTTTGCTTTATCAATTTTCAGCACAATACTAAAATCATACTGGGATCCATTGCTATTTGAGGTTTCACTTGTGTAGCTTATAAGAGGCTCTTCCTCTTCGTCTTCTATATTGCTGTAGGTATGCTTTCTAATGATATTTTCATTCGCACCTAAAATATCTTCTGATTTTTGGATAGTTTCCATTCAGGGTAAATTTTAAAAAAAAGTTTTAAATAACCTGCGCAGTAAATGCGTTAGTATACAGCATGCATATCTAAAACTGATTCTGAATATTTTCATAGTCATGTTGCACTGTTATATTTATGTGATTTAGAACGTAATAGAGTTATTTTCACTCAACTGTATATCGTATATAACCCGAATACTTTTAGTATAAGTAGCTGCTTTGGTCTGCTCTTTCTTGCTATTTTTTTAATGAAAAGCATTCAGGTTATATCGGGTTATATCCTATTAGAGAGGAACCTATAAGACTTTATTGATCGAGGAAAGCAAATACGAAAATATCCATGTTCTCTCATACAAAACCCACAAAACTCTTACTATTTTATATACTGCATGGTTAACCCAAATTCTATACTAAGTGATTGGTGATTAAATAATATTTGATGCTGGATGGATATAAATGAGCATACAACACGCTATTATTTGACTTTCAAATAACTTTTATAGTGACTTTTTATTTGTTAGAAGCACTTCATCTCAAATACTGGAATTCCCATACAGTGCAAATACCAATTTCTACTTAAGCATAGCCCTTTCCTTAAATGACAGCCACTTAGATTTGGTTGCGTATAAGTGGCTATTCTTCACTGTACTATGGTATAACCCGGGTTCTAACTATCTTGCAAGCATAGTTGTTCTGTCTTGATCTATATATATCCATAAGCAGCTCATACTTTATCTTATCTTCATGTGTTCTGCACAGATCACTTTTCATTGAATCCATGACAGAAAGTACCTTCTGATTGAATTTTCTATAACTTCTGCCTACCTCTATAAGATAAGAGGTCACAATAGTTCCCTCTGTGTATACCATTGCATCAAAGCATTTTGGTATAATGCCTCGCAGTCTTTCCTTTTGGCATGCTATGCTAATCCAAAGTGCCCATGCATCATTAGCCTTTAGATCCATGTGCCCTATAGATCTACCCTTTTTATCCAAGTCCTTTAAAATCTCTGCAATAGTGACTAAGTGCTGGATAGTCCTTCCATTCTCTGTTAGGCAGGAAAGCAGCTGAATTTTTTTCTTTAAGGAAAGGTCATTCTTTAGAATCTGTGGGAAGCAGCAGCTCAGGCTCATTTTCCCAAGATCCATGGTTTTTCTTATGAGCTGCACAAGAGCATTTGGAGAATTCATGTGCTTTATGCAATACACAAATGCGTCTGACAGTTTTTGTGGATCGTAGTTATATACTACAGGCATCTTTTTTTCTGGGAATAGTTTTAGGACAAGATTAGTCTGTACCCCGGATGTTATAAAACAGGACATAAAGCTACTTAAGGTCTGCTGGTCATCAAGCGGCACACTCGCCAATATATTGGATATGAGCCGAATTTCCAGGTCATCTGAGTTTAACTTCTTGCCCATTGTGTGCATAGCTATATAGAATACTAGACTCTTCTTGTTCTCAATTGTCTGGTATATATCAAGAAGAAGAAGCCTTTCTATTCCAATGAAGCTGAGTGGCTCTATCTGCACTATAATCTTCTGAATTTCCTTTAATTTCTGGTGTTCATACAGGCATTTTCTTTTTGTTTGTTCTATATAGTATCTTACCAGACAGGATGTAAATGTGGTTTTTCTATTGAGAGTAACCTTCCACAAGAGTCTGGTTAATTTGTTTGAAAAATATGTTAAATTGCTGTCTATGCTTGGAATGGGCACTAGTCCCATGTGCTTAGGCAGGCACGCCATGACCATGCCCCCTCTTAATTCATCTTTTTTATACGTTATAAAAATATTTCCAAATAGGTCTTTCTTTCCCTCTAAGCAGGAACCCACTTTGATGTTTTTCAGCTCTACCTCTATACTTCTGTTTTTTGAATTTGGAGGACCTGTGGCTAAGCATGACCAAACACTATTGTGCATAGGAGAATCCTCTTCTTCTCCCACTCGCACGGATAGCGACCTGAACAGATATTCTGCATATTCCTGAATCTCAGCGTATATGCCTTTTTTGCAGACCTTGTTATTGACTGCTTCTATAAACTCCTGAAGTCTGTGTTTTTCTGTTTCGTACACGCCCGTTATAGTTGCGACCAGGCACAATACATTAAGTATGCCAGATGCAAGCTCGTTTTTATTCTCACGCATATACTTAATCTGCTCGCCCTCCAAACCAGACACTACTTTGCTCCATTCCTTATAAACAATCTGGTTAATTGGCTCATGCGTGCTTTCATACTTTTTGAAAAAGTTTACTAAATTCTTAGTCGCACCAGGCATATGCTCTGTGCTGTACTTTTTTGTATCTGGGTCGTATGCCAGACAGCAGAGAAGCCCAAATGCGCTCGCTTCTACGCAGTTACTGAATTGCTGCATGGTAAAACTACCTTTCTCTCGGTCGTACACAGGGGTGCTTTGGTAGGAAGGCACATATGTATCTCCTGCAAATGGAAATACTTTATACTTTAGATCAGTGCTCTGCACTTTTTTAATAATGCTTAAGTAGTCAAACCTCTGTGAGACTTCACTATGCAGTGCAAAATACTCGTAGAATATTTTTTTAATGCTGCTGTGCTCTGTATCCCCATATGCTTCGCTGCTCATAAACTCAAATAGCATGTCGTGCACGGTATTTGCAAAAGAAAGTGCATCTTCATGGCCACTTATGTACTCAAATACGTAGGACTGCAGCAGCCATTTTGGGCTGTTTAAAAACTCTCCTTTTTTAAAGTCATCATACACAACGGGTGCATCGCCTTCTGGTAAGGGCAGTTCTGGCTTGTTTTTTTTGAAGTACTCAATAATAAACACAGCTTCGCTCTGGTACACCTCTGTCTTCTCTATTTTATCCTTCTCTATGGCTACCATGCGAGGCACGTGCATGTCAAGGCAGAAGTGGACTGTACTGTTTTTTGCACTTTTCAGGGTTAGCTTCTTATTTCCCTTTGTGCCAGACAGAGACAGCGGGACATCTATTCCTTCAGTCATCAGGAGAAGAGCTGCAAGGATCTTGTGCGCATGCTGGCTGACTTTTTGATCGCTGAGGAATGTGATAAATGAGTTGTTTATGCTTGTGTGTATGGTCAAGTCCCCTATTGGTGAGGGAAACAGCTTTAGAAGAACTGCGTGGTACTCCTGGGCTGCAGTCAACTTTTTATTTTTTATACCTGCGTTCACATGCACTTTATCCTTATTAAATCTTCTGGTTCTGATATATTTGGGTCTATTCATCTCTGGGTCCTTTTCCATGGATAATTCATAGTTTGTCTCTATTTCTGGAGAAAAGAACCTCTTGTTGTACATAAAGTTGCATTTGCGTGATATGTACGCATTTAATGGACTGAGCGGCCCCTCTGGATGGACCATTATCATGCTGTTTTCTCCAAATCTGCTGTTTAGAACTTTTTCTATGGCAGGCATCTCCATATTTGCACATATTTTGTGCACTGCCACCATTGATATCACCCATGCCCAAACTCTCATGCTGTCAGTTTAAAATTTCTTTAAAATAAAGTTTTGTGATCACCTGTACAGACTATTTTCCATAGATTTTCTTAAAGACGAATTTTACCACAGACACAAAAATATCAAAATAGTATCTTTTAATGATCTATTCTATAAGTACATTCTCGTGCATACTGCTATTTTCTGTGTTTGCTATTTCTATTTTCTGCTTTATCTTACTTCTTTTCGGGTTATTCCATACTGTGACAGGTATATACTCTACACTAAATATATTCTGGGCAGCTGCTTGGTTTATACTCAAAAAACTAAGCTGCATAGGTAAGATATGATGTGCTGTCTTGTCTTATTAAGCTAAGTGTGTTCACATCGATGCTTCTTCTGGATTTGCATATTTTCATCTCTTCTATATTTTATTTAAGTTTATTTGTTCTACAGTGTGCTTATTTTTAAAAGTCTACTGCAATTTTATTTTTGTACTTGAATAAAACTCAAAGGCCTTCTACTACGTATATTCCAAGCAGAGAAGACTTTCTAAAGTATAGAAAAATAATTTATTTCTCGTTATTAAAGCATAGATCATTTTGATTCATAGAAGCACCACTGTGGAGAATAGACAGAAGCACAAGCGCATCTGAGAGCAGATCGAATGCACTATGAATGTATATGTGGTAATGCCGTGCAAACAGAGTGGCTGTTACTGCTACTTAATACTTGCACATAAATTAGTATAGTTTATAGTAGATGCCATGTAAAAGCAAGCCATACATAAAGAAAAATTCAGTAAAATATTTTAGATATGAAAATAAGAGCAAAAAGATATCTTAGATTTGCAGTATGCGCGGCCTTTCTTCTATGTATTAGAGCTGCAGCTGCACCTAAAAAGAAAACAGTTAAAGAGCATAGTTCCACTGATGTGCCTGAGAGCGATATAGATATAGATCTTATAGACAGCTCTGTTGACCAGGTTATAAAACAAAACAAGAGCATGAAAGTGGACATATGGGAGAATTTCTTTTCGGAAACCGCAAAGTTCATTATTTTTACAAAGCCTGAGAAGTATGAAAACCAGGCTGGAGAAGGCAGGGTGGTGCTAGACGAAGAGAACTCAATTGACATTTCAGTGCTGCCTAAGACTATAAATAGAGATAAGCGCAGAGGACAGTCTGTAGATCTTGAGAGTTTTGGGCTTATGCCCATGGCAATGTTTACGATAATAAACCAAAGTGTGATCCAACAAGTTCTAAATAGGAAGGACAAGGTTGCTGAAATATATATTAAAAACCTGGTGTTCATAGAGCCAAAGAAGCCAAGAGAAAGATGTCTATTTCCGTATGGATTTACAGAGATCAAGGCAAGCCAGCGCATACTAAAGCAGGTGCCAATGGGCCCGGTTAGAGTAGAGACAGAAAACCCACTTAGAGCGAAAATTACAAAACACATAATAAAAGTGTACATGGAAACAAGAAGGCACTGTGCGGGGATGGAAGTAGACATGAGAGAAGATGTAGTTAAAAAGGCAATTCACAAGAACATAAATGTGTATTTGAAGTATATGATAGCAAACCTAGAAAGCATTCTTCCTCAAAACGTTGATGCAGAGATGACAGCACTTGAGTACATAGACATGCACCTAACCCGGGACACCCATATAGTCAGAAAAACTGTATGCCGCCCGCCCCGAGTAGCAGAGAAGTACGACATATTGGCCAGGCGGGCTGCACTAAAGAAAGACTATTTAAAAAAAGTTGGGCTTAATATATTCTTTCCAGACAAATTCAACAAAAAAAAGGTGTATACGGTGCTTAAAATGTTTCTGTTCAATGTTTATTTGAGAATTGACTTGAAAAATGTAAATCTCACCTTTCTGGAGTGGCATGCTGACGCCCTAAGCAACATTAATAGGCTAAGCGATATCCAAAATATAACAATTCTTCTTATCATCCAAAACATCTTGGTCATAAGCGACAGTGCAGCTGTGAATACAGAAATTAAAGATGCTTCTATGCTAATCAAGGGGGTTGTTTTTCTGGTTGATAAAATGGAGAGTATTTTAAGCACTGCATACAGCTCAGATCCAAAAAACATAGTGGACCTAACTATAAAGAATATCTATAGCGATCTATACAAGCTGCTGGCTGCTTTATATGAAATCCTGCCATATTCGCAGGTTTTTGTTTCTCCGTGCAAAGAGAAAGAAGGGATGTTTTTCATTAAGGAGAACTTTGAGCTGACTGGAAAGGGTGTGCTTAATAGGCAAAGGTATCTGCATTGGGAAGCAACTGTGGACGTAGGCGACTGGAAGCAGGATAGAATGCCTTATAGAATTAAAGATGCCAAGTGCACGGAGCAGTTCTATACGTCTGGCGGAAGCACTGCGCACTCACTGCACTACCACGTACACTATGTTGACAATGTGAGCCACAGATACCACAGGATATGTGTTCCTTACTACTGCACGGAAGACTCGCGCGCAGTATGTGTTCACACCGCCTCTGAAATAGCTAAGTACATACATGTCCTGCACGGTGTTCCTGTTTCTGACATACATACGTATGTTCGAAATGGAGATACACATAACTGGAGCTTTGTGAAGTTCCCACAAAAAATGCCTGCAAACATCCAAGATAGCAATCACATTCTTGTTTTTTACTACATTCCAAAAGAGCAGATTAAAAATGGCTTTGTGTTTTTGAAATTTGAAGCTGACACACCAAGAGCAATCAAGCTTCCTCTATTCCTCTCTCCTGTAGAACTGGCAATTAGCTGTAATAAACTGCAGTGCGAATGCCTGCAAGAGAGTATATTGCACTCCCTAGAGCTTAGCAACGCGTCTCCACTTCAAATTTTAACCGAGAAAACGCCTATGTGGAAGCACCTGGATGTTAAAGACTACTACAGCAACCTGTGCATCCTGGTGGACCAGGTGTCTGTTGACTACATGGGGTGTCTTATTATGAATGCTTCGCTTGTGATAGATAGCATAAAGAAGAAAATCACATGGCGTGTGAAGTACCCATACAGTCCGGACGAGTACAATTACTGTGTTTTATCGAGCACCTCTATGGAAGAAATCAACCCGAAAATCAACCTTATGTCTACTGTTGAAAGAGACCACGAAAAACAAGAGCAGCTACGTTTTCTAAACATAGAATCTGCAGGAACTACAAGTAAAAGCACGAGCTTCCACTTAGAAGGCAATGAAATTCTTAAAGAAACGATGTACTGCATGTCCCACGATGAGTTTATCACGTGGTCCGATATTTCTAGGAATCCAAGCACTGCGCATGTTGAAATTATCCAGACCGATCCATCTTATATATCTGTTTATAGCATGCACATGTACTTTATGTCCTTCATGTTTGGATATTCGTGGATGTGAACCGCGTGGTATATTATGCAAGCCACATGAAAGAATTCTTCTGCTAGAATAACACAGCCCTCAATTTACTGCGCATCTGGCAAATAAATCTTTAAATCTATTCATGCATCTTTTCTGTTGTCTTTGCATAGAAAGTGCAGCAGTAGTTTTTATTTTAACAAGAGCCACTCTTACTATTCATCTGTGATTTTATGGCATTTGCATGAGTTGTGCTTAGTATACTAGTCTGGAAGTGCTTTATGCAAAAATTAGCACAGATTCGTGTGTGAGAACAGTAAAATTGCTACAGTATAATTCGGGCTATGTCCACCCAAAGCACATTTTCATATTTCTTATTGCGCTTCTATAAAGAATAAATAACTAAGCCAAAAAAGAATAGAAGATCCTAGAGGGCAATAAATAGCAATCTCAACGCACTGGATATATTTCTACATACTTATTGAGTAGCTAGTTCATTATTTCTATGCTGCATATATTTTTGTAGATTCCTTCACTGTGGCTGTGCTGACTGAGAATGTGCAATAGCTGCTTTCTTAGAATATTCCATTACTAGAAGCCAGCACTTAGCAAAAGCCTGAATTTCTTAAATGGATTTAACTATACTCTTTCTTATCGGGTATTCTTGGAGCATCAGCCTACTTATTGCTATTATAGTAAAATTCTCCCTTTTTATCCAAGGCCACTGCATCTCTAATGTAAAATAGCTCTAAAGGGATTTATAGAATTATTATGCAGAATATTTTATAAAATTGCATTTAGTCTTCCATATGCACAGATATAAAATATTACTGTAATGGTCAAAGTGATATTTTAGATAGCTATTTTAGCAGTGAAAATTCGAAAAAATATATATGAATACGCGAATGAAGATAGTCGTACTAGAATCTGTTGCAGTTGGACTGGCCATATCATGTTTTTGCATAATGGGGGTATATATGTACAAACACAACAACTCTATGAAGAAGGTGCAGCCATCCCAGCAACCCAGCATTATATGTAATAATGCACATGAAGAACATGTAATAGAAGACGCATCAAAAGAAGATTTGGAGAAGAAAAAAGACTCCATTAAAGTGGATGCTTCAGATACAGCGAATTTAAACATTATACGTAATAATTTTATAAATCAAGAGCTTGTTAATAAGGAAACTGCAGCGGAAAATAAAAGAAAAGAAAAGATGCAAAAGGAAGCGAGAAAGAGACTAAATGTTCAAGCACAAAAGGAAAAAAAAGAAGTAAAAAAACCAGTACAAAAGGCGGCAGAAGTCATAGCATCTTCTTCAATTTTCCAAAATAATCTGAATAAATTTGAATCAGCCAGCAATTCCAATATATCTCAGAGCGAGCTGAAGAAGTCAAAACTTAGAAATGGCATCATGCAAACATCTAGTATATCTGCAAAACCTCAGCAGGATTCAGATATAGTTCAGAATTCTGAACAGGAGTTTGATTCGCGCCAGCCCCTCAATGACTCCCCACAGGAGTCTAACACACTTTTTTCCATGGCAGAGTCTAACGCGTCTCCTCTTCTCCAGGATGAGTCTGAACCATATTATCACAAGAGTGGGTCTGAATCATCTTATCACAAGAATGGGCCTTATGTATCTATTTCCGAACCCGAGTCTAACATACTAGATCCTGTGAAGAAGTCTAACACATCTCTTATTGTGGGGGAGTCTAATACATCTATTTCCGAGAAGAAAGATAATTTACAATATTCTGTGAAGGAACATAATATACCACATCCTCCTAATACGAAATATGTTCCAGCTACTATAATGAAGGAAACTACAATACCCATGATCGCATATAGCACACCTATTTTCGAACCCAATTCTAACATACAATATTCTGTGAAGGAGTCTAGCACATCTCTTATTAAGGAGGAGTCTAAAATGCCTCTTATTGAGGAGGAGCCTTATATATTCCAGAATCATGATGATTCTACTAAACAAGTCAATATGCCTCAGAATCTCCAGCAGAGTTCAAATATACTTCAGAAATCCAGCGATTTACCACAACAATTTGATGTATCCAAGACTTATGAGCGGGAGCCTAGTCTATCCCAAAATCTAGAGATGAAGTCTAACACATCCATAGATTTCAAAAAGAGTTCAACTTCATCTCTAGATTTCGAAAGAAGGCCCGATCTATCCCTAGATTTTAAAGATAAGACTAACCCATCGCAGAATCACACAGAGAGTCTCAATTTATCCCGCGACTCCAAGCAGGTTCTTGGCATATCCCAAAATACTGAAAAAGAATTAGTAGATGATAAAGATATAGAGAAAACGGAAGAAGATTCTAAAGGTACTGAGAAAGAATTAGTAGATTCTAAAGATATAGAAAAAGAAGTAGTAGATGTCTAAAGGTACTGAGAAAAAGAATTAGTAGATGCTAAAGCTAGAAGGGAAGATTAAAAGACCGGAATAGACTAGTTGCATTCAGTGATTTGGATGGACTAATATCATCTGATCCTATAGTATGGTAAAATTACTACTTCTTTAGAAATTTCTTCTATTTCAAAGGACTTCGAAATAAAATGATTATAAGAAAGATCATCTGAACTCCGCAATCAGGCTCCGAGAATAAAACATATTCTCTTTACAGAGGGAGATAAAGGAAGAGATAGATCAAATGTAATCAGAAACTTAAAGGTTCCTCAAAGGTCAAGCAATGACCATGTGTGTCTGCAGATAATGAATAAAGACCCTTCAATACAAATGCTATTCCTATTAGGCTACAGCTGATTTTTCTCTTGTGAAATAGTAGACTTAGTCATACTAAATTTCAATATAATTTATTTTTCATTGTCTATTTATAGAGAAATATAACTGGTGCCAAGAATAATGAAAAACAAGAAATTAAAACTGTTAAGGTGAAAATATTTTTTTCAGTTTCCAAAAAAATGATCTGCAGACTACTTCTAAGCCTAATGATAATGCAAAGTATTCTTGCAAGAATCGATATGGAAGACATAAAGAAAGTTAATAAAACTTTTGTTGGCGAGAGTCAGGATGTGGCTATTAATCCAAAGGGTCCATTGAATCTACTACGTGGATATATTGGACACCAAAGTGGATACATGCACAACAAGCGGTTTTATTCACCTGAAATAGACACAGACTATGCAATGTCTAAGAAAGGACTATCCTGTCTAGGAAAACAAGAGTACAACTTTACAAGAACACCAGTGAATGACAGGGTATACAAAGACATAGCTACACAGACTCCCAATGGGGAGTATCTTAGCACCTACCACACACAGCTCATAAAGATGTTCCCCTCAATGGTTGGAGATCTTTCCATTGAGGCAGATAGATCTAACGTACTTACAAACTTCTTAAGAGCAGATCATGTTAAGAAGGATGCAAAGTACATACTTGCTGCGCTTCTGCTGCTCTCAGAAGGAGTTGACATTAAAATAGCGGTAGACTACAAAGGAAAGAAAAATAATCTTGTCATAAAAAGTAAGAAATGTGCTGAGAAAGAGTTTGTGAATGTGGAGATGCACATGGAAGGTATAGACCCAGTTACAAATGAGCACAGTGACAGTATCTATCAAAGTGAGGCCGCTGAAATTGTCAAGTTCTATATTCAGTGCAGAGATAATCCGCTGCTAAAGAGAGGAGGCGAGTTTGCAATGCCAGTCACAAGAGAACAATTTGAGAGTGGGAATTTTCTGAACAGTGCAGCTTTCCTTATACAGACGTATATATACGAGTTCATTGACACAGCAGAAGACTACAAGGACTTTGTAGAAGCAGCGCATGAATTAATGGTTGATCAAGTAGTTGAAAAAGAGAACCCAGAGAAGACTAAGAAGAAAGACAAAAATCGCAGAATATTCGATAAGCTTTTCATAGAAAAAGATGCACTTAATGAAAACATAAAATATACTACGTCTTTCTATAACCTTGTAAAAGCCAAAAATGGAAATCTCATATTTCCCTTCTACAATGATATTCAGCTGCCGCGGTATACTAGAGTGCCTCGTTGTAAACTAGACAAGTCTGGCTTTGAGATAGATCAATCCTTATATTATAGCGACTGCGTAGAGACAGTCCTTCTTGGATTATTCTGCTGCCTGGCATACAATCTAGAGACCCAAAAGTACGAAACTAGCCACATGGGAGAGGGAGTAAGTAAAGAGCTAAAAGAGTTCTTTGAAAGGTACCCTAAGCCAACAGAGACCACAGACTTTGAAATGCATAAGCAGTGGAGTAAAGTTGTTGCTTGCTTAAAGAATAACAAGATTAACTACAAACAGAGTAGAAATGAACTTCTTCCTGAGTTTTCAAATATATTTCTAGTAATTGCAGAAATAACAGGGCAGAAGAAAGATGTACTAGAGCTACTTGAGTATGTGGATAGTGTATGTAAAGCAGGGAAATTAGATATTAATCAACAATGTTGGATTACAGTTAAGATAGACTCGATCCTTAAGTCTTTATCACTGAATAAGCATATGAAAGTGTTATGTTTTAACATGACAATTGGGGAAACGCCAAGTGGTAAGGCAGATATTCTCTCGGATATTAACATTATTTATTATGGTAGCGAGATTACTTTGAATGTAAAAAAAGGGATTATAGATATTTCTCTTGCTTCATCGTTATATGCTAATTCTGAGCATATTAGAGAAAAGTTTAAAGAAGTAAGAGACATGTACAGCGATGTAGACTGCTATATAGGATACATTGTCGCACACTACATCGATGCAGAATTAGACCTCTCAAATAACAATGGCTCCACCATCTTAAAAAATATTGGCAGAGACATAAAAATAATGCTACAGGACGAGTCTCAGAATTTATCTAAAATATTCTTACACAGAGATATTTTAACAACGCACACGAAGAGCTATATTATGGAGTGTTTTGTGTTTTCTGCCTTAGATAAAAAAGTCACACCAACAAGCCCTTTAGCACGCTTTACTGCAAATATTTTGGGAAGTACATCTCTTTTTTATCCGGAAACCCGGGAGAAGATGATTCCTTTCTTGGCAATTCTTGCAGACTGGCGAGAATTCTACCCAAAACTTGGGTTCACGCCATCGGATTACCCATCAGAACATATTTTTGCTTGGGAAGTATCAATGGGTTTTTATGAAAAGATAATTTCCTGCCCAGTACGCATTGCAGTAAAAGCTACATGCAACTATCTTAGAGCATCTTCGGGTTGCCAAACTCAAACCCACCATGTAAGATATTTCCTAACCTCAACACTTCTATTTAATTATATAATGTCTGATGGGGAACTAGATAACTTAATGGAAATTCAATCTGTCGTTTCAAAATATATGAGCGACCATGAGTTAACCCAAATATATTTTTGCTGGTTCGTGCACTTATGCACAAGCAAATATAAATTCTCGCCAGAATCCTTTAAGAAGGTCTATAGCCTTATATACTCTGATCATTATCCGCATGGATTCTATGTTCGAATAGTGATAGAAACTAGAAAAGAATTCAAAAAATGCCTAAGTGTTTTAAAAGAAAGAAAAGCTCTTTTCTGCTCAAAGGATGACCCCGAAAGTATGAAAAAATATAATGGATTAGTAAAATACATTAAAGAAGATTGTTTGGGTTTGGTTTCCTCGCCTCAAGTGCATGAAACTCTCTATTCAGATCAGAAATGCGTATTGATGTGATCATTTCTTCCTGGTTTTGGCTGTAGGCTGACATGCTACAAGGGGCTCTACTTATTTACGCGCCAGCTAGGCTGAGTTTTGCATCTAGGACTCTCTATTCATTCCCCAATGAATACCGGGGGATAGTCATAGCCCTGCAAAGAGATCTATAAATAGAGGACTAGAAATAAATCTTCTAATGCGTTTAGAAAAATTTAAAGCGCAAGAGGAGAAACCCAAGTCTAATATTTAAGAGAGAAATCAGCTCTATTCAATAAATATACTTTTGAAAAATTGCGCACATTTATGAACTGTACTGCACTAAAGAGGAGTTCATGTAAAATAAACATGCAAAAATAAACTCTTCTAAAAAATATGTAAAAAGAGCTGAATATAAATCCGAATTATTTCAGAAAGAGTATAAGCACAAATACTACAGACATAAAATATTAGAATGAAAATCAGACTGATAATATAGATAAGTATATTAGCAGTGTGAATTCAAAATATGTAAATGCAGAAAAAGCTCAAGTTACTGGCAATAAGACATATTGTGCTTGTTGCAGCAATAATATGTTCTTATACACAGGATCTATGCATTTATGCATCGGTGCATTGTTCTAATAAAAAGAAGTCTGATCCAAAGTTAGACATTGCATGTAACAAAGGCGATAAATCCCGAATTCCAGAGGGTAAGAGAGCAGGAGGTGTAGAAGAGTTAGATAATTCAAAGCAAAAAATAGAAGAAGAAAAAGAAGATGCATTATTGGGCAATACAAATATAGAGAATGCAAGCAGTGTAAAGAATATCTCTCTAAATAAAGAATTTCTGAGTAAAGGAGCTACAGCATCAGAAAGCACAAAAACAGTAAACTCAGAAGAACAGTCGCCATCTACAAATCTAAAAGTACCAAAATCGCCTAGATATTTAGAACCAGAAAAACAACTATTGCCGCCTCCAAGATGTAAAGAAATTGCAGAGACACTAGAACTAAAAGAGCCAAAATACACATCAGATACAAAGAACCAAAAGACGCACAAAAAATCAAGATATAAACCAGCATGTCTATCTCATGAGCAACATCTAAATCCACAAGCACCCTCGGAGGCACAAGAAGAGATAGAAGTATCAGAAGTTTCTGGCAATAGCCCAAAAACAGCAAAGAGACATAAAGAAATCAGAAATTTTAAGAGACAAGCTGAGATGCTAAAAGAGTTAAAACCACTAAAATCACCAGAATTAGTAAAAAATGTAAAATTACAAGAAAACCCAGCAGATACACAGGATCCAGAAGATGATTCAGAAGAAGGTTCAAAATATGACCTATTCAGAATAGCATCACCAAGAGAATTGATGTCTTATAATTTTTCTATTAGTTCTGAAGAGTAAACTATGCCTGTACTGAGTGAAAGCAGTGGTGCTTTGTCTAGGATGAATATAATTGATGGAATAAAAGATATATAAAACTGAACTGAGTACTAGAGTGTGAGCAATGTTGTTATTGCGCGTGTAAAGGCATTGTCTGTTGTAGTGCGGTTTAAAAACCATGGAGAAAAGCACTGATTAAGGATATTTTACTGCAGTAATAAAACTTCTTCACTTAACATATATCCCTATTGGACTGCTATTTCCAAACTATGACATTTCTACCCGACGTATCCAAGAGACAGCGACTTTTTAGTGAGTAGATAGTTGGATTCTGGAAATGCCAGAAATATTTGTATGTAAACCCCTCTTATAATAGACTAAATACTGCACATGCCATGCCTAGTGAAAGTATAGAGTTGTGCAGAATAAAAAGGCAGAACTAATATAGAGTAAAAATAAAAATGATCAGTGCGTATAGTAGTATATTAGCATAAAATTGGATACAGGTAAGAAATGAGGCTAGAATGGAATAGAAATAAAAAGAATGCAGCTTTAATAGCTGTTTTAGGACTAGTATATATTTCGGAGGTGAGAACAAGCGTAACGCCTAAGTATAAGCACCAAATAGACTCTTCAGACCCTACGCTAAATAGAGAGTTTGAACACGTTGGATGTGCAGAAAATAGTAAAGAAGAAACAGACCAAAAACAGCCTGCTGATGAGAATGAGCTAGAAGAAGAACGCATAGATATAAAGGTCTTGTATGCCCAGCCTGTGGAAAGCATTCAAAGTATATACGAGATCGAAGAGGCTCTGATTGTTGGCACAGAGGAGTATATAACCGCACGAAGAGAGCTAAGAGAAGCAAGATACGACGTGGACATGGCATATGCAGTGCACAGAGAGAAGAAGGCTGAGCTAAAGAAAGCCTATGAAACCCTGCAGGCTGTGCAATTAGGATATCTAGATGCATGGAGCGAGGCGCACAAGATCCAGGAAAAAATATATAATCTTTATATTAAGTATGCAAAGAATAAAGTAAAGGTGCCAGGAAGCGCAGGTTCTGATTATGCAGTATTGGAGGCAACACTGATAAGGATGGGCTTTAAAACAGAAGAACTGGAAAAGAAAAAGATAGATGCCGTTGAAGTGGCAAAGAAGCACCTAGATCAACTAAAAAGAGCAATAGAAGTAATGAAAACCTCGGATGAGTGCTATATAGACTATTTGGAAAAAACTGTGGAGTCGCAAGTAAAAGACACAGACCTAATAGAAAAGGACTTGAAATACGAAGAGGCTATGCTGGATAAAGAGTTTATTTTGTACTTGGTGCGTGAGGCTGAGGCTGTTTATGCGCAGCAGGCAGGCCAATCCAGCAAGTTGGCAGGGAAGATTGCATGCGCGCACGAAAGCCATATTAAAAGCATGCAGGCATATATTGATTGTCTAAAAGGCATGCTTATATGCCAAAAAGCGTATTTAAAGAAGGCAGAGGAGGCTCTTGCAACATATCTTGTGGCACATGAAGAGGACAGTAAGTACGAGGTTTGCGAAGCACGCGTAATTAGAGCTAATGAGTTTGTGTCTAAAATTGAGGAAAAGGTGTTTATAGACAGGTAATTTTCTAGTTATCGGCGATGTATGTAGTGCACTAAGAATATGTCTTTTTGAATGCTGGTTTAACTACTATGGAGAAAGAGAAGGCAGAAGTTCAAAGGCACAAAAACTCTATCTACGAATTATATTCCTTTCTGTTCGAATACACATCATAATTATGATATTGCCTTTAAAGATGTGTTATCTGATGCTCTCCTAGGTATATGTCAGTATTCAAGAACATGTATGAGTTAAGTAAGCACTTCTGCGTGTTCATATTTTAATGCGTGTGCAGATATTATCTGCCAGAGCAAAGAAATGCTTTGTATAGGTTTTTCTGCTGCTTAGAATGCAGTGGCATAAAATAACATCTGGGAAAGTGTTTTTTCTTGGTTTGACATAGTGAATTATTCTTTTTATATAATAGATTGACATGTCTGAAATAAAATAAAATGATTCGAGTTATATAGTATATTGGCTAGAAGAATAAGTGCAAATAAAATGAGTCAAGAGCTAAAGGGTGTGAGAAGAAAAGTTGTTTCTATGCTTATAGCAATTCTGCTCCTTTCTAAAATTAAGGGCGGAGTGCTAGATGTATTTATTGAGAAGGATATGGTGCTGGAGAGTGGCAGTATATCTGTGTGCGAAAAAGAAAAAAGCAATGACAGCCCGGTAGAGAAGGAAGAGCCTAAGAACCTTCGAAGGTCTAAAAGGCTCTGGGATATTTCACAGATAGATGAAAACTCCACTGTCACTAGCGCAGAGTCTGCACAGAAGGAATATATAACTCAGAATGTGTGCGGGGGTATTGTAAAGGAAAATGCTTCAGTGAAAGATGCAGCAACAGAGGACAAGGACGAATATAGCAGCAGCGAGGCCGAAGATGCATGGTCTGATAGTATATCTGAAGACATACAGCAGTGTTTAGAGGAGATGGGCGCAGCTGAGGAAAGATATAGAGAGGAGGTAGGCAAGCTAAAGTCGGCCGAGCAGCTCGTTATAAACTCAAGCAGTGCCATTTACCACGCAATGGGCGAAGAAATGGCTAATATTTATATAAAGCTAAAAGAAGCTGTAAAGACATACAATGCAAAGTGCAAAGCAATAAGCGAAGCACTGGAAAGGGTCTATGAATATAGCAAGGCAGACAATGGGAGTGTAGCTATATTAGCATGCTCTGAGCCTAATCAGCATATGGAGGAGGTTGAAGCACTCTTTTCTAAGGCCACTGCACTTAACCAAGCCAAGAAAGAGGCTGCTGCTGTGTATAGAAAGCAAAAGAATGAGATGATTCAAGCACAAAAAACAAGCAGGAACTCAAGGAAGTGCCATCTGAAGTATTTGGAATTACAAGTAGATCTTCAAAGAAAAAACCGGGTCAGAATTGAAGAAGCACAGGCCTTTTTTCAGTGCATATACGACATAGAAAGCACTTTAAGTGCAGCAGAGAAGGCGGCGTGCACTTGTGAAAAGGAAGATCTTGGGCTAGAGATTAAAACCGAAGAGGTACAAAAAGCATATGAAGACCTTCTGGGGAATATTGTAGAAGAGCTCAAATGCATGCACTCTGTGCAGGCAGAATACATGGCCAAAAGAGTTTTGATAAAAGACGCGTATGTAGCTCTATACACTGTAGATAGCGCATATTCTGTGCAGAAGAAGCGCACAGAAGAAGCAGAAAAAGCACTAGCTGCCGCAAAAGAGACCTTTGACAGATGCATTGGCAGTTATTACTTTTAGGCTATATTCAAGTATGTGCTGGGATACATTGCTAAGGATGTGGTAATTTAGCGCTTCTTTAAAGTTTCTTATGACTGCAGGGTGTTTAAAAATAAAATAACAGCGATAAAAAGGTTGTTGTCAATTCAATATCAGAGCTTGAGAATAAAGTCAGATGCAATATTCACAGTACATGAATAAAAGCTCTTCTTTAAACAAGGCATTATCATTGGGCTTCTACTTCCAAGTTACGACGTTTCCACCTTTATGCCATATCATGGCATATAATATTAAAATAAAATCAATATGATATTTATTTATAGCATATTAGTCTTAGTGCAAATATTGAGTAAAGTTCATGAAGATAGAGTTTAGTATTTTTACACGAAAAATAGCTATAATTAGCATATGTGTATTTGCTATAGCTGATCGATATGCAAAGGCGTCCACTGAAAAGGTAGAGAAGACAGCGTGCAATGAGATATGTAAGAAAGCAGAAGAAAGTAGAAAATCGCTGTTTTTCAAGAGCATTCCGAAGAAAGATTCAGAGAGGGCAAATAACAGCCTTTTAAAGCAAAAGGCGCTAAGAAAAAAGAAGATTAAAGTGGAAACCTCGCTAGTGAATGCTGCAGTTGAGAAAGAGAGTACAGATCTAGAAAGTGCGAGTTTAAATAAGCAAAACCCAGTATGTGAAGACAGGGTGTGCACAAAGGACTTAGGAAAAAAACAAGAGAAAAAAAGCACTTCTTTTCTGAAAACAAATGAAAAAGCTCCAAAAGATAGTAATGGCAACGGCATATTCAGCATAGGCTCAGAAGATGTGTCAAATAGTATTTCTGTTCGCAGCAGTAGTAAAGAGCTACAGCAAAATATGCAAGCACCTGATATGTATGGAATCGGCTCAGATATTAAAGCAGAAGAAGAAGCAGAAGAGAAAGAAGAAGAAGCAGATATTGTAAGTGAGTCCGTCCAGAATTTGCACATCAATACCAAGAAGTTCACAATGAACATAAACAACCTACTAGAGACAAAAAAGTCAATAGCGTCAGCTAGTGACGTATGCAGTAAGCTGGAAGAAGAAATAGAAAAGATTGATGTGGAAATGGAAAAGGCTATGGAGGATCATATAAAAAAGCATAAGGACATAGTTCACATACATGATAAGATCGAAAGTTTTTATAGCGGGCACATTTCAAAAATTCCACCTGGTATAGATGCAGAATACGACGAGATGAACAGTAAAATTAGTATATTGCGTTTAGAGCTAGACGTTCTTTCAAGGAAAAATGAAGATATAAAAAATGTAGTATCTGCACAGATACTTATGGTTGATGATGCAGAATGTACTAAAAATAGCTCAAGAAGATGCTTTAAAAGATTTATAGCGCTACTGAATCAGTTTAATAAGACATACGACATCTTGCTTAAGAGCGATCTAGTGTTTTTCAAAATCATGGAAGATAAAGAGAAGGCTTTGTTTTTAGCAAGAACACGAGAGGAAGAGTATGCAAAGAGCGCGGGAGAAGAGTGCGGGGATCTGACAGCACTGATCGAAATGCATGTACAGAACAAAGAGTATATAGAAAAGACTATTATTATGAAAAATAATATAAACTCTCTTCATGCAGCCCGAGACTGCAAGTTGCTCAACCTTATGGAAACCTATAAAAAATACTGCACATTAGTGGATGGGTTTAAAAAAAAGAAGGATGTTTTATATTTCGCTATTGAGGGATTCTGCAAGGCAATAGAAGTGCTGGATGAGTATGATAATGAAGCAGGAAACCAGAAACAAAACAGGTGGGAAAGCCTCTCTGCATAATCTGACTAGTGCCTGCTGAGATATAAATGTTCTGAGTGGTTTAAATGTATGGCTAGTATAGGACATAGCTGAGTATGCATTTTGGTGCTGCTGAGGTTCTTGATGGGCTATTCCTCTAGTTTCTAAGAAACTATATCTATGTGTGCTAAATTTTAGAGATACTTTTCTTTGGTAGCTATTCGGGTTAAGATCTAACTTATATTCTCTTTCTATTTCTGCTTTATGAATAATTGTCTTGTGGTATTTTTATTCTTCTGTGATTTTATTTTCTGTAAACCTTCACAAAAAAGATCACTACAGACGCATATACTGTACAATTTATTTTTCTAATAGATGTAGCAAGAAATAGGTATGTTTAGTAGCTAACAAGTGAGTGGCGGATTAGTAGAATAGGTTCATACCAATTAGCTGCAGGCATTCGAACAAGTAGAAGACCAAAAGCCACAGCATATGAATTTCTTAGTTAGCATAGAGCAAGCCTTGTTCATGGTATGAGAGCATGTGTATGCAGAAAATTAGAAAGTTGCGCAGTATACTAGCAAACTAAATAAATTACTACGGTAGCTCTGCGAAGGAATGTAGACAAACATTGGCAGATGTATAATAAAGAAACTCTTCTAATAACAGATGCTCCATCACATACTGCTGCTTCCTGGCTGGTGCATCATTCGTCTTTATATAGCAGCATAGAAACAATTTTATCTTAATAAAATTATGCAAATTATAGAAGCCATATAACCCAAATGTCTTTTTAGCAGGTAGATATGTTATTAGGAACGGGTGTACTTCAATTTGCAATAAAGCGTTTTGGTCTTCTTTTTGGAGTTATAGGGCATTCAATGGTAGTGTGTATGCACACACATGCGTTTAACACATCCAATCCTTTGTGTGTAAGAGAAAATGCAGACGCAGCACAAATAGCCCCAAAAGGTGTACGATATGAAGGCGCGCGTATGAGAGAGATCATAAGTCGGGCGGTGTACAATATTGGAAAAGGCTGTGGGCACATTAGAAGTGACTCCTATTTCTACATTAGTGCTAACCCAAAGAGCCTAATGAAAATACAGAAAAAACCCCTTAAAGAAGATAGATCTAATAGAGTGCAGAATCTCAGAGAAGAAAAGTAAGCGCTGAGACAAAGCATTCTTACATCAATTCAGAGAAAGTTTATAAAATATGTGCCTAATTTAAATAAATGCTAAGTCAAATTCATCTATGCAATTTGGGTTATATATCCTGATATATCCCAAATATGCTATATTGGGAACATATATCCAAATGATATTTAATATACGATATATTATATTTGAAGTAATTAAAAATGGGAATGGAAGGAGTATTAAAGAAGCTTGCAGCTATTACGAAAGTTGCTTCTATTGCGGTGGTGGTATTTGGAATATGCTTTAACACGTGCAAAGCTACATCAGTTAGCGTAGTGGAAGAAGATCCATTGGAAAAATCCGAAAGTTCTATGCCAAATCCTTGCATGGAAAGTGCGTGGGATGGAAATATTGAAGGAAAAAAACATTTTGTTCCTAAAGAAGAAAAGAAAAATAGCACGAAAGGTATCCCTGCAACAGAGGCAGATGCGAAAGCAGGCATAGACGCAGGCGATGAAAAAGCCGCGTGTATATCCACAGAGGTGATTCTTATAAAAAGCGACGAGGTATGTAATGATGCTTCTGCTCCGCATAGTGGAGATGCATCACACGAATGTAGGCAATTCTTCTCTATAACTGCGGAAGAAAGTGTAAAAATAGTAAAATGCGATGAAATAAGAGATGTACAGTCTTTAATTGCCGATTACTATAGGCAAAGCGGCCCTTTGGTGGCAGAAGGGATTTATCCAGAGTACGACAGACAGATTAAAAAAATCAATGCACTAACTCTGGAGATAAAAATACTCCGGAAAGCTGTGGAAGAAGCAGAAAGTGAATCAATCGAGCAGGGGGCCAAGACAGAGTTAGCAGAAAAAACCCGAAAAAATACAAAGAAGGAATATGTGGACTATATAGAACAGATGTGCGAGTTCCAGTGGAAATATTGCATTTTAATAGAAAAAGAAATAGCATTCTTCAATGCAATCACATGCAGAGAGGATCTACTGTGCGAAGTGAAAAAAAAAAGAGATTGAGCACATGCATACCACAGGAGAAGATGACGAGCTGCTTAAAAAATTACTGCATGCGCACGAAGAGCACAAAAAGTATTTCAGCAGTGCCCTTGATGTGATAAGTGGCACTTACACTAGGCAAAAGTCCCGAGTATCTAGTATAGAAGATAATGTACATGCATATATAGAGTACTGCATACCAAAGGATGATTACGGTGTCTATGCAAAGGCTGTGATGAATAGTATCCAGATGTTGAGAAATTCGAAAAGGGTGTTAACAAACATACACGAACTAACAAGACCTTTGTGCAGGCGCGGCTAGCCACTCATCTGAGACATATTCGGGTTTTCTATCATGTATAGTCGAAATTTAAAAAACACTATGCCCATATGCATTAAAGTGCATATATGGTAATTGTAGCATTAGATTTTTATTAAAATGGCTCAAGTATATACGAATTTTTCTTAGTGTGCATAGTTGGCAGAATGGCGCTGTAGCTATTTTTGCAGGGCCCTGTTTTTAAGAAAGGCAAAGCTGATCTTCTCTTATTATAAGTCATTGGGTTTGTTTTCTGCTCTCCATAATCTATTTCAAGATGTCTAGACCTCTGATAATTAGCATTATGCAGCGTTATAAGCAGGAGTTCTATGGAAAATGATGGAAATAACACACTAAAGTACCAGCCCCGCAGGTCAATAAACTAATGTTATATGTATGTATAAGCTGGGTATTCTGAGGCATGTCTATTTATCCAAGCTTTCTCTGAAGCGTTAGCTTTTTTCTATTATGGTAAATTTCTGCGATATAACCCAAATTTTATTTTAGATAAGAATATGAAGCTTAATATAAAAAAAAGAAACCCGGTAGAACAACAAGAAAAAGAGATAGTGGGAAAAGGAAGAAAAAGAGATGCAAGCCAGACTATTGCATGGCTGCTCATTCACTTGGCCGGGCTGTGTCAAGTATGGGGAAGAATGACCCCAGATGAGCTAAAAACCATTCAGACAACGGAAATTGCAGTGGGCTTCAATAGGCGGGTGGTAGTCAATCCAGACAGCGTGCTAAATCCACTGCATGGAAGAGTAATGAACAACATCCGGCTCATGCACAACAAAAGATTTATAGCGCCCGAGATAAAAATAAAGTACGCTATAAAAGCCAAAAAGGCCAACGCATTATATCCTATCTACATGTATGCACGAGACTGCAGACTGGACAGAGTGCGCAATGATAGTGACCTTGCGTATAAAGGCAGATTGCTCGAGTATAAGAAAGAGTACTTTAATACGCTTCTTGAGCTGTTTCCCTCTATATATGGATATGTGTCCATATGGTCGGACAGAGAAGACTCTTTTTTTTCTTTTATTAACAGCGCAGATGTAAAAGAGTACAAGTATAAAATACTTGCCTCATTGCTGCTGCTTACAGAGGGAGTCGATGTGCCGCTGGCAGCTAATAGAACAGAGCTGGTTTTGAAAAAAGTAGGCTGTAGTAAAGTACATTTCAGATTGCATACCCAGCCTGTGGAATCAGATAACCCAAAAGACAGGCACCCACCTAGAAGGAAGCTAGAACTAGAAAATTCCGCAGTTGTGGATGTAGTGGACTTCTTTATAAAAAACAGAAAGAATGAAATTCTCAAAGCAGAGGGGTACACCGTAGAGCCTGCCAACTATGAAGAGTTTAAGAAAGGCGAGTTTATGAATAGCCCTGGGTTCCTCATACAGACGTACATATATCACTGCGTGGAGAGCACTGAAAAGATGATTTTGTTCATTCAGACAGTGTATGATCTGCTAAGTGAGTACATGGCACAGAATGAAGCTGGCTCTGGTATAGAAGCCCCAGAAGAATTCAGTACAGAAAAAACGCTGGCCAAGCAAGCAAAGGATGTTTTTGATCATTACTTTGTGCAAACAAGCCGCTCTCAAGTTGGATTGCAATATATAGACATTGCACTGCAGGCTGAGGTGCCGCTGTACAACCATGGAGTAGACTATTGGGGCGAGCTTCTGCATTTAGAGCTAGCCAATGATCTTTTACCCACTAGAAAGCCCATGAACAGTCTGAGACTTCTCTCTTCATTTGTGCTTGATGTAAATCTTCCGAATGACAGGCCTGTTTACTATGGAGACATTTTAATCCCTTTTTCTGAGTTCATTGACTGTGGAGAAACAGCGCTGCTAGGCCTTTTCTGCTGGGCTGCATATGACTGCAGGAAGAACATATACACAGCCGACCACATAAAGTCTGCCTCTGAGAAGCTGAAAAGCTTTTTCCAAAAACACTGGAGTATGTATGGAAACGTGTCAAAGGAGATGCACAATGAGTGGAACCAAGTGGTGATGCATCTGCAAAGCACAAATGTACGGTATCTAAGATCAGACGAAAATCAGGTTGGGCCAGGAATAGTAAACCTGATGTATGCTGCTGCAAAAATTGCAGGCATAGATGAAATGCCAGAGGTAGAAGGGTTTAAGAGGAAAATAGAAGAGATAAGAGATGAGCGCACAACGGACAAAGTCAGAAGGCTTAGCATGAAACATAGCAAAAAGAACATTTCAGAGAAAGAGAAAAAGAAAATGGAAGAAGAGATAAGAAAACTGATAGATGCGAAAGAGCAGGCACAGTTGAAAAATCTTATTCTAAAGCTAAAGTGTGCAGGAAGACAAGAAGAGAATAGCATACAACTAGAGATAAAGAGATTGGAGGATGAAATAGACAAAAGAAATAAGACTGATCTTAATTTGCTAGTGCTCTGCTATATGGAAAAGGAAGATAGATTGAAGGAAGCAATAAGCTGCAATATAGAAGCATGTCTCTGTGGGCTAGTTAAAAAGATTGCACTAGATAAGAACATAGATGTTAAAATTTCAAGAGCGTATAAAGAGACCCTCATACATGGATATAGCGATATATTCGGGCAGATAGAAATATCTTATAATCTGAATGGGGCGCATGAAGTGAATAGAATGCATGCACATCCGTACATCTACCGCTTTAGAATAGTTCCCAAATACAAAAGCGATTCAGAAGATGAGCCGCACTGGTATGGCAAATTTAAAATTAGCAGAAGCAAAAGCACAGAGGCCACTAGACAAATAGCGTGTTCTTTTCAGTGGCTGCAAATCATTCCTAGAGTAGCAGAAAAGTCATTTATTATGTGGATGCTTAATTTCTACATAGATAATAGCGAGCAGATAGATATGTTCTGCATAGCTCTTTCCCCTTATAAAGCACATGATCTGATAGAAAAAGCGATAGGCGATAATAAAAAACGCATCAATATAGACATGATTTTGCTTGATCCACTGGTGCACAACAGAAGACATATAAGGAACACTGTGCACGCGCTGCTTATCTATGGGATAGTGGCGCGCCTTGGTAGCAGCTGCGCTCTTAGGTGCTTGGCCGATAATGTAATGGGCAGTTCTCTTTTCATTGAAAAAAAGCAAAAGAATGCGATGTTTATCCCTTTTAGTGTCATTACTGTGCCTAAGCACTACCCACACGTGCGCATAGATGAAAGTGTGTATGAAAAGACACACAGCTTTCTGTACGCGCTGAAAAACACGCTGGCATCTGTAGACGTTTCTTCATCTATAGGCAGTACGCTGCTGCCTATCATAATCACGAATCTAATGGTGCAGTTTCGGAAGACATGCCTTGATAACAGCTACTATTCTACTTTGCAGAGATTTGCAAGAATGTTGAGCAACAGAGAGAGGTCTTTGTTTTTCGACATTCTGATACAGCAGAAGAAAACTATGAAAAATATTGAGATAGTTGTTCGGGCTATGCGGGAGGTAGAAAAGACACATCCAAGCACAGCTTTCGGGTGCCATAGTAATGAGTTTTTGATATGGATTATTGGGCTTGCATGCAGCAAGCACAGAATAAATTTTGCATACAATATCATAAAAGAGTGTTATGACTTAATTGATCTAGAATGCCCAGGGAGAACTCGGTTTGGGGGGCATTATAGTAAATGGAAGGCACATTTTCAGTCAGAAGTGCTTCTTGGAAGGATAAAGGACATAGTATGTGTTGAGAGTAACGAGGAGAGCATAGAAAGGTTTGAACTAATATACAGGCTGCTTACATAAATACATTTTGTTTCTAGCAAGCAAACTTTAATAAAGTTATTTAAAATTTGAATGTTAATGCTTGTTGCACATGAGCTTGTAGAAATAGGGCGCTTTGAATATAACGCTTAAGAGGATAATAAGAGGAGTATGTAGATCTAGGATGCAGAGAAGTCCTCTAAATGGTTGCTGTTATATTGTTGACTATTTAATCCAGAGCAAGCACAGACAGCAAGAAATATTAAAATAAAAATACAAATGATTTCTGAAGATGGCATATTAGCACAAGAAATTTGAGTAAAGAGAAATGTACAAGGGAAAGAAGTTCAGAATGAAGTATTTGCTTCTAACTTTCACAAGTATAGTGTGCTTCGCTGATAGCATGACTTATATAAGAGCAATAGAATTGCCAGCATTAAGTGAAAATAAGCTAAATACACTAGAGTGCGCAAAAGAGGCCACAGAAAGAGATGCTTTTGATGCTAAGCCGATAGAGAAAGCCGCAGCACCTAGTCTATGGTGTGGCTGTGTAAATAAAAAAAAGAATGCGGAGAAAAGCAAAAAGAGTGCGAACTCAAAGAAGCAGAAAGACCTGGCCGTATTGGATGCCAATATATCCTCAAAGGAATGTGCAGGAAAAGAAGAAAAAATAACACCTGCACTAGAGTCAGAAGAGAGCGAAAGCTGTAGAAACTGCAAAAAGGAAGACACAAATTCACTAGATAGACCAATGAATAGAAATACGATCTATCGAGTTAGAGCTGAAGTACATCATGCACCCATACTAGATACACCCAGAAAAGAGTACAGGATGGAGGAGCTCTATATGCTAAACGAGATAAAAAATAATGAAGACCTAGCAATCTCTCTCATTCAAATAAAGAATAAAGAAATAGCAGATATTAAAAAACACCAGCAAAAACACATGACTTCATACAATTTGAACCAAATGGAAAGAATACACACAGTTCAAGCGCTTAGCTCTTGCTATAATAAGCTTGGTAATGATAGAGTGTCTGACGGTATAGACTACGAGTACAAAAGCCTGATGCAAGATATCGAGCTTCTGCATGCAGAGATCAATGAACTGGAAGAAATCAGAGAATTGGAAGACTCATTGTATCAAAAAGCTATTGATCAGATAGAACACGTGAAAAAAACCATACATACATCAAGAAAAGCCAGCATGGCGTATCTTGTGCAGGGAATAAAAGTAGAGAAAGCGTATGAAAATACACTGAAGGCGTCATTTGAACTTTTAAAAGGCAGTATAGCTATGGAAAATACATTGCTTTTGATCAGAGAGAAAGAGAAAGAGCATTTGACGGAGGCTGAAAAGGAGGTGGCTCCATTGGAAGAGCTAATAGGATTGCATAAAAAGCACTTGCTGCATATGGAGAGGGGAGTTGATATTCTATACAATATGATTCGCATCCAGAAAAACATTATATTCAAGGCAATTGAAAGAGAGCGGATCTATCTGACATACGATAAAGTAGTAGGTGAGTGTGAAAAACAGCTGTATAATGCATAAAGTACCCTAAGGATGCAGCTACCTAAATGTACTTTGGATTGCATGTTTAAATAGCTTTTATATGCTAGAATGCACATCAGAGTTGTATAAAACAATGTGTGCCATTGATTAATCGTTGTGCTTAATCAGAGAGAAAGAGACTGGAGAAGAAATAAAGCCATTCAAAAAGATAGTAGAGTTATGTAGAGAGTGCATACAATGTGCAGAGAAGGAAATAAATATTATAAATGCTATGTGCACTATTCAGAAAGGCGCTATGCCATACTGTCAGTTGTTCACTATATGTTTGCTAAGTATAAAATATTTTAATTCTAGCTGTGCTATTTGAAGAAGTTTTACACAAAGAACTTTAGCTAGATTTCTTTAGAAATAATAGAGAAAAAGCTTTTATTGCAATTTATAAAACTCTTCTAGTCAAAGAAGTGTCTAATCTTCTTCAGCAGATGAAGTAGCGGGGTTATATCGGGTTATATTGGCGCAAAAGCTGATAAAACTTGGCAGTAGAGCCTTCACTAGTGCATATCTGGCCCTTTAGCCCTGTAAGGATTTGGGCAATTTTCTTTTCATCATCATATTTGAAAGTAGCCGGGATGTAGTTTGGATTCTGAATAGCGTCAAAGTTGGCCTTAATCAACTCTATAGCCGAGATATTCTCTAAGATGAGATACAGAAACCATGAATAGTGAAGATGGTTTAATATCGCATCTTTCTTCTCAGGATAGTCTCGTGTTATTGTCTTATCAACTATATTAGACCACTCCATGTTTTGGTCTTTAAATATATATATGCAAAACTTGTCAACAAATGAAAGATGTAATGATTTATAAATCCCCTCCTCATTTAAATCACAGTTGTCTATGAAGTATTTCATCCATACAATGAAAATGGATATATCACATTCTAGTACATATTCAAAAATCCCGAAGTATTTTATATTATCCTTAATTCTTCTATATCTATCTTTTTCCAGATTTATATTCGGGTAGCTGGGATTTTCACTTTTTTTATTGAGCAGGCCTGCGCATATAGTAACCGGGAGTATTTTCTCTGCAATATCCCTGTTATCTAGCTCTGTGCTTCCTATTATGTTGGAGGTAAACCGAACAAGAGGATGCTCTGGGGATAGCTTTTGGTTCAGAGTGTACACAATAGAACGATCAATTAATTCCGCTTTATAGTCTAAGTCACTGATTTTCTTCACTAGCAGCAGCCTATTTATGTCTGTAAACTTGTTCTCAATAGTCTTGCGCACCTGTGCCTTTATAAACTCTCTGTTATTCTCAAGAGTATCAAGTTTTCTTACTTCATAGTCAACATACGCAGCAAATAGATTTTCAATGAATTCTGTCCTATTTTTACAGCTATCTGCAACTCCTTTCAATTTAGACATTCTATTATCCCAGATGTTCATAACAGCAGGCTTTATGCCAATAGTAGCATGGGTTTTAGATATTTCCAAGACTATTTCATTCTTGATGTCACTTGTCTCAAATGAAATAGTAATATGACCAGATATGTCGTATCTTCCATTATTACACTTGTAACTTTCAAGAGCAAAGAACTCTACGTCTACAATTTCTATATTGGATAGGCGTTTAAGTAGTTCTTTGGTGTATTCCCTAATACTGTTATATAGTCCATCGTCCTCTTCTTCGTCCTCTTCTTCCTTTTCCCTTTTCTCCTTTAGCCTCTCTGAAAAGCCAAGTATTATGTCCTTTTCTTTTTTAGAAATATTTACTATTTCAGCAATAACCATGAGCATGTTTATAATACCACTGTCTAGCTCATTTCTTCCCCTCAAGTATGTAATTCTAGGCTCATCCAAGCACGCAACAACTCTGCACCACCTTATCTGGAACTCAGCCTTTGTTGTGTCAAATGACTTGTTCTCTTCTGGGGCGAAGAATTCTTTAAGCTCTTTAGAGACATTCCCCATATGGTCTGTCCGATAAATTCCCTCTGCTGGGTCATATGCCAAGCAGCAGAAGAGGGAGAGAATCATGCACTCCACACAGTTGCTGTAGTCTTTCGAATGGTTAGTAGAAAAGGTGTTTGTTTTTCGGCTGTACCTAGGAACAGATGTGTATGAAGGAAGCTGCGTGCTGTCTGCAAATGGAAATACCCGATATCTATTTAAAATCTCTTGAGTACTCTTCATTAGAGCCATGAAGTTTATGTTTGCTGCAGTTCCAGCAGGCTTAAATAGTCTGTCATACACACAGTCACCTTTACTTGGTGCTTCTGTCTTTGGTGCATACTTCTCTGTCATAGTGTGCACTGCCTGTATAAACTCAATTGCATGCTCTGCGCTGTCTATGAATCCGAATATGTATGACTGTATCAGGAACTTTGGACTGTCTAAGAACTTTCCTGTGGCAACCTCCTCCAGTGAGCATTTGTCTTTCATCATGCTAAGCACTTCATTTTTGGTTGCATTCTTCTGGAAGAAGCTGATTATTTTAATAAACTTCTCCTGTTTGAGTTTTTCCAATTCACCAGTTTTAGCACATAGCCGCTCGATCACAGTGGGCACTTCAAAGTATATTCCCTTTTCTTTGTCCGCTTCATATACCTTTAGTGCAGACTGAGTGAATTCAATGGGAATATCTACCCCCTCTGAGAAAAGAAGCAGCATGGCCAGAATTTGCAACGCATGCTTCTCTGTTTTCTCAGCCCGAAGAGCCCGAATGAAGGACCGGCTTACTCGCGTCTCTATTGATATGTCACCCGTTGGCGATGGAAACAGCTCAATAAGGTAATTGTGGTACTGCTCATTGTACACATCCATTTCACTAGAGGATAGTGCTTTGTACGCCATGTCTATCTTTCTATTTCGAGTGTATGTATATTTTAGACATCCCTTATATCTACAGTGCTCTAAATTGTACTCTGTATTAATCTGCGGAGCAAAGAATCTTTTGTTGTACATGCACTCCATCTTCTGGTAGATGTATCCCCGCAGAAAGTTTAGAGGCCCCTCTGGGTTTATCTTCACCGGTGAAGAATCTGCTGCAATTTCAAACTGCAGAGTGGTCTCTATTTCATCCAATGTCATGTTCGCTCTGTGTATGTTTATTAGTAGAATGCTGACTAAGACAGCTGTCTTAATCCAAATAACGGAAGGATGTATTTTAATTAAATAAGGCTGGTTTTCTCTCCTCAAAGTGTTAGACTTGGCCATGCAAACTAAAAAAATATTTCTTGTTCTCTATTTATAGACCTCCTCCAATAGCTATATTTTATGGAGATAATTAGATATTCTCTTACCAGCTAATAAAGGGTCCTAGAGTCTGGGCCAGTCTAGCTGGCGCGTAAACAGGTATATCTTGTAGCGTGTTTGCGTACAGCCAAACCTCGAAAGGCAGTGTCCAACACTAATCTATATTGCTATCCCAGATAAAGGGTTTTATATCCTATAGGCAAGGAAAACCAATATTGCACACGAATAGAGTGTCTTTATGTATTTGTATAGTGCAGAAGGAAAGCTAATATACTATGCATATATGAGTGTGTGTCTAGCTGTCAATAAATGCTTGTTTCGTTCTCTACTTATCTGTAGTGTGTTACTCTCTTTCTTCTCTCTTTGTATCTGATCAGTGGTGGTTCTCTAGAATGTGTTGCTTTTCTCCTATTTCTTGTCTCTAGTGTTTTATTCTCCCGAATATTCTAGTAAAATAAATTGCTTCAGAGGGCTATAAGTATACTTTATTTTCCCAATAATACGAGAAAAAAATACAATAAGGACACTGGAAAGAGAAGAAAAGTAAAAAGTAGACAGATGCACATAAATGAAGAAATAGTCAGATAAGTAGATAATATAGATGTATTAATAGGTATAAGCGCTACTAGGATCAGTATAAGGCTTTTTTGACTGAATACTGCAAATATATTCATAATACAAACATATACTGATAATTTGCAATGAAAGATGAGTGAGCTGCTGTGTAGTGTAGAAAGAAAGGCAAATAACCCGAAATGCCAACCCCTCTCATATAATCCAAATATATATATACATTATCACTAAGCTTTTTGCAATTCTTTTATGGTAGTCACCATTATTTTATTTTAGAACAAAAGGAAAAAGGTATAGAAAATTCCAGAAAAAAAAATATAAATTTAATTTATTTTTTCCTGAAACACGACGTTACAAGATCATGAGCATCACCAAAAGTAATATCACGCAGCAACAGAACAATGACCATACCACAAAGGAAAGAACAAACAACTTCCCTCCCAAGCATTCATCCAATAAAACATACGTGAGTAAATCTCTCTCTCTTATCGATTTCTATGCATCTACCGGGCGATTTCCGGACTCAAGGGACCGCATCTTTAATTTTAATTTTATATTTTTGTCAGACATACTATGCTGTTAGCTGAGATCTAGAGAAGCATAATATAAAACAAGAAATCTAAATGATGTGTAAGATATATAACCCGAAAAAGATGAAAAAGCATGGCGAACACAAAGAAGTCGAACAAAAGGTCTATAAAGGAATACGTGATAATAGCCGCTGGTGTGCTATTAATACTATCAATGGTGCTATACACATGTGTAGCCACACCACTCAGCCAACACAAATCGCAGGAAAGACCATTAAGTATGATAGATGAATCGGAGAGATCTTTCACAGATACAAAAAGTAATGTAGTGCATGAAAACAGACAATTTGATGATGGAGGAAGTAAAGAAGCAGGCACAGTAATACAAGTTGAGCAAGTGGGTGATAGAATAGGTGCGGAGCATGCTTCTACGCCTTTAAAGGTATCTGCACCAGATGAACATAGCAATTCTTCTTTTATAAAAGAGAGAAAAAGAGAGATGCCTGATGGTATGTATAAAGCGCAGTACGCAGTGATAGTGGCTGAAAAAGAGCACAGAGAGCAAATAAATATTCTAAACGAGCTGGATGATGCTGCTGATTGTGCACACAAGACCTTTTTGGAAAATAAGAAAGAACTAAAAAATGCTAAAGTGCTGTATGGTAAATATGCAGACGAATATAAAAAGACTCATGAAAAAATAACAACTCTAAAAAAAGAAATTACAGCTTGTTACATAAACCCAAACAGTATAACCCGAATTCCAGAAGGCAAAGATACTAAATATGACACAGAAATGAAAGAGATTGATAGGCTATCTGAAAGCGTGCATGAAAAAGAAAAAGTTAGAGTATGCAAAATTAATATAGCGAAAAAAGCTCTTATCTATGGGAGAGAGCTAGAACAAAATATGCATAGATCAAGAAAAAACGCCCTGGAATACTATTTACATAGAAAACAGGTGGAAAAAAGATTGATCTTTACTATAAAATGCACCTTGGATTTATTCGAAACAATTTATAGCAGAACTAAACTGCTGTGTTCAGTGAGAAAGAAAGAGGCATTGTATTATATAGAGAATGAGGTCAGAGCAAAGCTTCTGAACAATATAATAGAATTACATGAAAAGCTTGCTCACAATGTGAATGATGGGATCGATATAATAATTTATATGTGTATAGTACAGAAGGATGTTATATCTGCTGCAGAACAAGTATATAGCGCGTATAAAGCATATGATGCAGCTGCGTGCAAGTATGAACAGCAACAGAAGTTGAGAGGATGTGGTTTAAGTATATCTCAACACCAACCCGAGTTCTGGTTTTAGTCTTTCTCTATATAACACAGGCTAAGAGCTAAAAAAGACTATGCAGACTGTGCTCAACAGAGAATGCAGCAGTGACATGCACAAGCAGTTTTGTGGGCTAGGAAGCAAAGTATCTTGTGTCTCTAGGAGTTGAATAATATAGAGTGTGTGCTGGCAGCAATTTTGAGCTATGTGTAGTAATAACTAAACCTCTTATGCTATTTTTACTCTTACTTTATTTTTACTAAAATTTATTCATGCGCAAGAATTCAAACTAGCTATAGATTATGCTTGTAAAGAAGTACAGAGATTTTCTAGAAGGTTACATTTATAAACCTTGTCTTTATTTGGTTTTCCATTTGTTTAAGTAGTTTTAAATGAAACATCCTCTGCTTCCAAATCCCATTTAGACCGATCAGATTATGGACCTAATTCCTAATAACGGAAGGTTTTAATCACTTGTATCCTGCTTCATGGCAATACAAATAAACCAAAATTATTAAATGCATCAACTGTTAGTCTGTGCATACGATATTCAATCATACAAAAATATAGAATAATTTTATTTTCTGTCCTTTATTTATATTCACCCAGAATAGAGTTTTCTAGACAAAAGCAGAAGCTTCTGAAAGCTTCTAGAAGATGCCATTCGTCATACTATCTGGAGGTGGTTAATTATTCGCCCATGAACGAATAAAGGCTAAGAGTCTAATCCATTCAAAATAACTTATATGTAAGAAAACATAGCACCTTGTAGCATGTTGGCATACAGATAAGCCCTTGGAAGTCAATGGCCAAAATCAACTTATACTGCAGCAGGCTGAGGATTTAGGTTTGGGTTTCTTGAGCCACCAACAGTATTCCAAGAAGTATGCTAACACAGCATCATACTTTTCTATACTTTTTCTGTCATCCTCCGAGCAGAAAAGTGTTTTATTTTCTTTTAAAGTGCTTAGAGATTTTTCAAAATATTTCGTGGGTCCTGACATTCTTTTTTTAAACTTAAATGGGTTTGGATAACTATCAAAGAGTATAAAGTCGTAAACTGTCTTAATAGACTCTAATGAGAACTTATAATCATCCGAGCATGCATGGATAAACCAGATAATATACACGTAGTTTAAATTGTAGGCTTTTGCAGATTCTTTGATAATGGATTGAATTTCCACTAAGTTATCTATCCTCAGGATAAGCATGACGCGATAACTTAGAAGCAGTCTGGTTATAAATTTTACTCTTGAATCGATCATTCTTGGGTTATGCATAGTTGCTCTAATATAGCTGCATGTAGCTTTTGATATAGCAGTCGCTGAAAGAAGCTTTAGAGTATTGTATAAATATGTTTCTATTTCTGATAGGCGAATCCAAATACGATCTTCTTTTGGGATAGGCTCTGATGGCTTAAATCCAAGCCTTGGATAGAGTTTCTGCCAGCTTGCATGAAATGGAAAGAACACCATCATTGAAAATCTTGATCCATAATCATTGAGTGGAACACTTCCTAAAATGTTTGCAGTAATTCGGGTTAGAGGGTTTTTGGGGCCTACTTCCTTATCTAGGGTACAAATTATAAATTTCTTTATAATAGTATTTTTAATATCAAAGATAGAAATCTTTCCTAATAAGAATATTTTAGATATATCTTTGGATTCTTCATGTATAATTGAGACTACGATTTTTTCAAGTTTTTTACTGAGACTATAACTGTTAGAGCTTAAAGCATCTAGCTCTGCACTAACATATTGAACCGCAATGTATCCTATATAGCAGTCTACATCACTGTAAGTTTTTTTTACTTTTTCATACTCTTCTTTAATATGTGCAGAGCTAGTATTTAAAGATTGAAGAAGCGTAATGGTAGCATGCCCATGTTTTATATCCAAAGAAATTCCACTCTTTCCTTCATAAAAAATATAAGTGATACTAATTTTAGAGAAAATATCTACCTTTCCATTTGATCTTGTCCCAAGTTTCATCTGGCTGCACTCTACTTTTACATTCTTATTCAGTGATAAAGACCTAATAATTGATTCTATCTTATTTGAAATGCAAACTTCCTGCTTATTATCTAATTTTCTTGCTTTGCATGCAGATTCTATACACTTAACTAGCTCTAGTATGCCTTCCTTCTGGCCTATTATTTCTGAAATAGCAAGGAATATATTTCCAACCCCAGCTATAAGTTCGTTTTTCTCTTTCTTGTAGTCAATCTTGTTATTCTTTAAGCAAGCAACAACCCTACTCCACTCCTTGTGCATTTCAAAGTCAGTAGTTTCTGTTGGCTTAGGATACTCTTCAAAGAACTCTCTCAACTCTTTACTTATTTCTGTTCTCATGTGACTGGTTTCGTACTTTCCTGTCTTTTGGTTGTATGCCAGGCAGCAGAACAATCCAAGAAGGGCTGACTCTACGCAGTCACTATAGTACAAGGATTGATTTTGCTCAAAGCCAGACTTGTCTAGTTTACAACGCGGCACTCTAGTAAACCGCGGCAACTGACTAGCATTGCAGAAAGGAAATCTGGCATTTTCATTTGTATCTTTTACAAGGTCACAGAATGATTCAATGTACTTTATGTTTTTACTAAGTTCTTCTTTTGCTATGAAAAGCTCATCAAATATTCTGCCCTTCTTGCCCTTCTTGCCCTTCTTCTTAGTCTGCTCTGGGTTCTCCTTTTCAGCCACTTGATCAATTAGCAATTCATGCGCTGCATTCACAAAGTCCCTGTATTCCTCTGCTGTGTCAATGAACTCGTAGATGTATGTCTGTATAAGGAAGGCTGCATTGTTCAGAAACTTTCCACTTTCAAATTCTTCTCTAGTGGCTGGCATTGCAAACTCACCTCCTCTTTTTAGCAGTGAATTGTCTTTGCACTGCATATAGAACTTGACAACTCCAGCTGCCTCACTTTGGTAGATGTTTTCACTGTGCTCATTAGTAACTGGGTCTATGCCTGCTGTGTGCATTTCTATGTCCACAAATACTTTCTCCTTGCTTTTCTTACTTTTTATGACAAGTTTCTTTTTCTTTTCTGTGTGGTCTACACTTATTTTAATGTCAGCTCCTTCTGAGAGAAGAAGAAGTGCTGCAAGAATGTACTTTGTATCCTTCTTAACATGTTCTGCTCTTAAGAAATTGGTAAGTGCATTTGGCCTGCCTGCCTCAATGGAAAGATCTCCATCCACTGAGGGAAGCATCTTTATGAGCAGCGCATGGTAAGTGCTAAGATACTTCCCATTAGAAGCTTGTGTAGCTACGTCCTTGTGTACTCTGTCATTCACAGGTGTTCTTGTAAAGTTGTACTCTTGCTCGTTTTCATCAGATAGTCCTTTCTTAGACAGTGCATAGTCTGTGTCTATTTCAGGGGAAT